ACGAACCATCTGCTGCTTTTGCTTTTGCTCTCCACACTCAGAACTGCACCAGCCAGGAGGGACATCTGCAAGCATTGCTGCAAGTACACAGACCCCTTCCAAACTAATGTGCTATCGCTAATCTGACAGACTTCAAATTACGATCTTATTCGTGTCCATAGCGAGTTATCCTGGTGATGTCTCCCATCTCGTACATGAGAACATCGTCTTCTCATTCGCCCTAACGATACTCGTATCTTCAACCACTGGAACAATCTTCTCTGATTCACTCTCTTGAGGTCTCATCACACCCATAGCCCTGGTGCAGAGTCCAAGGGCATCCCAGCTCTGCCCCGCTCTACTGAAAGAGAAAGGGACAGGGACAGGGACAGGGACTGCACCTGCTCGAATGCGGCACGATTTCGACCGCCCCCACGTTCTCTTCTCTCGGCTTCCCGAATTTCGCAATAATGCCATTTTGCATCTTCTTCAGCTCCACGACTCCCGGATGGCTGGCGATGGCGTGAGTTTTACCTTTCGACCTGATGGCACTGTTGCAGGCACCTTCCTTCTTTGGGCTCCAGGTGTTCGTCGCCGCCGACCTCGTGATGCTTTAAATGGCTTCATTGAGACACATATGGCGCAACACAGATTCGAGCTTCCCGCTTCTTGCCAAGTGCTAACTCGATTTATCAGTACGAGGCGCTCCATTCGATATGCTAAGTCCTGAAGCGAAGTGAAACATTCGAATTTCAGCATCTCGCTTCTCATCCCAGTTAATTTTTCCCGGCGACAGCCTCAAGGAATGCCCGGAGGTTGGCCTCATCCAGCGCATCATAGTCGGCTTCTGAGCTGCCTTTCAATGATCTTCACCACGATGGCTCTTGCCCCCGACTGCCAGTCGCCCTTTCCTTGTCCATGCATCTTCGAACGGCCGCAGCCGTGCCCTCCTTAATTGGGCGATTCTACGCGAATCGGATATTTGAGAGGAACAGGAGTTTGCCCCACCCACCTGCCTTCGTGTACCCTTGTGGCGGTATTCGAAAAATCCTCTGTGAGGTGGTCGGTAGACTTGCTTTCGGCGAAAGATAGATCTGTCGTGAGAACCGAAGAGACACCCCGTCGAGTCAGCCTGTCATTTGTTGAAAGATATCACAAGTCAGTCTCACAAGATTGTGGGGTTCCAACGACGAGGCTAACGGTGGCTAGGTCCATTGAAAAGTAAGTTCACTTTCTACGAGATAGCTATGTCGTCCTGAATGATACGTTCACCACAAGACAGGATTCGGCGGTTCCTGACTACCACCCGTTTGCCTCGAGTATTGCGCAAGCCGCAGCTTCAAGAACAAAAGAGAAAAAGCATAAGCCAGAGCGGCGCCTCTTGTCCTCAACGCATTATTCGGTACAGAAACAAAACCAACATCCCAAAAAATAAAGCTGTACAATTCCCCAGCCCGCAATTTTCTCTGTGCGGAAGGATTCTTGCGTCTTGAACAGGGATGCGGCTACCCTTGAACGATTGACTGGTCGCTTTTCCCCGCGTTTTGGAAGCCAAAGCACCAATTATAAAAAGCAACATGACGCGCCCCCGCAGTGCGTTCCCATCCATTTTGACAAGGGAGGCCGCTTTTAAACCCATGTACCAGAATTGCAAAAAGAGTGGCTCGACTGCGTACTGTCTTTCCAGTTATTGGCTACTGAGTCTCGTCAAGGTACATGATCTTGCGAGGAAAGGGGCTTATCGATTCGCGAGCTAGACAGCAAGCTGCTTTGATGAGCCAAGATACATTTTCGCTCAAGACGCCCAGTCTGTGTTACATTCGGCTGCCAAGCCGATTTAGGTTCTGGGAATCCGCTGCCTTGCCTTATTGTCAGTCGTTGTCGCAAGCTGTCACTGCAGGCAGGCAGCAGTTGAAGTCCGGGCATCTCCAGCCGTGCTGCCGTGCTGCCGTGCTGGGAATAATGTGGCAGTATGGGAAGAGTTTCACAAGTGAGGATGAGAGATAGTCCATGCATATGCCAGACAAAACTTCAGCACAGGCTCTTATCTGGAATTGAGCCTCCTGTAGGAAACGCCTCCATCCTTTGAAATAAAATTAAAGTGTAAGTGCATTTCGGCTCCGCATTTCGAGTGCCTGCAGTAGTAGTGCTACCTCTTTTCCCCGCACTGTTGTTTCGTTCAGAATCCTCATTTTCTCTCCGCGCGCAGCAGCAAGGATATGGAAAACAGGGGACTTGTTTTCTTGCACTTGGCTGAACTTGGCTCCTCCGCAACCGACGCCATTTTCTCCTCCTACTTTCCAACATCCAGGTAACATCACATCTGTTCCTGTCCCGACAAACTATTTCTTGTTTTCGAGTCACACGGCCTCCGCAAATGCCCTCTTAGTGATTCAGGACAGTCTCAGGGGAAGCAAAGGGCCAGTGGCGAGCAGCATCATCTTCGCTGCCCATGGCATCAATCGGACGTTCGTATGGCAAGCACGTGGATAGTGTTCGACCTCATCACAGCACCCATCACAGCTAGCCAACCATCGCTCGAGATCGTCATGTCGTATTGTTTTCCAGAACACGCTTAGAGTAGCATGGAAGGCCATAGAGTAGCATGGCATAAAATCCGCCGCTGCGTCCCTGTCTTGTCTTGTCTTGTTTTTGTCTCATCAAACTGGCGATCTTGACGTTACGCACTCCCAACCTTCGCAGCCACTCTTCGCACGAGCAGGCCAGATCCCTCCTTCTTCAACGCCAGGCTTTAGGCATGGAGTGGACTGGATCCAGGATCTCCTCCCCGTGTCCTGTCAGCCAGGAGCCGTCCTGTAACCATGGCACATTACACAACATCGGCAGAGCTGCCGATCCCGCGAAGTCTTGCTTTCCAGGAATTGTGGCTTCTTCTCCAACTTTCCTAGTTCATGCTGTACCTTCGGGGCGAGTTTTGTCTCTCTACCTGTAGCAGCGCTTGGACGAGGCTGGTATATTCAAGTCAGTCGTCGACAATCTAGGGGCGCCTCCTGGAACATGCAGTTAGCTACAGCAGGTAATCTTGGATAAACCAAAACAATCCAAAGCAATACAAATCGCTACCTTATCAGTATTTCGTACCATAAAATCTATCACATCTCAACAATTCGTTCCTCTTTCGTCTCTGGTACCCCTATTCATGTCTGTACATGTGCTTACCTGAAGTCTTTCTACGCTATATTACCGCAATATCAATAGTCAAGGTCGCATATACCGGCACTTGCTCCAGCAAATCAACACAGCAGCAAAACAAATAACGTCTGCCCCAACCACCTGTCCCCTGCTCCCTGCACCCTGCACCACGTGTGTAACCACAGGTCGAAGGAAACCGTTGCACAGCTATCTCCTTTCTGTCATTTCTCATATCCCTCATGCTACGTCTTTCAAGGCAATGCCCCGAGACCGCCGCATAACTCAGTACCCATCAAGGTATGGATCGCATACTCTGTCTGTCTATTAGAGGTGGCGAGGCTTGTGTACAGTACACCCCCTATGCTACCGGAAGAAATCTCCCATTCCAACAAGTACCGAACCAGCTGCCAGCCCACGAACCACCGTCCTCTGTGCCATCGTCTACTCTGTACGCGCTTGTACGGTCGGCGTCGGAGACCCCAGAGTCAACAGTCTGGACTAAGTGGACGTCACAATGGCATTTACGGTCTTACACAGCGTAGGCTACCCGCAGCGCATAGTGAGAACGTGATTCCAGAGGTGTGGTATGAGGTGTCACATTCCTCCTCTTCGCCCTCCCACTGTTTTCGCCTCCTCGTGTGCTGTGTGTTCACTTGTCCCAAGCCTCAAACACCGAAGCAAAGGCTAGAGGTGGATATCGACGGCGTGATTTCTTCGTGGCGTGGCATTGCTCCGTTGTCTTGCAGGAAAAGAGGAGGTGGAGATGGACGCCGTGGGGGGAGCAAGATGGTATGAGAAATGTGGACTATGGTCAATACTGTCCCAGATTTGAGTCGTGGGGGTTGACGGTGGTGGACGGGTGTTTCATGGTAAAGTAAGTATGGACGGTGTAAACCCAGTACATTTCTTATGTACCTATACGGAGTAGGTACTGTAAGGACACGTATCGTACCAAAGTTGAATTTGAGAGGTGGGCGCGGGATGACTTGAGATGTTGGAAAGTAGAGTGCGTGGTATTGTACTGTGGGGCTGTAGTATTGGAGAGGATGGAGAAGGTGCTGACTGTTACCATGGATATCAGAAACCTGGGAATACATACCATGCATACAACGTGCTGCATTTATATTGCGCCCACAGGGGTGAGAGAGGCGTGTAAGCAAGCACGTACAATTCATGTCCATTATCAGAACATCCACCTTCACTGGTTCAATTGGCAACTGTCCTCTCAAAGTCTATCCTTATGCTGTCATTATAGCCTCGGTCCACTCACTTGGTATTTTCGGTTGTTTTGTTTTCATTGAAAAGGCAATGAGTTCCCTTTTGTATCGTGAGCGAACGTGGTGATATGGATAAAGGGGATGTTAGATGAGATGTAATGGCGTGGGGATGCGTGGATATGTAAAATCTGGGCCTGATTGATGGGTATTTTATGATGACCTCAGATTGATCAGGATAGATGATTTTGGCAAGTTGGTCCTGAGATAGTGGCTTGAAGCTACCAGACAGAACTATGGAGGAGAGTAAATAGTATCCTGTAAACAGCTTGTTTACTCTCTTCCGGCTATTTTCAGGGCGGGATGTTGACTGTCCCTCCTGGTACCGATCTTCCTGTGACTCACTAAAGAGAAACTACATAGGAACCGAGAAATTCGTAAATTTTGATACTCTTGTATTTCTGTTACATCTTCTCTACTTGTTAATTATTAAAGAGTGGTAAATTCCAGCAGAATAGCCAATTACTTACTCCCTACCAGCCCTGTTCATGACTGGCTTCATGCTGTCTCTTCTCTCTTCACACTGCACCAATATCGACATCACTACGTCGCATCTTCCGTCTAGAAATCAAAACAGAGCAAATATACCTTCCTTCACGTTTTCTTCATCTCCACCCTTGCCCTTTCAATAACATCCACCCAGATCGGCGGCCGTCTCCTCCTCTCCTCTCCAACACCCTCAGCGTCAAGGCCCCATCGCAACAGATCTTCCTCAGCGCCCCACTTACCCATAGCCATCAAACCCACAGGCACACGTCCTTCAGTCTCCTCAACCGCCTCGTCACCTGCCCCTTTACTTCCCTCCGGCTTTACGTACCCAACTGGCACAGTCAGACCAGGTAATCCCAGGAAGTTCGCCATCCAGACATACTCCATCGTCTTCAGTGTCTGATTCCCATCGCTGATACCGTACTTCAGATCATCTTTATGGCCGATCTTCCAACCTGCGCAGCTCGTCGTCGGCGTGAGGATTATCATGCCCGGGTGTTGCTGCCAGAGATACGCAAGGTGCTGCATCAATAATTGCCGGAGTTTCTGAGCCAGGAGGTAATCGATGGCTGGCGTTACTGTGCCGAGAGAGATCATGATCCTGTTTGCAGAAGTGAGGTTATGCGTGACGGGGAGAAGTGTTGCTGCATCGGTCAAGACGGTCATTGCGTGTGCGATTTGTCCTTCGGAGAGGAAAGGGATGGTGATGGGTACGATGGTGTAGTCATGCACCGTGACCATCTTGTCTATCAGCGAGCGACAGAGTCTCTGGATAGCGGGTGTGCTCCGTGCGAACCATACTTCGGGGATACCCAGGACTTTTACTTTCTTGAGAGAGGGCGAGAGGATTGTTAAGGATGGAGGAGGGAAGATGGATGACGGATCAGGGGCGCCAAGGACTTGGTAGAAGCTTGTTAGAGAAGTGATATCTGAGGCGATGGGACCGTTGACGGCGCAGGTGGAGGAGTGGTTCATGCATGGCTTGAAGGAGAGACGACCGTGGGAGGGCTTGAGTCCGAATACCGAGCAGAAGGAGGCTGGGATACGTATTGAGCCTCCGCCGTCACCTCCTAGGGCGATGGGGATGAGTCCACAGGCTACAGCGTAACCGCATCCACTGGAGGAGCCGCCAGTGTAGTAATTAGGGTTGTAAGGGTTGGGAGGTGTGCCTTTGACTGGGTTGTTGCCGGATGTATCTGTGACATGTGAGTTCATTTTCCGGGATTATGAGAGGAGAGCATGGATATGGGAGCAAATCTTATGGAGAAAACTTACCCAGACCAAATTCATGCATGTGCAGCTTTCCGAAGTTGATGGCTCCAGCCTCATCCATCTTCCTCACACACCATGCGGTGATGGTCTCTCCTGGTGCAGCTTCTCCCGTGTAGTCGTTCACAGATCCGAGGCAGGTCGTATAGCCTTCGATATCATATTCGTCCTTTACAGCAGCTGGTACACCATCTAGTGGTCCAAGAGGTGCCTTTTTCTGGTAACGTAATGTCGAAGCCTCAGCCGCAGCCATAATCAGCTCAACTTTGCTGTCGAACCATCCGGCAGAATACTGGCCAGGTGGAGACGTGTCCTTCTGTATCAGAGGAAGCAAGGCTTTGGCGACAGCAGTAGGAGTCAGGTCTCCAGATAAATACATGGCTGTATAGTCAGATACAGAGTAGTACCCATGACTCGACAACGTTTTTGGTGACGGAGCAGTTGTGGAGTCAACGGCCAGGTCATCTTTGCTCTCAAACGGGGATGTTGGAGCTGTGGTGGGGACAACAGTTGGGTCATATCTAGGTTCGAAGTACTCCAGATAAGTTCGAATCTTGCGTAGGTCGCCAAATCCAGTATTACGCCAAACATTGTGGCGAACCAGCGAGATATTCTCAAGACTGTAAAAAGTGAGCTGATATCTAAAACGCGTGATATTTTGAGAGGGAATCGTACATGAGGGCTGAGATGTAGATAAACCATCCTCTCACGGCCGGATTCTCCTTTCTGTCATTCTTGTAAGGAACATCTGGACTGTTTCAAGATTGTCAGTCACGCTCGTTGCTGATGTACTCGAGGTTTATTTCTCTCTCACCCCTTCCTAGCCTCCGGATAGTTGAAGAAGCCCTTCTTATTCTCCTGCCCTATACTGGCCATCTCGCGGTGTATGGTAGCAGGTTTGCGCGTCAAGGCTATCCTTCCCGATGTAAAATGGAGAAATGATGAAAAGATGAAGCTTCTGGGACTGGGGAAAAAGGCAAAGTAGCGGTGTTTTGGTCGATCGAAATGTTTCGGGTACCTCGGCACCAGCGTAAGCTTGCGTTTTAAGGTTACAGCGATCCAAGGCTTATCAAGCGGTGGCGGATGCCTGTTTGTTTTGGCTGGGTTCCGCGTAACCTTATCGCACGACCCTTGCGTGTTAATGCTTGGCACAACCGGAAAGGGGTTGCTCGCTTAGAATGTTGTTGTGGCGTGGCAAGAGATCATCGTAAGGTACGTCGTCTGACGATCGGTCAGGTTGAATGAAACTAATGAACCATGCTATCAAAATGAATACAAAAGCCAAGCGGAGTCGGCCAATGCGAGAGTTACAGCAATCAGTCAATGCCCGAGTCATCTGTGCCCTGTGACAAAGAGTCAAAGATGCTCAGTGGTAATGAATGAAAGAAAGTTTGTTCAGAGGTCTAGCGTGATCACTTACCAAGAGGGCTCACAGGATTTCTTAGCCTCTTGACTGTCCGTAGAAGGGAGCTTTTGTCTACAACGTTTGGACTGCTTAAGAACTAAAGAGAAGCCGCAGCTTTGAGCTAGCACCAATCTTATTATACTACAATGACATGTGGAATGACACTGTATAACCTCTTCGTTGTGCACACTTGGGACATGCTAGCCAGTGATTCAGACACGTGAATTTACGGAACTTTGCAAGCTAAACTTCGGCTCAAATCAAGCAGTGAATAAAAACATGATCTGTCCTTTGTGCACCAAAATACAGACATTCTCAAGAAAGATTTAGCAGTAGAACTCAGGGTCCACTCCGCCGGTTCCATCAATTGCAGATAAACAATGACCAAGAAAAGTCTCAAAACCCACGTTGAACTTCTGATTTAAGGACTTTCCATCTCCCAAGCATCAATAACAACATAGCTGCCAGAACCTCCTTTCAATACACCAACTGCCACGATCCCGTTCAGCCATGTGTAGTTTGCATTTCCTGTCTCGAACAGAAGACGCAAATGAATCCGACCATCTTGCTTTTGTGGCCCGCTGGTCTGGCGGTAGATATTGGCTCCATCGTCTGTCTAGAAGCCGTAACGAGCATCTGGGTTGAAGATGCCGAAGTTATCGGTGACACCCCAGTCTGCTCCTAGGTCGATGATGGTTCCTTGAAAGTTTCAGATATATATATGCTCAATCAGAAACCGCGTGAGTAAAGACATCCAGTCATGAGAAGGACCTATTATGAATCGAAGTAGGATGACACGGCCTTACCTTTCATCCTTGGACCTTCGAACGTGTCGCCAATGATGGGAATAGCAACTCTTTTCCCTTTGGGACCATCACCGTACTGGATCGTTGGCCCCAAAGTCGCGTTCGCAGTATAAAGATACGTGAGCCGTGGAGGTTTTGGTTCCGTGAGGTTTACCTGTGTCAAAGCACTGGTGAGAAGTGAGAGAGTGAGGACGATCTTATATCCAAACATTCTTGACGTGATAGCGATGCAAGTTAGAAAAATTGGTGCCGAATAATGGGCGTTTGCCTTGCCACTGAATGAAACAGACGCTGAGCATACGAGCGAGTCCCTTCTTTGAATATATACTGAATGAATAGTATATTATTGTACCTGCCATTCATTTTCCTGACCTCATTGCCGATTGATGATCCCGGTGGTCGATTTTGCGGGGAAATCCTGAAGGCCTCGCTTATTCCATCATGCTCGTCCTCAGCTTCAATATGGATATCAGAGCAACAATATAGAATGACATAATAGTACTAGGATATATTGAAGAGAGTGAGCCTAAAATTTTTGGCCTGTATGAATTGCCATCTAGTACGATCCCGAGACTAAAATCACTTCCCTTCCTGAAAATGGCTCCAACTTGAAAGTCAGAGTCAACTGGACTGGAGAAAGCTATAGGAGCTGCAGATAGTGTTTGGAAGTACTTTCTGTTATTATTGATTATTTTGAGGCATGACACATGGATGGAAGGAGTTGTAAAGCCACACTTTACAAATGCCATTCCCAGTACTGAAGGGCTTCAGTTTTACATATCAAATGGATTTGCTCTCCCATAAACGATAGACACTATATGCAGAAATTGATTACATCGAAAAGACGCTCCCATTTGTCAAACCCCATCATACATACTAGTTCAAGAAAAGTCCAAGATCAGGTATGTCGTAAACAGTTCTAAGCCATTTTTGTTTGTTGCCACCAACTAAGCGAGAGTCCTCTGATAAGTGGGCAATCTCGGGGTGGACCGCCTCGAGATTCGTGACCAATCATATCTGAGCAGTGACATCTTTTTGCGAATGTCATCGTAGGCGAATGCTTGTTTAATATTTCAATTATAAGAAGTCATCCGCTAATTTACTCTGCTCTGCCAGTTCTCTTTTTCAATCCGAACAGGGTATCAACCACTACTGTATACCTTTGATATCGTCTATACCCTGGTCGACTGATGTCTATTTGTTTCCGCCGTATAGTAAGTTCGAGTTCTAGATCTCAAGAAGTCTTTTCAAGGTATCAAATTACTGAAGCTAACGAGTTCAAGGGTACAACCACTCTGAGAAGCCACACAGCTAGCCTCTCAAAGCCGGCGAGATTCCGCTTCATTAGTTCAATGCCTGGAACTATCGCCATCAATGGCGACTTGAACAATATTTCGGTCTTGCGGCAAGTGGAGCAGATAGTGGTGGATCCAGCTTTCTCTCACAGGTCCCTCGCTATCACAGAAGAAAAAGATGATGCAGACGTGCGGAAGACGTATAGACCATTTTTACTCGATGAAGAAGTAACATCGAGTGACTGGATCAGCAAGCTGGAACTGAGTACCGCTATCAAATTAGCTGAGGCGGACTTGGCAGCCACGGGTGAGAGGTTAAAGGTGTTGGTGCTGTATGGAAGTCTGCGGTCGAGGTGAGATCTGAAACCCTTACCCGGAAGCCCGAATTTTGGGATTATTCGAAGAGGGGTTTCTTCAGGGATGGATGTTGACTGAAAAATCTAGGTCTTACTCCAAACTACTTGCATTTGAAGCTTCACGGATCCTCTTCAGATTAGGCTGCGACGTCCGAATCTACGACCCAGCAGGTCTCCCCGTGAAAGACGACGTCCAGCATAATCATTCCAAAGTCCAGGAACTCCGAGACCTGAGCAGGTGGAGCGATGGCCAAGTGTGGATATCACCTGAGCAGCATGGCAACTTGGTGAGCTCCATTCCATGTCTTTCTCAAGGGAACCGACACACGACCTAAGCAGAGAGAACACTAACAGAATCTAGACAGCAGTCTTCAAAAACCAAATCGACTGGATCCCCCTCTCCGTCGGCTCCGTCCGGCCAACCCAGGGCCGCACCCTCGCCATCGCCGAAGTCTCCGGCGGCTCTCAGTCCTTCAACGCCGTCAACTCGCTCCGCATCCTCGGCCGCTGGATGCGCATGTTCGTCATCCCGAACCAATCTTCCGTTCCTCAAGCCTACACGCAATTCACGTCTGAAGACGACGAGGCGGAAGGAGGCAGTAGGATGAAGCCCAGTGGGAACCGGGACAGGATCGTGGATTGTATGGAGGAGTTTGTGAAGTATACGATTGTGATGAGGCCGCATTTTGGGCTGTTTTCGGATAGGTTTAGTGAGAGGGAGGAGAGGGCTAGGAAGGCGGAGGTGGAGAGGGAGACGGTGGAGAAGGAAAAGGAGAAGTTGGTTGTCGAGCAGAATGTTCCGATGTAGACACTGGTGCCAGTGCTAGACAATTCATTTTGGGTTCTGACAGGACAGAATTATACAAGATAGATTTGAGGCTTAGGACGCTATAGATGGAGCTTAGATACTGTAAGCTGAGTAGCATAGCACACCCCTACCAGTGACTTGATGCTCTCAGCACTGAAGCAAACAGCTCTTCTCGTTCCAATTTTAAGTGCGTTTTTCTGATAGTACGGCGACTAGGAGACGACGAAATGAATAGCATGCATACGATCCTATACACGATTCAGCCCCATTGTAGTCTCTTGGGCCAAAATCAAGCCGTCCACACGATACTTATCGTCACGATAGTTTACCGAAGGCTCAAGAGGCAAACAAAGTAAGATCTCGTAGTAAACATTCATATTCCTTCATGTATGTCCACTCTGCTCCTCCCACCCACATTATATACATTAGATTCTATGTAACTACTATAACGACCAGCCTCGACCAGCTGCTCTTCTCAATGTACAAAAATCGTGATATCCAAGAGCTAGCCGGCCGAAAGCTGAGGAGGGTATCCTAACAATAAAAGGGTTGTAGCGAGAGGCTAAAATGTCGTTCTGCTACGATGCGCTGCATGCGTACATGCAAGCCAGATGCAATGATAAGGAAGCAAGGAAGGAAGGGTATAAAGACGGATCCGCGCTAGGATCCGCGTAAATGCAAATGCAGATGCGAAATGCCAAAGTGTTGTATGTGCGCAATGCGAAGAGGTCGAATATTTAAACACAGAAACCTTTCGTTTGAGGTCGGAAGGTCGTGTGAGATTGCCGAAGTGGAATGGCAGTCCTTTTATGATCATGGTCGTCGATGTCGAATTCTTCGTCACGTATTCGAGCCAGCCCACTCTTTACATCATCATCAGTCGAGTCGTTCTTCGTTCCATCCTGTTGGTTCCCTGCCCGCCAGTACCAGGGCCGAGGAATCTGGGTTGCGATTGGGCCCTACGGAATGCGTCTCGTTCGCAATATACGCGACCGTTCATTTCAAAATAGTCGTGTCGAAGAGTTCGTCTGCAATCTGCGCATGTCAAACAGGCAGGGTGGAACTTCTCCTTCCGTTCGCTTTCGAGGTACTGTCCTTCGATACCTCTGTCACAGGTTGTACAGACGCTGCCGTTGAGTTTGTGGTAGTGGCGTTCACAGTATGGTGAGTCGTCCATTACGTAGAATGTTGCAGTTTGGAAGGGTTCCGAGCAGGTTTTGCAGACGAAGCAATGCTTGTGGTATCTTCCAGTAAGGCGTCCATCTGCAGACGATACTGACTTTCCCTTAATTGCCTCACCGCACCCTTTGCAATTTCCTTTCGAAGTACCTGGGCGACTGCCAGTGTTAGGCCGGTTGGCGGTCGTTGGTCGGTTGGCGGTTGATGGGCGCTGCAGTGTTGGTTGTTGACGTTCGCTTCGTAGTGGTGAGAGTGAGCGACTTTGGGTCGGTGGAGCTGGAGATAGGCGATCAAATTGAATTGCAGGATCCATCGGTGACTCGGGAGATTGCATTGAGGGGGCAAGGCTTTGCTGCGGCTGTGGTCGAGCATATTGATTTCTACTCCTCGGTGGCGAGGCACTCGAGGACATCTTTCTGGGCTCCAGGTTGGACATGGACGACTGTAAATCAGCCATCAAAGAGTCTACCTTGGTAGCATCTGATGGTTGGCGACGTGACCTTGGTGGACTCGACCGGGAGCTGGCCTTGCTCTGGTCGCTATATCCTGAGGCATTGGAGGACGAGGATTCAGTCGGGGTGTGATATGGATTTCCAATTCCAAATTCTGCAGCGAGGTTGAGATTGCTTGGTACCGGTGGTGCATCACCAAGTCTTGCATCTACTCGTGGTCGTATTAAACTGACACCTCGTGGGGGCGGAGCTCTTGTGAGATCCGGGCCTGACATGGAAGGTTTCCTCCTTTGTCTCGCTGGCGATGTTGATCGATCATCATTCAGGCCTGTGTCATTAGATGGTCTTCGTAGACGGGGTTCTGATGGTCGTCTGAAGAAGCCGTCTTGACTCTCGTTCGCCAAGGGAAAGGTTTGAGATCTGCTCTCTTGCGTGAGAGGTTCTCTCTGAATGTCATCCCCCAAAGGTGGTCCGAATCCACCATAGCCCTGTTTTCTTGGGACCCTTGGTGCCATGATCCCAGACCTTGACCCATTCGAACTATTGGTTGATGTTCGAGAGTGGCCTGGCGGTCCAGCTGTAGATGGTCGTTTTATGCTTCCTCCAATTTCCGCCGTTGCAGACGACATTGTGGCATCTGCTAAACTTCCACCAGTTCCATTTCGGCGATGACCTGGTCCAGCTGGTGGACCACTTGGCTTCCTTCTTCCATCAAAAGGGCCTGGAGCAATGGTATTCATCCTCTGTAAAATCCCACCACTTGTTGCTGTCCTTGGACTGACAGGTGCATACATCGAATCTGGTTCCGCATACGTCCTTCCCATCCCGTCATATCCACCTCCTTGTTTAGGTTTCTGCGATCCCGTCTTCGTACCAGGGAATGGCGGAAATGCACTGTCAAGATTGGACGATAGTAGTTCGGGCGACGGCGGTGTTCGATGTATTGGAGCAGTTGCGCTTCGCAAAGGTCGCATATACGGTGATCTCTGCCCATCACTCATAGGCGACACACTTCGAGACGGTGAAGCGCTCACTGGGGTCAACTCGTCCTGTGGAATGAATGGTCGGTCTGAAAAGATTAGCATTCTGCTAGTATTGGGGGCGAAATCTAGCGTACTCGCAACACCAGTATCGACTCTCGGTGGAGGCGCTCGCCCAGGCTTCAAATAGCTCGGGCCATTCGTTGCATTCTGTTTATATGGCATCCTATCGAAGTTGCCGTAGCTATCTGGCGGAGGTGTTGCTGAGCATATTAGCCAAACAGTCATTTTGTTCTACAGCTCAAAACTCACGTTCACCTGCCATCGTTGGTACAGGCGGGGCGCCGCATACATGATCTCCCATGTGGGAGATCTCGATATCCTGGGCGCACATAGAACATTTTATCGTCGGTAAAAAGCTCGAAGCTCTCTCGTTGTATGCCATCCTTCAAAGTACTTTCTACCTCCAGCCCTTCTTTCATAGATTTGTGGTGTTTATGAATACATGTGCAGCCACCAGAATCGAATCGGGCGGTGAGTGTGAGGTCGAAAGGTTATGATCCAAAGCCTGCTGGCGTGTTTGTCTGTTGTTTCCAGGTAACTCTAAGATCTACCAAATACGAGGATGTCATGGAACTCAATTCTAGAAGGTTATCACCAGCTTCGCGGTGGCAGATCAATCGGGAGTGTTGAAGGGTTTGTCCTGGTTCTTTTCGTGCCAATGGAGGGGAAGTCGGAAACGCTATTCGAGGAAGGGCGGTTCTAGCAGATTGATGTGTTGCGATACAGGATGACTGCTCCCAAGGCCAGCTGGAACGGTAGTGACAGTGAGCAAACAATGGCGGATTCAGACAAAGCTTTGCTAGAGAGTCTCGTGGGCGCGGAACTGGAGTTGAATGTTAGAGAATCGTCTCGGGGTTCTGGATGGGCTCGAGGGTGGTCGTGGTTGGGGTTGAACTACCTTACCTTTCGTTACCTTACAGAAAGGAGGAGCCCTGTGTCATTTACCCCTGTACCTGTACTGTAATATGCGAGGGAATATGGCTGGGCCGGGGAGGCCCTGTCACTTTTCAGTGGACCACGCTCGGGAGTCGGGACAGTTCGAGATTCAGGGGGCGGTGATAGGCCGAAGGGGGCACGGAGCTGTTTGGTCGTTTTTGTGGGTGCTGTGCTGTGCTGTGCTACTGTATGGTGCTGATAACAACCTAAAATGCGATGGATGCTCTGCTCGTTGCTACTGTGCCGGTTGAGTTGAGCGTGAGTGCTTCTCCCTGATGCCGCAATAAAGACCATCTGCCACATTGCACATTGCAGGCCCAGATTTGAACTTTGTACCTTAGGTAAGGTAGGTAGGTACTCCTTCACTTCCTCAAGTCTCGGCTCACTAAGGTAAGCTCACTAAAACTCCAGGGTCCACAGCGTCAATAATCATTCATTCAAAACATCCACTAACAGAGCAGTGAGCACACCCTCCGGCCGCCGAGGCGTCACTTCGCAAAGGCTGCTTGCCCCCAAAAGAGCCTAGAGATAGAGTTACGGTGGAACCCATGCATCTCCAGAATATCAACGAGACACCGCCAGACGGCCCAGCACTCACATCTGCCGCCTGCCTGAGGTGTTTTCGCACTGATTCAGGCAGTCTACGGCACGATGTCTCACTCCTAACAGTTCACGCCGCTGATAGTGGCTGATGTCAATAATGTGCTTCTGCACCTTTTGAAGTGGTCACTTAAGGTGTTTTCGTTGGCAGAGCAGCAGCTGCCCCCATACTACTTCTGATGTGCCGTGCAGTGCGTGCACCCAAATTACAACCGGGTTACTCAGGCTCCTGAGGTCGTATTTACTCCGGCGCAAGAGTGGTTCTCACATCAACAGCGTCCCGTCGTTATCTTGTCCGTCTCCTTCGGCACAGTAGTAGTAAATTTACTGTAGCCCTCTCCTCTACAGTAGTAGTAGCGACGGGCTCGGCGGGAACCATTCATGAACCGAAATTCCCTGTGCCTGACTGCGCGAACCTAAAATTAAGCTGCGGCGGCCTCTACGGCCAATAATGGCGTCAACTGGGTCTCCATCCATCCTGATTCGGTCACGACAAACAATTTCCCGCACCGTCCGTGAGCCCCTGATCTTCGAACAGCAGCCAAAAGAGGCTGCCTCATCTCTGTAAAAAGAGGATCACCCGCCACAGCCTCAAAGAACCTTCCATGTCGAGTTTAACCACGGCCAAAGGGCCAGTTCAGTAGTAGTGAAGGTCAATAATCGGCAGTCATGAGCCACCAGACAGGGACATGCTAAAGAGAGACATAGCATCGTGGCGACTCGACGATCTCTAAGATTGACTTCCTCTGAATGTTAAAGAGGGTTTGTTTCATAAAACATCCAGCATCCTACTGTAACGCCAGCCAGTGGCATCCATGGCTTGCAGCTCTCCCCAGACGCACTGCTTACATCGATGATCTACCCCCCTCATGATCATGTCTCAATCCCCTACCAACTGATGGCAACTGCGCGCGATCGAAGGAAGGAGTGGAAGCGCTCACGATCCGGCCATCTGGTCGCCGCCCACATGAGGCATCAAACGTTTTACTTTTCTCGCTCAACCCTTGCTCCTGGTCGGGTCTGATCAGAACGTCAGAAGATGACTTGCATGGCGCCTGGACGTTCATTCTTTCAGTCGTTCGCTCATCATCGTTTAAAGCTGTTTACCAATGAGAAGCCCTCTCGCAAGCAACCTCGTTTCTGCAACACGGATGTCTGAGCGATGTTTCTACCGACCGCATGAGGATGAAATACTGCGAATCTGGGATTATTGCGAGAATCGAAATTATGTTTACGCTTGATGCTTGAAAGTCGGTCATAGGCTAGAAAAAAATATCTCACATCGTGCCGTTCATCTTGGAAGGCTAAGGTTCCGCTGTCATTGGTAGCATATTTTTTCCCGTAAGATTGGAACTTGTCACTTGGGACCAGTCACGATCTCGGCACCCGATTGACATCTTGCTGCGACTCGGCGGGTGAAACAGTGAATTACTTCTAGACCAAGCACTTTGAAATTGATAAGAGTGGCAGATAAGAAGTTGCAATCAAGATGGCTCGTGACATGACGAACGATGTTGACACTGGACAACCTGTTGTTGCATGGGCCAGGATGTGGATAGCTGCTGGCGCAGGTCTGCAGGAGGTAAGCGAGTACCGTTCATGGCCAGAACTCGGGTACGGAAATTTGAGCAATTCGGAACATCTGGATAAATGCTCAATGTGACGCTGAAGAGCCTCCAGGCTGCAATGTCTAATGCTTGAATGGTTATTGAGACGGAATTGTGTTCTATTCCATGCCTGGGAGCGGACAGACATTGATGCCTCCTGCAACAAGTACCGAAAAACCATTGATGATGACGGGAGTTGAGGATTCAGTTGCCAACTGATCTAGCTTTCCGCATCGCGCTCACATTTGTCCGCTTGAACTTGCGGTGAGGTTTCTAGACCAAGTCTGGCCAAGGGTATCTAATCTTCACGAGTTTGGCGCTCACCTACAGGACGCTACGGAAGAAGTCGTTGATGAGGGTTGACCTGACCGCCATTTGAAAGATAAAGACTAGAACACGTGACGCTTCATAATACTCACTGTATTTGAGAAATGGTAAAGTTAGACCAGGGAATCGGAAGCTGAAAAAGGAGATGACGACGACTTGATGATTCTATTGCAAAAGTCAACAAGAACCAGGGAGAACGGATGTGGAGACAAGTGAACGTGAACTGAAGGTAGTTGAACTGGAGCGGAAGCTCGGAATAGGGGTCAAGCTTTTCAATGCTGGGGAGAGGCGTGAAAACCATCCCGAGGTTTGGCACAATTTCGCATTTTGTCGTCTGAGAAGGACCCCGCCTTCTGGCTGTTTTAATCGCAAGCATTTCTGCAGCCTTGTAGATAGTACGCTGTCTAACTGTAGGCCGTTTCTTCCCTTGGTTGGATACGGGAATGAGAGACAATGTACTCCATTTGTTTGAAGACATTACACAGAGATCTATCACCTCTCCATCTTTTGGTACCTCCACATGCTGTGTTCCCAGGGGTTGCGTCGGATTCGTCCGGGTGCAACAGCGCACAAGACAGCTGCATGTCCCTCACTAAACCTCTTTGAGCTCCTTGTACAGCGAATGGCGGGCTTATCGCACTGGGAATCCAGGCACAAGAGCTGCCCCTCCACGCTGATTAGCATGCGTAGTGGGGCAGCGCAGGTGCTGGTGCTGGTCTACCGTACCGCCTGCCGAGCTGTCGTCCCAACTTACTTCGTATCTCATCCTTCCCTTCCATTTATATATCTGCCTAGCCCCCCCTTCGCTCTTCGCTCTTCGCTCTTCTCTCTTCTTTCCTCACCCACAACAGTCAGAAAAATCACCTTTCAAACCCAAACCAGACTTCAACCTAACCCAAATTAACCATTTCGATTACACTTACGAGTGTAATCACCACAACCGTCAAGACGTTTTCCAATCTCCTTAACTCGTAAGACTCTGCTTTTGTTTACTTCAATCGATCGATCGTGATGGCGGATGTGTACGGATGGAGGCTATCGCGCCACCTCTTCGCCCCTTCCTCTTTCAACCTCATTGATTCTCTCTTGGGCATTCACTGATCCGTTCCTTCCAGGTCTCATCACCCCTTCAACTCAGCCCGCTGCTCTCCTTCCGGTGGAGCGTCGGACTCTCCATTCACTCGATAAATACTCTCCTTCCTAACTTCGAACTCCAAATTTCTTCTACTCCCAAACATCAACAAACAACTCTTCCAATTCGCACTCCTACAACAATCACTATCATACCATAATTCTTTGCGATTCACACACTTGCACACTCTCTCAATCACTCAATAAATATCTATCGAAATCATGGCTCCTCACGCTGATGATACCTCTGCCTGCAACAATGGCTCCTACCCAGCACCAACTTCCTCCAACGCCGAGTTGTTCACAGTCTCCTCACCAAATGTCGTCTACTCCGACAATGAGATTCGTTCCAAGTACTCCTACCGTACCACTCTCATTACGGAGTCTGGAGATGGCAAGTTCGTTGCTACTCCCAAGGAGACCGTCTATGACTTCAAGGTTGATCGCAAAGTTCCCAAGACCGGTATGATGCTTGTCGGCTGGGGTGGTAACAACGGTACCACAGTCACTGCTGGTATCATTGCCAATCGCCGTGGTATCACCTGGGACACCCGTGAAGGTCCTCGTGCCGCTAACTACTATGGCTCCCTTGTCATGGGCTCTACTGTCAAGCTTGGTACCAATGCTCAAACCTCCAAAGATGTCAACATTCCCTTCCAGAACATACTTCCAATGGTTCACCCCAATGACCTTGTCATTGGTGGTTGGGACATCAGCGGTATGAACTTGGCTCAAGCCATGGATCGTGCTGCAGTTCTCGAGCCAACCTTGAAGGCCCAGGTCAAGAAGGAGATGGTTCAGATGACCCCTCTTCCCAGCATTTACTACCCTGACTTCATCGCTGCCAACCAGGAGGATCGTGCCGACAACATCCTGCCAGGTAGCAAGGCTTCCCTTGAACACGTCGAGAAGATCCGCAAGGACATCCGGTATGTACTCCATCCGCTCACTCCCAAGGCTGCTCTGAACGTTTGCTAACCCCTCTCAAGTGATTTCAAGGCCAACAATGGACTCGACAAGGTCATTGTTCAATGGACTGCCAACACTGAGCGCTTTGCTGAGTTGATTGATGGTGTCAACGACACCGCCGATAATCTCTTGAAGGCCATTGAGAACGGACATGAGGAGGTTGCCCCATCCACTGTCTTCGCTGTTGCCTGTATCCTCGAGGGTGCTCCCTTCATCAACGGCTCCCCACAGAACACCTTCGTCCCAGGTTGCATTGAGCTCGCCGAGCGTCACAACGCCTTCATTGGTGGTGATGATTTCAAGTCCGGCCAAACCAAGATGAAGTCTGCTTTGGTTGACTTTTTGATCAGCGCTGGTATCAAGCTCACCTCCATTGCCAGCTACAACCATCTTGGCAACAACGATGGCAAGAATCTCAGCTCTCAGAAGCAATTCCGCTCCAAGGAGATCTCCAAGTCCAATGTCGTCGATGACATGGTTGAGGCAAACTCTGTTCTCTACAAGCCAGGAGAGCACCCTGATCACACCGTCGTTATCAAGTACATGCCAGCTGTTGGTGACAACAAGCGTGCTTTGGACGAGTACTATGCTGAAATCTTCATGGGCGGTCACCAGACCATCTCGTAAGTTCCTTCTTTCTCGCACCCACATCACCTGCTAACAAGTCTAGTCTCTTCAATGTCTGCGAGGACTCTCTGCTCGCTTCTCCATTGATCATTGACTTGGTCGTCATTGCTGAGATGTTCACTCGCATCCAATGGAAAGCTGCCTCTACTGATGGTGCCACCACCAAGGAGTTCAAGAACTTCCACAGCGTCCTCAGCGTCTTGAGCTTCATGCTTAAGGCTCCATTGACTCCTCCAGGAACTCCTGTCATCAATGCTCTTGCTAAGCAGCGCAGTGCGTTGGTCAACATCTTCCGTGCTTGTGTTGGTCTCGAGCCCGAGAATGACATGACCCTTGAGCACAAGCTGTTCTAAATGCTGAGCTTGTTCGGAGCTGGTTCTTTCTGGGATCTGGTTTCTTCTCGGGATTACTAGTTTGAGCTCGTGGTGCGTCGTTGGGGGTTGATGGGAACTACTAGGCTCATGGGTGCGTTACTTTCTGCGCGGTCTACTCCACGGCGATAAGTGCCATGCATTCGTTCTTTAGACTCATACAATAATGAAGCACAATTGTTCTTCACAATCTCCTTCTAACTCGTTGATGTGATCTTGATATTTCGCAATTTAAGCCCAGGATGGTTGGGTTGGACGATCCGGTACAGGCGAGCTTTATTCACTTGGCTTTCTTTCATTCACATGCCACACTTCTCACCACACCCTTAAAATCATCCCAACTGTCAATCCACTATTCAACAGCAGTCCGTTCAATCCACAATGAAGAACTCGTATCCATCAGTACAGTCATTCTACAAGAGGGAAGTACAAGCAGAGAAAGAGCCGGCTGCAGATGCTGCTCAAGTCAAAGTTGGTGACGGCTTCACAGAGGAGGAGCTTTCTGATGCGCTCGACCCATTGAGCCGCAAGTGGGATCCAGAACGAGAGTACGAAGAGTTGAATATCGTGCAATTGATTCCTGGTCCTCGTGCTGTAACGTTCGTCGGGAGGATCGTGAATCTGGCGACATTCTTTGGCCACACCCCGAAGCAGCCCAGAGCAGCAGGCTTCCATTCTTTGATTGCTAAAGATGACTCTGGAGCTATTTCAGTTAGCGAAAAATCTCTTACAGTCTGGCTCGATGCTAACAGTGTCTCCATAGATCAAATTGTACTTCGCGCGCGATCAATACCCTCTTAGAATCGGTCAGCTCCTCTCCCTCTGGACGCTCTTCATCTCCGACACCTCCAAGATCGGCAGCAGCATTGTCAGTGCCGTCAGTGTCTGCGCCAACATGTTCCCCGGCCGCGTTACTTCCGACCATATCATGATCCATACCACCGGTAGCACTGATGGCATCTGCCGCACTCCTCTCGAGTACAAGAAGGGCCACCCTCTGCCCGGTCTCATGACGCTGGATACTTGGCTAAAGGGCGGGCACGACGGTGTCACCGGCGCAAAGATCCTCGTCTGCGTGAAGAGTCTCGGGGGCCGCAAGACCATTAAAAGGAAAGATGGCGCGGAGAGCGACCTAGCTGACGTCGGACTCTTCGACCATACCGGTGAAGTGCGGATGACGCTGTGGAACTCGCAGATCGATTCCTGCAAGGACTGGCAGCCTGGAAGTACCATCCTCTTACTGTCCAACCCAGGCTACAAAGTCCAGTTTTCCGGTAAAGGAAGCGTGGGCATTACGCACCAGACTATGATTGATGTCGAGCCTGACTTTCCCGATGCGGATTGGCTGCGGAAATATGCGGCGGGTTTGATGAAGAAGGAGAGCTTGAATGTGGCTTGGCCGGAGGGAGTGTGGGATGTGGAGGCTGCGGAGTATGGGGTTGTGAGGATGCTGTTTACGCTTGCGGAGTTGGATCGATGGTTTGTTTACTTCTTGTCCCCCTACCCCTTGCTATGTGTGGCGCGGAGTGTTTCGAAGAGAAGGAGCTGATATAAATGTGACTAGGGTCAGATCGGATGGTAATCAGACGTTTACGGGTATGATTAATGTCACTATCATGGAAATGTCTCTGGTCTCGCTGCATAGAAGGAATATGCTCATGTGTGCTGAATGGTACGTACTTCTCTCCTTACTCCTCCTTTTCCCATCTCCAAATCATATGCATGAGCCGCCAGACCTGACCCATTTCTTTGATATCCTCAGCTGCGGCGTGCCAATCTACTCCAACAGCCTCTCAACTCCTTGCCGCAACTGCTCCAAGCCTCAAGAACTCTCCCTCAACCCTCGCATAATCGGCACTCTCCTCGACGAGACGGGCTCCATCGCACCAGGCAAGCTCCTCTGGAGTACCCGTGCTTGGGAGATGTTGTTCGGGAGAAGTGTGGCTGAGGTTACGAGGATGACCGGCGAGGAGGTTAGGTTGTTTGAGCAGAGGGTTTGTTGGCTGAGGTGTCATCTTGTTGTTGGGTGGTCGGTGGAGGTTGGGAGACTTGGGGTGTTGGGTGTGTTGATGTAGATGGTGAGGTGAATGCTCGGTGGAATTAGTGAGGGAGTGTGTGTTGTTTTTTGCTTGGAAGCTTGCTGATACATATTGCGGAAGAGAACGGTTCTCGGATGATGTTTTGACATTTGGCTTGGCGTTCTGCTATTTACTGACTGTTTATCTGCTCATCCTGCCTATATCTCTGCTACTTCACATTATACCCAGATTACTTTCTTATCGAGGTCCTTCTCCTGTACATCACTCCCAAGCTTGATGCTGGGAGTGTGACTTTCTAGCCAGAGCATTTGCCCGTATGCTGTTCATTGTCCTCGTTTCAGCGATAAACCCACTTACCTGCTCAAGTAGTTAGCATTCTATCTAGATATTATCATCAAAAAAACTCGTACAAACTCGTCCAAAGATACATCTTCCCAATAGTTACCTTCCAGACTAAACACTCGGCCACTTATAATCCATCCACTCGGTCAACGTTTCATTCCAAGCCCCACTCCCCAACATAACATGCACCCAAGCATCCACAAACGCCTTCCAAACCACATCCCTCCCCATCATATACGCCAACTCCTCAAAATTGAACGGCTCCCCCGGATTCACAATACACAACTCGCCCGGATGCAACTTCAGCTGCAGCTCCACCTCAATCAGATCCGAAATCATCGCATCAGCCGTCCCATCCAGCACAGCTTCATACACCGCATTATTATCCTCCACCAGAACAATCCTTGCGCTCTTCAGGTTCGCCACATCGAAAGTGTAGTTACTCCCACCTGGGTTGACGACCACTTTCACACCGGGCTGATCAATGGTGGATAAGGACGTGTATTTTGAAGAGTCAGAACACCTGATACAACCCGTTTTGCCGACTCGTTGGATAGCAGTAGAGAAGAATGCTGAGCGGGAGCGTGCGAGAGTGAGACTTACTCCACCCATTGCGATGTCGAATTTTCCAGCTGCTAGATCGGTAGTGAGGTTCGCCCATGCTGTTTGGCCGAAGCGGACGGGGTTGGGGAGGCCGAGGGCGTTGGAGAGGGATTGCGCGGCGGTGATGTCAGCGCCAATGTAGGTTGTGTTGATGGCTGTTGTGTTTGTACTGGGGAGGGCGGAGGTATTGGTCACGAGGTAGGAAAAGGGCTTGTAGTCGCCTGTGGTGCCGACTTTGAGGTAGCCTCTGGTGAGGATTTGGTCCAGTTGGCTGGTAAGGTTTGTGTATGATAGGGTTGGTGGACTGCTACTTAGGATGTCAGCTCTGGGCTCGTTGTTTGCGATTCTATGAGTTTGAGCCAACAAAACATAACTTACGGGATCCATGGCTTCAAATCTTCGAATGGAGAAGCACTTACTCCAGGCATTAGAGCCTGGAGGAGCCCATATACCAGTACACAATTAATGGATAGCTTCAACATCTCGATGCTTTTAGACTTTGGCTGATATGTATAGACTCGACGATAAACCTTACGGGATGATGTCGTTGTACTTATATTGTAGTGAACATCCCACTTCTGTCCCTTAACAAAATCCTTAGCTCACGAATGTGAAAAGGTTGAAAAGCGGGGTTGTTCTTACTCATCTGGGGCGCCGAGGATTGATTCGGGATCGGCTTTCTGAATTATCAAATACCATGACCGTTGATTGAGATGCATTAGAGCTGCCGAGATTGATGAGGCACATTTTTTGTTTACTTCTGTCGCCTACTGATGTTTTGAAACATCGGCTAAGCGAGCGGTTGGATGAAACAGTCCGTCGTCCCGAAAACTTAGGATTAAAGGCATGAGAGTCATGTCGTCACTTTTCTACTCCGCTACCAAACTAGCCGTAAATTTCCTTGTCATCAATGGGGTTGGACGACCCATGAGTATTGATTTACTGATTCGAGGGTAGATGAAGAGCGCAACCGGCTGAAGAATGTTGCTAGGACTTAGCAAGCTCCACTCAGGGGCTTGTCGAGCCGTGCCAACTGCAACTGGTTTGGATACCTTGGCGCATGGATTGCTGACCAATCATCACGAGATGGGAAGGCTTCTAATTTTACTCTGATTAAGGACTTCTTCAATATCATCATTCTCCTCGAGCTCAGTGTCTTGATGTGGAAGAGAGGGAGGGAAGAGGAATCTCCAAAAAAGAAAGGATGAATCTTAAGCGCAAAGCAGTTCCAGGGTAGTCCCCGAATCGAGAAGCTCGGTGCATCTTGACACGGAATGCACTTGCAAGGCTAGTATTCCTGCTAAAAATCTCGACGTGCAACAAAAGGAGATACGCGAGTCAAAGGAGTGCTAAAATGATGATGCCAGGTGAATCTTATTGTTCGTGATATCGAGGGATCAAGCCAGAGATGAGTTTGCGGTGGGCGTCTCTCGTGCTTACAAGACATGAGAGTACTGTTGATCTGGGATCCTCGGACATTGCGTTGTTAGTGAGCAATTCACAAGCTCTAGAACATATTTCCCAGCATTACTTTTTGGTATCTCATCAATTATCTTGAAAGCAAGAGAACATCCAGACTTATGGGTACTAGTAAGCATTACTTCCAGACAAACTACCGCATGAAAGTCATGGAAAATAGTTCCCGGACTTTCCGGATCAAACAGTAGACTTTACTAAGCAGCTACTCGATTGGACAGATTGAATTCAAATACTATAATCGTAACCTGAAAACACTGAATACCGGGGGCTGTCCTACTTAAACAATCATATTTGTATTGTAATCAAGATGCATTTGCGCCCGCGAAGCTGTGATTCGTGCACACCAGCTTACGAGGCTCCACCAGCACTGCAGTTCGACACAACAGAGGAAATGGATGTAGGTGAGTTACAAAGATATGAAGACTATGATGAACTAAACTTACTAAAGCAATCGAGCCGCCATTTCGAGCTTGCCGATTTTAGGTTCTGTTGGGACAGAAACATGCCTTTAATCAGAACACAATCCACTTCCACCTCCGCAACACCGATCATCACTCACCGTGGACCCTGGGATTCCCATTCGCGACAGTACCAAACCTTGCGATTTATTGAGAGATATCTCGATACATTGGATGCAAGCAAACTGAAAAGCACACCCTGTACCACTTTCTTCTCTCCTAAAGCAGTCTTCCATGACACCAAGGGCGATGTCTATCTCTCAGGTTCCCACATCTGGGAATGGATGAAGAGACTATTCGCACCTTTCGAATCAGTCACGCATGAGATTGTAGAAGTGAGGGTGATTCCGGAGGCTGAAGGCCATGCTGTTGTGTATGGAGAGTTGGTTAGGCATTTTAGGATGAAGGGTGATAGGACGGATATCGTGTCTCCCATGTTCTGCGTCATTACGATCGGCCAAGCTGAGGTCGGTATTATTTTCTATTTTCGGATTGCCACTGGCTTGTTTTATGAGGGGCAACAGACTCTAGAAAGAATCCCAGGGAAGAAAGAAAGTTAGTCACTGACAAATTAAACAGGGCGAGGGTGGGATTGATGGTATGCAAATCCATGAAGCAAGTGTATTTTGGGACACGGGTATTCTCTCTCGTCACGTGAAAAGCAAGGAGGAAGAACAGAAACGACGACGTTAAGAGATCGAGACAGAATTGAGTTGGATACTCCTGCGAGCGTATGTGGAACTGCATTCGGATTTGGATGGGTTGATTTTGACTTTTTAAATGACCCAGCGGCTTCGAGTATATGTTCCGACCTAGTTTGTCAGTGTGCCGAATGATACCCCAGAATGATCTTAAACTCGTGTCTCACTTGATACTTCTAGTGCCACTCCCTAATTCACTCAAAGAGAGCAGTTCGTGATTTCCGTGAGAATTCCCAGCCAAGGGACCGTGGCCTCCATCCCCTAAAGAAAAAGTATGCACGGCTCCGGAGTTGAACTTCAGTAGAGCAGTAATTTGAATCAAAACGTCAAAAAAAAGGGTTTTACCGATTACCAGATTCGAACTAGCGACCTCATCATGTCCTTGTAATACAAGTGATGCGCTCTACCCCTGAGCTAAACCGGCGTGTGTCCACGTGTTGTTGGTGAAATCTGTTTATTTCGTTATCTGGATGGAGCATTGAAAATTTGCGCGTTTGTGGAGCCGTGATTTTGCCGTAGTTAAATGGGGAAAGAAACGTGATTGACGATGAGGGATCCATTTGTGGAGACAGGCCAGAGGAAGATTGCAGGGGGCATTGGAAAGAGGACAAAGCATGCAGGACAGCGTTGAGCCTGAATATGGTTCACTTGTAGATATCCCATAGCATAGTATCTGGAGCGAAAGCTACTTTGCTTTGGGCATTCAGAATAGAAACAAAATCAGAAAGAGATACACGAGGAAAATATCTTGATGCAGGAACACAAAACATCTGTAAATTACAATCCATCCTCCAAACCTGATCCGCTCATTACTTCATAGCAGCTGTGTTCGGTGCAATCCTCATAATCCACATAAAATCCAGGTATCCATAACTCCATAAACCAACATGAACCGTCTAAGCCATTGCAGCAGTAGGCGCTCTAGCACGCTCCAAATTTCTTCCAGCACCAGTCTTTTTTCCTGCACCAGGTCGAGCAAGTGTATACTTGGCAAATGCACGAGCGAGAGCCTTCTTACAGCTGACCTTCTGGCTTCCAACGAAAGAGTCAATCGTGACAGCAATAGCGCGATCAACATCCTGAGAGGAAACATAGTCTGAGAGACGCATGCGGCAGAACGCTTCACTGATTCTCATGATAGCTTCGAGATGACGGATCTAGACAAGTCAGTTGTGATTGTGGAACTCACACTGGAGTATCTTACAGTGATTGGATAGGCACCAGTTGCCAAGGATTCTCTTCTCATATCGGCAAACAGCTTCGACACCTTCTCTTCATCGATATTGTACAGCTTAGGGCTGCATCTCTCCCTGGCGTAAAGAATGAACTTTCGGAGAAGCTCTTGTGGGATTTCACCTTCTTGCTTTGGCTCGCCTCCGTTTGCGGCTCCAGAGTCTTGCTCAACATCCATTTGACTCTCTGAGGCCTGAGAGCTTGGGTGAGAGCGGCCATGGGATCCAACAACGAATCTGGCAAGTCGCTCGTCCTCAGTAGGATCGACAGTGTCACGAACCACGCAAAGAATGTCAAATCGAGAGAGAATGGGCTCTGTAAGCTCGACGTTCTGGGAAAATGGAATCGTAGAGTTGTATCGCCCACCAATAGGATTAGCTGCCGCGATGATACCACAACGTGCCTGTAAAGTAGTGACGATACCGGCCTTGGAAATGGAAATAGTTTGTTGTTCCATAGCTTCGTGAATCGAGGTTCGATCTTGATCGTTCATCTTGTCGAACTCGTCGATAAGGCAGGTACCTCTATCAGCGAGAACTAACGCACCACCTTCCAATGTCCACTCGCTTGTTAGAGGATCCTTTCGTACACTTGCTGTCAAACCGACAGCACTGGCACCTTGACCTGTGGCAAAGACAGCACGATGAGCAGTCTTTTCGACGTACTTGAGAACCTGTGACTTCGCAGTTCCAGGATCACCAAGTAGGAGGACGTTAATATCACCACGAATGTGATGCTTTCCTTGCCTATCTTTGGCAACACCACCGAAGAGTGAGAGTGCAACAGCGGTTTTGATGTCCGTGTGACCATAGATACTGGGAGCCATGGAATGGATAATCTTGTCAACTATTTGGGGATCGCGGGCCAATGATCTGATTTCTTGCTCGTCTTCCTCCGTGAGTCTGAAACCTGCAAGCTGATCATGCGACTTCACAACGTTGTTTGCCTCGAGAATAGTGGCAAAAACAGGGAAGCCGTTCTTGTTGTTGAGTTGAGCATCGTAGTTGTTGCGGTAAACGCCAGTAACTTCAATCTCCTCTCCAGGCTTTGCCTTGTCAATCAGATCCCAGAGAAGAATAACCTCACGGTGACGAGGCAGACGGCCGGCAGGAACAGTTCCAGGGGACTCTTGGAGAGTCAGCTTTTGGTAGTTGCGGTAAACTGTCTTTTCTGAGTTGAGGTTGAAAGGCCCGCGAGATTGACAGTTCTGACAATATGAGATCTTGACCTCAACGTTGGATTCCTGTTGGAACGGTCCGAGTCTGGTTCCGCACTTGCCACAGTCGAACATAACATATTTCAACTGCGGGAAAACTCCACTTCGCCGAGTAACAACACCGCTGACACGAACCAAGCAATTCAAATGAGTCTGGCGAAGCTGGCGGAGTGTGTAGTGGACTGGCAAGTCTGAAATTCGAACGTGGATCTCAGAATGAATTCGCTCGTAGTCAGGATAATGAAGAAGTGTCACTTCCATGGCTACCTCATCGAACAGTTTCAGCATCTCCCCGGGAGCATTTGCCAAAAAGTAAGCTAGAATAGCCTTGGATGATGAGAGATGGTCGTACGACACTTCAAGGGATTCTGCGTTGATTTCTCCTAAAGTTCGAATGCGACTGCCGTACACTGAAACTCCGTGCTCGTCAGTGTACTCTGTCAAGAAGGCTTTAAACTCTCGTTTGATGGTTCTCTGGACGGCTTGCTGAGAGACCCATTCGACCAAACTAGATGCTTTTACGTCTTGCAGTGTCTCAAGAGATAGCTCTTCTTCCATGATGTCGTCCTGCATTTCCTCGTCCTCCTCCTCGTCATAGTGATGGCGACGTCGCCGAGGCTGAGCAGTGAGATCCAGATCACCTTCATCATCTTCATCCTGGAGGAACGCTGCTGGCATACGTCGCTGACGAGCTAGTTCGCGATCTCGGCGATTCAAGCGCGAATCGAGCTGTCTTCTGGTTGCAATATCCATATCGTCGTAGTCGCCTTCGTCGTCGATATCCCTATCATCGTAACGATCGTCTTCGCGCGATTTGTAGTCGTTCTCGAAATTGTTGGCAAAGAGGTCAATTCCATCTTCGTCTTCTGCCATCTCGTCCACGTCATCGATATCAAGCGCTACATCCTCCTCAATGTCATCATCATCGTCACCGCCATGTTGAATTGGGTACGCAGGAGGAGAGGATCGAATGTCTCCAGCGGGAGACGATGCACCGATACCAGAGGCATCGCTTTCAGGCTCTCTTGAACGCTTGCGAGCATTTCTACCGCCCGTCACTCCGCGATTTGCAGAAGACATGTTGGGTCTCAGGGGGGAACTGTCGAGAATTGTTAGGAAACGGTTGAAAAAAAGGGGGAGGGTTTTGGTGTGAAAGCTAGGGAGCAGTATTAATTATCGTACCTCATGATATAGCGAGTCTCCGCACTTGTGTATTGTGATGACCGGAAGGTGAAGGACTAAAGTTCTGAGGGTGATGTGGTTTGAATATCTGGAGGTGGGATGGACATTCAAATTTGAGTGAGAAAGGAGGGTGGGCGCCAGCTTCGCGTCTCGACGCGACTTGCGTGTTTTGACTAGTTCCGAAGTGGATTAGCCGTAATTTTCGCGTTAAGTGGTTTTGAGAAGGCTGAGCTGAGGAGGCTGAAAGGACAATCTGCCATTCACCACTTCTGAGTACCCTTTTATAATTTCACTCTCACTCAATCAGCACTTTGTCAATACTTCATCGGCCTCGAAACCATGGACGCTACACCAGCCCCAAACTCAAGCTACACTGAACAGCCCAGCCAAACGAGTGGCCCGTCACGAACCCAGAGCTTCTCTCAGCAATCAGACAGCTCCCAAACCTCCCAAACCGCGGCTGAGTGAGTTTCACTATGCGATCACGCGTTCAAAGAAGATACTGACAGCTGGCAGCTTCATCAATAGCCAACTTCAACTAGAAGCAGATGCACGCGAAGCCCTACCATATGTATGTAATACGCCTGATGGATTGTTACGCGTGCTGAAAGTGCCAGAAATTCGAGAAATGTACAAAACCAATTGGAAAGCTCCGCCAGCAGATATTCTCTTGCTTGACGTGTAATCCACCTCCAGAAAATCCGACTGATCCCTACACTGCGGCCGGTGTTTGCTACTCCTGCTCGATTTCTTGCCATGGCGAACACACTTTGGTCGAGCTTTTCAACAAGAGGGACTTTGTTTGCGATTGCGGTACGACGCGTCTGCCGGCCACATCACACTGCACTCTTCGTGTAAATCCAGAGACCAACACAAAGGGAGGTGTCCATTCGGAGGAGCCTGCGCCTGATAACAGATATAATCAGAATTTTAGGAATAGGTTTTGTGGTTGCGAATGCGACTACGATGCCTATGCGCAGAAGGGTACAATGTTCCAATGTCTTGGTATAGGTACAGCTGAGACTGGAGGATGTGGCGAAGACTGGTGGCATCCAGGGTGCTTAGTGGGACTGGGTCCAAATTGGGACGACGAATCTGGTCGGAAGCCAAACAATGAAGGGTTCCTTGAGTCCATCACCGAGGTCGCCGAAGCTGTGGTCGACGAAAAGAGCGGAGATACCAAGACTGAAGCCACAAATAACGAAGAATCAGCAGCACCAACAGGGGTCGTGCCCTCGGGGGAGGAAGCCGATGAAGAGGATCCTCCACTGCCGCCTGGTTTTCCCGCCGAAGATGACTTTGAAGGCTTTATTTGCTACAAGTGTGTCGAAGCAAACCCGTGGATCAAGCGATATGCTGGCACGACTGGCTTTTTAGCACCAGTATTCAGACGAAGTACAGCACCTTCTCCGGAGACCGGATTGCTCGGCAAGACTGAGGAGCTGGTTGCTTCACACTTACCGTTAATTAAGAAGCGCAAGGCAGAGGATGACGAGGAGTCAGTTGCATCAAAGCGACACAAGGAGGATATGCCGGCTGCTAGTGGCGATTCCTTGCTCGTAGCGCCGGTACAGCCAGAACTTGCTACTCTGACTGAGCCAGCAGCTTCGGAGAACGGCAATGGGCCTTGCAGATATAAATCTCTCGCACCAGCACCAACAGGCCAGGTATCACTTTTCTTCAAGGAAGATTTCCGTGAGCACCTCTGCCGTTGCTCGTCCTGCTTTCCTCTTCTCCAAGCACACGAACAACTTCTTGACGAAGAAGAGCTATATGAGCCCTCCGTCTCCGATAACGAGGAGGAAGCTGGTGGTAGCACAGTTGGCAGTGGCAGTATCTACGACCGTGGTGAGAGCGCACTCAAGAACGTGGACCGGGTCCGGGCTATCGAGGGTGTCATGGCGTACAATCATCTCAAGGATAAGCTCAAACCCTTCTTTCAGCAATTTGCGGAGAGTGGACAGGCAATCAGTGCTGAGGATATCAAGGCTCACTTCGCCAAGATGAGAGGTGATGAGCAGGCTATCAAGGACGCAGGAGAGGGCGCGAAGAGAGAAACTGATAACAGAAAGGAACAAGGAGGCTATTGATTCTTCTGCAAATGTATGAATTCATGTAATATGAGGATTGGGATTGGCTGGATCGTCGGATGTGCGTATTATGGGAACCGTTTGATTGGCCTGGGGAAAGGTTAAAATAGCAAATGAAGTACTTGGACACGATGCAAAATTCTGTGTCGCTTTCCATGGTTGGCGGGCGTCTATTTTTGATTCTGCTTCCCTATTATGGACATGTTCTGGTTTCTAGCGGACCTCAGGAAGACCTGCAGGTCGATTTCGCTTACAGACATCAACAAAATAATGTCCCCAACACTGCCTACAACTAGCGATATCTTCACACCTTCTCAACATCCCGTTCCTGCTCTCTTTCACTCTCTAAACTCTTTGCACCGCTGTTCTCGATCTTCTTCGATTTGAACCAATAACCCACCATCTGGAGCACAACCAATACCCATCCACCAGCAGCCAAGCCAATGATGGCGGTGAGGCCGCGAATATACTTTGGTGCGTCTTCTGTTCGGAAAATTTGAGACCCGGCGATACCAGCGCAGTTTGCTGCCATGACCACTAAGCTATGGAGTTGTCAGCATGATTGAGCAAAGATGACGGTAGGAAGGGCACTACTCACGCCATGCAGATAGAGCGCTCCTGCGGCGTCGTACAGTTGACGGATATCCAGCCGAGGTTGAGTATGCTTCATTCGGTCAGTCTTCTGTTCAATAAATGATAAGTACGAAATGTAGAGAAGACTTACTGAACACTGGCATATGAGACGTTTGCAAGTGTGATCAGACCATATCTGTGCCACTTGCCAGATGTAATGGGTGCGGTTCGCAAGCAGGAGTAGGTGATCACAGCCCACGTTGCACTGATCAGTGCGAATGGGCCTCTTTGTCCCGTCAGATCACTGTATGATGGTAAGAAAGAGTTTAAGAACTGGCCGACGAGGATGCTAACTTACCAGAAATATGATAGAATAGCCACAAAGACAATTGCGCAGTAGATACCCACACTCGACATTGCATTCGCCTTCACAGTGCCAAAGCCGAGACTCTTGATAATACTCGGTGTATAAGTCCCGAGACCCTGAACAGCAGAGATAGGTAGCATAGTAATGAAAACATGTACCCAGACTCTTGGCTGTTTGAAGACAGAAATGAGATCATGTGCAGAAATACGGATCTTTCCTCGGGCTTTCTGGGGATCATCGAGAAGAACGCGGTTCTTTATGATGTGTGACTCTCGCTCTGTGAAGTAATTGAATTTGCCCAATGTGATCAGAGCGTGTCCGTCTCCGGCGCTGGGAGGGACGAACAAGATGAAGAGGAAGGCGATAAGGATGGTGATCAGACCGTCGATGAGGAATAGCCATTGCCACCCAGAAAGACCACGTTTGCCTTCGAGACTTAGTAGGCCTGCTGCTATAAGCTGGCTTGTAGCGTTGGCGAACATTTGACCGAAGAAGAAAAATGTGACCCTGAGACTCGTTTCACCTTTCTTGTACCATGTGGATAGGTAGTAGAGAGCGCCTTAAAGAGTTCTACATTAGTGACGTGATGAGCGGAGGGATGAGGACAAGTTACCTGGAATGAAACCTGCTTCCATAAGACCCAGAAGTAGTCGAGTAGTCAGGTATGAGGCATAATTCGAGATGAAAGCCTGGAAGGTAGCTACAAGTCCCCAAGCGAGAATCTGGACTGAAAGCCATGGACGTGGTCCGACCTGTTTCCAATTTAGAATCTGCTACGAGACGTTGTGTTTGGACGGAAATCGTACTTTCTGGAGAATAATGTTGGATGGAATCTCGAGCAACACAATACCAGCGGAAAGTAGTTGGGAGCCAACATTGACTTGATTGGTATTGATTCCCAAGTCTTTGGTCAGTGTCGATGTCAAGGCACTCGAGATGTTCCCACGATCGAGCTGAAGTGCGAAGAATGCAAGTCCCAAGATGGGGATGAGGATGAAGTCGACTCTAGGGTTTGATGTTAGAGACCCATTTGGGAACGATCTATTTCTCTTACTTACTTTCGCCTCACTTTGCGCTCTTCCTCTTCTGTCCAATCTTGAACAATTGGTCCAAGTCCGTCAATCTCGATCGGCTGTAAGACACTGACCTCGGTCTTTGACTTCTCAAGGTTAATTCCTTGAGCTTGACTGGAACTCGTGATATCCATGGCTTTTGCTAGCTTTGAACCTCCAAACAGAGCAAGATGCAGCAAAACAAGTGAAGAAATATAAAAAAAGGTTGAAAATTCAGAACCATTTATCTAATAGCGGATCGCCCCTGGATCTAGCAGCCTACCTGCTTCCGTCCAGAAGTTTAACTGCCCCATATCCGAAAAAACCCCCTTCGTAAACAGAGATCCGCCTGCCGCTTTCAACGAACCACATCGTCGGGACGTATTTCGAACAAATGAATTTCATTTGCAGAAATCACACAAATTGTGGATAGCTGCATCAAAGTTGGATTCTTTGGAACTCAAACTATCGGCAAACCCTTGTTGAAGGTATCAGTTGAGCCTCAATTGATAATTGCGTGATAATCTGTGAGTATGAGTACAAGTCAGGGTTAAGTGGTGCAGTTGGGCACCCCACTTTTGGACGATCTGATATGCGGATGCCGACAGAAGATGGATTGCCGCGCAGGCTCAGTTTTGTTGAATACACTTTAAGCATGCATGGACTATCAGAATTATCCTGAATGATAGGTTCCGATTTGATTCATAACGCCACTCATATCGACATTGTTGTTGATTCCTGCCAGCTTTGCATGGTGATTGCAGTGGATAGGGTCAAAGGACGGCGGAGTATCATTGAACACTAAGTAATGTTAATCCATCTCCTGCGAGGATTTTCCAGATACGCCAGTGGGAGATAAGCTTTTTGGAACCATGCCGTCCGTAAAATTCGATGGCGGTGGCGGCGCCGCAGGTTACAGGTGATCTTGACTCTATTGATTCTGCTCAGGAAATCTGAATAACTCGAAACAAAGTAGTTTGAACGAATTGCAAATCAGCGAAAACGAATTTAAAGTCGACTTCATTCTGGAGGAACTATACAGAACACGGGAAGTCATTAAAAATCTCTGCTGAATGAGATTGAGTGCAGCCTGGTTTGGCCAGTATATGTAACAGACGTCTCAAAACGCTGTTCTCAACTGGACTTCTGGTCGAAGCTCCACCCTGTACCATAGACGACCGATCGTATGATTTTGTCAACCTTCATTGTTTGACAACGGTATTGCACCTTGACAATCAGGGAGGGTTACCTGAGGCCAACACATTGAGATCGGCGTTCTTACCTAGACTATCTTTCCAATTCCTCGATGTGATGAGTTCTCCAGAATGTGAGCATTCTGTGCCCCGAAGCCTTATACTTATGTACGTGCCTATCCACACTATTCCACCCACTCGGATGATATGATTTGGGCAGACGTTGTTCATCGGTTGTTATACAATGTACTGAGGAACTGCTGAAACAAGCCCTGACCTTCGCGATGCTTTCTAGATTAGGCTTGACATCATATTGAACTTTGGCTTGGCACCGTCAGCACTTACAACTTTTGACATCTCCAACTTCACCGAACCTCCCTCGCACTTTTCATTTGTCCTTGTCCGTCGACCGACGCAAAGTTACTACTTCGGTAATCCATATGCTTCATTATCCTTCCCTCTTCTTATATGGGCTTCCAGCCTTGTTTGTCCTGTCAAAGCTCATCAGTTACGTAAACTGGTATATCACTACATTCAATGATGCACGCCGCTTTGCGGCAACGTCAACAGTCCCAAGTGTCACAGTAAGGCTTCCTCAAATCGATGTGCGAGCTATGGCCGCACCTCGAAATATGCCCTTATGAAAAACCATGCTGAAGGTTCTGTCCAGATTTATAGTCATTGTGGCTCTGTCATCTTCTGGCTTGCATCACCATGGATCGCTCCTCTTATTGAGACCTTACCTTTCGGATGGGGCGATTGGGTATCATATGTTAAAAAGGACTTTGCATGGCACAAAAAAGGCAAATTGAAGTCCGATGTATTGTAAGCCTTGTCTCGAACACCTTACCTCCCGGCCCCTTCCCTTGAAATTTCTCATTCATCGAGGATTTTGTGAAGCTCAACATGGAAGAATTTTGTGAGCGCCGTGTTTTGGATGGCTGAGCTGTGCTGATAATTTGAAGCTGGACCGTTGGGCCTGGCGGGCAAGCTCTTTATGTTGCTGATGCGGATGTCATATCCCAGATAGTTCACAGATGGAAAGATTTCTCGAAGAAAGTGGTGCATTACCGCACACTTGCCGTATTCGGTCCAAATGTTGTTACTGTGGAAGGCTCAGATTGGCAAAGGCATCGAAAGATCACTGGTCCTCCCTTCAACGAGAGGAATAGCGGGTAATTATGTATTCTTCCTCCCTCGGCATCTGACGCTGACGAATACCTAGCTTAGTTTTTGATAAGTCAGTCACTCAAGGCAGGGACATGCTGGCTTCGTTCACACACGACGTTGAAGGCCGTCAAGCAAGTCCGGTTGGGGAGGACTTGATGCACTGGTAGGAGGGCCTCACTATTCATGTATCTCCATAAAAAGCTTGCCAGATTTAGAATTCGCCGCTTTCAGTATGCTGACTTATATATAGGTCGATGACCGTGGCACTCAATGTTATATCTTCGGCAGCTTTCAATCTTCATGTGCCATGTAAGTGTGGATGGCCTACGTTTCAAGACCTGGTTTTCTTAAGATATCTGGAGGGAGAACACCTGTCCTCGATTCGACATGTCTGATCCGAAATAACTGATTTCTATCAGGGCCGATCAAATCTATCGAGTCTCCTGTTCGTCCTTGGGAAACATCGCAAACCAGTCTCGCAGCAAGTAAAACAGACACTACTAAGAAGCACGGGATGACGTTCCAGCACTGTGTACATGCTGTCATGAACAATCTTCCGTTCATTATATTCTTCCCCGCCTGGGTTTTACGCAAGAGCCCTTTCCAAACCATGCGAAATATGCAGGTGTCCTCAGACGAGTTCAAAAGCCACATGCAAGAGTTGATTGATAAGAACCAAAACACGTTCAAGTCGACAGGTGAAGATAGTGGTAATAACGATTTACTGAACAACATCATCAAGGCCAATGCGACTGATACAAGTCATGCACTGAATGCTGACGAGATGATTGGCAACATCTTCATATTCATCGTGGCAGGCCACGAGACTTCGGCGAATACCCTGCAAACATGTCTGATCCTTCTCGCGATTTATCCTAATGTTCAGAAAGCCGTTCAAGACGAAATTGACGGCATTTGGGCCACGAAGAAATCAGGCGAAGACTTGGTCTATAAAGAAGACTACCCTAAGATGAGAATGATATCTGCAACAGTGGTAGGTTGTTCAGGTCTCCTATCCAAAGTATGGAATCAATGGCTAATGACAGTCTAGCTCGAAGGACTCAGACTGTTTCCACCCGTCGTTGGCATCCCCAAAGAAGTTCCCATGGAGAACTTGGCGGGACAGACTCTTACTTACCGGGATAAGCCATTTTTCGTTCCTCCGAATACAGACATTACGATAGATGTCGTTTCCACGCAACGGAATTATCGTTACTGGGGCGATGACTCCCAAGAATTCCGGCCCTCTCGCTGGCTCATGCCACCGGGCTACATCGCCCCTCCAAACACAACCAACGAGTCTCCCGGCCATGCTGACATATTCTGCCCACCTAAGGGAGCTTTCATCGCTTTTAGTGCAGGCTTTAGAGGATGCCTTGGGAGGAAGTTCGCTCAGGTTGAGCTCTGTACTCTCATTGCGGTGCTTTTGAAGGATTACTCTATTGAGTTGGTTGGTGAGAAAGGGGCGAGTTTCAAGGACGCCCAGAAGCAGGCGCTTGCGGCGATAGATGACAGAAGGACGGAGATCGCCATGAGAATGCGGAAGGCCGTGAAGGTGCGATTTGTGAAGAGGGGAAGCGAATCATTTCCTCCTCGTGGCTAGATTCCGGGTCGTGTCCTGGAAAAATCTTGATATACGAAACATCGAGAAGATTGGATAACATGGCTGATGCATGGACATCCGGTTGTCCATTTTGGGTCTAGATATGAGGATGGAGAGGCAAATATCATTACTTCCCAACTGATGAGCCACAATCCGCATCGGAGCAGTAGGTGGCTTAGTTGTTTATTTCGAAACTTCTATAACACCATAGAATCCAAGAATATTTCAAACTTGCCTATGCAGCGCAGCCAGTCTCATAAGATTAAACTTTGAACAGAAAAAAGCAATGAAGGTATCCAACTGTATGAAAGAATTGACAACTGTTGACACAACATGACATAGAAGCAGTTGCTGAGTCAGCATCGCCGTCTCAGGTTCTGCACCAAACAGGTCCATCACCTCCAACCCACATTCAACAGATTCTGACACCATGACATCAATAAGTTATCATTCCGAATACAACTCTGTAACAAATCTGGAGATATGACCATGGGATCACATCCTTGCGTTCATCATGAAGCTTCAGTCACCAGATTCGTGCCCGGACCGAGCAACATATATGCAGACTAGAGCAAGCACCAGGATGACAATACGACCACATCGAGGATCTCCCGAGTAGCCAGGGAGAGCAGATCCCTCCATTGAGAGGCTTCAGCCTCTCTAAAGCTTCGGGCCAGACCTCCGCAGACCATCGGGATGAGAGGAAATGTGTGACACGGCATGTTCGAACCAATGGCGTGGTTTCTCCAAGTGTGGCTTGCATGCAGCTCAGCTTACAGACGTGGAGAGTGCGCTCTGGAGAACGATCCTGCGAACCGAATTGCAGCCCTTGTATGGTGCTTGTACTGCATGTACGGGCTTGTCTGGAGTGCATGTGATGTGAGTGGGTGTGCTTGATACACTCAGCTTCTCTACATGTCCTGAGCGGCACTCCCTTACTTATTTTTTCTGTTCTTTCATCTCCCAAAGTACGGTTTCACACAATGACGGGTCTCTTTGTACGCAGTTCCTGATATATAGACTTTACGATAGTTCGTAAGCATTCCGAGAAATATATATGGTACAATGGCTCCCATGCGCCTTGTAATCGTCGTTACTTTTGCGCTGTACTGCAGCATCTCAGCCCAATATGCCGGAATGGAATTACCAGCCGGCCTCAGTCCACGGTACTACCTAGGTGGATTGATAGAGAGACAAAGTGGAGTCTGTGTGGACAGTTCAAAAGAACATTCATGTGCGATCAATTCTACTTACATTTACCAAGCTTCTACTAACAGGAGCGTAGGTCTTGATGTCGGTAATGCATCAAGCTGTTGCGAGAACGACAACTATTGCATGATAGACACGAGCTTCAACGTCCAATGCTGCGCAATAGGATCGAACTGTGGCATCACAGCCTGCGATTCGGCCCACTACATCTGTCCCTCGACAGTCACAAGTAGCGGCACCGCAACAGTAACAGCAGCATGCTGTCCACGAAGCTGTCCTACCACAAGCCAATTCAAATGTGATGCTTCTCTCGGCGGAGGATGCTGTGGCTATGGATCTGTCTGCGCATCTGGGAATAAATGCATCTCAACGGCTACGCCCACGACTGTAGCCGTCGTCTCGCAGATTCCAAGCGGATGTACGACCAGCCAGCTTGCGTGCCCGAGTTCCATCGGCGGAGGATGCTGCAATATAGGCCTTGCTTGTACGGTAGTAGATAACACGAACTACTGCGCTGCTCCAACTGGAATGGCGACAAGAACTGGCGCAAACGGTATCCTAGCCACGGCGGTACCGAAACCGTCCTCTGGTCTCTCGACTGGAGCAAAAGCCGGGATAGGTGCTGGAGTAGCGGTGGGAGCTTGCGTGGCTGTGGGCATTTTCCTGTGGTTCTGTCTAGCTCACAGGAAAAGTTCTAGGAGCAATCAATCTGTGGTTACGGCATCTGGACCTGAGATGTCCCAAGGCTCTGAAACGGGCATAACGAGGCCGGGGCCAGGAAGACAGGCCTCGGATTATTTCGGGCCTGTTGCAGCTCCTGGTCCATTCACTGACAGTCCAATTTCTCCTGCGTCGAGAAGCCCAGCTGGCTCGAGAGGTGTTCCTGCTAATCCTCAGAGTCCGGGGGATATCACTACACCAGTTGAGATCGATTCGAGGGATCACTCTAACGTTACTTCGCCTGGATTGTTCGAATACAGCAAAACTGCAGGATCAACAACATATCCTGTCGAACTGCCTTGAGAAAGTTTTGTCAGATTTTCTTATCTAATAACTGTCGCTCCAATGCGGATTACTGGATGTGTTATGAAGAGCCGACTCCAAACCAAAACACCACTACCAATTACTCGAACATATATCTTTTCCAGTACCATGCACGCAGATGCAGATGCAACCAACGCCCCACAAAGTCCTCCCAAAACGCCATGTATGCCAAGAAACCAAGGAAATACTATGACAGTGCTCCGCCGAATGGTGTGCTCTCTCTCAGATCTGCGACCAAGTCGTCTACGCTACTCAGATAGTTGCCCAACAGCGCCTGCTTCTCCTCCGTCGTTCTGGTTATGCCACTCTCGCTATCGGCCCTCTTCCTACTCTCTCGACTATTGAATGCACCTGCCAATTTGCTAGGGCTGCGTTGCAGCATCGCTGGGACCGAGACGGTACTATTCGCGGATGGAATGGAAGGTGTTTCGGGCATGAGGTAGAAGTAGAGGAATTCGACGAGCTTGAGCTTGACCTCTCTGCCTGTTTCGCGGGACTTGAAGATAGATGTGATGGTCAGGAGTCCGTCGAGGTTCTCAAATGTGCGCGCGTTCTGGGGGGTCTCAATGAGGGCGCATGCGAGAGTAATGACTGTTGCGGATTGGATAGCTGGACAATTGATTGGTTCGAGGAGGTCAAGGAGATGCTATCGAGCAACAAAATTAGCATAGATTCCATATGGATTCTTAGTGAAGAACACGAACATTCATATACAGCTCTCGCGAGAACAGAGTCCTGGATGGTGGATGCAGTAACAAAGTCCCCTGGATCAGATCCAACGTCTGGATGATCAACAGATCATTCTGGCCATCATGCGACTTCCCCAACAACCTATCCAGACAATTGACCAGGCGCATCGCAACATTCCACTCAAACCCATCTTGCAACTTGAAGAACTCCCTAAAGGCCGGATCATTCCCCAGCTCGCTCAGAGCTTTGCGCGGCGGCGGTTCCTTGCCAGGATCAATTACTGAGCGACGCTTCTCGGCTGCGGATTGGGGCGAGCTGTTGCTGGACGAGAGGCAGATCTGCGCGAGGAGACCCTCGACTTGTCGGAGTCCCTTTCGGATCTTGGCCTGGTCGTAGGAGGAGAGGTTGTCAAAAGACATAGAGAGTAGGGCCTCCATATTGATTTTCGGTTGCGGGCTGTGGATCTGGATGTGGATGTGGGTTTGTTGATGTTTTGGGAGGATGTGGAAATCGCTGGATTTCGCAATGGAATACTATTGCTCGAGAAGGAAAACGCCGGTGCCGAAGATTGTTAATACAGAAAATGAGAAGAGAAGGAGTGTGTGTGTTTGTTGTTTTTGTTTGGGAGAGGAAAGCCAAAGCTTTGGGCTCAGGGTGTCTGGATATTTCCAGTCGCATGCATGCCTGCTGCGATGAGTTGTCCAGGTGGTTGCGAAGGGCAACGGTGAGCCATGCCCATGCCCATGCTGCATTCCTTATCTGGTTGCAGCCCAGCCTTATCTTAGCGTCGCTTGCATCGTATCCACCCTTCGAGCTCGGATTTGATTCGCGTGCATGCCATGACGTCTCGAATCTGCACACACCGCAAAACTGCTCTGCCCTGATGCTTGGACTGCGGAGAAGGAGTTACTACTTATATGAAACCCATGAAGAGTACTCGTACAGTGCGGTGCAATGCGGTGCGGTGCGGTGCGTAGTATTGCGTTATTGCCCAGCTGAGAGATTCCTATTTTGTCTGTTTACAGGTACATCGGCGCCTTCAGCGAGCAGAGAATGGCGTTCATTGGGCGGACGATACGGCTATCCTATATCGGTATCAGCTGTATGGGGAGTTTTCAATAGGCTCGCAGCCTAGCATGTGAACACGACACGACCGACGAACATCAGGAGGCGCTGGACTGGCTTCTCCTCAATAGAAAGACGAGACGAGTTGACCAGTGACGTTGAGCGTCCCAGCCCATCTCTGACATATTGAGTATCAATCGTCCCATACTGTAGCTCTGCTCTTGGGTACACCACCATTTCACCCTCGTACCTGTACTTGTGTCCCCAAGCACATGCCTATTACTACCCTCTTCTTCCTCCGCATATTCACATGAACACGTCGACCCTACCAGTGCTCGCACATCCATCTCGCATCAAGGAAGCCTATTATTGATCCGGAGCTTCATCATCCAACGCTCAGCCTTGCGCCCTGCCCGCCCTCAAGCGGAGCCCTGCAGCAGCCTGCCCTCCAATCGAAACACCAAATCCACAGACCCCACAACTTGGAACCTTCCTTCAGGCTTCAGCAGAAGCAAGACGGGGAACCGACCATGTTCCACAGCAACCGCTCAGCGCGAGGCACGTCTTCAACCATGCCCATGGTCTCCGAGAACCTGCGATCGCCCAACGCCATCCCACCTCGAACCTCTTCCACAGGCCAGAATGGCATCAATCACGTAGCTTCGAAACCAGTACTTCGACCTGTCCCCGAGGGCGACTGGATCAGCCAGAGGAAGCGCGATTTGAATACCACCCCCATCAACCCTACCATTCAACCCGCCGGCCCACCTGACCCCTCGAAATACCACAAGAACGACATGGCATTCCATGGGAAAGGAAGTTGGTCAGATGAGAAGGAGTCGGTGCTGCTGGGACCATATGAATATCTATTTGCACACCCAGGGAAGGACATCAGAGCTCAGGCGATCGCAGCTTTCAACGAGTGGTTGCAGGTTCCACCCGAGAGCTTGGAAGTCATCACAAAAGTCGTAGGAATGCTACACACAGCTTCATTGCTCGTCGACGACGTCGAGGACTCTTCACTACTGCGTAGAGGACTTCCTGTGGCCCACAGTATCTTTGGAACGGCACAGACGATCAACTCGGCCAACTATGTGTACTTCGTTGCTCTGCAGGAGCTGCAGAAGCTGAAGAACCCAAAGGCGATTACGATCTATACGGAGGAACTACTGAATCTACACAGAGGGCAGGGAATGGATCTGTTCTGGAGGGACACATTGACTTGTCCCAGCGAGGATGATTATCTCGAGATGGTGGGGAATAAGACAGGTGGCTTGTTCAGACTAGCAGTAAAGCTCATGCAAGCAGAGAGTAAAAGCTCCAAGTACGTCAATAAACCCACCCCAAACCATCTTTCTCCCCCAAAGCAATGCAAGCTAACAACCACCCCTATACAGAGACTGCGTCCCCCTCGTCAACCTCATCGGCATAATCTTCCAAATCCGCGACGACTACCAGAACCTCTCGTCGCCCGAATACTCCCAAAACAAGGGCCTCTGCGAGGATCTCACCGAGGGCAAATTCTCCTTCCCCATCATCCACAGCATCCGCGCCAAGCCGGAGAACATGGTGCTGCTCAACATCCTGAAGCAGAAGACGGACGACGAGCAGGTCAAGCGCTATGCCGTATCGTACATGGAGGGCACGGGCAGCTTTGAGTATTGTAGGAAGGTGCTGGGGACGTTGACGGAGAGGGCGAGGGTTTTGGTAAAGGGGTTGGATGGGGAGGGTGAGCTTGTGGGGGGAAGTGCGGGGGAGAAGAATGGGAATGGGAGTGGGAGTGGAAGTGGAAGTGGAGTGCTGAAGATTCTGGATAAGATGGCTGTTTGAGACTAGGCTGGTATTTGGAGGGAGCCTAATGGGCTTCAATGTTTGGACAATGGGAAGGTTTGATGGAATGGAAAGAGGAAAGCAGGACTCTAGGGAGGCTCATTGACAGGCATAGTTGTGGCGTATTTGGCGATGGTTGACTATGATATCCGTTTGATTATCTCACGCAGGTTTTTACAATAATTCAAAAGCTACTCGGCAAATTTGCTCTACCCAATGGACTCACTAGAACTTCTCTCATGGTTCGTATTTCCACGGTTGCTCACATGCTCCGTTGCAATTCCAGTAGATAAGAGCAGTCTTGCGGTGAATCATATGAGCATGTCTTGTATGGTTCCAATCTAGGTAAGCCCCTTCAGAACCAATGTACTTGAATGTGAACGACGTCTAGTACGTGGTGGGCAGCTGTAGACAGGCAGCTTGCTTTGAGAAGTGGATTAAATGGCGTAGAGGATTTCCTCGCTACCGCTTGCATAGCCGAGACAATTCAAAACAAAGAGGACTATTCTGCAACTCCTTTGCGTATGACCATTGTTCATCAACTTCTCAGGTCATCCGCCTTGGTGATGATAGTATCTCCGATCACTATGATATTTTAAACTTCCAAAAACGTGGACTAGCAAAAATCCAAACATCATGGTATTTTCAAATGACCTATTCACAGATGAAAGCACAAAATCCAACCAAAAAACATGGGGCTGTTTCTCGTACCCATCTTCCCTGACATCCCCTACAAATAGTACCAATCCAAGTACGCCAACTCAAATCGCAATAAAGAAGCTCTTCTCCCCCTCCCTCGGCGTAACCAATGCCCTCTTGATAATCGGATCCACACAACTGGTCCTAATCCTTTCTGGCGTCGCCGGACTCTCCAAAACCAGTAAACCATCCCCTTTCGTATCCTCCCCCACTTCGGCCTTGACACCATACTGGCTCCTAGCAGCCTTTAGCGCATCGCGAATAGCGAAGAAGACAGAGCTACCCATGAACAGTGGTGGCTCGCCGACACCTCTACTGCGCTGCACGGTGCGGAGATTCTCCCATGTCACGTCCTTGAGAAGCGAGACGTTGAATTCTTGCGGGATGTCGCGGAACCCGGGGATCTTGTAGGCGCCGGGGCCACGAGTAGCGAGCTGGCCTTTCATAGGGCCGCCTCGAAACCAGAGAGATTCTTCGGTGGTAAAGAGACCCATGCCTTGTACGAAGGCTCCTTCGATTTGACCGTAGTCGATGGAAGGGTTGATCGAGCGTCCGATGTCCATTTTGACGTCTGCTCGTCGACATGTCCAGTCACCAGTCAGAGTGTCGACCTCGACTTCGGCGGCAGAGACGCCTTGGGTAAAGTAGTAAAACATCATCCCTGTGTTGGGTCCCCAAGTATATCCAATATCTGGTGTTTTGTAGAATCCATTTGCCGAGAGATTCACTCGCTCGAAGTACGCCGCACTTGCAAGTTTGCTCATCGGAGCATCCTTTCCAAATTTTTCTCGGAAAGGTGCAAGTCTTTCATTGAGCTGGGCACAAGCATTAAAAATTGCGTAGCCATTCAAATCTGACGATGCAGATGCAGCAGTTGACGAAGTGTTTGCCACTGTGTTAGTAGCAGTTTCCGAGATGAACACATCTTGCAATGGCACTCCCAGTGCTTCGGCCGCAATCATTGTCATCTTTGTATGGAGACCTTGTCCCATTTCTGTTCCACCATGAGCGACCAGAACAGAGCCATCGTGATAAATGTGAACCAAAGCACCGGCCTGGTTGAGGAAGAGCGCTGTAAAGGATATACCAAATTTCGTTGGGATGAGAGAAAGACCTCGCTTCTTCCACTTATGCTCAGCGTTGAACTTGGTTATGGCTTCTCGACGCTCCGCGTAGTTCGATTCCTCCTTTACTTGCTGGTACATGATTGGGACATGCCAATCCTTAAGACCTGAGAATTGTTAGCAAACAAAATTGCTTTAAACTCGCTCGGGAATCTGAGTATGTTTTGTACTTACTCTGGTTAAAATGGGTCTCCTCATCCGGCTTATAGAAATTTATCTCCCGAAGCCTCTCAACAGGAATGTCCAAACGGTCGGAGATCTCCTCCATATAAGACTCCGAGATGAAGATACCCTGCGGTCCTCCAAACCCTCGGAAAGCTGTATTGCTCATGGTATTGGTCTTCGCTAGCCTACCTCGTACATCAACATTAGGGATGAGATAACAGCCGTCGATATGGGACAATGCTCTGTCGCAAACAGCGGCACTCAGGTCTTGGGTCCAACCACCGTTGCAGAAAACGTCCGCATCTAGAGCTTGGAGCTTTCCATCCTTGTTCACTGCGACTTTCCAATGGGCAAGGAAAGGATGTCTCTGGCCAGACGTCACCATATCTTCGTCGCGGTTCAACATGCAGCGAACAGGTCGCCCAGTTTTCTTGGCGGCAAGTGCTACAATACAGGTAAGCTGTATTGATCTGGTCTCTTTGCCGCCAAAGCCACCACCTAGACGCTTGACTTTCGAAACGACTTTGTTGGCAGCAACGTCGCATACTTTTGCAACGTAGGTTTGCCTATCAAGTGTCAGCTTAAATAGTACCTATGAGGAGCGAATGAGAATCTTACGTTTCGGTAGGATTCTGTGTACTAGCATAAATCTCCATCTCCCCATCTTCTGGCTTCGGCACAGCGACAACAGCGTTAGTCTCAAGATAGAAATGCTCTTGCCCACCCATCCTAGTAACGCCAGTAAACACATGATCTGCATTCTTGAATGCTTCTGCTGTGTCTCCCTTCTTGATATATCTGTAATGCTCAAAGAAGCTCTCCTTCTCGATTGCCTCCTCGATCGTGAATATCGCTGGAAGTTCCTCATATTCGACCTTGACAGCTCTTGCTCCTAGCGAGGCATGCGCGGCACTGTCGGCTAAGACAATACCAATTGGCTGACCAGCAGTGAAAACCTCGTCGACAGCAAAAAATGGCTCATCGCAAACGGGGGCGCCCCAGTAGTTGGCTTCTGGCGATGGCATATCGGTATGATCCACGAATCGGACAACTCCAGGGACATCCATCGCAGGGGAATAGTCTACCGAGAGGACTTTGGCATGAGCTTTAGTTGACAGCACAAGACAGCCATAGAGCTCATTCTTTTGGACCGGGATATCATCTGTATATTGAGCTTCTCCTGTTGTCTGTTTCAATGCTGCCACATGAGGATTTGCTTTACCAAGAATGTTCTGTTGATAGGCGACAGTTGCGTCACGGTCTTCTTTCCCCATCGAAATCGATCTTTCGATCTCTGCAATAACTTCTTGATCCGGATCCGCTTCCTGCACCTCAAGCTTCGAGAGCACCTCATGGTAAAAGCGGTAGAAGAACCCCAGCGCAAGTGACTTCCGGTAAGTTGCCATACCCCCAGGCACTCCAAAGCGAAGATCAAAGTCTTGTTCCAGTGCATTCATGGTGCCTTCCAATGTTGCTGGATCTATTAAGGACTTACCAACAAGGTAGGCTCCCGCAGTCTTCGCAGCTACAGTCGTAGGAGCCATACCACCATACACGAGATCAGCGCTTTCCACAACGTGTTTATCACTGAGGGAGACTCGAAGAGCAGCATTGACGATCGCAATATCATCGTCCTTCCGCTTCGCCTGTTTGAAAGCCTGGAAAAACTCTCCCTTCTCGCTTGTGACCGGAATGCGAATGCTTGCGATAATTGCATCTGGTGGAAGCGCAGTCATTCGATACCCTTTGAAGAATTGTGACATTGGAATCTCAGTTTCCTTGTCTAATGACTTGGCCACAATGATGGCATTAGATGCGACGAACACTGGGTTCAGATCCGAGATGGGAGATGCAGTAGCGAGGTTACCAGCTGGCGTTCCGACATTTCTGATCTGACGACCTGCAAAGTACTTCAACTGCTTATGGATTGCGGCAAAAACCTGACCTTTCACAGGGCCATAATGATCTATAGCCTTGAGTGCAATCGCCTCCAAATCAGTGAGAATGGCATTCCCGCCAATCTCAAGGTGACCATCCTTGAAGGTATATTGCCGCAGCTCTGGAATATCACCGACAAAGACAGAAGCTGTGTACTGCATGCCCTTGAACTTGATCTCTATTTGAGTTTCCGTCGAGCCGCCAATGATCTTGGCCGAAGGATAAACGCTCTTGATTTCCAGAAGCTGTTCAATCGTGACCGGGCGGTACCACCTCTTTCTCTTATTGCCAAAAGCCAATGGTCTGAATTCATGCTTGGTAAGAGAAGGAGGAAATATGAGCTCCGTGTCAGGGTTGTACTCGATAAATCCAGGGGGTGTAAAACGCTTGATCGGCTGGTCATCCTTGAAGCCATCTTTGCAGCAGCCACCGCCACCATTCCCATTCTCCATACAGCATCCACCACCGCCATTTACCTTTGCCTTGCCACAAGACTTATCCACACTGAATGTCTGAGCCGCATCCAATATAGGTCGATATCCAGTACATCTGCATAGATTTCCGTCAAATGCTTCCTCGACATCATGTTCCGAGGGACTCGAATCGTTTCGCAGAAGAGCATACAGACTCATGACTATGCCCGGTGTACAGAATCCGCACTGGCTTCCATTTCCTTTGGCGATTCTCTCCTGTGTAGGATGCGGCCTTTTGGTATTCCCAATTCCCTCGATTGTGATAACATGCTTGCCATCCACGCTGACCAGCGGCGCCAGACAAGCATTCACACTCGCATGGTAGATCTTCTTCGTTGTAGGGTTGAATTGTGAGACTACGACTGTACAAGCTCCACAACCTCCTTCAGCACATCCCAGCTTTGTTCCCGTAAGGCCAATGCCACGGAGGTATTCGAGGAGTGTGGTCTCGGGGTCGATGTTGTCGATCACCACTTTGGTACCGTTGAGGTAGAATCGCAGGCTATCATCGTAGGCAGTTGTTACAGACGACAGAGAGTGGGTGGCAGAGGGCGATACCGCAGGTTCTGGAGAGACCGCAATAGGTGCCATCTTGCAGAGCAGGTGGTCTTTAATGGAGTTGACGTGCGCTCCCTTGTTCCTAGCTTCTCCCGACTTCTATGGCAGAGAGAGGTCCCAGAACTAGATATCGTAAAATCGCTACACGCTTACCAGAAGGTAGAATGTGGCAAACAAAATCGAAGCTATCGCGGCTGGCAACGGCCCTTCAGTCATAGATGTCTGGCTGTTTGAGCCAGGACGCCAATGAAGTAATGAAACAGTGAGAGAAATAGACGAAGAGAGATATCGTGAAAGATAAGTAAACACAAGAAGATTTCCTTCTTCCTACTCTTCTCATCAAAGCTTAGTGGGACGGCCGGCTGCGTTTGTCTTATCTAGGCCAATGTCATGGAGAGCTTGAATGGAGCTCTCCGATGGTCTTGCTCTCCCTGTCGGCAAGATGCCAGAGATGACGCTAATAGCGGGGTACTTATTTATCCTAGCAGATATAAGGGAGCAAAGAGGAAGGTACAGTACCCGAAAAGTAGGAATGTGTTCTCCATATACAATACTATTATAAGAATAGAATAGCCGATTAAATACCAGAGAACTGTCCACCCTTGTAATTCTGCTGTATTTTGTGTACGGTAATGGTGGATTTCTTCGCGGTTGAGCGCGAAAGAGCTTCGACGTGCACACGATCGATCAAACTCGTCCGACGCGCTTCGGTGAGCTCCGACGGGTCACATGATATTAGATGGGCGAATCAAAGACCTGAAATTGGTAATTTACGTTACTTCATCTCCAGCAATAGATGGTCTCGAAATTGAATTTATGTAGTAGAGCTTTTTGATGCTAAGCCCAACCCACCTTGGCAAAGATACATGTTGGCAGCCACAAAGATTTTTCACAGTCCATGATATCTCTCCTTGTGTGATGTTAAGCCTCCAGTAGTTCTATGGCCATATTTCGAGTCTATAGGCCCATTTCGAATAGAGAAGGTCATACTTGTAAGAACATAGTAGTAAAGGCGCTCCATAATGATGCTCTATCAAACTTTCCAGACCCAAGACGACCTGATTCATTTCACCTTTCCTCACAATCCACTCCACCAGCTCGTCTTCTCGACACTGAAGCCCGACTTCAGGGCTTCATTATCCTGACTGCTCTTGCCCACAATAACCTCATAATCATCCTTCTCCACGATCCACTTCGCTCTAATCTCATCCCAGAAACTTGCTGCATACTTGATTGCAATTGGAATCTCAACAACCTTGCTCTCTCCCTTACCCAATGCAACTTTGGCAAATCCTTTCAGCTCTTTAAGTGGTCGGCGGATGCTGGGGTTCTTCTGGGATACATAGACCTGTACGATCTCAGAGCCGGCGAGGGCACCTGTGTTGGTGACCTTGACACTGATCTTGAGGTCTGTGTCGGTCTTGGAGACGCTGAGGTCGGAGTACGAAAACGTCGTGTACGACAGACCATGACCAAATGGGAAGAGCACTGGTACTTCAAGTTGTTCGTACCATCTGTAACCGACGTAGACATCCTAAGGATTTGTTAGTATTTTCCATGAATACTGACAAGAAGGAAGATTCAGGATCTTGTGGAAAATTTGTGGTGCATGAAAGTCACAACTGGCTCTGGGGCATATGCTTACCTCTCCATACAGAGTACGTCCCCGCTCCGTTCGGTAGTTCAGATATGCTGGATTATCTTGAAGTCTGATTGGGAAGCTGAGCGGAAGCTTGGCACTTGGGTTGACGTTTCCGAACAGGACATCTGCTATGGCATTACCAGTCTCATTGCCGCCATACCACTATAGAAACGTCAGATTTGTATTGTGGTCCAGGACAGTGAAACTTACAGCGTGAACAAGTGCTTTGATAGACGAAATCCAAGGCATCGCTACTGGCGTGCCGCTTTGCATAACTACGACTGTTGATGGGTTTGCAACGGCGACAGCCGAAATCAGAGCATCCATGTGTCCCGGAAGAGACATAGTTTCCCTGTCGGAGCCCTCCGTCTCCCAATCGGCCTGGTCGTATTAGCAAGTTGAACTTGTACTGGGAAAGGTCTCTTACGTTCAGTCCAGCGACAATGATAACTTGATCGGCATCCTTTGCTAGTGCAGCAGCATGCTTGACCTCTTCATCGGCTTCAATGACCTTCGCTCCACCAATTCTCAAAGCACCCCCTCCAAATAGCACGTTGCTTCCTTGGTCCAGCTTAGAAGCTGGAGCACTTGCGAACTCAACCTTGACCTCGTACTTTTCGCCCTTTTTTACAGGAAGAATGCCTTTCTCCTCGACAGTCCCGCAGTTGAAGAACAAAGTTCCTTTGGTCTGCTTGGTCTCATTGTCAATTAATAGCTTGCCATTTATGTATAGCTTAGCGGCACCGTAAACACCAAGTCCGATCTCGAAGTCTCCGTCCTCCTGGGCGATAAAAGTACCTTCAACATCTGCAAACCAGAGAGCCTGCTTGATCGCTGGTGGATTGTAATCCATCAGTAGAAATTCGGTCTTCGTGAGTGTGAGCTCATCGACATTTTGTCTATCCTTGACTGAAGGTGGATCATTGTAAGCACGGAATCGTACTCCTGGTTCGCCTTTGTCGGTTTTGAGAAGGTTGCCTAGGAGTGGAAGCTCCTTATGCGCATAACATCCTGCAGTGTACTCGGGTGGGGAGGTAAGTTGGGCACTAATACCATCAAACGGAGTAACAGCATAATAAGCTGCAAGAGATGCAGAACCGCCACCGTGATAGTATGCAATTTTTGCGTTCGGTCCGAGAATGAGAGTCTAGTTTGTTAAGCACATTTACTTTAATGGAACGGAACATGATTTACCTTCTTGTCTTTCTTCAGTGGAAGTACACCGCCCTCATTCTTCATCAGAACAATCGACTCTCCGCCGATCTTTCTGAGGAAGGCTGCAGTTTCTGGTGTGTCCCTCGTCTTCTCCTCGGCATTTGCTGGAATCTTCGCGGCTGCACATTTGTTGACGAGATTCAAAACGTTCCGAACTCTCTCATCTAGGACGTATTCGGCAACTTTATTGACACCGACAGCCTGGACTAGCATCTCTCCACGCCATTTCGTAGCGCCTGGCATCTCTAGATCAAGACCAGCATTGATTGCTTCGGATGTGGAATAGGTTCCCCACCTATGAGTTTCAGTTGATTCCTCACATAAGAGAAGAATTGCACTCACCAATCACTCATAACACAGCCATCCCATCCCCATTCCCCTCTCAACATACCAGCCAAAATCTTGGGATTCTCGCTAACATGAACACCATTGACCTTATTGTACGCGGTCATGAAGCATCCAGGGTTTGACTCCTTGACCACCAATTGGAAAGCTAACGAATAAATCTCCCTTAAAGCTCTTTCTGTAATGATGGCATTCGTTCCATTACGTTCGTGCTCCTGATCATTGCACACAAAATGCTTGATCGTCGCTACAACGCCAGTATCCTGGATACCATTCACTAAAGCTGCTGCTCCTAGTCCAGCTAGAACAGGATCTTCGCTCAAACTCTCAAATCCTCTGCCACCCAGAGGTGATCGTTGGATGTTGATAGTGGGTCCCAGGATCACGTGGGCGCCTTTGGCTTTGCTCTCCTCTCCCATAAGCACACCGGCTTCCCGGAGTATGTTGATATCCCAAGTAGCCCCCAGAGCAGTTCCGCAGGGGAAACATGCTGCTTTGACACCATTGAAAAACCGCGTTCCACGAACACCATTTGGTCCGTCAGAGACTCGGATCGCTGGGACCCCATGCTGAGGAACAGCGACCGTATGCCACCAATCAGCACCTAATCGACTGTCAGCAATGAAGAAGGAACGGCAAACAGAACACCGGCATCAGACCTGCTAGTAAAGAAACCTTCTCAACTATGTTGAGCTTGGCCAGGACTTCCTCGACGTCAAAAGTAGCTGTCATATTGTGAGGTATTATTCGCGAGCTTCGCTTAAAGGACTGGTCGGTATAAAGGGGGATGTAGAGCAAAGAAAGAGAACGTCAACGGAGGAAGACAGTATATAAATAGAAGAAGAAGTGGCAGGCACGAGGGAAGCTTCGTCCGCTGCTCCCCTCATCCCACGGTCACGGTCCCACCTTGACATCCTCAAAGCAAGCACAGCGTCGGGTGTTAGCCACTGGAAGCCTCAATTGGCCGAATATTCTCCAGCAACGCCAAAAGACCACTCGGAGAGCCATCGATCTGTTCCGCTCCGTTCCCGAGGTCAAGATCGTGCAAAACACAGAAAACTGGTCCTAGTGATGGACATTGCCTGGCTAAAACCATAGCATACAAGAGGTCATTGGTGCGACTGAGCGGTGGAAAGTTTAGCGTCATGGTTTATCCGAGCTTCACCCGAAGCTTTGTAGACGGAATGTCTCCCGTTTTGCCGATGCGGGGAGGAAACAATGGAACTTACTCTAACAACGAGTAACCTAACATCCCGATCCCATCTCAACGCCATGAGCGAGAGATTAAGCGCAGAGGAGAATGGGTAACTTAGCGGACATTCACTCCCGGGGTTCTTCCGTGGAAGTCATATTCGCGGAGTATCGCCCTGAGGATGATTACATTCCCCAGACCGACATGTCAAGTTAGCTGGAGCAGCAAACTCAGTGTGACTAACAACGAGGTGTGCTTGACACCAGGTAGTTGGAAAGTGGGATGTCCACTTCGCCCCGGTCCGTTAAGGCTTATGTGGTCGAAGACACTCTGTGTCTAGACTTGGATGTGTTGTATCGCTGTGGACGAAGTATAATTCGAGCCCTGAGACTCTTGAGTTCTACCAGCAGAGCCGAGTTTGCTGCGTCATATTTCAAGTACATCCGCTGAGCCGCCAACACGTTCCATATTCGGTTTCTTTTTCCGGTCTCAGAATGCCCGATCCATCAGATGATTATTCGAGTTATGATAGCAGAGGATTCCTGATAACACTGTCTATTAAACGTAACCGCATAAAGTTTTCCATCCTAGCCCATCATCTATTCAAGGAGCTTGCTGGTGTACATGGCTCGGAGGACTCGATTATCAGTTCTCAGAGTCATGACATTCAATCTCGCAAATCCAGAGGTCTAGCAGAATTTCATGTTGCCAAGACCACGAGTTATTCCGATACTTTTGGTCTCCCATGGACATCAGCTTTTCAATACGAAATATGGCGTAGAAGGAGGCAGCAGGTCGCCAGGGAACCTTCGGGTACCATGCATGGCATAACAACGGAGTAGACAACAACTGATTCTGTTTTAAGCGCCGAAGCTGTCTCATCTGCCTCTCCAGCAAACCATCGTCAATCTGTGTAAGTCACAAAGTCGAACAATAACTTTTCAGTGACATCGCTCCAGCTCAGCCATCTCAGATACTATCACAGCTTGTTTCAGTAGACGCAGCAGTCACTAAGACCTGCTAGATCACCTCAGGCCCACATAACGATCTGACCTTCTCTTTGGAGACGACCGCGCTCCTGCCCTTACGCAGACTCAATTCCCACCAGTGATAACCTTCTTCGACTCGTGCAACGGTGCTTGCACGTGTCACCACTCCATCCGCGACAAGAGTAGCACTTCCAGGTACAAATAGCACTTTTAGCGAACAGCATTTCTTGTCAATTAACAACAATAGTTGGAACATATCCGATTGATGTGATCGGATGGTGCCCCATGCAGACGACTGATTGTTGACCACTCTGAGCATGCAGGTTAAAACAGCATTTGCCCTGTCTGTTCGAATCCTGTCCCAATATTCAGCTTTTCCCTCGGTGGGCGAACCGAGAAGGAGCCAGATCAAGTTTCAAATTCTCTCAAGCTGAACATCTGGACTGGTCTACACAGGTCTTCTTCATGAGCGTAAAGTACTGCTTGGCAAATTCCAGTGGATTACCTAGGTACTGCGAACCCCAAACTATGCGCGAGCAGATACTCAACAGCAAGCTGTTGGACCCTTATTTTCATGTCAACAAATGTGGATATGGGGATGCTGATAAGCGAGAAACCGATGACGACAGTCGATTTGAAGAACTCACCAATCATCAAATGCGGCTATCAAATGGAAGATGCGAAACCAAAGAAAATGAAGATACGTATCCAGTACCTCCTCGGGACAATCTTAGCCAATAAAATCTGCGAGGGCATCTACCTGTCTCCAGAAAATATCAAGCTCGTCATCAGGTGCTAGGTATGACCTGAGGATGTGGCTGTTTCTACTGATAAATAAGCTTCTCATAAAATCTTTCATGTGCTGCATTCAAATCAAAGTATATCTTTTCACTCCAATTCAGTGAAACAAAGAAGAACCCAAGGGATTGTCTCAAGATGGCCGCTATTATCAACACGGTCAAGAACACCATCGCGGAGAATTTTGGTGGAAGGTAACGTGCTGCAGTATGTCTCCAAATTTTCTAGTGTATAGACAGATATATAGCCATTCTCTTGCTTCAAAAGCAAATCAATTCTCTTTAGCTGCCGTCCCGGACCAGAGTCACAAAGTTGCGGTTATCACTGGGGGTTCGAGGGGAATTGGGTACGCGTGTGCACATACGCTTTTGGAGAAGAACATCGAGAAACTATGTAAGCCATAGATCTTTGCGTGGTGTATCTCATCAGAGAATTAGCAGTCGTTGGCAGTCATTGGTTATTTTGAAGCCAAATGAATCTGACACGACACTCTACAGTCATCATAGGTAGTACGAAGGAAAGTCTCGATGGTGCTTCATCAGACATATCTTCCACCCTAGGGTCTTCCTACACCTCCAAAGTCAAATTCCTTCAGGCCGACATGGGCGACTGGAAATCAATTCCTGGCATCGCAAAGCAAATCACCGACTCCACCGACCGCCTCGACATCCTGATCAACTGTGCCGCTCGCGGTATCATGACTTACCAACTAACTCCTTACGGTGTTGACAGACACATGGCTGTCAATCATATGGGTCATGTTATTCTTACTTCGCATCTCCTCCCATTGATCAAGTCTACCGCAAAGAAGAGTCCCGAGGACAAAGTTCGTTTGGTCATGTTCGGCTCTAATGCACACCAAGGCACACCTAGCGACTGTAAATTCGCCAGCCTCGACGAACTGAACCAAGATCTCGGGCCCAATGGACAATACGGCCGCTCGAAACTAGCACAGATGCTATACGCTAAAAACCTCAACAAGCACCTGAAAGAGAAGTATCCAAACATCATTGCAAACAGCATACATCCTGGTTTCGTGGATACGAAAATGAGCACCGAGGAGATCCATGAGCCCTATCCAGTCGCCGGATATGCGATGAGCGTGGGAATGAAGCCGTTCAAGAAGAGTCAGTGGGAAGGGGCTGTCAGTGCTATGTTCTGTGCGACGGCAAGTGAGGAGGGTGGACTGTATGTCTGTCCGCCTGCTGTTGTGGAGGAGGGCAGTAAGCTGTATCAGGATGAGGATGTGGAGGAAAATTTGATGAAATTAACACTGGATGTCGTTAGAGAGAAGATGGATCCTTCGAAGGAAGGGTGCCCAATGCAGTTGTACTAGGTGGCCAAGGATCGAGACATGAAGAAGATTCATCTCCTCACGGTTGTGGTAGAACCTGCACGAATCTGCTCGAAAAGACCTTGTGCGCGTTGGCAATATCTACTCAGTATTCCATTCCAGTAACAATTTCCGTGCAAGTACATTCTCTTCTTCTTGAAACGCAAAAATATGTGAAACTCCATCCATGTATCCATCTAGCCATGTGTCCATTCGTCCATTCGTCCATCCGATCCTAACTTCCAACCCTTCATCAGATATGCATGCTGTTAAACTAGAAGAACCGTTAGCCTCGTTTTCCTCGATAGTTTGGCCATCTTCGAGCAGGAGCTGCTCACCAAGTGTATCTGCTGACGAGCTTGGACTACTTGTCGGAAGCAGTCTCTGGAGCAGTCATCTTTGTGAAGGCGTATTGCTCGATGTTCTGCACCGGCCTCTGACCCTGTGCGATAGAGAATGATATTTCTCTACTGGGAGCATTGGCCCTGAGTCTGTTCTGTGGTCAGCGGATATGGTGTAGCACAGCTCATGATGGTGTCTTACTGCTCGATGAGCTGCTCAAGGAGCTCCGTATGACGGATCAACTTTTCCATGTGTGATTCTAAGTCTCCTTTCTGAAACAGAACAAACTTCAATGAAGCAGTAACAGAAAAAGAGCTCTTCTTGGTGTTGAAATAGCTTCGGAGTATCGCTGTGATAGCGTGAAGTTGCTCGATGCAAATCTTCTGACTGGAGATCATATCATCCATCTGTTTGGCGTTGAGATACCGAATCTTCCGTAGGTCACTTGAGCCATCAAGAATACCACGGAACTGGTGAGCAGTGTCTTTGATGTCTGCAACGAGATCTGGCGCATCCTGTACATCCTGGATGAGGACAACGAGTGTCTTCACGGCCTCGATTCCTACTCCGATCGCACTCTCCATTGGAGCAGTGTAGGAATGAAATTTGTGCGGAAGTGTTGTAAAAGGAGTGATTACAGGTCGATGGTGATAACGGAACACGTTGTTGCTGAAATATAATATTCAAGTGATGATGGAAGCTGTTTAAGTATCCACTCTCAGTGTTACAGCTGTGGACAAGGCAGACTCGGATATTCTGTCAGACAAAGCCATGTCTGTGAACATATTTCAGGTTGATCACACAAGCATGTTGAAGTCTTAGAATCGGTTTCAAGAACTGATGTTTAGGCCGGTCGAGAAGCCGCCACGGCGAGACCCAAAAGGGGCGCGGTGTTGGAACAAGAGACAGCAAGTCACATACCCGAGACACTACTCATGCGGCGTGTAGTTTGGTTACGAACCGGCATAATCAGCGTCAGTGGGTATAATGTGGAATACCAATGAGATTGTATTTGGTGTGTAGCTATAGTGTGCAGTATGATGAATAGATAATTCCGATACAGCGTGGTAGCAAACTTGACCGAAGTCAGTTGTGAGAAGTGAAAGATTCAACATATCCCGAAAACCCATCATCAAGACACAACTTTCGAAAAAAAAGTCAGAGGCCACTCCTCCCACTCCCCCCAAATCAAAGCTACGCTGGCAAGTGTGTGTTACCCGATACAACAGCCCTCACATTTATCAGTACCTCGATCTCAAACACTTCGCACCACAGGAGCCACTCGAGCCTTGATCAGATCTTCGGTTCTGTCCAGCCGACCAGCCACATAGACCGAAGCCGAAAGTCCTGGGTGGATCATGATGTTATGTACGTCTCGCTCTCCCCAGTTGTATTGGAACTCGTAATTTGGGCACCCAATCACTTTCATCCCGTGATCAGCTGCTGCGTAAATCGCCTTTCGGAGGTCAGTGTGACGATCGGCCTTTACTTCCCGGGTATCATCGCCCTTAAGATATGGCTTGAAGACTGATTCGAGATATAGGACGTATCCTTTTACAACATCCTCTGAGGAGACTTTTCCTTCGCCGTGATAAGCACCGAATTGATGGGCATGGATTGAAACTGCAGGGGAGACTAGAAAAGTCTTGAATCAGTCTTGAGTTGGAATAACCACCCACAGTGTCATAGAAGATGGAAACTTACGGTGAACTCCACGAATGGCTTCGCGTAATCGACGGAGACCACACAAGTCCACATACCAAAGTGGAAGAAGGCTTGAAGGAGGTGAGCCATCGAGAGAAACGGCATTCAAAAGTACCGACATGAAAATATAGTGTGCGACTTTTGATCGAGTGGTCTCATTCTGAAGGAGCGAGTAGATTTCCTCGGGAGTGCATTTGCGTTGGTTCGGGAAAGGCCTGGTATCTCTGCCGTCAGAGAAAAAGTCATCATCTGTCCCTTCCTTGAAGAGGGTGCCCTCTATCCTAGACGGAGAGTCGTCTCCTGGTACGATGGACTCGTCATTGTCAAGGATCCACTTCAAGATGAAATTGAGCACGGCTGTATTTGTTCCAGCGAACGAGTATTTCACAGAATCTGCATCCCATCCTTTGGGAGGTCCGTTTCTGGGAACGAGTGCTGGTGTGCCTGGAATTCTTGGCTGAAGTACGGCAGCATCTTCATGGGCTGTCAAGCGTTGCTTGCGCCGGTGACGGACAATTAAGAGGCGAGAAGATAAGATGATGAAAATACATAGAAGAGTAGAAAGCACCGTGACGACGGCAATAAAGGTCGGCATGTCCATCTCGGACGATTTGTGGGCAATTTCCAGTCTGCGGTTGTGAAGATTCAGGAGAAGATGAGAGCCGATGATGAAGAGTCAAAATCCCAATAGTAGCGAAGATTTTCGTTGCCCAGGAGCGAGAAGGGGAAAATGGGATCTCTTTGTTCACCTACCTTGGAGCTGCATTCCCGAATATGCAAGCAGCCGTTGTTTCGAAACCGGAACCGGGTCCTGGGAACGCCTCCTCAGTCTATCTCAGATGACCCGAGATGTCTTCAGCAAATAAAAATATCGAAAAGCCTCTTCGGACAACTCCGGCATTGATGTGACTCATTCGTCTCTGAAGTCAGATATGTTTTCCCGTGGAGGCGGTGGTGGACCTGTTATAGCTGATAAAAGTAGTCCGTGATGCAAAGGCGTCGCATCTCTGAGATGTCTGCTTTGTTAGATGGATATTCGGGTAACACAGACACCAGAGACTGGCGCTGGGCTGGAATTGAAGTCTCGTATTTCCAAGGATAGGTAGTGAGCTGCGGTTTCATGGAGACTGAGGCTGATCAATTGTGCCAGTGCACTGAGAAACCTGAACATCTCAGACTCGTTTGGAGACTCAGACCGCCTTGTCCTTCAGTCATGGTGGCAATACCCAGGAGACTGATATAGTGACGCGAAGAACTTGCCGCACTTTCCAAAAAAGAAAACCAAGAACTTTCATCTGTACCACGATTCAGCAAACTGCGACAATGGGCAGCACTCTCCCATTCCAGACTATGATTTGTGTGGACTTTGGTATGACAGGCTCGGGCATGTATCTCCTCATCACAAACAAAATGAAACTCGCCAGAAGAGCATACTAACATTGCATAGCGATTGCATGGCGAACGAGTCTCCGGTCGAGCTGGACCTCTATCGGAAAAATCCCCACAGCTTTGGCATATGATCCATTGGACAATAGAGGAACTCCCATCGCGTGGGGTCGAGGATGCGCAGACATGCGTGCAGACGAGGTCAAGCAGTGCTTCAAAGCATTCATGGGAAGTCCAGCCACCGTCTATGTCGCGAAAAATAAGCTGTAAGCCGAATTTCCACCTCTCCATGTTCTGTTTGTAACGGATGGTCCAATCGAAAGGAAGACGTTCCTTTGCTGACGACAGTATTCAATTGTATAGGTGGACCCCAGAATCTCCGGCTGAAGTGCATCGCTGGATCGAAGACTACCTTCATGATTTTTGTCGCCATGCTGCGGACACCATCAACACCGAGTTGGGTCGGGGCTGGCGATCGGGAGATGTGATATGGATTTTCAGCGTGCCCGGTAGATGGCTCGAGTACCCCGTTGTTGCCGACTTCAAGCGGCTTGCAGAGGAAGCCCTGAGGTCTTGCGACATCAGCAGCAATCCTCGCGTGGAAGTTTTGGCTACCGAAGCAGAGGCATCAGCGCAGAGCATCCTGAGCCAAGGCCAACTTGGTGCTGATAATTGCAACGAGAGATACGCTGTGGGTAACGTTGTCATATCGTGCGATATTGGCGGAGCAACCACTGATGTGGCAATCTCCGAAATTGTTGGCCCGGGAAAGCTGGCATCTCAGAGTCTGCTCAAATTGGAGCCGAGGGGCGTCGTGGCTTTCGAGCAGAGTTTCTGGGAGCATACTGAACGGATTCTCCGCAGTGCAGGAGTTCAGGAGCCCAGTAGGTGGGCATTGGAGATGACGAAAAGTGCCGGTCTCGCACGAGCCAGAAATCAATTCTCGAAGTCGTATGGGAATGTTGCCATTCGACTTCCAGAAGGATGCGTCGTTGAGGACGGGCAGCCTTCTTCTCAACCAGGACCAAGCAGGGATACCACAATACAGGATGGTAACCTTTGCATCCCAAGGTAAAGTACTTTCCATCACTCATTGTTACCCAAGTTGACATGCGACCATCGCAGTGTTGTTTTTGAAGGGTTCTTTACCGAATTTGTCGGAGAAATCGAAGAAGCCATTGATGAGGCCATCAATGTACTGAGATGTAGGTTCAGGAACAGCCCTGTAAGCAATCCGAGTCTCAAGCTGTTGGTACTATTTTCTGATGAGGAGAAGGCTGTCATAGGCCTTTGTGGTGGCGGATCCCTGATGCTCTACCTCCAGGCCAGATTGAAGGCCAGATATGAGCCTTCTGTGCCGGTCGCATGCCCTGATCACGCTGTGCTTTTGCCGTAAGTTCTTATGTTCCAATGATCACAATTCAACGAGTAATCCAAGAATATAGAGATTTGGCGACCAGCAGTGGCTTGGGTCTTGTGTACGACCACAGGGAATTGTCCAAATTCGGATCCGGTGCAGTCTTCGGCGTCGAGACGAGTAAAGGCACAGTGGAATGGATCACTGGCCAGGAGATCCCAGTAAGTCTACAGAATTACGTCAGAGTCTGTTCAAGACCGATACTGATTGGGTAGATGCTGAATTCGGGCTTCCAAAGGAACTCCTGGGTTTTCACCTTCACAGGCAAGTCTCGTGACAAGACTGTGAGGCACAGATTTATCACCGTGCCTGCAGCATCACAAGCTCCTCAGACTTTCAAAGAAGGTGAAGCCCAAATTTCCATCGAAAAAGAGTTTGCCAAGCTGACTTGAACAGCACAGCAAAGATTGCACTCTAAAGGTTGGGAGGTTGAGGTGGACTTGTACCGTGATGACCGCTTCGTTACGATACCTAAGAAGTATACTATTGCGTGCACTATCAGTCAGCCGGACGAGATTGTATTTGAAGCCCGACTGAAATCTGAAGGACAGCCGCTGTCCTGTCGCAGTAAGAGAACTGAGGAGTAGACAGACAAGCAACGACTCGTTGGCCGGTAGGAAAAGGAGGTATCGCATAAATTTGTATGATCATGGAAATCAATTGTGGTGTTGAAAACGTATTGTGTGCTTCCATCGTTGCCAGCGCAGATTTCTGATAAGAGATGGTTGAGAAGAACAGAGTTCGTGAGTACTGCAATGACCAGCCTGAAAAGAATGGCCGTGACGATCGGGGCAGGACATGTGAACACGCCAGCGTTGAACAGGAAGAATGCTTGACAACATAGGACTTGGCAAAGACTTGATGACAGCAATGATTCGAGGACAGATTAGACTTTCGCGAGGCTGGAAGAAGATCAAACGCTTTGAGGAATTCCGTATGCGAAATGAAACAGCTCCCATGGTGCACATAGATAAAACATGTTTATTGCCTCGCACGACGTCGACGTCTTCTACCTGCGACCGCCACGTCCTCGTGGGGACTTCATGACTCTGCCACCACTGCCTCTGTGACCACCTCCACTCCCACTTCGCTTATCCTCCCCCAAGCCTCTCCTCCCACTCGCAATTCCTCCACGGCCGCCTCTACCTCTATCTCCTACTCGGCCTCTGTAGCCGCCCCTTACTCTACCACGGAATGCATCCTTCGAAGAGCCACCGATCTGTTTCTTTACAGCCTTGATATCATCGTCATCCACATCCATCTCGTCATCGTCGTCTTGGTCCTTCTTATTAGAGAACTTTAGCCTGCCACCTCTACCCCTCTGCACAGCATCTCGCCCCTTGAGCGCCTTCACATACGCACCCACACCGCCCTCATCCTCATCCGCATGTCCACCAGGGTTATCAAGAATCATCACGTCGTCGTCATCGTCGCTATCACCACCAAGCAGCAGCTTGCCATCCAGATCCATCTTGGCTTTCGTCCTGACCACTGTTCTTTGCTTGAGTGGTTTAGTTGACGAGATGTTCGCCAGAGCTTTCCTGTCAAGGAGATCAAGTGGCTCTTCTTCATCCTCAACGATGTATGTCTTGCCGGATTTCTTGGCCGTCTTCTTGCTCTTGCCGAGGACTTCATTGTCCGAGACGTCGGAGCCATCTGATTCCTCGTCACTACCGTGTAGAGCCTCATCGTATTCACTCTCAAAGCGGCCCTTCCTCTTGCCAGATTCCTCGTCGCTATCTTCAGCGCCTGCTGCCTTGGCAGCTTCCTTTTGGCGCTTATTGCGTTCCTTGGTCTTGCGGATGTTGGAGATGAGTTTGCGGTCTTCTTCGGGGCAGTGCTTGTTTACTATGTCGACACCGAAACGACGAATCATGCGCTCGAGGATGTGCTTGACCTTTGCTTTGAAATGTGCTTTGTGCTCGTGGCTCCAGACCATAAGATTTGGGATCAAGGTTGGGAGACGTGCGAGCACCATCTCGGTGGGCAGACTAATGATGCAAACTTTCACGAAACCGAGGACGCTGCGCACAATTTCGCGGTTGTTGGACGTAAGAAAGAGATCCATGGTCTCGACGAGCCCAGCAATCGTCTCCGGAAGTAGAGCTCCGCGGAAGTGATAGAGGATACGAGTAAGTGCTGTAATACACGCAGAGTTCATATGTGGCGTGCTTCCCCCTAGACCCGCTCCAACCATAGTGAAATATTCTTCGAGAGTGGCTGGAACGGGCGGTGTGTCGTCCGGCATATGTGCTACTTTACCGTTCTGAATCATAGAACCGGGCGCAGCGGCGATCTTCTCACCCATCAGGACGAGAAGGTCGAAAGCTGCTGTTCGAGCTTTCTCATTGACTTCTTTACAGGAGATGACGACTTCTGCAAGGATGCCTGGGATGAAGTGGAGGGAGTCATTGGGGAGGAACGGAATGAGTGTAGAGATTGCTGTAAGTCTGTCTCTTTTCGCTGGGGCAGAAACTTTTTCGGCACTGTTGACGAGGAGCTGTTGTAGCTCTGTAGTCCGTTCTCGGAGGGCTTGTTGGCCAATCGGAGATTCTGCAAGTCGAGGAATGAGTTTGTATGCCTTTTTCTGCAGTTGGGGATCATCGTCCTTAAGGATAATGATTGAGGCGATATTGAACAACGTAGTGAAGCTCTCTCTTGGTAGATATATCGAGATGGTGATGACCAGATCCATAAGGGTATGACTGGTAGGTGGCATCTTATTGGCGGCATTCTGCTGCTTTTGCTTTTGCTTCTCAGCCTGCGTCTGGGCTCCTATCTCTGAAAGAGATGATTCGAGCAATTGAGTAACAGAATCGAAGGTCTTCATAAGCTCAGCAGAAGGAACGATACTCAAGTATGAGTTGATACATCTCAAGATATAACCTCGGTGGTGCGGTAATGTCTTGCTGTAAACATTGAACAGTACCGACAGCATGTTGCTTGCAAATGTTGATAAATGATCAAGGTTCTTCTGGGCAATGACCTTCGAGACCCTGCTTTGTAAAACAAGATCATCCTCCGATTCGATAGCAACAACAGCTCGGTTCGAATCGACTAGATTTTGGAGTCCTTTACAGATATCAGTCCGCAGATCAGCTTGTTGGTATAATAAGTTGGCTAGCAACTCTGCAAAAGATTGGTCAAAAGAGTCTGTAAGATCAAGCGGCAAATCACAGTAACCTGGGAAAATGGCCCATGTCTGTTGGACGACCGTCTCGAACAGCTTAACCTCCATTGTTTTCTCAGCCTCACCATGAGCCAGAACTTTGGCAAACATGATTTCACTAAGCGGGACGAACTCGGTCCTGAAGTGGCGCAAGCTGGTGTTGCTGACATAGTCTCGTAGAACCGGCAGCATCCAAGCCCTTCCAGGTTGCCCGGCTTTTGGCTTAGCAAGGTTCAGAGGTAGAATTCGAAGGACGCTATCTGGTCCCATTGCGCGAATCGCCTTTCCGATAATCTCATTGGCTTCCTTCTTGCCAGTGAATGACTCGTTCCCACGTAGTTCACCAATGGTTTTGACAACGTCTATCAAAATTGGATCAGCTCTCCAGCGGAGGCCATCAAACATGGCGCCCATAACATTGAAAGTCTCCATCCACGCAGCTTGGTATTTGACGCTCAGTAGCTCCATAGCTGCTTTTGCAAGCTTTTCCAAGATCTTCTCGTCAAAGATAGAGGGCTCCAGAAGGACAGAATCTGGTACGCAGTTCGCCATGAATGAAACCAAGCACTCAGAGGCAGAAACTCTAATGTTGTGTGATGCAGACGCCAAGAATCCCGAAATCAGGTTAAAAAGCTCAGGGAGCTTCTGAAAGGTCTCCTCGGGCTCGATTTGTGCAGCGACATCGTATCCTCTTGAGAGTACCGCAATCCAGGGTGGTAAGAGTTGGGAATCGTTCTGCGAAGGCCGAAGCTCCGAAATGACTTCCAAAAGTCGAGGAAGTTTTGAAGACGAGACCTGATCGGCCATCCCCTCGAAAATGATCTCGAAAACCTCGAAGGCGGCCATTGTCAGGTATTCGTTGGTCGATTTCGAAATATTCAACAAAACTTCACAAAGAGCTTCGATTTTCTTGCTCGGCCAGCCGCCAGATGCAGATGCCACGGTTTTCACCAATTGCAACGAGTGTATTAAAGCGGGCTCGTGTTCCGTCGTTTCGCTCTTCTTCTGCTTCTTCGCTTGGATCGACCGAGCAGCAAGCTCACTCAAACTTTTCAGTGCCGTCTCTGCACACATATCTGCCGCAGGGTGGTCGAGAGACACGCTTGGAGGGGGACTCTTGAGAACTTTTGTGATCGCATCTTGTGCCCTCTTTCTGATTTTCGGCCTGTGGTCCACCGCCAAATTCAAAAGTCCAGCAACCGCCCGACGAGGCCCAATTTGTGTTTGTCCCAGCTCCCATGCTGCCGAATCTTGTGCTATCAGCAGCGACTCGAGACATCCTATCGATGGTCGGAGAAGTGGTGCATCCGCCTCCGGGAGTGTCAATGCCGGGGCAAGACTTGTTAGAATTTGCGAGAACTTCGACTGAAGCAGCGGCTGAGGGGCATATGGAGTAACAACATCGAGCAGATAGACAACAGACGTTGCCAGTTCTTTATTTACACCAGAACTAGGGGTGGCTCTCCCGAGTAACGCCAGAAGTCCTGCGAAGTATCCAGTCGGGGTGGGCTCGGTCTTCTGATCTCGAAGAATGTCTTCCAGTGAAGACAGGACAATTTGTGTCTGGAGATTTCAGCAAGTGGTTGGGCTCGGGCTCTTTGCAGAGGCCAGGACCGGATTAATCGTACCTGTTGTTGATTTTGAAGCTTCGGCGAACGTATCTTGTCGAGCTTCTCTTCGAGAGACATCGTGAAGACGTGTAGGGCTCTTTGCGCCGTGGTGAGCGGGATGTGAAATTCAGAGCACCAGAAGTTCTCACGATGGAAAAAAAATGTTATCTTATCGGTCTGTCGGTGTTTGCAAGCGAAGAAGTCCCGCCCGCCGCAGCTGACCAGTAGGAGTGGCCTCGGTGGCCAGTAGTGGTCCAGTGGAGGAGCCAGGCAGCCCGGGCAGGGTCCACAGATAAGGTGGGGAAGATGAGCTTCCATTGACTGCAGGTGCAGGTGCAGGTGCCCAGTTTGCCCTACCTAGGTAGCTTGACGAATGGGTCTCGACTGGTCGGCTACTGCCATTTCGGACTGGAGGACTGGAGGACTGAAAGACTGGCTGTACGGTGCGATTCTGGAACATCCGGCTTCCGGTATCAAATATACGCGTGACAGCGCTGCCGCTTCTTTCAGGTTCACAGCACTCACGGGTACGGGTCTGGCCTAGGTAAATTACCTACCTACTACCTACCTAGACTGCTCTACTCTGCTCTGCTCTGCCCGGCTCGGCTCTGCTGCTGGACCAACAGGAATGCCCACCAGTGCCCAGGCTAAGGTAGTCATCATCCCATCCCCAGGTGGGCAAGGTAATTTGTATTCTACACTACTGGTATTGTTATTTGGGGACCCTGCTTCTTCTAGCTTCCATTGTTGTGCTTCTTCCTCACCTCACTCTCTGCTTCTCACTTCACTTATCCTTATCCTTATCCTCCCTCATATCTGGCTTCATCTTTCTTTACAATTTGCAAATATTACTTTGTTGTAATCTTTGCCCTCTGAGTCTCTCCTTGACATTTGTCTCCCGCCCGCGTCAGAGCTCTTTAGCCTTATCGCCCCATTGCATCATCCCATCCCAAGGCAAGGCGCATTACAGTACATTGCTGCAGCCTTCTCCTCCGACTTCGATCCCTCCTCATCAATCAACCTCTCAACCTCACTAGAAACAACAGTCATGCGTTTCTCAACCCTCTCCCTCCTCGCTCTGCCAGTATTGGCTGCTGCGCAAGAGTCCCCTCTCGAGCAAGCAAAGGCTCAAGCCCAGTTCTATTTCGACAAGATCGCATCTTACATTCCAAACCCTAACAAGGCGCACACTCCTGAGGCTGCCGCTGCTAAGGCTGGAGGTAGGACATTGAACATCTTGACCCTCGGCGACTGGGAGAAGACCATCCGCTCAAGTGTCAAGCCGGCAGCCACTACCCCAGAGGAGTGGTGGGTTCTCGTTACTGGAGGAAACACCACTTGCTTTGGCCAGTGTGCTAAAATGGAGAAAGCATTCAATGAGACTGCTCTCTTGTGGACCGCCAACCCAGCTGCTCCTCACTTGGCCTACTTGAACTGCGACAACCAGCCAGTTCTCTGCAACTCGTGGAGCGCCGGACCTCCAGCACTTTGGATCTTGGATGTTCTCCCCAAGCCAGCTCCTGTCACTATCCGAACCCGGAGACTGAATACTACCACCACCGAGGTCAAGACCTTCACAGATCTCCTCTCCAGCCAATCTTACAAGGAGTTGGAGGTCTACGAGGGTGTCTTCCACCCATTCGACGGCTTCTTCGCTAAGAACCACCTCGCCGTTCCTCTTGGATACTTCTTCTGGGTCTTCGCTGTCATCCCCTCATGGTTGTTCATGATCGGTATTTCCTTTGCGAGCAGAACCATCATGTTAGTAGTCAGCTATGAGAAATGAAGACTGTATACTGACTACATTTACAGGAGCAACAGAGCAGCCGCACCCCAAGGTCGCAGACCAGCCGCCCCAGCTACTGCAGCTCGTGTAAGTAATTCCATGCAAGGAAAACATCCGCTTCTAGCTAACTAGAGACTAGTAAAACTTCGTTGACGAGGAAGGGATACATCTCCCAAAAGGAAACTGGTTAGGTTGGATACGGAACTCTGCTTCATCTTGTCATGTCGGGAGACGATTATATAGTGATCATAATTTCCATTGGGTATCAAAAACTCCTGTAATGCTGTAGAAATCAAAACATTGAACAAAATCATCCATCATCTCTTATCGCATGAACTTTCCAGTCTCTCCAACCCCCCAATGACTTGCTCACGAAGCTGGCCATTGGCCAGTCGACCATATCGTAAATCGCTCAAGCTACCAACATTGCTCTGCATCTCTGCCAACAGCGCCTCAGCTTCCTCATCCAACCTCCGTATCTCGTCTTCTACCTCTTCAACAGCGCTCTCCAACTCCGGTAATATCGAGCTCAATGTATGCGGTTTTGATACTGGCAGGTTCGACGTAGGACCAAACAGCTGGATGATAAATTAGTACGGTAAATATGAATCTGCGGGACTGAGACGGATTATGGAACCTACAGCCCTCTCCACATCGACCTCATCATCCTGCTGCTCCCTCTCAGCCTCTTTCCGAGCTCTGGCTACCTCTCTGCGCTGCGCCTTGCCCCGCTTGACTTCTGCTGCAATATTCCGGCTCACGGCGTCAGTCAGTCGGGCTCGTTGATGCTGTAGGTCTCTGTAGAGGGCTTTGATTTGCGGAGAAGATTGCTGAGATCGTGGGAAGAGTTCGGTGAATGCTTTGAGGGTTATGATTGTTGGTAGAGGAGCGGGGGATAGTAGGAAGGTTGAGAGGATTGTTTCTTCTGTTGGCGCCATGGTGTTTGGCTGTGGAGGAGTGAAGTTGACAGTGTAGTGTGATCGATTGTATATAATCTAGGCAATGAAGAAGGGTAGCTAGATTGCCTTCGACTTCGTGGTACCTTCTGTTGTAAATAAAATGACGAGGCTTTGTTGTCGCAAGGCTGAACAAGGGAGTGGGACGCGTTGAGGGTTGGCTTTGACGCGCTTCTCGGCTGGCAGCAAACAGAACCTTGCAGTCTCGAGCGAATCGACCTTACTCAGGCATATATTCTTTCACCATCACTTACACATCCCTTGAACATCACAATCGCCACAGCCAGGAGACCGATCAACTTTAGATCTCACTTTCAAGCTCTTTGGTATCTGTTCTTTGGGGTTTTGGATACGACATGGCTCCATCAAAAGCTGCTGCAGCGAGCTCCCCCTATGCGAAGGATGAGCGGGTCCTTTGTTTTCACCATGAGATGCTCTATGAGGCCAAGATCCTGGACGTGAGAAAGACGGATGACAACGATACTCATTCGTGGCAGTACAAGATTCATTATAAGGGCTGGAAGAATACGGTGAGTGTATTTGACATGCTGTGACGGATGAGATTCGTGTGCTAACTGCTGGCAGTGAGTGCATTTCTGGAAGGTTCAACTCGTTGGGATCTTTGGCTGCTCTTCCCTTCCCAAGTGGGAAAGAACGCAGCAGTCAACTCTTCCCTGCGAAACTGCATCCTCCATTTTCCTTTCGTCACTTCTGCTCCCTCCTGTCTAGAAGCAATCCCCAACCCTCAATCCCGCAACATTTATCCCCTTTCTTCAAGTCATGTGGTTTCCCCCTCTATTTCGATACTCCAAAAACGTTCCTGACAACGTGCAAAATCACAGCTGGGACGACTGGGTGCCACAAGACCGCGTCCGCAAGTTCACAGAAGAGAACAAAGAACTTGCCGCCCAACTTCACAATCAAATGAAGGCGCTTCAGACCAGAGGAGGACCGAAGTCCACGACAAAGGGCAGAGGCGGCCGTGCCAACGGCTCGGACTTCAGCTCGGCTCGTGGCAGTGAGGAGCGTTATGCTTCGGCTGCTGCTCAGAGCGGACGTGGTGGTGCTCGGAGACATAGAGATTATGATCTTGAACCTGTGAGTCTATCCATTTCTTTTGTTTAGTTTGGCTTCATGGGTCTTGTCTCGCTGGGGACGAGCTTCCGATTGTCTCGTAAGGACGGGATCTTACCTGCTGGCTGTTATCGTTCTGGAAATGCCTGGATTGGACCGACTTAGTCTCTCGCAAATGCTTTGAAGTTGATTTCCTGGATCTCCGCTGCTCGACTAGCGCAACAACAGCCATTTTGGAAGGCTGTCAAAGCGAAAGGAAATGACCATTTCTTTCCACAACATTCTGCCTCAATAGCAGTGGGAGGAACCCTTTGACGACTGCAACATGTCGCATAAATCTTTTGTCATGTATGCATGCCTGGAAAAATATGAAATATGGAACAACTTCCTCCAGACAGACAAGTCTTCCACCTGCCTTCAGATTTTCATCGACTACCTTCCTCTCCTACACACTACTTCGTCGAGGAAACCTGGGATATACAACACTCGATTACGGATTTGTGACCGTCCTTTGCGCGGCCCTTGACGATGCTTGTTCTTCACTCAGATGACCTTGATTTGGGATCTGATGAGACGGTCTCCGAAGACTGGAGCTCAATGTACAACCCAAGTGTAAGTAACTTTATAACCTCTACCACGCAAGACTAACTTGCGATTCAAGTGCTGTGGATGTCGGAATCATGTCCGACCAAGAGGTCGATACGGGTCAAGTGCTGATCCGATGCCGCAACGTTCAGACGCAAGTCTCCATCGCCTACCAGGACCCGCAGCCATGGATTCTGAGGCCGTCACTTTACAGAACGAGGGTATCTCGAGAATACTGCAATGGCGCAACCGAGTGGAAGACTATCATTTAACAAGTCCGTTGGGGGAAGCTCCTTGGATCAATCGTTAGGAGCCCACGTCGGGAGCCATATTGCAAGTCACACGTTGAGTAAAGTTTTTGCAACACTACAATGCTTACAAGTGCCCTCTTACTTACGAAGGGGCGCTAAAGAACCCACCTCCTCAATTATCCATGTAGGCGCGGACGTGTTGTTTCGCTTGTCGAAGGTGAAGTCAGGAGAAGGCGAAAATCGGCAGAATCCCAGCCGAAGGCCTTCTTCCTCCGCCGCCGCTCCCAAATCAAGCTCCCAATCTGCGCACAGTGTACCTGGTTACGGCTCCATTGGAAACGCCCAAATTGCTTTGCACCATCTTGTACCATCAGTTGATGAAAGAGTTGTAAGTAAAATTCCAATTATTCGCTGAATCCTGCTGACACTCAAGTTTGTAGGATGTCGATGCAATGTCTCCCATCAGCTGGAAGGTCACCCCCAAGGGCTCGAAGGAAAACTCCAGATCGATTTACCAAGGATGCGCAACTACCGAAGAAGTTCCTCCTTGTCCATCAATCAAAGGCACTGTGCCTTTCCCTGTCACCGATGATATTGTGAGTGCTCTGTGTTCTGCTAGCATCTTGTCGCGCCTCTACTGATCCATCTCCCAGGCTCAATATCCCGTTTCCCGTGTGACTGATACCTGCTACCAGTCGCATGACAGCATGAGTAAAGCGAACAACAGTTCATTGAAGTCAAAGTCCCCAGGCAAAGACCCTGTCAATACCATCATGTCTCCCTCGCCTCAGCGCGTCAAACTGGTCTTCAAGTCCTGGGTATCCAAAACATCTTCAACCACCACAGGCGCAACAATCATATCCATTGCCAAATCTGATGTCTCCAACGATCTGCCCATAACCTCTGCCAGTAGGAGAAGATCGACGCGCGCGATCAAGCCATCACCCAAGGCAATCAGCTCGGGCTTGACTATCGTACCAGCCCCAGCGCGTACCTTGAAGCGCAAGGCAGCTTCAGAAGACTTCACAACCGAAGATAAGCATTTCACAAAGACAGCACTCACACATACTCCTAAGAAGAGGAAGGCCATTTCAGCAGCTGTCTCGGTCGTTGAAAAGCCTCTCTGCAAGGCTACTGACAAGGCTGGGAACAAGGCTGAGCACAAACAGAAATCCGCTAGCAAGAAGCGAAAGGCGTCTGATTGCGATATCAACAACGAAACACACAAGACCGTAGATAAACTTGCTACCGCAGTTGCTCCTCATCCAAAGCGTGTCCGCAAATCGCGAAACAAGACCATGGACCTGTCGGAGGACATCACAGATAACTCAAATGAGCCCATTGCTACCAGTGCTGTCGTTCCTGGCAGTCGCGCAATACGTGCTGTCCGTCGAAATGGAGAAGAAGGAGATGCTGAAGCCGTCGCTCTTGACACTGAGAAATCTAGATCGAAGCGCAAATACCAATCTTGGGCTGACCCTAAGAGCTCCGAATGGGACGTTCTCCGTTTCCTTCATGACAATGACATGCTCGCCCAAGATAATCTCTTGCAGCTTCCTCCCAAGAATTTTGAATACGTCGATGAAGTTGCCGGCAAGCTCAGAAATCCAAACAAGTACGCGTACTCTCACTCGAAGCCAGCTAAGGCAGCGGCCCCACACCCTAAGGTCCTTGAGCACATCAGAAATGGAACAGATACCGAGATAATTAGGCTGTACTACGAGGACATGCCTCGCCATAGGGTCGTACCATTTGCAGGGAGGATCGAAATCCCGGAGACTGGTAGTGGATGGAAGCCGGGTCCTCCAAGAAGAGGCCGTCGTGCTCGCTTGGCTAAGCCTGGGTCTTTGCCTGCTGCTGGCGCTCCAACCTCTGATGGCTCACCTGCTTCCACGGTTGAGAATGTTGATGAAAGTTCATCTTTATCCTCAGCGCCGTTGACGTCGAACTCTGTGCCAGCTTTGACCCCCTTTTCGTCTTCTACTCCTGCATCGACTCCGACCAAGAAGACACCTAGCGACCCAGCAGACAAGATCTTCAAATTATGGCCAAGACTTGCTGCCAAATATGATGTACTAACAAATTGTGACATACAGGAGGAGACTTTCCACACTAGGCCATCAATCCACCTTCCAGTACCAGACCATATCAAGGCAATTCTCGTCGATGATTGGGAGAATGTCACCAAGAACCAACAACTTGTTCCCCTTCCAGCTGCTCAGCCTGTCAACAAGATCTTGGATGACTACCTCGATTACGAGCAACCAAGACGCCAAGCCGGAACTGCTCAATATGATATTCTCCTAGAGGTCATTGCTGGTCTGAAGGAATACTTCGAAAAGACCCTTGGTCGCATTCTCTTGTACCGGTAAGGCTTCTAACTTCATGCACCTGCACATCTTCTGATAGAATTCTGCAGCTTCGAGCGCAGTCAATACATCGAAGTTCGTGAAGGTTTCAACAAGGATACTGGTGACTTTGCCGGCAAGACTGTTGGTGATACTTATGGTGCAGAGCACTTGTGCCGCCTCATTGGTTGGTAGCCCCTATCTGCCACTTACATATACAGAACTGACAAGTCCAAAGTTACCCTTCCAGAGCTCATTGCTCAGACCAATATGGACGCTCAGTCTTCGAATCGCCTTCGTGAAGAGCTTACCAAATTAACCATCTGGATCGGACGCAATGTCACCAAGTACTTTGTCAGCGAATACGAGACTCCCAGCCCAGAATATGTTGAGAAGGCCCGCAGCGGATAGGTATTCATAGGAATGGCATGGGAATGGAGAATGGCGTCAATTGTGATTGGAATCGCGGCACTCCGTGTTTAATGCACCTGTATACTACTGGCTTCCTTGTGCTGCTTTTGTTTTGCAAGAGGTCGTCATCTGGAGGAATATATTTGCTCTAGCAGTGACTACTGGACGATGACAGTCGGGTAGCACTCACCTTTTGTTCGGCAATCAATCATCGCATTCAGAGTTTCCTTGGATTGCCACTGGGCCTGCCTTGAAGTCAACTTGCTAGGACTGTATGATAGACATTAGTGGAAGCAGTTTGGGGCTGTTCTGCTTGGAATCCCATGCATGATTGGTCTCAGTTCTTGATGCTAGTGACATGGTTTATCTCTTCTTCTCCGTCAACATGAAGCCCAGCTCCCTCACAAGCAAGACTTCAAGGTTTCTTTCAACTCCACCTCGCAAGGAGTATCTCAACCTCTGACGTTGCCTGATCGCCGAATAACCAAGGGTGGACTCGGGGCATGGTTTTCCTTATTGTGTTGAGAGAGTAGGTAGTGGGCATTGGTGGATTTCTGATGCTTCATTGGCTTTGTATAATCCTGACTATAGTTGTACATCAAACCCTAGGGGCAGTACTATCTCTACCCCTGATGACCGCAGTCAATTCCCAAATTCCCATTGTATGTTACATCTCGATAAGGCCTGATACGAACTGAGAACCTTCGAGGCCGTCTGTCCATTCTGTACAACGAGCCGTCTTGCAAAGTTGTATTTTGAGGCTCGACATTTTGATAAGACAGCATGTTTCTCGCCACATAGCCCGTCTGATCAAAACCTCCTTCCAGCAACTAGCATACACCATAATCCTCACACATTGTCTTTCACACTTCCATCCGTCCTCCATCACCGTGGTACTGCTTTCTCCATGTAAAAACCCGGATCTGGTTTCCTCTCCGCACGCAGTTCTTGCGCCGTCAACGCCCTGTCCACTTCTCTCACCGACACCAATTCCTTGACTTTCATTATCTGACCTGCGACTTCGGGGGTGACGGGGTAGAAGACGGTCTTCATTCGTGTGCGGAGGCCGAGTGCTTTGAGGACGCCTTGGGTTCGTTTTGTAAGGCCGATGCCTGATCGCATGAGAGTTATTCGAAAGTAAGACATTGTGACTACGTTCACCGTTAATGACAGAGTCGAATACAAGTTTCTGGAGGACGTACCTTGTCTCCTGAAGACGATTGCCCTGTCTTGACGTTGAAAGGTAGTGGTTGATGTCGCGAAGTTTCCTTGAAGATCATCAACATCCTAGCTCGGCTTATTCCGAAGCCGAGCTAAACCATACATACAGCAACATCTCGACACATTCTCAAACACGAGCATGGCTTGAACTACCTAGGAAGACAGCATTTTACAGCATTCATCGCCTTCGAAATGACGATGGACAGCTCGACCGTCAAGCTCGCCGAGCTCCTACGGCATCCGGACGATCTGGACAAGATACCAGACAAGAAGCTGGAATACGTACGAAAGAAGGCCGCGGTCGATTCGCAGCTCCGCAGCGGATTGAAAGAGCAATTAGAGATCACACAGTCGGGTATGAATGGGATTACGGATGGGCAGAGGACGGTGCAGCTCATCAAGGAGGAAATGATGAAGATAGACAAGCTTTGTGCTGAGGCGCAGAACATGATTAGGGATTTCCCCAATATCAATCTAGTCAGCCAGACGCACAGGAATTTCAGTGCTGTCGAGACCATGCGGATGAATCTGGATAGCTTCAATGATCGACTGAATCGGATTGAAGCCTTGTTGAGGGAGGACGATGCGGATCCAGAGAACATGCCGAACCTGCTAGCTGTGCATTACGAGTTGACGCAGCTGAGGAATATAAGGGATGATGCAATGGAGCAAATCGAGAGGGCGGATGATCCGAGTGCGCAGAATACGCTGGAGGAGTACTTTGCGCGTTTGGAGGAAACCGTAGAATGGTTCGATGAGCATGTTGGAACAATTGCGCTGAATCTAATTAATGTGCTTATCAATGGGAATAATGGGCTGGTGGTGAGGTTGTCAGTCATCATTGAGGCGGAAGAGAGCAGTGATAAGAGAGTAAAGGCACTGCAGGAAGCGCTAAAAGATCACAAGGAGATGGCTGCTAGGTTTCAAAGCATCACGGATGGAGCGAAGCAGGTTAGGGGATACAAGGAGAAGTTCTTACAGGCCATACAGATACACGCCGAGGAACAGATCAACGAGTCAAAGCAAGCTTTCCTGGAGGACCCGTCAAGGATAGACAAAAATCTGAAGTGGTTCTTCAACGATTTGAATGCTGTCAAGCAGGGCATGGTACCCTTGATGCCCAAGAAGTGGAAGATATTCCAGACGTATGGAAAGATTTATCACCAGCTCATGCACGACTTTCTGATCGGTATGGTTGATGATCCAGACACGGATTCCGCACACATGCTTTCCATCCTCAACTGGCCGGAGAAGTACTACCAAAAAATGGCGAAGCTTGGCTTCAAACAGGAAGAGCTCAAGCCTCTAGTTCTGGATGGTCGAGAACCTGAGCTGGTCAGAGATTTCCGACAGCTCGTTATCAAATACTTGGACGAATGGCTGGATCGCATCTTCAAGACTGAGCAGAATGACTTTATGGAGCGGAGTGTTGAAGGAGGGAATCTGGATGCTGATGAGTATGGGTACTTCCGGACCAAGAATTTGGTCGACATGTGGCGGATGCTGCGAGAGCAGATTGATTCTGCTGGCACGTCACAGCGCATGGATGTTGTTGAAGGTGTGATTGATGCCATGATCCTGCGGCTGAAGACGAGACAGGCAAATTGGGAGAAGATGCTTGACGAGGAGGCAGCCAAGTACTATGTTAATCCTGAACTTGATCTACTTCCGGCTCTACAGGATTGGCTCGTCGCTACTGCAAATGACCAGATAGCTTGCATTGATGACAACGAGGACGCTGGGAGATTTGCATACCTCACGAGTTTCCGCCAGAAATTCGAGCCTTTGGTATCGCCTCAGTATCTTGAGAGAGTGGATGGCGATATTGCCGATCTACGGAATGTCTATGTTGATTTCAGCACCCACTGCATAGCCAAGTTCGCCCAACTAGTCTTCGCTGTGGACTTCCGAACCGTCATGCCAGACTTCTTCACGCCAAGATGGTACTCTACCACCGCCATCAAGCAGATGATCGTCACATTTGATGAATACGTCAGCGACTACAAAGTCGTACTGCATCATTCTCTCCTCGACATCTTTATCGAGGAACTCGCCGATGAGCTTCTCGTCCGCTACCTCACCAGCGTGCGCAACAAAGGTGCCAAGTTCAAGCGTCAAGACCCGTACAAAGACAAGCTCTTCAACGACGTCTCCACAGCCTTTGAGTTTTTCACTGAGAACAGCCACCTCAGTCCTGATGTTGGTGAGGCTATCAAGCAGAAATGGCGAGTTACGGAACGTTTCCTGGAACTTATTGAGGCCGATAAGGCGGTCATTCCGGAGGTGTTTGCGGCGTTCAAAATGGACTATTGGGATTTGCAGCTTAGTTGGGTGGAGGCTGTGCTGAGGGCCAGGGATGATTTTGATAGAGGGATGCTGAATGCTGTGAAGGCGAGGGCGGCGCAGATTGATGTTGTGAGAGGATTGGAAACTATCATGATGAAGGTTAAATAGGCTGGAATCTCGGGATGTGAAGTGAGGCATGGATGTTTGGTATATTTTGGGAGCGTGGAGTTGAGGAGCATCTTCGGCGTCTAGGAACGAAGGGGATTGATCTATACCAACTTGGGATGTGTACCAGCTAGATCATGTAATTATACCAAGGAACTGTATGGAATTGAACGCAACCACGAATATTGAGCCACGTCGCGAGACCGAAGGCAACTTGGTGACATCGAACAGGTGGAGGCGCTGTACTGTTAAGACATATCACGTGCCCATGCTGTATTGACTTTCCAATTGAGGTGGTGACGCGTTACGCGATCAACGACTGCCGGACTCTCAAGAACCAATACCCCTCAGCACCAACATGTAACGAACACAACACCGAGCCAATAACCAAATACCTCAAAATGGTACGTATAATTTCAGTATTTCTATCAATATATTCATCAAAGATTGGAACTTAGAATGGACCATCGTCTGACAAACACTCAAACACAGGCCCCAGAACCCGGAATCCTCAAACGACAGCGCTCGCGTCCATCGGACTGGTGGGCTGCGAAACCAACGGTTGCCGAGCCTGCTCCTGCTCCTCACGCTTCTGCGACAAGTACAAGAGATGGAGACAGAGAAATGCAAGTGGGAGAGAATGGGAGTGAGAAGAAGAAGAGGGGCAGGCCTTCGGCTGGTGGAGGGGGCATTACAGAAAAGATGGCGGCGGGGAATAGAGGGAGGAAGGGAAATGAGGCAGATACCGGGATATCCAACAAAATTGGTGCTGCGAACAGGGAGAAAGAGAAACCTTTGAGGAGGGGTCGCTCAAGTGCTGGGGAGGCGGATATCAGAGCTTTAGGCCTAGGCGAAGGAGAGAAAGCTCAGGGTGCGAAGAAGAAAGCTGTCCGGGACCTTGATGTCAAAGAAGCTACAGATAATGAGAAGCCGTCAAGGAGGGGGCGCTCGAGTGCTGGGGAGGGGGAATTGAAGTTGGGCCAGGCGTCCCGAGCGATGGATACGGATAGGACAAATGCGATGACAGTGAGGCAACGGGGGAGGCCGGCCGCTGTTGTGGCAGAGGAGGATTTTGTGGATGGGAGTGAAGAGCAGGTTGCACCTACTAGGAGAGGTAGACCTTCCGCTGCTCAAGCTGAGGAACAGGTTGGTGGTCTATCGGGAGAGCAGGCCAAAGACACCACAGCGCCAAAAAGACGAAGTCGGCGATCCCTTGCTGCTGTTGAGGATCAAGTTGAGGACGTCTTGGAGTCTGGAAATTCTAGAGAGGAGATCGGGTCATCAACTCGAGGCCGACATACTGCGGCATCAGCTAGAAAACAGCCGGAAGAACGATTGCTGGATGCCACAAAGAAGCGCGGGAGACCAGCACTTCCTCCTTCTGAGTCACCCGCCAAATCTACATCAGCTTCGGATAACCGAATCGCCAAGAAGCGCGGTCGGCCTGCTGCAGAGAAAACACCAGCAGAGATTGCTCCTGAACTTCCAGAGCCTAAAAAGAAACGTACTCGCCAGTCCGATGCTGAAATTATCCAGCCAGAGGGTGAGAGTGTGCTAAATGAAAGCACTCCGGCACGAGGTCGGACTCGCCACAGACAACCGGATGTAGTGGAGAAGGAGCCATCGTACCAAGATAAGAATCTCAAACGCAAGAGGACTCGCGAGTCTAATGTGCAAGGCGGAGATGGAGATGTTGAAGCTGAGGACAGGGGAAGGAGGACGAGAAGATCAGACCTCGGATCTCATCAAGTTGTACCTGAGCCAGGGGTGACAAATTCGAGCAGAACGACCAAGTCTAATCGACGATCGGAAGTCGTTGCGGTGGAACATGCTTCTTCAAAACTTACGAAGATTCCTGGCGGAAAGCGATCGAAACCCTCTGGCACTACCTCTCATGCTAAGAAAGGTGCTTCCTCTACTCAAACATCAACAGATGCTAAGAAAGCTACGCGACAATCTAATGGTACTTCTTCGGCACCCTCCCAAACCAACAAGAAAGGCTCAAATCGAGTTTTAACTTTTCCTCAAGTCGAAGCTCCTCCGCGAAAACGCAAAGGCCTTGAAAGTGAGTTTACGTAATACTCAAGACTGCATTGTATTTCACTGACATCGTCTAGAAGCAGAGTCTGCACCATTCAAACGCCAGCGAATTGAGAAATCACCGGAAGCAGAAGTGGACTTGCTCAACTATCAACATCTTAAGGCAGTCACCAGAAACGTGTTACGGCAGACAATTGAGGCCAAATGGGAGGCTCTTCCCCCGACAGCAATTGATCGCATCGCCCAATTGCTGAGTGATCTTCAGAGGCCTGTCATTGCTCATCTCAATGACGAACGGAAGAAAACCCAAGCGAGCACGGCTGTAGAAGCAGTTGCACGTAAACTTGTAAGGAAGTTTTCGAGAGGTCTTCCATTCCCACCTGGCACACGGAACCATCGAGAGGACGATTTCGATTTTGAGAAGATATTGGATCACAATCGGGCATTAGAGGCGCAGCTCACACCGGCACTCCATTCGAACGAGCTGCTTGAGGCAGAATTAAGCAAGGAGTTGGCAAAGCTGGAGTTAGATAAGGAATTGCTCGCAGAGCTGGAGACGAATGCAAAGTCCGAGGCTTCAGTGCGAAATCAAGCTGCTCGAAAGTTGCATTCGGTCCTGCAACCAGATGAATCGCTAGGGGAGACTGAGTTATTGAATGGTGATATTGGTCTCAATGTCGACCGACAGCTCCAGCCATTGGATCTCGGGGTAAGTTTGCCCTTTACAGAAATGTTTTCCTTCAGCTAATTGATCTAAAGGTCCAAGACGACGGGAATCTGAAAGCCCTGATGGAAGAACTTAACGGTCACGTGGACTCTATTCAGAGCAATATCAAGCAGGTTCAGGGGATCTCACAAGCAATGGCGAAGAGCAGAGCGGCTGTTCAAGCCACCTTGTTTGATCACCTTGACAACTCATTGTATGATGATGTTATGTTAGGCGCAGAAGAGCGAGTGTAAAGATTGTACACGGACTGGATTGGGTTTGATTGTGACCCGACCACAAGGCTGCGCTGCATAGCATAGGTGGGATAGAATAGGATGCGAATGGAGGCTCGGCGTTTGGGAACAGACGACATGGACACGACCTTGTAATTTGATGATGCGCATGCATACCCACCTTGTTATGATGAAATACCCACCTGCACATATCCAATTATAAATACCCAAATGGTTTTGTCACATGTATAATTTTCAGTCATTGGTCGCAAAATATAAGTGCGTGCATGATGTGCCTGACAGCTCCATTTGCCTTGCCCACTGAAGGCTAGCTCCGGAGCCCCGCGAATTGGATTCATCAACACCACGTCTGAGCCGTTGAGCACCACAATCGATGCGCAAATCCTCCTAGCACCTTCGTACGTTGTGTAATTAGACACGCAGTAGTAAGAGCCCCTTTCTGTGTCCACGGATTTGCGCTGACGAATTTGGGCAGCTTCAATCGGACAGGTTGGGTCGAGACCTGCTCCCACAACGGCGCCTGTCGCAACCCGATGGGACACTCATAACAAAGGCTCCGATGCCATGGAAAAGAACGGAGCAAGCAATGGGCAGGATGCGAAGCCCCAAAAGTCGCCTCCTGCGTCTGGCGCAAGCAAGAGTCCGAAGAAGAGGCGTAAAGTTAATCATGGTATTTTCACCAGAAGCCAGCCAGCCAGCCGAGCCCGGCCAGCAGCTTCAAGTCCTTCCTCTGAAACATTTGCTGATCTGAGGGCGCGTTCCTGCAGCTTGTGTGTATTGTCGCCGATCCGTAAGTCCGCCATTGGCTCCCAAATACATTATCAGGGAGTCACTCCCTTGGAATCTGTGTGTATGCGCAAATCTCTGGCACAAGCTGATTCGATTTGTATCTGGGTAGCATATGACATGCGATTTGGTACGGCCCCTTCCAATATATGCAGCTACTCGTGCTACACAGTGTCCCATGACTAACTGCTCTCCTGTTGCACAGGAACGCCCATGTGCACGCTGTATAAAGCGTAATATCGGACACCTTTGCCATGATGAGCCCCGCGAACCGGAATCGGCCACGAAGAAGGCGAAGAGCCAACATACCAATTCTGCGCCGGAAGAGGATGGGTCGCCGCAAGAGCCTGTGCAGCAGGGAACTGTAGACCACGGCAACGGTATGAACAGCTCGTTCGACCAAGCTCAAGCACAATCGCAAGATAACAATAGCCTCACGTTGGGCACTGCTGCACTCTCCCAATCTCAGGGCGGCCCATTACAGCTCGTTCAGCCCTCACCGGTGTCGGGCATCCAAGCAAATGCTTTTAATAGCAACAGCAACCAGTGTAAGGCCTAGACCACTTTTTCCTTCTGGTAAAACCATTTATTGACAATACAGTCATCGGATACTCGAGCGACTGGCTAGGATCACAGAACCAATTTCAAGATATGCATAACTACCACCCCTCGTACATGTTCAACGCGCCAGAAGTTACCAATGAGTACAACCTCTTGAACGATTTCCTAAACAACAGCTTGCTCGACGACGGTGCCCTGCTCCCCGAAGATACCTCCGGCTTCTTCAACGATCAGTCTGGAGCCATGTTACCAGGGGCTTCCAACAATAATGCTGGTCCATCGGGAACTCAGCCGTCAACGATGCTGAGTTCCGGAAACCCACAAGCAGGGGCAATTTCTAGGCCGGCGAGCGTCATACCGACAGACAAAGCACGCGAGTACTACCTCCAAGCCGCAGATCCAACTGGCAACGATGCGCCGGAGGAGCGAATGCAGCGGCTACTCCGAGCGAAGTACGATGCGGGAATGCTGAAGCCATTCAATTACGTGAAAGGCTACGCGCGATTATCAGCCTACATGGATAGTCATCTGCATGCGGCCCAGAAGCAGAAGATTCTTCGACAGCTTGACCGTTTCAGGCCTAAATTCCGAGAGAAGGTCCAAGCCTTGACCGATATCGAGCTCATCTATGTTGAGATGTGGTTTGAGCGCAGTCTCATGGAATACGATCGTGTGTTTGCGAGCATGGCTATACCTGCGTGTTGTTGGCGGCGAACAGGCGAGATTTTCAGGGGTAATAAGGAGATGGCAGAGTTGATACATGTGCCGATAGAGCAATTGCGAGATGTGAGTTGTGACGGTCTGCCGCTTGGATGTCGCTGACTCGTATGAAAGGGCAAGATTGCGATCCACGAGATTCTCGCTGAGGAATCACTCGTAAATTACTGGGAGAAGTTTGGGGCCATTGCATTCGATCAGAGTCAAAAGGCATTGTTGACAAGCTGCTCCTTAAAGAATCCAGACGACCAGTCGAAAGATCCCACGATCAAGTGCTGCTTCTCTTTCACGATAAGAAGAGATGACCACAAGATGTAAGTTCCCAGTGTTACATATCGGCTTTGATACCCTGCTGATTCGATCGTAGCCCGTCCCTAATTGTTGGTAATTTCCTGCCACAGGATCCGGTAAAACGCTAGGATGGTTAATATCATCAAAATTTTCTTGTAGATGCTAGGGTGATAAGCATATAAATCTTGCTACTGTAGGTTGGCGTTCATAGGTGTTTGGCCAGCGCCTTCAGCGGGGCGGACCGAGCCTTGAGAAGATATCTAAAGCTCTTGCATTTCTCTTGTAAATCAATTCACAGAACAAAATCGAACGTCTCTTTCGCGTCATCCTCTACTTTCTACTCTTTTGTTTTCTTCTAATTTGTCTGGAGATACCTTCAAACACCTAGAGCGATGCCCTGTCGCTCCAGTCAATTGACGGGAAGTTCGCTAAAATTCTGGTGACATTTCCATCTTTCTCCCCACTCCTTTCTTCCGCGCACCGACTCAAAGGTCAACACCATGGCTCCAGAGAAGAACCGCTCAGGTCCACAGAAAGACCACCGATTGAAGACTGTCCTTTGTGAGTTGTGTCTAGCTTGTGATCCGCGGCATTTCTGATTCTTGATTGCAGCCTACGCCGCAGACCTTGAAGCTGCCTTGCCAGCAGCTGCAGCTTCTAAAATATCAACCTCGACAGCCCAGGAGCTCGAAAAGCAAATATCCATCTTCCCCGATAGTCTCTCCATCTCAGCAACATCAAAATGCGAGGAACTAGACCGCATTGGAACGACGATCTGGAATCTCTGCACCCGGCTTCGACGCGATTACGACACAGACAAGCCACAGGACATGCCGATCGTACTGGTACTAGCACGTGTATATGCTTTCCTGATGCTCGATTGTGCACATGTAGCTGGCAAGAGTACTGGGGGCAACCTGGCTAGGATGATGAGAACCGGGTTGAAGGCTGGGAAGAATTGCGTAGGTATGTGGATACTTAATGCCTCCACCGACACAAAATGCGCTGACAGCTCTGCAGATGCTAAACAGTATGCTCTTGCCATTAAGGTCCTAGGACGTGTCAGTGCGTACGAAGGGCTCTTGCAAAAGATCACGGATTTGAGCTCCCAAGACCGGGAGGCGTGTGAAAGACTTGTGGCAGAGTACTATGTTGTCAGAACAGCTGTGGTATGTGAGCTTGCCTAAACATTGATAGAAGTAACTCTGACTGCCATACAGTCATGGAACCAGAGCGAATTCCAGACGGCAGACCATATGTTCAGCAAGTCAATGGCAGCAAAGCACATCTTCGACCCTGGTACAGCAGAGAGCCTAGCAGACGTGTTATACAAGATAGGAAGGGACCTTCTAGCGAAACAAAAATACGACATGGCCGTCAAGTGGCTTGAAAGAGCAGGTGAGGTGTTAGATGGACAAGAACTCGACCGATTGAGCATGGATGCCATCGAGCTGCGGAACTCGATTCTGCAGTCCTTGACGAAGTCTTTACTGGCGATGAAAGAACCTGAGGCAGCAGCAAGAGCTCGAGGCCTTGTTACTCTTCTCGAGAATAATTTCGGAGAAGACAGGCTGGTTGTTCTGCTACTGAAGCTGGAGGTTCTTTCCGCTCCGACCAGCGATACTGGAGCGGCTTTCGACAGCGTTTCTTATCTAGAGATTCTTCAGCGGATGATTCGAACGATCATACTCAACGATGGCAACTTCAAGCTGATCATGTTTCACGTGCGGAAGCTCAATGACAAAAGTCCGAGTCTGGCTTCTAAGGCTCTCGATGACTTTCTGGTATTGCGGATAATAGAGGCAGACTGTGACGAATGGTTTGGAAAAGCCTTGGTTACTAGGTTATGGATCGCTTTGAGTCAAAGAGAGAGCCCAGACTCATTGGCGCAGATTGAGGATCTATTCTCCACCATCGTGGCAAAGTCAACGAGACCAGCAAGCCCAGCAGCCACTCTTGCAGCACATACTGTATGCATCCCCTCGGACTGCTGTTGGTCTACTAAGCTCATGTTTTGTAGCTTTTGTGGAAGCGTATCGAGTTAAATTATACTTCAGGACAATACGATGCAGCAGAGAAGTGGTGCCGTTTGGCAATGCATCAGATATTTGCAAAATCTGGGGAGCTGAATATGGCCCGATTATCAAGGTTTGTTTCCTGAAGATCAAGCGTGAAAGGTAATACTAAATTATGGTCCAGAAAATTACTTCTCTGTGCCCTTGCAAGAAAGGACATAGGAAGTGCTCGAGAGATATTCTCTTCGATGCCAAGCGCAGCACAAAATGAAGCAATGACAAGATTCCTGATGTACAGAATTGCAGTTCGTTGCGACGAGCAGGAACTGGCTGCCGAATGTCTCCAAATCATAAGCTCGACCTCCAACGATGACCCGAAGCTCATGTATGCTTGTGTTTTGGATGCGCAGCAAGCAGGCAACAAGAGTCACACTCTCAATGCCTTACAACATGTCCTCGAGAAGAGCACTTACGAAACAACGTCTGTGAACTTGGCTTCCTTACTTCGACTCACCATTACGCTGACGGTCCAGGCCCTAGACGAGGCATCGAAGAAGCAAAATAATTCTGCTGAGTTCGAGGCAACTCTGGAGAAGTTGTGCACAATGTATGAAAAGGGTAAGCACCACAATCAATTACAGAATGCCACTGGCAACTGATCCTGTGGCAGGTTCTGCGGCGGCACGTAGAGCGCGGTTGTCAAAGAAAGGACTGGAAGCAATCTGGACGATCGACGAACTTCACTGGTTCTCGAAAAACTCCTACAATCTAGCCATCAAACACCTCGCTATTTGGGATTCTTTTCATCTACTCCGAATGCTAGCCTGCTGCATTGATTTCATCGACCAATATCCACAGGATATCACCCAGCAGATTACTGATGATCTCACTCTTCGCAAAATGTTCTGTGACTTCACAGCGGCGACGGCATTGGTCAGTCTGGCTCGTGGCGAAGATAACGTTGAGGTCCAATTGCAGAACTACCTCAGGCTGCGTAAGCATGTCGAAAGCTTTGATGTGCAGCTTCAGAAAAAGGCGGGTAATATACCGGAGGAAGCAGAAGCAGACCTCCGTCGAAAGTTGACCATCCTTGCTGCTTTTGATTTCGAAGCTGCCTGCAGGTTAAAAGCCTGGGATGACTTTGCCGAGATTATCCTCAAAGCTAGTGCTTGCAAGTCGACGCAGGTGTATGAGATAATGGCCGACATTGTGCTCTGCTCGGAGGCTCCTACTCCAGGTCAGTCTCTCCAACTCACACATTTCGTCTTCAAGCTAACCAGCAATGAAAAGTACTGGTACAGACGATCAAAAGGATAATCAATGAGATGTGGGGGATGGATCAATTTGATATTGTGAAGCTGGCAAAATATCTACGGTGTCTTGTTCAGATCACAATCTCAGATAACATGGATATTGCAGTGGAGCTTCTCGATCAGGCACATCGCTTTGCAGAAGAGTCAGAAGAGGTATGCTAGCAAAGTTTCCTTCCAAAGGCGTACACTAACAACGCCTAGACGGACCAGCCATACCCTTCAGAGGAATGCGAATGGATGGCAACAACAGCTTTCAACCGAGCGGTGGACTTGTACTGCGCTGGCGATGATCAAAATGCTAAGGACTGGGCGGACAAAGCTCTCAACATTGCACAATATTGTCTAGATGAGGGTAATCTGGAGCGACTGCTTCAGAGTAAGTTGTTGGAGTTGAATTTCAGCGCTTAAAAAAGTGCGGCGCTGGTTACAGCAAGTTCACTTACTTAAGCATACTTTGAAGCTGAAACTCATGGCATTGTTTTGTTTCTAGCTTGAACTTGCTTTGGACATATTGCGCGATGGAGTAGTCGCTATTTCTGCTACATTTTGTCTACAAGAGCACATAATTAGTACAGCACATATCCATTGCTAAGCAATCCCAGACCCCAAAGTTACTTCATCATTTCAGAACACTGATGACGATCTTTTCAAGAAGGTCTCTGTCCATACACTTCCGGAAAGCTTGTTTTCGCTTCTTCCCACTCGATTACCTCTGCGATTTCTGGTATGAGACCATACTCCTCTACAAACTTCACCAAGACATGTAAATCAAACCCAACTGTACTTCTATCTGGCTTCCCAGCCAACCTGAACCATGACAATCATCAGCGGTGTAAAGCGGAAAAGCCACGCTATTTCCGCGTTGCGAGACCTTCTATGTGAGAATCACGCAGTTTTGATTTGATCTGATCTCTTTGTACCCGTTGATTTCATTCTCCTTTGGAAGCTTAGCTACTCTAGCACGGACATATGCTGAAGTGACGAATTGATGTTCACAACATGTGGCACGTGATGCGCAATGATCATAAATGAGTAGGTAGTTTTGCTTAGATATTGTGGATTCTCTGACTGCTCGTTGATGGTGATCTGTGGAATTTATTGGGTTCCGTTCTCGTGGAGAGTTTGGGATATATAGACAATACATTTCATCGTCAGATTTGTACTTGTCGAGGATAAGCATGTATGTTGGTAGCATCTGCCATCTTGAGTGCTTACCTTGGTAGGTGGAGGGGCAGCATGTGATTGCTACAGGCCTTGGAAGTTCGAGCGGGAGGTTTCAAACTATTTCGCAGGGCTTGATCTTAGATCACATATATTTATGATAGATGATGTCGATAGTGCGAGGGAATTGACGGGAGGGAAAGAAATCGCCAGACCGGATAAATTTAAGCGAGAGATAAACACCGGCTCAATCCAGATGCATATTCAATTGGTTCTTTTCGAAAAATTGCCCTTTTTCAGCTGATATCTCTCGTCAGTTCGTTCCATAAATGTGATTAAGACGCGAGTACAAGTGTCTGGCTTGACTCGACTCCTCTTCTCACAGAGCTACAGATTCATCAAGTGCAACGCAATCGAAGGACTCAACCGGTAACATGGCGAGGATCTGCTAAGAGAGTGCTTTAAACAATGTATCCAGTACGGATTCCAATTAGCCAGCTATGGAGCTAGAACATAAATATCTGACAAGAATGCGAGCAAATGCTCATCCGCCTTTGCCCAGTACTTATTATCAAGATTAGGACATCGAGCCCTTCTAAACATCATCGACCCTTCTGGAAGATCTCTTGCGCTAAACGGCGACAAAATTAAACTGACCTCTCAAGCGCCAGAGCCAGAGATAATCTAGCACGAAGCTCCGCTCGGGATGTTCGTGCACTTGGTAGAAGTCTTTCCTCCTGTGAAAGTAATGCCGGACCATTTCCAGCTAGAGCAAGATCCCTTTCCGCAAAGAATATAAACTCTAGTAGCGCCCGAGGCGACGGATCCAGAAATCCCCGACACAACGAGATTGGTGATCGGGACACCGGTGGTGGGAGTTCCGGTTGGGGAACCATTCTTGTAATCTTGCTGGATGACGATTCCGTACTTGGCGAGGTTGGAGAGGACGATGTTCTTGTATGTGACGCCTGAGACGGAGCCGGTTGCGCCGTAAACGGTCTTGATGCGCACGCCGTTGTCGGAGTTCTTGATGGTGGAGGAGCTGATGCTGATGGTTTTGACGGTGTTGTCGGAGCGGCCGCCGACGGAACCTTGGGGGTTTTGGTCAGGAATGTTCGACTTCGAAAGGAAGTGCGACTTGGATGGACTTACCGATTGAGAGGCCGTGACCACCGGAGCAAGTTCCCCCCGTGAAGGTGATGGACGTGCCGGAGTTGATGGCAAGGCAGTCATCCTGGTTTTGGATGTTGGCACCGCTGATGGTCACGGCAGTTGAGGATCCGACATCGAAAGCATCAGTGTTGTGTCCCAGAGCTCCAGAGTCACCAGCTGTGTTATCCATCTTGATGTTGGTGACTGAGAGACTGTTGGCGCCATTAATACTCATGAGTTGAATTGGGGAGTTCTTGAAGTTGAGGCCGGAGATGGATGAGGAGGTGAGAGAGTGAGCGTAGAAGAACTTGGGCTTGGTCTTTCCACCATTGGATCCTAGGACATTAAGTCAATTTGTTCTTCTTCAACTGAGATTGCAAGTCTGAATACTCAGGAATGATGGAACTTACCCTTTCCGTCCCACCATCTCTCACCACCACCATCAATGCAATTTCCAGAAGCACCAGAAACATCAATGTTAGTTCCCGAAACTGAGATCAGAGGTCCAGACCACTCCTCGTAACCGAAAGTGGTGGTACCCTGGAAGATAACCTTGGTGCCACTGTTGAGCTTGGTCAAGTCGAGAGTGGTGCCGGATGGGACTGCGATGTTGGAGAGGACAATGGTAGCACATGAAGCTTTTGACTTGCTGACTGCGGTGGCACCTGAGGAGCCGGAGAAGGCTATGGACAGGGTGTGTTAGTCTAGTTCTTTTTTGGTGATGTTAAGGAGGTTTGGGTAGAGACGTACTGCAAGAGGCCCTCTTGTCAAGCATTGCTGGCTTAGTTGGAGCTGGTGCAGGTGCAGCAGAGACGATCGAAGCAGCTGTAGCCAAAAGGCTGACGAGGACCGAGATGTGGACCATTTTGATGTTTGTTGATGTTTTTATGACAGAAGGCAATGTAGTATATGTACTGTGAAAGGAAGCAGACGCGCAAAAAGATGCTGATGAAGATAGACAGGAGAATGTAGGAATGAATGTGAGGAAGATGGTGATCTTGGAAGTACTGTCTATGAGGCTGGGCCAAGTCTTTCTTATAGTCTTTTCTATAGTCCTTTTTATGGTCTTGGAAAAGTCTTAAATGTCCCCAGGAGGGCCCAGGAGGGGGAAGAGAATCATGACAAGCAGGGATGTCGACGGCCACCCCTCCCGCTCAATACCATGGTTCAGCTCCCCTGAACCTGAAGAAGAGGGGACGCCTAGGATCCAGAAAACATGGATGATAGATGAGCCCTTAATTTATTCCGTCTCGCATCACGGAATCCGGCTTCTCTCGATCTCACAATTCAGCTGAGATACGATGCCTTTGGGATTCAAGGACCCCCACTTGTCCACGAATCACCTGCAGCGACCCGGCATGGCGCGACAGGCGAAAATGAAGGAAGTGGGTGTATCTTCTTGAACCAACAACTCAGATAGAGTGCTCCAGATAGGGCATTCATCATCATCAGCAACCAGGTCCTTGGGAAAAGCCGGAAGCCAATGCTAGAAGCTCAGGATCCCCCGCACAACTTGGCAACGTGGCGATATAAGTGGTGGAAGTCAATCGGAGAGCCGCCCCTTCAAGAAAGCTTGCTAGATCACAAAGTTGGAGGTTCTGGCACAGCTCGAGCTCCCCTTCTCTCGAAATCTACAAGCATCTCCACTTTCAGATCTAGGCTTGTGGCTATTTCACCGTCCGAGTCGTGTATCTTAAATTTTGAGCTGATGATTCTGGCAGTAGTTCTGACAGCGCGGGGGATCCACATAGGACGAGAACCTACCTAGTGTTTCAGACGGAACAACCTTCATTTCGACGATAGCCAGTTCGAAACGGAAGCGAGATAGATTGATTTGATTTTGATATGGACAAGGGTTTGCGGTTCGGGATCTGGGTTCCACGAATGGCAGACTGTCACTGGGGGACTTGGGAGGAGAGTCCCTGGCGATGCGAAAGCTTATTCGTGGATATGCCAAGACTTGAAAAAGCTTGGTTGGGGCTTGGACCGTGGATGAGCTGAATTGTTTGTTTGGGTTGCTTTGATGGGTGATCTCTTGCTATTTTGAACCTGAAATTGGGAGGTTTTCCATGAAGTTGGAGAGTGCAACGAGAGGGCGGGATGGAACTTGTGATGGGAATCCTCCGTGTGCTAGGGCTGGTGTTTGATTACCTGACAGGTTGACATGCCAGCTCGCCATCTTGCTTGACGTTCCGCCCATGCCAGAGTGGGGTGGGTGCAAACATCAAACATCATGAGATTGTCTCCACCACCTACTCGTATCGTGTTGTAGGAAGTCGTCGATGGGAAGAGCGGCAACAAAAATGCAAATACAGTGCTTACTCAGTACTTAACTCAGTACCCAACTCACGAGACCCGTTCGTCCCAATAAATGCACCATTCAAGATCGTCAACTACGACAATTTACTCTCGTTTCAAGCAGCCGCAGAACTTAATCGAGCAGCGACCAAGGTTCGTCACATCAAATGTCGAGAGATTGAGTTGAAGTTCGACATCGGACCCCCTTTCATGACTCTTACGTGCACTTTCAAATGTGGCGAGGCTCGCGAGGGTGGCTCGGGTGGGCACTTAATCGAATATACTTCTCACTGAAACGAAACAAACGCTGCGCAATAGAATTTACTTTTGACAGAGGAGTTTACCCCAGCTCTCCCAGGCTCAGAAATCTCAGAAATCTCAGATCTTGAAAGTTTGATTTGTTTTTCCTCTCATCACGAGGTCCTTTAAGCTTATCTTGCACTCCAATTAACTTGTACCGCGTGTGACAGAGGAGTTTACCCCAGGTTCAGAATCTCAGATCTTCGAAAGTTTGTTTATGAGATCCTATCTTCGCTTGCATTTCACCTACTCCACTTGTGGTAAGTCTTACATATCTCTTATTTTCTTCGCAAGAAATTCCGACTTTGATCAGTTACGCCGCGGGTACGAGCTTTCTCGGACTCGGAACAATTGTCACCAAGTGATCATTTCAGAATCTCCGTACACTATGGATCTGATCCACCTGCCACTCTCACAGCGGGTATCATCTAACCTAAGCATTTTCCAAGGCTGGGGGATTTTCCAGGCCCAGGTGCGTGCGCTCGGTGAGATTGCTCGATAGAACTTCGGGTGTTTACAGTCCCGCTGTTATTTGGACTCATTTCATTTCGTTAACACGCGCGATACCATGCCATATCTTACAGGTTTTGTTTATACCAGCCGAATGCACGACTCAAGACCTCGCCGTCTACGTGCTGACCACACCATCTCCTGAGTTCTAACTGTTTACCAGACTCCCAGTCAGTTCCAGCTGATCAAGGACTCAAAACCCTTCTCAACAGCCTCCCCAACACCCCTCTAACCCTCTCAGGCTTTTCCCCCACACAAGTAAATACCACCGCCGCGCTACACGCAAACGCCAGCGTCTCCCGCCACTGATTCTCCATGAGATATCGCCTCGGCAGCAGCGTAGCCAACGCCCTCGGCGCAACAAACAACCCAAGTTCCTTCCTCCGCGTCTCATTCTCAATCAGCACGCTCCATCCACAGAGAGCACAACCGCCTGCTACGCAGGGCCCGCTGTCTATTTGCTGGCAGGCTGAGTTGGAAGTCCCAAGGACGTGTGGCCCGATGCGAGACCGCGCGAGGCAGATGCCATAGTAGTAGAGTGCGATGAAAGACCCTAGGAAGGAGGAGGATCGCGCAGACGAGGTGAGTGCACGGATGAGGCTCTTTTTCGAGGGGTTCCGGGCTGTGAGGAGCAGGTTGAGGGGTGCGTAGGTGGAGAATGCCCAGATGAAGGAGCGGACGAAGCGGGATAGGAAGTGGTATTCGCAGTTTGGGCCGCTGCCCATATGGACTATCTCACATGGGTAGGGGACTGTGATGGCGGGATCGCCATAGGAGAGTGGTAAGTTGTAGTCTTTGCACATTTCTTGGAGGAGGGGTGCTTGGCCTGTTTCGAGACCGTACTTGATCTCGCCGTAGCGCATACGTCGGAGAGCGAGAAGCAGGCGCTGGTCGACGGAAGCGGCGGATTTGATCCATTTGTTGTAAGAGCGGGGGAGACTGGAGGGCGTGTATATCCATGCCCACATGATGAGGGCGCATGATGAGGCGAATATGGCTGGGTCGGCGAGTGTTGACACTGCTTTGTCGAGCTGTTGATCTGTCAGTGATACATGTGCCAGCCACAATATGGTAGGTGGAATGACGTACGCTATTCCATTTCCCAGTAGCTTTTCTTCGATCTTTACGCTGCGTCCAGAGCTCGCCGACGATGACATCTAGTGCTCGCGTTACAGCAAAGAGGGTAAGGTCCATAGTTCTGCCAGCAAAGTGCTTGGGTCTGAGGACTCGTCCGCTGGCGGTCTCGCAGTAAACATCTTCGGTGAAGGCATCGCTCTTTTTAGATTGGAGGAGCTTGAAGCTGAACCATGCTGCGATGAACGTGGAAAGCCATTTTGTCAGTCTGACGAGATTAGCGAAGTTCTGGGTGAGATAAAAAATGGTTGCTCCCAAAATGGTACTGGAGGTAGTGCATCGGTTCGGCTACCTCGTCTGGCACTCGGGCTCGGGAAGGCTTACCGAATTTTCTCCAAATGTGACAGGCGTGTTGCAAGACTTGCAAATAGCCGCTGTATTGGCACCTAGGGTCGTCAGCGCAAAGTAAATAGATCGGATGGAACATGATATCACGTGCCTCTAATAGAGTTGAGCCTCCAACAAGTGCAGCACAAAAGGTAGGAAACCGTTGAAGTTCCAGACCCCCTCTTAGTATCCGAACGAGGGAATGGAGAAATAGATCATCCGGCTTCTCGTCAAAGGTTTTCCTCCTTCGGCTAAGATGCGTCAAAATTAACGTCAGAACCCTAGGCGTGGTACTTGAGGCGTAACCCAACACATAGGCGCGAATGACAGGCCTGAGAAGTAGAGGGATTCTCTGTTCTAGAGATCTGCTCCTGGCTAGCTGAATGGTTGTGATTTGAGAAGTCATTGGAAGGCCTTGTGACATCTCTGCATGCCTAGCCAGAGCTGGGTAATTTTACCTGGTCAAGTGCCCTTGAGGAAGTGTTAGCAGGAGTCGGAAGAACAGCAAACGGAAAGAGAGTGAAGGTGACCATATGCTTGATTGGGAATGGATTGGAAGTATGCATAATCCTCCATAATTCCTCAGGGAAGATCTTGACACCGACATCCCAGATTATTCGGCAGGATGGGCAGGATGGGCAGGATGAGGTCTCTCAGGCCGTGGAGTTTGACCGAGGTTGGCTGTTTGTAGCTAAATCGGGAAGCTTCCCCGGATTTTTATGCAGGAGAACTGCTGGAGAATAATACAACCCAAATTTGAGAGGAGGGGGAGGGGAATTGTGACGTACCTAGCTGCGTTAGGAAGAATCTTCGGCCCGGGACGGATGCAGAAACAAGGAGCTGGTTTGGATAGTAGCAGGCATTGGCGAACGAAGAGGACTCGCAGGGCTGAGAAGATGAGGTTGTTGATAGTGACACTTTACTTCAAGTCTCGCGATTTTGCAGTTTGCAGGCCTGCGACGTTTCCTGGGAAGAAGATCTCTCCAAGATCTCTCCACGATCACTTCAAGATTGAGATAGGCGTGTACAAGGTCTGGGAGGGTAGTAGTGTACGAAAGCAGAAGGTAGCTGGCCTAATCTCGGTGGGCAGTAATAATATAAATGCAGTAAGGAACCTGCCGTTGCCCAGCTCTTAGTTGTATCTTGCTTGCTGAAGTAGGAAGAAGCGAAGCTGCAAGACTACGGCATACTCCGTACAGTAGGGCAGGACAGGAGACCGCGCATAAATAAGCAGTGCTGATGGAATTGAATTAAACGGCTGTGAAATGATTGAGATCCTCGATCCGCGATCTCGCGTCTGGTTTCGAAGACGCGGTGGTGGAGCTGGCCGAGGTAAATTTACCTACAATAATGCAATGCAGTGGGATTGCTCAAGACCACGCACTGGCCCTGGTTTAGGACAGGACAAGGACCAGGACAGGGACAAGGCCGGCCAAGGCAGGGCTGGAATGGGGAATGTTGATGTTCCAGCAAACAGCGCAGAACAGCAACAGCACAAAACAACCCAATGCCCCTCCCGGACCCGGAATCTTGGTAAGACAAAACATTCAACAAAATATCCAGGAAGACATACATACCTGCAGTACAACCCTAGAGCACCGCACCCTCAGGCCGGCGAAAAGCGAGAAGCATCACAAGTTCTGACTTCCTCCTGGCCTGTCGGGGCTTTCCCTCTCACCGCCTAGCCCGTCGAGCACTGTCTTGGCTGCGTGGTGCACTGGTTGGCCTGGCCTGCCGCCTGCCCGCCTTTTCTCCAGTGACCAGCTGCCCTGCTGCCCTGCTGCCCTGCACACCCACTGCATCCAACCACAGCCAGGAGACACACCCTGCCCTCACCCACACTGCACTGCACTGGCAAAGAAAAGACCGAGAGCCGTCCTCGTCCTAGGTTGTCGTTGTCCTCCCTCCGCTTCTCGATTGACATGTGAACACTGGTAATCCGACGCACCCACACCCAGCCCACCAGCCAGCAAAGGACCAGACCAATACCATCCATTCTCTCTGACCAGTGACCACATAGCAGAGCAGAGCAGAGCAGAGTACCATCTTATCATACCTATGCATCGAGATTCTTGTGGAGCACCTGTGTCCGGGTCCAGCAAAGACCATTGAGAACTGCCTTTGCATTTGTTGGGATTGGGACAGCATTTGAGTTCGAACTTCGCCAGCACCACATCTCCTCCACTCGCCGAACAGAATACCACCACCAAAACCCCTTCTCCGATCAGCTGCATTCTTCACGGCTACCTTGATACGGTTCCAGAAATACGGATTCTAGTCAGCATTCAACGACCACCGTACATCGAGCTGCCTGGAAGCTCGCAACTTCTCAAATATACCCCGCCAAAGCTCCGCAGACTTTGGAACGTCCAAGCGGACCGATACATGCCTTCGGTATAGCTCTGTAGCACCGTAGTCAACGGCCAAACCCTCGGCGAAGTCACAATAAGGATACAGGCCTACGAGGATGAGATCCGGGGTGACACCTGACGACCAGAGGATCTGACCGAATACAAACACAACTTGCTCGACTTTTTCTGTTGCTTACGACTTATTGAGACGGCACTCATGCTCGCTGTTCAACGTCCTAGTATGGGTTCGTCGAAGCCACCGAACCTCGATATGCCCTTTGGCTGTTTGTCCCCCCCCCCCCAGTCTTCAGCATCCTGGCACTTATTGACCTGACTTAGACTCGTTTGATACCAACTCGAATTTCCCTTTTCCCTCTCCTACAGCCCCTGCACCCGGACCCTCTCTACTCGACGATAATGAATCGAAATTTCTAGACAGCTTCTTCGATGGAGTCAGTTCAGACCAGTTCAACTATGATTTCTTTAGCAATCAACCGGATGGAACCGAACTCGGCCATGGATGGGATGAAATACCACCGGCTTTCATGGGCACAACATCTTCATTTGGTCAACAACCTCAACTTGGGTCTCATGCAGTACCAGATATGCACTTTGGGGAGATGAGCTCACATGTGAATGCTGGTCCATCGATACCACCGTCAACGTCCGCGGATGTTTTGGCAGCAGCATCAGTGCTACAGAATGGATCTGCTGCCCGCTCACACAGCATGAGTGATGGTTCATTTCGCGGGCACGATCTTCATGGCGTAAATGGGCAATCTAGGACTCAATCAATGTCGATACATCCTTCTAGGACACAAGCAGGCTTTGTACAACGACCAGACAATTACATGCAGGACAATTTCTTCACGGACATGGTATTTGGAGGCCAATCGGAGGGCTCGCTGCGGCAGGCAACGAGTCGAAAGGTCGACATCCACTGGGGATCAGATGTAGCATTCGGTACACCTCAAGGCTTCGTTGCTCCACCCAGCCAAGAGCAACATCTTGCATCAGGAGGTGCTTACAAACAAGTTGTGGAGAACGCACTTACTCTGAACCCAAGTAGCGCGGACACCACCCGACCATCAAGTCCCGTCATGACTAAAATGGAAGCTCGCCCGAGAGCTATATCCAACGCAAAGGAGATCGAAGGGGACGATCAGGATTCACGGCCAAAGAAACGGAGGAAGAGTAAATTTCAAGAAGAACCTGACGATGAAGAGGAGTCTACGGCCGTGGTGAGCAAAACCACCAAGAAACGCAAACCAGGGAAGAAAGGTTCGATCGAATCCCCGGCCCCCGAATCAGAAAACAACAAGAGACGTAAATCAACTGCCGCAGCAGCGGCAAAGGCAAGAGAAAATCTCACGGAGGATCAGAAACGAGAGAACCATATCAAGAGTGAGCAGAAGCGAAGGACGCTGATCCGTGAAGGGTTTGAGGATTTGGGCGAGCTAGTACCTGGTCTCAGAGGCGGAGGATTCAGTAAAAGTGCAGTCCTCATCATGGCTGCAGACTGGCTGGAAGACCTGATAAAGGGGAATGAAGACCTTCAGAGGAGGCTCGATCAAATGGAAGGCAGATTATAGAATTAGGATTGGGACAGGGATTGGGAAAATGGACACCGGCGAAATGGCTTGTATGGAGTTTTAGGGGGGGGTTACCACGGCGGCTGGCGGGGAATTACTTGGTTGGTCAGGTCAGGTCGGATTGCTACTTTCTATGATATACAGGACGCTGTCTATGGATTATGCGGCATGGAATAGGAGAGGTCTGGGAGGCTGCTCTGGTTGAGCCAGGAGAGGTGGTGCCTGCAGAGATGTGCAATTGGCTAGGTACTGCGACCGCTAGGTATATCGTCGTCGATGCATACAGATGCTAGACAGCCGACCAAATCAAACATACACACTACAATACTACAATAAGTCCTTGCTCGTGATCTTTCAAAACTATTCAGCCATACCTTGACACTATCATTCTGTGGAACTTTCAAGTCACTTTAAGCTGCAGAACATTATCTACCTTTTTCGCACTTCCTCCCTCTCCCACTTACTCAACAAGGCGCGATATACCTCCCGACTTACTAACCTACATCTCCTCTTCATTACTAGGCACTGTATACAAGTGAGTAAGTATCCGCCCACACCACAAATACCCTAGTGACCCAAAGACCACCAACCACATATCACAGTAGGTAGGTAAGTAAACTCCTACACAAGCACTCTCTCGCTACCAGGTGCCGCGGTACCGTGGTGCCGTGGTACTGTATTCCCGTGGTGAGCTCAGACTGTAGCCGGCATGAGAAGGAAATGAAATGTACTTGGTATGGTTTAGTGTTATGTCCTGATTGCTATGCAGACCCTATCTACCGGCGGGTGTGTTTACTGCACGGAGGTACTCCACGGCGTGTGAATGTTTTGTATCGTGTCGGCTCGGCTCGGCTCGGACATGGGGGTGTTCCGAGTCGGATCCCGTAGGTAAGGGGAGGAGTAGCGTTGATACGATATTGAATTGAGATTGAGATTGAAATTGAGATTCTCATATGTACGGGATTTCAGCCGGATGCTCTCGGACTCGGGGCTATTGGAAGATGGGAGGGGGTAGCATGTGGATATGTATGTGGAAGCTAAACGGGGTACATCCCATTTTTTGCGAGTTCAAGGAGGCAGACTCACGGCATGGATATTGGCTTTGAGAACTGGTATAGGTGCATGGCTGGGTGCTTGGATCTGTAGCAGAGTTCCTTCTTTCCTTCCTTCCTTCCTGCTTACTTGCCTACTTCCTTACCTACCGTAGGTAGTTTATTTTTCAAACGGTACCTCCTACCTGGGGTAGCTAGGGTAGGGGTAGTAGTGCATGAGGCTTGTTTGTTTGTTTGTTTCATCTTTCATCTTTCATCCTTCATCTTTCTTTCGGCTCGGCTCGGCTCGGCTTGGGGGGTTTTGTTTGTGGCGTGGGATAGAGGAGTAAGTAGGGAGGTAGGGAGGTTTAGTATCACATGCTTTGGAAGGAGTTGAGGGTAAGGTAAGGTAGGTCGGTACCGCGGATGTAGGTATGTATTTATCTGGAAGTCGTGTGACAGCTTATGCTCTGGGTCGCGTGGCGTGTGGTGGTGACTGGGGTGAAAAGGGACGTGCTTGTGATATGGGTCTGTCTAAAGTAGAATTTTGTTCAGGTGGCGCGGAAATTGGAGTCGTTGAGAAGATTACATGGATTCTTATACACAGTTGATTATTCGTAGCTGGTATGACAGATTCTACGGTGAGATGGAAGTGCGTGTACTTTGTTAGCTAGTACCGCATAAACTTCAAGAAAATACCTAGAGAGTTCGTCTTCGTGTATTGACAGCCTATTAATATGCTGAATCCAATCATCTCCGACTCCTAATACCTCTCCTGTAAAACCATTAAGAGGAAATTTCCGATTGAACTGAGATAAATAGACAATAACATATACTGACCGATCTGATGCGCATGATGGTTGATCAGAGGGAAAAAAAACCCTCGATGGCTGGATAACTGAAGGCTACGATCGTGGGACCTCGCTTGCAATGTTTACCAACGAAATGGAAACAAACGAGGAGAAAATAAGAGAGGGAAGTCGAAGGTGGCTGTTGAATCAAAGGGACACACAATTTGACACCCTTATGGGACACAAAATTTAAATCTAAAATAATACAAATGTTACACGAGGTTGCATTTTGGACAGATCGAATCAGGACTCGCTTATTTTCACTTCAGTGACCAACGCAGTACTGGTACCGGTTGAGACTCTACGTTTCATTAATACTACATTCCTTACTTTTGGATTGTGAGTCGATGGAAATGGTATGCAGTTATGGGTACTTATTCTCATGTAATGTATGTTCATGGCATGACATATTTAGTTCTCTTCTCTGGCCACACCTCCTCTTCCCACCAACTTGTCCTCTGATTTGAAGATCTCAAATGGCGTGGCTGTAAAGGTCTCACAGTGGCTAATCACGTCGCTATATGACCGTAAAGCGGCTCCATCTGATCGTTCATCCTTCGAACACGTGGAATCTTTCATGCGCGGCCATAGCAAAACTAGGCATGATAGCTCCACAAGTATGACACTGCTCTCGATTATCGTCATCCTCCTCGTCCTCTTCCCAAACTCCCATATCATCAATCGTATTCTGCGTAGGTAGAATCGTATCCTCCGAGCCAGCAACGACGGGCCAAACTTCCTTTCCAGCACTTGGATCTGTTTGACGCTCATCGGCTGACTCGAGCTTCTTCGTGGCAATTGGGTCTGGTGGAACATCCTTATCTTCGACCTTCCATTCTTTTAACACTTCTTCTTGCCTTTCGAACATTCGTGAAATGTCGCGCCCACCTCCTTTACCAGTCTCGCTCGCAGCTTCGATCATGTTCGTCACGCCGATATTGACTAAGCTTAGGTTCCAACCTGATGGGTATGGGTGAAGCTTGCGGAACATCGGGATCAGAGTCTCCTGAACGAGCTTCTCGACCACGGCATCGACCCCATCTTTGAGGCTGAAGACTGATGTTGGTAAAGGACCGGATCGAGATATGCGATTGAATGTTCGGGTCCTGGTGCCATCCGAGTTCATAGGCGGTCGGGGCCGTGTGGATAGACGGATGGTTTTGGGATGGGCTATCCATCGTCTGGCAGTAGTTTCTGCATCACCTCCATCTTCCAGTAAGTCTGTATGCATCCTTTTTACTAGACTGGTAGCCAGGGTACGTAGTTCCTTCGACACTTCCGGAAGTGTGTCAAGGCGTATGTATGAATCTTCGATCGATATCTGTGTTGGTACGCTCTTTGCCTTTTGGACCTCGGTCTCATCGACACCGTTGATCAGCCCCCACACTTTACCTGCGATACCTCTCTGAGCTCCCGGGCCACCAAGGATCTTCTCTAGCATTTCAGGTCCCATACCAGCGTGAAGTCGGACATCTCGCACTGTGACCGATTCTTTGGTTTCGCCATAGATCAATCCTTTGTCAAAGTCGGCTGGCCGTGACAAGAAGTGGTTCCGAACCTGTTGAGCCATCTTGAACCCTATACCAGGGATCTTCCCAATGTCAAAGTCATCAATGAATTTTGTTACGTTACTTTCGGAGGAACCATCTTCGGCATCCACGGGAATAGTATACGGAGGCAAGAGAGTGGTCTGTCCCTTGGGCTTATTTAGATTGCCAACAAGCTTCGACAGTAACTTGTTGGTAGAAATCCCCACTGTTGATGTATAGCCCTTCTGGTCCTCCATTTGCCATCTCAAGTGTTGTGCCAAATGCGACCCTAGAATCAGTCGTACCATGAGGTTGTCATTGGTGTCATATGCTGGGTCATGCAAGTCCTCTGAAGTAGCAGGATAACCATGACCTGCAATCTTTGTGGCATCAAACGCAAACCCACTTGTTGGGTCATCCTTTTTGAGCTGAAAGAAAGAGTGTGCCAGGTCATTGTGATTGAGGAGAGATTGGTTGAAGTCGCAAATGTCGGAAACGTCCATGAACACCTCGTCAAAACCCAATCTTTCCACTCTGCCACACCATGTGAACGCCTCCAGAAACTTGTATAGAGCCTTCGAAGCATCGCGAAATCTGCCAAGTTCCTCACCCAGAACAATTACTACATCGGGGCAAACGGTTTTGGCGTCTGTGATCAGTTGTAGCTTTCGCAGGCCGCGTCTTCTGGCTTCGTAGTTACATGTCACAATGATCTGTTTCTGCTCCAGTTTAGCGGCTGGGGTGATGTATAGATTTGTGGGTTGTTTTACCTGTTGTACTGCCTAGCAATAAGTCAGCTCTAATTTGCTCTCGGTGTTTTGATACAAACTGACCAGAGGGACAGATTTCAAGGCGGGGTTTTCGTTTTCGAATACTGAAGCGTAAAAGCAGTCATAGTCCTGAATGCATTTAGCTGTCTGCAAGATGGTGTCCATGCATGGAACTCCTTACAAAGTGGATGATGATTCTGTTGTCGTTCCGCTTCAGCAGCTTAGCAGCCATATCAAGTAAGGGGAAAGGCAAATGTTCCGCAAAGCGATGGCGTATTCATATTAAAGATCTGCACAGAATTGTTTTCGAAAGCCAGGCACTGCAAATGTTGACCTGCGTCTTGGACAAGACAATATTGGAATTCCCGTATGGGGCCGTCGCGAACACTGCCGGAGGACGCGACTTTGGTGGGGTTCTTTCGAGCGGGGTTTAGCCGTGATGCTAACCATATACGCTCTAGCTCATATATTGACATCTCCCTTCTTCTCCCATGGCTGCTCTCTGTCAGCCACCCTATGAGTGAGTACCAGTTCACAGTCTAAATTGAATGGGCCATGTTGCAGCGATATCTCTTAAACATTCGACTCGGACGTTGATGGCCGATGCAATGAGCTCTGCCTCTGATGGTTCTATGTCGTCATGCTGGACACTTGTCCTCCACAAGTCCATCATCAAAGTGGATGTCCGAGAACCCGATGTCCAAAACCTTCTGACTTTATGGCTTTGAACATCATTATGAACCCGGGGTTTTACATATCTAAGGCCGTGATAGCGGCTGTTCATTTCCAAACTCATTCCTTTTCATGGTACTGAGCTGGACTCTTCATCAAAATGTCCTCGATACAATAGCGAGAGGCTAGTATAATGGCAAGAGAAATGTTTTCATTTTCGATAGTCACTTATTCCGTGTTATGGTTCTAGTTTCATCTAGTTGATGTTACCGTGGACAGACAATCTGAGCGCATAAGGAAAGAACGAACAACGGACCTCAGTTCCAAACTCAAGTATTGACTCACTCGCATCGTCAACGTCAATCTTACCTTCATGTCAGTTCTCTTTCCTTTCCCCCGAAAGACAAGCACCAAAACTTCATCCTACCCAATAAAATCAGACACCCCTTGAACTGTACGAGGAACATTAGCCATTGGATTTTCTGTCTAGTTTACCACACATGTCACAAGATGTCGACAGATATCGAGAATGCGTATGACAAGGTTGAACTGGTCTTCGATTCAGAGCCTCTCCTTCCAAAGTCTGGGCAAGCCTCCTCGAGAAGTGTCCGGCCTCTTAGGCGGTCACTGGAGATGATTGAGCTTGATGATATACCTCCAATAATCAAGTCAGCGAATGGTAACATATTTTGGGCGGACGAGCAATGCACGAGACGTGTGGGTTTGACTTCGACAGAAGCTCCGCTTTTTCTCAAGCTACTCCAGACCGATCAGCCCGAGAACTGCAACTACGACGAGTACAAGCACATGTTCGACGACTTTGGAAAGGAACAGAAACGATTGCAGGATCTGGTTAAGGCACTGCCCTGGTGGAATTGGACTACGTATCGACAGAAAGCCATATGGAAGGCTAGGATTGAATGGCTGAAGCGGATGGAAGAACCAAGACTCTGGCTACTTTACTTGATGGCGAGAAGAAAAAGAATCTTGAAGAAAGCATCGACAAAAGTCTTGGAAGCGCTCAGAGAGAAGAGACGAGTCAAGCTCGCAAACACGCCTCAGCGTGGTCAGACACCGCAGACACATGATAACACCCAATTAATTGCGCTTGACGACATGTCCTCGAAAAGAGCAGAGACATGCTTTGATACTCCACCACCTCAATCTCAACATCCCGGATTTGTCGCCGAGGTTACTCAGACATCAGAAACAAAACTGAACATCGCTGCCCGAATTCGAAGTAGCCTCAGCATGTCCAAATGTCGGGAAAGCCACTCTCGATCTTCTACAGGACAGTGTCCTGTCTTTCATAAGCGAGTTGAGGCTACTCGAGAGGATATTAAGCGACAAGTTGAGAGCATCATGCCTGTCCCAAGACCATATATCGTCATTAGATGGTTCCTACGCTCGACCAGTGACCCAAAGGAACGTATCTTGCAATTTGACAATCCAACAGAATTATTCCAAGTACTTAGGCATGGCGAGAGCGATGTAAGAGAATGGAGAAGATTCTTGTCCCTGAAAAGTTTGCGTGGATTTGGACTGTATAAATGCGATATTTCACGAGGAGCTCACATTCCTCTGGCTCTCAACGCTTCGCAAGAAGCAGTACTTTCACAACTATTCCTCGCCTACAAAGCATCCCGTCATCATGCAGATCCCGATGTTGCACAAGCCTGGGAGGGATGGGTTCGAAAGAATCTGAATGACAACAAGGAGAATCCACTGTAAGCATCATGAAACACAAACTTCCCTTCTCTGGGGTGTATGACGATTGGGGACAACTCTTCCCGGACGTTTTTCAAAAGACCTTGGGTGTTGCGAGTACTGACTCTGCCTCCATTTAGGGAAGGTCGTTATTCTCTTCGTCTCATTTATGACTGGTCAAGCCATCGTCTGAGTACTGTTGTCGCTATCCCAATCTTCCTCTCTTTGGCGATTGGGTTCTGGTTCATGCAATACCATGGAGATGTTGTTGCCGCATGGACGCTTTCGCTCTATATTGTGACTGCAGCAGCTGGTGAGTTTGAGGATTCTTAACTCTCATAATGTGGGAACTGACTCTGCGCAGCACTCATTGCTTTAATGGCTATCATCGGAAGTTTGAAGGATGTTTGAGAAAAAGCACTCTGGCGGATTCACGATACAAGTATATCTACTGTGTGGTTACCAGTCAACGTATAAATGGTTTGTTGGACGCTGGGAAGACATATATATGAGGGCTCTTACATCAATTGCTTTGAGTTATGTACCGAGAGTAGATGATAACATAAGAAGTTAGCAGCTGCTACCTCACTTCATCTCCAAACGACTTCAAGTGTCTTGGAACATGCCCCATACACGAGCTACATCAATAAGATTGTGGTCTAGTACCTTGTCAAATTATCGCTCGTCATTATACCTGTACCGATGTCCTATCTCGTCTTGATTTGTTCCATGAATGAGAATGCAATTGGCTCACGCGTGGTAGACTTGGAGCGACGTCTACGGGGAGAACTAATAACGCTGGAGCCGTGGGAAGGGGAGGAAAGGCATCAGTGTGTTTCAAAATCATCTTACTACGCTTCAAAGCGAGGTGAGACGGCACGACACAGACAAGTCATCGTTGATGATGTATCATTCCAATGTTTAAGCCACGGCGTGACCACCCTCGAATCGAGATCTGAGATTGCCAATATCGGATATAGGGTCGATGGTGCAGGCAGAGAGATAACGTTTGGCAAGACCAAAGGTGTCATTTCAAAAGGAATCTCATGCGGATTCCAATTGGCTAGCTATAGGACTATGAGTTGAATATCTGATGAGGAAGCAGGTTATCATGTTTCGCTGGTAAACCCCCCCACACGCTCATACTCTTCTCTCCGAATGTTCAGTCCTAGATGACCAACTTTCCAGTTCAGCAGTCAAGAATACTCCTCTCGAGGCGCAACTCTTCGGTGTCTCGAACGCCTTCTCTCTCTTCCGGTACCAGCGCCAGCTCGAATATCGCCATGAACCCTCCTACCCCGTTCCCCTCTTGGAGTAGTCGATGAACCATCCCAATGTCTCCTCGCTCCCCTCCTCGCATCTATCCTCACTTGTTCCCTTGCAACGCCACTTCCTCCTAGATTTGGTACCTCGAGTGATATTCCAAAGAAATAGAACACTCCGTGAGCCATGTGGAGGAAAAGAACTAGCCCAATGATGAAGAAGCCGAAGTTCATAAAGTAGCTTAAGAACCACCAGAGGAGGGGGAGGTTGAATAGGAAGCAGAGGAAGGCAAACAGAACATAACCATCCATGTAGTGTATGGTAAGCATTCCGTAGGCTTGCTTAATATGTAGGCCAATCGTGAGAAGATATTTCTTGCTCGGAAAATAGGAAGCAGAGACCTTAGGCCGATTGCCAGCACGGAGCAAATAATGGAGCTTGAGACTATTACGTCCAAATTTTGATTTTTAATGTTCTCATGTCTTCACTGCTGTCTAGACTCTAGCTATTCATACAATGATCGTTTTCTTTGAAGGCGTCGGCCGCATCCAGCTCTGGCTTTGATCGATTACGAATTTCCTAATGCGGAATCTAAGCCCCGCATTCCAGTACCTACCTGATCACCAACAACACAGCAAAACAACGCGAAATTCAGAATGGGCGTTATCGCATTATCTATATGTTTTCGCCATATCTCAATGTCATGTCTTTAGCTCAGATCAGAAAACCCGCAACCAATATCAGGAACCAGCAGCAAATTTGGCTATCGGATCGTGCACCCAGTCTCCTGTTCCATCGCTGCCAAAGCATTTAAAATACCTTCAACTATATAATGCACGATATCTTTAATTTAAAATATAATCAAAACTCCTGCATATACCCTAGACGAAACAGCCGAGACCAAGTGCCGATCAGAGACCATGAGCGTTCCGAAGGTTGCAAATGGAGACGATGACAATGAATCTCTTGAGAACATTTTCTTGAATCTGGTTTTATCCACTCCAAAAAGTTGATTCGAGAGTGATAAGCACCATACTGTAGATCAGAGCTGAAGGGACTAGTCGATTGTGCGACCACGACGCAGATGAGCTGGTGCTCTGGAGTTGAGTGGCTTGACGAAGATCAACGCGAGGAAGATGAGGATGAGGAAGAACAGAGTGGCGGTGAGCTCATAAAGCATTGTTGATGGAATTGATTTTCAACGTGTTGAAGCTTCGACGCTTGGATTCGTAGTGGATTTCGATACAGAGATAGGGTTGCGTTGGTAGGCGATGGAAGGTCCCCAGCTGCAGACGCTTGATATGCTAATATGACACAAAGAATGTAGCAGGTTTGGAATTAGCCGGATTAGGACTGAAAGTTCGGGACGCTCCCGAATATTGTAAGGCCGCTTCCAGTGTAAATTGTATCGTTTTGGCCATCTACGCGCGGGTCGTTTATGCTTTGTTACAGTCACCCGGGTTAGCTGGTCAAGGGGTCAAAGAAAGGTGGGAATGGATGCCGCAAAATTGCTCACAAAGTTCTAAAGCAAAACAGATTCACGATAGATTCACAAAACAGGTCATCCTTCTCAACTTGAGATGGAAACATGAACCTGTGTACCAAGAGCCGTTCATACCTTGGGCATGTTGACTCTCCTTTACCCTTAGCCGAGCCTCGCTTAATCCCGCAAATTTGAGAAAAATTCTGCTCAAGGATCCACTAGCTCCACCAAAATTTTCCGAGACAAAAAGAAAGGCAAAAACGTACAACAGCAGGTATTCGCTGGTGGTCACCCACCCAACTACTAATCTGCCGGTCTCTTGCTTATGTATGGCAGAGCGGACGGGATGCCCAGTTCTCAAGAGCCTGTGGTCGTACGTGGCAGACAATGTCTATTTTAGGTCTATATACTACTCACGATTTTGATGTCCGGCCCTCGAAGGGCGACCAGAGGCTCGCTGCTATGATTACAAAGACTGATGGTACGACTTTCAATGTCACTGGGCTGGTCAGACTTCACTGTCCAAGCTATGAGCAAGGCCATGAACAGGAGCTATAGACTTTGGATTCTCAATGAGATGGTTTTTACAGCGCTTAGCATCCAGTAAGCTTCTCATCATGGTTCTACTCCATAGTCTTGATCTCAACGGCCTATAAGCATGTACACTGATTTTGGGCCCTTGCTTGGGCACTCCACCCCATTTACAGCACTTCAAGATTCAATACTCAGAGAGCCAATTCAAGTCATAAGATATTTCAACGACGAGATTTGATATTGAAGAAAATCATGCGCGACCAGTATCGTGTTTGAAGCGAGTGTGTAAAAGGCTATGGTCGCTTGCGGGACTGGAGCACAAATCAAGTTGTAGAGGCAGGCACATACGGATTGTTAACCATAAAGATTTGACCTCTGTCTAACTAATACGAGAGTGGTGTGCTAGGTCTAGGCATGTATCTATGTATCCAATAAGGCTAGGGACCCAGTTTGAGGGGAAAACCTTTCGCTTACTGTAAGCGACCCCTGAACGTTGAATATATCAAGCACACAAACCTCAAAACCAAAAATGTAAAGGATAGCCAAAAAAAATTGTTTTCGAATGAACAGAAGGGGATTCGAACCCCTGCGGGCGAAGCCCATGAGAATTGTTTCAGCGTCAAGCTGACAAGATGATATCTTGAGTCACACGCCATAACCACTCGGCCTGAATCAGTTAGCTAATGTTCGGTAGGAGGTGTTTGAGTTGTGAATGCTTACCATCTGTCCTATCATGTGAGCTTTCACCTTATTTCGATACTCAAGGTCATTAGAACAATATTAAGCTCCAACACAGTTTGTGCGAGTTCGGGCCGAAGTGAGGAGATGGGAGTGGAGTGGAGATGACTGGGTCTCTCGTGCCCCGCTTGACCTCTGATTCGCGAAAGTAAACAGAAGAACAAGTACCAGAATCTATCAGACGTGAAACAAGTTCTTTGCTAGAAATTTTATTTCTAACCTGGAGGCATGAATGAGCTCACGATTATACAGTGAGTAAAAGCGACATAAAGCGCAGTGTATTGGGTCAACGCCACTGAAAAAAACCAGAACACCAACTCAAGAAACCAAACACTAATCAATAACAATACTGTCATCCCACGACCCTCCCCTCTTCTCCCTTCCTCCTTCCTTCCCTATCGGCAACCGAGCTCCAGTCTCAGCCCCTGCCGCATTTCTCCCCTTCACCCCATTCCCACCCCTATCCACTCCAACTCCCCCTCCCACTCCCCCATCATTCTTCCTCCAAGATCCTCTCCCCGCCCTCTTCTCCCAACCCTCCTTAACCTTCTTCCTCTCCCTTTTCCTCTTCCCTCCAATCCTCCTCCATCCTCTCCGACACTTGCTCACCAACCGCGCGACCAATCCAACCACCCATGCCAAAACCCGCACACCCCAAAGCAAAGCCCGGAATACCTCCTGCACTATAATCATGCACACCAGGAAGTAGCAGGTGAATATCAGCAGTACGAAGACGAGGGGGGCACCGCCAGGGATGAGCGTGATGAAGAGGAAGAGCGCGAAGAGGATGCAGGTGAAGAGGAGTTGAACGAGCATGGTTGGTATGGTATGCTGCTGAGCGGTGGTGGTGTGGCGAGGCGAGGAATTGTAGTATGAGGGTGGGGGATAGGTAGCTAGTCGTTATCTGTCTTTAACTTTCTCCGTTCTCTGATGTGGTCTGCTGTGGTCCTACTCTCGTTGGTATGTTTCGATTGTCGAACCTTTCGGTTCTCGATTGATGATCGTGATGCGTATCGTGGGCGCAAACGTGGATCAGGAGTATGTTGCACTGTGATATGAGGTGCTTCGTTGCCCCGCTACTCTACCAAGTAGCAAGTATCGATCGAGTAAGCAAGCAGCAATATAACGCTGAGCAGACTAGCGATCTTTCTTCTTGCCTAGAAGAAGCTTCTGAGCTCGAAAAGCTGGAAGCTTCTGCACAGTGGCAGCAGTCATACCATTGCTGCTCTTTGTGTATATTAGACGAGACTAGTGCGTGTGTTGGGATAAAGAGAGGAAGCAACTTCTTTGTCATAGAGGGCGGATCAGTGGATTTCTGGCGGAAATGTTTAACAAGAGCTGAAAGAGATAACGTCTATCCTTACTTGCCGAGACATCCCTTGTAACGAGACAGATAGCAGGTACTTCAAGTTCACGCGAGGTAGACTCTATGAACTCTGAAAACATTCTATTCTTTTTCACTTTATTTCCATTATATCCCTTCCCTAAACATTCCTTGCATATCAATTCCGAAATTTAGTATGGTGTTGTAACCTTACGCAGACGTGACCTTCTATCTCACCCAGACCTCTGGCGTTTTTTTGTATTCTTGGACGTCTCTGAACGCTGCCTTAACCTGGCACTGTAATTTTATGGATAAATATGAAGATGGTTAAAAGGGAAACGCATCACAAAGACTTGCAGTCACATGCGGTAATGTAGAAAAACCTGATGTCAAGAATATAGAGTCCTTAAAGAATAATTAAACCAAACAGAAAACCAATTCTATTCATGTTTGTCGCAAAATGTCTCTCTTACACTACACGGCTTGTGTAAGCACTGCCAAAAGTGCTGGATACGCATTATCTTTATCAGATCTGGCATGAATTTCGCCATTATCTCTTAGTGTTGCAGGAAGATAACCAACCAGATCACTCAACGCGCTGATTATTCTTGATGGGAGCTGTACTTTGGAACCTGTAACAGGGAGTGTGCTCAGCACCGAGCCTGGCAACTTGATAACGACATCGACATCGTAACCTATGAGCACCTTGACTGTCTTCAAAATCGGATTTTTCAATACCGGAGCAGCAGTCGCCAGCAGAGGAGGCAAGGTATCACGAAACCCTTCAATGTCCCTGTTCACAATAAGTCAGATACAGAGATGAGAGAACAGGACGGAAAAGAATATGTCTTGTCCATCTTACCAGAGACCACGAGAAATATCAAAGCTTTGAATACCCGTGTATTCAAGCCATATCTCAAAATCGGGTGTCCCTCCAACGACTGCTTCAGCGTCAAGCAATGGGAATCCTAGGTCTTTCCACTGCACTCTGGCTGCGTCCTTGAGATCAAACAGTAGCTTCTGAGGTGGAATCGGGTATTCTTCCACCCAGCGAGTGGAAGCCAAGTCGTAACCAGAGAGATAGTGCAACGGCCTGTAAATAATTCCTGCAGGAGGAAGTTCATCATTGGAGGAGACCTCAGCGTCGAGGTCCCGTAGTGTGGATGGCATGTTGTGCCTGTCAAATTGTTTGTCCGTCAGTACGTAGTGGTTACCATCCAAAAATTCACCCAGAGGGCTCACCCTTGCTTGAATTCGGTTTTCGTCAATGCGACTTCGAACTCTTCTCGTTTCTCTGTCACATCGAATGTTCCAGTTGTCTGCAGAGCTTTGAGATTGTTTGATTTCGTGCGTCGATCTTCTATAGCATCTCGATATGTGTCTCCAGGGGGACTGTTTATCCACTCCATCATAGTGAGAGTTTTGTCAATTTGATGAGCTTGTTCAAATGTTACAAGCAGTTTTGCAAACTCAACTGCTACGAGAGAATTGGCTGCTTCATAATCATTTCTGGCTCTCTTTTTCCGTTCTTCTTGTAATATTGCCTCTTCAACAGTGATTCCTGTAGACTGGGTCTGAATAAGAGGATTCCGTTAGCTTTGCCAGCAAACATACAAAGTGTTAAGAACAGTCTGGCACATCTTTGAAGTGTTGATTCAATAACAAATTCTGACACGAGACTCAAATTTACTCACCACCGCATCCTTCACATTAAGTACATAGCTGTGAACCGAGTCAGTTTAGAACTCCTAATTTTGTCACGAAAGCAAGCATTGTTATATCTAAAAGAATATCACCTTTGAAGCAGCTGAAAAAATCCATTGCCCGCCCTACTAAAAGCCGGAGATTCAGGATTCTGTACTGGATTCGCAATACCAAAGATGGCTTCGTTCAAAAACTCGTCCCTCTCCATTCCACTTGGCACCCCGTACTGCAACGGATTAGCAATGAAAATCGCTTGATGCGCTCTAGAAAGGTCCCGTTCCAAAGTCAAAAATGGGCGCAATGCCGTCGAATATGCTTTCAACACCAGCGATGGATCAATCGGTTGCTCGACAATTGGTGGAGGACGAGGAAAAGGATTCGGGCGTGGTCTGAATATAACAGGTGGCCAGGCCTCTCGCTCCCGTGGAGGAAGTGTCGGTGGGAGCTGCGGTTTTCGGGAAGGCAGACGGATGGGTTGAAGTGGTACTCTGTCAATCCACGGGAGATCAGGGTCGAAAGGTCGAGGGAAATCTCCGGGTCTTGCTGCACCTGCGTTATCCAGATTTGGATTCATTGTTTACTACGTCAATGAAATGTGAAATGGTGACTTGACTGAAATCTAAAAGTCTGAAGGTAAAGGAAAGGAAACACTGGGAGAGAACTACAAATGGCACTGATACAGTCAACATCGCTTAGTTCAGCGCACAGGAAAAGCAACCAATGGTTGAACACAAAAGATACTGCGACTAGCCTAGACTGAATGTCTGGGCACGGAGCTGAGAATGATCATCGATTCAACGACGTAGAAGTCGAGTATTGAAATGGTGTTATTGTGAATCAGAAAAGTATTGAATTCCAGCTGTGACACTAGCCTTGACTGAGTGTTTGTGGCTGGCGCACCACAATGTCTGGGCACGGAGCTGAAAATTGATCATTGCTGCAACGCCGTAGAGATCGATCATTAAGGTGTCTTATATTAAATCAGAAAAATGATTGAATCCAAGCTGTTATGCAAATAGGTTTGATAAGTCAAAAGTAGAGCGCCCCCATCTGCGTAACATCGGGGAGCTGCAAGCCACTCAACCGGCTGTCCGATTTCATCGCCGAAATACTGCATAGCCCAGATCTGTGTAACCTATAAATGTGGGTGTAGTGTTGTTTTCAGCTGAGCGTTATCTTGCTTGTCATGTTGTATAATTAACTCGCCACTTCTCTGGTGCATCTTCGAATGCAAGAGTCCTTCGTGCTTTCAATCTATCTCTGGTTGAATCAAGTCTGAAAATCGCCAACAATGGCTACCGAAACAGAGAAAACCCCTATGCAGCTCTACTGGCAGGCTTACATCAAGTTTGTTTCTGATGTGGTAGGTATTGGGCAAGCTGGATCAAATGACAGTCGAGTTCTATTCATCTCGCCAGCAATAACTTCGAGTGTGGCCGCCTCAGCGTTCATTCCAACAGCTGCAACCAACTGGGAACTTTACAACAAGGTCAACGCTCTCTTGAATCCCGGTACGGACAGTGCCTTCTACGAGCCTGTTGCATCGAGCAGCTATTTTGACAGCCTTTTGAAGTAAGTGAAGTAATATCCGTGTAGCTTTCACGGATTGTCTAACGACCAGAAAGATACCTCATGCTGGTCGACATTGTACGTATACGTCACTAAGGAGACCCCAAAAGACCCTTGGCTCTGTATTCTAAAACTCTACAGCCCAATTCTCTCACTCCAGGAGCCAAGAAACGTCTTGAAGAGGCAGAGGAGGCAATGTTCGATAGCTTTGACAAAAAGGAAGACGAGTTAGCCAAAGCTGAATGGAGATACGCAGAAGATCCGAATCCTAACAAACTTCCGTTCACTCTGTGGGCTGATGCCAAGGCACCCAGATATAAAGCAGCGCTCCAGAAGTATAATGTGTCGGCATCCAAATGGGAAAGTGCCATGAATGCTGCCTCAGGTGGACTTGGAGAAATGGATTTGCAAAAGGATAAAACGAGGTTCATCAACATTCACAATGCCAACGATCCAGGCGCAGATCCTGCGGCTAACCGCATTGTCGGGTAAGTCAGATCATATGTCACTTAACTTTCATACTACTTGCTGTATGGCAATGGTCTTTTCATCTCCCAACAATTCAGTGCATTACTTACAACCAGTAGGTGTATGCCCGCCTACGAAATGCAGATTGGAAATCTTGAGCTCTTGATTCAGAACGCTTCAAGAACGGACAATCCTCATCCAGTGGAAGAACCCAAAGACCAAGATGTTCGCTGGCGAGCAAGTTACAGCATTGACCCTACGTATAGAAGCACGATGGACGAATGGGCACGATCATTCGACACAACTCCGCCGCAGAAACAGACACTTGAGATGAGTGAAGGCCGAGATTTCCGCTGGCAGAATTACGGTCACAAAGAGATCACGGGTGGTGCAAGCGTGAGCTCCTATGGACTCTTTCGACTTGGTGCACAGCACAATCAATCCGAGAAGTTTGACAAAGTCACAACAGAGTATAGCAGCAGCGACATAGAGATTACCATCACTTGGAGAGCAATGCGTCTGTTCAATGTCAGTCCAGGAATATGGTAAGTCTGAATCTCGCTTGAAACAGAACTCTCCAATTTTCGCGACACTGTCAGCCATTGCATTGCAAAATCTTACGCTTTGTAGGGATATCCCAGATATATACAGCAAGTATCCTACTCTCAAAGCAGATGCTGTACCACCAAACCGTGATTTGATCCGACCGACCCAACTTCTTTGCGCTTCGGGTCTAGGCGCGACTATCAAGTTTAGTGATCAGGCGAGAAAGTCCATGGACGAGCATATCACCAAAGCTTCAAGCACCTCCGGCAGCGGTGGTGTGCGTCTTGGTTTCTTGGGGTTCAAAGCAAAAGCGAAGGGCGGTGTGTCGAGTACAAGCACTACTGACGTGCATGAGTTCACCTGGAAGAGTGAGGTTGGAGAGCTTATCATTGAGCCGACTCCAAATTATGGATCTGCACAGCTGCTTGCAGTTGTGGGACAGAGATTGGCCACGGCTTAAAATGTCAAATAGTATCATTATCATAGTGCTTGTGCGAATTGGGGACAGTATTACTTATCATATGGAAGGCCTAGAATCATCAGGACACAACTTGTGCTTGTTATTCTTTCCTCATTAAAGGACAACATTCAGCTTCGAGATCCATCGAAGAAAACTGCGACTCTCATCGCATTCAATTCTATAAACCATTAAGTAAATATAACTTCGTACCTGATTCCCTTATTACCACATCTATGTCCATCCCTTCATACCGCCCTCGACCTCAACCGCATCCCCTGCATCCACATCATAATCATAATCATAATCATAATCATACAACAGCCCCGAACCCTCCATTCCCAGTATTACTCGGTCCCCCGGGACCCGGCCCCGGACTCCCCTGCTGTGCACTATACTTCGGAGCAGCAACCTTCTCATCCAGATTTGGGGCATTGACATCCGTGACACCACTGAACTCTCTCCGTGGCCCATCAGCCGGAGTCATATCCTCAGCCATGGCATCTTCATAGCTGGGCGGTACGTCGTCGATAGCTGGCGCGCCGGGTGTGCCGAGTTGTGGTGGGTAGGCGGGGTCTTGTGGCCGGACGGGCGTGGCGTTCGGCCGGTTGGGTATTGTAGGGGGAGGGGAGTTTGCTATGGCGTCTAGGAGGGCGGCGGGTGGGTGGATTCCGGAGAAGATTTCGACCTGGAAGCGAAGCGGGAGGGTGATGGTTTGAGGCTAGAGGCGAGGTGTCAGTGAAGGGGTTTGTTGATATTTATCCACAAGCGAAACTTACCTGGATTTGCCCCGGCACGCCGTAACCCAGCCCAACCCTTACTTCAAGCTCATAACTCCTCGTCAGGTTACAAGTATGAAACGAGGGAGCTACTGTGTTTGGCAGTGGTATCCTATCCCATAACTTGCTATCGACGAGACTTTCTGTTCGTAATACATCCGTTGGACTGCCAATCGGCAATGACAAGCCGGCCAAACTCATTAATACCCACGTACTTGTTTCCGTTCTCGAGATGTCCATTGCTCTAACTTCTGTTTGCCCGAATAGCTGTACTTGTAGAGACATTAAGAATACCTGTTCCGCACTCTCATTAAGCTTTCTCACAAGCAGTCGTAATGGCAGCGGCTCATTACACGTCAGGATAGCTGGACTGGGTAATCTAGCATCCACCTCTCCTTGTGGTGCAGTATCTGATAACTGCGCTGACTTCTTCTTGAACATGGAAGATTTCTTCGCATATGGGGCCAATCCCGCTGTAAACTGAAATGGTCGTCTCGCATACGATTCATTAGTGGTCTTTGGCGGTCTGGGTGGCTCGATAGGCATAAACCGGAATCCAATAGCTGATCTCCTATTCTCCTTGAAAATTGACGGTCTCTGAACCGTAACTTTAACATAATATCTGATTTCTGCTTCTCCGGGGAATCCGGTGAGAGAAGGCGGCAATGTCCTCTTGACATGTCTGTATTGCATTTGCTGTAAACCACTCAACCCGAACCCTCCGAGTCCCATCTGCTGTTGGGCTTGTGGTTCCATACAACCATTCTGTTCGGGAGAGTTAGCAATTATACGCAAATCACATATTCTCAGACAAAAGAAGAAGACCACAAGCCCGCCTAAACATACATTGAAAGGAATCTTTATCCTAAATGGATACTCATGCTTCCCCGCCCTCAGCGTAAATGCCTGCCCCATCCCCGTAATGCCCTGCGCCTGAGTCGGGAACACCTGCGCAACCTTATACAGTATCTTGTGATTCTCCGTGGCAATTCCCTCCCTCCTCTGTCTCTGGGCATATAGCTGCGGATTCGGGACATTCATCGGCCGCATCAACACGGTCCTACTCTCGCCCTCGAGCTTCACCACAATCGCGGATATGTTCTCATCGCTGGTGAGATTGAGCACTATTCGGCCGCTGATGAAGTCGAGGTTGGTGTAGAAGGTGTGTGGATCGTCGAGGACTATGCGGACGGACATCTTGCTCTCAAGCTCAGTGCAGCTTTGTGGAGGTATCCGCCTATGTTCTTGCGACTGGTATTCTCGATAGCAAATTGTATTGCACCACGACTCTATTATCGCAGATCGTTCGGTTGCTTCGTCCCAAGTAAAGGCAACCAGAAAGTAGTATATCTATCGTCCCAAAGCACCAGAGTTAAAGTCTGCACCGACCCTCCTTGGGTCGTATTGGAGACCTCTCCTCTCCGGCTCCGGATCCCTTCTGTATTGTACTGTTCGGCCCTGTATATCTCTGCTTGCTTGCTTACTGATTGTGCCCCCGTGCCGTCGTAGTCGTGTCACTCGACTCAGCCTCGCACCTCTCACACGCAAAATCCAGAAGCCTGGACTCCAATCCCGGAATTACGCAAGCTCTCCGGCGCAGGGTCAACGACGTCGCATGGAAGGGAACTGGAAATGGCACAGGGAGAGCTTGTAAGCATGGTTGGTCCTACGGTGTCAGATCCGTGCTGCACTGCGACTCATTGAACGACTGCTGGAAGTGGTATGCAGGATGTTGAGAAGGGTGGTGAGGTGGGACAGAATTACAACGCTGCCTCGCCCAGCCTCGCAAGCAGCGTCATCGCTGCAGCTCGGCACCTGTCCCGAGCTGACCCCTGCCTGTCCTGTCAGCCACCAAATGGACGTTATCTGGACCACCTAGAATTGGTGCTATGATGCGCAACATTGTGGTACAGAAGTAACTTGTTACAGTTCTTCAATACATTTTCAGATCTGTCTGAGAGAAGTAACCATAGAGCTTCATCCTATAAGAAAATCGAAATGAAGCATGGTCCTCTCCGCTTTCCATTCAACCCAATGAGAGGGAGCAGCTTCAGCGTCAGCTGTTCAAGGATTGAAATACATCCTTGGTAACGGCACAACGGCATGTCCTCAATTAACTTGGAAGGTAAAGGACGGCGTCAAGAATATTTTGGTATCTGTACAACTGATTATGCATAAACAGTATTGACTGTATGATAACTATACGAAGCTTTGCCTTCTTTCATCCAAAGAATAATTAAAACTGTACTCTCCATCCAAGCCAACAGTACAGAGGGTATCGAGGTATCCAAAACATCATACATATAACTTCAAATGCATGTCTTCGTTTTCAGCATCATCACTCTTCTTGCTTCTTCCAACGACTATTTATCTTCCCAGTATGCTTCTACAGCATCTGCTTCCCTCTCGTCTCAATAGGGAAACACAACATAGCAACAAAAGCTGCCAAGAACAATCCGCCACTAACAAATACGGGAGCACTAGGGTTGGCATTGGGGATATTGGCTGCAATGATGGGAGCGCAGAGTCCCGCAATACGGTTCAACATGCTTGCGATTCCAGTACCGGTTCCTCTGTTTGGAGCGGGGAAGACTTCGGGTGTGTAGGCGTAGAGAACACCTGAGACAGATTAGTATTTATCCAGCCAAGAAGTACGGCATTATGATCAACTTACCGTACATAATGTTCTGGAAGAATGCCTCTAGTGATGAGAATGCGAGTTGGTAGTCCGAATCAGCAGAGATGGTGAACAGGAAGAGGAAGATTCCGGACATCATTGTTGAGAAGGCCATCGTACCCTTGCGACCAATGTACTTGATATCAACAGTATAGCAAGCGATGATCGATCCAGGAACTCCAACGACCGAAGTAATAGCATAATTTCGGTAGGTCTCGTAACTGGAGATTGTCTCTCCGCTTGAATTGGTACCTCGGGCAAGATATTGCGGGAGGAAGGCATTGAAGAGAGGATATCCCATTCCAATGGTAACCCAACAAAACCAGACCAATCCAGTAGTCCATCCAAGCTTCTTGTAAGCAAAGAGAGGGCCAATACGCTCAGTAGAGAAAGATGACAGCTTGCGGCGAATGATTTCCTTGGTTGTAAGAGTCGAATCTGCTACAACGGCAGGGTCGCCACCGATCTCGTTCAGAATTTCCTCCGTGAGCCATGTGGTTGTCTTGTTCTTAAAAGCCATACCGTGAACGACAGCTACGGCTTCAGCTTGGCGACCTCTTGACAATAGAAATTTTGGAGATTCGTAAAGATGGAATAGCAAGAATCGAGAAAGGAACATGACGAAAGTCATGGCTCCCATGGTGTAGACGAAGTATCTCCAGCCCTCGTCAACTGCGTAGTTACCACCGAGGAAAGCCCAAGCGATCAAGGATGCAACCAATTGACCGACTGGCCACCAGACAGAAAGGAGTGTGAGAAGTCCTCCTGAGGCGTTGGGGAGAAACTCCAGGAAAAGCGCACCGTCGACTGGCAAGTTACCGCCGACACCAACTCCGAGAGCAGCAAACAATGCACATGCACCTATCCAAGATGGAGCAGCTCCAGCGGCAATTCCAAAAACACCTGCAAGGAACAAGGTCATGTTGAAGGCAATTCTGCGGCCCATGATATCTGATCCAATGCCCCAGAAACTGGCACCGATGCAGAGACCGATGAAAAGGGAGCAAGTTGTGTATCTGACGGTAGTTTCGGCTACGCCAAATTCTTCTTGCAAAGATGGAAGCGTCAAAGCAACGCCTTGAAGCCAGAGGCTGTAAAATTGTAAGTATTGATGCACCACACCAGCACTCAAAATGAGTCAACTCACTTATCAGCGAACCAACCAAAACCGCAAAGGACGAACAGCTCCCAGTTATACTTTCCCATGCCAATATCCTGGATGGCCTTGTTGATCACCTTAGATTTCACTGTACAGCAGTCAGCCTCCACACGCATGCGCCGTAGTGAAATACGCACAGTCATAAGCCGTATCATGTCCACCAGACGAAGCATCTTCCATGACCTCGGCACGCAGACCTTCAACGGTATATGGATCATAACCCGCGCTCGAAGTTCGCAGGACTCCATCCTCGGTATCCCCGTCACCCTTACCATCGTGCTTCTTTTCTGCAGGCGTGCCATCTTCATTACGACCTTCGGCGGAACGACGACGAGCGTATTCTGCTGCAACGGTGGGATGGCGCGAGGCTTGTGCGAGGGGGACCAGGACGCCTGGGTATTGGTCGACCGAGTCCTTCTCGAAGAACATAAATCCTAAGAACTTCATTGTTGCGGTTGCAAATTGCTGTACTTTTTAATTGAGCGTGAAATGACTGTTGGAGCGGGTTTGAAATAAAGTAATGTCAAGATGCTGTGGCGATATAGATATATCGTATTTGCTGATGATGCTTGGGTAAACTGCTATGGCAAGCTGGTGCTTTGGTAGGGCTGAATACTTTTGCGGCTCCGATTATCAATTGGGTCAGACAAGATCAATTGACATGCTGCTTTGGTTGTTGCTGCTGTTGGAGGCTTGATCTCGATATCGGCACGACAGGCAATGCAGTTCACAAAGTGATCACGCACACCGAGTAGAAGGACGTGGTCGAGCAGGTAGGTATATCTGATGAAACAGAGTCAATTGCTGGAATGTGCTGTGCAATGTCGTACGTGTGTCGCTACTTCCTATCTCATGGAAAGACGCAGAGATACAGAACAGACCGAGGGATAAACTCGGAATTTCGAAGTTGAAGCTCCGTCTCAAGATCTTTTTGCGCATCGAGGGAGAACCAGCATCTTAAGCAAATCTACCTCTCCAGGTAAAGCCTCACCTGACGTTCCATCGGTCCTGCCTCTATGCCCTTCTCGGGCAAGCCAGCGGCGTGTATTTTTTTTCTCGTACGGTACGCTTGCCAAGAGCTGACATCCATTGTGCTGGATCCGACCAAACATCATCGAATCCCATCTTCGCAGAGGAGAAAAGATGGCGCGATCGCGTAAATCGTTCTTGTATCTGGTAAGAATGACGGCGGTCTTGCTGCATGGGAGGCAGAATGAAGTCATTGGAACGGCATTGGTGTGGAGATAGCGAGCTTAAGTGTCTTGGCATTAAAAGCCTTTGATCCCGGTTCCTTGGTCCTTGGACGGCTCGGTTCTTCACGTCAATTAACGTACTCGTAGAGGGCCAGGGCCCAAGACCACTGAGACCTTAGCACCTACATTATCATGCTACCTCGCTACATAACTCAATGTAAAAGAAGACTTACAAAAACTCTTAAAAAAAACAAGAGTAATGCTTAGAGAAGTACATTTCTACCTCTTCAAGTCTGAGTCTCGGTCCCTTTAGCAGTCAGTCCTCCTCGCTTGTCGGATCCCTGTTGCCGACTACCGTAGAACAAGGCAATTGACTTTTGAGAATGCCATCTTCTGGTTCGCTTGAGCTGTGGATCGCTAGGACTTTTGTCCGATACGAAAGAAATTGGCCAAAAGAGAATTTTTCAAGTAATCGCCTCATTATTACCAATTATTGCGGACCAGCACAAGACTTTGAGTGGAGGTCGGGAGGGGGTGAGCCGCGAGGAGCCGCGAAACAGAACTGTAGTCAGTTCTGTTGACTGAAGAAATGAGACTGAGAAGTATCGCCCTCTTCTGCCCGTGGAATTTCGTTGAATGACTTTTGCGTAACTGTTCATCTTTGAAGCATGCAAAATCCATCGACAGAGTACTCCCCTCCTAGCTGGGTTATGAGCCTCAGCCGCCAAGTACCTGCCTCTTTTCAGAATCCTCGATCACGAGCTTTATCTTCATCACGTGAGTATGTTTTGAAGCAGCTGCTCTGAATGCAGCATTTAGAAGTTCGCGGGCCTCCGGATCCAACCAAAATCGACAGTCTCCCATAATATGGAAAAATGTCCTTGATCCCCCCATATCTAATTCTGTGATCGATATTTCAAAGCCCATTCCTGGACGCTTGGCTGCGGACTCTGATGCGGGCACTTCCTTGACATTGCAGATCGTTCTTTGGAAGCTAAGCCGAGACCTTGCTCTAGACTTTCTATCAAGTCATGCCTGGTCTTGGAATTCATATTACTTACAAGATAGATTGCTGAAATGTCTGCTGTCATAATGGAGCTGACTTCTTCTCCAGTTCGCCTGGAAGTAATGGGCTCAGCAACTGTGGATGCTCATCTTCTTTGAACCTAAAGAACCGAATATCTACTCAGGTAACACAGAGTCTCTAAAACACACCAAGTTTTGGATCGCAATATGCTGAGGTTCTCGACAGACTGGGCTGGGAGATCGGAATTGTAGAAAGACATGTTGCACGTATCGTCTCATCAAGAATCGTGATAGAGGACTGTTCATGTTCCTTTGAGTACAGGTATATGGACGAAATGCGTTGCCAAAGACTGACCTGTTAAGCCGCCGAAGAACCAGAAACATGATGGGGGGCTGCGCTTCGCTTAAGGCGGGGTCGATTGTTTACGGTCCACTTTTCATTCTCTGTCTGCCTTGGTGTGCCTGTGCCAGATCGTGCCGGAGTGTAGGAAAATAATCATGAGCATTCTGCACAACCATATGATAAGAGAGCTTGCAATAAGTTTAGATTGTTCGAAGCCTGGAAATCTTGAGTCTCTTTGAGCTCTTTGTAATATGAGTTAGGTAGTGCGACTCCTGATACGCCACAAAAGTTTTGCGATGCGCGACGAACAAAACCCCGCTCAAGACATAATGGCTGCTCTTATGATAGCATGGTATATCTGATCATGTCACTCTTAAAATTTACTGGGTGCCTGGTATCAAGGGTTAGACCAGACTGAAATGCAGGTTGTGGGCTCAGGTGTGTTCAGAAATTCAAGCTTCAAAGATTTCTTTCAATGCTGGATGAGAATAGCCTGAAGCTGTCCAGGCCCAACGGAATTTTATCTCAACACTTAAGTACCATCTGAGTAAATCATCGGTGTAGAGGGTTGATGACCAAGAAGAATTACATGTCAAGATATTCTAATGTCTCATGTGCAAGTAATATTCACCCTTCCAAGTAACCTGCACACTAGAATGCTCTCACTCCATGAATCACACAGTATGACTTGACTGTTTGATATTTCACCTCAGTCTTTATCTCATATTAATCCAAAATCTATCTCTCTGATCTTCCATCTTCAGTACAAGCTTCAGATAAATCTCACAGCTGAAGCGCATCCCTCGAAACATATATCAACACAGACGCAGGTTAGTCAGATCACCATCAAAAGTCTTACCCCAGCCTCCAGTTCGTATCGAGACACAAGCATAACCTGATTTTCCCACTATTTCATCACAATCGCCACGGTCGCGCAAGTCAACAAGCCTCTTCTAGTCAGCAATCTTGACTCAAAATCTGGTATCCCACAAGGTCGATCGGCACCAAAAGAGAATCGGCGAGCCTAGCGATATAGACAAAGAATTCTGGACTTGATACCGTGAATATAAGGATAATAGTGGCTTCAAAGGTCCTCGGAAATTACGTGCTGCCGTCTTCGGCAAAATCCTTGCAAATTCGATAATCCTATTGGTCCCTGGCCTCCTCTCCTTGCTGGCTGGCAGACGCATGCGACATTCCCATTTCACTCTCAAGTGTCACGGCTTTCGAGTCACAACGAGTTTTCAATATAATTATCCATGCACTACTTTCAAGTCATACCGGTCTTTAATATTATTATTTAAACGCTCTTCGAAGCGTAAAATAACAAAGAAGCAACAACACCAAAGGCTGCAAAAACAAAGCCGCAACGATAAAGCTACATTCCTTTCGAGCCGCACCTAGGTGGTTCGACTTTCTCCTATCCATGAGCGGAACGTCCAGCACTGGTGTATCTGGACCAGATTCGAGCACCTTTGAACCATAATCTTTGAATCAGATCGGCACACCTCAGATCACGCCTCACTCAATCAACAATGGCTGGTCAGCGCTGGGAGCAGGAAGAGATTGACGCTCTGACCTGGTTTGTCAAGAAGAGAGAGAAATACAAAGCAGCTTTGGCACAAAGCAGTGACAATGTACGACTAACAGAAAGAAAATGGACATGGCCCGACATTGCCACGAAGATGCACCAGATCGCTGAGAGGGATGAATGGCAAGTCAGAAGAAAGTATGAAGCCAGCGGCTGTCAAATTGCATGGAAGAAAATCCAGGCTCGAGAAATCTCCTGGCCAAATACCAAGTCCCAGGCAAAATATGAAGCCGAAGATGAAGAAATGACTGGATTGGAGGCCAGGAACACACCACAACATGGAACAGGCGAAACCGTGGATGCATTCCCTGTCGAAACAAACACTCGTGTTGATGCCACCCTACCACTAGAAATTTCTCCACTTCGATGTGCTCCAGTTTCTGCGAGTGAGATACCGAACGAGGTTCAGATCAGATTCCAGCATGGTCTCGATCATACGGTCGATGTCAACTTTGATCGAAACGCCAATATCTTTACGATCGCACCAAAGCCAGCTGTCCCAGCTTTCGAAAGCACTCCTGAGAATGCACGTATTATCAAAGCCGAAAATGCAGCATATGAAACTCCGCTGAGAAATTCTGTTGACACAGACCGAATCCTCGCATTTGCACTGAACTCCAGTCCCACACCAACTCTGAATTCGGATGTGGAGTCGCACATGGGAGGTAGAGAGAACTTATACTCAGCGAGCCCAGCACCACACGATGAGAATGTGAAGCCAGTGCGCTCGAACACCAGATGGGAAGATTACGAGCTTGAGGCACTGCAATGGTTCGTGAAGAAGAGAGCGGGAGAACCCCCCAACGGAAGAAGCAACGGCCGCAACAGAATCTGGACCTGGGATACTATTGCAGCCAAGATGAACAAGGTGGCTGCGAGAGATCTTTGGGACATTGGCAGAGTTTACACCGCTGGAAATTGCTATGGAGCTTGGCTTACCAAGTCGACACGCCTTCCGACTTCTCGACCAAGCAAGAGTCGCAAGCTCGTCGATAGAACACGCGGCGTTCCAGTCCATCGTACCGCGAATTCCGGACTTGAAAGTACGGTTAATGCACCAAACGGTCCAATCGAGAACACAATCAATCCTCCACCTCCACCTCCAGGCCCCAACGCCACAGCCGAACCAGTTCCATACCATTGGCTGGCAGCGGAGCGAGAGGCATTGCACGAAGTGTATAACTTCAGCCGGATCGCTGAATCTAAAGGCTTGACTCGTGCTGAGTGTCGAAGACGAGGACTTTGGACTTGGACCATGATTGCGACAGAAATGAACAATCGTGCGAAGGTTTCTTCGTGGAGTACCGGCCGGGTCTATGATCAGAGCAATTGCTACAACATGATCAAGTACGAAAAGGACAACTTCAACCTACAAGGAAATGTGCAGCCGCTGGAGCCCATCAATGAGGATGAGGATGAGAATGAGGGTGATGATGATGATGATGACTACAAGCCCAAGGTTTAGGATAGTAGAGATGGAGAATCTGCAGGATTGGTCAGCTATTTTGGCATGGCTTTCTTTGGGCGAGGAGTGAAGGGAGCACACGATGAGATACGTCGAATCATTCTTGCGATTCTCATTGAGTTGCACAACGATATTGGGGGAGATGGAAGATAACGCATGGATTAATTCAGGATTCACCTGAGAAGCGATGGTTCGGGGGATTATCAATGCTTTACTACCAGAACGGTGGTAACCATCATATCCAAACTTGGTTAGATTAGCATTGATATCGCCATTGAATAAAAGCGATCGATCTTAAATGTGTTTCACTGTGCTCTGAGCTTCGGTTAGGCCCTTTAAAAGTTGATTACCTGGTGGTGCACTGGTGCGCCTTTGCGGTGATTCCTAATCTCCCAAACATAAACAAACTGAAGCTATTCGCTTACCATAGCGATATTCGAGGTGAAAATACTGCGACGTGCAACAAAAGTATTCTGAAACGGCCACTTGACCGCTTGCCAAGATTGATGCTTACACTCGCATCTAGGATTATTCTGGGTTTGATCAGACAGAATCGCGTATTTTGACGGTGATTCTGCAAGGTTGTGGCTACTGCTCAACAACTGTACAAAATATCCATTCTCATCACAAAGACTATCTCCCCCTGCCCTGTAGACAAGCTCGCTATCTCCATCATCATCAAATATACCTCATGTCTGTCCTCTCCATCTCATATGTATAATATTAACTCTTGTTGACACACATCTTTCAACTCCCCACCCACCATCCCAGTTCACAAGCCTTCATCCACTAACCTTGTATGCCTGGAAAGACCCCTCCCCGAATAGTATCCCAGCCTCATTATCACCCAGGAACTTCAAGCCCGCTGGGAGCGCAATATCCATGTCATAAGCTACGACAAGGCAGGCTCCAGTATGGAGTGAAGAACCCCAAGGGGTAGTTGGTAGCGACGAGCGAGGGCAACGACACACACCGCTAAGCCGCCTCCCGAGTGGGATATTGGAAGTGTATTCACGTAGCAGCCTTGGATGAGTACTGTCGATAGAGGTGCGTGCCTTTCAAAGTTATAGATAGGTGAAAGAGAGAGTGAGAAGGCGGTCTATCAGTGAGAAGATTATGTCGTGATGACAGGATGGGACTCGTGGTTAAACGATTTTGGTTTCCCAAATGTGAATAGTGCTCCTAAGTCCATTTTTGATGGCAATGCTTCTAGCGGGTGAATATATCTTTTGAAAATACGTCCAAGTCCAGAAATGCTTGTTGTAAGACAACGCAGGAGATTGTTCCTAGCGCTGGATGGAATGCAAAGTGAATAGCAGACAGAAGGCGCAGATGAGAAGTCGACCTCCCAAGCTTGCCATTAATTCAATGTGGCTCGTTCTCCTAAGCTTCCCTTCATTTCTCGATCAATATCTCGATCTCGTCAGCGGAAGTCAAAGTCGAAGACACAACCCAAAGCCCAGAGCAAAGCCGTCTTCAAAACTGTCATCGCATTCTTCTCCCGTACCCTCTACCATACAAACTGTTAACAAAACAAAAGCCAGAGCTATGTCTTCATCGGCTTCTTCAACAAAGTCAACCGGATCAACTTGGAAAGTAGGCATGGACGTCCCACCACCAAACCACTGGACCGCGAAGGAGAAGGAAAATCTCAAGTCAACCTACACAGTCATGAGATATGCAGCTACTGGTAACTTTCCAGATATCGTCAAGTGGTCGAAGGTCGCAGAGAAGATGAATGACGAGGCTCGCGCAAATTCGAGTTGGGATGTGGGTCGGAGATATGGATGGGAGAATTGCTGGAATGCTGCTAAGTCGGGATAGATGACTGTGGACAATTGGTTGGTGGGAATGATTTGAGGGTGGTAGATGACGGGTTATGAGAGCAGGATTTTTTTGGGATGATACGGCGTCACAGTGTATTAGACATGGAAAAGTAAGCTCTGCTCACCTTGGGTAATGGGTTCACCATAAAGTATCAATGCTCTTCATGAGACATGAAGTTGAAATTATACGATCGTTGAAGTAAGCCAAATGATACCGAATCTCCTCAGGACACTGGTGCCTGTAGACTGAATCTGTGCGACTGAAATCTGTATACAATTCTGCATATGTGATTCAAGGAGGTGGAATCGTGATGTTCTATGCGCTGAAGGAAATAAAGTAAAGGTGTAAGCAATTCAGCATATGGCGTATACCACAGCTGTGCGTAGGATCTTTCATCAATGGGGCAAGATTTAATAGCAACGACTGTCTCATTTCCATGTATGCACACCCTATCTATCAACTCCATTGCCTTAAAAATACTTTCCAACAACCTACATGATCTCCCGTCAATACCAGACCACAATTCTCTGTCTCTCACCCTTCCCACATGGACAGATTTCATCTCAACGTCTCTTCTGACACTCTTCAACTCCACGGATGGCCTCCATCCAGCCAGTTCCAAATCCCCGAGTTTCTTATGGGCGCTAGTTGCATTCCCTGATATTGTTCGAGGTTCGGATCGTAAGCTCTTGGCCTCCACATCAGCTGTGTATCATACGGCCCAGAAGGCCCAGGTGAGAACTGTGGATTTCCCTGAACAGGCCCGTTGTAGCCCACAAAGACTGGATAGAAACCACTATTCTGACCTCTGCGCTGCATCACAAGCTGGAGGCTTTGATTTGGTGGTGGGAGGATGCGGTGGGAATAGGGAGCTCCTGGGAGAGGGCGTTCCATCTTTCTGTTCTGGAGAGAGTCGTAAGGCTTGGTAGCTGGTGTTCTTTTTCTCGGGAGTATTGGATGTGTACTAAAGCGACTGGAATATTTACACTGAATTAATGAGGTCTGGCAAGAAGATCTTGAGGTTTTATACTCTGAGATAATGTACATGTTGGCTGAGGGGAATCACCGGGGGTACCGTTTCTATTCTGATAGACGCATTCTTGACCTTGCAAACCAGAGTAACTCGTGGTGATGAGCAGGGAATAATATTGCACCAAAATTCTGTAATCACAACCATGCGATTGTTTTGACTTCCTCTCGTTTTGGTTGGGACATGCTCTGCTCACCTTACGTAGCTTCTTCTACTCGCTTAACTGCGCCAAGAGGCGGAAGTAAACAATGAATGTGTACTAAGATGCAGGACGCAGAAATCAATGGCCATCTCTTCCAACACCATGTCGTTTTTTCATGCGACGTGTGATTTACTCAGCAATAATTCTCCCTTTCCGAAGCTCCTAAAGGCGACCGGAGTCTGGCTGAATCATCCTTGGTGTACGATTCGAGCAATCTATACCCCCCTCTTTACGGAACAGTGCGAAGACAATTGAAAAGATGGCAAAAAGCTGCGACAAGGCATTGGAGCGTTTTGATTTCTTCCCATCTAAAAAACGCACTACGGCAGCCTGCAGGAAATCCTGTACTCTCCAGCTACCGCATTGGCGCGAAATGCTGCGTGCAGCAAATATAATTCTGGCAATAGTCATAGCTTTGATCTCCACCACATGGCCGAAATTCATTCACACTTCCGAAATCAATGCACTGTGACCGCAATATCTGCAGAGCCAGTCATTATTTCCAATGGTGTATTGTGTCAATTAAATCACCGATATGCCACCCATTCAGCGCCTCCATGCAAAAACGCCCCGAGTCACTCCGAAATATCCTTCGCAAACCCATCACACCTGATTCTTGTATTCTTAGCTGGGTATCAAACCATGTAGAGAGAGCTACAGAGTAAAATCGAAGTCTTTGAACGCTGCTTTGAAGGCATCGATGTCTTTCTTCTCTTCTTGCTCGGACTGCACGTTGTCCTTCCACTGTATGCGCTTCTCGAGCCCAAGTAACTTCGCCAGGACGATGCGACCGAATTGCAACGAGAATCGAACTGAGTCATCGAATTGAAGAGTCAGGCACTTGGTGCTACCATTCGGATGCTCATCCGTAGGAGGTGACCATATCCAGACTCGAAAGAAATCGCCCTCATTCTCACCAATACCTGGATCCCGAACTTCGAATGAGGAGTATTTCAAATTCTCGGCTTCAACTCGAAATGCTGCTTCAACCAAACCCTTCGAAATAGTCTCTGCTGACATGGGAATGAACTGCCAGTGAGTGTGCACACCGTTAATCTTGCTGATCTCGTATGTGACAGCACCAAGTTTGTTTCCGCTGTCTTTCGCAATCATCGATTGCATTGACTCCTTAAATCTGTTCATCTCCGCAAACGTCTTTTCTCTTGCACCATCTTCGTTGGGGATCAAGGCCAGCGTCTGTGAGTGTGTAAGAGGGATGATGAGAGCATGGCCTGGGTGGTTGATGCCCAACTCCGCATATGTTGTTGAGGTGGTGAGTGGTCCTTTCGCAATGGTAAGATAGGCATCATCACCAATGGAAGAGATAAGGTGTGTTTCCAGATTCGGATTTGAGAGGCAGAAGTAACACTGGTCAGGTCCTGGGGGAGGTGCTCGCTCATTTCGACGACGTTTATTTCGATATCCATTATCATGAGGTGAGTATCTGGAGTATGGTTCGGGCTCTAGGGCAGTTCTTTTTCTTGGCCTACTAGTGAAGGGTGAGGCAGTTGTTCCGGGTGGGAGAGGAGCAAGCGGATCGGGAGTGGCTTGAAGTGTGAATGCGTAGAGTGACTTCTGCTTCGTCGTATTTCCGTGTGCTGCTAGAGAAATGAAACGTGTGACGGGTTTGTAGTCTGGGTTGTCTTGTGTGGGATTAAAGAAGAAAGGTTCCCTTTCATAGAAAAATGTAGGAGTGCTTGAAAAGTGGTAACGAGGTTTGAGAGCGGCACAAAGATCGGCGATGTGTTCCAATCCTGTTGGTGGAGCAACATCTCCAACTGGAACAACAACCTTGGAACCCATTCTGACGGAAGCTGGCCAACATGTCGTGAGGAGAATGTCTGCTGAGTTTGCACCATGAAGAGCTTTGGCATCCCCCACCGTGTGATATGGCAGGTATTGTTCCTTAGACAAGCCTCCAACCACTGTCTCATCCAGCTTGCCTCCCAGTGTGACGATCTTGATTCCCTCGGAGGTTTTCGTTGTACTTCGCTTTCCTAGGTAGTGGAGGTTTGCGCAGATCTAGAACATAGTTAGCCAAAATATCACCTTCTGAGTATACTGCCGCTCATCCCATACCTCTTCATCCTTCTCAATTTTGTCTATGATCTGCTTCGGGAGAGCAGTCGTGCCAACAGTAAAATAGGTAGGCAGTGGTATGCTGATTTTGCCCCCCAAAAGGTCTTCCACAGCAGTATCATCCTCCGCAAACAGATTGCCAGCAACTATTGCAAGTGAAAAGCTGTTCTTGGCGTGGAGAGAAGAGACTTTGGTGAATACGGATTGCAACTGGCCAAAGATGTCACCAAGGACAAGACTAGAAAGAGTGAGCTCAGGTTCCATTGACTCAATTGAACGAGGATATTCGCGGGCCAATTGCAATGAATAGGCCAGTTGCAGAATCTACATACATTTTTGCAGCCATGATGCTGTTGATCTCTGGCATTGAGTGCCAGTACGAAGCTGTAAATGAGACTGGGAGTGGAAGAAAGTTGCGACGCGACAGCGAGCTTTTCTGAGCTTCGGCTTATCGAGCTCTCTATCTTAGCGCTACGCTAGCGGGGTAGTATCCGCAATTATACCTACCTCAAAGACTGAATTAATTGTAACAGCATGACAGGTAAAAGTCGGACGGGGCCAAATTATTATATTGTGAGTTAAGAGAGGAAACGGAAGATCTAATTCGGCGTAGCGATTCTCAACCAGTGCGCATTATTTCTGAAATTCAACTGGAGTGAAGACAAATATCTTGTTGGAAAGCCAGTATCAATAAAACTAAGCTTACCCCAGCGATTCTGCCGCTTGCCACCGACTCGAAGCACAAAAAATAAATCTGCTGTAACCCGGCAGTCAATCCCCAATACCTTCCCCTCCGCCATTCTCTCGACATTGCGCCCCGGTGCGCCCCAAATCCCACCATGCCGGTCAACAATTCGGGGAGGATTGTCAAGACCCGGAAGGGCAAAGGGGGCACTGCTCACCAAAAGAATCACCGGTGGGAGTCCTTCACCACGAAAATCTCCAAGTTAAATTCCCTCGACCCGATACGAAGAGTTCGCCGTCACGATATAGACACAGAGGATCTGTCTACCACTACATCATATTTGAGAACTGGGCTGGACAAATGGGCGGAACTCAACATGTCCGAGGGCTTCATTCTATTCTCTCGCGAGATGTCAGATTTGACCGAGAGCTTGCCGCAGATTGTACACTCGGAAGACAAAATTATGGGATTGTTCGTCACATACATGGAGAAGAAGGAAAGAGAATCTCTGGAACCTCTGTTGGAATTGTTGACGGACTTTGCGCACGATCTGGGAGCTCGATTCGAGAAGCACTACCCCAAGTCACTCGAACTAATCACATCCATAGCGGGCATGCTACAAGATGTTGCGGTTATTGAATGGAGCTTTACAAGCCTGGCGTTCATGTTCAAATACTTGTCAAAGCTTCTGGTGCCGGATCTTCGACCTACCTATGACTTGATGGCGCCATTGTTGGGAAAACAACGCCAAAAACCACACATTGCTCGATTCGCTGCGGAGGCAATGAGCTTCCTGATCAAAAAAGCCGGAGCTCCAGCCCACAGAACGACAGCATTGCCTTTGATCATCAAATATGCCAAGGAAGATCTTCAGAGTATACAGGGGACCAAGGAATTTGGCCTCTACTATCACGGGCTCATGACATTATTTGCCGAGGCAATGAAAGGGAATGGGTTAAGCGTACACACAACTGGTCCAGCCATTTTTAAGTCTTTGTTTCTTTCCCTAGAAGACCCAGATTTAGACTCAAGAGATAACTCGGCATGGATGGATGTAATCTGTGGCGTCTTGACGAGCATCATACATCATTCAAGTTCTGATACCTTCCCAGAGGTTCTGGATGTTGTACTGGAAATGGCTGAGTCTGCCGTGGAGACATTTCAGCAACAGCTGTCTAAACACAATCTGCGTAGATTGCTTCTATCGGCGCGGACTCTGGGAATTGCCGCAGGTGTTCGCAAAGGCACCCGAGTCAAAAACTGGATATGCCTCCTAACAGCTCTGGCAAGCATACTCAAAATCATCACGAAACATTCCCATTTCGTTTTTGATATTGACGACTTAGACATATGGAACTATTTAATACTCAGTATCTCGATCGCATTCCAGTATGCTCCAATGGACACACTAATTACCTTTATCTCTCCCTTCATGGACTCGCTGACGAAGGATCCGCTGATGAAGTGGTTTTTGACATTCTCTTCATATTTTTCAGAGGTAGATTCTGAGCGGTTCCGAAGCATAGCTTTGCCATACTTCCGGAGGTTTGTAGTTTGTTTACATATGTTCATAGTCACTTGCTAATTTGGTCCAGATTCATTGTTGCACATTGGTCAGATGCTGAGAATGGAGACACCTTTTCTGTTCTGCTGCCGAAGATGGTTTCGACTGGCGTCCTGCCTAGTCGATATGGTAAAGATGGGTTTGCATTGCCGCAATCCTGGCAAGACCAGATTGTAAGCAAGTTTGAGCGACTGGAGGTGCAGCCATTTCCGGAACAATCGTCGCCATATGATAGAAGTCCAACAACATGGCACGACCGGTGTCTACCAAAATACAATGCGTTACTGGAGGTGCTTGACTGCACAGTTGTGCATCCTTCCACGAACGCGAGAATCGCTGAGATTCTGTTACGGAAATTGAAGCTTGCTCTACGGCCATCTTCTTCGCTTGCGCCGGAAGAGGCAAATTTCATCGTTGGTCGAGGCTTCAGTTCCTTCTCTCGAATGACGAAAGGAGCTGGTGAGGTCGATCGAGCACTTGAGCCGCTACTACGTGCAGCAGCCCCAAGATATGCCAGGCTTCCTCAATTTCTCGAAGCTTTACTTGACTATGAAACAAGTCTTGCATCTTCAGCTGGACCAAAAATATCATCACCTGAAAAGGACTATGATTTGGATACTGATGCTGACCTTCTCGTCACATCACTTATTTCCAATCTCTCAACAGACTCTCATGATTTGCGATATCTCTCCTTACGACTCCTGGACCATATATATACAACTGAGCATGGCTCCTCCTCCCAAAGCTTATCAGCCATGATTATGGTTGAAAACTCTACCCTCGATCCTCAAGCAGTGCGCTCTGCTTCAATGCATATCCGAAAATTGGCAACAATGTACCCCAATGAACCGTCCGATTTCTGGGTCAAGGATGCCATTCCAGCCTTCCTTTTTGGAATGCTTACGGTCAAATTGAGAGAACTTTGGGACCAAGTCGCAGCTTCACTCAAGCAGATAGCAGAATCTAAAAGTGGAGACGAAGCTGTGGCCAAATTAGCATTTGAGTGGCTCGAACGGCCCTCGATGACTGGAGATGGACACAAGAGCTCTGACGATCAGGACAAGAACAACGGCATGACGGATTTCGAATGCTCGAACCTGATGAAGCTCAACAAATTAGCCGAGGAAGCAGGCTTAGGGGTAGCGAAGTCGCGCGATACAATGCTACATAAATTCGCCGAAGCACAAGAGCTTGTTTCTGCACAGCCCAAATCTGCCAGAACCCAAGCTCTCATGGTTCTTTCCGCTGCATCAAACGTGGCCGAGAAGCGCTCTCGCTTATTGGTTCCTATGTTTCTGTCTTGGGCAAAGCAAAATGCCGAAATCGATCAATCCGATGATGACGAGGAGCGTCGTCTTAGTGACTGGACTAGAAATGACCAGAAAGCGCTGCTGAATTTGTTCAGTCTCTTCGGCAACCCAAAGTCCCTCCATCGCTCAGAAGATGTATACAACGCTCTCTTGAATCTTCTTGCCAATGGTGATATCGAGATTCAGAAATCTGCTCTTAAGGCAATCTTCGCGTGGAAACATCCCAATATCCGGCCTTACGAAGAGAATCTTCTGAATCTGCTAGATGAAGCAAGATTCAAGGAAGAGATTGCTATATTACTTCAGGGGCAGACGCTCGTTCAAGCCGAGCACCGTCTGGGCCTCATGCCGGTGTTGCTCAGAGTTATCTACGGTCGTTCAATTTCAAGAAAAGGTGCTGCTAGTGGTCGACAAGGTATGGAGGCTCGAAGGCTGACCATCTTGCGGAATCTTGGCAGAGAGGACATGGAAGGTTTCTTAGACATCGCACTTGGTGAATTGGCAGATGTACAACTACTCGAAGGTGGTGCTGTCCGCAACTCGCTCTTCAACATCGAAGTGATGAATATAAGGAAACAAGTCGGTTTCACTCACATGATTGAAGGCATGTTGAAAGAGCTGGCGACTAAAGTCGCACCCATGGCAGGGAAGTTGATAGATGCTGTACTATACTGTATCATCTTCGCCTACCGCCAACTACAGGACGAGCCTGACAGTACTGAGGAGACTGATGCTGTAACCACTCAGACATCCCTTCTAAAGGTAGTCCGCCAGACTGGCTTGAAGTGTCTGGTTCTGCTCTTCACCAATGCTCCCGACTTCGACTGGTTACCATATATGACCGCCATCAACAAGCAGATTATCTCCCCGCGGCTGGAGAATCTACCCATCGAGACGGGCCAAGGAGTTTCTGTAATCCTTCGACTTTTCTCGACCTGGGCTGTGGCGCCGAAGCTGGTGTTTTTCCTTACCCCGGAAATGCTGTCTAAAGTGGCAGAATGTTTGGCACCGCCAAAATCCAAGGATGAAGTCAAGCGATTCGTGCTCAAGGACATCATTCAAAAGATCATCGGGCATTCACGCGATGATCATACGGCCGCGAGTTCGGTGAAGGAATTGAGCTCAAGAGTCAAAGGGGAGATACTCAGCCCAAGCATGGACTTCTTCCTTGTGCAAATTGGCGGCGTTCTTCGTAGCCAGGGTGACATGGGCAAGGAGTTGCTAGAATCTTGCATTGGAACCGTTTCGGAGCTCGCTCAATTTGTGACTACATCGACGCAGGCGCAGAACTTGGTCGACGTTTCCATATTCTTACTTGATCAACCAACTCGCAGAGTTAAACCCAAGGAAAAAGGAGCACTGCTAGTCGTGCTGGAACATTTCGTCCCACTTTACGATTTGCAAAACGATGTGGTGCTCAAAGACAGGGTATTTAACACTGTCACTTCATTATTTGGGTTCTTCAAGGACAACGAGTCCCGTCAAGGCCTAAGCCGAGTGTTGATGGTTTATGCGGAGAAAGATCCGGTAATGGGAGATGTCGCGCAACTCTGCATGGGTCTCAATTCGTTTTTGGGAAATCGACTGGATGAGCCTGATTACGACCGCCGGATCAAGGCGTTCAATACTCTAAATGCTCGTAGAGACTTCACTGCCCGCCAATGGATACCTCTGCTCTACAATATGCTCTTCTATATCACTCACGACGAGGAGTCTGGAATTCTGTCGTCCAATTCATCCGATACTTTATGTCAATTCATCAGAACTGCTCAAGCTGCGCAAACAGAGAAAGATGCTTTCATGGAACTCCTCTCATCGGTATTATTGCCTGCGTTGTACACAGGTGCCCGACATGAATCTGAGCTTATACGCAGAGAATATTTGAAGGTTATGGGCAAGCTTGTAGAGACATTCCCCGAATGGACGGAAGTTAGCGACATGAAAGACCTTGGTGCTGAGCCCAACATTGACGAATCTGAGTCCGAACCATCTCAATCTTTCTTCGAAAGTATTTTGGACATCGGAAAAGGACGACGACCAGCCGCTCTCAAGCGCCTTTGTGATGCTGCGGAAAATGGCAAGCTAGGTAGCAAGAACACTGCCCACTTCTTGATTCCGTTACTGGAGCACTTCATATTCGACAAGGCAGAGGGCAACGATGCCAGTCAGCTTGCTTCTGAGGCAAGTACCGCCATCGGAGTCCTGGCAAGATGCCTAGAATGGCAACAATACCGCGCCTTGCTGCGTAGATACATTGGTTACATTGAGTCCAAGGATCAGCCCAAGCAAATGATCAGGCTGCTCGGTAGAGTCATTGATGCTTTGAATATTGACACTCCAGCTACGGTGCTGGGAGAAGACACCGAAACGGACGGAGCCATGGAAGTTGACACTGCTCCAGACGCAGCTAAAACGGCCGAGTTGAGTACCCTAACGAAGACGATGCCACGACTTGACAAATTCGCCGACGACATCACCTCTAATATCCTTCCGCCGTTGACTTCATATCTCCATGACAAGGACGAGTCAACCGTCAGTCTTCGGGTCCCAGTGGCAATCATCGTAGTGAGACTACTAAAGCTATTACCACGAGAACAGCTGAACTCTCGATTGCCAGCAGTCTTGACAGATGTATGCCATATTCTCCGGAGTAAAGCTGCCGAATCGCGAAAGATGACCAGAGACACGCTAGTTAAGATATGTGTGCTTCTCGGCCCTACCTGCATTGGATTCGTACTCAAAGAACTGCGAAGCGCTCTGCAGAAAGGCTACCAAGTCCACGTTCTTTCTTTCACCATGCATTCAATATTGGTAGCTACCACGCCTGACCATGCCCCAGGTGATTTGGACTACTGCCTAGGACAGATTGTGGACATCATCACGGATGACATCTTTGGTGCCACAGGTCAAGAGAAAGACGCCGAGGAGTACACAAGCAAGATGGAGGAAGTTAGGAGCAGCAAAAGTTACGACTCCATGGAACTTATTGCCAGCACAGCTACTCTAAGCCGTCTCACAGATCTGGTGACTCCCATTCGCAAACTTCTGCAAGAAAAGCTCAATATCAAGATGGTTCGCAAAGCCGACCAGCTTTTGAATCGTATCAGCAACGGACTGCAGAGAAATCGCGCAGCAAACAGCAGAGACAGCCTCATCTTCTGCTATGAAGTCATCCAAGACGCCAATCGCGAGCAGAAGCCGAACGAACGAAAAAAAGTCGACCACAAGCTCAAGAAATATCTATCTACGAAGGGTGCTAGGAGAGGTCTGGATCGAGGAAATACAACTGTGTACACTTTTAAGATTGTCAGATTTGCCTTCGATGTCCTGCGAGCAGTGTTGAAGAAACACGACTCTCTCCGCAGTGCGAAGAATTTGACCGGATTTATCCCAGTACTTGGTGACGCTGTCGTGGAAGCTGAAGAGGAAGTCAGAGTTTCGGCCTTCAAAACGCTCACCACAATCGTCAAAGTACCGCTCTTAGAGGAACCCAATTGGACCAATTTATATCGAGTTGCTGCTGCAGAGGCTACCAAGTCCGTTATCGAAAGCCCCCAGACAGATTCGGACATTGCACAGGCTGGACTAAAACTGATCTCGGTTATTCTCCGTACCCGCCCGGATGTCAAGGTTAAGGATACAGCCATTGATAATCTGGTGCGCAAGCTCAGACAGGACATCACGGAGCCAGAACGTCGACATGTCACGTTCGGCTTCCTTCGCGCTGTGCTCGACTCCAAAGTTGAAACCGCAGTCGTGTATGATGTCTTGGATTATGTTGGGGAACAGATGGTGACGAACTTCGACAAGGATACCCGAGATTTGGCTCGCGGCGCATTCTTCCAGTTTCTGTCAGAATACCCCCAGAAGAAGGCGAGATGGTCTAAGCAGCTCAGATTTATCGTGGGTAATCTGAACTATGACCGTGAAGGGGGTAGATTGTCCATCCTGGAGCTTGTCTACTTGCTACTGTCTAAGTCGACAGATGACGTCGTCCAGCAAGTAGCCACCGCTGTGTTCAAACCATTATACGAAGACCGCCTGAACAACGAGGAGAGCGAAAAGTGCCGCATCGTGGCATGCGAAGTCCTGAAGGAGATCTTCAAGAGATCTGACATCGAGCGGACGAATAATTTCCTCAGCCTCCTTAGAACAGGAATCAAAAGCGATGACGAAGATGTCGTCCGCGTCTCCCTCCAAACCTTCAGACTGTACTATGACTCGGGCCCCACGGACGATGGCGATGTCCCTCTGCTAATGGACCGTATAACCAACATCGGCAAGTCTGCGGAAGATCCTGGATCCGATATGGGCCAGATTTTTGAAGCTCTGCTCCTGAGCAACAGTCTCGCTGAGAAGTTTCCTGAGATCCTCTTCTCAAAATCAACGTCGCAGTCGTTCTGGACGATTATGAGAGCCTGTCTCTCGTACCCGCACGAATGGATTAAGCTTTCCGCATCTAAACTCTTCAACTCTTACTTCGCTGATTTCGCTCGTACGAGCGCCGACACTGATCTGAAGCTTCCACTTGAAGGATCAGGCGGCTTGAAGCTCTCAGGGGACGATATCACAGACCTTATTAGACGAACCACTTACTCCTTCAACACACCCGCATTCAGCAATCCCGCAACGCCAGAACTCATGAAGAATCTAGTATTTCTAGCTCGTTGCGCAGGAGCCAATGATCTCAAATGGCGCAGCCTGCCAGCAGGTGACGACGATGAAGACGAGGAAGAAGATAGTGAGAAGGATGGCAGAACAGCTCTTCACTTCCTACTCCGCCGCCTCTCTTCACTCCTCAGGAAAGAAATCTCACCACCCCGCTTGCCCACTCTACTCCCGCGAACCAATGGTCTCAACCTCTTGCAAACCCTCATTCTTACTCTTCCCCCGGCGATACTGCTCCCCTCCCTCCAACTCGTCATCCAACCGCTTCACCACATAACTGATCCTAATATCCCAACACCCTACTCTACCGACGAAGCCTTCCGCTCAGCTTACGAAGACATGAAGACGTCTGCCGAGGCGCTTCTCGAGAGCGTGAAGAGGAAGGTGGGGATTGAGGCCTACAGCGAAGCGTTGTTAGAGGTGGGCAAGACCGTTAAGAGAAACAGAGAGGACAGGAGGGCGAAGAGGAAGATTGATGCAGTCAGTAGGCCTGAGCAAGCTGGGAAAGAGAAGGCAAGGAAAACAGAGAGGAAGAAGGAGAGGAGGAAGGAGAAGGGTGCAGAGTATAAGAGTAAGAGGCACGAGCAGTAAATGATGACTGGGTTTTACTCGGCGTTTGTGGTGTACAGAGGAATTGTAGATATAGCTATGCTACCTAGCTACCTGAAGGGATACAATGTAAAGAATAAAACGTGTATAAACAAGTCCTTCGGCAAACCGGCTCCACGTGACTCGATCACGGCTATTCTGATCAAGAAATTTCATCGATTTCTGACTGCACAACACCTTCGCAATCGAGAAATTGCTAGAGTCATCTCTACTGATGGCATTCACTGCTGCCCCTGTACCAAACCCCTGGCCTAGTCCAACCGTAGCCTCGCCCCGGCAGATGAAGTGCACTAGCAAATGTCAATGAGGTCAGGACTTGCCTAGTGGCAGGAAATTAGCCGAGCACCGTAATAACATCACCAATACTCTGTAACGACGGCGTAGCATAAATTTGCAATTCATTTTCCTTTTCCTTCCCTTGGATTGACGTATTTATCTTGCAGCGCTTTTCCTGCCTTTTCTCCTCAGGCGACTTTTATTGATAATGGTCAGGGGCATTGCCGGCTTAGAAGTGAGATCTAGATTTCGAAGTCTTAACCATCTTTATGCCCAGTTTTGTGGATTCCCAGCATCGTCAACGAGCTTCAAAACCAACCATACTCAAGTATAGTACTTTGGATCGAAGCCAAAATTTACAGCATCTTGTATCTCACGTCTCAGAGTTTTCTCAATCACTCATCTTAGTAGCAATCAAGTCACTAAACCGACGAGAAGACAAAAACAGAAAATGGCGCCAAAAACACGATCTCAGACATCTACGCCTTCTAAGAACTCAAGATCACCAGACTCAAATTCATTGGAAGTTTCGCATGAGCATAGGCAGGACGTTAAGCCCGTCTTAGCGATTCTTGGGACAGGATGGGCAGGCTTCACCCTCCTACAAGAGCTCTCAACATCCTCACTACTCAAAACATATGACGTGGTGGTCCTCTCACCAAGTCGTACGATGGCCCTCACACCGCTTCTCGCCAGCGCCGCATGTGGTATCTTCGACTTTCGCGTTGCTGAAGAACCAGTTCGCAGGATTGGCATGATGAATGCAGCATCTAATCACGGTTCAGACGGAATCAAAAAGTACCAAGTTTGGGTCGACAATGTCGACTTCGAGGAGAGGATTTTGAAATGCAGACCAGCTGTAGGCAGTAATGGCGATGAGAAACGGGAGGAATCAGTGCATTTATACTCGAGGTCTAAAGGTTCCAATGGCGGAAATTCAAAAGCAGGCAAGGATGGTACATTCGATGTACACTTTGACCATCTGGTCATCGCGCCTGGAAGCGAAACCAACACATTCGGTACTCCTGGCGTGGAGCAACATTGCCGTTTCATGAAATCCGTCTCCGATGCTCGAGCCGTGCGTGAGAAGATCCTCGATTGTTTCGAGCTGGCCTCTCTCCCACACTACTCAGTCGAAGAAAAACGCTCCTTGCTGCACTTCATCATCGTAGGCGGTGGGCCTACAGGCGTTGAACTTGCGGCCGAACTTGACGAGCTAATTCACGGCCATTTGTTGGCTATCTATCCCCAGTGTAGGGACTTGGTGAAAATCAGTGTGTATGATATTGCGGACAGGATGTTGGGCATGTTCGGGGAGAAACTGAGTGAGTATGCGATGGAGAAATTTAGAAAGAGGAATGTGAGGATCTGCATGGGGAGGCATATTGAGGGGTTCGAGGATGGAGTTATGACAGTCAAGGAGGATGGCGAGGTGGGGTTTGGTGTGGCTGCATGGGCGGCGGGGAACAAAGTCTGTAGCCTTGTAGAGGCGATGGAAGGAGTGAAGAAGGATGATGGCGGAAAAATGCTCACAGATGAGTGGTTGAGAGTTAAAAATGAGAAAGGAGAAATTTTAGACGGCGTGTGGGCGTTAGGTGATGCTGCAGCCATCGACGGGAACGAGTTGCCTCCTACTGCGGAAGTAGCAGTGCAGAAAGCCAGATGGCTCGCAAAGCATCTCATCTCTCAAGGAGCCATGGATGAAGAGAAAAAAACAAACTCTCAAGGAAAGACGTTCCAATACAAGCAAAAGGCGCTCGTAGCCTATATTGGACGGAAAGATGGGGTCGTTGACGGGGGCGGGAAGTGGACAGGGAAAAGTGCTTGGCTTGCTTGGAGAGGAGGAAATTTGCAGTGGACGCAGAGCTGGAGAAGAAAATGTATGATCATGATTTATTGGGTGCTTAATAAGTGGGATGGCAGGGAGGTCGCAAGACGATAGTTCAGGATTGAATGGGTAGATTTCTCGCTTAATTGTTTACGCCTATGATTTATCGCAGTCAACCTGTCGAATGTAAGGCTTCGAGTCGCAACCATATTTAGGATTCACCAGGTAAGAATTGAGCGACACTCTCAAGCTGGCCAAAGCCAGAGTGAATGTGCCAAGACTGGTCTGAGTTGTTCCGAAGAGACTGCAGTGATTGGAGCCGCATGGTTATCGTCTCCAAAGATGATTCAGCACCACCTTCACAGTTAATGATGACCATAGGCTCCTTTCACTAGCACATATTTTCTGTCGACCAAGCTTGAAATTGTTCATTCTAAGCTAAAGCACACGAAACCCTGTGTGAGACAGAACCATTTCCACAAAACATCCCCACCATGCCGCTGACATCGTTTCTTAATCTCTTTCGCTTTAGCAGCCCAGCCAGAATACCACGTCGATGTCGGGAAGATGGACCTAGTGACCCACTCAGCAGCGAAGAGCAAGCCGTACTCATGACACTCTTTACCGAATCTCAAATATCAGGCCAAGGAAACTGGACTGTGCTTGAGATCGCTGAAGAAATGCTTCACCTGGCTTCAAGAAAGAAGTGCTGTCATCGGTCTTACTATGCATATGATATCATCAGAAGGAGCCTACAGACCATGAAGAGCGATGAGGAATATGACAATTCAGGTCCTGTGGTCATGGTGCCGAGACTGAAGGCATTCCATTGATTGCGCGCTCGCTGCTTCCGATGGTTTCTCCTACAATAGCAAATTCAGCACAGAAAATGTTAACATAATTGCTCACTAATGAATCTTAGAATGTGTCCACCTTGGTATCTTCTGGTGCATTACAGCCGATCTGGTCTTAAATGTGTGTCACTTTTGGATAGGAAGTCTCTGGCCAAGCGAATAGGAAGTCATCTTGAATGACCTAGAACGTGACGGTCAAGAAACATCTTGGCAATGACTTGGGAGTTGATTCAAATATCGTCATGCTAGGTAATGAAGAGAAAGCAGGCACCCAAGCAAATACGCCAAGCAGATCATGACAATATATTTGACTAACACGCAAAGATCGTACTCAACCGCAGCACAGCATCTCTCCAAAAATTCAAGAAGCATCTCATCACCCACAATCACCAAGGAAGCACATTCCCATCATAATTCATCAACTTCCCCGACGTCTCCTCCTTAGTCGCCTTGTCAATAACACTCACCAACCCATTAATACTCTCCTCAAGCGTAATCTCCGCTTTCTCAATTCCCGCCGCCTCAGCTCCCGAATTCCCCATATCCGTCTGCACCCAACCTGGATGCACAGGGAACGCAATCAAGCCTGGATTCTCAAGGTGTATCTTCCGGACAAGATAAGTGGACGCAGCCTTGGAAGCTCCATAAGGCGTACAATGGAAGGCTATGTTCGGCATGATCGTCAAGCTTCCTACCGCTGAAGAGATCTGGACGAATTTGGCGGGGGAGGGAGCGGCGTTCAGGAGGGGGAGGACGGCTTCGAAGAGGACAAGGGAGGCGATCACGTTGACTTGGTAATGGCGAGCCATCTGGGCTGGCGGAGTGCCGGCCACCGGGCCGTAGTAGTCAAGGATTCCGGCATTGGCGATGACGAGGTCGAGTTTGGTAATGTTGTGGGTGGTTTTGAGGGAGGAAATTGCTGCTGCGGCAGTGGAGTCGTCTTCGTTGTCGATCTTGACGATGATGAGAGTTGTATTGGCGGCTTTGGGGATGGTCTCGAGATGTTGGCTGGCGGATGGGTTGCGTACGCCGGCTAGGACAATGTGATTTGGTCGGGACAGATAGGCTTTAAGAAGTCCGTTACCGATTCCTGTGTGGGTATATGTTAGATCTGGACTGTATTTGAGAAGACGAGGTCGTGTTTACCTCGGTTAGGGCCAGTAATCAGAACATTGGTTGTGGTTGACATTTTTGTATCCCAATTCGAAGCAGAAGGTATTGGAGTTTTCAGTGTGCAGAGTAGATTAAAGACTTAAGTTGAGCTGAAGGCAGAAAGGAATACTTGAGACAGATCATGATACTTATACCTCTGGGAGCTTGAGATTTAATTTGAAATGTCAAAGGAGTTTCAAGTGTGCAGAGTAGATTAAAGACTTAAGTTGAGCTGAAGGCAGAAAGGAATACTTGAGACAGATCATGATACTTATACCTCTGGGAGCTTGAGATTTAATTTGAAATGTCAAAGGAGTTTCAAGTGTGCAGATGGATTTCAAAGCATACCAGCAGAGTGACACGGTTGTCGTGATCACAAAATGAAAGCACTGAGCATTGCTGTACGTTACTGTAGAAGAACCGGGTGAAGACTGATGTAGTCTGCCTTGCAAGGGGGATTCAGACACAAAGCCATGGCCGGAACCACCGAACTATATTCTCCACAAACGAATGAATAGTAATCACAACAAGAACATACCCGTATTCAGATTAGCCGCGTACAAACATACTTTCGCATTGCGGTTGTTATCCCGGCGCCGCTTCCTAGAATGACCGCCGGTTGGATTAGTGAACAGTCATGCCCCACTGCAACTCACTAGTGACAAGCCACACAGTGCGACAAAGATATCTTGACAGCCCATCAATTTGACAGATCTCTGTCTCAGAAGGAGGTTGCTGTTTTCATTCACTGGTATCGGCTAATAATACTCACGAGATAGCCACCTACAGCCACTTATTCAAGTGGCTGTCCGGTCATTGATTAACCTCCGAATAGTGGTAACTCATAGAGTCAGAGACATCCATGATGAGAAACACCTCAATTTGCATTGGCCCGACCGGATGACATGACAGAAGGAACCGGCATAGGAGTGGCACGGCCAACGAATGACTTTGATCGTTATCAGTCGAAACATTGACCAAGCTTTTGCAGCCTTCGAGTCTCCGTTGCCGGAATGCTATCTATCTTTGCAGTCGTAGAAGATATCTCGTACCAGTATGGCGAGCTTTCGATTATCGTGAAAACTGAGCAGTCAGACTCTCACCAACACTCCTCCATCATTTCATGAATCGTCATCCATACGTCCCGGGCTTCTTCCATCGACACTACCATTCCTCGGGGTATCACCAAATCCTCCGCCGTTTTCCATTTTGATATCTTCCAAAACATCGTCATGCTCAAGCTTCAGTCCGTTGACTCCGCCAATCTCCTCGTCGTCCTCGTTTACATCTACCCATATCCGTACAGTTCCATCAAGTCCCCCGCTCACCACCGGCCCGTTTGGTTGTGGAGATGTGTCTACCCAGCAAACGACACCTTCATGCCCACCGGCTTTCTGGACAACGTCCTTGGTCTTTACATCCCAGAACACCAGATTGCCGTCCTCGCTGCCAGATACAATGAACCCTTGTTCACCACTGACACCAAAGGCTCCACCTAATGAGTATTTTGTATTCACATGGCCTTGATATGTCTTCTTACAACTCCCGGAGACGTAATCCCATAGCCGTACACAGGAGTCGAGAGTGAAAGCAAGTATGTACCGGCCATTCGGGCTGAAGCGAGCGGTGGTAACCTGAGGATTATCTTCGTGAACAAGAGTTCGAAGGCATTGCCCAGTTGCTGTATCCCAAACTCGACTGCGAAAGAATTAGCTATTTCTCAGATATCTCTGGATGAAGTGTCCTACATGAGTCCGTCTGTTGAACAACTACAGACTAAGGTACCATCTCGAATGAAGTCTACCCCTCCTACTGGATCTGAGTGTGCCGGTAAAGTTTTCATCACCCTCCGTGCCCGTAGATCCCAGAGGTTGACTGCCTCGTCGTAACTACCACTAACAAGCATATTGCCTTTGGGGGAAAATGCCAACGAGTAAACGTAATTATGATGTCCAACCAGGGGTATTTGAAATGGTTTGCCGGTAGCCCTATGCCATAATCTAATTGTCTTGTCGTCGGATCCGGAAGCTATCGTGTTCGAATCGGGACTCCAAGCAATCGTTGACACTCCTGCTAAATGCCCTTCCATTGTCCTCATATGCTTCCCCGTCGCAGCGTCCCAGATCTTGATTGTGCCATCCGCGGAACAGCTTGCAATCCATCGGCCGTCTGGAGAGAAGCGAACTTGTGACACGCCTTTCCGGTGTCCTTTCAGAATAAATTTATTTTTATAGTTGAGTTTGACTGGCTGGTAAGGTTTGGGTCGATCGACGGAGGAATGTGAGGTGTCAACACTGCTTGACCTGCTTCGATTCCGCGAGTGGTATGTATGATCCAGTTCATCTACACTGCCATCTGATGAGTGCGCTCTCCGGCGCGGGACTGAGTCGCGGCGAGCATTGAGCCTTGATGATCGATGTTGATTGTGATCGCCGAGTTCGTCGGGAGAGCTGTATCCGTCATTGTCGTCGTAAACGCGGCGTCTCTTGATCGGGCGGCTTCCCACTGGTACTGGGGTACTCGCTGCTGAGTCGAAGTCTGACATTATGATGGTGCTGAAGAAGTTGTTGTATTTGGGACAAATCGCGGTGCTGTCGAAGAAAGGGAGACGCGATCTGGTACAGTAGCCCCACATGGAGTTTCACGCGCCAAGACATTCATGTACCGTAACCTTAGGCTGGAGTCTCACCAAAATCCTGGGCTGGACGTCATCCGTGGGGGAACAGGAGAGAGCTCGAGACTGGACCGTCCGAACACTTCAAACTCCCCACGTCGTAGAAGCCGCGAAGAACTTTCTTTGCATGAGTAGAGCTCTCCAATCAGACAATGGCTGCGATATAAGCTCAAGTATACATCCAGGTTCTCCTTTTCCTGAGTTTTCTCTGTTCTCGGGACTCCCTCCAGAATACCGTTCAGATTCCCCTCCAGTATCCCTTCCAATCCTTCGCGCAAACCTGGGAACAACAAGCAATCATGGAGTCAATAAAGCCAAGCGAGATTAACATTATCACGCTCAACTGTTGGGGATTGAAGTACCTGGCAAAATTCCGAAATGAGCGTTTGACAGAGATTGGGAAATGTATTGCAACTGCAGATCCTGTGCCACACATTGTCGGCCTCCAGGAATGCTGGACCCAGGAGGATTATCAAAGCATTCGGAAAACGACGAAGCAGCTCCTGCCTTATGGGAAGTTCTATCACAGTGGCATTTTTGGCGGAGGACTTGCCGTCTTGTCCAAATGGCCCATAGAAGAGAGTTCAATGTTCCGTTATCCCCTCAATGGCAGACCCACGGCTTTCTTTAGAGGGGATTGGTATGTTGGGAAGGGCGTTGCATGTGCAAGAATACGGTTCGGACCAGGGTCGAAAGATGTGATGGAAGTCTTCACAACACATGTAAGCTGTGACCACATCCGCAACAGAGCTCACACTGACATGGTCAGCTTCACGCACCCTACGAACGAGAACCCAACGACTCTTACATATGTCACCGGACCGCCCAAGCATGGGAGATCGCGAAGTTGATGCGTGGTGCAGCCGAGAAACGTCACTTGGTTATTGGTCTTGGAGACTTCAACATGATACCCCTCTCGCTAGCACACCGCTTGATTTGCACACACTCTCCAGTCCATGACGTGTGGCGTCTCTTACACCCCGACTCGTCGATAGGAGCTGCAATTGATGATGTGGAAAAAGCACGTCGAAGACCAATTCCAACAGCTGATATTAATACCCAGGAAAATGGGGCCACATGTGATAGTGTATTGAACACCTGGAGATGGAACAAAGGTCAACAGAAGCTTCTTGGTCCCAATAAACCACCGATCGAAGTCCCGGGTGATCGAATAGATCCCAAGGCGAAAAGACTGGATTACATTTTTGCCAGTACCGGCTTCAATCCCGCAAACCCAGAGCAAGGAGGATGGGTCGTCAAGACAGCAAAAATCGGCATGATCCAAAGGCATCCAGAACTACAATGCTCACTCAGTGATCACTTTTCTGTAGAGGCGACCTTGGTTCATTCCAATTCTGAGGACGACAAAGATACTTCATCAATTGAGGATAATGATACATCGGTCAGTAATGGCACATACCTTAAATCACCAGCCAACAGCGAGTTCCGAAAATATCCCGCCCAGTTCTCAGAGACCCCATCGCCATTTCTCCCTATATCCACATACGACGAGATTTTGGCCATGATACATAAGTATCGCGCGCGAGAAAAGCGACAGCGTCGTTTGCGACTTGCCCACTTCGTTGGCTCGGTGGCAATCAGCATCGGTTGCTTGGTTGCAGTTTGGTGGAGTCCTCGGAACTTCGTGGCTTTCATACTGATGCTTCTTAGCACTCTGGGCCTTGGCGCTGGAATAATTGATGGACTGATTGGAGGTCTCTTTGTTGGCAGTGAGATACGGGCACTGAAAGAATTCGAATGGGAAATCAGCAATATAAGAGCTGCTGCAAATGGGGAGCCGCACGCCATGGCTGAAGAGGGAATCAAGGACTGGTGATTTATCATGCTGATGATTTTCAGGTCTATTCAGCTAATACACGAGCTGTATGGCTAACTATTTGTACTATTGATTTTCCTGGTGCCATCTTGCACAGGTGCTTCACCCTCAGATGGATCCACCAATCCCTCGCGTGGAGTCACGTGCCAGGGGTAACATGGTGCGACTGTCAACAAATCAGGAAGGGTCTTAGTGTTTTGTTTCAACTATCGTTTGGTAGATGTTTCGTCCGAAGAGGTCAAGGCTGTCGTACAGTATCTCACCTTTCTCACCATTTCAAATTCTAACTTTCTTCTAAGTTTAATGTCAAGTCGTCATTACCCAAATTCAATTTATACCCGTTCGAATGTCAACTCCAGGCGTGCAATTCAGGCGATGATTTGTTTCTTCCAACGGCATAGGTTCATAGCCGCTGGATTGGTAATTTCTCTCATTGTGTGCTTCTTGTTTCTGTCTTTCCACGATGACTTTGAGGACTACACCAAAGTTCCGTTCATATCGAACCTACTACCAGCGACTGCCACATCCACCTCGCCATCTGCATTGATAAATAATGCACACACTCTACCAAGTGCTGATGCGTACCTACCACATTTCCAAGCAGTCGCTTCACTTCCAGGCATATCGCTGGCAGAAGCGAAAGCAGGATGCACATGGAAAGACGACCAAGGTGTCAATTTCATGTACGGCGGCGACGCAGACTGGGTGAAACACGAGCGTAATGACAGCGAACTCGCCAGCCACCGCGTCGAATGGCAATCATTCATCGCCAATGATTTAATACCCTACAATAAATACTCCTCTCGCTTCTCCGGCCGCGGCATTGCTGTTGTAGCAGGCAATGAGCGCACCATGAAGCGCGTAAAAGTCCTCCTCCGCGCCCTCAAGAAGCTCAACTCCTCCCTCCCAGTCGAGATCCATTTCTTCGGCGACGAGGTACCCCTTTCCACGCAAAAGGACATGCTCGCTCAGTTCCCGGGCATATTTTTCAACGACCTCTCATCCAAAACCAACCTCGTCCAAACGGGTTTTAACTACTACCTCGCAAACTTCCAGTTCAAACCCGTCGCCATTATGAACTCCCGATTCGCGGAAGTGCTCTTGTTGGATTCTGACAACATTCCCGCAATCGACCCAGAATTGCTCTTCGAATCAGACACTTACAAAGAATACGGTACGCTCTTCTGGCCTGACATAGCGCGTACGAGGCCTGAGAATCCGATCTGGGCTATCACCAACACGATTTGTCGTATGGACGAATACGAGCAAGAATCTGGTCAGCTGCTTGTTGATAAACGAAGGTTCTTCTACCATTTGCAACTCGCTACTTGGCTGAATAACAAAAATGCTGCATATTATAATATGTTCTTACTAGGCGACAAAGATATGTTTCGTTTTGCGTGGCATGCTCTGAAGACGAAATATGGAAAGCCGGCCAAATGGCTGACCAGTGTGGGCACGTTGACGGACGGAAAGTATTGCGGACATAGTTTTGCGCAGCATCATCCTGATGGGAGGATAGCTTTCGTGCATGGTGGGCTGTTGAAGCAGATTCCGAATGAGATTGTGAAGTGGCAGAGGGAAGAGAGGGGTGGTGTATATCAGGCGTACAAGAGAAGTCCAGTGGATGAGAGACCTGCTGAGGTGGAGAAGTGTGGGATGAGGTGGGATGGGGGCGATTATTTACCGGAGGAGAGGAGGAATGGAACATTACCGGTGTGGATGTGTATCGATTTGTATGATGTGCCGGCGAAGCCAATTGGTGATGTGTTGGAGGGATTTGAGAAGATGTTTGATGAAGTTGGTGGGTATTGGATGTTGGATGGGTAGCATGAGAGGGAAGAGAAAGAGGAGAGGTGTGATACCAGCGTTAAATTTTGCGAAGGCGTCTATGGCGTTGGATTTCTTGAAATGATGGGTATTGCTGTTGTCTCGGTGGCTTTGCGCGAGTCGTGAGCCCAGGATAGCGTGAACCAGACCCGATGATCTGGTGTGGCTTGAGGAAAGCCTGAAGGCATGGTCCTGAGGCAGTGTAAACGTACATAGAAAATAGTGCAAACCATTGTTAATCTACCTTCCGAGATTTGAGGGCATACCTCAAAATCCAAACCTTGAACCGTAAATAGACTTTCGCGGAATAGCCGAGGATTGAATTACCCAACCGAAGGAGCATGAAGAAACGAAGCCAAGTGCCAAGTATCCAAGCAACCAACTATCAATACCTCATATCGCTTTTCCCCAGATTCGAGAACGCACTCAAAAACGCACTATTTGCTGGAACATCGGGGCGTAGAGTCCTGTCTGTGATTCCTGGTAAATTTTTAGCATATGCTTTGCTGCCTCTGGTGGACCGTTTATGATGGTCTCTAAGCCTTGGGAAATCTCCTTCATTGGCATGCGTTTCCCTAGTCGCTGGATCACAGAGAAGACCTCTTGCTTCCAGGACTAGCAACCTTCGGAATAAGCAAATGGATAGCTTCATAGGGACGAATTTTCAATTTCAAAATGAATTGTTGAAGACCTTGCCGCTTAGAGGGACTTAGGCAGTAAGAATAAATGGCAAATGCACTTGTTTGTTCACTGTCGATGTCTCTAAGGAGACGCGACGTCCCATGCCCATGGAAGGCAAGATCCCTGGGGCAGATCATGTGACTCATGCCCAGCTGTTTGCTCCGCTAGCGCGATCTGGGGATGCGTACCTATAAGCGAACGGAATGGAACATCAAAACGATACATGACCAGTTCCTCATTCCTTTTCGGAAACAAAGTCGTCAGATACCAACCTCTTTGATGGGACACTATTCTCGGCTACGTGATAGGTGAAGTAGCTGCTTCATCCAAAGCGCCTGTTCCATACATATGATGTGGATCTTCAACTTTCCAAACATATATCTGTCTGCTGCCTAATGCCATCAACATCCGCATCACGAAACCATCATAGGAATGTCCGCCCAAATAGTCTCGGTTTCTGGTTCCGATCAGACTGAAACGGCTCTAACTTCAGGCCATTTCAAAGTCGACATTGGGAGATATATTGCGGCTGGATGTTTACGCATCTCGCAGCCTGATTCCAACATCGCGCTTGACGCATGGCAAAGCTGCTCAAGTTGGAAATCGGTTGCGCCACTGCCAGAAGCACATCTTTTTTCTGGTCAAACATTCATAGATGCATCATTACAGAAAGCTCTTCTCGCCACCTCGCTCCTCCAACCTTTCGTCAGTCTTCAAACCTCGCAATGGATACGATTGGAATTCCGAGTAAATGATTCGGTCCATGGACAGGTCCGAGTCTATATCTTACCTGATGATGTCGGACGCTCAGTGATCAATCGAAACGTTCCAGCATTGCGCAAAGCCTTGCTACTACTACTCAATCAAATCGATATATCTGCTGCTACGTGGAATGGCCAGTGGTTCAAAGACTCCCTGATACGTCACGTGGATACCTCGTTGGATTTTGAGTCCTCGGCAGGGGAGGAGCCTTCTCTCTTTCAATTGTTCAATACTCTGCCATCCCCAAAGCCAGATCCAGATATGGTTTCAGATCCATACGTTAGGAATGCGATGTACCAGATTCTGGATAGTGACATAGAGGGGCTGAAAACAGAGATGTATAAATATCAGCGACGGTCAGCTGCACTCATGCTTCAACGCGAATCCAAACCAGCTCAGTTGTTGGATCCTCGGCTCAGACAGCTTGTTGATCTAAGAGGTATGACTTGGTATTGCGACATAGATAGTGGATCTTGTTTCCGGGAACCTCGCACATATGAAGCAGCTCGAGGCGGAATCTGTGCCGAGACTATGGGCTTGGGGAAGACCTTAATCTGTCTGGGCCTCATCATGGCAACTCGGGATGCAACATCCCAAATACCCAATGAGTATCTGGCTGGTACATTTCCTGTCAGAAAGAAAACTGCGTCGATGATGAACATGGCAGCTGCTGCACTCGGTCGCCTGGGAGTGCCATGGAAACGCCAGCTTACTGCTCTAGAAGCTCGAGAAGGGTATCGATTTGATCGTTGCCGAGAGGCTCTTGACAGCAATACAGGTTTCTACATGCTTCCATCTCCAAGCCCCCGCCGACAATCAAGAAACCCGAAAATTGTTGCTCCTAGGAAGATCCTCTTGACCTCGGCAACGATTGTTGTAGCGCCAGCAAACTTGATTCAACAATGGCAACATGAGATTAAGAAGCATACGACTGGATTGAAAGTGTTGGTGATGAAAACAATGTCAGATGTTCTTCCTCGCGCCGAAGCCCTTGTGGATTGCGATATTATTCTTTTCAGCAAACAGAGATTCGACAAGGAAGCAGCGTACGAGGTCGACGACAATGATCACTCTGGCTCGACTTCTCGACAGACATTTCTAAATGGGGGCCGACCTGGGCGGACGGCTGTTATGATGAAGGTCTATCATTCGCCTCTGAAAGATCTGCACTTCAAGCGCTTAATTGTCGACGAAGGCCATACGTTTGGGAATTCATCCAGCTCTTCGCGGACTGAAGCAAGTGCTGTTGTTGATTTCCTACAAGTATCAGCTCGGTGGATTGTGTCAGGAACGCCGACAAAAGGACTTTACGGGGCCGAAGTTGGTATTGGAAGCTCACAGACCACTTCACGAGAAGATACGCCCTCATCATCGAGCACTCCTTCCGCTATCGCAGATATTCCATTGAAGGCAGTATCTGCTTTATTGGACACCCCTACATCCGATTCTTGTTCGCAAGCCTCAAGCAAAGAGTTGAGTATGTATCATAAGCAGGAACGGAAAGACATTGAGAAACTTGGTAATATTGCCACATCTTACCTCAAGGCAAGACCTTGGGCAAATCGTCCAGATGATAATGATTATGCATCCTGGTCTCACCTGATCATGCAACCACGCCATGGATCTAAAAGCCGAGGCAACTTAGATTGCCTAAGAGCCACTTTGGAAGGGATGATCATTCGTCACCAGCAATCTGATGTTGAACTCGAGGTTACGCTTCCTCCCCTATACCAAAATCTGGTCCTTTTGGAAGGTTCCGTACAAAATAAATTATCTCTGAATACATTTAGTATGATGATAACCGCAAACGCCGTCCTTTCGGAGCGTAAGGACGCTGATTATTTCTTCCATCCACGGCAACGAAGAAATTTGCAGCAGCTGGTATCCAATCTCCGGCAAGCGTCGTTCTTCTGGTCAGGTTTTGAAACGGAGCATATCACAAATACAATTGAGAACGCAAAAGACTTTCTACGGGACAGGAAGGTCCCTATCTCGCCCGAAGATGAAGTACTACTCAATGAAGCTATCATGCAAGGACAGTGTGTTCTTACCAATAGTATCTCCAAAGTTATTTCCGAATACCACGAGATGCCTATGCATGTCGACAATGACCTTTCTGATGAGATCCGGAAGGCATGGTCCCTAGTTCACGAACCAGGAAACCCCACAATTATGGGAGCTACGATGGTGCATGCTGCCCAGAAGTTCGTGGAAACGCAGCTTTACAAGGAAGATCCCACAGACGAATTGGTTGGGGCCGGACGTGAAGCCATGTCTGCTGCGATCGCTGCCGTACAACCGCAGTCGCCCAGGCCTCGGAAAAGGAAGTTCAGGGACGCAAACGGCGTGAAGAAAGCCGTAGACGTCGCTCCCACTCTCGCAGGTGGTGTCACGATTGGTGATGAGTCCAGTTCTCGGAAACGACCTCGCACCTCATTGTCTACCACCAAACGGGCAAGCAGATCGTCTGACTCGGATCTCCTCAATATCGATTCTATCGATATTACCAATGACCAAGAAGAAGATGAGGCTACTATCCAGAAACAGCTGGACGCTCAATTGCAGCCTAAGTCCGTTCTCAAGAAGTCCTCCAAACCCGACATCTCAGGCACGCTTGACGCATCGTCACCTCTGACAACAGCAAAAATAATCTCTACTGCCTCTGCCAAACTCTCATATCTCATGGATGCCATAACACAGCACTCGTCTACAGAGAAAATCCTTATCTTCTATGAGGCTGACAACGTCGCCTACTACATTGCACAAGCCCTCGAATGTCTCGGCATCAAGCATCTCATTTACGCCAAAACTCTTTCCTCAGCCAGGCGAAGCCAATACGTTGTGACTTTCAACCAGAGCGAAGTGTTTAGGGTCCTCTTAATGGACGTTACCCAAGCTGCCTTCGGCCTCGACATGTCATCTGCCAGCAGAGTCTATTTCGTCAACCCGGTTTTTTCGCCTCAAGTCGAGGCACAGGCTGTCAAACGGGCTCACAGGATCGGACAGACAAAGCCCGTGTATGTGGAGACGCTAGTGCTAAGAGACAGTATCGAAGAGGTAATCTTGGAAAGACGCAAGGAGCTGAGCACAGAGGAACACAACTCTTGTAAAAGCATTTTGGATGATCGCACGATGTACGATTGGATCCGGAATGCGAGATTCCTAGATGTGAGAGGGCAGGACGAAGACAATGGGGAAGTCAGTGGGGAAGATCGGAAGGAGCCAGAGCAGATGGCCATGCTGGAAAACCCACGATTGGTGTTTGGACGTGGCGTCGGGAATATCGCTGATCCGGATCAAGATCTTATCTTGGGTGATAGTCCTGATGGGAAAGCTAAGCAGAAGAGCAAGATTATGATTAAGCTCAAAGTGGGACCTACTATCAAATTCAGTGGTGACAGTGGCGAAGATGAAGGGAACGGTGTGCGTCTGAGTGCGAAAGCGAAGGGAAAGAGGAAAGTTGGGTTTGTTGATGCTGGTGATGATGCTGATAGTAATTATAGAGATCAGGGCATAGGAGAGACTAGGAATGGTCACACACTTACTGCAACAAGTGCAGATGATCAAGTTGTGAAGAAGATCAGATTTGCTTAGGCATGCCTCGATGGTTTCTGATGTATGATAGGTTGGCTATGGATATGTCGGCGGGTATATGAAAACCTGGTTAGCTTGGAGGTCGGGTGCCCAAATGGTAGACGGAAGGGAACGGCGTTACCTGTACCATATGGAGTTTGGCTAGTTCTCACGAGCGGATACATTTAAGGAAACAGAGGAGCCGGAATGCTTTGCAGGTGCCTAGACACTGCTGCCGTGACGAATTTAATTACGTCTAGAGTAACCTAGATTAGGAGATGTTATTGTCCAAGATACTTGATTTTCAGTACATCCTGAACGCCTTCTAGAACCTATGCCGCTAAGTTGATTCAAACCACCTATCCCCTGTACAAATAATATACACGGCCAAATCCGAGATGAGCATTCGAATCTTCGACTGCCTTTGTACCCGATTTCCTCGCATATCTTGGCTCGTCCTCGTCTGATTATCATATCTCACTTTAGGTTCCAATCCTTCCCTCAATCCGCGAGATTCGTGACATGCCCGCTCACTCTCCACTCTTCCCTGGTATCTCAGTACCATCAATCTCCTTGACACCGTCCTCCCCCTCCTTCGCCCTCGTCGTAGTCGATCCATCAGCCCAGAACTCTAAATTCCCATCTTCACTCAACGTCCCTTTCTTAACTAGCTGTCCTTGTTCGCGCATTAGATCCTCTATTGTTAAATTACGATCGCCAAAAATCTACATCGAAAGGATATCAGTCAGCTAAGGTTCTCTTGTAATATCTTTTCTTGAAGACTATAACATACCCCCAAATGATCACTAATAACGTGCCTGTTCTTACACTCTGGACAGGTAATCAAAACGCTGCCCTTATGATACCCTTGTTTGCTAACTCGGTGCTTGCTGCGTGTGCTGCAGGGCGTACAAGTGAATGTCATTTCGTATTCTGGTTTGATAGGAGGGATGGGAAGTGGCCGTTGAAGAGGGGGTCGTGGGCCGTGAGGTTTGTGTGAAGATGTGTGAGTATGAGGAGCGCGTGGTGATGAGGTCGAGTAGAAGGTTGAGGGTGCGAGGCGAAGAGGGAAGTTTTGATGTTGAATTTGAGCGTGAGGTCGAGGGAGTTGAGTTTGGCGTAGGGACAGGGGAGACGGTTTGTTGAAGGATGATAGGCGGGCTATCGACCGGAGAGCAGAGAGGGGTGTTTGGAGAGGCGGCATTGTGTAGGAGTTGTGGTTGTGAATGCTGATGGTGGTGATACAAAATTGGAGTTTAGTGAAGAAACCAGAGGTTCGATGAGGCTGAAGTGGCAAGGCTCTGGAAATAAAACATGGGCTCGTATGGGGTCGAGAAACTCTTGGCAGGCTAAACTGTTTCGGGTAGCTGTAAGCTGGGACCCGGACGAGACGTTTGGATTTTGGAAACATCAAACTTGAATGAGGTAATTTTGAAGCTCTTGTTGATTTAAAGATACGTCAATGCTAATGAAAGTCATCCGAGAAGAATGAAACTCATTGAAATCGCACATCTGGACGGGTCTAGTGTGTGCTTCTGTGGGTATGTTAAAACAGGCAAGGCGACCTAGGTAGGAGACGGGTTCCACAACAGGATGGATATGTACCAACCCGCCTTTGTGATGGTAGTAGTACGCAGCTAAAAGCGCCCAGACACAAGGGAAAATCAATGTTTAGGGAGCAATGATCGCTACACAAGCAGGCGATGAGTGCAGGCTTCACGTATTTATCATTCACGTGAACTGCGGATAAACAACGGGCCGAGATAGGCGATAGCAATTGGCTTTCCGGCTGCCTCGAGTACAAGCACTTTGGAATACTCCAACTTTACTCCTTGACTTCCTACGGACGGTAACCGATCTATTCAAGCTCATCCTCCAGCCTCTCATATCATCTTTGACTTGCTTGCTTTCCAGAAGGCCTTTCAGGGAAAAAAAGACCACAAAGGCAGATCTATCCAACAGCAACGAGTCCAGCCCGTTCCAGAGCTCCAGCGAACCCCGCGAACGCACGAAACCCTTCACTTTTCACGCGTCGCACAGCCTGGGTTGATCCCGCAGAGCACCTCGCAGACCTACAGCGAAGGGCAAAGGTGAAGAGATGATATCCGGGAGAGGCAGAGGGAAGATAAGGCCGCCTAGGAGGGTATGTACTCGTCTGATTCACCCCACCACAAGAGCTGTCTTCAAGTTCCCTCCGAGTTGTACTTCCACTTTCTCAATCTTGAATCCACAATTGCGATCTCTACACTTCACTTCACCCTATTGCGACGAGATCGAGTATCTGCCACACTCAAATACCATCAATTGGGCAAGATGGCATCTGAGGCTACAGCAAGCACTGCGCTTGAACGTGCCATGGAAATGAGTCGTCGGGCAGCTGGCCTTGTATTTCTTCTCTGTACTGGACTGGAGAACATGTAGCTGATATATTTCTCTTTATAGAATCCCCTTGGCGGTCATGGCGACAACGACTTTGAGTCCCAGTGGGACATCTTGAGCTCGGCGCTCCGCGAAATCCACACGAAGAACGCCTCGCAGTTATCATTCGAACAGATCTACCGGGCCTCCTACAAGATCGTGTTAAAGAAGCAAGGTGACAAGCTTTACGACCGAGTTAAGGAGTTCGAAGAGCAATGGTTTGGTGGGGAAGTCATGCCCAAAATCCAGAAGCTCATTACACCCAGCTTGGTTAACATCACACGGGGTGGAGTGTCCGGGGTCACAGCAAACGAGCGTCGAATGACGGGGGAGGAATTTTTAAGAGGACTGAAAGCTGCCTGGGAAGATCACATCACCACCATGAACATGACCACTGATGTTCTAATGTATATGGACCGGGTGTATTGCACGGACAATCGGAAGCCCTCCATCTTTACCACATCCATGGGACTGTTCCGCGAGCACGTTCTTCGGTCACAGGTTTCGGAGGCTGGATTGATCATCTTCGATATCCTCAATTCAGTCCTCATCGACCAGATTGGCATGGAAAGAGATGGCGATGTGATCGACAAGACCTTGATACGCTCATGTGTGTACATGCTTGAAGGACTCTACGAGTCGGATGAGGAGAATGAGACTGAGAAACTATACACCACCGTTTTCGAGGTCGCTTTCCTCGCGAACGCCACAGAGCACTACAAGAATGAGTGCTCCACTCTTCTTCGAGAATCCGACGCAAGCACTTGGCTTCGACAGACCCGGAAGAGATTGGCGGAGGAGGATGTCCGGTGTCAGACTACGATTTCGTTGCTCACTAGTGCTAAAATTGCTAAAGTCGTCGAGAAGGAGATGATAAGTGCCCACTTGACAGACTTTCTTGCTATGGAGGGCAGTGGAATCAAAGCTATGATCGAGAATGACAGATATGAAGACTTGACGCTTTTGTATCAACTCATCTCGCGTGTGGATCCATCAAAAGGCCCACTCAAGATTGCTCTGCAGGCACGAGTAGTTGAGTTGGGATCAGAAATCAACAAGACCATTACCGACGCCGAATCTGCGCCAGCTTCTACTGCTCAGCCTGAAGAAGGCGAACCTGAAGGAGGTGACAAATCAAAAACACCAAAGCAAAGTGCTGCAGCAAAGCAGACTGCCGCTGCCATCAGATGGGTGGACGAGGTATTGACTCTCAAGGACAAGTTCGACACAATGTGGAAGCACTGCCTGTCAGAAGATCTCATCCTTCAGACCGCACTTACCAAGAGCTTCTCCGATTTCATCAACCTCTTCCCTAGATGTTCCGAGTATGTTTCGCTATTCATTGACGACAACTTGAAGCGCGGGATCAAGGGAAAGACCGAAACCGAGATCGAGGTTGTCCTCGACAAGGCTACAACACTGCTCAGGTACATCCAGGATAAGGATATGTTCGAGCGATACTACAAAAAGCATCTTGCGAGACGATTGCTGCATGGCAAGTCTGAGAGTGCCGATGTTGAGAAGCAGATGATTTCTCGTATGAAGCTTGAAATCGGCAACGCCTTTACTACTAAGCTGGAGGGAATGTTTAAGGATATGACCATGTCCGATGATCTTACAGCTGGATATCGCAGCCATATACAGGGACTGGGTGACCTGGATCGCAAACAAGTCGACCTTGGCATTAATGTTCTCACTACAAACTATTGGCCTATGGAGTCGATGGGAGGAGCAAGTTCTAGGGGTGAGGACGGCACACCTATATGCTGCTTCTGGCCGAGTGAGATTACGAACCTTCAGGAATCATTCAAGAAGTTCTACCTCAAGGAACGGAATGGTAGAAAGTTAACCTGGCTGGGTTTCCTCGGCAGCGCCGATATCAAATGCGTGTTCCCCAAGATTCCGGGCAAGGAGGGAGCTCTTGGTCGTGAGCGACGACACGAACTGAATGTTCCTACATACGGCATGATTATCTTGCTGCTCTTCAACGACTTAGCTGACGGAGAATCGTTAACTTTCGAGGCAATCCAACAGTCGACCAACATTCCGGTTGGGGATCTCTCACGAATGTTATACACCCTATCCGTACTGCCAAAAGCCAGAGTTCTAACCAAGGACCCCGCGAACAAGGAGTTACCGAAGCCTGGAGACAAGTTCAGCTTCAATGCCAGTTTCACAAGCAAGGCAGTGAAGATCAAGGCGCCTGTCATGGTCGGCGCAGTCAATAAGGTCGAAGGTGATGATGAGCGAAAGGATACAGAAGAGCGCAATGACGAGCACCGAGGATACGTGATCGACACTGTCATTGTCCGTATCATGAAGTAGGTTACCCCTGTTACATACTACTCCATTCCATACTAATTCAGTCAATAGGGCTCGCAAAACATCAACTCATCAAATGCTCTTCAGCGAAGTCATCGCTCAGCTCGCCCAACGCTTCAATCCAAACATCAACATGATGAAGAAACGTGTGGAGAGTTTGATCGAGCGCGAATACCTAGAGCGTGTTGAGGATGCGGCCGTACCGACATACAACTACCTCGCATGATTGACTCGATGTGTTCATTCTCATTGCCTTTGAGAATATAATCTCCTGTCCAGGCGAATATTTTCGTGTCTATATCACTTTCTTTCACATTTATCGATCAATCAGCATAGCTTGCGTGGGTGGCGGATAGTGCTTCTTCTGATTAGGTCTGCAGCGCTCTTGGCGAATATGGTGGATGTCCTCTGTACATGCTTATTGCACTGGCGCTATGGCGCTATGGGAAATTTGGTCTAGCCCTTTTCAGTGTGCATAATGAAGCATTTTCAGGACAAAAAGGAGTGGAGATCTTGCTTGTCTCTTACCACCGTTCTGGATGGGATAGAGAGAATCGATGAAGTAGAGGATGGAGAAGGCATTACAAGGGAAAGAGGAGAGAGTGGAGAGGGAAATATTTGGTAGATCAGATGTGAGCAGATGCAGTGAGAATAGAAAGCAGTTCTGACGAGCATCGTCAACATCATGTAAAGGACTGGATCTTCTCCTTTGAATTTGATCTGGAGTCTTGTGAAATGTCTCGCCCGTACCATATCGTAGCGAGTGTCGCAATACACGTTCATTCAAGCAGGACTGAGGAATTTGGGACCTCGCTTAGCTTTATTATGACAGGAGCCGCCAATTGTGTGTGTCTCTCAATGCGAAGTTCGAGCCCCTTTCCCTCAAGATGAGACCCATGAACGGCACATTGATAGAAATTGGACGGGAGAAGTCACGCAGTTCCTCCGAGATATGGTCTCAGCTCATGTCCTAACGCAAAATTCAACCTCGTGCAGAAGAGTGTTTTTTGAATTCTCTCTACCAAGATCCACCTATATCACCCCTCGGGCTTTATTCACTTCATCGGCGGCAATGAGACAATCCTCCAACACATCCCAGAACCTCTTTACATCCAGTCCTCTCGGTATCTTCACGCCCTCCTCCCCTTCAGCTAATAACGTCACGACTGTTCGTCCAGTTTGCGCACCAGCCAGTGCGTCCTCGTGTGTGCCTTCTGTGATGACTTTCACAGCGTAGCGCTCTCTCTTACTTTTTTTCTCGGTCGAATTGGGAATATATTCGTAAAATGGGATCTCAACGCCAGGAATGCCGTCCAGTATAGCTGCTACGGCAAGTGGATCGTGCAGTGGTGGACCGGCTGTGATGCCAAAGACGTCGGCGTACGTTTTTGCGAAGAAAGTGAGGAGTTCGACAAGCATGCGACGGAGAGTACTGCACTCTTTATTCCCCACTCCAAGATCTCCCTCCTTTCCTTTCCCATAATGCAACATGTGCTGTACCTCACCCGTCGCTAACACCAAATGTGTTACGTCGAGCGGAATCAAAGTCGTCTTCTTGCTCAAAATAGGATGCTCGAGCAAGAAAGCAGAAGCTTCTGGATCAACGAGGATGTTGAACTCAGCCCAGTACGACCAGTTCCCGATTCGCTCTTTCTCGGATACTCTCCCCATTGGGGCATCAGTGAAAGACGATCCGATAGCGCCGCCCATTATGCTGAGGCCTGCAATGTGGGTGGCTAAGTCGGGGTAGGATTGGAATAGGAATGCGATGTTTGTTAGGGCGCCAGTGGCGACTATCCAAGCTGTTCCTGGAGGTGTGGCGAGGAGGGCGATGGCGATGGAGGGGAGAAAGGGAGTTGTCTGTGGAGGGACCAGGGGGGTGGGCAGAAGGTTGGTGCCGTCGAGGCCAGATTCACCGTCTGGTTTGGGTGGTCAGTAATGTTGTTTGATTATATTCTGAAGATTCAGAGGAGGATGAAGGTAGGACAGCTTACGGATGGCATCTGCGTGGACAGCTGGGCGGATAAGGCCTTTTGCTGCTCCTGAGTATACAGGGATGTCTGGCTTGCCAATCGCCGTCAGCTGTCTCTGGAATCAGCTCGATGGATCTTCAAGTGGTCACAATAGGTACGAAGTATTTTGAAGCCTGGGCATTGTGACAGGGAAGTAGTGGTAGGAGACATACAATAGAGGTGGCATTCCAGGTCGTGTGTGGAAGCGAGGCGTTTCCATGGACTGTTGAAACACCGAGAAGATCTAACGAGGGGTGATAAGCTGACAGAAGGATTGCAAAAGCATCCTAGACATGTTAGCTGTAGCTCGAGAGCTTTTAGAGGCGAAGAAAAGACAGAAAAGTGAGTAATGACGGTCACGTGATGCAATACAAAGCACAAGGGCTTTCCGGAAACCCGAGGTAAGGACAGCCATATGCTGCTGGAGGAAGAGTTTCGCATGTCATTGAGCATATTTTATGATTGGCACAAGTCTCACATCATGTCCTGTCGTCTTGTCAGTATGCATGTACAGCAGAAAAGTGGATGGGGAGAGAGACTTACCTGGATCACAGTCCAACCAGACTGGGATTTTAGTGCTGCTGCTCATAACGAATTTCTTACAATCGTCGCAAGGGGTTCGAAATCGTCAGAGCGTAGGTAGAGACAGTTGCTTTGAAGAAATGAAGGTAGAAATTGATAGAAATGAAGTTGAAGAGAAGCTGTTTCGCTTGGCGCTGTTCCAGTGTCAAAAAGTGGGGAGGTGTATGAGTTCAACTTCGGAAGCAAAATACAGTCAATTGTTAAGCGAGTTCACATCAAGTCAAGCGCCTTTCTGCCTCTTTTTATAACAATGCGGCTGAATTGTAATTGGAATTTAGTGTCTGGCTTGATGATGCAACAATTGACAATTTTGGTTCCATGTTAGCTGATTTTAAAAATGCTGATTTGAGTATGGTTTTGATTATTTTTCTTCGTGTTTCTTCAGGTTCTTTTGAAGTCCAAAGTGCCATCACGTCCTCGTCGGAAACGTCTTGACCAGGAAATCTTACAGATATCCAGGAAGAAAGTCTAGAATTGAAATGCGTCTATCCACGAGCTGAGAATATGTCAAAATCGCTCCAACTCCTGCCTTACATGCATAAACAAGGACCAACGCCAGCCCAAACCTTTAGTAGGCCTAGCACCCAATTCGAATACCAAAAATCAAAGAAAGACGAACTTCCCGTTTCATTCTTTCTTTTCTTCTGGCTTGGGTTTTGGTTCTCCTTCTGCATCGAAGCCGAGCGCATCCAGTTCTCGAATAAGCTCATTGATCTTGATGACCTTCGCGAACTGTTCGGGTAGCAAAGCACCACCGCCTTCCTTTTTCTCTTTCAATTCTTTCGCCTGTTTAAGCTTCTTCTTGAGATTTCTCGCTTTCTTCTCCTTCTCGGCTTCCGGATCTATTGGTTCTTCAGCCTTGTCGTCCTTTTTCTCAGAATTGGCTCCCTCCTTCGGTTTCTCTCCGCCCTCTTCGGCAGCCTTGGCTTTCTTTCTTGCCTCCCTTCTCTTCGCATTTTTATTGCTGGAAGCCGAGCCCTCGTCCTTGTCATCCTTCAATCCGTCTGCTCCCGGGACGCCAGTACTTCCACGACTCTTCCAAGCGTCTGCGGTGCGATTCTTGTAGACCTCTACATCCTCTGGTGGCTTGTATCCAGGTCTGATCTTGATTTCTTTCCGCTTTGTGCCATCGGGTCGCAGGGAAGAGGGGATGTGTCGCTCGCCATTTGTCTCGACAATGCCGGCCTTTGATGGGGTGGGCACTGACGGCATCTTTGACGGTGACTGTCACCAAGGACAGTCTTCGAATATGCGGATGGATATGTAGCAGTTAGATGCGAATTATCTGAAAGAATTGGCGCCCGGCCTTGACGTTGTGATTGTTGGTGGTGAAGTGAGTGCTGGTCGCAAGGCTGTGAAAGTACAAGAAACCTTGGGGATCACAAAACCACGCTAAGGACTTCCGAGCTAAAATCGTGGGAGCTTCCGGATCGCAAAACACTTCATAGAACGACGTAAAGCACGACCTCTTACCATTCCATAGAGTTCAATCCTTCCCGAGCACTACTGCATACTTCACAATGGTAATTTCAGCCCTGTGTCATAATGACAGCCTTGTATGATTATGCTAATTCGCTCAATTGCAGGCTTCCGCAAGTCGTCCCATCTACAAGCAAGTTCCCCCCGACCCGAATTCGACCCACGACCATACGTTCGGCACTGTATGATGAGGGCAAAAGCAATTGCTAACTATGCGCTGCGTATAGTCTCTTCTTCCGCAAGAACTACGCAATGTTGGGCGTTGTCTTCGCGTCGGCATTCGCATTTGAGATGTAGGTTATCAAGTACCTCGGGTTTGAGTCTGGAGCGCCTGGTTAACGGACGGATTAGGGTCTGGGATAGAACTACCGATGGTATCTGGGACAGGCTCAACAAAGGCGTATGTCTATCTGGCGGGCGCCTTGGATGATGGCGTGGACTAACATGACGCAGCGACAATGGAAGGATATCCGAGCGAAGTACGTTGAGAGCGGCGATGATGATGACGAGTAAAGGAAGGGAACCAGACAAATCAAATGGAAATGAAGGGTGGATTGTGGTGGACAGAAGACATAGACGGGACAGATAGATGCTGTTCAGGGAAGCTTGGGCTGAGCTGTATAAAATGCAACACTTGTATCACTTTCACTGCCAAAGATTATTGTGCTCTGATCCTCAGTGAACTACCCGTTGAAATCCAAATATTTTGATATGCTGAAAGCTCAATAATTAAGTTTCGTTGTTCGGATGGTGTGACTTTGATTCTTTGGGTAGCCTTTCTTGTCTCTGACCAACCCGAACCTTGATCAGTAAAACAACCACGCCGCCTTGCCCCTCAAGACTCATACCAACACCAATCACCAACAAACAACCAAAACAATCCTTTCAAGACTTTTTTGCATTGTCTAGGCGTACGGAATCGGATTGTCTGACTATCAACTGGGTCAAACTTCTTTTACAACTTAATAATCGACCATTCCAGTCAACCGTCGGTCCCGCTTTGTATAAGTAAACGTCGAGCTCGAGGCTGCCCGTCGTCACAACCAAGACCTCGACCCTCCACTGCCCGCCGACAAACAAACCCTTTGACTACGATACAATTTACGCATCACGATATGCGAATGAAATAAGCCGACACATGATGGAGAATCTGTCAACACAAGAGCAGCAGCTCTGCGACTTCCTCAAGACACAACCCCGCGTTCACAACAACCGGTACACAGATTCCGCAGAGAATGCTCTTCTCCAAGCGCTTTTCTGGTCTCTGGCATGTGGACGACCAGAATACCTAAAGCTTTTCTTCCCAGACAATACTCGACCTCTACCAAATGCAACCTGGAAGTTGCGACGAGCACAAGGCAACTCGGACGGAGATGAGTTTACAGAGGCGGCGAGAGGCAAGGCCTGCGGTCATATCTTCAAAGCCGGCGAAGCTACATACAGATGTAAAACATGTAGTCAAGATGATACTTGTGTTTTGTGCAGTCACTGCTACGATGCCTCAGATCATGCAGGTCATATGGTATACGTCAGTGTATCTTTGGGCAACAGCGGATGCTGCGACTGTGGAGATCCTGAGGCATGGAAACTCCCAGTACATTGCTCGATACACACACCTCATGCAGACGATTCACCAAACAAGGACAAAGGCAAGGCGCCTACCTTGCCGCAGGACTTAGTCGAAGCTATCCGTATGACTATTGGGAGAGTGTTTGACTACATCTGTGATGTGATCTCCTGTTCTCCAGAGCAGCTCCGTTTACCGAAGTCTCGAGAAACGATTCTTCTAGATGAGAAATTGTCTCGACTTACCTCAAGATATTATCAGGGAGATATAGTGGAGGAGCCTTACGAGTTTGCCTTGTTATTATGGAACGATGAGAAACATACGGTCAATGAGGTTCGGGATCAGGTCGCCAGGGCCTGTAAGGTTTCCATTGCAGAAGGTATGCAGAGAGCCAATGAGACGGACGATGTTGGCCGAAGTATTGTCAAGTACGGCTTCGATGTGGATGATCTGCTTCATGTTTCGAAGGTTATCGAACAGATAAAGGTTACCGTTACCATTCGGTCTGCAAGAGATACGTTCCGAGAACAGATGTGTGGCACCATTATTGAGTGGTTGAGTGACATTGCTGGATGCAGTGTTGGTCCAGATCATAATATCCTTCGCCAGGTCATATGCGAGGAGATGCTCAAGGAATGGAGCACAGGAAGCGAAGCCAGCAATAAATTCGTGGGCATGAAGGGTATCGATGATCACCAAATCGAAGACAATGCTGTTTATAACAACATCAATCGAGGCTTGATGTTTCCGGATGCTGCAGCTTGGAGAGCAGCCGCCATGGCAGCAAATGCTCGAGCAGAAGACTCAAGCGAAGATGATGACGACGATGGAGACGACGGAGATGCCGAAGTAGATGATGAAGCCTCGGATGAGGATGAGGATGATGAAGTCGATCGAATCATGATGAATTTGGTAACCGGGGATGATGATGGATCTGATTTTGGGGAGGGGGTCGCAACAATTGTTGTCCCTGTGAACGCAACATTCCCATTCCAGGGTACCCAAACGACTGATGCCGACGGTGATATCGACATGAATGCGAATGATACCGAAACCTCGCCAATGGAGGAATCAGAAGCTACAATGGCCGGTTATCCCCCTCCTCCACCTCCGCCACCTCCTCCAGCTCGGCCTATCAGGGACAGAGATCTTACTCCTTCCGATTCTGACACCGCTGAAATGCAACCGTTGATCTCTCATAATGTATACGCCAAGGCAAATATCGAAATTCCAAAGACTCCGGGGCCAACTCGTCATGTGCCTGCACCACCAAGCCCTCCCCGATACTGGTTGGAAACACCACCAGCATTTAGTGACAGAGATTCCGTACCACTCCACGAAGACTTATGGAAACGTCTTCGACTGGACTGGATGATACTGTTCGACTTGAGAATGTGGAAGAAGGTTCGTGTTGATCTACGAGATCTGTACATATCCACAGTCGTTTCAATCCCGGAGTTCAAGCGGGTTCTTGGACTGCGATTTGCAGGTCTATACACGACTTTGGCGCAGCTGTATCTCATCGCCGACCGAGAACCAGACCACTCCATTATCAACATTTCCCTCCAGATGTTGACGACGCCAACTATCACCGCTGAAATAGTCGAGCGAGGAAATTTCTTGACCAATTTAATGGCAATACTGCACACCTTCTTGACCACGAGACAAGTCGGTCACCCCCATGAGATCAGCCCGAATGCTACGCTGGCATTTGATTCTGGTTCTGTCACAAACCGTAGGATGTACCATTTTTTCATGGACTTGAGATATCTCTTCAGCTCCGAGCACGTTCAGGAAAAGCTGCGTACTGAAGATAGATATATGATGCAGTTCTTGGACCTTGTGAAATTACATCAAGGGATTTGTCCAAATCTGAGGGCTGTTGGAGAGCATGTCGAGTATGAGACCGATGCCTGGATCAGTGCATCATTGATCACCCGCGAGATCAACAGATTATGCAGACAGTTCTCCGAATCGTTCAAATGGAGTGTGGGCGAAGACCAGACGTTTATCTCCAAAGCCATCAGACTTGCTGCCAAGACTGTTATCCTCAACTCGTTAGGCACAGAAAGAAAACGATTCCTACAAGCAGAGATCAAGGACGAGATCAAGTTCAAGAAGGTTGGCGACTATGAGTTTGATACGACCGAGATGTCAAACAGTGTTCTCCAACACTCTGTCGTGAAATTTGTTGTTGAGGCCCAGCCGATCAGCTTTCACCACGCCCTCCACTACACCTTATCATGGCTTATTGAGTGTGGCAAGAATATGTCACGAGAGGAGCTCACGCAACTTCTGAGCTTCACCACCTCAGATCTTACACAGAAGCCAAGAGCTATGGGTCAACGAGCAATGCCAATCCAGTCCTACACTCCTGAAGATCACCTGATGGCTGCTTTTGACTACCCCCTCCGTGTCTGCGCATGGTTAGCTCAGATGAAAGCCGGCATGTGGGTGAGAAATGGGATGAGCCTTCGTCATCAGATGGGTACATATCGTGGCGTTAGCCAGCGAGATGTCTCTCACCACAGAGATATTTTCTTACTTCAAACTGCTATGGTCGTATGTCCGCCATCCCGAGTTCTAGTGTCGATCATTGATCGGTATGGACTAGAACACTGGATGAAGGGTATTTACGAGCAGAAGGGCGATGGATTAGAGGATGGACACGTTCTCGATGTTGTCGAGGATTTGATCCACCTTCTGATCGTCTTGATCAGCGACAGAACATCGCTTGCTTCAACCGATCCACATGTCTTGGCGATGCGTCGTGATATCACTCATGTTCTCTGCTTCAAGCCATTATCGTTTTCTGAAATCTGCAGCAAGCTGCCCGACAAATTCCAAGATCAAGAAGAATGTCAAAACATCCTCGATGAGATGACGATTTTTAAGGCTCCAGAGGGCCTTTCAGACGTTGGCACGTTTGAGCTCAAACCAGAGTTCTTGGAAGATATCGATCCTTACATCGCTCACTATAACAAGAACCAGAGAGAAGAATCGGAGATGGCGTACAAGAATTCAATCGCGAAAAAGACTGGGAGAGCAGCTTCAGACATCGTGTACGAACCAAAGCTTCGACCAGTAGAGTCACGAGCATTTGCAGATCTTTCGGCTTTCACCAGAACTGGCATTTTTGCACAGATCATCTACTATGCTCTGTTATACCCAATGAAAGCGCAAGAGCTGACGCCTTCGGTTCCAGTCACAAGGGTAGAAGCATTCCTACAAGTTGTTTTGCATCTGGTACTCATCGCTATCTCCGAGGACAAGACTGACGAAGATGAGATGTCCGAGGAATCGCTCCAGTCTTTCGTTTACATCGCCTTGACGCAAGCAGGTCGTAGCAACTTTCTGTCCAATGCGCCGGCCTCAAAAACCATTGCATCCATTCTCGAGATTCTCTCTCGGAAAGAGGAATACAAAGCCTGTCACCCCAAGATCACTCTGGTGCTGAAGCGGATGAAGCAGAAGCAACCGCGCAATTTTGAGAACGCATTTGCTAGACTTGGTGTGCCAATCGATCGCATCTCTACGGCATCTCCTGCCAACAGTAACATCCTCGAGGAGCGAGAGAAAAAGAAGCAAGCAGCAATGGCGCGGCAAGCCAAGGTCATGGCGCAGTTCCAGCAACAGCAAAAGAATTTCCTCGATAACCAAGGTGATATTGACTGGGGCGAAGATGATGTCAGTGATGAGAATTTAGAGGTCGAAGCCGAAGATGACCACAAGACCTATTGGCAATATCCTTCAGGCACATGCATCCTATGTCAAGAGGAGACTAAAGACGGCCGACTTTACGGAACGTTCGCTTTGATGACCAAGAGCAATATTCTACGCCAAACAGATTTCAGCGATCCTGACTTTGTCCGCGAAGTTACCAAGATTCCTGCAAATCTTGATCAATCCGCTGACAATGTTCGTCCATTTGGTGTTGCCTGCGAAAATCGAACCTCGGTTCCTAAAGTCACATCCAGTGGTACTGAGATAATTGCAGAACGTCAGTTTATTGGGAAAGGCTTTCCAGCAAGCTCATCTCGAATGGGCCCAATATCGTCAGGTTGCGGGCACATTATGCATTACAAGTGCTTCGAAGTATACTATGAAGCTTCAACTCGAAGACATCAGCATCAGATTGCTCGCCATCATCCAGAGAATATTGAGCTGAACGAGTTCGTTTGTCCGTTGTGCAAGGCATTGGGGAACACTTTCTTACCAATCATCTGGTCTCCCAAGGAAGAGCTGCCCCTGACGCGCTTCCAGCCCCAATCCGAGTTTGCTGATTGGGTCGCTCATACAGCAGATCCTAATGCTCCAGGAAGGCCTCATGGCATTGACTATGTTTCAGAAAGCGCAAGCAGTCGCACATTCCAGGTCTTCATGCAGAACAACAACTCATTTCTTCCTGCGGCGCTATCGTCTCGGGTGATGGAGCTTTACCATCCTTCCGATTCATGGGCCCAGCATGTTCCCCGTAGCCCGGGACACGCAGAAGCCTACTCGGAGGTGCAGCCAATGCCTCCATTTATCCCAAGACCGCAAGCACCAGCTGTTGTCTGGGCTAATGACGGGGCCGCATCGGGTAGTAACCAGGCTGCTCCAGCACCTCCCATTTCCCCGATGAAGGAGTTGATACAAATATATCGCCGGTTGAGAGATACTATGACTAAGAATGAGCTCACATCCAATCATCAATTCCTCAAACCCCTTCCCTCTGGTGAGGGCACTGCTCCAAACGACATTGGATTCACAGATACAATCGCCCAAACCCTGGGCTACTCGATATCTTCGGTTGAAATTCAACAACGTGGTGTTGGGAGTGAGGGCGGAATGACATTCATCGAGACTGTGCCACAACAGGCACTTGCCCATTTGAGAATACTTTCGGATACCGCTGCTTCATATATCTCGATCGGAGGAATGAGGACCAGAGGTGATAATGTCGTTACCAGAGAGTTCTCAGCCGATTACGAACGGCAGCACTTGCAGCTATTCCTCCGCTTTGCATCCAATACCGGGCGGGACTTAAATGAAGAGCTCAGTGCATTGGCTAGGAAGGATCAGACCTTGCTTAGTCAAGATACGTTCGTCTTCCTTACAGAGTGCTCGCTCTGTCTCGCTCCTGTGGATAATATGGATATTGTCCACATCGCACAGCTTTGTTATCTTGCCGAGCTCGTAAAAGTTGCAATCAAAATGAGTCGCAACAAGGGCAATTCGGAGTACCTCCGGTGGATTGCCTCCTACCCCGGCCAATCCGAATCCATGACTCTTTTTGCAAACTTTTGCTATACCGTTCGCGAATGGGACTTGGAAGATTGGAACCACGACAAGGATGGTCCGATGAGCACTGCAATGGAGCAAGAATGTTTCAATGGCCTGCAATCAATCATAGATTTCATGAAGAAGTATGCACTGGTCTTCCTTCGCAAGGCGGCTCTGCTCCTTCATGTCCGTCACGGAGCCGCATTCCAAGACTTCATCTCAACCAACCCATCTGCTGATGAGTTGGATCGTCTATCCGAGGCCATGCATCTACCCTCTTTTGACAACATGTTGCGCTCCATATTCGAGAGTCCACACCTCAACACCCTCGTTTATGGCTGGGTCAGACACGCCAGTATTCCCAACGAACCACCCAGCATCATCCGCCTGAGCCACCCTGCCATCTTCGAGTTGATCGGCCTTCCCAAGAACTACGATACTCTGATGGAAGAGACCATGAAGCGACGCTGCCCTACTACTGGCAAGGATGTCTCCGATCCAATGCTTTGTCTCCACTGCGGCATCATCATTTGCGGCCAGAGCATCTGCTGCTTGAAACCTGCTTCGCCAACTAGAACTGGCCGAGGACAGTACATAGGCGGTGCCCAACAGCACATGCGCAAGTAAGTACCCAAACGTTAATGGAAAAAAAAACTGAAAAATTCAAGAACAGAGTCTAACAATAAAATAGATGCCAAAAGAACATCGGTCTCTTCATCAACATCCGCAAGTGTACAGTCTTCTACGTTTACCACACGTCGGGCTCTTGGATGGTCGCCCCTTACATCGATAAGTACGGCGAGGTCGACCCTGGACTCAGGCACAGTCGCCAATTGTTCTTAAATCAGAAGAGATACGATGCGTTGTTGCGTACCGTGTGGCTTGGCCATGGTGTGCCAAGTGTCATTAGTCGAAAGCTGGAGATGGATATCAATAACGGTGGCTGGGAGACTATCTAGATTTCCTTCAATGCGGGTGTTTGATCGTTAGTTTTAACCATAGGCCGCGGTGTTATTTGCAAGGCGTTGTTTGGAGTGACTGGTTTTACTGATGGATAGTTGGGACAGGTTAGGACTGAACGAACAATTTTCACTCTGAATGAACGAACTGGCGCTTGCGTACGGTGTATGGATTGGCCTTGGAGAATATAGATTACACGTTACACGTAGACAGAGCAACATGCCATGGTTGTTAGTATTTATGGTCCGTTGCGCTTGACAGTACTGTTGTATCCACATGGTCCTACTCCAGCGTACTTCCTTTCCTCAGCATTTCTAATACTCACGAAAAACAAAGGGCCAACCGATTTGAGATACTTCGTCTGCTGGACTATTCACACAGAAATGTATAACTAGCACGACTTTGATGAGTGCCTTTCAGTCGCTGGTAGTCGCCAGCGGCTACCGAGACTCAGAAGCATGCTCAATTCCCTGTGTCACTTCTGTAAGATTACATCCTCACCTTTGACCGCTCCCCCCATTCACATCAACCGAATCCGCCCGCAGGTTTGCGCGTATTTCTTCTAGCCAAATAAGCAATTTTCCATTACAAGCACCCACGTTTTACGTCACGGTGATGCCCCTCTAGTATCATAATGTGCTTATGATGTCTAACAGATTGGTCGCTTGTCGGTCAGAATTCTCAAGATTTCTCCAGATTTCCGCCTCATCGCGATCGGTCTGGGAGTTTTGCTGTTTTGATTGTTAGAATATGTCGTCCTAAGGTTTTTGTCAGTATATGTAAACGCACTTGAAGCAGAGCGTCAATGAGAGATACTTCAATATCTATACTTCAGCGTTGATCTGGTATATGCCAAAAACATAGTGGAGACCGAATACGGTATTTCGAGCGTAGTACGGTGATTCTACAAAATCTATTATTGCGGCTTGCTATCAACTGCCGACACATAACTAGCCATCTTTAGGCCCCTTATATCGGAAAATAAGCTAGTTAAGGTCTGCATCGTGCTTCAAAAACACTTACTAGTGTTGTGAGTATATTTGTTTTGACGATTATTCTGACAATCGGCGTAAAAGTGTGATTTGTTTGGCAGGCGCAAAGTCAGAGACCAATTGAAGATTTGGTAAACGTAAACATTGTTCACAGGTATCTTTCACTTTAACCTGCAGACGCCGGACTGGTATCGGTATTCTGGTAATAAACACGGCATAAGGAACCACCGGTAGGAACCTTCGCCACGAATACTCCACCAATCTCGCTTACCGGAAAAATCAACATGACCATGATGATGGAGCCACCCGCCTGGGGTAACGATACTAGGAGAAATTCAACTCTTCATTTTGAGGCTATTACTATGGAAGCACAAAACGTACGACTCGCCTCTCTTAATAGGAAGCAACCCGACGAATACGGATTCTGTCTTGAACCCAGCTGCTGCCATCACCTTCCCGATATGCAGCTGGCAATCCATTAATACTCGGGAATCTCTACAGCACAACAGCCACATCAGCCAGTAACGAGATGTACCTCGACTTCAGTCACGTCTCATCCTGGGATTTACCTACCTTAGATAGCTATCGCATCGTGCGCCTGACGTGATCGAAGCATATTGTATCTCTATTACTTCAAACACACGCCGCCGAACGAGACTTCCGACAAAGAACATGACGTGGAAGTTTGATATACATTTGTCAATATCTCAACGTTTGGTAACATCAGGATCTGGTTTAGTGAGTGGGTATCATGGAAATTAAGTGGCTTTGTTGAATCTGTGAGGGGATAACAGTCAAGCAGCGTGATGCTGCCAAGAGCCTTAACCAACTTCACACTAGATGCCGAATCATCTACGTATACTGATGGAAATGCACCTGTGACGATCCGAACTATGTGATCTTGGAAAGAGCAGCCAAGTAACGGACCGCAGTGAGGGTGAATCACAGAAGTTTTCACCGTATATTTTGAGTTTGACAAAGGCCATGGTGAAGCTGGATGTGTAATGAGCGTGATTGAATTGTCCTTATATACTTTACTGCACTCCATCCATGTTTCAATCATCCTGTGCTTCCACAATATGCGCTTGCCAAGTATTACTTTCAAATTTATGATAGTCCGAATCAGTAAGCATTCTGGAGCTTGCGTTCCTCAAAGACCTTCAATGCCTCCTCGGCGGCCTTGACACCGGAAAGTGCCCTGCGAAAACTGTCAGTACGTAAAACCAAGAATTGGGAGCATATAACGCACATAGCGCCAAAGGTAGGGCCCATTCGATTAGCCCCATCGACCTCGCTGAGCTCCATGCCACCAACAATCAGGCCCGGCACAACTTCGCGGGTGCGAATGACGATGGCGTCCTCAGCAGTATTCATGTCCAAGCCACGCATGCCACCGAGCTTCTCGATCTGCTGCATGGACACGAGGCGCTTGACGCAAAATGCACCAAACGGACCATCGTGTCCAGTGGTGCTGATGACTAGAGGAGCATTGATGGTGTTTGGATCCATACAGGATTGGTCATCGTGGTGCATAGTCACAAGAGTCCAGTTTGTAACGACGCCAGCGATGCGAAGGGTGCCATCGGGATTGGCACGGGTGATCAGATCCTCAACCGCAGTGGCGTTGAAAAGCTTGATATTGGGGAAAGATAGGACTTTCGAGAGAAGGGTGGAGGTGAACAAAGCCTGGAGACAGAGTAGTTAGATTTATGTAAAAATCAAGGAGTGAGAGTCTAGACTCACGGCATGCTTGACAACCACGAAGTCTCCCTCGTCCTCAAACGGAACACCAAGATCAGTCAGGAACGCATCAGCGGGCTTTCGCATGACCATAGCGCTGAAGAGCTGACCACCGAGCCAAGCGCCGCCACCAGGAGATACAGAAGCTTCAATGATGGCGATCTTTAGATCCGGACGAGCCTTGCCGAGCATGTAAGCGGTGCTGAGACCGCAAGATCCAGCTCCAACAATGACAATGTCGGACTCGGCATAGGTGTCGAGATCAGTGAAGTAACGACGGGTCATGGCACGAGAGACCTGAGACTCGCGGATGGGAGCGAACTTGAAGCCTTGCTCCCACTTATCGGCCAACTCGGTAAGAGTTTTAGATTCGGCCTTGGGAGAATTGACGGCGAAGCTCTTCACGTCGAAGGCATTCTTCAATGGGGCAGCCTCGGTGTGGGCGGGCTCATTGAACATTGCTGCAGGTGGAGACATGGTCATTGATTTGGTTGTTTGGTCACTTTGATTGTAGGATCAAGGTTGAAACCTAATTGGGTTAGAGCTGTCTTTCGACGGGGGAGAGGGGGAGGCATGATCCTTTCGCAGAAATTACTCTGATCAAGTTCATATAACCGTATCATCTCAGAACGAGCCCAGCTTTTCGTGTCATCAGGCCGAACATCTCATCCATAGGGATGGTGGATGTGTAGCTGTGATGACGCTGGGAACGAACACCGGTTCATGCAAGATGGTTTACAATCGATGAAATACCTTGATCCTCCTAAGGATAATTCCACTGCTTGGGTGACATGACTCCCGCTTTCATAGTGGGTGGTTGTACTTTAGGTACTGAATCAGGAACCTGGAATGCCAATATGTTGTCAGCTTGAACTTGTTGCGAGGCGGAATATACAGACGGTGTGTTTTTATGCGAACACTCAGATCTTGGTGGTGGAAAGGTTTGAAGAAGGGCAAGTACTGGTGGGCAGGTGGCATGATGTTTATACTCCGAGTGAAAGCTCGTGAAGAGGGGTAGCTCTTTAGTGCCCCCACTATGCATCTCCAGACTCCAAGGGAGCAAGAGGGAACTTCCCGTGCAGGGCCATTTGAATCAGCTATCGAGCCAATCTGATTGCATGGGCTGCGTGGTTTACGACCAAACAGAATAGACTAAATCTTTACAGACCCTTAGTCATCGAAGCAGTAACCTATCAGTTCCATTACGATGGGGCATTATTCGTATATTGAAAGTCAATTGGACACATCCAACGGGCGACATCGGCAGGGGAGATCCGGTGTGCAAGCAATTTAGCCAGCGTCACTGGCTCGGAGAAGCCGGGAGAGGGACAGACCACGGAGAGGAAGTCGTTGAGGCATGGTAAACAGAGCAACCAGAGCGATGGGAGATAGCAAACGAAACTGTCCATTGGCACGGAGTATTAGGTCCGCCTGAGCCGAAGCGAACAAAACAAAAGGAGGTGGAAAAGGGGCTGCTGGAGTGGAAGTGTGCTAGCGCGTTTGTCACGTGAGGGGGCGTAAGTTCAATGATGGTTCGAAGGAACAGGATAACGCGTTGGCTCCAAGCCTCGCATCAGATCATTCAGACCAACCACAGCACTACAGTGCCTTCAAGATGTCGCGCAGATCAAGTCGTAAGACAGAAAATCTATCTCTGGATCCCGAATCATTAACCACTCGATCTGCAATTCCCAAAAGAGGTCGCAAGGTCGTGAAGGTTGAGACAACAGAAGTGGCTGCACAAGTCGCGAAATCTTCCACCAAGACCACGAAGAGGACCGTGAAGGCAGAAATACACTCGGACGAGGAAGCGGAACAAGAAGCACCATCGCCGACAAAGATCAAAACGACCAAAGTAAAGGCAGAAACCGTGGTAGAGGAGAAAGTGACCAAACCAAAGAAAGTAGTAAAACGCAAAGTCAAGGACGAGTACGACGAGAACGAAGACCCGGAAGATAACAAGTCGAAGAAGAAACGCAAGACAAAGGAGGAGAAAGAAGCCGAGGCTATGCCTCTTGCCACTCGTACAGCAGTTGGAGGCCTAAAGTCGGCAATGCACATCGGTGCCCACGTCTCTGCTGCAGGAGGTATATCTCGTAATTTAATATGCTGGTGACCAATATCTGATGTGTCGGTCTGTAGGTGTTCAGAACTCGATAAATAATGCTCTCCATATTGGTGGCAATTCCTTTGCCTTGTTCCTCAAATCCCAACGAAAGTGGACCAGTCCTCCCCTCGCACCAGAAGCTAGAGACCAATTCAAGGCATTCTGCCTTGAACACAAGTTCGATGCTGCGAAGCATGTCCTCCCCCACGGGTCATACCTCGTAAATCTTGCTCAGCCAGATCCTGAGAAAGCCACGCAGGCGTACAACTGCTTCTTGGACGACCTACAACGGTGTGAAGCCCTGGGAATCAAGCTGTACAACTTTCACCCCGGCTCTACTGGCAAGCACCCGCGACTAGAAGCAATTGCTCGTATAGCCGCTCAGCTGAACAAAGCACACAAGGCAACCAGTTCAGTGATTACCGTTTTGGAGAATATGGCTGGTAGTGGCAATGTGATCGGCGCTACATGGGAGGATCTTCGGGATATTATTGCTCTTGTCGATGACAAAAGTCGTGTCGGTGTATGCATTGACACCTGTCATACTTTTGCAGCTGGGTATGACCTACGATCACCCGATGCTTTCAAGAAGACTATGGACAGCTTCTCAGAAACCGTTGGGATGTCATACCTGAAGGCTCTCCATCTAAACGATAGCAAGACGCCGCTATCCTCCAACCGGGACCTACACGCAAATATTGGCACTGGTTTCCTTGGACTGCGAGCCTTTCATAATGTGGTCAATTTCGCCCCATTCCAAGATCTCCCGATGGTCCTGGAGACTCCCATTGAAAAGAAGGGTGCTGATGGGAAAGCTGTGGAAGATAAGGGAGTTTGGGCTACGGAAATCAAACTTCTCGAGGGCCTCATTGGGGCTGATCCTGATACGAAGGAGTTCAAGGAAGAAGAGCAACGGCTTCAAGATCTCGGAGCTGAGGAGCGGAAGAAATATCAGGGACAGGTTGACAAGAAGCAACAGAAAACTCTGGATTCAATGTTCAAAAAGGCACCTGCAAAAAAGAAAAAGGCTAAGAAGGAGGAAGACGAAGACGTGTCGGATGACAGCGAAGGTACATGTAGCCACTAGTAATCCGCTGTGGTCCCATGAACTTATTGTAAGACACAACAATTGGCCATGGAGTTGTATGAATAGAAAGTCGAAGCGCGCCCACGTCCAGAGATCTAACTCCAAGTCTACCTTGTTCAATTGCACCAGTCTAGAATCCTTGAAGAGGACATCGGCTGGTCGTCTACCAAGTCCGAGCATTTGGCAATCCTGTGTTAAATCTCCAAAATCAGTTGGTCTTGTGGATCCCTCAGCTAGATTTGAGATCTGAGAAGGACCAGTCAAAGTACCAAAACGTTGGGCGTTTCCGCCTCGCGACTACGTGTCATTTGTCGGGTGATTGCATGTGCTTAACACAGCGACCCACTTTCTCATCAAGAACTCACAAGCTTTCTGTCTTACAAATGTTGCTTGTCGTCCCGCCGTGGTTGAGGTATTATGTTGTCGGTGATGTGCAACACTTCTACCTAGAGCATCAGGGCATGAGGCGGACCATGGAGCATCCAGACCCCAGCGAGTGCTGCACAGTCCCTGACATTCCTGTTCTGCATTGGTTGTTTGTATTCCTGCCTCTTTGATCTCTCGCTTCACATATCACTGCGGCTGCACCAAATCCTCGCTTAAGTACTGTTTGAATGTTTGTATTATTGCCACGACATAAGCAATTTAAAGTCACCAGGTGCATATTTGCTATCGACGTCCGTTTCAAGCGGAACTATGCACACCTCACCCCCAACTGTTCTGGCTGGCCCTACCAATTGAAGATTGGGGTACAAACCATGCAAGATGCCGCTGTTGGGCTCAGCTACTCCTAGCCTCCTCACCATCGCAATGCCCAGTCTCCACCTCGTACACCCGCAGAATAAAATATGAGCTGGCAATAAGGCAGCCGAGGATTTCAGGTCGGTACGCAATAGATGTGCCTTACGACGGCTTCTCAAATTGAGTGACGACTCAGCATTGTGGTTCGCACAGTAGTGCAGCTAGGCTTACATATATAACCTACCTAATGGTGAGGTCGTTACCATTTTGCTGGAATGCTCTCCCTCACATGTCCCTGCGCAACTCCTAGAAAGGGGAACATCGCTCGTCGCTCTCACCGCAGAGTACGTCGACGATATTCATATCCCCATCCGCCCACACCTCCACTGTGTTCAAGAGATTACCCTTCTCTCCCCTTCCCGCTGCCTCTGCATCTGCCATATCCCACCAACGATACGCCGTTCAATAGCTACGACCCGTGCGACCTTCCCATTCAGCAACCACCGCCGCTTGATCTAGCTCCGCCTCTTCTAGGATCGACTATCCTACGTCCGAATCTCTTCCAGCAGGGTATCATACAGCCAAATCCTGTCCCGCGACACTTCATACAGCCTCCTCCACCTATCTATCAGCCGGGTCCGCCCTCGTTTCAACGTCCAGCTTTCCCGCCAGTGGTGTTGCCCCCTCCACCGCCACCACCGCCTCAGCCAATTCTTGTCGGACAACCAGGTCCTCCGGCATTACCACCATTGCTTGTTGCTCCACCACCAATTCTAGTCAACAATCCGCCTCCAGTTCTTGTCAACCACCCCCCACCAATTCTGGTTGGTCCTCCGCAGGCTATTATTCCGGCCCCGCCAAACTTCAATCCTCTACAGCAGGTGACTGTTGCCCCTCCAGCTCCCCGGGCCCAAGTGCCAGCTCTTCCACCACCACCAGTACAAGTACCACCTGCAAATCCACGGCCAATTCTCAATCAAAATCCTGCATACCCTGCTCCTGCCAACCCTCAGAATCAGCAACCGAACAATCCTCCGAACCCACAGAATAATAACGCACAGGTTGTACCCCCTGCAGGCGCGCAGAACGGACCTCAAGTTGTTGCTGGAGCCAACGCTCAAGGCAAGGCCCAGGCAATCGCTCAAGTCAATGCTTCACGAAAGACTCTTATTCGAGCTTTAACGAAACGCGGAAGCAGGAGACAGAACATATTGCTGTGTATCCATCACCTTATCAACGCAATTTGCGGAAGAAAGAAACAGGGCGGTTAGATCATCTTCCCGCGAGGGTCAAATTTCCAACATGGTTATTTATGATGACCGTAGCTCTACACGAGGTTCTTTCCAGCGTTCTGAGAACCTGGAGAGTACTATTCAAAATGTGATCCGTTCTCTGTTTAGGAATGACCTCTTCTCCGGCGACGAAGACGTCAGATTTGGTGGGCTGCGAAATCTGGCTGGTCTGAGTGATGATCGAAGAATGGAGGAGCTTATGGTCAACGACATGATCAGGCGGTATGTTGCGCACGAGCTTGTTTTCACCTTCCCACTGACCGCGACTGCAGTGTCAATCTAGGTGTACAGCTCGCCAATAGTCTCGTCAGTCCTCATATGGTGCATGCAGAAATCCATCCCAAGATCTCAGATAATGGTATCTACCGTGGCGACTACCCTCGCGAGTTTGAGCATCCTCGTCGGGTTGAGTGGTTTCTATCCCTAGAAAGTAAGGTTCCTCCCCTAACCATCTGGTATTTCTTGTTATTTACATACCACATTGCAACTAATATCGTATAGGCGCATCACTCGACCGCATCTGCCAAGCATACGGTCTTCCCACGGGCGGATATTCCAGCAGTTACGACAATCCGCTCTTCAACAACTTCCGCGAAGTGTTCTCTCGCAGCTGGGGTCCAAGCTACTCTTCTGACACAGCTCGAGAATATCGGCTCCTCAATCTTTTCCAGTATCTTGGTGTGTATGTGGGTGATGGGCCGAGACATGATCGTGTTAGTGACACCCTTGATGGGAACAGATTGCTTGGAAGGGGACTGGGTGGACCTGGAAGTCAGAGGGGCTTGGGTTGGATTTCTTGACAGATTGCTGATGATCTTCTAGTGGTGGTTGAAAAGTCTGTGTATTGTGCTTGGTGTCATTTTGCTATTTCGGAAATTCGTGTTCGTTTGGTGGGTTATCTGGTCCTTGCTATGTGTTATGCTCTTGTTTGGAGGACAGATACATGCCGGATTTAACGTGTTTTGATGTCGTAATGTCGGCATGTTATGAATTGTGGGAATGCAGTTGGTCCTTGGGGTCGATATATGTCCTTCTAATCTAGAGTTCCACGCCTCGATTGAATACGACCTCGTTTCTCCATGATTCATTTGACTTCGTTACAAATATCACAGAGTTTCCCAAATGTTGTATGCATCCAATAAGATTCATTCAGGTATTTCTCAGCCGCTCAAATGAGCACCTCGTCAAGATACAGCGTCTGGGCTTAGAGTTCAGGCCTATGCCAATTCATCAAGTCATCAACTGGTATTTCTCCTGCCGGCAGGACCTTGCAGATCAACACATATCGCCCAAAATTACGAGAGCCTATCGCTTACCTGATCAAGCAACCTTATTGGTTCGCAGGTAAGACTTCATGTCAACAACTGGTTATATTCTTGGCAGCCACTCCAGGTCCCGAAATCCATCACGCCAGCAAAACAAAGCTTGAAACGCTTTCATACTTAAAGGTCATTGTTCTACGGGTCATGGAAAATGTTGTCAAGTACTTTCTCACTGGATTTTATTAATTTAATTGCACCAAGATGCAAGCAATTCAACTCAAAGCCAAAGGCGGACCCGCGGAATTCATCACCAACCGACCAATCCCAGCCCTCCCTCCAGTCTGCCTGCTGATAAAAAAAAATCGCAGTTGGCCTCAATCCTCATGATCTCCTCGATATCGACGCCCCATGGAGTATCAGCGATGCAGGCGACCTTCTCGGTTGCGATTATGCAGGAATTGTGGAAGAAGTCGGTTCTGCCGTCATCAGGAACTTAAAAAAAGGAGATCGAGTATGTGGATGCACGAGACCTAATCCTCTGCAGCCTGATTGGGGAACTTTTGCGGAGTATGTTATTGTTGTTGGGGATATGCAGTTGCATATTCCTGATGAGATGAGTTTTGAAGATGCGGCTTCGCTTGGAGTTAGTATCTTGACGGCGGGTGCTGTTTTGGTACGTAAGATTCGAGTCGATAAAATGAAGGAAAGAAATTGATGAGAGACTAGTATGATACCTTGGGTTTCAAAACGCCTCCAGATGGCAACGAGGCTAGATGCCAGATTCTCATCTACGGAGGAAGTACGTCAACCGGTAGAATGATGATTCAGTTCGCAAAACTGTAAGCTATACCACAGGACTAAAGCAAAGTGACGAATTTTACTAATTTCTCAAAGCTCGAATTTCGAAATCATCACCACGTCTTCACCCTCAAGCTTCTCCCTCCTCAAATCTCTCGGTGTAGACCACGTCTTCGACTACAACTCATCCAGCTCTCCTTCCTCCATCCTTGCCCTGACCAACTCCACTCTTGGTCTCTGCATCGATTGCTTCTCTCAACAAAGCAGTTACGAGTTCTGTTCTGCAATTCTCGCAAAATGTGCAACATACGTCAGTATCACACCTATGATCAAGGTCGATCGCCAGGATTTGGTGTTCAAGGTCTGCATGTGAGTTTTGTACTTTAATGCGCCGTTCTTGATTCAGGGACAGAAGTTAGAGGCGACAGAGGGGCCTTTGATAGTGCAGTCAGATTTGCGGAGTTTGCAAAGGGCATGTTGAAGAGTGGTGAGGTGAAGTGTCATCCGAATGAGGTGCGTGGTGGTGGGCTAGAAGGAGTCTTGGAAGGAATTCAGGAGATGAGGGAAAGGAAGGTGGCTGGGAAAAAATTGGTTTATGGTGTTGAGAAGTAGTTGAAACTTTTTGTCGCTAAACGTTTGGTGGATATCTTTTTCTTGTGGTGGGGCGAGAGTTCAATGTAAACAACGGTTGTCGGCAAATCTCACCTACAAGTATTCGCAATCAAAAATCTTTGAAAGGGTGGCCACCATTCATACAGGTTGGATAATAGCTTCCACCGGCAAATATACGGTCTTGTGTTGCTGGGATATCTACTTTCTAGCACGGTGGTTGAGAGTGGGGTGATGGATCCTCACGCAAATTTAATAAGCACGCCATTCAAGCTGTAATGTTACAACGCCAAACGAGAAAAGCATTGTGGCTCAAAAGTGGAGGCTTGGAATGAGAAGAGCCGCGGGAATGGCGTATATAACATAAGTGCAGTCACTCTTGATATTTCTTTTTCTGCTTGTCAGTCTATCTCAACCTCTGCGGCTGGTTACCAAGAAATCGCCCTGTCGGAACTCCAAAAATGGCTTCATATCCGGACGAAAAGGCCATTGCTCCCACTTCCACAGTACCACTGGACTCATACACCGAGAGTACATCTATCAAGATCTCTGACAGTCCAATCCAGATATCTGGGAATGTTGCAGCGGAGCCTCAGCGCCAAAAATGGTACCAGTACTTTGCTCCGACGGACACTCCCGAGGAACGACGCTTGATCCTCAAACTCGATGGATTGATCATGATCTTTGTTTTTCTGGCATATTGGGCTAAAGTCTTGGATTCTTCGGCGACGAGTACGGCATATGTCAGTGGGATGAAGGAGGACTTGAAGTTGTTTGGAAATGAGCTGAATTACTTAAATACCGTTTATATGTGAGCTTTGCAACTTTGGAACAACTTGAAATATTTGAAACTGATCAGATCTAGGGTCGGATTTATTGTCATGCAAGTCCCATTGACGATGCTGGTATGTTCCTAAAGTTACATTTTCTTCAGGACAATATTGACTGTCTCGAGATGACTCGTCTCCCAGTGAACTATTTCCTCCCAGTAGCAGATCTTCTCTGGGGTGTCTTCACGCTTGTACAGTACAAAGCGACAAGTGTGAACCACCTCTACGCATTCCGGTTTTTCGTAGGAGCACTCGGCGGATTCTTCTTCCCAGCCGTCCAGTGGTACCTCGGATGTTGGTACAAACGTACGGAGCTCAATCGTCGTGGCGCTCTTTTCTTCATCGCCAGTCAAGTAGGAAGCATGAGCTCGGGGTACATCCAAGCTGGAGCATACGACTCATTAAATGGCACGCATGGTATCGAGGGATGGAGATGGCTTTACATCATCTGCTTCTCCTGCACAATCCCAATTGCCGTCATCGGATTCATCCTTTTGCCTGGCACCCCAGATAAACCGAGTTCACGATTCTTGACACCTGAAGATGTCGCTCTTGCAAGAGCACGCATGGCGTCGGAGAAGCGCGAGCCAAGCAAGCCTCTTACTTTCTCCATTGTCAAGAAAGTCCTGCAAGGATGGCACTTCTACATCCTCGTTCTCTTCGCTTTCTTCTTTTCGCAAGCAGATGGTGTATCCTCAAATAGTGGTCTACCTATCTGGTTGAAAGAGACAGGACATTCAGTGTCCTCGATCAACACTATCACCACTGTGTCACCTGCTGTTACCATCGTCTCGAGCATCATCTGGGGTATCATCGCTGATGCATATGATGCCAAAGTCTCGCTTATTGCCGTCACTGCGGTTCTGAACATATTCGCGAGTGTGGTTCTCGCAATTTGGAATGTCCCCGTTGGGCTCAAGTACTTTGCATTCTTCCTCAGTGGAACCCCCGACGCTATTGCTGCGATCATCTATGCGTGGGCGAATGAGATTTGCGCTGGGAACGCGGAGGAGAGAGCCTTGGTGATCAGTTCCATGAACACCGTCGGCAATACTTTTGGAGCGTGGCTTCCTTTGTTGTGAGTCCCCACTGCAGGTTACGTATAGGAAATTTGTACTGACTTTGAGATTAGTGTTTGGAAGACAGTTGATGCTCCTAGATATCTCATTGGGTACAATTGGACGATTGCTCTTGACGTCTGCATGCTTGGCATGCTGTTTGTGCTCAGACATTTCTGGAATAGAGAGAAGAAGCTTGCGAGTGCTTCTTAACAGTAGGTCACTGGCTTCCGACAATCCCTGGGCCGTTCGCGCGTCTGAATATTGTCCAAGGTTTTTGACTGAGCAGAGGCGCATGATGTTTGATCCGATATAAAAATGGGAGACGGGGGTCAATATCTTGTCACGCAATGTATACCAGCATATGTCCACGGGCATGGCAAAGATTCGACGGCAATTTCGTTATAGAACTGGGGGAAGTGATTCCAATGAGCAGAGTAACCGAATATCCAGTCTCCTCTGCAAAGTTGCAATGGGGGAAAGGAGCAATGTGAACAATGAATGGTGTGTTCCGAAAATACGACGCTCTCATTCCGAGCTCATCCTCGTCAACAGCGACGAAGAAAGATTTTGTTCCGTTTTCGTCGAATTCTCCTCAATTGCATCTCCGAGAAGAACAAAAACTTCTCCATGACCATTTGCAGCCGCAGCTTGCAAAGCTGTTTGCTTCTTCTGTCCCGAAACAGCTCCCAATTCCGCCCCGGCTTCAATCAATCTCTTAACGATCTCAACATATCCATATTCAGCAGCAGCGAGCAGTGCGGTACCTCCTCCATTATATGCCCCTGGTGCATTCACATTGGCCCCATGTTTCAAAAGTTCATTTACAATGTCCAGATTTCCATGCAGCGATGCATTCTGTAGAGCAGTCAAGCCAAAATATCGTGATGGAGGCGCATTAACATCAGCACCTGTTGCGAGAAGTCTGCGCACAGCCGCAATGTTGCTTGTCGGTGAGCACGAAGCTTGCAATGCCGTCAATCCCCCGTAACGCGCACCAGGAGCATTTACGTCTGCTTCGATCTTAAGCAGTTTCTCGATCACCGCCAAATGACCACCCTCAGAAGCAGCCTGTAGTGCTGTTCGGCCATTATACTTCGCTGCGGGAACATTGAAATCCGCACCAGCAGCGAGAAGCATATCTACGATCTCGATATTACCCGCTACGGCAGCGATTTGCAATGCTGTCCTCGGACGATTGAAATCTCCAGCCGCATTTACATCTGCTCCTGCTGCAATTAATCGGGCAACGATAGATGCATGCCCCTGAGCACAAGCTGCTTGCAGAGCGTTTTGGCCGTACCACCCAGTTGGGGGAGCATCAATACTTGTCAAAGGGTCGGAGAGGAGACACTCGACTGTTGCGAGGTCGCCGTCGCGACAAGCAAGTTGCAAGTCCGTCCAGCGATCTTGTTCTTCGATTTCGTCGAGGGAGTCGCCTATCGTGGGGTCCGAACAGTAGCCTGTTGTTGTGGAGATGTTTTCTATTGACCTCAACTTGTCGAAGTTCCGAGACGACATCTTGCACGACTTGATCTTCGATGTTGGTGGGCAAAGAGATCTGTGAACGCAACATAGATGGAGTGTGGGATAGTTTAATTCGCGCTGGCTGTGAGCATGTGGCTTCACGGCACAGCAGTGTGTCTATCTCCAACTCGCAGCATCCGGGACGTACGCTCAGAGGTAATACGAATGATTCGAATCATAAGGCTGGCACTGTTTCATTTTGTATCATTGACAGCATTACAAGGGAATTCTCTCATCACGGAGAGATGGAGTTGATGTTGTTGAGTGACGTTGATGCAGGAGGATGATCTCGTGAGGATCGTGTTGCTGCTTTAAATACAAAATACGAGCTAGTCCCCCATTCGACTTGGCAGGGGCTTAAGCGAGGCCTTCTTGCAGCGGATTGATGTCTTTCTCTGGCAATTGTTTATACTATGTCACCAAAGATCCACTCACGTCTCTCCTCATTGTAATTGCTAGTCAAAGTCTCATTACATACCTGAGAACAGCATACTAACTTAGCAGAAACGTACCATAAGAACCGGTTTCAAATGAGGTTCAATCTTGACGTTCATGTCCTCAAAAACCTGCCCGTTGCCCATAAATTGAGAAGACCAGTCAGTGGCCAGGTGGTTCAATCGCTATTTCTCTGCTGAAAGGTTTAGTAAAGGTTCAAAGAAGCCCAGTTTTATTAGCAGCAACAATACAATCTTCCCGACAGCGAAAACTATATCCAAGTGTCTTGACACATCTCTTCAGAGCTCAACGCTCTCAAGACTTATTTATCACAGATCCTTCACCATCAGCTAAAGGCATTCTTTCACGCGCGAAATTATAATAAAACGGCAAAAATAAATTGACATACAACAGAGGGTATTCGCTAGTGGTCACCCACCTAACTACTAATCCCCCGATTTGGAGCTTATGGAAGGCAGAGCGGACGGGATGCCCAGTTCTCTTCAATATATGGTCGTATGTGACAGCTTTAAGCCTTATTGACAGATAAATGGGAGAGCAATAGACCGAAGAGTGGGTCATTGAGAGTTTGGTGGAATTGGAAACGATCCTAGCACACGAGTTGCAGAGTCCCACGACCTAACTTCCTTTGACCCTAGACAAGCGCTATATGAAGAGGTCTGATAATCACCATGAGATCTAAATCAAGCCGTCGCAATATTTATGCTCCTGCGATTAACTCTTTGAGGAGTGGACACTTTTGTTTTCCCTGAAAATCCGTGCCTCCCGTGGAGGTAGTGAATTAAACCTCAGATTCAATGCTTTCTTCTTAGACCAGCTATTATATCCAATGTATTGTATTATCAACGTGGAAAGTTTTCATTCCTTGGAATTAAGCTTCTTGCTCTTGGTGCTGATTTTGGTGGTGTCAGTCTTGTTACTGAACGCAAGGTTGAGATATAAAGACTCGCATTCTTTCATTCTTTATTCTGCACTCATGACCGGCGATTGCAACTATATCAAAAAATGTTTCAATCAATTCTTTTCTCCGCTCTTTCTTTATAATTCCAGTAGCTTTTGGGTCGAAGAATCCATCAGGGATCAAGCCTCTTGACCACGAAAGCAGGAACTTGTGAAGAACGATGTGTAAGGAGCTTTTGTAGGCTTGCCCACGCCTGGTTGATCCGATGAATGGAGCATTGTTGTCAAGGTCATCTCTGATTGTCACAAGAACAAAAGCCGAGGATATTCGTCCGAGAAGATAGTATTCAGCCAATCATGCGACGAGTCGAGATCTAACTTTTCTGCATCACGGTTGAATGTTGCCTCTCATGAAGCTTGAAGTCCATGCAAGCTAGCCATTCCTCGTCATAGAGACACAAATCTGCACCAAGTCCGAACTCATGAAGGCTAGGATCTGTGTGGGTACGTTGTTGCGAAGGAAGTCGGTTATGTGGTGGAGGGAGTATGGTATATATACTAAGGGTTCAGGCATGCAGTTGCTTGATTCGCATTCAATGTGACCATGAAGTAACTGTGTTGAAGTTAAGACCTCAAAGTATTTGCTGGCTCGAGCCAAGTGGGTGAATATGCATGCGAAGCACTCGTTGCAAGGTTCGTTCACCGAAGGGTGACGTACTGACCCTGCTGTCCGAGGGTAATCAATGGTGTGTCTTCGGCCTGGTACTGCTTCGGCCAGCTGAGGAAATGGTGTGTTGAATGAGGCTGGCCGCTCAGAAATCCAGATCATGGTGCTTAGAAAGCTGAGCACTTGCTCACAACACTAGCAATCCAAAAACTTCCTACTCTCCAGACAATTGTGTTGATATCACCGTGGTGCATATGAAACTGTATAGGCCAATTAGCGGGGAATGCCTGCTGGCTTGTCATTGTCTAATTTCATGCCTAGAATCATCTTGACTTCTGGGCAATATTCCATAATGTGATCCACTTGACTTTTGTCATCCCAAATCTGTAATACATTAGCAGATGTTTATTTATTGCAGGCGGGCTTAAGTTCAATGTTTGTGGGGCAAAGTGGATAGATCCATACCTGCTCATGATGTACACCTAGCCAGCCAATATGGTACCCCAGAGGCTTCTCGTCCCATACACTCTCTACGCTGAATGTCTTACTGATATTGGCTGCCGGCATGACATGCCCCTTCAACCCATGCAATCTTTGCGCAAGCCATAGATCTTCCAATGCACCATCACCATGTTTCCTCGTCTGATTCCCCAGAACATCCATAATTTTGGACACTTTCCGCAGACTCAATCCTCCATTTCCTCCATATGTAGCTGTTTTCGACCAAGGTGCTCCAATCCAATCCCACTGCAGGAAATCATTCAATGTAGTCGGCGCATTGGCGCAGAATATGCTGTCAGGCTGCCAAACTAGCAAATGCTCCGCAGGTGAGAGTATGTCTCGGTAGAGGTGGGGATCGGTAAACATCTGTGAGATGGTCTCGCGATTCGAGAGGCTGTAGTTGGATGGGATGTCGAGAAATTGAAGCTTGCCGGAAGCTTCAAAACGGGAGATAGTGGGAGAGGCACGCATGAATGCTACAGCGACGGGCGAACCCATGAACTTGAATGTCCATTCTGGGGGTATGATTGCCATCATATGGGTAAAGAGTGCGGGGAGGTGGGGCAGTGGTCGAGTTTCGACGAGGAAGGCTAGTTTTCGGGGATCGTAGGGAGAGGGAGGAAGCACGATCGTGGTGCTGGAGCTGAAGCTCGGTAGAGAATATTGTAGCTCATTTCTGGATCTGAAAGAATTAGAAAAGGGTATAGACATGGAAAATGAGGGGTCCTACAAGAAGTATATGCCGACAAAGAATATTAGCAGAAGAATTGCTCGGTTTGTCATGAATTGGCTTTTTCTCCTAGGTGCTTGCCATGCAGCCATGATATCTGAGGGTTTGAACATGAAGGAAAGTTTGAATACTGGAAAGGCAAAGTAACAAATATACAGCAACGACGCAAGGGATGGCTAGGGTATCTGAACAAAAGGAATGTACTTGAGCCGTCAAAGTCATGAGTGACAGAAGCAAGACAGAAAAGAAAAACATAACATCAAACGAGAACAAGTCATCCATATGTACTCCTTACTTCTTACGCGGCAGTCCTCGATCGGGCAAGGATGGAGCTATCAAGTCATAAATAGACCGAAGCTTGGTTCCCGTTGTGGAGATATCCCAACTGTTTGGGAGCTCCCCTAGGCTGTGCTTGGCATAGAGTTCGCAGATGAAACACAGGCGAATTTGTTCCACCGTCCGAACTCACAGGGAAGATCCGCAGAGACGTACGCGTCTTGGCACAGATATGGTGGAGTTGATCGCGTGCACTTCATGTGGTGATACAGTATTGACACCAGATGCGAGACGTAAAGATTCGAACCATACCAGAAAATAATTGAACAGAATATCATCTTGATACGAGCAAGCTCTGGAAACATGTTGCTTCAACACCGCTTGGGCCGGCGTTCAGTCAGCCACTGCACGGGTTGGGGCTGTTGGGCTGACGAATACTGTGGGTACTGATTAGAGATCGTCGTAATCCTTGTGCCAGAAAACAAAATGCAGCAAAGTCAAGCCTTTGATGTCAGAGGGTAGATGGCAGAAATGTCGTTGACAGGTGTACCGAGCGACAATGTCGTGAAAATACTGCAATGATGTGACACGAAGCGACGTTGGAATTGGGTTGGAAATTTGGACAAGACGCTTAACACGTGACTTTAGCATTGTTCGGTTGCTACCTGCGTACTTGAAAGGTTGGGCGTTGTGCACAGCAGGAGATTCTACGCAGATACTTAAGTTCGTCCCTTTATGAAAGCCATACCTCTCGACAAGTTCCTCTCTGACCGAAAGGCTCCAAAGCCATAGCCGACACGTGACATTTAATGAAGGTTGTGTGGTCCGAATCTGGTATCAAAGAGCTCTGATGCAATTTGGTATACAGAATATATAGCTTAAACTTTGAATCAAATTCCTTCCTTGCAAAACTTGCCTCCTTGACACCTCTCCTGAATGATAAGTCTAACACGATCTCCTCACTTCCTCATGGTACTGAGACAGAGACAATGCCTTCAGACGTCGGATATCCCCCTTTAGTACTAAGCGAGACCGACCAGACTTTTCGGAAGTGAAGCGGAACAGTTTCCCTGCGGAATCGTTTCCATGTGAGCGATTCCATCTCAAAATCATAAGAATAAGCGGGGAAGGAGGAGATGCAGACATCAACTGAGAAGAAGTTCAGCTGAGGGAGCTTTACGTCAATTAGTCGTGTGGTTTCCGAGAACCAAAGAGGGAACCCGGACGGACTACTCGCATAGGAAACGGCGCTTGAGCGGCTTTTCTAGAAGCTCATCTGCACCATTGTGACGCGGTGTTTACGTACCGAGCATTTTTACGAGCCCATCTTGAGCCGAGAAGTGGTTCCGCTGTCTGTAAGTATACATACAGATGTCGATGCCAGTGTTGAATCAGTCCTCCTTACAATCCTGATGCAGTACAGTGTTTGTCCAACTCAAGGTCGCGCCGTTTCAATCGTAGCATTTCATTTTCCAGCTCTAATTTCTACTTTTCATTCTTCTTTCCAAAATGCTTCTCGAAACTCTTACAGAACTCCGTGGCTTTGCACTCTTAGGTCTGGTTGTAGCAATCATTTCCGCTCAGTTTCTGTATAACAAGTACGGACATGGTATTAACCATATACCGGGACCTTTCTTGGCATCTTTGACAGATTACTGGCGATTTTTCCTTGTCTGGGGGAGACGACCTGAAGTGACACATATCAAACTTCACGAAAAATATGGGGATCTGGTGAGGATAGGTCCGAAGACAGTACTTGTTGCCGACTGGGAGGCGACGAAGAAAATTTATGCACTCAATGCTGGCTATGTGAAGGTACTTTCTAACCCCCAGCTTGATGTGTTGCTTCAGAAGCTGACTTCTTACTTTTAAGTCTGGATTTTATCCTGTCCAGCAAAACATCGCCAAAGGCAAACCACTGCATACCTTATTCAATTCTGAAGACGAGAAATTCCACGCCAGACTGCGCCGCTCGGTAGCTAGTGCATATTCCATGAGCAATCTTGTGACCTTCGAGCCACTCGTGGACTCGACTATTGCTGCTTTCATCACGCAGCTACGAAACAGAGTCGTCGATAAGCAAGGAGATGATGCGATATTGGATTTCGGAACTTGGCTCCAGTACTATGCTTTCGATGTCATCGGAGAGCTGACGTTCTCGAAGCGACTTGGCTTTGTGGACCAGGGAAAGGATATTGATGGTGTGATCTCGGTGCTTGAGCGGATGCTAAATTATTTTGCTGTGGTAAGTGTGGGGTAAATCAAAGCCACAAGCAAACAAACCTTCTCAGTCATGTCTAACGCTGCCATCCAGGTTGGTCAAATTCCATGGCTTGACCGTCTCTTTCTCAAGAATCCACTGCTACTTTGGTGTGCCGAGAAGGGGTACATTGATACAACTTCACCAGTTGCTGTCTTCGCCAGATCGCGAATGGCGTCTCGCCTCTCCGGGGGCGATAAGTCAAAAGCCCCTGATGAAAAGAATGCTTCACCAGCTCGTCGTGACTTCCTCGACAGATTCATTGCCGCCAACAAGAAAGACCCAGATTTCATCACCGATCAACGGGTTCTTGCACTAACCGTCGCTAATGTCTTTGCTGGCTCAGATACCACTGCTATCACTTTGAGAGCCGTGTTCTACTTCTTGATGAAACACCCTGAAAACATGAAGAAACTCCTCCTGGAACTGAAAAATGCAGATCTCGGCCCGATGGACCAAATTGTGTCTTGGGAGCAGTCCCATAGCCTCCCGTGTCTGAGCGCCGTAATCCAGGAGTCTCTAAGGATGCATCCGGCTGTGGGACTTGCGCTCGAGAGAATCGTGCCTGCGGGTGGCCTTCAGGTTGGCAAGACTTTCATACCTGCTGGTACGAACGTCGGTGCCAATGCTTGGGTGGTGCATCTCAACGAGACGGTCTACGGATCTGAGCCTGAGAAGTATCGACCTGAGAGATGGCTGGAGGTGGATGATGCGAAGAGGACAGAAATGAATAATGCGTTGTTCTCGTTTGGCATGGGTGCTAGGACGTGCATTGGGAAGAATATTAGTTTGTTGGAGATGTATAAGTTGGTGCCTACCATGTTGAGGCAGTTTGAGGTAAACATTTCCTCGGATATCTATTTTGAGTAGAGGTTGTATGTGTGCTGACTTGATGTTTTAGATCTCTTTTGCGAAGGAGAATAGTGATTGGACGTTGCACAATGCTTGGTTTGTTAAGCAGTCAAATTTCTTTGTCAGGATCAAGAGCAAAGCCTCAGGAGAATGAGCAGAGGAAGATCTGGAGACAAAGATTACCGATATGTCGTAGTGCTCTTCAGGATTACAGTCCCAGGTACTGCTAGGACAGCAGCCTCAGCAGGTGGCTGAAGTTTCCCATGATGCACTGCGAAGAAATGTAATTGGGGTTCAGCACATCAGTCCTGAGGAACGTGCTTCTCATTAATCTCAGCTGTCTCAAGTGAAATCCCTCGCACGTCGTGGGCCTGTCCTTCGCCAATCTTGGCTATGTGAGTTTAGATCCGTTTGTTGATTTTGACGCCTCGCTTCATCCTTAGATTCGCAGATATGAAGTTGCACATTTGAGTTGAAACGGTAGTAGGACACCGAGCTAAAGCGACAGTAAATGAAAAAAATATGCCAATTATATTGGGAGCGGCAGATATTTTCAACTTCTCTCATGATAACTATTTCTTCCAACAAAAGCTCTGTCACGTGCTATATATCTTGCTGGTACTCAACGTTTTCCCTCTCGATACACTCAATGAAGCGAAGACACCAGGTAACAAGATCATATTTCAGACGATTTAAATTGAGAAATTTACTCATTAACAGACAAGGTAAGCTTTGTTATGTTAATAAAACATATCAGCCAGCCAAAAAGGGAAGTGTTAGCTGAAGTCTGGTACCAAGACGTCGTCGTCCTTGTTGTCCTTCGCCCCTTCCTTACCTCGAATAAGAATGGGCAATCTTCACCTCCATGATAACTTGATAAACTGACCGACCTCTGGGTACATATCTTACATTTTCAGGGACTCAATCCGCCTTTCGCTTTTCACCTCAGCATTTTGCCATTTCGGAGCACGTGGTGATAGCTGGTTGCTGGGCAACCGGGCTTGGCATGTATGTTGTGATAACAAATCTTAGTACCAACAGACGGAATCCAAACCACAACGCCAACACAACGAAACGCCAATAACGACAAGATGTCTGTCTCCGAGGATCTGATCGATTTCGAGATCATCGAGAACCAGAAAGAAAACATACAATCATTACCAGGAGGACGATCAGCGCGCGCGCTGGCTTCCATGTTCTCCCCATCACCCCTCCATAAACTCGCGACACCAACACCTTCCGACACGAAAAACCTCAACGATGTAATGAGAAATGAATACGAGAAAGAAATTCTCACCATCGCGGAATCAGATGACCCATTGGACGTCTATGACAGATATGTACGGTGGACACTGGACGCGTATCCTTCTGCGCAAGCAACACCAGCATCGCAACTCCTTCCTCTACTCGAGCGCGCAACCAAGACCTTTCTCACTTCCACACAATATAAGAACGATCCTAGATATCTGAAACTATGGTTGCAATATATCCGTTTCTTCTCCGATGCACCCCGCGAGACCTTTGCCTTCTTGGCCCGTCACAACATTGGAGAGGGACTGGCATTGTTCTATGAGGAGTTCGCGGCGTGGCTGGAGGGTGCACAAAGGTGGGCACAGGCAGAGGAAGTCTACCAAATGGGAATTGAGAAGGAGGCAAGACCAGCACCGCGGCTGCTTCGCAAGTATAATGAATTCCAACAACGATTCTCGCAGAGACCAGAGGATGCGAATGAGCCCTCATCCCCAGCACTTCCCACAGTACGGCCTGCACTTGCCGCAAAAGTCGACCCTTTCGCTGCTGCTGCACCAAGAGATCCGCAAGCACCGAGGCCCAACTCTGGTGTTGGAGGGACAGCAAAGAGTGGTAGACAAAAGCTTACAATTTTCTCGGACGCGGACAATGAGGCACCTCCTCCTGGATCAAGCGGGTCAACAAAGGGCTGGGAGAGCATTGGATCGCTGGCAGATCGGAAGAAAGAGAATGTGATGGAACCAAAACCATGGGTTGGAGAGACTCTGAAGGCCGGAGGAAAGAAGAGTAGCACCAAAATGGCGGTGTTTAAGGACGAGGTAAGCTTTACTTTTTCTTCCCTTTCTTCTTGCAAATATTGATGATCATAGGACTAATGATTGTCGGTTACGGCGTTTTGTATTTCAGTCTCAATTTCTACCACGTTTCGATTATCCACAAGTTACAGACCCTGCGAAGCAACAAGTGACTGTGAATCAAAAAGGGAGAACAGAGAGAATTCATGTTAACCTTGAAGCAATTTACCCTTCCCCAGATGTTGTGGGCTCCGAACTAAGTCTGGAAGAATTGAGAGCGGGCTCTCGAGGCTGGTTATCTAAGGTTTGGCAACGTGAGAGTCTCGTCAAAGATGTTGACATATCTTTATGCTCTCAGGACAGCACTCAGGATGTTGGAGTAAAGGTTGAAGAGATCACCCGAGGAGTCTCGGAAAAGCTCGTAATCGCGCGTGATCCTCCATCATTAGACGAGAATGGAGCAGCCAAGGAGCCAGCACGAGAAGGAAGAGGGAGAAGGATGAAAATCAAAGAAGTCAACGAGACGCAAATAAGTAAGTCATCAACCTGGTGCCAATATCGCTACCACTAACGCAAAATAGTCAAAGCGAAATTGTCATCTCCCTCCGGGCCCAAGATGAAGAAACGAAAAGCTTCTAAGGAACAAACAATGACTTTGCATACTCGAGCTGCTACTGACGATATTTACGACCTGTTCAGCCAACCGCTTCCTGCACCCGAAGAAGAGGAAGAGGAGGAGGAGGAAGATGAAAGCGACGATGAGGACGACATGACCGACGGAGATTACACTAGCGGTGGTGAGAGCACTGGTACTGGACGATTGATGACTGCTAGTGAAGCTGGAGACGATGAAACTTCGGACGTGAAAAGCGTCAGTGAATGGTCCGAATTTACAGCGAGGAAGCACATTCCGGATATTGAGGATGAAGAGGACGAAGACACTCGAGCATCGAGATTCACAGAAGCTGATGACGAAGCTTTGGAAGCCATCGAAGTCGAAATTCCTGTGGATGAGAGCGATGGAAACCAGGATCCCGAGGTCATCACCCCAATATCGCCTGAGCTCCCATCAATTGCGCGGACCTCGTTTGTTCCAATACCTCCAGAAGACTACGAACCACCTCTGCGACCGTATCGAGATGCGGCTCAAGTGTCACAGAACAGACTTCCGTTCATGACGCCGATTGCTGAAAAGACCGAGTCTTCTTTAGGACTTCCTACGATGCGCCAGGACAAGGACTACTTTACTTCCAAAACACCCACCAAGGAGAACGGGTCCAAAAAGCCACCTGTTCGTCTCGGTGATGGTCTGGGAAGCAGTCCGTTCAGGGAAATCATCAACGAATCAACACCTGTTGAGAGAATTGCTCCACCTCAGCTTGGTAGAAGCACCAAAACAAACAAGACGACTGCTATTGCGGCCAAAGTTCAAGCAAGTGGTGGACCACTGGCGAAAGAGATCGCCCCCAAGGGACCAATAATCAAGGATGCCCAATGCAATCCTGTGGACGATTATACCAGAAACATGATTTTCGAAGCTCTTCAGCCACCTCTTACTACCTATGAAGGCTATTTCGATCACAAGGACGAAAATCTCGGTCGAACTGCGGAGATCAAGAAATATGCAAAAGCAGCATCGAAAATGCACAAAAATGCTAGCGAAAAGACTGCTACAAACCTGGCTATGCCGCCCATCCTGCGATTTCCAGGAGCAGAAAGGCAATACATGGTTAAGCGAGAACTAGGAGCTGGTGCATTTGCACCAGTATACTTACTCGAGAATATCGCCGCAGAAGAAGATGTCGAGCACGACGAGAACCAAAAACCACAAATGGGCAAAGGAGCTTTTGATGCCTATGCTAGAAAGAACCTCGAAGCTCTCAAGATGGAAGACCCGCCATCAGCCTGGGAATTCTACATAATGCGCCAAGCAAAACGACGACTCGGCGTCTCTCGGGCAGCCGAAAGCGTTATCAATGTTTACGAAATGCATCTCTATGCCGACGAATGCTACCTGATAGAAGAATTCCGCGACCAAGGCACACTCCTGGACGTTATCAACCTGGCTCGCATGGAAACAAAACCTTCAGCAGCAGGACCTGGCGTTATGGACGAGTCCCTCGTCATGTTTTTCGCCATCGAACTCCTCCGCACAATCGAAGCTCTACATTCCAAAGGAATACTCCACGGTGACCTCAAAGCAGACAACTGTCTAGTGCGCTTAGATCAAATCCCCGACTCCGACGTCTGGTCTCCAAAGTACCGTAAAGACGGCACAGGTGGCTGGAACAAGAAGGGTGTTGCTCTCATTGACTTCGGACGCGGTATTGACATGAAAGTTTTCCGTCCCGATGTCCAGTTCATCGCAGATTGGAAGACTGGTCCTCAAGACTGTGCTGAGATGCGCGAGCTTCGTCCTTGGACTTACCAGATTGACTACCATGGTCTTGCTGGCATTATCCACTCTATGCTCTTCGGCAAGTACATCGACACCATTGCTGACAAGAGCGCTGGTCTCGGAGCGGCATCAAACAAAACCTGGCGCATCAAAGAAAGCTTAAAGAGGTATTGGCAGACGGAGATTTGGAGCAGTGTCTTTGATTTGTTGCTAAACCCGGGAAGTCATGTTGAGGGTGAGGAGGGGACGAAGATGCCTGTTCTCAAAGGCATGAAGGGTGTTAGGGAGAGCATGGAGGTTTGGCTGGAGGGGAATTCGGAGAAGGGTTTGGGTTTGCAGAGTGCGTTGAGGAAATTGGAGATGGGGCTTGGTGCGAAGAAGAAATAAATGGGCGTGGTATTGAAAGGAGACAGGTGGTAATGATTGCATGATCGGCGTTTGTTTTTGGGTTGGGTTGGTGGAGTTGAGGTTGCGGGGTGTTGTCTACATATAAGTATTCGAATCACTTTACAATACCATTTTATTAACTTGCTTTTTTTCATCTGCCCATGACTTTGCACTCTCCTTCCAGGTGGGTCGCTTACAGTAGTTATCCATCGACCTTGGTATAGGTACGCATAAGTGTGTATTGAGCTGAGGTGTAATGACATGTGAGTGTGTGTGTGACTTAATTCCATGCATAGACTGGGGGCGGAGGTGCAGGAAAGACTGAACCAAGTGGAAGAGCATTGACAAGCACAAGCTAGTAGCGGTGATGGAAAGAGTACAAGACAACAGACATTCACCTGGCAGTATCGATGTGTAGAATTCAGACGAGAAAAGATGTGAGGTGACAGCCGTGGTTGCTCTAAGTACCCAATGATTTCAACTGATCTGATACATCGAAGTCGTACTAACTCACGCTATGTGGAAGGAATAAGTAGATAATATCGTACGTAACGAAGTCTCATGTAGCTCAACACCTTCGTTGTTGCGTTGGTACATTCAGGAAGTAGTAAAGGAACGGCCCGGAAGTCAAATCAGTTTGTGCGCTGATGGTTCCGACGAGGATAGAAGAAATACCATAAATTGATCAAAACGAAATCAATAATGCAATCTACAAACACCGAAATAATAGTCATCCCATCATATCAAAGTCCCACAATGCAAATCAAACGCCTACCCGCAATCCCGCTGAGTCATTCACCATCAACATTTGCCTTGATATCATCCTCGCCAATCTCCTCCCAACTCGCATCACTCACATCCTCCACATCCGTGTTTTCCCCCTCGTCCTCACTCCCACCGTCATCATTAACATCAACCTCAACTCTGAAGATCTGACAACCCTTATTCTTCTCCCGAATGACACCCATCAACTCCCCACACTTCACGACCTTCTCATCCAATTCTTCCAGAAGAGCGGACGCAACAGCACCAGCTACACCACTATTACTGACATCAACCACAGTGTGGCCAATATCGTACGAAGCGGCGAACCATTCGAGGATAGATGAACAGAGCGAAAGGAGCGACGACTGGTATTCTGGCTTGAGGGAAAGGGTGGTGCTGGTTCCGCTGGTGATGGATTGTTGGTAGAGGTTCTCCATTACTGCATAGCGCGCAATGATATGTACAATTTCTTGAAGTTGGGAGAAGGACGTTTCGACGATGCTGAGGCTGCTGGGACAGAGTGGTGAGTTACGGTTGAGGAGTTTGTTGAAAATCTGGGAATTGGTTAGTATCGTTATGAAATGAAGAAAGGTATGAAGTACTGGGGATCGTACTTTCACAAACACACAAACACAGCTCCAGCCCACCGTTGCTGTCTCCAGACTTAGACGCCCATCTACGGTCAAAAGCATGCGCACTATGTCGCCTCTCAAAAATAGAACATCTCTCAGTTCTGGTCTATCTTCGTGCAATGTCGAGCCTGCCATTGACAGCGGTTTCACATTGTCGACAATCCGCTTGCAGATATCCTCATCAGAAGCATATGATAATGCGGAGAAGCCCAACTCGGAATGAAGAGCAGAACTGAGATTCGCAAATACGGGGGACTTTCGGGAAGACACTGCCGTGAAGGAGATATATGTTTGCCACCAAAGACGACTGGTTTGGGCGGGTGTCAGCATTGGATGCGACCATGCCAGTTCGACGTCTTCCGCGTTGTTGGGATTGGAGTCCAGGGGAGTTGGCGGTGCCAGAAACGCGCCATCATCCGATTTCGTGCTTCGACCCTTCTCGAGAGTCGACTTATCGGAAATAGCAACACGTGTATCTTGAGACTCCTTAGATGGTTTGTTATTGTCTGTATTGTGAGACCTAGAAGCGTGAGATGCTATCTGCTCTTCAAGCCTCTGTCTCGCCTCCCGGCGTTTGAGCAATCTGTGGAACTGTTTCGCGTTGACGAAAAGAGGCTTGTCGTCGTTGTCATTGTTCCCAGCATCCACCGTCATAGAAGGTCCAGTAGTAGGCGGTTCGGGCTCGGGTGGCTCGTTTGAGGTACCAGTACTCGGTTGCGGTGGACTGTGATCTGATAAAACGACAGGATCGAAGTTGAATGCGTTTGAGCTTTCGTCATGGTGAAGAAAGGAGTCGAAGTCAAAATCCTGCAGAGCATCATGCATGACGTGGTCGAAACGAGCTGGCCCTTGGGGCGCTGCAGCAGCGGTTGATGCTATTCCAACTGTCGCTATCGCTTTTGATCGTCGGTACGCGGCGCAATCCTTTGCGTGATGAGCGATCCCACCGCAAGTACCGCAGCTCTCGAGCTTATCGTTTTGAATGACAGGATCACTAGTTTGTGCAGGTGCTGCTCCGATCCCAGCAATCTTTCCATCTGCACGATACATCATACGCCTCTTCGGATTACCGCAAGTCAGATTCATAAGCGACATTTGATAGTCCTGCAATGCTTTCTTGTCTACTTCTGTGGTTCTTACAGGGTGCTTGGACTTGCGACTCGGGTCCAATTGAAGCAAGATGGTCACTGCCTCATCAGCGGTTTCTTCATTTTTAGACATCAAGAGTCGATCATTAGTATGCTGCTCTTGGTTCTGCCTAGTCTTGGCTAAATGTTCTTGATAGTCGAGACGTAGGCGATCTGCTGATATGACGCTCGGTGACTGCGAAAGCTCCGAAGCGGAGCCTAATACATTTGCATTCTCTCTGATTGGCAGAGAAGACTCACTTGAACGGTTTTGAGGTTCAATGGTGGAGACCGAAGATGATGTCGGGTCGGTAGAAGCAGTCACAGTTCCGCGACTTAAGTGCATCGTGTTGTCCCTCTCTTGTTGGGCCATCATCCGTCTCTTCTTGTTCTGCTGCTCAAGCAGCATGAGTTGCATTTGGTAATCTTGTAGCGTATGATTCGCATTCACAGTACGGTGGCCAGAATTGTTAGTTGAGTCCGTACTGGCAGTCCTATTTGGACCCTTTCCAGCTGGTGCTTTCTGTGCAGATACGAGGTCAATGAGCGTATTTCTGTCTGCCGATGCCTCGTCCCTTGCTTCTCGGGCCACTCTCAGTTGGCGGAGCTTCTCCCTCTTGGCGAGAATATCGTTCTGTCTCTTTTCCTGTGTTGTCTGCGCTGATCCATCTTCAGCTGCAGCATCTTCCGATCCGCGCTTGATATCGGGTAGAGTAGTCGGCAAGTCATGGCTGATGTGGGTGTTGAGATGCGGAGACTGAGGCTTGGCCGTGCTTGAATTGCGTTGTTCTAAGCGCTCCTTCATATGTATGTTCTTGTTAGGAGATGAGACCACTGGACGTTGAAGTGGTGGGCTTGGGACAGCTGTACTTCCTTCACGCCGTCTCTTTCTGCCAAATTGTGACTCACTGAGACCATTTGCCGCTGATAGTTTGATAAAGTTCACGCTATTTACACTGAGGTCGACGTCTTCGTTCTCCTCTCCATGAGACACGCCGTCTGCTTCTGGTCTCGAGTCTGGCCTTTGACCGGCATTCCCCCGGAATGATGACCACCAAACATTCGTCGGGGTCGGGAGCTTTGGGTGCACTGTGGACAACGAATATGTATCTGGCGAGGCACCCGACAACAGCAAATCAGATTCCATTATTTCCTCTTTAAAAGCAGATTTGCGGCCAGTTCCAGGTGGCAAACAGGTCGAGGGCTCTCCAAAATCGAAAGGCGTATCAGCATCTTCACTGAGAAACGAATCGAAATCGAAATCCATGAGCTCCCCAGTATCACTAGTGCTTGGTTTTGCGAAGTCCATTTCAAAAAGGGTATCATCAGAGTTACCGGCTCTAGCTGCATCTTGCCGAAGACTAGGAATGGGGCGAGCAGGGGTGCTGCTCGTGGCAGATCGGCCATTACGCCGCTGGGTCATTGGAAGTGAGATAGGTGGTAGATCTCTTGAGTTTGGTGGCCGATGCTGACCTGGTGTTTTGATGTGGGGCGAATCTAACAGAGGTGTTTGGTCGCTGTTACATTGCAGGGATGGGAAAATTGGCGGCTGGTGATGAAAGCTCTGAGGGCGAGTGATGGAAGGGTGAGGTCCAGCAGCTTCTAAAGGTGGCGGGCGACGATAAGGGCGAGGAGCGTAGTCGCTGGGATGTGGACCACGCTTCAGAAGCAGTGATGGTGGATTGTCAATCTTGGTGTCTCTACTCACACCAGAAGGAATCGTGAAGGTATTTGTGTCTCCTGATCCAATGGTGTTTTTGGAATAGCGAAGTGGCGATGAACCAGGACTTTCTGCTGGGGTTGTCTGTGGTAGCATTGGAGGAAGTTCCGGTGAATTGTAATAATTCGCTATCGACCCACCGTCTAGCGATTCACGTTTGAGACTGGTGAGTTCTTCAGACGCACACCCGAACTGCGGAATAGCAGGAGAAGCAGAACTGTAGCTTGGAGATGCTGGGGAAAACCCTGGAGAAGCTGAATGGAATTTAGGAGAAGTCGGGGAGTAGCATGGGGAAGTCGGACTAAAAGATGGGGACATGGGAGCAATGGCGGTATCTTGCATTTGTGGTTCGGGTAGAATCCTGGTATATTGCCATCGAGTTGGTGGTGGAGGTAGTGGCTTTGGTGGAGGCGGTTTATAGTCGCTGGAACGGTTATAGTATGTGTAGCCGGTGAAGCTGGTACCCAAAGTGGTACGAGGGTTGTGTACAATCTTGCTTGCCAAGTTGGCCATGATGTCAAGATAGTCAATAACCTGACGTTCTATGTTTGCGGTGGAAGTTGCAAGCAACTCGAAGCAATGGTTTTCAAGCTCTTCATACTCCGAAGTATATTCGTGCAATTTGATGCCAACATCCTGCATTAAGAGGGAGCCGAAGCGCTCAACTTCCGTTGAATCTGCAGTTGATAAGTAGTTGATCCCATAAAGTGGAAGATATGGAACTTACGTTTTCTTTCGAATAAATACACATAGTCTTTGCCATATTGTTTGAAGTGACTGATGTTGCGACGATCGATGTGTTCTCGGCCATCGACCAAGCAGCCTTTCAGATGAGTTGCTGAGGTATACAGGTCCCATCTCTTATCCTCGATTCGTCTTTCGATAAGGCTATTCAGAACCTCAAGAGAACTCCGAAACGCGTGCATCACTCTTTGAACAGCTTGGATCTTTCGCGCTTTCTCCACGTCTTCTTCTTGGATTGATTTGGCACTCTTGAAACTCTCTACCGAAGAAGATGATTTGACGCTTCTCTTGTCAGTGTCGACAGGAGACCGTATAACTTGTGCGGCCTGGACTGGGTCTGTAGCATTTCGTTCCCTAATCTGGGAACTCTTCTCTTTGGCCATCGTTCTCGAGACGTTTTTTACTGCAAATACATTTTGCATATCTGTAGAGTCTGGCGGGATCATCATGAAGCTCTGTGGCATCACGGAAGCATTCGTGGCTTGGTGCGGGACGAGATCAGGATATTCCGAACTAATATCGGTCTGAGCGATTGGAGTACGGTTTTCTGAAGCAGCAGACCTTGAAAGGAACCCTGCTGTCGCTCTTGGATGTTGTTTGACCTCTTCGTGGTGAGTGGTGGAAACACGCACTTCTTTTTCTGAGAGCTCAACAACTTGCTTGGTTTCTACAGTGTACTTCGTCATGAAGCCTCCCGACTCAACAGCTTTCTGTGCATCTTTCAGAGTCTGAAGAGTTTCAGGCTGCAGCGAGATGTCTGGGACATCTCGGCCTTCGCCTGAGCTTAGGCTGCTAGAGCTCGACAGATTTCTAAACTGCAAGTCAGCCTAGCAGAGGGAGCCTTGCCGATAGGCATCTGTTTGCCTTGGTACTGATTACTTACAGTAATGACAGCTGGAGATCAACTTGAAGACTCATCAGAATAGTCGCTAAAGTGCCTTTCATATCCCGCAGCCTCTTGAGCAACTTCTTGATCTCGCTTTCTTTGTAGACAAACTTGACTCGCAACTTCCAGTTACTCTTGCCATTGGCTCCCAACTTGACCAGAATCTTCTCGATCTTGACATATAATTCGGCGCAATCTTTGATGATTTTGGCTGTCAGAAGGTATATATCGTCGGAATACCAGGACTTGCTATCCTCTAGTAGCCGTGAAAGGAGCGTCAAGGACTGAGAGAACGTTTTGAGGTCCGCAGCCAGAATTTGGACATCTTCTGATGCAGAGCCAATAGCTGAGCCCAGAGAGTAAAGTATTTTTGAAAGCGATAAGGCAGCATTGGCTAGTTGGCAAATAGAAGCTACTGCCCCTATGGCAGCAAGTGGCTCCATATCGACAGCCTCAGATCTGCCTAGAAAGCTTGTATGGCTTGCAGCTACGGCTAGTGACTAACATGAGGCGAGGTGGAGACCAGGCTTCGGAAGAGGTTGAAGATTCAGACGGAGGTATGTAGAACGAGTAAGTACGTCTCAGCTCTACATCGCCAGAGTGTTGGAAGAAATTTCAGTGGAATGAAGTCTGAAAGATGGGAACACGGCAGTATGAGTAGAAGGGGAGCGTCAGGCTGCTCAGCTCAGCCCCACAGGATGCAAACAAGGGTCCCTGAGGCGTTCTAACCAACACGAGATCACGTGTGTCTGTTGACATCTCTAGGTACGCATGACACTGGCAGCAACTATTGTTCACTGGAACTTGATGCTCAAACATATATGAAATATACTGTTGCACCACTGAAATCATGGGGAACAAGATGGGAGGTTTGGATAAAATCGTGACTAATCTTGTTTTGACTGCAGCCGCGGCCACCAGCCTGATTTGGCAACGGGGGCGGTGTGAGCTGGCACAAAACTGTTTCTCGTACAAAAAATCCAGTAATAGCTTGGGAGCAAGATTCAAGTCCTCTTGTTTCTCTCAGTCCTGACGAACGATTGTGATAATCAATATGGGGCAGAAACGGAAACGCGCTGCTAAGGATGGACCATCCGCAGAGCAAAATCCAAATAAACAGCAAAAGACCGAAGAAAAAGTCGAGAAGCGGGCAGTGAAACCCGCTGTTGTACCTGTCCCTCTCGACACCTCCCCATTCCTCGACAACCCGAAAGGCGCAGATTTGAAAAGGGAGGTCCAGCTCTACGACTTACTGAGTAGTGAGGATATAGAGGATCGACTCAACGCTGCCAATGCAGTGTTGTCAGGGCTTCTAGGAGGAAACGGCGTGGAAGAGTCGACCCTGCAACGACATCTCGAGAGACGATTGTTCCGAGGACTCGCAAGTGGCAGAAAATGTGCCAGGCTTGGATTCAGTGTTGTTTTGGCAGAGATTATCGGACAGTTATTTGGGACGAAGAATCTGGCGGAGACAAAATACCCGGGCTTGACTTTCGACAAAGTACTTGGCTTCCTAATTGCGAAAACGAAGCCTGACGGCGACTTGAGCGGACAAGAAGAAAAGGATCATTTCCTCGGGTTACTGTTCGGACTGGAGAGCTTCGTCGGAGCTAAAATCTTATTTGGGGAGGATAACAAATGGAATACCATCCTCCAGAAGTTCCTTGAATTGGCCAAGAAGAAACCATGGACTCGGGAGCAGTGCGGCTGGGTAATTGCTGAAGCGCTGTCGCAAATGGACCAAATTCAAGCCGAGTACACCTTGGAACAAATACACAATGCGGGATTGGCTTTGTCTCCCGAGGGTGTCGGTATTTGGATCACAGCAAGGGGTCGCTTCCCAGATATGAAATTTCCCAGCAAGCCTTGGGGCTCAAGCGGAAACCCATTGGAGCATCTGAAAACACTTGGGAAGGCGCTTAAGGAAAGTTCTAGCGACGAAGGATCGGACAAGTCACAACAAGCCAAACAAACTGGAAACTGGAATGCGAAGCTCCACTTTGTTTGGGATCTGGTCCTGGCCCAGTATATCGCAGGAGTGAAGGCAAAGGTGCATGGCATTAAGTCGGACTTTGAGAATTTCTGGAAAGTTGCAGTTGATGGTATAATTCCTTCATCCCACTTTGCATATGAAGCTAATTCTCAACAGAGAACCTCTTTTCCTCGACTGCTTCTCGGGAGCGTAAGTTCTGGGGCTTCCTGCTATTCCAGAAAGTGGTCGAAAATGCTACTTCATATGGCAAAGTTCTACCCAGTGTCTTCAGTCATAATTTAGTTCGGTGCCTCATTAACCATGTCCAAGAGAAGGATCGTTTTCTACATCGAGCAGCAGACAAATCCTTGAAGGTTCTGATCAGTGCCGTGGAAGCCAATCCAAAGTTGCTCGTGACAATCTTGCCATGTTTGATCGGAGGTCATGGAACATATAACTTTGATAGAGTTACGAAGACCAAAACGGTCGAAAGATTATTGAGCTTCGTGGAGGATAGCAGCGCTACCGCTGTGATCAATACACTTGTCGACCCTGCTCTGTCAATCAGCGGGTGAGTCTCCCGATCATTAATTTCCCACGGATAACTGACTAGCCTAGTGACGATGTCAAGGAAGCTGAGATGCGGAGGCAGATGCTTGGTGATTACATACTGAATATCATTCGAAAAGTCAATATTACTGATGAGTCGAGGGATCTTGACTGGATCAAAGAAACCGCTCTACCGACACTCGCCAGATTCGCCTATGTTGAGGAAGCCAAGTGCAAGCCAGCCTTGTCCACCAAGACTCGTACAATCTTCCGAACACGTCTCATGTCATCTTTTGGTCATTTATTGTCTGACTTACAAGGATACACTTTTCCATGCGATCTGCTGCGCTCCTTTACCCCTGATGCGGTAGAAATGGATCAGGGAATTACCGACGCTAAGGACAGTGCCATCTCGACCGTGGAAAAGATTCTCAAGAGAGCTAAGAAGGCGAACGCCGAGAACAAAGCACCTCTTCAGGCACTAGCACTACTGTACTCATTGGTTGTCTTCCAACTGTATAGTGGCGAGCCTGAAGCTGTCTCCATTCTAGACGAGCTGAAGCTGTGCTACGATAAGCTGATTCGCCACAAGGAAACTGAAGATTCTGAAGTCGATGCTTCTGAAGTTTTGGTGGAGCTCTTACTTTCATTCATCTCCAAGCCATCTGCACTTCTCCGGAAAGTTACTCAGCATGTATTTGGTGCGTTTATGAGCGATATGACCGCAGGTGGTCTGCAGTTGATGACAGATGTTCTGGAATCTGGTGAAAGTTTGAGAGGCCAACAAGAGCTTTTTGACCAAGAACCTGAAGATGGGGAAGACATGGACGTAGACGAGGACGATGAAGAAGATTCAGACGTAGAAGTCGTCGACATGGACGGTGATGAGGGACATTTGAATGGACATCTGCATGAGGAGGAAGATGAAGAATCAGATGACGAGGAAGACGAAGCATCAGGAGAAGAGGAAGACGAGGACGCAGAAAAGCTTAATCTAGCTCTCGCCCAAGCCCTCGGCACCCACCTCCCAGGCCAAGACGGCGACGATGAAGACAGTGACGCCGACATGACCGACTCGGAAATGATGCAGCTGGACGCCAAACTTGTCGAGATCTTTTCAGCGCGCAAGAAAGCTCCCAACAAGAAGCAAGAACGGAAAGATGCCAAGGAGACCATGGTCAATTTCAAAGGGCGTGTTCTCGACTTGCTGGAGATCTTCGCTAAGAAACAAGCTTCGAATCCTCTTGCATTCGGCCTACTCCTACCCCTCCTGCAGTTGATCCGCACGACAAAAGCTAAGCAACTTGCCGAGAAAGCGCACAACATCATCCTAGCCTTCGCCAAGGCCTCCAAGGCCGCGAAGAAAGACGGTGTTGCTGAGATTAATGCTTCTGAGCAGATCAAGTTGCTTAAAGCCGTCCATCTCGAGGCCTCGAAGGACCCTTCACATCTCTTCGCCAGAGCTGCCAGCAGTGCTAGTTTGCTAGTTGCGTCGAGTCTGTATAGAGTAGACAAGGGGAGCGTGAAGAAGATCGCGACGGTGTATAGGGATTCGCAGGTTGCGTGGGTTGAGGGCGAAGTTAAGATGCAGGCTGCATTCTTCGTGGATTGGGTTAATTGGTGTCAGAGTCACGCCAATGCTTAAGCTGGTATTTGTGGGAGATAGCTGGAATTCAATGAAAGACATTTCTTTGAATTTCAATCTTGACGTTAGGCCTGGAGAACATGCGCTTTCCCACCGTGTACTTCCAGTCCCCAGCCACGGAGAGCTTTTTTTAGCGACGAGATTTCACTGTAAGCTTTATTTACCCTGTTTCGCTGAAAATGGCACACCTAGGATGTATAAAACATTAAAACTGACAAGGTTGACTTCAAGTTGTATCGCCTCTGTAACCTAGATAAAAGATCAATCAAGTCTGACTATAATCAACTCAATATCAAATTTCCATCTTTTCCACTACACCGAAGTTCCAGTGTACGATTGCCTAACACTATGGAGTTCAATCCACCTCCTGCTGTGACCACAATTCTCCTCCAGCAAAGACCCAATCCAATGAATCCTAGAACAAAAAAAAAAAAAAAAAAAAAAAAAAAATCCCAAAACAATAAAAAGAAATGATCAGGCTGGGGCTCGATCCCAGGACCTTCTCGGAATATGTCACAGTAAACTGTTAACGAGATGTGCTGTATTGCTATTAGTTGATGCTCAATGATGTTTGGTCTGAATGGGGAAGAACGTACATAACCAACTACACCACCCGACCATGTATCCTTGATTGGATGAGAGAAAACGGCTTATTTCGGTACTTGGAGAGAGAAAGACTCTAGGAGATTTTTGGTGATAGAGAAAGGCCGAGATGTCGCCTTGAGATATTGGATTATTGGAGGCGGGGTTGTGGGTGCGGGGCATCATGAAGATTTTTCGTAGGCGAGTGGGTCAGGTGGAAAATTCTGTTGATTGGAAGGAAGGAAGACATATAAGCAATTGAACTGATTATTTAGCTAGTACCGATCTTGCGCAGGTCAGTGTCCTGTCAAGAAATCGTTCTCATAGTTCCAGATCCAAGTACGTTTGTCCCGTTCATAAGCGCTCACGAGCAATTGCTTCAACATAGAGACACCCTCCAGTACACACGAACAGTAAACAGTTCAGTCACAGTCCAAAACCTTTCCTCCTGTACGGTCCCATGCGTATGAACTCTAATGTCTAGAGGAATAAGTTGCAATGCGGCGATGATCCCTCGCCTAAGATAGGGTCTTCGCTTAAAACGTTCGAATAAACAAATGAAGAAAAAGCTGATCTTCTAGAAAATACAAAAAAAACAATCACTTCCTATCTATTCCGAGTTCCACAAGACATTGAAATATGTCTGTCCCTCCAGCTTGGTTTCAGCTCTTGTACCTGCTTTAATATGCTGTGTTACACAACGGGATACAAGAGGGAACATACCGGTTCTCACGTGGGTTCTTTTCATTATCTCCGTGGCATTTGCACCTGGCGGCAAAACGAATTTGAATCGCAGCCAATCGAGTCTTTGAACTCTTGAATCTGGCAGCAGGAAGAAAAAACTCGAAAAAAAATGTAGATGTGTATCCGAGCTAACTCGGGGACATGAACTCTAGAGAAACTCTCTGACGGGGAGTCGAACCCCGATCTCCCGCGACTTGTCGACTTGACAAGCGGAAATCATGACCGTTAGACCATCAAAGATGAGTAGCTTTGTAAGCTGCTTGATGCGAGACTCTGCTTATGTGGATAATTGTAGTCACTAGTGCTTTGATTGATCAGACTGAGAACCGCATTATGTCAACAAAAGTAGCACTGTAGTGATGTGTCCACAACCGCGCGAAAACTACAGCAACAGCGTTGCTCAACAATCTGACTCTAGCGGACTGATTCGTACCAGCGAAATTGGATCCAGAGGTATTATCTTGCCTGGCATCCAGTTCCTTACCCATGTCAATCCAAATATCTCTTCGTAAAATCCAATGAGAAAAGCAAAACACAACGGACGTGTCACAACTAAGGATAAACCAACCTTAACTCATAAGAAAAGCGAGGACCGTGTTTGCCTCTTCAAGAAATTCGTGATTAAGCCATTGCTGAACTTTTCGTGGACCATGCCCGTGAGAAACGACTGCGCAATTATTTGACAGAACATGAGCAACGAGTGACAAAGAAGGCTGTTTCCATGCCATGCACCATTCAAAATGGTCTACGACTTCGTTGGGCCAAAACAAGGAATATCACACAAGACCAAAGAACATTGTAGGAGTCGGATAGAAGATTACCATGGAGATTTTCATTGCCACTTCGAATGGGAAACAGAGCCATCAAGGTGAATTGAGGGGTTCGAGAAATTAACATCAACTTGGGTTTGTGGCGCTTTCACATGTGCCAGGATTTGATAGTGGCATTCCTTTTGACAACGATGATATTGATTGCAAAGAGCATTCCTACCGGAGTCGCCGGGAAGTCCAGGGAGTAAGCTTCTGCTTGGATCGTACGTTCATTCCAAGTCTCAACAAACAAGCAACTTTTTAATTGGATGTTGTTCCCTGAGCGGTGCAACCTTGCCGGCCCGCAGGATGTTTAAATATTTCAGGAAGTGTTTCCAAGACGACGGCGAGAACACCGAGCCAATGAGCCCCATTAAAAGTGGCCCAACTCCCCCTAGCCACCTCCACATTCGTCAGTGTGATAACCCACCCCATGGGGCAAAGCCAACATGGCCAATAAACCACTACCAGCTTCTAACACTTCGTATCTGAAAGCATCTAGCCACAACAGTTTCCGAAAATGAACCGGACACTCGCATATACTTTGACCGGCTCGCTTGGCAAACGCTTCTAGAAAATGTTTAGGCTTTCTGTCAAAGACTCGGTTTTCTCCAGGCTTAAGCCACAAACTAACCGAATTTCTCCTGGTCATAACCATAATCTGTCACCAAAGGCATAAAAGTGACATCAACGACGCTTAGCGACCAGAGAAAGCGATGAACAAGTTTAATAATGTGATACAAATGGCCCACTCTCTATTGATTTGGATGACGGCTGCGAGCAGCATGAACGCACCGCAAACTCGACTCGGTTGGTTCTCCGCCCAGCCAAGAACCGGCTGCATTACCAAGTGAACACTAAATCCTGGGCGAGGATGGCACAACAGCAGGCAACACGGAAAATCTCCGTATTTTGTTCGGTAAGCGCCTTGTCAAACTATGATAAGAAACAATTCCACACTCTGTTTCGCTGAGAGAAGTCTCGGCACGTTGAAGAACCCACAGCTTGAAAAACGGTTCACATAATCAGGTGGGCTCGGCATCTGGGCATGGCGGGGTCTCTTAGCCATGCAAGGCAAGGCATATGAGATCTTGTTACACTTCTCCGCCCCCCGCATCATTGTGGCTATCTTGACATTTGCTATAAGACGGGGAAGATATCCCACTAGAGTTTCTCTCCTTGTCGATCCTTGTTCCCTCTCTGCCAGAAGCTTTCATTTTCTCCCTACAAAAATGGCGACTGAAACGACGAACAATCCTGCTTCAGATATGCAACTGAAGCAGGTGAAGAGTCTTGATGTCGATGAGAAGGCAGATGTTGCCTTTGTTGAGGACATTCCCACTTACGACACACTTCAAACGAAGAGACTGCTCAGGAAAATCGACTGGCATCTTATTCCGTTCTTGTCGCTTCTATACTTGCTTTCCTTCCTTGAGTAAGTTTCTTGGACAAAACCAACAAAACTTTTCTGACATTGTGTACAGTCGTACAAATATCGGAAATGCCAAGCTCTTTGGTCTCGAGAAGGCCATCGGGCTGGAGGGAATGGAGTACAATACAGCTTTATGTGAGTTCTCCCATAGGTATATGATTTGTTCATCTGCTGACAGTTTGCCCCTCTAGCCGTTTTCTGTGAGTTTCACCAAGTGATACTTCTGACATTCAAGTTCTCATATTCAATGTAGTCGTGACCTACGTTCTATTTGAGGTTCCTTCCAACATGTAAGATCATCATCCTCGATAGGTAGACGTCAACTGACACGGTCTAGGGTCTTGAAGCGATGGAGAGCAGTATGTTATAGACGGATTTCTGCTGAGAATTAAAACTAATCAAATGACAGTCTATGTGGTTTCCAATCATGATGCTGGCTTGGGGAATCACGATGACCCTGACAGGTCTTGTCACGAACTTTCACGGACTTGTCATTGCTCGTGTCTTCCTTGGTGTTGCTGAAGCTGGTCTCTTTCCCGTAAGTCAATAAACTGGTTGGTCTGATACATCATACTTATGGATTTAGGGTGTCAACTACTACATCACCCTGTGGTACTGCAGAAGAGAATGTGCATTCCGAGCCGCTATCTTCTTCTCGGCTGCAACCGTCGCTGGTGCATTCGGAGGCCTCCTCGCTCGCGGAATCAACGAGATGGATGGCGTAGGAGGAAAAGATGGCTGGGCCTGGATCTTCATGCTCGAAGGACTCCTTACCGTTGCTGTTGCTATTATCGCTTTCTGGGCTATGGCCGACAGTCCTGCAACAGCTTCATTCCTGAACGCCGAGGAGGCAAAGGAGGTGTCACTCCGTCTGGCCCACGACAATGATGATCTTGCGTCCCATTACCACGTCAAGTTCATGAAAGATGCCTTTGCCGACTGGAAGATCTGGGTTCATTCTGTGGCATATATTGGAATCCTCGTACCCCTCTATTCGTTCTCGCTATTCTTGCCATCGATCATTCGCGCTATGGGTTACAGCGATGCCATGTCCCAGCTGCTTACAGTTGTAAGTGGTACCCTAAATGTTGATCGGGATTTATGCTGATATGATTTCTAGCCTCCCTACGTGCTTGGATGCATCTTTACTGTTCTCGGCGGCTTTTACAGTGATCGATTGAACAAGCGAGCAGTGTATGTTTTGATCCTCTAGATGGGAAAAGTGAATTTTGTATTAACTCTTTTACAGCTTCCTCGCTGGCTTCTGCTGCTCAGCAATCATTGGTTACGTTCTCCTGCTTTCCACAGATACCCCCGCTGTTCAGTACATTGGTACATTTTTGGCTGCATGTGGAGTGTAAGTTTCCAGACCTTTCAGTGCGTCCATCAGAATCTAACATATTCAGATACCCGATGATTCCAATCATGGTGATGTGGAACGGAAACAACATTGGAGGATCGACGAAGCGAGGTGCCGGAATTGCGATCCAAATCGCGTTCGGAAACTGCGGTGGTGTCATTTCATCATTCATGTGAGTCCACGATTAGTGAATCAATTCCAGTGCATCTACTAACATCATTATAGCTACAAGAATACCGATGCACCAAGATATTTCACTGGTCACGGCGTTTGTCTCGGCTTCTTGACCATGTCATTCATCCTCATTGCTTTCCAATGGTTCATCCTCGGAAAGATCAACAAGCGCAGAGACGAGGAGCATCCTCACCCCAACGAGTATACGACCGAGATGAAGAGAGCTGAGATGGATAGTGGAGACAAGGCAAGCTTCTTCAGATACACCAGATAGAGGTAGCTGGATTCGGCAAGGTGGGGGTTTGACCAGGTATATCTGAGGACCTGAATTAAATAATAAATGAATAAAATGGACAATCCCTCATCCGCCAGGCAATCCCAGTATCTGCCCCAGTGAATTCTGTCAGCCGCTCCTCATTCTCACAGCTTCTTCCCAAGCTTTCTCTGCTCTTCCCCCAGCTCTGTTCGGGCCAATATTTGCAAAGCTGCTGTCCACGTCACGTCCCCAGGCTCCAGAATATTTGTCTATTGTGGTTCATGTGTTTCTCAAACGAGCAATGATAACATTTATCCAGTGGATATATTTGCTCTTCACGACTGGAATTTGCTTGAGATATTCCATGGGGACTGTTTTATCAAAACAGAGTATCAAATTTCTCTGGCGAAGTAGGTACACGTCGTCATTGAGAGATTGTTGGGCCAATGAGGGGTCACGTACGGTTGGCTGTGTTGTGACCGTGTAGGTTGGCTCGCCCAGTGCAACCACACCTCCGCCATCACAGAGCCTAACGATGAGAGTTCCAACACGAGGCTATGCTAAGCAAAGATTCAAGCAGCTGCACACCTTTCCTCTGCCATTTATATTTGATCAAAGCCCAGAATATTTGCAACCAAACTTCGGGAATTTCACAGACCCAAAGCAAAATGGCTGAGACTTTGGGGGTCGGCATTAGTATCGCTTCAATCACGATTCAGATTGCTGACAGCCTCAGCAAAGTCATGAACTTCTGTGAAGCCATCTGCGAGGCTCCAACTGATGTCCAAAAACTTATTGTAGAGCTTCATTTACTTTCTAGTATCGTTTTGGTCATTCGAGACATGGTTACGACAGGTTTAATTCCCTCGGGCATCGAGACCATCCTTGAGCGGGCTTTGATGCTCGTCGGGCAGGACATGGCATCTTTATCAACTCTTAGCTCAGAGCTTGAACGCTAATTGAACTCTGAGAAAAGATCTGTTCGGACCTGGGCGCGAGTACGAACTGTCTTTTCGAAAAAGAACATCTCCTTACTCAAATGTCGTCTAGAAAGCGCGAAAGGAGGATTGCAGCTGTTGCAAGGCTGCATTGTTATGTTTGTCAGCTCCGTCTTTTTCGTGCTCCGTTCACTTATTGATCTGAAATTATTAGAGAGAAACTGTCAAATCTGGATTCAATAGCTCGTCAGATTCCAAAACAACTCGGCTAGCATTGGGAGGCGGGAGAGCGCGACCGGCATGTTCAGATTGACGATGGGTTAGAGGAGCCCTACTTCGTGCCTCTAGACCTGTGCTCGAACAGAAGTGTACGTTGTGAACATACCTCTTGCATCTGTCTCTAACATCTTCTAGGTTCTCAGAGACCTACTTGAAGTAAAGTACAAGTCCCGGAACTTCCCTGGCTTGTCCCAAATTCGCCAAGGCCACGTTGCTGTGTTTGACTGGACTCAAACTTTCACGATCGATTCAGAAAATTGGGACATGGTTGTCAAATCTGGTGGTCGAATTAAACTCGCTTTCTTGATGAGTTCCTGGCACGGTATATCACGAACCAAGTGTATACGTTGCTTCAAGCCATATAAACAAGGGACCGTAGTTGTCGGTTTCAAGAAGTGGTATATCATAACTCTACTTAGAGCCACTCTGAGGAATGTCCCTGGCGCTGACGTATTTTTAGTCTCTCATGTGGGTTAGAAGTGCTCAAGGTTCACCCGGAAGCGATTGCATTTGAGACCACCGATATTCAAATAGGTCTTGGTCCCGATACATACAGAGATTATCGGTTGTCGAAGCGAATAAAGTCACCAGAGGCTCAAACGCACCATCCGACTTCGAACACCTCGACAGCTGCTACCGAATCTGTTTCTCCAACGCCACCAAACACTAGACCAAACACTAGATCTGATGACAATCCTCCAATTGATTTGGTGTGTAAACGACTCATTGTCAAGTGGGAACCAATATATAATATTGTTCATCGATACCTTCACTGCCGTTGTATTCTAAGACTAACAACACCCTCGAGAGTCGAAAAGGAACAGACCATACTAGTCCTGGCTGGATGTCCACGACACAACACGAAGAATTTATTTCATCGGGATTATGGTGACCTTGAGTATGACAAAGACCCATATTTTGACCAGTTCGGAGGGTACAGAGCATTTCAAGGTTTCGTGTATCTGTATCAACCACACATATACCGAATGCTGGGCTGCGAGAAGTTTGTACCAACAAAAAATCTTGATGCAGCAACCAAAGCAGTCAAGGAGATTATGATGAGAGGCTTCGAAGGACTCACGGATCCGTACCTCGAATACTTTTTGGACGTAAATGATGCTGTGGAGAAGGCTTGGGTTCAGTTGCCTGAGCCTGAAGCTGAAATCGTCGAAATTGGACGTCAGAGGAGAAAGGAAGAAAGAATCGCTTCGCACAAAGCTCTGGGGATTGAAAGTATGCTGACTCCGAGCGAGGACCAGCAGCGAATGATTTCCGAGTCGCCGATGATGCAACAGGTCAGAGACATTTTGGATGGGAAGTGGAACGGGAAGAAGCACTGGGAATGGGAAGATGACGACGACTAGGGATATGTGATAGCTTTCTACTTGATCAAGTACCCTCACTGTGTATCTATTTCTAGCTATCTATTGGCATTGACTACTCGCCAAATTTCTCTGACGGTCTGACCTCCCCACCTCGTCCCTCTCCGCCATAAACATCAACTCCATCCTCTGACAACCACGTCCTTGTCGTCGCATCCAAAACTGGGAAATCCGAAGCTCTGCTTAAATCTGTATATGCTTGGATGCCTTATTTTCATATTATCCCGCTTTGCAAGTCTAAGATAAGGTGCGTGAGGGTACTCGTTTTCCCCGGACAAACGCCTGTCCCCCCACAAACGCGGCTGAACTTTATAAAATATCAACAACAACCATTAAACTTGAAGTCTCAAAAAGAGGGAGCTAGAGAAACGTAAAGAGTTCACACTCGCAATTTCTTCTTATAGTATTAACGTTCGGGTGGCTTTTCCAAAAGCGCTATTTGGGGGTTGGGCGCTTAGCTACGGTGAGTGGTGTGGGGTGACTAGGAGTTCCCCGTACTTTGGAATGGAATAATTGGCTCAAATTCACAGAATGCGATGTAGTGAATGAGTACAACATCTCTGGGTCTGCAAAAGAGATTCATTCTCAGAGGGAAAGATGCCCAGGACCGCGGGATCTAGGCCTGTATTAATACTTACAATTGAAGGTCTGGCTGACCATTGGCTTTTGGCCAGCGTCGATACCTTGTCTAGTTATAAATAGGAAAACTTGATAAGACCTGTTGGAATTACTGGCAACTTCAAATTTTGTTAAGAGAAAGATATTATATTATATAAATACTAGCTTTTTTTACCACCGTTGAGCTTCAAGTGAATTGGTTAAAAATGTCTTTCATGTGCAGAATGTCACTTAAGTTCAGACTGAGATAGGATTTTGGTATTTGCCCAGCGCCCAGCATACAACCAACAAAGCATGTGTCTTGGTTATGCTTCCTGACTGGACCTGGATCTTGCCCGCCTGCTGTGAGTGGCCTGTCCTTATCTGCGATGCGAACTGAATGGACCAGGTTCTTTTCATGTATATAACCACTCTTTGACGTGACTGAACTGTTTTTCGTCTTCATTCCTCATCTTACTCACCTCCTTCTCCATCTTCACCATCTTCATCACCCACTATGAAGCTCCCAACCCTCATGTTCATGCTCCTAGGTTTGACTTCTTACACAAGTGCCTGTCTTCACGTATATGGCCACATAAGGTGGGCGGACCAACCTGCTTTCGGCATAAATTACCATTACTGGGACCTCCGCGTAGTAGACAATGTAAGAGCCCCTCTATCTCCCATCACACATGTGATAAATACCTCCAAGTCCACAATATACATATGAGAGACAAAACCAGAACTAAACTATATCATAGGGCGTCATGGTATGCAACAGCCAATGGGGCGCTCGAGTCGACAAAGGCGTTCATCTGAACATCAATTGCCTACCAGGCTACATCTGGAGCACCGATGCGTCCGGCAATATCTTCTGGTTCAGGAACTCGGCCGATCAGGTTACGAAGAATGTATACCGCGTTATTAAGGAGCAGTGCTGGACTCCCTGTGGTAATAACAAGCGGATTGAGATTGACAGGTGAGTTAATCGGCTTGGAACTCAAGTTTTTTTTTTTCACTTGGCGAATTCCAGAAGCATAGATTATTTGCGGAGACAATTCGTGTATTATATTTACTGATTTTCCGTCTTTTTTACTAGTTATCACTTCTGTTAGTAGATGGAGATTTTGGTGAGAGCTTGGATGGGATAGCTGGGTTTATGGGCAGGAATGAGTTGAAAACTTGATAATGTTGAGTTTGAGGGAAATAAATTGAGGTTCTACTCTTAGGTCTTAGGTCTGAGGGTCTTCATTTGTATGGGTCTTTTATCCCTTGTTGTCGAATAAAGAGCTCGCCCGGCCTCTCTTTTACGTTGCATTTTATAATCTTATGCGCCACTGATCTTGACACCCACCATCCGTATATTTTTCAAAACAAAGAAAAATTCCAGTCTCTTCTGATGTCACGATCAGCCCTGGGGAAACATCCTGGGAACCTCAGGCTCCCAGAGAGAGATCCACTCCTACGAGTAGAAGGAATCTTCTGAGGGGCCCGGGGGACGAGGGGTGTTAGAGTCTCCTGTTTTAACCCTTCCATGGGAGCACCGTCAGACAGTCAGACTACTGTCTGCAAGGAACTCTGTTAATATGCTGACCACCGGTCTTTCTACCTTCCAGAAGGTCTGGGCAATGTATGAGAGCCATTGGTAAAGGAATATGGTGTCTAGAAGAGGCAAGAGTTCCACCAATGTGCTTGAGACAAGAGATTGAAATCGGCCGAATATGAGAAGTGAGGCAGCATATTTCCAATCCGGCGCAGCACCGTTTTCACTCTCCAATAGGCTTGGTCCTTCGAATACCCCGAGATTGGCTGCTGCTGCATCTGTAATCTGTACCGGTGTACCTGGCTCCACTGTACTGCTCCAGATCACGCCCAAGACAGAAGGTCACCTGTTGGCCACTCTACGCTAGAGGTGCCCAGCTACTTGGCAGTCAGCGAGCGAGTGGAACACTCACCTTCATCCTCTTCAACCTCCAACATCATCCAGCCGCCGTCCAGTGCAGCATCGAACAGCTGCCACTGCCAATAATAAATGTATGACCGTGATCCAACAAAGCAGATTACTAGCCAAGAACCTCTTCCAGGGATGGAGACAACGATCATCGGGGTGCGGCAGCACCACCTCGGTCGCCGCATGTCAAGCTCAGCGGCGGCTGGCACTGGCACCGGCGAAGCATCGACGAGAGGCGATAAGACTGGTGCTTGCTCTTGTGACAGGCTCTGCCCAGCCGGTATGCCTAGAAACGATTGATTTCTGGAATGATAGCAGAAGTTGCTTCGACCCGGAACATCGAATGATGCTCGGTCTCTCAAATCCTACCCAGCAGGCCCGCCGGGACCAAGAGCTCGTTGCGCAGCGCCCAGATGCGACTGATAGGATGTGCGTCGTTTACACGACGTGCCCAGCAATTGACGGTACCGTTCGGGAAGGTCATCGCATCGCAGCGCAAAACAACACCAAGACAAACGCCTCCAGACTGCGTGCCAAGCTGTCAATTAAGTCTCCTATCGCATCCAAGGCCTCCTCGCCGCCGCCGTCCCCGCCATATGTCGCTCAAGATCGGGGCTGCGTGCACAGCCGTCACTCGGCATCAGCGTTCGCATGCCCTGGGAGCACCCAGCTCGGAAGGTCAAGACTGCTCTTCTACCACACCTTCCAATCCCAGTGGATCAAGCTATCTTTGTAACACGCCTCCAAGACCCACTGGAGCTTGGTATCCAGCTGGGCATTGGTATCTGGAACCCCCAGTAGTGATTGCATGCATCGAGAAAGTCGCCTGCTGTTGTGCCGTGTAATTACAGATATTGCAGGGCTCTGGTCCCAGCATCTACATTTAACCCTCTGCCCCCCTTCGTCTCATGCACTTTTCCCCGGTACAGCATTCCTGTCGTGCATCTCGCCGTGCCTTTTCGACAACAGAGGGTCCTCGCTCGACACAATTTCCACGGTCACCCACCTTCCTGAACAACAATGGCGGAAAAGAACACCATTGATGTCGTCCCGGACACTGCGTCCTCGGACTCTCCCAGTGATGGCTTGCCTCGACGGGATATCGAGGGAAAGCATCCCCATCAGGTCCACGCCGCCATGGAAAATGGTGGTGCTGTTCGTGACGCAAACTTCATGACTCGAAATGGTCTTAACTTGGAGTCGTTCAAGATGAGAAGTTATGGCCTAGGCATGGTGGAGCTTGATCGTTCGATGAAGCACCGTCATCTTCAGATGATTGCTATTGGTATGCCTATCCAGTTGCCATGATACTGAAGATAGTGGGAGACATAGAAACACATACTGACTACTTTGCCAGGTGGCTCGATTGGAGCTGGTTTCTTCGTCGGCTCTGGAAGCGCATTCAGAAACGGAGTGAGTCTGCAAGGCTCCCCAGAATTTGACATTTTTGCTGATACAATTCGAAGGGACCTGGCTTTGTGCTCATCGACTTCATGATAATCGGTATCATGATATTCAACGTTGTCTACGCTCTTGGTGAACTCGCTGTTATGTACCCTGTCTCTGGTGGTTTCTACACGTATTCCGTTCGTTTCATCGATCCATCTTGGGGATTTGCTATGGGCTGGAATTACGTCTTTCAGGTATGCCGATGCATCCAAGATGAGATCTCCTATAACCTCATTAAACATTATTGACATCTAACAGTGGCTTATCGTCCTTCCGCTTGAACTTACTGTCGCTGGTTACGTTGTTCAATATTGGGACAAGGATTTAAACCTTAACCTGTTAATCGCCATCTTTTGGATTTTTATCATCATCATCAACGTTTTTGGCGCTCTTGGATTCGCCGAGGAGGAATTCTGGTCGTCGTGTCTCAAACTCGTCACAATCAGTAAGTTCCTCCGGCGAGTAGACGTGACCGTAAATCAGCCACTAATCCAAGCCGTAGTTACCTTCATGATCATTGCGGTGATCTTGGTTTGTGGTGGTGGACCTAGCGGCGGCAGATATGATGAGTATTGGGGAGCACGTACATGGTATGTGAATTATGTTTTCCATTCTACCACACCGAAGTTCTCTCTCCAGCTATGTTGAGCACATCGAAGATATCGTATCTCGAAGCGTATCATGCGGAGACCTCTGTTCGTGAATGTCGTGTGAGCATAACTGATGTTGAGTTCCATCTAGGCACGACCCAGGAGCTTTCAAGAACGGATTCCGAGGATTCTGCGCTGTGTTCGTCACTGCTGCCTTCTCCTTTGCCGGTACAGAACTCGTTGGTATCGCAGCGGCTGAGTCTGCCAACCCCGCCAAAGCTCTTCCAAGTGCAATCAAACAGGTCTTCTGGCGTATCACTTTGTTCTTCATCCTGGGTTTATTCCTTGTCGGTCTTCTTGTCCCATCTAACGATGAGAAACTCCTCGGATCCGAAAACGCCTACAAAGAAGGTGCATCTATGTTCGTTTTGGCTGCTAAATATGCTGGATTGAAAGGATACGACCACTTCCTCAACGCTGTCATTATGATTTCTGTCCTATCTATTGGAGCATCTTGCGTCTATGGTGGATCAAGAACATTGACTGCTCTTGCTCAGTAAGTACCACCCGCTCCTTTCAAAAGCATCGTGGAAGTCTTCTTCCGAATCATGTTCGATAGTTGACTCAAAAGTCGAACTTGGACGAGAACGTTTGCTAATCCCCACTTAGACAGGGCTACGCTCCCAAGATCTTCACCTATGTTGACAAGTCTGGCCGACCTCTTCCTTCGGTCCTCGTCCACCTAGCGGCAGGTGCCTTCGCTTATATTCAAGAAACTTCCACCGGAGAGGAGGTCTTCAACTGGCTTCTCGCTCTTTCCGGACTTGCCGCTCTATTCACATGGGGATCCATCTGTTTCGCACATATCCGTTTCCGCCAGGCTTGGAAGCACCAAGGCCATACACTTGATGAGATTCCGTTCCAGGCTATCTTCGGTGTTACTGGATCTTGGATCGGCCTCATTCTCTGTGTCATCGTCTTGATCGCTACAGTAAGTCTTTCTTCTCCCTCATCATCTCTGACATATTCTAAGTAATATTTTCTAGCTCATCAGCGCGATTCTTCCAGCGGGACAAACAGAGACTGCCACTGTAGAGCAGTTCTTCTCAGCTTGGCTGACTGTTCCCGTCATCCTCGTGTTCTGGATTATCGGCTATGTCTGGAAGAGAGAGGGTGGTCTCAAGCTTGAACAGATTGATGTCGACACTGGACGCCGTGAAATTGACTGGGATTCGATTAATGCTTACAGAGCCGAGGTTGCTTCTTGGCCCAAGTGGAAGCAAATCATGAGCAAGATCTACTGAGCTGGGCAAGATCGCCAATCCTTCTGGATGCGGATCTAGACGGGGGAGATGTGAGGATAGTGTGTGGTCGAGTTGTGTACTGTGTAGAAGTGTAATAGCATAGAGTAATGAATCCGTTTCTCTGCAATCAAGAGTGTACCCGTCTATGAGCTTCGGGATCATCGCCTGCTTCTGTGTACCCCGGGACATTTGTTTACTAGTAAGCATGAAGATTACCAGTACTCGAGTGCGGGTCCTCGCTCAATCTGTCACCCTCCACTTCGTCCCAGCAGAATCGTAAGAGCGAGGGTATTGCATAATAGTCGGTCCCCTCTGTGAAGCTACGGGCACTCGCTCATGAGACTATTTCTCACCTGCTTCTATAAACATGATGATTGGAGATTAAAGCCAGAAGAAGCTAAAATACTGCCAAAAGTCTATGCCGATGATGCACACCTAACGTCCCGAATACGCTAGAGTCGTCAGAACATACCACAACTCACCACCTCGTACCCACATGACAATGCAACACTTGATATAAAGATTTCTGATACCTCTTTACGTTCTTGGAATGTGCTCCGATAATTTGCTGTTCACGACGAGTCTTGCAAGCTTGAAGTAAACTGAATAGCTTACGGGATTTCGTGGTTACTTGCGGAACATTGGTATATTTGTACATCTATAACCGAAGAGGGGAATCTCAGAAACCAGCAAACGACAACGCCGACCAACCCACCGCCTTGTAAATCTTCTTCTGCAACACCAGCCAACCCGTATCTAGTTCCGTTTCGCTCCCCAAGCAACCATGCATACAAAGCATTGTCTCGATGTACGGTTCACGTGACAGACATCAACTCGCAACAGAACTTCCAGAACTCGACCCAGAACTACCATCAGCAAAGAGCGGCGAATAGTCCACATCAGAATAACACCCCTTCGTCAGCTCCGAGAAATCGAAAGAACGCTCAACCTCCTCCCAGCCGCCCTCCACACCAGGCTTCTGCCTCCTTAAAATCAACTTCCCGCACCCCTTCCCCGGATCAAGCATCTCCAGCTCCACATCATAGAACCTCAACGATTCAGGCAGAACAGGTATATGTTTCAGCCGCTCGTTCCTCTCCACTGGCGAGTCGAACGGGCCCGCGTCAATCTCGTCGGCCCAGGAGTCGAAGAACCCAGCTTCTTCCGCGATCATGACTTCCCGCGCTACGTTCCCCATGATGAAACTATCCCACATGCCCTCGCGTATGGGCGTCGCTAGGAGCAGTGCAATAGCCTGTCGTCGTATCCACGGCACACGACATTTAAGCGCAGTGTAGTACGTGAAGGGCAAGAGTCCCACATCGGCGATGAAATCCGCCGCGCGCTCCCAGTCGTTAAACCGCGCCCTCATCTCCATCTTCTTATGCGCCGAGCGCCTCAGCAGGTGTAAAGTCTGCGTGATAATCGACGTAAAGTGCGACGTATAATTATCGAAAATCGTCTGCTTCCCTCGACACAGCGCCGTCTCGGCCATGATAGACGTCATCGTCAGGAAGACCCGCAGGAGAAACACGCCCAGCACGGTATGTTCGTTGTTGGCCTGGCGGGTGAGCGCGTCGCGGCTGCGGCTGTAAGCCATTTTCCAGGAGGCGATGGCGCTCTGCAGGCACACCTGTCGGCTGCTCATGTCGGGCGGGTATGTTGTGCCGCTGAAGTCGAAGGAGCGGCATTTCTGGGAGAGGGCTAGGACCTCGCCTAGGACGCTGTTGAAGCTCCGCCGGGCTTCGGACATGTTGCGGAATCTGGAAGGGATCTTGATGTCGGATAGTGGGGTTGGCTGGCTGATCTCGAGGTGTGATGTCGCTGTGTTGCAGCCGAATAATGCGGATTGGACACTCAGACATGAGAGCGATTCGGATAGAGATTCGTCTACGGTGGTACAGTTTGAAGACATGTCGACTTCTGGCTGACATGTCGCTTTGTCTGAACCGCCAGACTGAAGCTCTCTCATCAACTTCCAACCACTCTGCGTATGCGTCATGGCATTGCCATACTCTCCTCGCAGAAGATCGAGCGTAACGAACAACACGCAAGTGATAAGTACCACCCGAAGCGAAGCAGTCTTATCCTCCGTCTTGCGGTTCCGGAGATGGCTGATAGCTTTCGAGTATTCCTGGATAGTGAACACCTCCCGCCGACTAAGTTCAGTCCTATCAAAGAGCGAAATTGCCCCCCGCGGCCTCAGAGTCTCCTCTTCTATCCTATGTGCAGAACCCAGTGCTATCACAGCGTGCAGCACTGCTGGCTCTAGCACGCAAGCTTGGAGGACAAGTTCCTGCCAGAAATGGGAGTAGAACAGCCCGGGGAGTTTGACGATAGTCGTGGATCGGAAGAAGTCGAAACACAGCCGCTCCTCGTCATTTAGCTGTGCTGAGACTAAACCGGGCAATTTCACGAGGAAGGAAATGTTCATTGGCTCTGGGGATGAATCGTTGCTAGACTGAGGAGATACAGTTTGCACGACTGGGACGACTTCCTTGGTCGTAAGGATGTTGATGGTGCCGGTTGTCCAGACTCCATAGCCATCACACTTGCGGCCAGTTGAGAAGCAATTCCGACATAATGGCCTACTCTCATCGCATTTGACTCTTCGTATCCTATGATTATGTCAGTCTAGTCTAGAGCTTCATATCACTTGAACTTCTTTTATCGACTTTGAGGGCACTCACTTGCATGTCCGGCACCCAGTTTTCGACTTCGTATGGCTCGCGCGGACCTTCTTCTTGGGCAAGAGGGCATTCATAGTTCATTCTTCAAACCCACCTCATGAGTTCTCATTCCTCATCCATGGGGAGCATCCAGATCTCTGATATTCAGAAAAATTTCAAGCGCCTGTCTGTCATCGACTCATGCTGAGTCGGCGCGGCCCCAGCTGCACCGCTGCTTATGTAGCCAGTCTCAGAAAAGACTTGGGTGGTATCCATGTGATTTGCTCGGTTGTCTCTTCAGGGGGCGAGGTCGCTAAGTGCTGACGCCCATTCCTGTAATCCTTGTATGAGATAGTCAGCATGAGCTCTGAATGGCTCCTTCGTGTTTGACTTTAGTTGATTGGATGAGCTTAAACCCACTTCGATGGCCAAGTATTTTCAGGCATAACCTTCTGGAGACATAAAATCCCCATCATCCTTCCTGCGAACTTTTCCGCCCTCTTATTGTAGAAAGTTCCAGAAAGACTTTAAGACGTGATATCATAGTTAGGGTTTAAGATCGTGGAATATGTTTCCTGCTGAGAGATTTCGCGAGATATATTTAGCCCTCACGGACGGGAGATAGCGAAAGATAAGGGGGGATAGCCTCAAAACATTAGCTGAGTTCCCCATCATATCTCACGTCTTGATGCGTTTTTAAGGCCAAGTAAAGAAATCTATTGAAGTTTTTGTTGTTCTTGTTATGATTCTTTTTTTCTTGGCCCTGAATTTTGGAAATTGCATAATCACAATTGGTGGGCTTAGAACCTCTCACTGTCAGAGTTGCACCATTTTGTTGCACTCACTTTTCCCTTCGCCAAGATATCAGCGTGTGCACTTTAGAGATGCCGATGGTTTTGGCTTTAATTCAAGCAGTTTATGCATTTCGAACTGTCTTGCGTGATTGCATGTCATGAGATGAACAGCGTCTATGAAAGATGTCGAGACCAATCATGTTGGTGCCACAAGCGAACGCACCAACCCATTAATTTTAATTGCTTGAGAGTATGGGAAGAGTCAAAGTCATTTTTTCAGCATTGAAGTGTATTCACTTTCAAAATGAATAGGGAATAGTAGGTAAGTGCACGCCGAGGTAGTATAAAGCACTGATATATTTCTTTTCAGTATTCTCAACCCAGTGACAATACCTGAACATGCTATTTCAGTAGAATAGATAACGAGTACCTCTTCATCGTATCACACGTATACAAGCGTCCGTCTCGGTTTTGAGAACTTACGTAACACCTCTTTGCTTGCCTACGGTATGGACAGACTATTTTCACTCGATCATAGGGTGTGAAGGGCCGGGAGCTGACAATCACAACTTTGCAAGATTGCAAGCGCTTGACAACAAACACACACATGACACCCAAATTTCCTTCTAGCAGTGATAAAACCCACTCTCTGTACTATGAGACGTTACCTCACAATTGCAAGTCCTGAGGAGTTGGAAACAGCATATCACTCCATGCAGCAAAGCAAACTACGAATGCGATCTCGACTTCTTCAAGACCTGGCCACCGAAAAGTCAAGAGTTTTTCTAGGCTGCTTTTGGATGTGATGAAGGTACCATGGATACCTGAATGCCTATTCATGTTTCCCCCAATCCTGCCTTTCAGCCTTTAATAGCCTGAAAACCTGCCGCGGACACGAACAAAGTTTCGCTTAACGTAAACATTCACCCCGCACTTCAACACTCACGAGTCCCACTCGCTCTTGAACGTGAGCAGGTTATAAAGAACATGCAATCAGAAGTTGAAATCAGTAAATTTCACGACTCTTATCCAGGTCGTCATGGATGTCGAAGCCCGGGCTTGGGACGGATGGCCTGAATAACCCTCAGGTGGAGTGAGGTTGTGAGGGAGAAGGTCAGCTACTGTATTGTACTAGTGAAAGCTATGAAATTGATTTGCTCAGTGGGGGAACTTCAACAGTTGAGAAAGATGGTACAGGTGTTGCAAATGTTGACAATAGCTTCGGCAATGACAACAGTACGGTTGGTTTTGTTTGTGGAGAGTGAAGGTCCAGCTCCTCTCAGACTCTGCATCTAAGCATAGCCGAGAGCTTTACCATCAGAGAACGACGGTATATGCTACTCATTGTGTAAAGAGCCATACATGGGAATTGCTTACATGCATGATTCTGATTCGTTTTTCTGTTCCGATGGTACTACAGCTCGTGAGCCGGAAGTCGGGGAGTCAGGATCATATACCCCTCCACCACACCGTATCAACTTCGACTATCACCCAAGAGCCACTACTCCGATACGTGTCATCCGTTGGAGCCTGCTTCAAACCCCTGCTAAAAAGATGCTCTCTCATTGATACCGAGGATCTATAAATTCGTCTTCAGCTAGAACCATTCCTTACTCAACGCATCCAACACCTGGAATATCTGTGACATATGTGGTTTTGGAGAAGCTTTCGAGTCATTCATGCAGTCTGAATCTAGAGATTGCTAGGTATGAACTGGTGTTGTGCTTGACCGGGAAGGGAATTTATACTCACTCCCAATCTCTTTCCGCTTCAAGATTGAACAAATGATGATTGGAGGTGTATTAGCTTGACAGCAGCTCGAAACTTGACGACAAGAACTTCTCAAGTCCTACTTTTTTTCTCTTGAAGCCCGACAAATTTAATCGCAACAACCACTCAACACAAATTCTTCACACTTCATCTTGAGCAACGGCTAACCCACAAACGATCGGTGCTCTATTGAAGTTCACCGCTAGTCGTCAACCTCATGAAATTGTCAGACAAAAAGTCCACTGTAACTGCTTTAACAAGTCTTTAGCTCTTTGTTATCTCACATTCCATTTGAAAGGGTAAGTCTTATATACTTGCCGATGTCTTGGATGCAGATTGCACAGTATGGATCAGCGAGTAAGTCATGCTGGGGTCTTGATTTGGAAAAGAATGTGTTGGTTTCTCGAGTTTCTGGCGGGCGAGATGGGATTGAGGTATCATATGGAAAAGGGAGGAGTTGTTGGATTGTTTTGTGATTGTCATTCCTGCTTTGGTTGTCAGATGCCAGTTTTTATTCAACCAACACTGCAAACGGGACCTCTAAATGAATAGACATTACTTGAAAGTATCTTCATGGACGGAGGTATATTCGTATACATCGTATTATAGTTTTGGTCTTGCGTAGAATCTGTTCGAATTTCTCAGCAGCACAAAGAAGTAAGCAATTGCATGATTCGAAGCCAAGAAGTTGTAGTTGGAAAGACGGCGTATGGTGGTGCTACTTATACACGGTCGAGAGAGAAAAACAATCGAGTTCAATATTCACTTTGTCCAGAATAGAGCTATTTTATGTCCATCGAGCATAAGCACCTCATCCAGACGACTCACCATGAAGCAGATCTACCCCTGGTTTCTGGAGAATCTGCCGGAAGAACAGAATCAAGAGGTGAGTTCTATTTATATATACATCTTCCCCCTGATCCATATCAGACAGCCTCGTAGCACTCTCTCTTTTATTTTTGTCCAAGGCTTTCTCGTAGATTTCAACATTCACCAAACGTAACGGAGTCTTTATTCAGTTTAATTCGCACTTCACTGCCAACATCATCCAGCACACAACTCAATCTCGAACTTGATCTCAACAATTTCGCCAACCCGACAACCGCATCATCACTCCCTTTCCTTCACCACCTCCTCACATCACAACATAACAAACGTCACTTCACGCATCACCCTACCGCCTCTCCCTCTGACCTCCTTCAAAACCACCCCGCTACTGATTACCAGTGTGAACCTTGGAAAATCTCAGCTGTGCCTCAAGCATATTTATAAATTATAATAGACTGAGAGACCGACTGACTGATTGACCGACTGATTCATCCAAGCTTGTGCCATGGAAAGACTCACTTCACCTCACCTCACCTCGCTGCATGGCTACCTAACACCAGGTAAAACGCAAAGTAGGCGAAGTAACAAAATACAGCAGTGAAATATTTCCATAGGAGTTAGACTGAGGAGAGGATGTATAGATGCTTCCAGGTTGGAGCTCGAGTTCCAAGTCAGGTCGGCAAAGGCAAAGAAAAAAAAAAGAGACTGGCGGAGACAAAGCTCTGGTATGTTAAGCTAGCTGAGTATGTGTACGATGCAAATGCGCGCCTTGCGTATCCCGGTATGAAAAGAAGCAGCCTCCCAACGCCCAGCAATGTACAGTACTACAAAACAAAACGATTCTTACCCCCCCCCCAAGCCCGTGTCTAAGTGTATTCAGAGCACGCTTATACAAGATCACCCCTTCCACGGTCCTCCCTCGCCTTGAACCATATTCAAAATATACATTCCCCCTCACCGCTCTCTGGGTACTACCTCCTCGCTCCCCTTACTTGCTCCTTGTCATCACTCTCCGCCTCCTTAGGCGGTAACTTATCCCTCTCGCTCGTACTCGCGCTGCCTACCACAGTAGGGCTATTCTCCCCATCAAACAGCGGATCATAATCCTTATGCGCCATCTTCAACGCCTTAGGACTCCTCCTGCTACTCGTACCCTTCGCATTCTTCCTCCTCACCTCCTCGACCTTAGCCTTCGCCTTAATCTCCGCATCATCGTCATCCTCATCACCCGAGTCCATCCCCTCACTACTCCCCTCCACATACGGCTCATGCCCACCTCCACCTCTACCTCCAAGTCCACGCTCAGCGTCATCATCAACATCATCATCCTCACCAGCCTCACTATCCCCATCAGGAATCCTCTCATGGCCCTCAGGTTTCTGATTCTTAATAAACGAATCAATGATATAATACTGGGTGGCATTCATAATGACGGGAAAAACAAGCATCACAAAGATAACCTGCAGGGCCTCGTCGCCCTCGGTCCAGCGGAGCGCCCAGTCGCCCACGCGCGAGATCCACGGCGCGACGAGGAAGATGATGAGCACGCAGATCTTCATGCCCATCAGGCCCATGAAGTAGATGATCGATTGCTTGAACCACCACCATGCGCGCGGGGGGGTGCCGTAGTTGCCTGAGGAGATGGATTCCGGTGGGTTGCCGAGGGGCGTGTATAGGAAGAGGGAGGTGAGGATGCGGAGGAGGAAGATGAGGATGGGGATGCCGACTGTGGTCTGTTTTGGGGAAAGATTAGCTTGGTTTTTCTCTCTCAAAAGCAGGAATCTCTGCGCAAAACATGGAAGATGAGGAGGGGATAGGAACTTACATCGATCGCCAAGTTCAGCAAATAGAAACTACACGGGTTCGGACTATAATTCCCCTTGTCATCAACCATCCTCTTTGTCACAACACTAGTCGCATCCAGCCTGATATCAAACTGTCCACTCGACAGCATGCTCATCAACAAGTTCGCAATATGCACCAACACACTCCCAAACACCTGTTTACTGACGTCGAAGAACCATATCTTGACGGGTCTCTGTGGCCGTTCCCGCCATCGCTTGTAGACTAGGGCGAGGAGGGCGCAGAGACCTAAGGAGCCTTGGATGAGGATTGCGAAGGAGCCGAAGAGTTCGCATTGGCCGTTCTTTTCGGGAGGCTCGTGGGGAGAGGAGCTCGACGTTGTTGATGTAGATGTTGAGGGAGAGGAGGAGGGAAGTGGTGAGCTGGAGGGGAGGGAGGTGGTGAGGGCGAGGGAGGTGAGGGTTGGGATTGAGACGCCGAGGTGGATGGCGGTGGTTATTGCAGAGGAGAGAAGGGCGCTGGTTGGTGTTGCATTGTTGTCGAGTGAGGCCTCGAAGCCTGGAGGGGGGAGCATTTAATCTCGTTCTCTTTCCAGGAGTGTATTGCCTCGTCCGTGTCGCCTCCAAAATCTTGCTTTCTCTCTCGTATTTCCTTTCTCTGGCAGACAGCCTCCAACAATCAACCAGTATGCAAAGTCGGCGTGTTGTCCTTTTCGGAGCACCAAATCCTCTCTCGTAGTCGTAGCACCGAAGGCGTAGTTCGTTCCCTTCCTTCTCTCCTTTCTATCTTTCCCTGGGGTCTTGTGATTATGTTTCTGATTCAGGGTCAAGTGGCTCCGATTTTGTGACGCAAGTGGTTCAGAGTGAGACAGAAACAACAAATAGCAATTTAAAGTATTCACAACGAAGAGAACAGAGACGAAAGTGTAGAAGGTACGTAGTAGGATCGAAGTTTCGGTGTGCAGGTGAGGCGCAGAATCGATGACATGCTCTGCAGCCTGCTGCGGCTACGTTATGGTGAGGAAGACAGAGCGAGTGAGTGACTTGGGGCTTGGAAAGCTGCACTGAAGCAGAAGGCTGATTTTAGGCTTATTTGCGGTACTGTAGCATGGCGTGGCTGGGCTGGCTGCATCTGGGGCGAATCGAGCGCCGAATCGAAATCGAACAACTTTAATTCTAGACTCTATCACGTGGATGATTTCAATCACTCGATTCGAATTGTACCTTATTCATAGGCCTCTTTAAGTTCTCACATTTCCATGTGCTTCTCATATCTAGGTAGATTGTTTTCCTACTTGCTTGATTTCATTTCATTACATTCCAAAAGTCCCTCGTGCTTGACCATCCTCAAGCCACCGCGTCGGTCTTAGGGGATTCTCTTAGCGCATTTACCCCACCTACAACATCAGCCCAGACCGTCCACTGGAAGCCAGCAAGTCAGCGGACCAACGAGATTTCACATTAGGGTATGTGTGTAGGTATTGCAGTATGACTCGAGCGAAGAAGACTCGCAGAGAAGTATATATCTATTTCACCTTTATGGTTATAAGCAAAGAGTCTCTGTCAAGTTGAATCTCGCTCTCATCTTGCCGCGGCTGGCGGCGAACTAAAGCTTGGGGAGGGGTACTCTGTGAACCAAGCTTTTACTGTAGCAGAACAGAGAGTATATCATAGGGATCTTAGAATAATATCAGCGAATTTTCGAAGCAAGAGAAAGTCGTAAATTTCATTCCTCATTCCTCATAACGCATATCTTCGATTCCCAAACGCATCGCATCGCATCACATCAGGTATCTCCCACCCATTCCATCCCAACCTAAACCCAACCCGCCCACACTCCGCCAACCATGCCCATCCCACCCCACCCCAGCCGTCCCTACTGCCCTCCCAGAAAGGAATATAAAGCATGTACGAAGAAATCCCATCGCATGTGAAAGCCAGCGCAAAAGAATATCTGCAAGAACAAAAGGCGCAAATGCATTCGATCCCAAACTGAAGAATCATATCACACCATTTCACGCCATCCCATTCTCCGCTCCGTCCTATCTCTCCCTCAGTATGTTTGACAACCCTGCCCTTCGAGCGTTGGCTGGGCTAAGTACGAGTAAGTCGAGATTGGAGAAGTGAGATGTTTATGTCGCGGGATGATATGATATGATATGCTCGAGTTCAGAAAGGAGGAGGAGGTTTAGTTTGGGCACGACTGCATCTGTATGTCAGCTTTTGTACTTTAAAGACCATCGGAAAGAGAGCCAGAGTAGATAGCTTTTGTCAAGAAGTAAAGTCGAGCTCAACAGTATAAGCCATGAGAGGCGCACGGGAGGAGGAGGAGGGAAAGGGGAGGAAAAACATACAGCACCGCAACTTCCGCAGCTCTTCCCACCATCAGACGCAGCACCACACTTGGGACATTCGGAGCCGTGCATGTTGACTGGTTAGGTGTCTTCTTCTTCCCTTCTTCTTATTTCCGTTCGTATCCTTTCGAGTTTGACTTTGATCTTCGATTTGTGTCTTGATATTTTTCTGGAGGAGAAGGAAAGCTGAGGCGGGGCAGCGAAGTAGGGCAGAGGTCTTTAAGTTCAGGTTGTCTTTGTAATGGGAGCTGATAAGAGGAGGGCAGGCGGAAGGTGCCAGCCATGTGGGGTTTTTAACTCTACTTCCTCCCCAACTCACAATGTTATTGGGCAGGGAGATCTACGGCGCATGTTATTATTACTATTCATGTGCTCTACCTACCGAGTAGTTATGCAAGTCATAGGTAAACGAGCAATCCCTTCAATAGCCGTGAGAAACGAGGCCAATGTGAGGGAGGCACGTGGATAGGGTGCATGAATGCGAGGCTTATTGCAGGTGGAGTGGGGGGTTTAGATTAAAGGAAGTTTGGGTGAGTGGAAGACGGAACTGCAGGTGATTGAGTGGATGGGACGGAGAAAGGATGTTCCTCGGATTATCCTTTGCGTTGTACAAGTGTCGGGTGGGTACGAATATGACTGGGTGGTTTGATGACCTCGGGATGGTGAGATGCGATGCGTGATGTGTGACTTCTCAAGGCAGAAGTGGAGAAGCCATGTACTGTTCTATGCCATACACCGAGTACAGCTGCAGCTCCAACGTGCTTGTCAGTCAATTGATCATCTTAGAGACAGTTGCGAATGCCAGTCAGTAAAACATATTTGCGTGGTCGTGCCTAGTCCGAAGACTTCAGCCAAAGATGTGTCAATTTGCAATGCAAGTATCAGTATCAATCTCATGCAAGCCCATCCATGAGCGACAGATTTAAGGAAAAAGAGGAGCGAGTAGGTTATTCCGAAGAATGAACCACAACCACAGCAAATATGAAGAACCAATAGGTAAATCCATGTTGTGTCCATCGAAGACAGCTAGCCAGCCGTCCCCGGATTCAAATCAATGACCTTGCCCTTCCCAGCCCCGTCTGTCATGATTGAATGGATGAAGCAAAACCCCCAAATTTCAACGCGAATAACAGAACGCCTTCCTGCCTTATTTGAAATGAAGCAATCCCTTAACGAAACCAATGAAAGAACTTGTCGTAGTCGTAACAGCAGCCGCACCGGCCGAAGAATCACGAAGACGTCGAGAGTGACCACCAGCGATGGTGCTTACGCTGCCCTTCCTAATCTCGGACATTTGCTGCGAGGTAGACGGGCCTACAAGGGCCTTGGTGATGGAGGATGATGATGTTGTCGCGTTTCGAGGTCGTGAACGAGGGGAACGTGCTTGTCCTCCAGTTGACCGATTCGCAGGCCCGTCTATTTGTTATTCGATTCCGTGCTGCTTTTTGAGCTGCTCTAAATTGTCCTTGCGGGCCTCTATGTCCTCTTTTGATCGGACCATCTTGTCTGGTTGGTGATATAGTACTGTAGATCGAGTTAGAGATGGTCGTGTGCCTGGCTTGGCTGGAGCTGTACGTACCAACGAGATACCGATTCTGGAAGTTGAATCCGTTCAACTTGTCGCACGCCTGCTTTGCATCCATTACGTCTTCATAGACCACAAAGGCAGTGCCTTTGGTGTTGTTTGCGATTCCCTGGCGGATTTGGCTGTGACAGGTTAATTCCTGACTCTTCGAAGATGGGGCGCTGCGGAGACCTACCGAATGGGACCAAACTTGCCAAACAGGTCGAAGAGTTCCTCGACTGCGACGTTGTAGCTAGCGTCCGGTCAGTATACGCTCACTTTTGCCTGCTTCCATTCCCTCTCCATCTGCCATAGCGTTCTCGGGGCGTTTCGACGAACCTTAGATTCTTGACGAACAAAGCTCTGGGGCACAGATGTTAACATGGTCCAGCAGTTCCTGCCTCCCCCGCATTCCATCAGGGCGACACTCACCGATTGACCTCGGGTGCAAGTTTACCGCCTCGACTCATAGCTTGGCTACGGATTTCTGTATGTATTGGATGGTGGATAGAAGAAGGGTCCGGGTCGCGATGTGATCGGAGGGGCAGTAGTAGAGTACGTTGATAATCAGAGAATGGAAGATCTTTGACCTTGCCGTGTTGGGGCAAGTTCGTGGAGGCTAAGCTTAAATAGGGCTGATGCCTTGGCAACGACTCGCGTCTTCCTGTGACACTCCTCGGCAGACGCTTCCTCACTTATTGGCGTCTTTATTACTCTCTTCGTTCCTTCTATATTTGGTTTCATTCATTCACTCAAGTTCGTAACTCACATGCAGTTTATTCTAGTAGTATCTGGATACATATTTGCTGGACTTGGTTGCTCAGATCTATGCAGGACTCCACCCAAATGACGCAAGAACATGAATTAGATACAGTGAAACACAAATGTTCCTGTTGTATTGATGCATTTTCCAATGCGTACTTGGACATTCGAGACCTGAAGATCCAGATTAGTCTCTCAACAATATCACAGCTTTGGAAATATTCAAGTCCGATCTCATTCTACTACTATACTACTGTTCATACTGCATTCATCCGAACTATTCATTATATTGGACTCTATGATTCCAAATCTTCTTTCTCGTCTCCTCTTCAACCATGACTGAACATCAGCTGGTGTATTCACTATTCAACTGTCAGACTTACAAATATCTTGTCCCCCTTGCCAACTCACCACCCAAAATCCCCTTTCTTCTTTCCACAACACTTCACAATGGAAACCTCTATCATCCAACCACCTCTTCCCAAACTCCTCTCCTCATCCGAATCCGAAAAGCTCCGCCTCCGCACCATCGCGTCCCGAAAACGCAAATCCAAATTCAACTCCACCAAATGCCTCCCCGCGAAAAGACCAAACACATCTCCGCCTCCCCGCCGTCCCTGGATAGCATCCACCACCATAACCCACCTCACCACTATTGCCGTTGCCCAACACCTCGCCCCACCATCACTCTCTCTGCCGGAAGAAATTCAATACCAACTTCAAGAAGAATGGGAGCACATCGTCCACGACAGCTTCGAGCGGTTCCGAAAAGAAATGCAGTGTAGTGAATGTGGACATGTGATGGAGTGGTGTGGAGATGAGGGCGTCAAATGGTTCTTGGACGGGTTGAGAGATGAGATGGATGGGTGGTGTGCTTGGGAGGTGGATGAGACGTGTACGGAGAGGTGGGATGCGGGGTTTGAAAAGATGGTGCCGTTGCTGAGCGGGAGGAAGATGGGTGGGTGTTGGGCGTTGGAGCAGGAAAGACAAGGACAGGATGTGGAGGATGAAATGGAGAATGTGGGGGTTGACAGTGTTGCTGGTGTGCATACGGATTTGAGTGTGGAGTATGAGGTCAAAGTGTGCAAGATTGAGGGCTTGGAAGCTTTGAGGTTGCTAGGTGGAGAAGGGTTCACGGTTGATGGGTTTATTCGTCTTGGATCGCCACTTTGGGGATCTGTTGTTGATGAATCTATGGATGGAAGCAATGGAGGAGAGGATATCATAAGTGACGGTGTGGATCAGAACTCTGTCAGCGGAGAGTCTGAAGGCAGTATTAGCCCTACTCAGGTCATTACGGGCGATGTTGATATCACGACTTGTGAAAACGTTCAAGATATTCCAGCATATCCTTCATCTAGGAGCCTCGAAGTCAAGGAGACTACTGCCCACAGGGACGGACGGCCCGGTCAGTTTATCATCGACATGCTTGATGCATTTTCTGAGGACTCAAGTGAGAATGAAAGTATAAGCAACATCAATGAAGCTGAGGATGATTTCGAAGCATTGGTCAAGGCGAACTCGGATGAAGCCTCCCAAATGGATGCCAGCCTTGACTGGAACTCGCTTTTGGAAGGAAGAGAGGAACTCTGGCCAAGCGGTGAAATGGAGATCGACCAGTCCACCGAATCAGTTGCATCCCGTCAAAAGATCTCTGAAAGAGACTGCGCCTCTGGAGGTGGAGATAATAGTGAGAACAGTGGAGACGATATCACCGACAGCAAAGGCCTATGTGCTACAGGGGAACAGATTGACATCGCGAGATGCAATTTCGAAGATCATCAGAGATTCTCTTTGATTGATGCCATGGAAACTGACGAATCTTCGGACAGGGCTTTGGGGAATGGTCAAGATAACGAGGGATACCTCATTTCTGAAGAATCTGGTGATTATCAATCCGAAGATGTAGAAAAAGTCTGCGAAGATGTTGTTCCAGAATCAAGGGCTGGAGGAAGTAAGGTTGATAATGGAAGGGTGCACTATTTCGAGGATTCTGTAGATGTTGAGATTCGTCATGGATATGAATTCCCTGAATCCAGTGATGGAGATGCAGATGATGAAGAGAGCGATGAGCTATTCGATGAATCTGATTCCGAGCTCGACAGCTATACGGACCAAGACACGCGAAACAACAAACCAGGGCAAGTCATTCAAGGAAGCAGTGAAGAAGATGTCGCCTCCCAGAGTTACAAAGGCGGTCTAGAAGGGAGCCCTTGCCAGGTCTCGATATCTGCTGGGTCAGATTCAGAGCTTGAGGCTATCGACAATGATCCTTCAGAGTACGAGTATGATGTCGAACAGGCTGCCCCAGTTGGATATGGAGCGCAGTTCCAAGGAGTTCGGGAGTATCAAGGTGATGAGAGTGAGGAGAGTGAAGAAGAATGAACATGTGGAGATGATGAGGGTGAATGCGCTGATTTTGTGGGGGAATCGTTGATGGTAGGATTATAATGGCGGACTACTATTATGCGTTGAATTTAAAGCCTTGGATTTATAGCATTTATTCTCCGCAAATTTGCACAGCGTTTGGGTAACTTATCATAAATCCGTGCAAGTGGAAACATACTTGACCCCGAGTGTGAAGTTCGTTCGTGACTGAGAGATAAGTTCCTCGAGGAAAAAAACGATTGTAGATCGTACTGTTGAGTATTAATGAGACCATGAGATCTTAAAAACTCAACACCACAGCAGCTCTTCACCTTTGATTTGCTGTTCTACGGATAATGAGTCTTGGCAAGAGTTGTTGACGTTCCTGCCATACAAGTAAGCGACTCTAGCGTTCAGGCACCATTTCACGTTCAGCTTCTCCGCTTCCTTCAACCTTGAAACTCTTCAGCGCAGCTCCTCCAGCCGATCTGTCATCAAGAAAGGTACAATGTTACCCAGATCGCAAAGATTGAAGGGGCGCACGGGACGTCTCGACAACAATGATTACGAAGGCCGGCCCAGCACCTTCAGTACCCCGGTCACGGAGAGTGGATGTTCTCAAGTCATGAAAGATGAAGTAAGATGGGAGTAAGTTCCCCTCTCCGTAACACAGAGATTTTACTGACTGAAATAGAAATGCAGGCACCGAGATCGTCAAATTGATCGTTGGCAGGAAACGGAAAGAGTTCAGCATTCACAAAAACTTTATTTGCCAAGCCTCGGAGGCGATGAAGGCCGCATTTTGTGGAGAATTCGAGGAAGGAAGATCGGGTGTGATAACTTTGGCGGAAGATGATCCTCTGGTAAGTCTCTTTGTATATCCAATCTCTTCAGAAACTGAATCACCTAATTCCTATTCTAGGTTGTCCAAACCTTTATTGCATATTGTTACCCCAACTTCAATGGCGAAACCTTGAGGAAACTTGAGGTGGTGGATCTGATCGGCCTGTACATCTTTGCAGATAAATATCGATGCATAAATCGCCTCAAGAATCTTGTCATGGACTCGATTCAAGATAAGATGTTGGTTGAAGATTTCACCTTCAATGCAGAGGGTTTGGAGCGCATTTTCAACAACACTACCTCTAGCCATGAGGCTCCGATTCGATTATACGCAGCCGCACTTGTTGCATACACCTTACATATATCACCCGATGACTCTTGGGTCAGCTATGTTCACCATGTCCTGCTGGACACACCTGATCTTCAAATCGAATACCTAAGTACCAGCGTCAGGTCTCTCTGAAGTCACGAGGAGAATGTAAGTGCTTAGGGATTCCCGTTAGCGCAAAGTCTGACCCACGAAATCGCGGTGTGGTTGTCAACAAGCCTTTTGGGACATGCTACTTCCATGTTCACAACACAGGAGAGGATTGTCATCGACTCAATCACAATGCATCTTTCTGCCCCAAGCATCGGTCTGCCCGCTCCGAGAGACCTTAAGTTCACGGTACAAGAAGAGCGAAGTCAATCTGAGTACTCCACTTCAGTCTGCAGTGTACAATAGAATAATCTCTACTATCATGCCCAATATCTGAAACTGTCTTCAAGAAAGTGTTTCTCCAATGTGAGTCAATCAAAACTTTGTTTACCTTTGTCGTATACCACACTCTGATTGGCGAATGCGAAGTCACCTGCAGCTTCGCACTCGCTTAAGTTTGGGCGCTTCTTCCGATGCATCCCCGCACCATCTCGCTCGCGCTAAGTTGAACATTAGTCCCCGACAAGATCGAATCCAATACCTCCCAGTCCTAATATCTTATTGAGGATAGCAGTTCGTAGCAGTTGTATTTGGAAGTCGCTTAGCGTCAGGTGCCTGAATGCGAAGCTTTCTAGCCCCGAAGCTTGAATTCGGTGGGACATCGAACCGACCGGAATATAAATACAGGTAAGGTCCTCATGTGTTCGCAATGAGTATTATTTATATTTTTCTTTCTTCACTACAATACACCACAACAGTACAATCTCTATATTGTAAATCTCTGCTCAATTCAGCGAAATCAAGCCCAGTGTGATAAAGTCATCCCTTCCCACTCCCTGTCGGAGCAGACTGGGAACTTGTTCGAGAATCATGGTATCACTTACCACCGTCACGGCTCAAAACACCGCCTTCCTCTCAACGCACCCACTCGTCGCCGTCGTAGTAGGTGGGACCTCCGGTATAAGCGAATACGCCATCCGCTCCCTCATCACCACCCACGCCTCCCTCCTCTCATCTTCCTCATCGTCACCATCCTCCTCACCACCTTCTCTTCGCATCTACATAATCGGGCGCAACGCTACCGCCGCCCAGAAAACTATCACAGACTGCAAAGCGATATGTCCCGGGCCAGAATTCGAGATCATCTTTGTTAAAGCGGAGGATTTGAGTTTGTTGAAAGATGTTGATAGGGTGTGTGAGGAAATTGTGAAGTTGGAGAGGGAGAAGGAGGGGAATGGAAGAGGGAAGGCGAGGGTAGATTGGTTGGTCATGAGTCAGAGTAATTCGGTGCAGAGTTTTAATGGGAGGAAACGTGAGTTTTCTTCTTCTTGTTTCTTACTATTCTACCTTGTGCTACTGGAATAGGAGAGTCCTCACCGATAAGGTTCACGCTCATCGGAAGCGAGGCATTTGTCGAAATGATGACAACGGCTGACAACATTGCAATCTAGTTACAAGCGAGGGCCTTGACGTCCAATTCTCTCTACACTACTACTCACGAATGCGTTTCGTCACCCGTAAGTGCTCTCCACCTTCTACTACAATCTTCTCTTTGGCATTTCTGGATCCCTTGGCTCCAAGAGTCTAGTCCTCGAGTATTGACACCAAGCAGAACTCCTTCCTCTGCTCCTAAACTCCACACACCCCCGCGGCGCTCACATCACATCTATATATGCCGCCGGTATGGAAGCCACTCTCCACGCTAACGACCTCTCTCTCCGCCAACCTACGAACTACACATTCGCCACTGTCCGCTCTCACGTCGCATATATGACGACACTATTCTTCGAATCCCTAGTTCAGAGACATCCAGGTAAATTGGTAGCTACTCATGTCTTCCCGGGACTCGTAATTACGCCGGGGATGTATCTAGCTGGGTATCCGTTTTGGTTTAGAGTCTTGAGAGGGGTGTTTGGAGGACTGGGAGTAATGAGATTGGTTAGTATGGGAAGTGGAGAGGCGGGGAGTAGGATGGTTTGGACGATGGCCGGGGAGGAGTTCGTTTGCAACGGGGACGGAAAAGTGGATGGAAAGGGAGGACAGGGAATAATGGCGGGGACGGACGGGGTAAAAGGTGGAGGTGCGTATGCGGTTGGGAGGCTTGGGGATGTTATTGAAACCGAAAAAGCTTACAAAGAAGTTCGGAAGGGAGATTTGAAGGATAGGGTTTGGAAGTATACATGGAATGCTTTTGAGGTCATCGAGCGGGGCGAGGTGTTTGAGGATTAACATTTTTATTTCAAGTACAAGAAGTTGTCATAATCGTCCCAGACAAGAAATCAAAAACAAGCGAGCTCTATGGGATTTACGGATACTATTTTGCGCTATGGTTGAAGAGATCGTTGTCTTATCGAGTCCAAAAGCTGGCTAAGAGAGAGTGCCAGGCAAGGTAGGTACGGACAATGCGTCCTCCCTGAAATGAAGGAAAGTCCACCTCTCTCCTTCTCTCCCAATACTCAACCAATCTACATTTTTTCATTGTGTTCTCGTCAGAAACGGTATTTACTGCTCGCTGACTATACACCTGTTGGCTGTCGTCCTTCACAATGGTCCCCGGACACAAACAGCGACCTCGGCTTTGAGGCTCAGTGCAAGAAACGGAGAGTATCGCTCTTTCCAATCTCACGATACGTGGAAACCTCCTATGCTGCTCATGTTCGCAGTTGCCGAGGTAAAAAATCTTGCGAATCGACTTTCTCATTTCTAAGCACAGGCTCTCTCCATCACAATCACTCCCAAAAGTAGCTTTACTGTTTCTCTTGCATTCACAATTATTCACTTATATCTAAACACCACTGCGCGTTAAGCAACACTTATTGCAGACCATCCAGCCGGACCCTTGTCCAGCAGAGTCTTTTCCACTTTCAAGTAAAGAGCTACGAGAACCCCAACAAGACTTCCCGATAGACTTCTCAGTCTTGGTATGTCGGATTTCTTGCATCCGAATATTCCATCATACCCTGCTCGCATTGACACCCCGATATGTGACGTCCTCGGGAAGGAATGGAGTAAAGATCCGAATAATGGGGTAGCGGATGACCTGTTCGAAGGCTTTCCACCATACACAGATTACCAAAAAGTTCCAGAGCAGAACTTTGGACCTGCCCAGCAATACGACAACAAGCAAGAGCACAACCAGTCGCTTCCAGAGACGGGTTCATCAACAGGGTGGTTGTCGGATCAAACCCAATCCAATCATATCCCAGAACAAATTCAATCATACGGATCCCTAAATAGACAAAGCTGGGATGAGCAAAGCCATGGGTATCAGCCCGTTACTGAGCCGAATTCTATACAACATGCCCAAGAAGTCCAAGATTCGGGCTACATTGGGCAGTATTCTAATGAGGACAGTTGGAGTGGACAGACATTTGACCAATTCCCAATCGCGCAACATCAGTTGCAGGAAGCACAACAGGGCCAAGCTCCCAGCCATGCAGACCAATCACTGAATGAGCGATATCCTAGTGAACACTGTCCGAACTCGCTTGCCACACAGCAACAAATCCATAGAGTTAGTAGCTCGTACGGACAAATTCCTGTGCAGCATGAACAAGAAGTTCCATACCAAAATCAAGAAATGAGTTTCCATTTCCAACACAGCAGTCTTCAAATACATATCCTCCAGCTGCGTATACTTCAATTCAGCCCTCTCCGCTCCGCCAAGCCTGGCTACCTGAGCTTCAAAGCCAACAGATGCAAGGTCAGAATGACAGTGTTCAGCTAGATCAACAAGCTGTAAGCAGTCAATCCTCGGTGGGTTGGGGCCACGAACTTGGACAGTATCTAAAGCTACAAAATCGAGAAGCTTCCCTTCAAAGAAGCAAGCAATCTCCCGTCACCCAAGATCCAACGCAATCTTTAGACCAGCAAGTTACATCTCAAAGAGTGCCACCTGCGAATAGCCGCGATGATAATGACAAGCACAGCTCGACGACTTCATACAATCCCACTGTAACTTTCGAAGGATCTGGACTTTCAGAAAAGATTCCTTGGTCTCTTGTCATCCATCAACAAGGACATACTGCCGGGATCCGGTATCACTTTCTGCAATGTGCTCAGAATGAACTAAAGATTGAGGGCGAGTACTTCAAGTTCAGTGGTGCTTATGATAATGAGCTTATAGGTACGTAAGCAACTTTTGCACCCCTCTTCATTGGATCAAAGGTAGAACCGAGAGCAGGTGGAGTGGAGGCGGCAGAGCGGCAGCGTCCTTCGCATATACTAACGTTACTCGGCTTGATATAGTTAATAACAATGGCACTTGGGGATTTATAACGGTCGTTACAGGGATGACCAGAGACGAGTTTACTGTTATCCACAAGAAGATACTGAATATCCCGCCCATGAGTCCCCGCTACTCATCGCGTCCCGGACTTGCGGAAGTGAGATTATTACTCGACAGACAATGGTGCATTTTGAATTGCCTACAGCACATCGGCGTAGAAAATGCTTGGCACATATTCTCAGGCTTTGGCCAAAATATCTGGATGATTGAGGCAGGTACTATGGCACACGCGGAAGGCCATTCCACAGGTTGGTCTTCCGGTGTCAAGGATATTTTGAAGGCTCTAAAAGAAATGGTATCGGCTGAGGAATTGGAGAGACTGGGAAAAAGTGTGGACAATTCTTGCGTAGATGATGGAACTCATATGAAGAGGGAGGTCAGCAGACTGTTTTGGCAGTTCACGTCTCAGACGCAGACCCAGTCGAGGCGGATATGGGAGGAAATGGGTTTTCATAGAGGGAAGGCCTACAAGACTTTCGACCAGGCAACATCGTTTGCCAGAGGTAGATACCCGAAGCGGGCGAGAAGATAGGTTTGTAGCGGTTGATATGGGAAACTCTGCTTGCAGCAGAATAGAGCTTATATCTTCAACGACGAGAGGCCGAGCACAGTGGAAAGGGCAATGCGACTCTTATCTATAAACGAAGGCCGCGAGGTCTCAACATACACAAATCCTTACTTGCACGTCCCCCAGAATTCCCAGTCTCTCACCTTCTGTCATCCTCCTCCCCTCCCCGACCATTACTCCATCTATTTCAACCCCCCAGCAATCAACAAACTCTGACCGGTCATGAATCCCGTCTCGGCAAGCATAAGCACCACATTCGCCACCTCGCTCGGCTCGCCCAACCGTCCCATCGGAATCGTTCCCACGCCCCCCGGGATCACATCCGGATTACTGATCATCCCCGTATCGCCTATCAGCGCGGGAGCGACGTCGTTGACGCTGATGTTGTGTTTGCAGAGGTGTGATGACAGGTTGCGCATCATGGATGTGAGGCCGCCTTTGGAGGATGCGTAGTCTGTTTTGGGGAGGGTTAGGTAGGCATTTAATGAAGGAAGTGGGGGAGGGGTTGGAGAGAGATAGACGTACGACATCCGTTTATGCCTCCGCCCATAGCGGCGATTGAGGACATGAATATTATCCGTCCCCAGCGCTGGGCTTTCATTCCTTCGACTACGCCTTTGACGAGCACGAACGAGGCGCGGAGGTTGACGTTGATGGTGTATTCGAATTCGGAAAGGGGGATGTCCCTGTAGGGGGTAGGGTGTTAGCAGGGATTTGGAGGGGAAATGGAGGGTAGGGGGATGAGAACGGAGAGAAGTACCAAACATCGACAATTCGCTTTCCGTAGCCGGCGTTGCTGACTAGGATGTCGACTACTTTTCCTTCGTGTTGTTGTTTGATTTCTTCGAACATTCGGCTATCATAGAGTGATTGGTGTTAGCATGTACTTGATTTCAAAAATATCCAACGAAACTTGGAAGGAAGTAGTGGAAAGAAGGATAAGTCAGATGACATGGCTGGACTGAATTGATTATCATCTGGCTCCCACCATATGACATCTCAGAATGAAAAATATCATACAACAAAATATGAATGAGATGAGAAGAAATGAAAGCTTAAACCAACAGCAAACCAGGTCAGAACTCTGACTCACCTCATGTCCTCAACTACACCTACATCGACCTGATGTATACTGATCCTCAACTTTTCTACTCCCTCTCCCCTACTAGCATGGATAGACTTCACGATCTCCTCCATACCACTTCGGTTCTTGGAGTAAGTGAGGGCGAGATGGACTCCTCGCTTTGCGAGAGAGTGTGCGCATGCTGCGCCGATACTAGGAAATTGGTTAGTAAGTGTGTATGAGATGAGTGAGGACGAGAGATGAGACTGGAGATGTACCCGCTTGATGCACCGGTTATGAGAGCCAGACGGCCATTGAGGTTGTTGTCTGCCATGATTGAGATGATGGAATGCGCTGTGGATTATTATGAATAGGGGCTGAGAATTGAATAGGTAATGAAAATTCTTGAGATGTTTAACCAGAGCTGCGTCTGTTTTGTTGTGAAAGTTCTGTATGGGAGGAGCTCCGGTGCGGGGTCGGAGTGACCCCGCTGTTAGTGTCATCAGGAATTTTTGGGCTGTAAAAACCATCTCATTGTATTTTATTGGTATAGTAAACTACAGAGCACAGCGTCACAAATTCTTGAATATCGAATTTCGATCATGTATAGAATGAAAGTGAGCTTCGGTACCTTACTCCGGCCTGCCAGGACAAGGAGTTTCCTTCATCTTTGACCCCCCACTCTTTGCCCTAGGAGTTGAGTTTAGCGAAGCGAGGTCGAAAGACCACTAGTCTCCATTCGTATTAGCCCAAGCATCAATTTATGCTTAACGGCCAAGACCAACCCACCCATCCCTTTCATCCCCGAACTGAAACACACAGCATCGAAAAGACTGATGTCCATACCCACACCTTCTTCCCTATGTTTTCTGGCAAGAATTCACGGATTCACGTTGGAACATGGAGGCTTGACTTGCTCCGAAGCTTATTCTTTTATTCGTCATCTCAATGTCACTCTGTTTTCCTCCATCGGCAATGTAACTCCCCGTATTCATCTGCAAATCGGGGCTATCCACTCCCAGGAAGATGGAATCAGTTGGTTTATCACACCCCACGTGATGGAGAGGACCATCTGCAGAACACTGGATAGAGGCAGTAAGGTGTTATGCTTGCAGTTGTGGAATTTAAAGTTACCAGAAGCTCAAGGAGTGCTTGTTTACTTTGTTCTGCTCTTGTGCTTTGCGTGTCAAGTTCCAGGGGCTAGCAAGATTCGATTATCTTTGGCTGTACCCCCCTATTCGGCGGGCGAACCGATTTCTCTGTTCCCAAGAACGGCACAAGTCTGGAAGCTGGAATTCGGGAATCTTTTCCCAAGGACCACATCCGTTTCACATCGTTTTTTGGTAACCCAATTACCAGCATGCTTATAGTACACTGTGATTTGATGGCTTGTTCGGAAGAACACCCTTTGCTTCTCTGCCGAGTGAAGAGCTGTATTTCTCCACAAATACTGCTCCATCAAGAATCTCGCCGAGCCGAACTACTTTCGCAAGTCAGTTGAACGGGTCCGCTCTCTAGCCACACTCATCTCATAAACTGGGCTGACAGGGGGCTTGAATCGACACGTGGAAAGCATTGTACTAATTTGCAGCCCAGATGCTGACTCCACAGTTGGACTTGGCAACCCCCGTTAATCTATCATTGGCATTTGATGCCGGGCCCTGTCGTCCAAAGCTTCATGGCACCAGGCAAGTGGCTGAAGCACTTCTTATAAGTATGCTGCTGGTCGCCATGGCTTTTGAGATCTTCACCCTCACCTTCACATTCATTTTTGCTTGTCTCTTTTATCCTAACCTTCAGTCACTCGTTTCGACCATGAAGTCCACTACTTTCATTCTCGCGTCTTTGGCAGCATTCGCTGGCCGTTGTGCTGCCGCTGGCGTTACTGGCTCCGCGCCTGGTTTTGCCAAAGGTACCACTGGCGGTGGATCTGCTGCTGGTGCCTATCCAAAGGACATCAACCAGTTGAAGACTTGGCTTACAGATTCAACTCCTCGTGTCATTCTCCTCAACAAGGAGTAAGTGTTCTCCATCTCTTTTACTAAATCCCAATCTGACTAGCTGCTCAGGTATAACTTCATCGGTTCAGAAGGAAAGGTAACCGAGAAAGGCTGCCGACCTTCTTCCAACAAATGTGTTGGAAAGGGAGGACAAGATGCCATTAACGGCGCCAACTGGTGCGCAGGCCAGCCCTCAGTCACTGTCACATACGACAAAGCTGGTACAAATGCCATCAACCTTGGGTCCAACAAGTCCATCGTAGGTGTTGGAGCCAACGCAGTCATTCGTGGAAAGGGTCTCCGAATCGCCAACGGAGCTAAGAACATCATCATCCAAAACATCCACATCACCGAGCTCAACCCTCAATACATCTGGGGAGGTGATGCCATTACCCTCGCCGGCACTGATCTCGTCTGGATCGACCATGTCAAGACCTCTCTCATCGGCCGTCAACATCTCGTCACCGGCGGCGCCGCCTCCAACCGTCTCACAGTCACCAACAACGAATTCGACGGCTCTACCTCCTGGTCTGCAACCTGCGACAACCATCACTACTGGGCTATCTACTTCACCGGGGCCAACGACCAGGTTACCTTCGCCAACAACTACATCCACCACACATCCGGCCGCTCGCCAAAGATGACCAAGGGCACGCTGATGCACGCCGTCAACAACTACTGGTACGCCAACTCCGGCCATGCCTTCGACATCGGTGCTGGTGTCAGCATCGTCGCTGAGGGAAACTCCTTCTACAACGTCAAGACCCCAATTCTCGCCAACGCCGGAAAGCTGTTCGCTCCCTCCGCATCCAACTCTGTTTGCAAGGCTAACCTTGGACACAACTGCGAGAGAAACAGCTTGGGAGGCAGCGGTAACTTCGTCGGCACTGATACTATCATGTTGAGCGCGTTCAAGGGCAAGTCGGTTATTGCTGCTACTGCCCCAAGAACCAATCAGGCTCTTACTGCTGGTGTTGGAAAGATCTAAATTCCTTAGAAGTTGTTACGTCTGGTGGAGTCTGGGGATGTGAGAGCAGATGATAGAGAGAAGGGAGAGAGAGGCCAGAGGGCAGTGGATGTTGGTACCCCGCTATGGTGCCAGGCATAACTTGTAGACTACTTTAGCAAAAATTTTGATTGTACATATATAAATTCTTGAAGCTTCAGCTTCACAAACAAACCCGAGCTTCGTATATGCTCCCTTCAGATTCGCCGAAAATACAGCAGCCCACATTTTTATACCTATTGTTATCGTGGCTTAATTGGTATAAACGGAAGTGCACTAACAAGGATTAACTTTAGATTAGTTATCAACTACCTCTATCAGGTGGTGTAAAGTAGTTTAATAATACCAGTCCTCTTATAATACATAAATTTTAGTGTCACCTTATATTGAGTAGCAATTCCTTGTTAAGTTGTAATAGGCAATCGATCAGACCTCACAAGTCCCTCCAAATTCTTCTACTCGCATCAAAATCGTAGTTCAGACCTCCGACGTACTTTACAACTTTCCTCAACACCAACGCAGAACCACAACCTTTACCGTCATCACGCACCACTCAGAACTCAGTACCCTGGTTTTCGAACCCGTCAGACCGAGGATATACCTTCGACGGACCTACAGAAGTCCTCTTACAACATACAAGATTTGGTGTCACCTCATGTTTGGTAGCAATTCCTTTCTGTCTTTCTTTCCCACACTCTACAGGAGTAGAGTCGTTTCTACTTTAGGGCGGGGGTAGATGTGAAAGCAAGTGCACTAATAAGGATTAGCCTTAGCCTAGTTATCCACTACCTCTAGTAGGTGGTACGAAGTAGTTCAATAATACCAGTCCTCTTACAATATACAAGATTTAGTGTCACCTTATAATTAGTAACCCTACACGTCCTCGGCCACCTCGACTGCAGATAGAATCTGAGCGAACTTCAGATAATGTTTTCATATGAACTCCCAATCGTAAATCTACTCGTGAACGTCTTAATATCTGCAGCCCCGCATGAAATTTCGTCTAGGTGTCCGTGATCGAAGAAATGTCGCATATCAGCTCTCAAGCACGACTTTCGCACAGAATAATACGTGGCTCAACATGATCGTAGAGTGAGTTCTAACTCAGTACCATCAAGTATAGAAAGTAGAAGGTGAGCGGATCAATGAGTATACTTACATGACAATGAGTAGGTATGTCAGTGAAGGATGACAGTGAAGCGATTCGAAAGTAAAGAAACGTTCAGCACTTTCAAATGAATCAACGAACTTGAAGTGATCGGTGAGGACGAGGCTTTCATGTGAGCAAATATCGGGGCTGCTTGTTCTTGCTTGTATATCGCTTCTCGAATACCTTTATTCAGTGTGTCTAATCTCAGATGTTATCTAGTTGATTTTTTAGCAGATACGCGGTGAAATCGCGGATAGTGAAGATAAATGAATGGTGAAGCACAGTGACGCTAAGTGACCACTGACTTACCGAGCTTAGGAATCAAAAAGCGCTGGATATTCTAGGGTATGTAAAAATATGAGCTCGTGTTATAAAGCATTCAATGAATTGTAGATTGTGAAGTTGTTTGCAGAAGGAGCCTTGAGCGATGGTGCACTTAGAAACAAACATTCCCAGCTAAGCGAAAGGGGTCTTATCATTCACTGCCTAATGTTGGCGGGGAACCTTTAGTATATATAATTGCTACCATTGTGAACTAGATGCTAAAGATCTTTGGGGCGAACAAACCGGCTTTCCATGGATCAAAGGGTGCTGGAACTACTGGATGGTGAGAACAATCGTTCAGAGGAATTTTTTAAGCAGACCCTACTTAGAGGTTTTGGAGAGGAATCTCGGGAGAAATTAAGCACTAAGTCTTCAAAAGGCAGGAATATTCATCTAAAATTCAAGTCTTGACGACGAATTAAAGTATGACAACAAAATTCTGTACCACTGCTCTTCCCCCTCGCCTACCCAACACCACCACCATTCCCGAACATCCCCGCACCCGCCAAACTAATCTCAGGACACCACCTCCTAATCTCCGGCAGCCTCTTAGGAATCATAACATGCACCTTATGAAAACCTAACGGCTCCGGCCACGTATCCAAATGCTCATCCCCCTGACACGCAAACTGCAGCGCCTCCTGCCTATTCGGCAACTTCACTCCTCTCCTCTCCATCTCCCTCGAAAACCAGGAGTCTTCGCCGTGAGCGTAAGATTTGGCTAAGGTTTCGGCTTCCCATGTTGCATTTAAGGGGAGGGAGGAGAGAATGGAGAGGATGAGGGGGCGGTTCCGGAGACTGAGTCCGCCGTTGAACTTTTTGGGTTGGGTATCTCGTGAGAGAGGGGCGCCGATGAATGTTGAAGGGAGGAAGGAGTCTATTGTTCGGTGGGCGTTGGCGCAGATCATTGAGTCGGCCTTTGAGGTGAGGTTAGGTTAGTGATTGTTTATGTGAAGTGCTTTCATTTTTTTACATCTTCCGAGAAGATGAAAGAAAAAGTGTTGATATTTCATCTAGTAGAAGATTACATCTTTCAAGAAGACTCAGAAGACGAAAATATGAGCACAACATACCTGAAAAAGCAGCACATGTTCAGCAGGAGCCAGCTGCTCCCAGAACCACTGTCTCACAATGAGCAATCATTTTCACTCCACCACCTATTTTCCACATACCGGTCTCGTAAAATACAAATTGACCCCTAACCTGGTCGTAACATCGACCTCATCCGGAAGCGTCCTAACTTCAACAGTCCCATCTTCCACAGCACGCTGCCATATCGCCGATCCGGTCTTATTACCAGATTCAGGATTCCAGGTGAAGTGCTGGGCGCGAGTTTCGGCGGACGTGAAGAAGATGATGGGCCATTCTGGTCCGAGAACTGAGTGGAAGTGGAGGATCAATGGGATGACACGTGGCGTATAGTGTGTGTCGGTAATGACGGCTACTTTGGACTGGATTTTGCCGTATGTGTCTTTGTTGGTGGCCTGGACTGGGGATGTAGATGAAAGCGGTGCGTGGGAGATCTGAGATGTGTTAGTTTTGATTGAACATATGAGATAGAGAATATGTATGAGGTATGACAGAGGGGCCTGGAGCTTACGACTGTATTACGCGAACCTCTAAGATACAAGGAATAAAAGATAAACAAAGCCACTAGAACAGATAATTTAATAGTCAAAATACGTTTGAAACTCCCAGCGAAGTTCATCGCTCACAAATATCGCGAATGGCGGCTGCTTTACATAGTCATCAGTTTCAAGGGTTCAAGTGAAGTCATCGTTGCTGTTGGGAAATGCTTGTTTAGATAGTGTCCTGCTAAATTGGCTCGGGGCTTGAATCAGTGCGGAAGGGAAAAAGGTCATTCGCTAACAGAACTAATGGGAAGCCGAAGCGAGCGGCCACCCCAAGACCTTGGTGTAGTGACTACCTATGGATATGTAACTCACCCTCATGCTATATTTTGTCTATTGACTCCATTGATATTTCCGTTTTAGCTTAGGGCGAGAAAATGGAGACATACGCGAAGTGGTCGCATATCGCTCCTCGGATTTACTGCATGAGCCCATGCTAATCATCGCCTTCAAGGCCATCATGTAGCTGAAATAGGGGCTGCAAAGAGCAAAAGTTAAAAAGTGTTCCAACTTATAGCTATCATTTGATACTATCCGAGATACACTCTTTCATGCCGATGCATAATCTTTGAATGCGTGCTGCTGCTTGCAGGCCCAGCAATATGACACGGTACTCCTTGGGTCATGGCAGCTTGAACATTACCTCACCGTATCTTCAGACTTTCAAAAGAGGTCTGAAACATGCTTCGACTCATAGTTGCGCGAGCTGCCTGTGTTTAAGATATTTATTGCTGAGGTTTGTTGTGCTCGCTTAAAACTTTGTTGAAATTAACCCCGCGAAAAATCAACAAACACCAAAACATCAAAAATTCACCCCAACCACTACCATTTAAAAATCGAAGAATCCCAAACAAGCAAAATGTATACATTACTCCTCGGGGACGGACCTCTGGTCATACCGATAGACCACCATTGTCGAGGCGCAAACCAAAATACCCCTATTACTTTGTCACCCTTGTCTCATAAGTGTGTAAGCCTCAGCAATCCCAGATGGGCTGGGCCTCTGTAAGTGCATGTGCACATCCTACAGATACTAGAGTATAAGCTATGTGATGCTGAGAAACGCGTTATTTGGATTTATCAAGAAGGTTGGGCTTTGCATGCGGGTGTTGTGGGAACGTTGGGTTTATCCGATGGCTGGCGATGCGCCGGCGAGGTGAGCAGCAGCGTGGTCTGGTGGGTGATGAGTTGGTTCCTGAGTTGCGTACATGTTCCGCCTAGGTCCTGGCCTAAACTCAATTGTCCTGAGGATCTGATGCTGCAGGTGTCCAAATCGTGCAACTGGAGCTTGGGTTGTAGAATTTTATATTTTGTCAATATTTTTGGGTTGGGGGGACTCGCTCGATGCTATCATTAGTGACAGTGTCTGGCTGAGGGTCAGTCCAGAACATGTTTCACGGGAATAAAGAACATTTCAATATCTCCATGATCCTCATGTTCATTCCGAGGTGGGTGCAAAATTTACTGCGCGCAGTCTCTAGATCAACATGCCTGCCCACAGCAACACATGCGCTTCTGTAACATAGTCGAAGAGATCATCCGTTGCGCACTATTCATTGTCAGCTGAAACCTTCTCACCCTTGCAGACAGCTTACCTTCGACAAGATAACCGCCTGACCAATTCTCATGTGTTCTCCGATCCACGCAATACACTCCCTCATATACACCTGGATGCTTGGATCGATGATAGGCAGAACTGACAGCACATATAATGTATGTGTGAGCATGAGGCCACCAACAGACTTGCCTGGGATTAGTGGGGCTCTCGTCGCAGCATTCTGTACGAACGACTGTACGTCGCTGGAGAGGACAAATGGAATGGATAGAAGAAGGCCTGTGATGAGGTCATCGATGTCGGCATAGATCGCAGGGTCGATGTCTTCATGCTCAGGGAACGTGCAGATTCGGTTGTAGCAGTCCATGATTATATTGATAACAAGAAGGCGGGCTTTGCGGTAGCTGTTCCAGATGGTGGCAATGTACGCTAGAATGGATGAGTAGGCGAGATAATTGTTAGGAGGGTAACTTTACGGTCGTGATATTTTGTGATCGTTCCAGGCCAGTATCCGACTTGTGTTCTTGAGGAACGAACGTCAGCATTTCTCGAAACTGATACTAAAATTCTTGATAAGGAACGTCCATGAGTGCAAGAAAGGACAGGTTTCTGTCAGGTATTACGATCCCGTCTCAGTTGGAGGAGTATGAGTTGTTTCAGGCGGCACCCCAACCATGGAGGAAAGAGCCAATTCAACTTCACTCACTTTGCTCCATCTTCTGCCGCGATGGTTCCGACGAGTCTCGGCTTCCATTGCTCTGGAAGCTTCTCTATCCATATATTATACTCATCCCTGAGGCTCTCGGCGTCTCGCATGACAGCATAGAGCTCATCAAGTGTTGCATCCCGAGCCAGCAGTGCTTCCGCTCTCCTGAACAGGGGTTCTGTTTTCGCAAATATTTCATCAATGGTGACGACCTCATGCCTTGATAAGGGAGTGCACAGTATGCTAAACTTCGATGTGACTGTTTTAGGATTGGGAGGAGTGTGTTGCCAGTTTGGAAGCTTGGAAGGAAACCAGTCATCAACTTGGTCGTTGTTCAGGGCCCGGAAGAGTTTTCCTCCGCAAACGAGATCAAAGGGGGAAGATTTGCTGGTCAGGATTGCCGCGACTCCCTGGGCGTGCGCAATGTGTGCACCGTTGTAAAAATCGGTGTTGATGATAATCTATGCCTCTTAAGTCAAGCACCCACTTGTGTGAGTCAAAGAAGATTTACCTCGTACAATCCCAGCAATGTAGCTGTGATAAGCGACTCGACGCTAATGAATGTGTCTCCAGTTGAGATACTCAAGCTGAAAGACCGCAGCAGAGACGTGTGCATCCGTTGGGCCCTATCGAAGATACCCTGGTCTGAGATCTTCTTCCCCAGAACTGCCAAGGCAATAGTCGTGCATGCTTTCGTAACATCGGACTTCGGACCAGCCTTAGATATCATGTCTGGAAGCCCATTCAGATAACCGCGAGATACGGATTGATCTGGTGAGTGAACACGGTAGTCATCGAAGAATTGTTGCCGAGCAAATTCTTCGATTCGTGACCAGTCCTCAAAAGACTCAGGACTCTTCGACGAAAATGTGGTGACATTCGTTGATGAGAGATGTTTTGGTTCAGTGACATCTGCAGCATAATTTACGAATTTCAAGTCCTTGCTAGTGTTGTAACCTGGACAGCTTCGGCGTGCTCTGCTACATCTAAGGCACGACTTTCATAGAGCAAGTCAGCAAAAATGGGGAGCTGGACAGAGCAAAGTTCTGTCGAGATCTTCGCACCAGAAGACCGTAATCTTACCGGACGAGTCTCATCGCACTGTCTCCGAATTAACGGCGTTCGGCCACGGACTTAATGTCAATATCAGTGTATACCTTCTTGTGCCTCTGTTTGCATGCCTGGCAAGCTCCTGAAGCTCCATTGTTCACCATATCGGCGGCACTGACCACCGGCGCTAGACCTGGCCAGAGTGAGAAGCGTCCGACACGGACAAATAGATTTTGTTATTCGTTCCCGATTTAGCTAGATCTTGAGCTCGAATATCATGCGGCGACTATGCATCATGGGAAGCAAGATCCTTCTCGGGATACAGGAGCCTACCAGAGTATCGAGGTTGAAGGGTAACGTGGATGGATGTAAAGAGACGATCCCCAAAGAAGTTAGGGTTTGAGCTGTGAAGGCTGGGCATCTAGTATGCCGTTGCGCTGTACCGGATGCAGCTAGACTTCGCGCATTCCAGTGGAGGGGAGCTAAGCGAACCCCTTTCTCACCTATCAGCTTGCAAGACCTCACGATGTCTGACGCTTCGAGATTCCGGGGAAGAAGACGAACAAAATATGCATCTAAACACGTATGATTCAAGCCAAGAAGGACCCTATATTGAAATAACTCTCGTGAAAGTCCGTTGCGGTGCACGGCGTCAATATTCTACCGACGATGGATATATAAAGGAGCGAAATCCTCCTGAGATTCTACATCTTACAACAGCATCTCACAACAGCATTCTACAGCAACACTGATCCTCTCTCAATTTCAAGAAATTCACCAACACCATACTCTTCAAATTCCAAACATGCCGGCCACAACATACCCCGATTTTGGCAGCAAGACAGAAGCCCTTGAAGTCGCCAAGGCATTCGCAGACTCTGTTCGAGGAAAGAACATCCTCGTTACCGGAGTGAATTGTGGTGGCATTGGCTATACCACCGCGCAAGCTTTTGTATGTTATTCTATTCATCTTTCCGGCATTTGAATTGTCACGAAGCTAACCTCTCAACCGAAAAGGCGTCTCAATCTCCCGCCAACCTCATCATTGCTGGTCGAAGCGAAGCCAAACTCAAAGCAAGCATCGATGCACTCCGAGCCGAGTATCCAAATGTCTCCTATCGACCATTGATACTTGATCTCTCAATTCAAAAAGCCGTCCGAAAAGCAGCCGCCGAACTTCTTTCCTGGTCCGACGTTTCTACTCTTGACATCATTGTCAACAGTGCGGGTATCATGTGCATCCCAGAACGAACTCTCACGGAAGACGGCATCGAGATCCAATTCGCTACCAATCACATTGGACACTTTCTCTTCACTTCTTTGATCATGCCTAAGCTCATCAAGGCTTCGCAAGCGGGCGCCACCAAGGGAGCTACGAGAGTGGTCAATGTCTCCAGCCTTTCGCCAACTTGGACCCAGATGAGATGGAGTGACACGAACTTCGAGAAGAAGAACAAGGATATCCCAGAGAATGAGAGACCAGTTTACCAGGTGCAGCAAATGCAAGTTCAAATCTACTCCTAGGACACCAGCCGGGTACATTTTCTTCACGTGATTTCCATCGGGCTTCAACGAAAACAAAGGCAAAGGCTAACTCAAGATTATCAAATAGGTGGGGACAAACCGGAGACCTAGACGAGAAATCCTATCTCCCCTTGGAAGGATACAACCAGAGCAAAACCGCCAACCTCCTCTTCTCCATCGCGCTCACCGACAAGATGTACGAGAAATTCGGCATCCTCGGCGTTGCCGTCCACCCCGGCGTGATCGCCAGCGAGCTTGGAAGAAACCTTGACGGTGTGACGATGGATGCCGTTAAAGGCTTCTATGAAAGTGGCATGGTCGACATCAAGACTCCTGGAGCCGGAGCAGCTACCAGTGTGGTCGCTGCTTTGGACCCGAAGCTTGGAGCGGGAGAGATCCGCAATGGGAAGGAGAACTATGGAGCTTTTCTGCTTGATTGCCAGATCAGTGATGCTCCTGTACCTGGTGCTCTCTCGAGTTCTGAGGCGAAAAGGTTGTGGAAGTTGTCTGAGAAGTTGGTGAAAGAGGAGTTTGCGTGGTGAGCCCGGGCAGGAGCAATTTTCTTGAAACAAAATAAATGTGTTTAGATTAAGTAGTTACTATCGTAATATCTCCCTTATCATCAGAAACGAAATTTTTCTCTCCCCTTCAAATTAGCTGTACAAAGTTCGTTACTCGTCGCAAAATCCAAATGAATGTGTGGTAATAAGTCTTCCGCATGCCTGTCATCGCGACCTAGAATTTGACGATAGTCATGTTCCCGGTTTCGGCATCAATCATGAATTCCCTAGTCAACATCATGGGAGAGATGGGAGAGGTCGGCATTGGAGGAGCCTCGTCGCTCAAATAACTTGCGCGCGGGTTTTTCTCAATGTCCCTCACAAGGTCGTCTTCGGAGTCATTGATGGTTTTATTGTTGTTGTGTCCAGTGTTGAGGTAGTTATCGTGGCGAAGGGTTGCCGCTACACTTGCTCGCACACGCGTACGTTTGGAGGAGCCGAGTTCGTAGTGAGGACCGGAAGCCGTACCGGCACGGGATGCTTGACCGATGAGGACGGTACGGAGTGCTTTTGAGAAATGCTGTTAGTTTCGTTTCATCTTCTGAGACAATGTTGGGAAGGAGGGAGGGCAAACCTGGTAGGCAAGTGGCAATAATGGCAACAGAGGTCTCCACCATCGACACAGTACAAGTCAACATTGTCTCGTTCTTGCTAGAGTAGTATGCGCGGATGACTGACGGCATGGTCAGTAACAGAATTATCTGAGGGGCGAGGAGGGAGCATACTGCTAGCAATAACGACGAAGATACCGAGCGCAAACATAGCTCCCACGCCAAGCTTTTGCTTCAGTGGCATTTGCAGCTTCACGATCATCGACATTGGGAGCGCGATGACTAGATATCGATCAGTTCAATGCTTTCTGTTTCTCAATGAAGCCAACTTACTGACGACATCAAGGAAAATGTTTACTAAGAATGCATTAGCTGGTGGACTTTCAGATGGGGGGAGGTAAACGAACTGAGGATAGTTATCCAGTAGTTGATTGCGGACGCCTTCTGAGAGCACTGGTATATTCTATATTAGCAAATGTGCAGCAAACACGAAAGTTCAAGATTATGCTTACTGTTTGGGTCCGTTGTCCATTTCCTCTCTATTGGATAACATTGAAAAATGATGTCAAAGAAAATCACAGCCCATGTGACTCCCAGGACAACAAGAATCACATTGTAAACTGCTTGCAACCTCGTCCGTGCTGCGATTTTCTTGTAGAAAATGACCTTGAAGTTGACATTTCAGCTCATGACGGAAAGTTAGGAAGAGGGATCAAAATTTACCAGTGCAACTTTGATAGCCCACAGTGATGTGACGTAAGCTATTGAGCCAGGGATAATCATCTAGGCTCGCTGTCAGTTGTTATGGCAAGAAGATCTGGCTTCATAACATACCTGCATGATACCGACAAACTCATCTCGACTTGCCTTCTGCAGAGCTGCCATTCCTGTATAAAGGTAAGTCATTGAACATAGGTCTTCTCCGAGTACACATCCTTACCTAGATTCCACATGTGCTGCGGTATGATGAGATCTGTCAAGAGACATCCTCCTGCCAGCACCATGAACCAATCATCGAGTGAGAAAGCTTTGAACCTCAACCACTTCACCACCAGTCTCGCGACGAGAAAGGCGATTGCGAAGAATGTACAAATGTACCAAGACACCTGGGGTATATCAGCATAGGGACTTTCTCCACTTCAGTCGCCAGTATAACTCACCACTTGTCCCAAACCTTGTGGTGCCATCATCAATATCAGGTACTTTGAGTACGAAGCTTATTTGAATCGGTCCGGCTGGAAATGAAGTAGAAGGGTGGAGTGCTTCGGAGTTTGACTTGATGGGGAAGCTGTGGGCTATATACGAAGTCGCCGAATTGTTCTCATACGAATTCGAAAAGAGATCCCCATTAGAATGTCATATCTCGAAGATCTTCGACTCTCCGAACCAGAAGAGGAAACACCGTATAGAGTAGCAGTAAGAATCCTAAGATACATTGAACCTTCCTGCGTCGTGCGCTCATGTTGAAACAGTGCTAACAGGGATTTGAAGAAACAACCAGATTTCTGGATTTTCGAAATGCAGTTGTCGAAAGGGATCTGAGAGTAGCCTCTACTGAGGCATCTTGACTTCAGATTTCGCCAATGCGCAAAGACATCGAATACACCTACAGGGAGGCTGGTAAGATAGTTTCCTAAAAGAAGCTGAGCAGGCAAACATCGTCATATGTCAGAACTGGAAACAGGCGAAAGCCAATAGTCAGAATTTGATCCTTGAGGAACACAAGCAGTTTCTAGAAAGGCTGTGGCGGGAAGCGTAGGAATCGGAGGCTCTCGAAAGAAAGTGGAGACAAGAACGGGAGTCTGTGAACAACTTCCAACCTTAACCTATTGGCTCCACAGTTGCCAGTGAACAGCGCAGCGGATGTCTCAAGCTTCCGCGTGGCGTCCCGCAAGTATCGAGACGACCGTTGCGGAAGAAGTCGTCACGACTGTGTGCGCGAGTCGTGAAGTTCCTTGAGAGGCTGACGGAAGTACGGCAGGTTTCCCTTTATCTTCTCAACTAGGTTATGTAGCAGTTCCAAGCAGTCAAAGCGAGGCTGGAATATGATGAGTGCTCAACTGGCAGCTTAATTCAGTCTAGCCTGTTGATTGTGTTTCTGGAGATGAGGACCCAATTAAAGTTTCATTCGATAAGGAAGGATGAGAGTCAAAACCTCATTTACTGGATGTAGTCACGTGCTGATAGCTCGCTTGTCATTTTTCCCTACCTTATGTCAGCAACAACTTCGTGGTTCAACAACGACGAGGAATTAATAACGGGACTTGATAAAGGATACAGCCCAGTATGCGACTACCATCTACGGGATTGCCGTTAGTCACGTCCCAATGTCAATACTTGTGAGGGCGTGAGGAGATGGGTCTGTCACCTTCGATGCTTACTGACGCATGCTACGTTCCGTACCCTGGCCACAAAGCAACCATGATCCAAGCATCGGCGTACTCCGGTTGGCATTGGTCAACCAGACGTCCATCGGACGAATTGTTATGGCAACAGCTCACTAGTCACCTCAAGCGTTGATACTGATCATGACGGACGAATATTTCACGTGGTAGGACAGTGTTGTTCCGGAAATATGGAGCCTGCCGTGACCTCACAACGGTCTGTGGTGAGCTCAACGAAGAGCCGCCTTTACCTACTGTGGATACCTATCGTTGCATTTTTCTATTTCTCGCCATCTTGGAAATCGACAATGGTTGATGTACTCTGCCAAGCCAGTGCCATTCAAGAACGCAGTACAGAGCATTCTGCCTGCGCCGTTATAACCTGAACAAAGCTCAAGAGCCTGTCGATTCGGATTTCGACCGTAAGGAAACTATTGATTTCAATGCGGGGTGCATTGTCTTATGAATCTCATCGAGATCTGTGCTGTCATCTTTTTTCCGAGACACGATCCAATCCCTGTCACCATGTGTTGTTTCTTTCCGTATGCAGCGACGGACAAGGATTACGATTCCAATATCGACTCCACCGCCACGAACTCTGGATCTTCTAGAAGCTGACGGTTCAACTGTCCTTCAAGGATTCCTGGTGGGTCAACACCCTTACTTTAGTATATATAGTGGCTGGAGCAGCAACAATGGTTCTTGTTTCTCACGCACAACATTCATTCCAATCAGTCGATCCTTCTTTGTACATTTTCATCATCATGTTCTCCCACGTTCTTTTTGGGCAGAGTGTCTGCATAGCTCTGGCGTTTACTCGTCAGGTAGCCGGAGCCCCCCTACTCAGTTACGAGATTTCCAACAGCACTGCTCCTGCAGCCTCCACGGCACAGGGAAGGGTTCATGGATTCACAGATGCCAATGGCAATTCGGTCTTTCTTGGTATTCCATATGCTGCAACAACGGCTGGGGAAAACAGGTGAGGAACTACCCCATTCTCAAATATGATCATCTTCTAAATTTTTCTAGGTGGCGAGAACCCCAAGATCCGCTCTCATATGGCCTCTTTAATGCCACATCTTATGGACAGACATGCGCGCAGGCAATCTCCAACACACCATTTAGTCAACAAGGCGAAGATTGCTTGAACCTCAACATCTGGGCGCCTGCAAAGGGAGCTAATCTGCCAGTGAGTAAAATCATTTTCACTTGTTCGAACAACCTCTAACTAGTTCTAGGTATTTGTCTACATCTATGGTGGTGCAATGGTCACTGGATCAAGTAGCAACACCCAACTCCAGGGCAACAACTTCGCAAAGAACGATGTCATCATGGTCTCATTCAACCACAGAGAAAGCATATTTGCATCTCCGAATTCTGCCGAGCTGAGCGACACTACGCAAAACTTCAGCATTCTGGATGTTGAGAAAGCAATGGAGTGGATTCATGACAACATTGCTGCTTTTGGCGGAAACCCAGACCACATCGTCCTCGGAGGCCATTCTTCAGGTGGTGTTCATGTTGATCATTACCTCTGGAACCACCCAGATACCTGGCTCGCTGGTGCAGTCGAGATGAGTGCCAACTCTGCCTCCGGCCCTGGATACGCCCCCACCAACGTCGGACTCGACACTATCGCAGCAGAAGTCGGATGCCCAACTGACCCTGGCCAACTCGACTGCCTGCGCAGCAAATCAATCCATGAGCTGGAGACTGCTTCGTTCAACTCCTCTGTTCACACATGGTTCACTCCCGTGGTCGATGGTCTTACTCGCTACTCCAACGCGGATCTCGAGAAGCGCTTCGCAGCAGGTCTTTATCCCTCCCACGTACCCCTCCTGACCGGCAACTCCGCCGGCGAGGGAACCATCTTCGCCTTGGTTTACGGCGGCGAGAACACGAACTTCTCATCCTGGGTCCGCACTTTTGATGCAGATGTTGTACACATCCCGGCTGAGGAGCTCATTGCCGCCTACAACGAGACAGACTTCTCATCCGTTTCCCTGAAGAGCGGCACACAATACGGTGACGCTCGCTTCAACTGCGCCGTCGACTGGCTGCTCGATATCCGCTCCGCTGCTCAGGATACCTGGTCCTACCGCTGGTTTGGAGCCTACGATAATGTGGTTGGCGTCCCAGGAACGGCTCCTACTCACGGAACTGAAATCCCGTTCTTCATGGGAGGGAACGAGTGTTTCAGTGCTTTGGGTGGCGTTACGGAAGAGCAGCAGGCTTTGGCGGATTACACTCATAAGTGGTTCGTTAATTGGATTAAGAATCCTGCTGCGGGACCTGGATGGAATGCTGTGGAGAGCGTCAGGGGCAGTGCGGAGACGGTGAGGTTGGGCGTTCCTGGGAATGAGCTGCAGATGGTGGAGGCAGATACTGCGGATTACAATGGTGTTTGCCAGTCGGTATGTTGGATCCCAAGATATCACTTTGTTGGAGGATTTTATGCTAACGGATCTCTAGCTCTACAAGAAGTACATGCCCATGTACCCAGTAGTCACCAATCCGCTCGCATAATTTTTCCGGATCACACCGGGCTGACCAGTTGCAAACCGCAACTGTGTATATAATGTAAATATACCAAAGTACAACGGGATCGAGTGATTTTGGGTTACGAATGACGGCGATCCTCACATCAAAAGCTTTCTTTTGTCAAATAGTAGTTATAATGTATATATCAAACTTACCCATGCTTCTTTATATCTTGCAGACATTGTACTTAAAATCGAAGTCACCTAAGGACTTCCATTTATAATTGGTCCTCCGCGGTCCAATGCATCCGCAACTAACATCTTGCAAGCTGCAAGAAACAAACACAGTCAGAGCATCCTACAGTCAACACACGTCCTACCTGATCACACCCCTCCAATCAATAATCCACATCGCTTCCCATCTCAATAAATCCTATTCTTGCCAACGCGAGAAACTCGGATGCAAAAGCCTGTGGGAGCGAGCCGAGAAGCACAGCATAATCGTGAGGAGGGTATCTGTCTGTAAGATCATATCATTCCCTTCGAAGATGTGTTATCAGTACTAATGTGTTGTGAGAAAAGGGATATTGATAACGATATCGATATCTCGTTTCCTGTGGAGCGGCTGCTCTGAGGGAGAAAATCTCACGGAGAGGATGCGAGAAATAAAAGTGTCTAGAAAGAACTCAGGGAGGCGGTTGGGAAAGGATGGATGGAGGAGAAACAAAAGAAACCATAGCAAGAAATCAACCTTTTATTTCTACATAGCTATACATATCTATCCATCACCCGATATTTATTTCTTCGCACGAATGCTCACGTCCAGATTACCAATCGCCCACGCAGCAAAGAACAGGCTTACAAAGCTCCAGAAAATGACCAGTGGTTTCCTCAGTCCGGCGAGAAGTGGGTAGTCATAGGTAACAATCAATTCGCGATCACGGAGATCGTCGACAATGTTGATAGCTGTCAGGGTTAGAGCGGTGCGGCCAGTGGTATCCATAAAGGTTCTGTGGAGAGAGATATCTGCGCTGACGAGAGGGACAGTGGTGCTGTACTGGACGTTTCTGCAAGATGATTAGTAAAGACCATTTTCCAGATTCGAACAAGGCAGGACTTACTCGGCTCCTTCTGGGAGGATCACGCGCAGCTCAATGTGCTCGTATGCCATACCCTCTGCCTGCTTTGGTCCCTCCAAGAACGGAACGTTCAAGACGTATCCATCTCCGTTCTTGAGCTTACGCAAGAACTTCTTGAGGTCTGCGTCCCATCCTACGCGGAATGGGTAGTTCCATCCTCCGAAGATTGGGTATCTGGGCTTGATTTCGAGGTTCGCTTCGCGCTTGTTGCTGCGGAATCGGGAGGTGGAGACGTTGCCGATGACATCGGTGAAGTATGGGGTCAAGCTGCCGACCTTCAGTGGGAACTTGAGCTCCTTGATTGCGGTTGTTGATGGGTTGTAGTGTGCCTGCTGGGCCCACTCCACACGAGAGAATTGCTTGGTGAGGTTCGCAGCACGGTTGTGCATGGTGTATCTCTCCTCAAATGCAGCATTTCCTCCCCAGTGGCTAACTTCAATGTCTCTCTCCAGGCGGGAAATATGGATCAATGGCTTCGTGAACTCGTATCGAACCGTTACTGGCTCGACAGCTCCGGCTGGGACTTCGGCAAATGATCCATAGGTGAACTTCGAGCCCTGCTTTTGTGGTGACTCGGCCTCTCCCTTGGCTGCTTGGACAATGGTATATTCTGGGATATTTGCGGATGGGAACTTGACTTCGGTCTTCTGCTTCAATGTGACATAGGCTGCAGGAGCGTATGCTGAGAATGTGTAGACCAAGTACTGCTTGTCCTTTTGGGCAACTGCCGCTGGAAGAGGGCTCAGGGCGGAAAGATAGGAGTAGGTAATTCCAAGGGTTTGTTGAGCTTTTGGAGCGAGAGGTGCAGGTAGACGAATGCGGTAGAATTGGGTATCACTGTTGCTCATTAGTTGCATACTTTCCAAGTGGAATTAGAACATACCTATTAGGATCATATTCAACTGCTTCCACATCGAAGAAGCCTCCATCTGGATCTTTCCTGTCCTTCACTTCCAAAGCTCCGATTGTCTCCATCTGCCGCGAGGTGAACGGCAGATAGTATTCATCTTGAGGTTCGCTGGCAACATTCTCAATCAACACATTGATTGACTCCTTTGGATAGCTCTTCTCCAAATTGATGATATGTACAAGATTGACATTCTTGAAATTTTGCGGAGGAGTGAATTCCGCTGGTAGTATCAGTCGTGAAGTGAATGGTTTGGTGAGGTTTCCCTGGGCCGAGAAAGCTATGGACGCGAAGGACAACACCGCAGATGCAACTGCCAATGGCCTCATTTTGAAGGAATACAGCAGACCAGCCGTGAATCCAATGGATCGAATAGACCTCGATTGGGATCCTTGAAGTATGCGCCGGTATTGTGGGTGAAGACGAAAAAGTAATTGTCCTAAATCGAGCTCAGAGCTTACGTCTGTCAACTCTCAACTCGTCCCTTGATGTGTCCTTTGGGATACCTCCCAGCCACATCTAGTCCTGAAGAGGGTATGGCGGTGCAAATGTGGCTTTCGCGTGGAAGCTCCGGGCTGACTAATCATCGGCCCAAGCTTGACGGCAGACGGCGGGAGCAAGCTGAGCTGCTAAACTGCTGAGCTACATCACTAGTCCCCACCAAAGCAAATGCTCAAGGGTGAGCCCCACGGTGACGAGCCCGCCGAAACATTCGCTTTTCCTCTTCTCATCTTCTTGTCCTGAATATAAAAACACACTTTGCGCTGACTTCAAGCTTTTTCTCTCCATTGTCTCTTTTCAATTCCCTCTATACAAGCTTCACTGTCGCCAATTACAGATTCTCAATACTCGAGAAGCTCTCAGCTCACCCCACTACCCCTCACCTATCTTGAATTCACCTTAATACCTTCACAACCGCCAGGATGGTTGGACTCGGGCCACGTCGTCCTCCAAGCAGGAAGGGTTTGTTCCCCTATCTCATTCACGTTCTCCTATTGCGATTGTCCAAGTGGTTTTCATCATATTCACTGCGTTGTTGTGCTACTGTCGTTTCTACTTGTACGAGGACCCCTCGTCTGATGAGCGAGTTTCTCTCAACAACCTCGAGCACCAGAACAAGAAATTCGATCTGTACCAAAACATAAGAAGAAAATAAGCAGGCTTATTTTCAAAATGTTGCACGTACTTCAACACCCTACTGAAGGTCATCCCCCCTCTTCCGTCTCAACAAATTCGATCTCGATATCAGTGGGGCACTTCCCTCAAACTTGTCTTCGTCTTCGAGTTTGCCAATATCTTATGACTTGGCCATGTTTTTTATTTCTCCACAAACTGCCTTGTCCAACACAGCATTGCATATGCTTGTCGGTCATGAGATCTGGAAAAAGCAACCTATCAAACTCACCGCTATCACGTGCCAGTGGCTTGTGTTCTTGTGCTACTGCTTGGCTTCCCTGCTTCTGTTTCCCATGGAATTATGTTAAGTTTATTTTGCGGGAATTATGCTTACGATTTACCACAGGCTCCATGGCCGATGTGCCGAAGGATCTCCTGCAGGAGATTGAGAGACTGGAGAAACTCTTCACTATTCCAGAGGAGAAGCTGAAGGAGATCACTGCTCACTTTGTCAAGGAGCTCGAGAAAGGTACATATTCCATTTCAATGCATTGAATAAGACTAACAGTTTCTAGGTCTTAGCGTCGAAGGTGGCAGCATTGTAAGCTGAATCCAACACTGTCGCTTGGTCTCGCTAACACTAACAGCCCATGAACCCAACATGGTGCATGGCATTCCCCGACGGAAACGAAACTGGTACTTTCCTTGCCCTTGATATGGGCGGAACCAACCTCCGTGTTTGCGAGATCATCTTGACCGATGAGCAAGGTGAATTCGACATCATCCAATCTAAGTACCGCATGCCCGAGGACCTGAAGACAGGCAATGCAGACGAACTCTGGGAGTACATCGCAGACTGTCTTCAGCAATTTATTGAGTCCCACCATGGTGGTGAGAAGACGACAAGCCTCCCACTTGGTTTCACTTTCTCGTACCCAGCAACGCAAGATTACATAGACCATGGTGTTCTCCAGCGTTGGACAAAGGGTTTTGACATTGACGGAGTTGAGGGAGAGAATGTCGTGCCTATGTTCGAGGCAGCCATCGGGAAGCGAGTGAGCAACAAAACACCCCTATTCTTCTGTATTTACCCGCTAACACGTGATAGGGTGTTCCCATCAAGTTGACGGCACTGATCAACGACACTACTGGAACCCTGATTGCCTCAGCCTATACCGACACCAAGATGAAGATCGGTTGTATCTTCGGAACCGGTTGCAACGCAGCCTACATGGAGAACTGCGGCTCAATCCCCAAGCTTGCACACATGAACCTCCCACCAGACACTCCAATGGCCATCAACTGCGAATGGGGCGCCTTCGACAACGAACACAAAGTCCTCCCGCTCACCCCTTACGACATAATCATCGATAAGGAGTCCCCTCGTCCAGGCCAACAAGCCTTCGAAAAGATGATCGCCGGCCTCTACCTCGGCGAACTCTTCCGCCTCGTCCTCGTCGACCTGCACGAGAACAAGGAAGTCCACATGTTCGAAGGACAAAACATCGACAAGCTCCGCAAGGCCTACACCCTCGACTCCTCCTTCCTATCCCTCGTGGAAGAAGACCCCTTCGAGAATTTGTCCGAGACAGGCGATCTCTTCCAAAACAAACTTGGAATCACCACCACCCGCCCAGAACTCGAACTCATCCGCCGCTTGGCCGAGCTAATCGGCACGCGCGCCGCTCGCCTCTCAGCCTGTGGAGTTGCCGCCATCTCGATCAAAAAGGACTACAAGACCTGCCACGTCGGAGCAGACGGTTCAGTCTTCAACAAGTACCCGCATTTCAAGGCTCGCGGTGCTGTTGCGCTGCGCGAGATTCTGGATTGGGCGCCAAAGAAGAACAGTAAGGAGGAGGATCCGATTGAGATTTTGGCTGCAGAGGATGGTTCTGGTGTTGGGGCTGCGCTGATTGCGGCCTTGACGTTGAAGAGGGTGAAGGAGGGGAATATGGCGGGGATTTTGCACCCGGAGAATTTCAAGTAGATGCATCTGGATGTATTTACTTGGATTTTGTGGTGGGGTTGGACTGGATATGTTTGGTTAAGAACGGAAGTTATGTGATGGCTGGTTACCTAGCTTATTTAGCACGACTTCATGATGTCCCTATTTCATGGAGATGATCAAATTTCATGCTAATTTTCTATATGGAGCAATTTTCTAGTTGAGGTAACGCTTCCAGTAGCGCTTCATTTCATCATCCTCCTTTCAACATCATCGAGTCTATGTATGTTCATTTTGACGCCATTCCAATGCAGGGTATCATATCACTCTTTCCTCCGCCCCCACCGCCCAATCAACCAACCATCAAACCGCGCACCCAAACATCTAACCCAGGAATGTACACACCGGCAACCTATATTTTTCCAAAACCCAATACCTCCTCCTCACCCCCTTCCACTCGCCCTCTCCCTCCCCGCCCAACTCGCCCACCTCTACCTCCTCCCACTCAACATCCATGCCCGCCTCCAAAGCATCCATCTCCACCACCTTACAATAAACATCATAGCACACCCTCCTATCCGCTCCTAATCCATTGAAGAACCCGAATCTGCCTTCACCATCCAGGAGTCCGGGCACGAATTCAGTGAAGAAGAGTTTAAGTTGGGAATAATCCTCGCCGAAAGTGTCGAAGTAGATAGCATCGTAGACTTCCCCGGATTGGAGGAGCTGCGGACAGATATCCTGCCATTTCCCCGCATGGATTCTATACGCTCCCTCCTTCCCACTTCCTTCCTCCCCAGCACTAGGGGCAGACTCCTCCCAACTCTTCCCAAAATCTGAATCCTCGCTAGCTAGTTTTTGCAGGACCGCGGGATGTGCTTCGAGAATATGATGACGGGCAGGTTTCGTGTCCCGAAACATGCGGTCCACGATGCCCATTCCGAATCCGATGTTGAGGATTCGGGAGCCGGGTTTGAGGTCTGGGATTAGGAGGTCTACGGTTCGTCGCATGATGGCGGTTTCCCAGGACATCATTACGCCGTTTGCGTCGGAGTCGAGGAGGGCGGAGTCTGTGAAGGTGAGGTTTGAGGCGAGATAGTCGGCGGAATTGACGTCTTGTTTGGGGGCTTGTGTTTCGTTTTGGTGGGAGAGGGCGACTTCTTCGGCTGGTCCGACAGCGAGTTCGTGGGTAGCAGTCTCTGTTGTTCCATTCGTGTCCTGCGCGGTCTCTCCCTCCCTAGCTTCCACACCAGTTTCGACTTCAGTGCTCTCCTCCATCTCTTCATCCGTATCCTCTCCCTCAAGCTCCTCATACCCACCCATCAGACCCAACAACAACTCCGCTCTAACTCCAGCGTTCACACACATATCATATAACTCCATCCTCCCCAACCTATACGCCAGGCACCCAGGCGTCTCATTATTCGCATCGAGATCATTCCATATCGCGCCGCTGAAGAAAAGCTCCTCTATGACCTTCTTCACTTTCTCAATATCGACTTCTTCGTCCTCCTCTTCGTTGGCACCCTCACCCTCTTTCACAGCCCCTCCAGTTGTAAACTCCTCTCCATTTTGAGTCGCAGACGATTTCACAGGTCCGCAAGCAGCAATAGCAGCGTGTAAAGGCGTATATCCCGTTTCTGGATCCTGGACGCTTGCGTTTCCTGGGACGCGAAGGAGGGGTTTAAGAGCTTGGAGGTCGTGTTGCGAGGCGTGGAGGAGGATGGATTGTGTGGTTATGTCGACTGCAGATGAGGGGTCTGGGGCGAATGCTGGGTCTTTCATTTTGAGTTATAGGGGATAATGTGAAGTGTGTGTTTTGAGGGGTTGGGAGAGAAGATGGAGAGCTCGACGTTTTTTCTTGGAGGGGTCGCTGGATTGGGAGGGGTTTGAGCGGTGAAGGGGGCAGAACTTTGGATTGTGGTCTTGGCAATCTGGCTCGTCTCCCTCCATCTCAACCGCAAGTTCATTGCTTCATCGTTACATGCGTACGAAACACAGCATCTTCGCGAATTATCCTCCGTCTTATGCTCCAAGATTGTTTAATCCTGTTAGGCGGGTTCGGAGAGTCCTATTCCGTACTAGATTCAGAAGGGTACAAATACCGTATCTAGTCGCGTCGACATGCAACGTTCTCATTTGAACACAGACATTGGACATCGCGATCAGGCCCATCTTCTTTTCATGCAAAATTCATTTTCCACTCGGTCGCATTCTAGATTTCTATTGATCTATAGTTACTAGTCTGGCAAGCGCCAATGTACCTCCTGTACTCGACCGAGGTCACCAGCCATCGTGGTTGTGGCTCATGAAACAGGATGCGCGCGCGTAGAGTGAGGCTTGTTGATCGATGTCCTAGTGGAAGACCTTCTCAGGCATAATCTTGCACTTTGCTTTTTATGCCAGTCATATGAAATGAATTCACTTTGATTTGCGGGTTACAGTTTCTTTTTGGTTGATGTTACGGTGATGTTAATTGCTGCCGATTGTCAGTGATCATTCTATGACAAGGATGTTGGAGAGCCGTCCATCCACGATGAAAATGGAGATGTTTGAATTAGAATAATTACGAGGCATGAAGTTCGCATGGTTCTTGGGGAAGCCGTCAAGCACATTCTCAGAGTCCAAGGAGATCGCTTTTTGCGGCTCGTGAAACTCCCAGCCATGGGCCAGCTATACCCGTAGCACATTCAATGGACAGGCAATCGCAACATTCGCCAGCGACCATATAGTCGACCAAGACCTGTCTCGGCCCAAGTTTCGTCGCGATATGCTTTGCTCACCGACAAGCCACAGTAAAGGTTGAATGAGGCGTACGATAGGCGCCGGTGAAACTAAACGGCGATGCTGGGCCGCCTTCAGAGGCAGCCTGTCTTCCCTACCAGACAGGCCGAGGTTGAAGAAAGGTCTCTAGAGCACTCGTTGGAGTTTCGAAGTGCTGGGATAAGTAGTTCCTTGTCTGCTTGTTCCTTGGTATGCATTGAACCCTACCCTCTCTACTCGGGCACGTGGGCTTCGGTGCTCTGCAGTCAACGTCAAAATGTCTCGACATCTTTCATATGGTGGTAGCTCTGGTCGAACTTTTCGATCGAACAATCCTGTCTCTCCACTTCCGCAAAGCACTGCCCTTCACTCTTCGATGTCGAACACTTTTGAACGAGATGATCTGCCGCTTGTGAAGGAGGTTACGTCTTGGCGCCCCGATATGAAAACAGTATGTCACCAACCATCGAATATATATGACTGATACTGATTCCGCACTCTAGTCAGCTATGGAGCGTCTTGGAAGATTTCACGCAGGCGTGTTGATCATAACTACGATATGCATGGTAGCCTCCTTGGGCTTCATATCTTTCATCTGGTTTGCCGATGACAGCATTTCCGCCTGGAGGAACTTGACATCCGACAACGATATCAACAGAGTCATCATTCTAGCTTCCTTGATTATCGCTATATCTTTTATGATACACGCCGTGATTGCGACATCTATGCTGGCAAGTCTCGCAGTCGAAGTCACAGGCATATCACTCCCACACTTGGCACCCGTTTCCGCATTACGAAGTTCCAATTCGGGTCCTTACTCCCTCGCATACTATATTCTTCGTCCTTCTGTAGTGAGGAGAGACGGTCCAAAGAAACAGCTTTTTATACCAGCTTTACTCACTCTGTTGTGCTTGACCGCACTTTTAAGTCAATTTACATATTTCGCCCTGCTTTCTGATATCACTATTGGCTTAGTCCCTGGGTAAACTGTATGTATCTCTTGATCGTTCTAACGATGCTAATCCGTGGTAGTAATCCTATTCCCGACTTTATCATGACTAGGTTGGGTCCTGGAGATTCGTTAATATCCGACACCTCTGCTTGGTTCAAAAAGCCTGTTACGTACACAGCATTTGCAGATTATGCCGTCAAGCAAAATGTCGTTCCACGGTCCCGAGTCTCTGATACTGGCGTTTCTCTCAGAGCTCTCCTCCCAATACCACAGAAAGAAAACCGAGTTTCGCTTCAAGAATACCAAGGCTCTGCGACCGTCCTGGATACAAGAGTTGTTTGTGTTTCGCCCGATGCGGCTCTCGACGAATCGGGCAATGTTACTTTCCTGGCTGTTCCACAGGAGGTGTTGCAGAATTATAGTGCCTCACCTGGTAATTCCAGACTGCTTCAGGATCTCACTAGCCGAGCTGTCATTCCTTCATCAGGAATCAAGATTCTTCCTGACGGAAACTTCACTCTCAACCAGATCTCAACAGAACTTTCTCGAAGTCTTCTTCTTAGCCAATTTGACGAAATACCTGCCGCTGTCAATGTCCGGGCTAATACATTTAATCAATACATCATCGTCAATGTACCCGTCCCATTCCTGAACAACACCATCCCCAAGCCTCTGGGAAATCCGACCCAAGACATCGTGGGTGATTGGTTACATTTGGTCTATGAAGACCTGCCTCGCAATGTTGTCCGGGGCAAGCCTTTTATACGCATTTCGCTATGCTACAATGCTCTTTCAGCTGTTGATATGGACATTCAAGCAGCGACGACCCGATCTCGAAACGAGACAGCACCCCAGCGGACAACATCTTCCGGCGCAGTGTTCAATTTTGAAGCCATTCGATATGAGCTCGGAGAAGAACGGGTCGCACCGAATGACCGTGGTCTACTCGAGATCAAATTTCCCGGTGGAACGCCAGTAGGTCCATTAGTAGGGTCAAACAGCAGCGACTATATATCAAAGGCACAACTGATGTCACAAGACCCAAACACGACTGTTAACTCCATCTCTATGGTGTCTCAACGAGGAGTCGCAAACTCATCACATCCTGACGTAGCTTTTCTGTTTAACGAGATCATGACCAGTACATTTGAACCCAGCCTCGGGTTTGCCATGCAGTCCATGATCACAATTCTGGCACAGACAGCCTATCAAGAACACCTACCCTTCTTTGGAAAATCTACGGGTGTTCGTCTGACTCCATTGACGCACGCATCAATACCTGGTGGCCAGATGGATATTTACAGCTCCGCACCTGCTGGTTTTCTTTCAGACTATATTGCTGTCGTAGTCGTCACGATATTCCACCTTCTTCTTATGGCTGTAATAACATATCTCTTCCTTTGTCGTAAGTTTGTCTCAATATTGACTCAAATTCCTGACTCTGGCGGAGGACGTCCCTGACTCACCTATCCAGACACCACCATCTCCACACTGCACAACACCTGGCAAGCGATCTCTCAAATCCATGAGCCCTTGACCTCGCGCTACCTGACTTCGCACTTCGCTTCTGACACTGAAGTCACACAATGGACGGTCGAGGACAAGAGGTCCAACATCATCGTCCAAATTACTTCAAATGATGACGGAAGAACCACAGGCTTGAAGGAAGTAACATCAGTTTCTCGGGATGCATTTGGCGATGCGGAGGAAGGAGGCCTGGAGATCAGTCATTGGGATGAGAGGTTACGAGGAGGGTATTTCCACAATGAAAATGTAAGGGCTGGGAGGAGCGTCCCGGGAAGGCATCCATGGCAGGGAGAGCGGCCGCCTTGGTCTTGATGAGATGAGATTGCGCATGACTCAACTATTCACTGTGAATGTAGATCTCCAACAAATGTAAACAAACCTGCTGATTTGCCGACGAGGAAGTGTGTTTTGGGTTCAATTCCTTTCCTTTCCTTTCCTTTCCTTTCCACGCATCTCTCGCATGTAGGTACCACAGTACTCGTCCTCTACTGCTGTGGAGCCAGAATATCTCTAAGAAAACCATGCCGTTCCTCTGGTCACCACTGTCGTTGAGGCTCTTATTGTCCCTCGGCTCGGAGAAAAAGGGGATGGCGTCACTAGCTCAGCCGAGTTAACCCCGCCTTGGCATGCGAGCTTCACATGCCCATTCATTCTGCGCCGCGACAACCTTCAATCCTCTACCCTTTCCTTCTCGTTTCCAAGTTCGCAGTCTCCTCCACCCTGTGTCAATATGGGCTCGCTTACCGAAGAACCCGTCCCTCAAGAGGACGAGATAACAGTGCTGGTCACTGGCTTCGGTGTAAGTGCTTTTCAGATCTACCCCGCCATTGTCGCGTGCTTAAGGGAAGCTCTTCTCACACCCCGCGTCAGCACGACTTTGACGGGGCATGAATTGACAAAAATCATGCACCTGGCAGCTAGTCAGAGCCTGTCAGCATTCTTATTTATACTTCTGACCGCCCTGGCTGTTTTTGTGGGCCTCTACAACACTCCAACCTAAGTCTCCGTTGGAATGTCAGCTAACAGAGCTTCAACAGCCATTCCGAGCCCAAAACCCCATCAACCCTTCCTGGGAAATAGCTAAAGGTCTCCCGCCTTTCCTACCTCCTTCGAGATTCCAAACGCACGACGCATCTGCAATTGCAAAGCATGTCCCAGTTCGCATTCTTGTCCATCCCGAGCCTGTGAAGGTTGCATACAAAACAGTGCGGGAACTGGTACCGACGCTATGGGAGGGAAGAAAGATTGACTTTGCGATCCACATTGGTATGGCGTCCGGAAGGAAGTTCTACAGTGTGGAGAGGAGGGGTCATAGGGATGGGTATAATATGAAGGACGTGGACCATGAGTTGTTGGGTGATGCGGAGAGGAGGAGGTTGGAGGGCGAGAAGTGGATATGGCATGATATGCCAGAGGAGTTGCTGAGTGCTGTGGATGTGGATGATGTTTGGAAGAGGTGGAGAGCTGCCCTACCTGTACGTCTGTATGTTAATTTGCGAGGGATAATGACTAACTCTGTGTAGGGCAAAGACGTCAGAATCTCCGAGGACGCTGGACGGTACCTGTGCGATTTTATATATTTTTCGAGCATGGCCTATCTCACACAGAAGGAAGAAGAGCGGAGAGTGGTTTTTTTACACGTTCCAGTCAATGCGGACGAAGTTGCGATCGAGAACGGCGTTGAAATTACGATTGAGTTGATACGGGCTATGATACAGAGTGATCGATTGAAGAAGTACTTGGCAGCAAATACTCAATCACGCCACTGAAGCTCACATTAATCGGATGAGGACGTGAGCGAAGAAGCCTCTAGGACATGTTACGATCTTACGATATTCAGTGCATTGTCAGCATATTATTGTACGAAATAATACATTCAAGCAGTATGGACGGGTTTTAGCGATAGCATACGATGGCATGATTAGCACAGGCTCACGAGGAGAGGAACATCGCTTAATTCGAAGTAAATAAACCATCAGTCAAGGAAGCATCAGCATCGAAAACAATCCTTGATCAACAGGTCCAAGTGTATGTCTTACTCGAACAATGCTTTTACTCGGTACCTCTATTCCATAACCTCACCTTCCTCCAGCCCCTCCATCCTATTCATCCCACTCGACAGCCTCCCCTCCAACGCCACCATGTCAATCTCTCTCCTCCGCACCAAGCTCTCCCTCTCCACATCACTCAAACACGTATCCCTGCCCGTCGGAACCTCATCATCATATTCCCTTCTCTTCGCCCATCCTACTGCACACATCTGTAACTTCTCTCCTCTGTCATCTAGCATTTTTGTTGAGAATTGGTATTGGAAATGGAGGAAGGGGTAGCCGTCGGAGTCTGCAGTGGGAGCGGTGAATGTTAGGTCGAGGGTTCCTGGATTGGATGGGCTGGGTGATGTGAGGGGTATGAAATCTGTTGGTGATGGTGCAGGTGTGGGTGAGGGTATGGGGAGAGGAGAGAGGTGGAATGTTGATGCTGGTGGGAGGGAGAGGATATTGAAGTTTTGGAAGAGCTTTTCGTCACATCCTGTTCTCATATCAGCAAGCTCCCATGGCTTTATTCTCGGGATTACTCACCGTAGACGCTCTCCCGGCCTTCAAATCTCAACTCTGCTCTGTATTGTACTCTTTCTTTGCCACGGACGGCGAATTTGTTGGCACGAGTTCTTTCTCGAAAAGAATTCGCGAGCCTGTGTAGAGTGGTTGTACGGTCAATGGAGCAGCGGGGTGTGTGGAAGCGTACCAGACGATATCGTAGATGGCTGCTATCCCTGTCGAACTGTGTTGAGGTTTGATCTCGAAGGGAGAAGCCATACCGATCTGGTAAATTGGGATTGAATGTTGGCAGGATGATGTTGTCACTTTGTGAAAATAGAAGAAAATAGGTAGAATACTTATGGGCATCTGCATTCTTTTACTTGAAGACTTTGACATTCTTTCATTCAATCTTCTATCAATCTACTTGTTTTTTAAGAAATGTTTGCTACAAACAATTTCGGTTTGTTGGCCTTTGTTTGTAACTTGCTTGACTTAGAGCAATCAAACCAATGATTTCAATATTTTAATAGGACGAGTTTGGTAGATACAAGGAATTAAGGCGAGTGTGTTCTGCGACAAGTAAAACTAGACAATAGTACACAAACTCTACGACTAGTTCTCAGCTCCGTTTCCATTTTCAAAGCATACAATCGACTCTACCGATTCCCAAAGAGGAAAGTCTCTATCCGAAATAGCATGCGATGTGTAACAAAGGTCTTTTAATGAGTTAAAAGCGGTAGCAGGCGAGTTGGATATCTTTTTGTTGCATATCGTATCTTATGTCGGATGGGAAATGTCCGCTTCGAAAAAACCGCGTGCTTCTATTCAAGCCGTCCGAAAAATAAGTGGAGTAGCCTCGAAACTTAGGTCTTTTCTACCTAAATTGAGATTAGAGATCAATTGAATACAGAGGAGGTGGACTAACTATTGCTATAATTCAAAAGTTATGTTGATTTGCCTAGGAGTGTCTATATTGCCGCTTAGAGAAGTCGGTTTTTTTTGTTTTTTTTTTTTGAATCCAGTTTATTGTCCTTTTTAGCTATTACTACTATGTAAGATATTCCGTTCCTAATTCAAGCTCGACTTTACAGTGCTCATATAAGAACTCTCTCCCTTTGATAACGTGCCTTCCTTATATAATAACTAGATTAGCCCCTATTTAGGTGCACCTTCTAATAGGTACAAATACCTATAGTTTATACTCTACGACTAAGGAAAAACAACAAAAACCTTAACTAGCTGATCCTTATACTTAGCAACTACGCTCTCTAAGGGGAGGATTTCCGTAGAACTATAATATATATACTCTTCCGCGAAAACCCACGACTCCTCTACTCGATTCCTAGAGTATAGCTCTCCTCGACTTAACGGGCTACTAACACTCTCGACACTCTCTTCTTACGAATCTAACGAGACTATATTTAGCAGAGTAGTACGCTCACTATACCCTCGTAAAGCTTTTATAGGGAGACTCCTTGTTACGTAATTATCTTCCGGGAACTCTCCTCCGAGTCCTGCTTTTCCTCCCCCCTTACCTTAACTGTAGGATAGAACTTATTCCTATCCCTTCTTATTATAGCCTTGTTCTGAGGTCGACTCTATGTGAAGCGCTCTTCGGAGGTTGTGTTTCTATCTGTATTGTTTCGATCGTTCGGTATACTATGTGCAAGAGGACAGCAGGTCGTGACTTAATCTTAGCCTCCTAAAGGAGTTGATAGCCTGCACCACGTAGAGGTGTTGAGTCGTCGTAGGCCCAGAGAAGTCGGTGATCTGTACATGGATGATGCCAAACTTAAATCTGCTCCATTTGAGGCGCATGCCCCATGTTCCACAGACACAGTCACAGAGTAGAAAAAAGAGCTCCACTTCCAAGATGGCAATCAATTGTTCTTGGTTTTTCTATTATTAGCCTAATCACGACTTTCTTCACTATCATTCAAGCTAGGCTTTTCGGCTTCAGCTGACAGCATCTCTCGCCCGTGGACAGAGTAGCGGAGTCCGAATACGACGCATTTGGTTCACCGCCAAGAAAAAACAACGAATCATTACCCCAAAGTCGACGATTTCGGGAAATATAGACTTTCCATACAAAGTAAGCGCACAGGCGTGTTCCTTTCGAAATAAGCTTTCGGTCGTGGGGGGGACCGCGATCCCCGACCTGCGACGGGGACGTGACGGGACTTGTATCAAGCCTCGGGTGGCGGGTGAGATATTACAGGAGCTTGACGTAGCTTTTACGAGGTAGCTCAAAAGCTTGATAAAGCTCCTTTAATTTAAATAACGGAGATGAAGGAAACCCAGAAGAGGTTTCGATGGTTTATTTTGGCATCAATAAGGAGGGAGGTATTCCAGCTGTTGAGGACAAACAACATTTTGATACTGAAACCGAATTAGGAAGTATGGATCGTGGGCTGAAAGCTAGTGAGGAGGGGCAGTACCTTGATGACGGTTGGGGAATGGAGAGGGTACAAGAGAAATGGCATTTCGAAAACACGACGAAGAACAAGGTCTCTCTCATCGATATCCTCTCATTCCTGGGAGTCTGCATCGCGGCTGTAGGATGTATCGTCTTATCCTACTCCATATTCTTTGCGCCTCAAAGGAACATCGTACCAGTACAGAGCGAAGAAAAAGTCCTAGACTTGCATTCGCATGTCTCTGTGGGCCTGTATCCCCGAGAACCTCAAGGTCCGGCATTGAGTAACAGGCGATTGTCGCGTGGTGCAGGACCGTCTGTCAGTTCGACGCCGGGAACTATTACCTCGAGCCTTTGCTCGAGTCCATCATCTTCATCTAGCTCCAGTGCAGCAGCTGCTAGCCCAACCAACATTCTCCGCGTCTTCCAACTCGACCCACCAGTCATGGGTCCTGGGCAAGTGGTGCTAAATGATGGAATTGAGATTATACCCACTGGAGGTTCTTCTGCGGAAGATGGAAAGATTTGCCAAGTGACACTTATGGAACACGAGTTTGTGTTTTCATTCGGGCAGCCATTTGTTGGTAAGTGCAGGAAATTTTGATCTTCGAAGTGAGAATGAGAGAATAACGAAACGGACGATTCGACGAATGAATGGCTACACGAAAGGACTGTTCTGGATGTATTGGAGTACACGCTGCTTCGAGGATGACTATGAGCTGATAAATATTTTTTTAAGGAAATTATACCCCACCGGACTGTATGGGATCTAGTAACACAGTCGTGATGAACTTCACTGTTCGAAGTTTTGGTGGTCAATTCGATAGGTTAGCGACTATGTGAGTATAGTCTTGCATCGAGTTCTGCGAAGCTTTGTGTTCTGATCACATTTGCCAACATAGGCACATGGGAGATACGGAAGTTTTCCGAACGTCAACTGCCGAGCCAAGGAGGTCTGGAATTGTCTGGACATATATGAAAGACATGTCACAGTGAGTGGTTTCCATGGATCTTGGTGAGATTTGGAAGCTAACTTGGGCTTGTGCACAGTTTTATGTCACTGTGGAAGACGTCCCAGTTGATCATCTTTGACCTTCCCAATCTGACTAATGTGAACGTAAGTACAACAGACTAGATGTTCACTTTGACAGAGCTAAGACAATCAAATAGTTAACAGGCACTTATATCACATCTCTCACAGCCACTTTCTTCTCGGCTTCGGAATCCGTCGATGCAGCAAATATTATACTTCCCCTCTCAGCCAAGCGAGGCATCAGTGAATCACAACCCAGTACATTCGTCATACCTTCCACTACCCAAAACGCTACTGCGGTCCTCTCGGCTGGGTCATTTCCGAGAAATGCTAAGCGAGCAATTGTATCCATCGCAGCAACAGGACAAGGCGAAGAGGAATTCTGGTGGCAGAATGCCTTGTCATCAGCTATCTCTACATACAATTCATCTGGTGGTGTCTTACCCGGCAATAGTCCGTTTCGAGAAGTTCAGCTTTGGCTAGACGGCCAGATGGTTGGTGTTGTGTGGCCATTTCCTGTCATTTTCACGGGAGGAATCGTTCCAGCCTTTTGGAGCCCCATGGTAGGGATACAGGCGTTCGATCTGAGTGAAGGAGAGATTGATGTCACACCATGGCTGGGAAGTCTTTGCGATGGACAGTCTCATACTTTTGAGATGAAAGTGGTGGGGTTAAGTGATGATGCTGGGAAGACAGCTGTTTTGAGCGAAGGCGTGGCTAGCAATTGGGTGCTGTCCGGAAAGATATTTATTTGGACAGACAGTAACTCGACGGCTACGACTACGAGCGACAAGGTTCAAATCTCATCGTCCGATCCAGAGATATCCGTATCTCAAACCATAAAACAAGACTCAACAGGTAGCAACGACACCCTGCTCTACAAAACCTCCGTCCGCCGCTCCCTCACCATCACAGCCAACATCAAAACCGCACAATACCCCAACGGCAGAGTAGCAGTTTGGACACAAAACCTATCCCAAACAACCGACAATGCTCTAACCGACCAAGGGAACAACCAAGCGAACACCCACACCACATCAGGAAAAGACTCCTTCCTCCTCGGCGCCGAAACCCCTTACACAAAAACATACTCCTATCCGCTTTTCCTCGAGAGCATCTTCACCAGTTTCGCTACCGGCGCGTTCCGTGTTGATGCTACTATTGACCGCAGCTACCATAGCGAGATTTCTGGCCACGGCGCCTCGCCATCTGGTCTCCAACCTTTCGCTAATCTCGACGATTCCTCCCGGCTGGTACAGACACTAGCTGGGACGACACTCTCGCAATCGCAAAGTGGGAATGCGACGTTGATTTTTGCGCCGGGGAATACTGGTGGTGTGGCGGGAAATGGGAGTTCGACTTTTGGAACGCTGTTGGGGAGTGCCAGGTTTGGAGGGAGGAGTAGTCATGGGGTTTTGGGAATGGAGAGGGATGAGGAATTGTGGTTTAGGACGGTACGAGCTGTTAATGGTAGTGTACGCGAGGATGCTCAGAGGCTCAATGGGAAGTCTGTTGGTGGGGGATCAGGAGTCGGGAATGCTAGACCGAGTGTTGTTGAACCGGGAATGGTTGATATTGGGTCTTTAAGGGTCCTGGGGGGAATGGTTGATATTGGGTCTTTAAGGGTCCTGGGGGGAATGGTTGATATTGGGTCTTTAAGGGTCCTGGGAAGAAGATCTATAGGAATGGGTGGCTAGAATACCGATACGGGTGAATTGATATTCGTTGTAAGATTATAAAATCTGCCACTAACCTTACCGCTGCTTTTGCGCTGGTGAATATATTCGATAACGTCCTTCCGTTGTAACACTAATGTGGAGGATTTTTCTGCTTGTAGAATTCTTGCTTGTTGCGATTCCTCGACATAGTGGCATCTTTGAAAATTCTGGGCAAGTTGATTTTTGATTGGTCAACTTTTCAAGTGTGATGGACTCGATTGTAAACAAAGCCCTCCGCAAGAACGGAACTTCGCTGGCAAGAAAGGAGGCGCGGGGCGGGCCGCACGCAGGGGCCAAGCGAGGTCAGACAACTTCCAGGCAGCTGCGCCTTCACTTGCATTACCAACAACTGCCTAACAACCCACCACACCTTTTACCATCTTCAATCACAATCTCCTCCACATCATAAAATACATCTCACACCATCTCATCCCAATCCCTCTTTCTATCCAGCTCACCAAATGGCCAATCCATCTAGTCCCACACCCCTCCGCATCCTCTGTTTCGGCGACAGCCTAACAGAAGGCTACTCAATGTACGGCATGCACTGGAGTCCATACTCGAAAACACTTCAGACTGCTTTAGAAGAGCAGCTAGGAAGTGAATGGAAGGTTGAGATTGAGACGGATGGTGTGAGCGGACAGCTTGTCACGACGGGGTTTCGGAGGAGGATGGAGGGGCTGTGTGAGTACTTTTTCGGTCGTGATAGTCGACGCTCCTTCCTTGTTTATGGTCTATTTGCTTTCTGTGACTTTACGTAGCGGGCTTTCAATTATAAATCTCCCTCACTCTAAGACCTATTTACACGCACACATTCCCCGAAATTTGAATCAAGAGACTAACATCTCACCCATCCATCCAGATAGAGCAGACCGCACCCGCGAAAGTCCCTTTGATTGGGTTATCTTTCTAGGCGGAACAAACGACCTCGCCTACAGCATCTTGCCCACCAAAATCTACGATGAGATTGAAGCGATCACCGCGCTACCACTCGAGACAGGAGCTCAGGTTTTGACGCTGACGGTCCCAGAATGTGGTGTCAAGAGTGCGAAGTTGGATGGGAGGAGGGGTGAGTTGAATAGGTTAATTAAGGAGGATGGGAGGGAGAATGTGTAAGTTTGCTGTTATTCTCCTTGCTTTTCACGGACTTTTACAGTATAACCTAATGCTAGTTTGGGTTGGGGATATCCGGTCTATGTATAGGTTCGAAGCTCGTGTCAGTCTAGGGGAGAGATTTGAATGAGGATTTCTAGCTTGCCAGTTCAGAAAGAAAACACTACAGCAGTCACGAATCCAAGCTCATACATCTCACAGCTACGCTCTCGATCTCCATGCCTTAATACCCTACCATTCCATGCCCGAAGCCGAGCGTGACGAGATCTGGGATGATGGACTGCATTTTACGCCTACGGGGTATGAGAGAGTTGGCTTGCTGGTTGCGAAGCGACTGCTTGAACTTCTGAAGAGTGGCGAGACGAGTGCTGAGAGTGGTGAAGATGTTCAAGGAAGCAGGTAAACCGGAGAAGGGTGTGGATTTAGATGGCAAGACTTGAGGTTTTGAATGTCGCCGGTTTTCCTCTCCAGTGGGAAGGAGTGGGAAGGTCATGAGCTGAGAGAAACTATATTTGATGCACAAGGAGTGGAGTTCTGGTTACACATAGAGTAAGGTATAGACAGAAAAGTTTTTCGACCGTTCTAGTACCTATCACATTTGCAACTCTCCTGGCCAGGTACAGAAGGCTTGATCTGGACCCAAGATTTGGCTAGTCTAAATACAGTACTTTAGCGAGGTGACTGTCTGTAATGCCGTTCTCGAAAAGGAAGCTCGAGGCTGCGACGTGCAACAAAAAATAATAAATCATAATCCGGAATAGGTTAGAGGAGTTCACCCACGTGGTGGCCATGCGAACTGCCACGGTTCTAGTCTCGAATCGAGAAGAATGTACGTAGTAAGCAAGGGTAAGCGGATAGGTATGAGACGTAAATAGCCCCAAGTCGTGCAAGCCAGTCTTGACAAACTATTTGACAGGCAAGTACAACATTTTTTAGAAACCGACTACTTTCAATAAGAACGGAAGGGGTAATCTTGTTGAAGATATATTCATCTAAAAGTGGGTAAAACAGCCATCTTCTCTCTTCCAAAGAAGACCGAAGAAGGCTAAACATCCCACTGTCAAGCACCCACAACATCAAGATCAACAACCACCTACATTCCCATTTCGTCCTCCCTAGAAACCCACTTTCCCACAAATTCTCATCCTCTCCCCACTCACCTCCTCCAACACTCCTCCCCCATCCATCACCAACAACAAAAATCCCCTCATGTCATCCCTGCACATGAACCGCATCCGCATCTACATCCACACCCACATCCGCACCAGACTCAGCCGTAGTCGCAGCAATAGAGGAAGTACCACCACCAACAAGCCACCTCTCAAACCACCTCAGAGCCTGCTCCTCAGCCCGCATAGCCATCTCCATCTCCTTCTCATCATCAGCATGCGTCCGGATTGCAAAACCATGCTTAGCGCCCTCGAGGATAACCATCTCGTGATCTATCTCTTTTCCTCCTCCCTGCCCTCCAATTCCTTCTCCCTTCCCTCCAATTCCTTCTCCCTTCCCTCCAATTCCTTCTCCCTTCCCTCCATTTACTGCTCGCTTCGATTCAGCTCCCTTCGATTCAGCTCCCTTCGCTTCGAGCAGACGCTTCATCTCCACAGCTTGCGGTTTCTTCAAGACGGCGTCGGCGTCGCCGACGATTACGCTGGTGGGGATGGTTATGTGCTGCACTTCGCTGGGGAGGGTTATGTATGAGGGGTGCGCGATGAATATACAATCTGCTAGGTTGTTCTCACCTTCGGGAGAAGGTTGGGCGAGCATGAAAGCGTGTTTTCCGCCCCAGCAGAACCCTGCTACTCCGATCTTCAAACTTTGCGAACCTGTATCAACAGGAAGTGCAAAAGGCGGTGGTGAAGCTCTGAGGGATTGCAGGAATGAGAGGACGCGGGGATGTGTTTTTATGGGATCGCAAGAGGATTTCCAGGGGATGGCGAGGAGGAGGAGGTGCATTACCCAGAGGGGTTTGTGGAGGATGGCGTGGAGGTAGGTGGGGGAGGGGGTGGTGAGGTTGTCCATTAGGGGGAGGGCGGTGGGGGACATTGCTTTTCCTGTGGGGGGAGGGAGGGGGGTTAGTTGTGTGTTTTGGCTTGAGGGTTATGGGGAGATGATGGATGGTTATTGAGTGTGGAGGTGGAGTAGGGAGGGTTGGGTGAGGATGGGGTTTGTGCTTTGTTATTGGAGAGGACTTGGTGAAATGAGAAGATTAATTGATTGATTGTTGGCTTACCATTCATGAAATCGGGGACGTAAACTAGATACCCGCCTCGTTTGGCGTAGTGATCGGCTAATACGCGATTGTTGACGAAATCCCACCCGAAAGCGTCGGTTATGAGCACGATTACGGCTTTGGGGGTGGTGCCAGAGGGAGGAGAGGCGATGTAGGTGGGAAGGCCGTGGATAGTGCTTGTAGTGCCGGTGGGTTGGGAGGTTGAAATCCCTCCAGTGAGGCAGGATGGGCAGGACATTTTGATTTTGGTGGACGATGTTTATTCAGAAATTGTGATAAGCGAGGTGGCGAAGAAAGATTGACCGAAGATGGTTGATGATTGGGAAAAAAAAGGGAACGGTGAAAGGAGAGGCTATATATTCGCTACGGACTATTTTGATTTATCGTCAAATTGCATCGTATCGTCATCGTTCATCTCAGTACATGTATGCAGATAGATAAGTTGGACCTTACCGGCACACCGTATGACTAACCTACCCCTGTCTTGGCGTTGTGCCTCGTAAATGCAGAGAAAGTCGCTTATGATCCTACTGAAAACAAGGGTTGTACGGAATCTTTTGACCTGATTTCTCTTTTCTGTGTCGTTTGGCTTCAATATTTGATTCGGATTTCGGATCGTGGCGGGGATAGGGAAATTTAGTGTTCATGTTGCGCAGTTGGGAATGAGCCTTGGTCTGAGTGATAGGACACTTGTGGAGGTGATTTGACCTTTGTCGGAGAAAATTCATGAATGACAAAAGAAAGGAACAGGTGAGTGTGAAGAGCGACTCTCGTGAGCAATTTCCATGAAGAGGATAGCCAAGTATCGAGGTATGTTGCTCGGATGGATGTTTTCTTCGGTCTGTTTGTCCGCTTGCATAATTAGGTGGGGGAAGCGAATTGTGAAGCGGAGCTTGAGTGGACTTGGCAAAGCTTTTACTGTTGAAGATATTTATACCGAGGCATTGGGGAGCTGAGTGCATACATTTCTGCAGAGTGACCAAATTTGTTGGCCCAGAGTTTCAGGTGCAACAACATTCTCAGTGTGAACAATTTAAGCGGATACCTAAATACTAAATCTCGCCGACTTAGTCTCGACCCTCAAGTAGATGTCGTCAGCTTACCCGTACGGGCCGCACAGTAGACTATTTCTCGCAAAGGCGACGTATAAGTGACATGTGGCTTGAGAGCGAAGAGAGTCATAGAAGACCGAACATATATTAGGTAGTGCTGTGTGTTGGGATAGATCAGTATCGTCAGTGGCATTACAGCGGACCTGTATTCCTAGGTTCATCTCATCTGTCGTCCAAGCGAAGAAGCTAGTGGGCAACTGATCACTGTTCGGTACAGCATAAGACATAAGAAGGTCTGACATAATAGGTAAATTTACCCACACAGCCGCACCTCACACCCTCTTGTCCAAACCGAGCTCTAGTTCTAGGACTCGCAAAAACCTATTTACAGGCTCTATTTAAAATATTCTCCATTTAAAATCGTGATTATTTTGCATTATCATTCCCTCGCCCGATAAGATAAGACAAGCAGTTGACACATGGGCAAGCTCTCGTCCGCCATTGGCCAATTCCCCCTCCCGGAGCCGCGCTTTTCTTCGTGCACTAGCGGGCGGCAGCTCCTTCCTTGGCCTGGCGTGGATCTCACGATGCACACTGAACTGCACCTGCGCTGCATTCCCAAACCTTGCGGGGCCCTGCACCTTCACCTGCACCGAATAGCAGAACAGAGCTACTTTCTCGTCCACTCGAGCTGCACCAGGTATATTTTTCTCTTCTCTCTCACAACTTCCTCTTCAACACCACAGCGGACTCCAAGCTTCAATCGATCCTCAGTTCCGCCTTCCGTCATTCCAAGAATGACGTCCCGATGCTAATTGTCCAAGACCTCAAGAACAAGAACACATACTGGCAAGCTTCAACTGTCGGACCCCGCGGACGATATCGATTTGGCCCTGGCCTGGTCGTCATGAAATTCGGAGAGCAGCTGCGCACGAGCGTGATCAAGGAGTACCAGTGGTACTACATCGCGTACGATGAGCTCAAGGCTCAACTGAAGACCGATTGGGCCACGCCACCTACCAAAACGAAGCCGAAGGGCAAGCGACGAGAATGGAGCGAGGATGACGAGAGCAAGTTTATTGGCAGACTGGAGCAGGAGCTGGACAAGGTGCACACCAAGCAGAAGGTCAAGGCTATTGAGATTGGCAGACGTATTGGGAACAGCGAGAAGGAGGTTAGTGATGTGGTTGCACGTCTGGATAGCAGAGGACCGATTGGCAGAGACGGGCAGAGCAATAACGACGACGCGCCGACCGAGGAGGAATTCATGATGTTGGAGGAGGACCTCAGCGATATCATCGCAGATGTCCATGATTTGGCCAAGTTTGTGCAGCTCAACTATACTGGATTCCAGAAGATTATCAAGAAGCATGATGTAAGCCTGGCATAGCAAAGAAGTACGTGGCTGGAATTGTGGCTGACAATACTAGAAACAAACCGGATGGATGCTTAAGCCAGTCTTTGCAACCAGGCTAAAGGCCAAACCATTCTTCAAGGACAACTACGATGCAGATATCGTCAAGCTTTCGAGGTTATACGATATTGTTCGAACGAGGGGAAATCCAGTTAAGGGAGACAGTGCTGCTGGTGGAAGTCAAGGAAACTTCATTAGAAACACCACCAAGTACTGGGTACACCCAGACAACATCACAGAAGTCAAGCTTATCATCTTGAAGGCATGTCTCGTACTAAATATATCTGATATCTACTAACTGTTTCTAGCATCTCCCTGTTCTTGTCTTCAACCCAAATAAAGAATTCGAAATGAAGGATTCTGCCATCACTTCAATCTATTACGATAATCCAGACAAGTGGGACCTCTATGAAGGCAGACTGAAGAAGACGGAAGGAGCAGAAGCCCTCCGTATGCGATGGTATGGTGGAATGGATACTGAGACAATTTTCGTAGAAAGGAAAACACATCGCGAAGACTGGACAGGAGAGAAGTCCGTGAAGGCCCGATTCGCTATTAAGGAGAAGAACTTGAATGCCTACTTGAGAGGAGAGATGCTACCAGAAGCGATCTTCGAGAAGGCTCGTAAGGATGGAAAGAAGCCTGCGAAGCAAATCGATGAAGACGAGCGACTTGCGAAGGAAATTCAATACTCCGTCCTGAAGAAGGGATACGTACCAGTCTGCCGATCATTCTACAACCGCACAGCATTTCAATTGCCAGCAGATGCGAGAGTCCGTATTTCTCTGGATACCGAATTGACCATGGTGCGGGAAGATAACCTTGATGGAAGGAAAAGAGCCGGAAATAACTGGCGAAGAATGGACATTGGTATCGACTATCCATTTTCACAACTTCCTGCGGAAGATATCGAGCGCTTCCCCTATGCCGTCTTGGAAGTCAAGTTACAGACCCAAGCAGGCCAAGAACCACCCGAATGGGTTCGTGAACTGATTGCGAGTCATCTTGTCGAAGCCGTTCCCAAGTTTTCCAAGTTCATCCACGGTACCGCAACCCTTTTCCCGACCAGAATCCACCTGCTCCCGTTCTGGATGCCACAAATGAATGTCGATATCCGGAAGCCAGTAACACAACACTTCGGTATTCGACGACCAGGTAACTCCAATCCAAGTTCCACCAGTGACGACGACGATGATGATGAGGATGACGATTCGGATGAAGAGGAATTCGACGAAGAGTCGCCTGCTACTACCGCCATTGGTAGTTCAGACGAGAATGTCAACCGGATCCGCGCACGAGATAGTGAGAATCGAGCTCCCAGGAACGAACTCGATGTCGAAGAGCAGGTCGGAGCACAACCTCTTGATCTGGATGAAGCATATCCCATTTATGATTCAGATGATGAAGACAATGAGTCCGATCGCCTCGAGGAAGCTAGACAGATCGGAGGCTGGACATACTACTCTCAATTCATCAAGAGCAAGAGCAAGCTGGCTGCATACAAAGTAGCCAACACGATCCAGACACTCCGTCAACCAAGTACCATCCCAGCCAATGGAAATGGCAGTCTACCAGCACTCGATAACAGCAAGATCACGAGCAAAAGGTTCAAGGCACCAAAGGGAAAGAAGATCCATGTCTTGGTCAGAGTAGAACCCAAAGTCTACTTCGCCGCCGAGCGAACATTCCTCTCATGGGTAACTAAGTCGCTTCCTACCTAAAATAAGCATGACACTAACATACACAGCTCGAAAACTCAATCTACATCGGCTCCATCGCCGCCACAGTCCTCAACTTCGGCGCTAAACCGACCAAGGCCTCGTTCTTCGCTGCCTTCGCATTCACCATCGTCGCTATTCTCTCCCTCCTCTACTCCGTCGGTATCTACCTATACAGAAGTCAAGCGATCAGAAATAGAAGGGCGATCAAGTATCATGATAGTGTTGGGCCAACTATTCTTTGCGGAACGTTGTTCGTGGCTGTTGTGTTGAATATGTGGTGGGAGGCGGGGGAGAGGGGGTTCATTTCCATGGGTGCTCGGGAGCTGTAGGCGGAGATACTATTAGGATGTCGTGTGTGAAGGGGTCGAGTCCAGACTGTTTGGGCCGGATTGTTTGGCGGGGGGAGTGGGGTGTGAGATGTACAGAGTAAATAGTTTGCTGAAAAGAAGGGAAGGGATGTGTTGACCAAGAGAACTGGTAATTTTGATTTATGTAGTCATTTTGCGCCTAGCATGGCATAGCATGACATGACATGGTACGTACAGTGTAGATAGTCAAAGCTTAAGCTTTAGCTTCAACTTCATTTGCGTCAATATGTCGGGACTCCAGAATCGAGATGTTTGTATGTATGTATGAAACGCTAGCTAATTTTTTCTACGAGGTTGGTTACTAAAATCAAAAGGTTACTTACATCCTCGAGAAGCAATTATGCAGATTCATTCCCATGGCTAGCCTAATGATTACCAGGTAGGTATTGTATGGCTCGTGAATATTGAGAATTGGTGCGAGGTGTTTTAATTTGATTTGGCTAGCTGGTGAGTCGGTTTTTGGAATTGGAGAGAGAGGCTTCGCTTACTGTTGTTTGTTTACAATTGGGACACTCACTCACTCACTCGCTAAGAGGATACAATACGTGCTAATAGACCATTCACTTGTAGAGATGCACGATGTATAGATAGATCCGAGAAGTAAAGAGCTGAGAAGAAGAGAGAACGCTAAACAGTAATCCACGTATATGTTCTTGGGTAAGCAGTAACTAGTAAGTAATCCTTCAATCGATCGATCGATCGATCGATCATCTATCATTCATTACCCATCAATCCATTTCCCTTCCTTGCATTTCATCCCTAAATTTAACGTGAAAACATTCAAGAAACGTCCTCGGTACGCCTAATCAATCATCCTTATCCTCATCACTGTCCCCAACCAGCAGACATGAGTCGCGACCAAAACGTTACGAGTCCTCATGTTACCCCTACGCAACACCCGTCACCCTCCGAATAGCCTTCCTCGCCCCCTCACCCACAACCATCACACTCCCCTCCTGCTCCAACAGCCTCACCGTCTCGGCAAACTCCGCCCCCTCAACAGCAACACTACTCTGCTCGCCAATCCTCTTGACCACCTCACTATACCTCGCCGCCTGCCCCTGCCTCGTCATCTCATCCAGCAGCGCCAGCACCGCCGTCTTGAGATCCTGCTTCCTCCTCCTCTCGCTCGCGCTCGTGCCCTCAGTAAGGAGACTCATATCGATGAGGCCCGTTCGGGCATCTGTAGCGGCCTGCTTGAGTGCGCTCTTGATCAGGCGGACGGCTTCCTTGACGTCGTCGCGGGTGACCGTCTCGGAGAGGCGCATCTTGGCGTGTGCTTCCGCCAGGCGGATCATGGATTCGAGTTGACGGGTCGTGGCTGTGATGCGGCGCTCCGCGGCGCGGATGTCCTCGCCGAGTTTGCGCATCTCGACGTAGGCGTTGACGAGCTCTTCGGAGGCTTCGGGGCTGATGCGTGGTTGGCAGGTGGTGCGGGCGTAGGAGATGTAGGAGGTGAGGAATTCGATGGGCTAGGTGAGTATGTTAGTGGTTATTGCTTGATCGGTGAGGTGAGCTTACCAGAATTTCCATTCCGCTGGATGCGCTCTGTGGCTTGTCGTCCAAGTACATACTCAATAAATGTCTCGCCAATCTTCGATCAGCAGTTTCGTCTATGCGATCTAAGATCAGGAAGACGAGATCAAAACGAGAGAGCAGTGTTGGAGGAAGGTCGATGTTTTGAGGAACTGGCAGGTTTGGGTTGTATTTGCTGCCAATTGGGTTGGCAGAAGCGAGAATGCTGGTTCGTGCATTCAATGTCGTGATGATACCTGCCTTAGCGATCGAGACAGTCTGTTGTTCCATGACTTCGTGAAGCACTGAACGAGTAGCATCAGACATCTTGTCGAACTCGTCGATACAGCAGACACCTCCATCTGACAGAACCAAAGCACCTGACTCGAGCACCAGCTGGCGGGTCTCGGGGTCCCGAGTGACATATGCTGTCAAGCCGACTGCTGAAGATCCCTTTCCACTGGTGTACACGCCACGAGGAGCAATCTTGTGGACATACTGAAGGATTTGAGACTTGGCAGTGGAAGGATCACCACAGAGAAGCACATTGATATCTCCTCTGTATTTGGGACTTCCGCCCTTCTCGAATGACTTATTGGTACCTCCGAAAAGCTGAAGCAAAATGCCCTTCTTCACATCGTCCATCTCGTAGATACTGGGTGCAAGTGACCGAGACAAGAGTTCGTAGATGTCAGGTCTGGCAGCAGTAGCCTTGATCTTTTCTTCTTCTTCTTCGCTGACCTTTCGTGTTTCTTCGATATTACCAGCGATTTGCTCCGAAAGGTCTTGATCGACAGTCGAAACATCGATGCCCATTCGCTTCTTATCAACCTTTTGAATATGAAGAATATCGATATATGTCTTGTAGGTGCTCTTCAGAGTTCTCATTCTGGGATTGACTCGCACTGGGCTGGCTTTAAAGATACCAGTAATCTCGACACGGTCACCAGCTTTGCAAAGGTCCACCAGCTCATCGTATGCGCACATCGAGACCGAGTGAGGCGTCTGACCTGCTGGAACAGAGTCTGGTGTTTCCTGAAGTTTGATAACCTGCTTGTCCATAAATCCAGAGCGGTTGTGAACAATTTGCATCGCGTTTGGAGAGTCACAGATTGGACGAGGGCACTTGGTAGGCTCGGCGATCTTGCCACGGTCAATATCGACCTTGACTGTATGATTGCACACCTGGCAACGGAAGAAAGCATCTTTCATATCGGGAATGATTGGTGTGGTTCGAATGACGAGTCCTTTGATCGCAATAATCTTGTCGACATCTATCTCGAATTAGCAGAACCCTTTGTAAGTATACGATTTTTATTTACCAGATGGATTCAACTCTCGCATGTTGATGGTGGAATCAAGGCCAAAAGGACGGACTCTGTATGATCGCTTCTGGACCTCCTGGCAGAGGTCGACCTCGTTTGACTCCTGGTCTCTTGGTGTTTGTGGCTCGGGCTCACTTCGATCAGAGCTGGGTACAGGAGGTTCAGAGCTCAAAATTCTGCTACGAGACGATGTTTGTGCGGCAGATCCTGAGCTTTGGGATTGCCTGTTCTTGGCCATCTCTGCTTCTGCGAGTTCGTACATCACATCCTTGATACCTTGATCCATAAGAGTAACGATATCCTGAGGGTAATCTTGAGCTTGTTGCCAAAGCTTCTTGGTAGGAGGGTATGCCTTGAGGTTGCGGAAGTCCAGGTTCAGACTGGTGACACCAAGAGTCAACATATTTTGCATCATCTGGACGTATTCCTTAGTCTGCGCATCTGGATCCGCATCGGTTTCCTCTTCGGACATTCCATCTCCCCACATGCGGTACTTTTTGGTAAAATTTCGAAGAAACTCCTTGAACACAGCCAAGGTGTCATTGATAGAAACATTGGTACCCCAGATACATAGTGTAGAGCTTCCTCCCATTGCTTGCGCATCAGAGGTTGTCGGATCCATGTTAGAAAAAGTTGGAGCCTCGGAACCTTCAGCTGGGATATCTCGGACAACCCGGCCACTTTCGTCCATGAAAATGCGCCGTCTTGCACGAGGAGTATTGATATTGTCAGAGTTAATGTCTCCACGGCGAGAATTATTGATCGAAGATCCAGGACCCGCGTCACGATTACGAACAAACAGACCACTGCTATCACTTCGAATGTCGGACATAATGGATTGTTGGCGGGCATTGAAGCCTGTGCCACTAGGGCTAGAACTGGGTGCATATCGAATAGGGGAAGAGTCTAGCATATGTCAGTTTGTTGAATCTGCAGAAGATGGAATCTCTGGCTCACCTCCAATCAGCCCACTAGTAGTTGCTCGAGGGGTGCGCTCGCCATCTTCTTGAGTGGTTTGCGTATTCGTCATCTGTCTTAGGGGTGAGGAGACATCTCGTTCTCTGTTCATCCGTGCGATGTCTGCAGGAGATGATCTGTAGTTCATTGGCGACGAAGATGGAGGTGCTGCCGCTCTTCGAGGAGTAGCATTGCCTTGTGACGATGCTGCCTCGCTGTGAAGTTGTGCTGCCGCCGGATCAGGGGGGCTACTGGGAACATTGCTTCTTTTGGATGTTCGGCGTGGGGTTCCACTTTGTGAACTGCGCTGTCGACGATGCGATGGCGACGACATCTTGCCTGTTGACTGCAATGCAACGCAGATGCGCGAAGTTAAGTTTGAGGGTGGTGTTGTTGTTGTGTTGTGGTTGCGATGAGGGGGGAGGGGAGAAGGGGGTCAGGGAAGTTGAGAAGAGATTTGGAAACGAACGCGTCGCGTGTTTCTTGACGCGTCCCTCACGTTGAGTGCTTGCATTAGCGTGGTTTGCGCTTTCCGGGGGTTTGACATGCCTCATCCCACTTCACACCAATAGCATCCTAAGGTAGTATTTCTGATCTCCTGGGCACCAAATTGAAATCCTTAAGATGGTCAGTTTTGGAAAGCCAGTGGTATCTGCGAGCAGCGCCACCATCAATGACGAAGAAATATGTAGTCACGTGATATATATCAAACTTCTACCCTCGACTTTCAGCTTAAGGTACCTACATACGGTCTCCTGCACCTGGTCCAAAGCTTTAACTCTCATCGATCTCCACAAACTGTGGCAAGTTGCCTTTCACAAGTACATGTTGTGTTTCTACATCCTTTCCGAGCCCTCGAGACTTCCATACCTAAGGCATTGAATCTAACATCCAAGTAACATTGTCCGCATGGTTCTTCATCATGTGATGGTCTTTCTCATTCTACTGCAGTGCACTTGATCAGGATCCATTTCATTTTTTAACTTACCGGACCTCAGCATTATTAGCACAAGCGAGGTGCTTCCTGCGTAACTTTACTTTCGAATGACTACGGAAATTGTCTTTCCCTTTTCGAAGATTTTATTGACATTGATGGTTTCTCATAGTTCCAAACAGTTCCCAGACTTCAAAATTTGGATCGAGAACATGATACATAACTCGAATCCATCGAAGTCCCACATGCTCTCCCTCAATGGCAAGGACATCCTCTACGGGACCAATCACCACACCACCACACCACCGCAATCACAGATCTCAACAAGCAACAAGTCCGTGTTGTGAACTTTCAAATAATCTTCATTCATCTATTCTACGGCCACATACACCCACTAGACTCCACATAACTACTCCTCACCCCATAAAGCGTACTCAACCCATCCCGATACACCTCCTGCCCCAAAGACGCACTAACCCCATCCCCAATCTGATGCCTCCTCAAATACAAGTTCCACGAAAAACTCGAGTGCCCAACACCCGCAAACTCCTGCCCCTTCAGCAACACCAAATAATCCACCAGCGCCCTCTGATCCCACGTCAATTTCGCCAAAGCAGCTGCATCCTTCCCTTGCAACACATCTTCTTTGTGGGTGACTTCTACATTCCACTCTTTTGCTTCTTTTGCTAATTTATTTACTTCGGGGAGGTTGCCCGATGCGACGTACATGATGGGGATTTTGGAGGTCGTCGCTTGCTCGATGTAGGCTGCTGCTTGGGCGTCAAAGTGACTGTACATGATATCCACCTCGTGTCTTTCGGCTAGGGGGTTCTCGGTTCCTAGATGGACACCGAGGAATGAAGGGTTTAGAATCGGAGACGAGATGTCAAATGTTTGTACGGCAATGCCTGCCTCTTGGTCATGCGAATGCGCAATTCCTTTCAGTACCATCGTTGCAAGCCGACGGATATCAGGGCGAAACTTCAGGATATCGCCAAATGTATGTGCGAGTGTCTGGCCGTCGGAGTAAATTGGATAATGCAGGAAAGACTGGTCAAGATCGACGATGACTGGTTCGGCCGCTGGCTCGGGTGCCATGTACTTCTCAATCCAGATGTTGAGTCGATCGCGCCACTCTTCTGGCTGCTCAATCCCACTGGCAGGAATATTGTTGAACAGCCTCTCGGGGAGTAAACTTCGTCTGCGATTACTGGTCGTTGGTTCCATATGTCTGACGAGCACCAATTCCGGACAAGACTTCCTCAGCGAATCCACAAAATGATTCTTGTCGAACATATAATCCATCCCCTGCCTTCCCGGACCATGTCTCCTCTCGATATTATCTCCATCATCACTATTCCCCGCCGTAATCTCTTCCACATCTCTCAGTGGAATATTCGGCAGTACCAATCCAGCCCCAGCCCCAATAGCAAATCGCACACAATTCAGTATCGAGTTCCTCACATGTCCAACCCCTCCACGATTATCATCACACGTGAAAATCAGACTCGAGTTCCACTCCGTAGACGCGCAAATCTCTCTCAACTCCCACGAATCCAGAAGCGGGTGATCAAAGACGTCGTTCTCAGGCGTCGATACCGGCTTCCCTATCGCCCACGCAATCGTCTTTGGCAGTCTACGGTCCTCATCCATGGCTAGCCAGAGCCAAATGACGATGAAAGCCGCGCTGAACAGGATGACATATCGACGACTGAATCCATTGCCGAGCTGCATTTTTGGCTGAGATGGGAGAGAGATCCAGTCCTGACCGGTTCTTCTTCAGAGGAGAAGAAGACATTTTGGATGAACAGATTAATTTTGGCAGGTGCTGGGTCGTCAATTGCCCCTCGGCCGTGCGTGAGGCGACAGGTGCCGTGGCGGGTGTTTGAGATGTTGAGGTGTTGTTTCAACGCGGGGTTCGCCCCCGCTTTCGCTTCGTTTGTTGACCCTCCCTTTTGGCTTGGCAGATGGCTCCTGGGAGGCAAGTAATACCGAGGGTTATTGGCTTGGACGAGTATTGTATAAAAGAGAAGATGTAAATCATTGAAATAGAAAGGCTTGAGTTTCTGGACTCATTTGATGAGTTGAATGGGCTATTTTGACGTTGCGGTGGAGTCGAAGACACAATCGCTTCGTTTCATGTGCGTGAAACATGACCTCAGTTGCCACCAAGTGGAGTGTTAGTGGCGTTCTGTTATTTGTGTATTCTCCATGGATCAATAATATCAATAGTCCTCTTGTATTTCAGGGTCCCTACTTGACAATAAATGCTCCGCTAGGTAGGAAATGCAACAGGACGTTTTCATATCCATTGTTTCTATCGCGTATCTGAACACTTCCAGGATGCATACGAAGAAAATGTAAGCCAATGGCTTCTTCCTAAAGGGTGAAGAAATCACCAAGTGAAGCAGTCTCTGCCATCAATACAACAGTGTTTGAATCTGTGGCCTTCAGGCGGAGGCGCTTCGGGTGGAGCTCTTGGTCGATCATGGACGGCGAGATGGAGGTAAAGCACTGTAACGAAACAGATGATTTCCATTCATGTAAGCTCAACGTACTCATATGAAGGATAAAAGATGACTTGTTTATCCTAATGGCTGGAACGAAATCCTGAGAGCACCGTGGCGAGGCTCCGATGGAGGAATTCGTCCTTGCTTACTGTCATCACCCATCCTCACCATTGCCTATCTCAGGTTTCCGATTATCTCTCGATCCTTTAATAGTAATCGGTAAGCCACTGACAGTTGTCGGTATTCTCCTCCCTTCAATTCTATCTCATCATGCAGTTTTTCCAACTCAAGCACCAAGACCTCATTTTGAAAGACGAAATCGCTGATTCTTAGACCTAGATCCGGAAGAAAATTGATTGTGGCATGATAACACCCCCGATCGAGTCTTCCGGAACGCTCATCGCCCAGATTGTTGGATTTTTTACAGGCTTCTTCTGCGCAGGCTCTTTCTTATCACTCAACCTCATGTACTTGACCGGCCACCCATTGACCGTGTTTGGTAAGGTCGTCAGGTCGTACTCCGTCCCATCATTCTTCTTTCTGAGCTCGATTGTCAAGACGTCACCTGTGAATACAACATCACTGGTATTCAAGCACATTTCCCGTACAGCATCTAGCGTATTTTGGACCTGCGGGTCAGATTTTGTTGCCGCCTTTCGCGGTCTGGTTTCTATTTGGGCCTGATTAATTTGGTGTTTGACTGAGTTACTGTGTGATAAATCCGGGGCATTTCCTACATGCACCAAGCTCTCGTCATCAACACAGGGCCGGAGGTATACTGCAGGTACCCAGAGAGCTGTATCTTCACTGGTTGAGGTTGCTTTGACTCGCCATAATTCTGCCCGAAAGGTAAGATTATTGACCTTCGAGTGTTCAAGAAAACAGATACGTACTGTCGTGGATGTGGATGGCGTCAACGACGACAACCTGACCTGCTAGTACTTCTTTCCTTTGTCCAACTTCTCTGCGTATGAAATCAATGCCGACCACACATTTGAAGGGCGGAAAGACTTCTTGTACGGATCTATCTGGTCCAGTGTACCCCGTATCGACTGCGATGCCTTTGGGTAGTGCGGGATACATGGCACGGACGGTGTCTGGATATTGAGATGAAGACTTCCAAGCAAAGGTGGATGATATAGATATGAATGCAGCTAAGCTGCGGCACTGAAACGTATATAGATTTTGTAAGTTGAGCAACAATGTAGAAGAGGCACATTATTAAATGCAGAGTGTGACCGCTGAACAGGAAGGAGCCACCATACAGAGCAAATTTCAGGAAAGTCCTTGCCCGCTGGGAAGCACTCCCATTTTTCACTGTTGTAGAAGGGAGAATTTAGAGGGGCTACATAATTGAAATAAAGTACGCTCACGACGATACAGAGCTTCCTTTGCTGGGAAACGTTAGGACACGCTCACAAGTCCATGTGAATTGATGACCGCAGATTGACATTCGCGCGTATTGACATCTGGACGACAATGCATTTCGCAGTCACCTCCACACTCTATGCAAGACTAACCATCTGAACCATCTGCAATCCTTTCCCCCTTCGCAACCTCATATGTTCCGACCAAGGAAAGTGCAAAACAGGCAAAGTAAAGAAACTGCTCAAAGTCAGTCACGTGCCCACACCCTCCCCCCAACAGCAAACTCGCGTATGAGTACTAGCAGCATTGCCAGCCAGAGCATTATACCACGCCGCGAAAGCGGAAAGCATACCAAAGATACCGTCAGCGTAAGTGAGATCGTGGTGTGGTGCGTATGTCTCCCCATTGAGATGCGGATATCTTCGTCCTAGGGCAAGACACAGGAAGGCGAGATCTAGGGTGATGAAGATTGAGAACTGCGCTACTGATGAGGAGAGGGTACAAAGCAGAAGAAGGGTAGTGAAGATGAAGATGAACCAGCCCTGTGAGATTTGAGAGAGAGAGAGAGAGAGAGAGAGAGAAGAGTGTGTGTGTGTGTGTGTGTGTGTGTGTGTGTGTGTGCTTTCGAAGAGGAAGAGCGAGAAAGCGTGGCTGAACTCCAGCGAATCGTACGAACTCTCGATCTCGAAGCCGCCGGGAGTGAGAATGATGGCAATAGCTATCCAGAACCCTCCGAAGGAACCTCCGAAGGAGGACAGAGACGTAGCTTCAAAGGTATTGCCAATTGCCATTTCCCTGTCACAGATCATCAGCATTCTGCACCTGAGAAATAATTCAAGTTTTTACTCGCCACATCCCCGCACACAGTTGAACCAGACCTCCGTAAGCAAAAGCTGCAGATATGACAATGGTCGATTGTTTAACATCAAGAACTTCCATGTTAATCGCAGATAACAGGAATGTCGTGAAAGCAAAGCCACAAAGTCCAAGAGGCGAAGGATTCGCGATGTTCCGCTTGCTCATCAATACTCGCTGGTAATGCAAATGCAAATTACCAGGCTGACCGGCCTGAGTTAGTCTTGGTACTAATCTGTTATCGGTCCATTCAAAGTCATCTTCTTTGTCTATAACATTCGCGTTTGATGGAGACATGGTGGTGTTAGTTGGAGGCTAGGAAGGCGGAGTATATGTAACTGTACACAGATGACTTTGAGTACCCAAAACAATGTTGAGATCTGAGAAGAATACTTTACCCGTCTACCTAGGCCTCTTAAATAAAAAGAGCTGTGTGTAGTAATGATCGAGTCCGGCCTGTTTATTAACAATTGGTCCCTGCCAATATGTCAGGCCACTTTCGAGTGATCTGATCTTTCTCATGTGAGTTGGCATCTGCAGAAGTTCGCGAGCGATACTGCCCGTAGACCATAGGCGTGTTCCGAGCGGATGTTAGCTGTTATGGGAAGTATTCTATATGCTGATGATATGTGAAGGGTGATGATGTCAAGGGGGTAAGATTTCTGTCAGGCATCACCGTATCCATTTCCGTTGGAATGGCTGGGCCGTTTAGAGTAGGTAGCTTTCTGGTTGCGCCGACTTGGCAGTTAGACACGTTCTTCAGTTGGCATGAGCGGTTTGAAATCCAATGACTGCATGATAGCGTGTAGCTGACGATATTAGGGTGAAGACAAGCCCCAAAATTGGAACAGAATTGAAAAGTGGTATAAAGGATCCTACTGAATCAACACTAGAACTCACATGAAATGGATCAAGGAACGAAATATGGGAGATGTCCAGCCTTTTGGAGACCTTTGAAAGCTTTGATTATTGGTGAACTCCAGGGTCTGCTCGTTATTCAGCGTCGCCAAGGATGGGCGGAGCGAGCAATTCATCACTGGTAGGCCGGATAGGCCACCTTGAATCTATATCGACCAGTCTCTCTTCCACTTCAAGGCTCATCTGACTTTCTTCCTCTCACTCGATGCCTTATCCCCTGGCGTTGAAGGTTTCCTAGCAGATACCGTGATATATCTGGCTGCATCCCTGTAGACATAACCCTCGTACCCGGCAACTGTATTGATGAACTTGTGCTTTAAACCCAGAGATGCGATGATCATATACGGGATGAAAGCCAGTACATAAAACATCCGTAACATGGGCAGCACATTATCCGATATGTCTTCCACAATCACATCCACAAAGCCAGCCTGTTCCAAGATATCTTTTAGTACACCCTGTTTGAATCGATCGTATGCGGGCATTGCCGAGTACTTGTTGATCGCCGTCCAGGACTTGCCAACAGCTTCTGGTCTCGTGCTGAAGTCGACATGGTCGTATTCAAACATGGCGAGGGATCCTCCAGGGCGAATGACTCGAAAGAATTCAGCTGCAGCTTTTTCTGGCTCCGTCGCATGTACGAACGTCTCCATCGTATATGCGCCGTCAAAACTGTTGTCTGCGAAGTTCTCCAGGTGGTGGTAATCCCCTTTGCTGGCAGAAACCTTTCCCTCTACCCCGAAACCTTTGATATTCCGGCGCGCCTTGACGATATGATGGTCCACAAAGTCGATTGCCTGTACACGATAGCCATTCTTGGCTAAGTGAATTGCGACATGTCCAACACCACAGCCTGCGTCCAAGACCTTCGAGCCTTTCTCCAATCCCAGGTTGCTGATTAACTTGTCCTCCATAGCGCGCAGAGCCTTCCCGATGGGAAATGGCCAATGTGTTCCATGCTTGTAGTACCCGAAGTGTCGAGTTCCTCCCAGCATCAGCCTGTATCCGATCCTGGATTCGAAGCCCTCATAGTAATCCTGCAGCGCCTGGTTCTTGCCTATGGTAGGCTTCTGTTCGGCGGACGACATCTTGGTTGTCGACAAGGCAGAGAGCCTGGGTGGGGGACTGAGGAGAATGGCACCTTCAATGCAGGTCGTGGTTATGGATGTATTCGAGCTCTGTAGATTTGCAAAGTATGGAGGGACTGGTGATTGATTGATACCGGTGAATTGTGCTGATAGACATCAATATGAGGGGTCTTGGGCTACAAAGAACCAACATCCGGACGTCTTGGACGACGGCCAGGGTGGCAATGAGCCACCAATTGAACGCGACGGATCATGGCTTGTCTTGCCCCTTGGAGGCTGGGCAGCCTCGTATGGCACATATAATCACTGTACAGTCCTAGTCGGTTCTTCGCCAGGATGCAAATGCTGTGCCTGTCCTGATATCAAGTGTTGTGATAGCCGCCCGGGTGGATCCGCTTGAAGGCTGAAGAGGTGAGGTGCAGCGGAACAGCACCGTTGAAGTACTTATACAGTAGGGGCACGCGCGGGCCCTTGCAGGGTTGATTTGATGTCGACGGTACCCGGGTGCTCCCATCGTCTAAATTTGGGACTGAGTTTGCACCGAAGCCTGAGATCAATAACCTCGAGTTTTGGAAGGTTATTTTTTGGTTGCACTTGTATACTCACCAGATTGTATGAAAGCTTTAGCTTTCGTTGTTGTGTTATCTGGTCCTTGTCTTTTCGAGCACAGGTCTATCCCTGACCTCTATCCATGTAATTGAATGAAGACAGGCTTAAGATACTCGTCCCTTCCAGAGCACCCTGTCAACCTGGCTATGATGTAGCGGATCGCTACACATTGGTTGGGCACGCTCCAAAGTAGGTAGAGGCCAGAAGTGTGGAGGGATAAAAACATGCTGTCCACTTTGAACGCAACGCCATTGGGCAAACTCCTACGCCGCACATCTCTGGAGAGTCTCTGAGACGTATGCATGGGGTGTGAAACATGCGTACCTATCTCTCCTTTCTTATTCGATGGCTATATCCGTTTGTGTTGAAGATATTTAGCTCGACCTGGCCGTCGGGATTATGATGTATCGCTGGATATTCTTCACGAGCCTGCCACAACCTGAAAGATTTATAGCTCGTACGGGTAGTATGAGTATGCTGGAACTCAGCAGAGCTTTGTTGATCATTGTAGCTTTCGTAGCTCGGGTTCATCAAGCACTTCCAGTCAACTTAGTATCGAAGGATCCAATGCTTGGCGTACGCCTCAAAGCGACGATACCAATATATGGAGTAGCCTTCTTGTATTGCGCTTCACGTGCTTTGATCATCATTTGGACTTCATTCATTTGAGGTTGAAACGTGTGAGGGCATACACGACAGTGGACTGGAGCGGCTTTGTGCCTCATCTATCATGACAGTATCTCACGAGTTTTCTATGTCTAGAGCGTTTCCGATGCATCTTCGTCATTTTATACCACTCTTTGAATGTTGTTGCGCAATCATGCCAATTTGCAGTTGTGATAAGGTAGGAATTAAAGAAGGTATCGCTCTGTGTTCAAGCATGTGAAGGTTGGGAAGCCACTGGAATCGAGAAATGAGTAACAAAACGATCAAGTGTGAGAGCGGGGAGAATAGGAGGGTATTGATTCAGAGTTTCGTGCTACATCCTCTATTCTTGAGGAGTGAGATTCAGTTGGCTTTGTGGCCTTACAGTAAGCTTAATGTTTGGACCATCTCCCCACCCTCTCACTTGATAACCAGCCCCCCGCGGTCGCATCTCAGTCCCTAGAATACTCGAGCAACTGGCTCCGGTGAAAATTCTTCGGCAACTCGTCCAAAGCTATTACGAGATGTCTTTTTCATACCCACAAAACAAAGCTTCTGGAGAGATTGGGGTAAACGAAAAGATGCGAGTCGCCGATTGGCTCGCGTAAACAGGATTGACTCGAATAACCAATGAACCCGGCTATCTCGTGTAAGTTGAGCAGAGAGGCCAACCTGAAGTGCAAAATATTCAGGCCTTAGAAGGCTTACGTCTCTCCTTCCTAGATAAGCCTGTCTTGCGGGATGATATTTTGCATACTGTATCCAGGTTTGTGTTGAACGAAGCCGAATCAGATAACAGTACAGACAAAGTCGCGTGCAAAGCCTCGGCAAGTTTGCAAGCAATGCACATCTTCTTTTGGTGATCTCCGACCACACCTGGCTGGAATAGGCAGGTATTTCAACAACACAGGGCATTAGCTCCACATGACACCGAAAGACGGGTCGCCATCAGACACCCGACCTGCAGAATCAAGAAAGCTTCGACCGAAAGCTTAACAAAGCTTATCTCCACCCGCTTCGGTAGGTGGGGTACATCGACGGGAAGTCATCGGCATTTGTGTGGCAAAGTGACCAAAAGACCGTGGGGTAGTAGTACAGTGGCTTTGACAAGGCACGTACCTATCTGTGGCTTACACGTAAATCTGGATACATTTATGTTTGGAAATAAGGCTGTTTTTCACAATACTTGGAACATCTCTCGATAACCGAGGACTACGGCATCGATGCACTAGGATATTTTCACCCGTTGACTGCGAAATTCCGCCATAGCTACAGCTCCAATGAATAAGCTTTTTGACCAAGCTGATCTTCAGAAACAAGCTTGTTTTAACTGCCCCTCCTTCCTCTTTCGATCGGCTATCCCTTGCCCCCTTAAACAGCTAATGTGTTATCAGGCGCGTGGAGTTGCAGACTTGCGGCATGTTCACCACCTAAGGGTGTTCGGTCTCGCATGTTCATTGGCAACCATCGGCAATCATCTGAAGATCTACAAAGCCGGAGCTGGCAATGGGGTACTACGGAAAGCAGTTGCTTCATCTGGCAGGTGTCATTAAAATTACGGAAGCATCACTACATGAAGATACATAGCAAATGATGGGGCGAGGGAAGCATATGTCGCCAGCTTCCTATTACGACGGAAGTCTTATCCGGCATATGCTGCAAGAGATGAACGCCATACTGAAGCCATATGGCGGCTTTCTTCTTTGGCTCTTGGATATCACATATAAATAGGGGGTGATCGTCCGTCCTCCATTGTCCTTTTCTCCTCACCCCAGTTTAAACCGTCCATTACTGTCCGCTTGCCTCATTTCGCATCATGTTGTTCACCACTCCTCTGGTTATTGCGGCTGCTATCTCCGTGGCATCTGCCTCTCCGATTGAGCGTGAGACTAAGCGAGCTGTTCTGCCCTTGAGACGCAATGTCAATGTTTCATCGATCAAGAACGTCGTCCAGAAAGGACAAGACCGCATTGGTGCGTTACGAATTACCCTTGATTCAATGGAGCTTCCTAGCCGCGTTCTCTTACGTTCGTGCTCCTTATGGACAAAATACTGATCATTCTCGATAGCTGCCATTAACGGCGTAGAATCTCTGGTCGTGAAACGTCAGTCATCTGGTGTTGTCACAAACGAGGATGTAACTTATGTTGCGCCTGTTGTGATTGGCGGCAAGACTTGGGAGCTCATTGTCGACACTGGATGCAAGTCAACGTCTTCTCCACCGCAAGCTTGTTGAAGTTTCCTAACTTCCGCAGCTTCAAACACCTGGTGCGGTGCCCAGACTGCCTGTGAGAAGACTGCTACTGGTACTTCTACTGGTCACAAGGTCTCTGTCAGCTACGGAAGTGGTTCTTTCTCTGGCACGGAGTACACAGACACTGTTTCCTTCGCTGGTCTCACTGTCTCGAAACAGTCAATTGGTGCTGCTTCTACAGCTACCGGATTCTCTGGTGTCGATGGTATCATTGGCTTCGGTCCAGTTGGCCTCACGTCTGGTACGTGAATAGATCTCGAGAACTATTGCGTCTCGCCCCTGACATCCCACTCTTGAGAACTCCCATACATTTCCCATTTCTCAAAGAAAATGCTAACTCCGTGATGTGTACAGGTACCGTAGCAAGCACCAGCACTGTTCCCACGTTCATGGACAATCTCAAGGCTCAAGGATCCATCTCCACCGAAGTCCTCGGTGTGTCCTTCAGACCAGAATCTGGCAGCGATTCTGACGATGCCAACGGAGAGCTGACTCTCGGTGGTGTCGACTCTTCCAAGTACTCCGGAACCCTCCAATACTTCCCCAGGCTCACCAGCGGCACTGCCTCCTCATACTGGGGTCTCTCAATCGCCAAGTTCACCTACGGATCAACCACCCTCCTCTCATCCGCCACTGGTATCATCGACACTGGAACTACCCTGATCTACATCCCAACCTCAGCCTACAACGCGTTCCTCTCCGCAACTGGAGGAAAGACCGATAGCTCGTCAGGCCTTGCTGTTTTCACCACAAAGCCCACCTCCAACTTCGGCATCACTTTTGGATCAACTACTTACACTCTTACCCCAGCCCAGTACTTGGTCCCTACCGCACAGTACGCCAACTTTGGTCTCACTTCTGGCAAGTACTATGCCTGGATCAACAATGGAGGTAGCTCTGGTGTCAACACCATTATTGGCCAGAAGTTCTTGGAGAACTACTACTCTGTCTACGATACCACGAACTCCCGAATTGGTTTCGCTACTGCTGTATAAAAGTTTTGTATAGTGACAAGGGTATCTTGTGGGTTAGTTTTCCAAAGGATGTATTGATGGAGTGGTCGAAGAGCATGTAGCGAGAGATGACAGCATCGTTCTAGTTCAATTTAAAAAGGGAAGGTCATACATACAGGTTCTCCTAAATTTCTATGGCAGTGAAATTTGAATATGCAGGAACCAGATAACATCTGGATCTGCCTGTAACGGGTGATCGAATCTGAAGAGACAAGTTTCAAACGCATGTAGCTGCCCGTCTCCACACCACTTCAAAGATACACATAGTGTATAAGTAGGCGTCACTATTAGTCAACTTGGTTTGTTATAAGTAAGTCTGAAAGTTAAATCGGTTTTTCCATGGTTTTACACCTTAGCCTATGCCGCTAAATGTATTGAAAGTAACACCAATCTCACAGCCCCTGGAAGTTCTTCCTGCCATCCTAAAACCTGTCTTCTTCTATTGCAGTCCACAAGCAGAAGCATCCACCTGAGCATACTGCGCATCAATCCTCCCCAACGCCACCGCCCTCCCCCCAGTCAACTGATCCATCGCCTGCTGCGCAATATTAAACCCCTCACCCGCATGATCCATCGCCAGAACATTAATCGTATTTCCATTATACGTAAGCGACCAGCAAGTCCCACAACTAGCACTGTTCCATCCGGCAATTACTGAAGCCCCGCCGATTCTTGGGAATGAGGGGAGAGAGTTTTGAGTGCTGTAGCCTTTGCTCAGGAGGCCGTTGTTGCCGTCGCTGCAGGAGACGACGGAGAGGGAGCGGGAGCCGTCGTCGTAGCCGGTGTCGTAGGAGACTGTGATGGCGGTGGCGATGGAGAGGAGGGAGAGGAAAGAGGCTGTGAGCTGCATTTCGAAAGATTGGAATATTTCGAGAGTTTTTATGATTTTTTAGAAGCTCTTCCTTGAGGAGTAATTTGAAGTGATGAGGCAAGCTGTTTTGGTTGGTAGATTTAAGGAACCTCATTTGGGTCGACGAAGTCTTTTATAACTTGATAGATACCCCTCACATGAAATGATGTACTGTTTGTTGCTAGGACGATATGCAGCTCTTCGTATCTATTTCTGGTACGAAGCATCAACCCGCATTATTACCCCATAAAATGCCCACAAACCGGTACTTCGCTGGCGTGGTGTGACGTCGAGTAAGCGAGGAACCTTCTTGGCGCAGTGCTGATCCTGAATGTTACGACTAATAGAGTTTTCAGTGTCCAGTCTTGTAGAGCAAAATATGTCTCCTGTTTGGTGCCTGATAGTTGAGGATTTATGACGATGGGCAGTCTGGCGGATGATTTGGGGTCTTCTTGGAAAAGAGCTAAAAAAGAGCTTGGAGGGAGGTTGGTTCATGTTTCTTTCAGAACGGAAGCGAAGAAAGTTTATATTTAAGTAATTGTGATGTCAAAATAGCCATATTGAGTTGTTGGCAAGCTTTCCTTGCATGTAAACAGGGGCTGTGCCTGTTAATTGCCGGTAGACTCGGCAATTGCGTAGTGCAGGTGGCGATCGCAGCATGATAGTTTCTTGTATGCAGCGAAGAGCCTTGAAATGTACGAAGTCCGAGTAGACATCTGACGTGGTATCATAGGTTGATTTGCCGATAGTGCGTCCTCATACAGGGAGTTCTGCTTCGGATCACATTTAATGTTTACTTTTACAAATCACATGACCTTACAATCATATGAAGAGGTCGAGGTAGAATGCAGAGAAGTCAAGTCTGCTCTCGTCACGAACATTTCACCATGATTTAAATCCTTATTTTAGCAGGCAAATCACTGGAGGGCGATATGGGAGAGGCAGAATATGGATGATAATATCCAGCTGGGAGCCGCTCGCTTAGAACAGCGGCCCTCAAGAAAGCCTCCTTGGCGAGTTTTATGTGCCGTAGCTGAAAACAAATACCAACAAACAGAACAACATATGGGCGGAACTCCATTCTGACAAGATTCGACCAACCACAGCACGATATATAAAGTCAAGGACCGCTGGCATCCCTCCTCGTTCTTTTCCTTTCTCAGTGCAGTAGTCTCCTAATATTTCGACACCGACATTCAGGGAGAGCAGGTTGTACAGGTGTATGGACAGTCGTCGTGAGAGTGAAAAGTTGAATCAGACACACTTGACAGGTTGGGCATGTCGGGACAAAAGAAGCAGCGCGCCGAGCGGCAATGCTGGGAGGGATGGAAAGTTGATGGTGGTTGGACTTGCACTTGAGCTTGGGATATGGGTGACTGGGATATAAGCATTATCTCAAGAAGTTGTTGTTTCTGTTCAATGAAGGCCTCGCGTTAGGTTGTGGCTGGCTTGCTTGAAAATGGGAATGAGGGGAGGAATTGAGCTGCCCACGTGATCTTGGAGAGACAAATACTTATTGTGAGAAGGTGAATATCGGTAAAAATCTGGATGAATCAAGTCGTCATATTCTTTCGCTGGATACGACAAGGCCCTTAGCCTGATAAGCTTCACGTGTTTCGAGCAGCAACAGAGGCAATTTGTTAAATTCACTCTTTCGATGGCACTGTCTTCAAACCAACCCTCTCCCGTATGGCATAGGCCTCGACTTTCCAGGCAGTATTCGAGGCGTTTGCAAGCCTACGATGACTTAATATTAGCAGCGTCTTCTGAGAATAATGATAAATTCGTACATGCTTAGGTAGTCCTAAACCATAGTTCTAGACGAACTAACCATGCAGTGAAATGGAGAGAGATTCAGACTAACCACTCCGCAGTATCGTACTCCTCGACAAGTACTCCATCAAGCATCAATCTCATGATCCCTACTCGTGTGTGAATCATCTCTCCTCCATACCATCGTGTCCCAGATATGAATTGTATCCAACGCCGCACAAAGGCTAAGATAAACATCGGATTCATCACCATCTTGAGCCCCGTCTCTCTGCTTCTTTTCCGTAATATGGCTGGGTAACTGTCCATAATGGATGCGATCATCTCAGGTTGTAGGTCTGGCGTTCTGATGTCAAGCGTGACAACTTGAACGCTTACACTCCTGTCTACTCTGTTCTCTTGTGTGCCCAATGGTCCAGCTTCCAAGAACCTTATCAGAAGACTTTGAAAACACCATGCCATCCAGGGAGGACCACCGTCGCCGTTCTGGAAGCCACGACCATATTTACGGCTGAATGGTCCAAGGTCTCGTAAAGTTACTAGTAGTTCATCCACTCGAGTAGTTAGACACGGCACGTATAGCCATGTTGGCCAGAGCTCTTCTCCATCGATCATCATCACATCCAGACGGTAACTGCGAGCTCCCGGAAGTTTGAGATGTCGCATGACTGTAAGAGTCTGAGCTCTTAATAGTTTGTTGACCTTGAGAGTTGGGATTCCATCAGGCAAAGAAGTTGCCTTCAGGTACTTCACCCTGTCTCTTCTTGTAGATGGTGTATCATCGAGGTACTCGCGGCTTTCCGGATCACCTTCAAGCTGACTATAAAATATGTTAGGTTCTTCGTTCAGAAAATGTTTATTGGTTCCCATGGAGCCTTTGTGATACTTACGGTGGCATCTCCACACGTGGGACAAGGAGAGTTATTATCTTGTCGCGCAGCTCTTGTGGAATTCCAAGCAAAGTTGCTCGACTCTCTTGGGACGAATTCATACTCATATTTTGAGCTTTTGCAGCTGAACAGAAGTTGCAGTCAGGCTACAAACATACTTGAAGACCGTCTGGGGACGAGACCAATTTTATGTTCTCTCCGCCTCAGGCAACAATGTGTTTACCTAGGAAAAGAGTCATATAAGGCAGCAAAGAGAATAAATGAATACGTTTGAACAGTGCAGCATAAGAGTGATGGCAATTCTTACTGTTTGCTGTTGACTTCTTCGTGATGCTCGACAAGTTGTAAGAGCTGGCTGTGAGTCTTTGCTGCGGTTTGGTGGTTGACAAGTCACAGCCAGAATCCGTCGGCTAAATGTCGCAATATCAATCTGACCTGCATGCCAAGTCCTCACAATGTTGGCCACTGCCTAATTATTCCGGACTTTAGTGTATAAAAAACTGGGCCTTATTGCCTCAAAAGTTATACCATTGCGTAGAAGGACTTTTCAGTCCAATAAAGCTATTTACATGAAACATTTTCGAGCATTTCTGTCCTTCGGCTAAATGTAAACAAAGTATATCTTACATTGCTGAAGACTTCTGTTCGACCGAGCAGATATCAGAATATCCAGATGCTTGTCCAAAGAATGTTCTCCTATCGCCGAACAACGTGAATGAGTTATCCCTTCCACAGGGTAGGCCCGGGAATAGTGTAATTCGTCAAGGTCGTGTAGGGGTTGAAGTAGATTCCTGGGTCGGTCGCCTTGTAAAAGGACGTTGCCAGAACTCCGGCAGGCTTCTGTGTGCCAGACCCCGTGACATCGATGTTGACACAGAAGGGGTAGTTCTGAGCTCCATTCAATGCACTGCCACCATGGAGTGCTATAATCTCGTGGCGGAAAACATAATGCCCTAGACATAATGATTAGCAATCGTACTGTGGTGGGGCAATTCAGGAGACCGGTGCAGACTAGACATACCTGGGGCAAGTGATTTAGGAACCGTGGTAGTCCAGGTGTTGTTGTTCGCCATAAGTACACCTGTTGCCCAGACTTGTGTAGAGAAATTGATTCCAGACTCGTCGATCTTGACAAATTTGAGAGTGCTCTTTGCAACCTGTATGATCTGGTCAGTGACCCAAGTCATTGTAAATGTTCTTCAAGGTGATAATAACTATCAAGATGAAATGTTGGATGAGACTTACACTCTTACAGTCCCCACCACAATTGGCGACATAGGTCACCACAGGTCCGATGTTGTGCGGCCAGGTCGTCCCTACAACAATCAAAAAGTCAGCAATTGAGAATATGATCTGTCTCGACACTAATTTTGTCCTAAAGTAACCCAGAGAGAATTTCATGGAGCATTGTAAGGCGGCACTGCCCTAACAACGAAGAACGTACATTGGAACTGTACGGTCCCACCAGCAGCAACCGTAGCAGAGACATTGGCGTTGACTGCATTCTTATGACAGATGATGTTGGGGTTTCTGAATCACGTGTGTATCAGCACTGAGGGTTTTTTTAGAATAACAGTGAGCAGGAGGTGGCCTACTGATACTCGGTGGGTGGTACAAAGCCAATATCAAGGGCCTCCTCGTACCATCCCGGAGTCTGGGGAATCGGGACCTTGTTGACGATGTCATACCAGTAACCTACTTGCCACCCTTTTGTGTAGACACCGTTTGCTACAATGCCAGAGACATATCCATGACCAAGAGCTGTACTAGCCAAAGTACTGAGAACACTGGCGGCTTTGAGAAAGTTCCGCATCTTGATTGGTATCAGTTCAAGTGTAAATGTAGATTGGCAAGAAGAGCTGTAGACTGTAGACTGTAGACTGTAGACGACAATCGAGGGACTTTATGGGTAAAGTTAGCCTTTAGCCCACAACTAGGAACTACCTAGTCATTGGCGCAAATATTTTCATCGATATGTAATTCTTCAGGCACCCAAGGATGATACAATTTGAAGGACGCGTCGATCATTGGTGCAATTCCTCGAGCTACCTCATCCTTGAGAAGCCGCGCAGGGCCAGTTTTATAGAGATTGCGATTATTGGTGCAAAAGTAGTTTTATTCATGAATCGTCAGGCAAAAACGATCATTTGACCAGCTTTCCCAGATGTTGTTCCTCCCTGGCCGACATTCCTTTCTATCGCTCGATCGCGGAATGAGCATTCCCGCGGCCTCCAAGAACCCCTTCCCATAGAGGTCGATCTTCTACAGAGAAGATATCTACATGGATGTCACGAGTGCCTGTCCTGTCAGCTATAGGCCTAGTCAGATGAGCCATTTGCTAGCCTGTAATCTACCGGCATGAAGGTGGTTGTTGGAGCCTTGGCGAGGATTATTGGTAAACAAGTATTCGGTTGTGCGGATCCGGGGTTGCGGTGCGACGGAGCAGGCGGCAAACGGAGCAAGACAGGATGTTGACAAGGGGTACCTGCATTGGATACAAGTCACTGGAAAGTGACCAAACAGGCTGGAAATTACTAAGATGCTGCCAATAGCCATCCATAGTAAAAGATCATGATCTAGCCAAGAAGGTCACTATTTTACGAAATTATTCTTTTGGTTGCGAATATGATCTCCTGCAATTTTACCGTGTGGCTGGGATTCCTCACCAGAGGCGCCTTCGATGAGATCTGATGAAGAAAGGTTGCATCTCAAAGATGCATGCGCGAGCAAACGTATCCTGATGGCATTTCTGGGTTTCGACATTGAACTGAATTTCTTGATAGCTTTCAGAGCTCCTTCTCTACCAATCAATTTAACCATCAGGAGCAGCTGAGCAGTTTTTTCTTTCTTCAAGTAGGAGCGAGGAGAGAGGAAAGCACAATCGGACTTTGTATTATTCTCGGCTCAAGTATTATCAGATGCCATCCATTGAAGCGATACCGAATACAGCCACAGCGGCGCAACTACATATCGCCCTTGAACTTTGCATTTTCTTTTACCTCATTACATCGCTTGGGATCCTCAAAATCTGGCGTCGCTATCTGATATCCTCGGTGATGAAGAGAATGTATCTTGGGAATTAAATTAAGCAAGAATCTCCCTAGCAACAGAATTGATGAAGTCTATTCCTTCTTTCCTCCATGTGTCAGCTTCCACATATGTTTTATTGGAGTTCAGCACCATATTCGTCGGTTTCTTCAAATCATACTTCGGCCAGTAAGGTAGCGTACTATTGCCTCTGCTGGTATTCGGATTGTGGTCGTAAATGAAGGAGATATACGCTCTCCCAATATTGCGGCTCAAGTTGGTGTAATTCTGATATTTCGGCAGAGGTCCAAGTGCACCAGAAATGTTCTGAAAGCTGAAAACGACATTGTCGAAGTGTCGTGCTCCATCAGTGACCGCAGCATTCCAGAGTGGCGTATCAAAACGGTAACTGTACACAGGCTGGCCTGCAGCTGTGTAAAGCTCGCAGAATTTGCGGCGGCCTGAGATCATCACGATGTCTCCAGCAATGGCTGCACTTCGACGCCACTGCAACCCTTTGTTTGGGAAAACGGTAGCATTTTTGATGTAATACGGAGGTTCGTTTGCAGGATCGTTTGGATACAGCTCCAGTAACTTTCGAGCCGTGTTTGGTACAATGGCGTATGATCGCCAGGATAGGAGACTGTTGAAAATTGCTGTTTCATTGTCGACACCAGTGATCCCGAAGTTGCTTCCTTCGTCGCTATTGGCGCCGTCCAGGAGTGGGAGACGTATGAATTTGCCTTCCGCCATTAATGTGCTTGGGTACGCGGTAAGAAAATCACCTGATGAAAATGAGCATAATTGACTTCAGTGGTAATTTTCGAACATTTAGCGAGCAATGGGAAACTCTATGTTTACTCCGACCTTAATACGAGAAACTTGTCACTCACCATCGATCAACGGATTCCAAACTGTCGTGACTCGAGCCTTCCAGAGCTGATCTGATGACAAATCTCGTAAGCATGCAAGCTGGTTCTTCGCAGTCCAGCAGTCAGTAGCTCTCGTCAAGTTCTCTACGTGTGCCGAATAGTAGGCCAGAGGTTGGACTTGTGCCCCAGTCGGGCCTCCAGACTCCAGGATAGCTGATTGGAAGAGATTATCGTCTCGTCCATCATACGACAGCAAATGATAAGCTAGACTCTGAGCTCCGGCAGATTCCCCCCAGATCGTGATTCGGTTCGGGTCTCCGCCAAAAGCAGCGACGTTTTCCTTGATCCAGCGGAAGGCGAGCCTTTGATCCAGGAGACCTGCGTTCGAGTTTCCTTCGGCAAGTAGTTGCGGGGTCTGTAGGAATCCCCACACACCTAGTCGATAGTTTATTGAGACTGATGTGTTAGTAGAGACTATTGACATAGGGCTTCCCAAACAATACCTGTGATGATAGGTTTCCCAATTTCCTGTCCAACATGGGTGATACCGGAGATATTGTACTGAGGGTCAGCGGTTGAACCAGCGTAAAGTCCTCCTCCATACACCCAGATCAATACTGGCAATTTGTGCTTCGGGGTAGTTCCAGCAGGCCGAACGACTGCTTGAAGTTAGTGGCGTTCGGATAATCAGCCGCTCAAGTCTGTATACCATTCAGCGTGAGACAGTCTTCAGACAGGGTGAAGTTTGGGTTGCTATACTGATAGCAAGAGAATCCGTACTCCGTTGCATTTCTAAAGCCAGTGAATGCGGTATCCAAAGACTTGGGGCGAGCGAATCTGAGTGGCCCAAGTGGGGGTATGGCATAAGGAATGCCAAGAAATTGATCCTGCTGCCATTTGGGAACATACTTCCCAAAATATGTTCCGTTCTTGACTGTTGCAATTGGGGCACTGGAATTGATGGTAGCCCCCCTTGTCAAGCCTAGGAGTAATGCTGGAAACAGGACGCCGGTAAGCGAGTCGAAAAACATCATGATTTTCTCTTCGGCGGGTCAGACAGCGTTTTGAGAGGATCAAGATAGGTCCTTGGAGCAGCAGCAGCGATGTGAATTAGCCTTTATACAATTGTATTGCCTAAATGTTGTGTCTGACTCTAAGTGGAACCGGTCCAGTCATCCTTGAGGACGATCATGATATCCCCATATAATCGCGGAGTTATGGTAAAGTTCGATTATCATTGGAGGAAGATTTCAGAGTTACGGAACAATCTTGGTGGGGTAATAGCCGCAATCACTTGGCAACCACTTTATCTCTCTTAGGACGTCATGATTCCTCGAGTGGATTAAGCATATATGATGGGCACGTGTGTTCTTGATTCAGGCGTTTTCTTCGAAAAATAGAAAAAGTGTTCGAAAATTCTGGGGTAGTCGAGGAATTTTGTTCTAAAAACGCATATTTCGATGCCAGGTTCGGCCAGCAAAATTACGCCTCGTTAAGAGCACTTTCCAAACGCATTTGACATTGAACATTTGAAACTAGATGTAGATCGTTACTAGGTATAGATGTACCCTAAGTGAGAATTCGACCGGTCGATAATCAAATCCGAGCCTCCTGGCGGGAGCGGACAGCCATTCTGCTGGTTGGGAATCGTCTCATTTGAGAGCGGAAGCCTCTTATCTCTTCTAAGTATTAGTCGCTACACTCGTATTCTTCTGGATTCGTGTAGAAACTCTATGAAGTATCACTCAAGGACTCGCCATAGGTAATAGCTACCTATTCCGCACGTGATGTCTTTCATCTTGAGTAGGACTAACGAGCATCGTTAAATGCGTTGCATACAGGTGGCTTCTTTGGGCGCAATTCTCATTAGAAAATTGTGATTCATCCTGAGAACCTTCATGCGGTCTCATAAGTCGGATAATAAATATTCGAAAAGCGTTTTGAGTCAACATTGCGTCGGCTAAGGCAAAAGGGTGCACTTCGCTTATGAGTTCTGACATGTCAACAACCAGCATGAATCACATAAATGCTGGTTCAGGGAGAAAGTAAGTAAACTCTGTTGCTGGCAGCCAGATATCACTGATAATATACTTAGGGGTACTCCTGGGAGTCATTCCTGTGGAATTCATGGGCAAAATGACTTTTGTTCAATTGATGGTAGTTAAGCCTCATGTAGTGAGACCTTTGGAAGAATGTGTTCGCTATTAAGTGTCTTGAAGCGGCATGGCTGAGGAAGCGTTGTAATGAGATAAATGCTTTTTTCAATGTAGATGAATAAGCTTTCAACACCATATGGTCTAAACCTGTCATTGTATCTACTGAAAGGCGAATAGATAGCCAATATTGATAGCCGGTGTCTGACGTGCCTGTGGCGCTATTCCTGAAGATAGCTTCTGGAGAGAAAGTACACTTAATACCCCAAGTCTATATTCCCAAATGTCTTCACGGGTTCTCTGGAGTCCAAAGTGAGATCTGAGGGTGAAATGTGTCCTCTGAGCGGCAGAACCCCCTGTCTTCATAACTTCGGGGAATTCCTTCTTAAGAGCTCCAAGACGCCGTCGAATTACACGTTTCCTGCAAAATGTTCTTATAACCGATAACCTTGAATTCATTCAAAGATTCGACATGAATTCGTGCGACATCTCAAGGCTTCTATAAGACTGAAGTGGGCTCCGAGTGGATCTCAGATATGTTCCTCTCACTACTCTCCACCCCTTGTTTCCAGACCCCATACTGCTTCTCATACCACTTCAATATCCCAGCCGATCCTTCCTCAGAAATACACTTCGCAAGTCCAACACCGTCCCTAATAGCAGCATTCGCACCATGACCACCAATGATAGGCTCAGCATGCACAGAATCCCCCATGAAAAAAACACCTTTCTTGCCAAGCTCCTGCAATTCCGGCAAGCTGACCAAAACAGTCCTCATAAGCCAATGGAGCACGCGTTCAAGCTTCAATTTCTCACTGTCGAAAATCTCTTTGAACGGTTGCTCGAGGTTCACTAGTTTGCTGATCTCGTCGTAGAATTCTGTCGGGATGTCTGTCGCGCCTGATACGGGCCTGTTAGGTTTGTGTAGTGGATCATTCGAGCCCCGAGATGGCCGCGAGTAGATCCACGATACACTGACATGGTCGGCTGTATTTTCATTGATGGAGATATTCAGCACGACATCTCTCAGCTTCAACTCGATCACAGTTGAATCTTTCATAGCTGGTGCGTAGAGCCTATCGAATAACGCACGCGTGAGGCGCCGTTTACCGTTAAAGGCCACGAAGGGGAGGATGGTGAACTCGGTGGCGGGTATGAGTGATTTCCTTGTGTTGGAATGGGGCCCGTCGATACCGATTACGCAGTCACTGGTGAGGTTTTGGCCGTTTTGGAAATAGAGCACCACTTGATTGTTGTTGGGCTCGACCTTCTCGAGTGCGTGTTCCCATTGTACGTCGAGACCTTCGCGGAGGAGGCGTTCGAGTTTCTCACGATGGGCGCGGAAGGATGAAGATTGGGATGAGTCTGATATGCCTTGCTGGATGAGAGATTTGGAGTTGATGATGCCGCTGCAGCCGATAGCTCCGTCGACTGCCACACGGCGCTTGAATGTCCATTCGTCCATGTCGAGGGCGGCGAGAAGGGGCTGGTAAGTGGATTGGTGGAGAGTGATGGCATAGCCGTGGCGTGGGCTTGAGGGCATTCGTTCATATAAGATGGTGGGTATGTTGCGCTTCAATAAGCAGCGACCGAGTGTGAGACCACCGATGCCTGCGCCGATTATACTGATAGGTTGCTGGGGTGCCATGATGAAGATTATGTGCCGGTATCACGGGCTGACGGGGGTGATAGTGACTTAGGTGATGTTGAGGTTCTTGTGAAGATAATGAGAAACTGGATGGATCGTGAGGAAAACGATAAACACAGAGAAGCACTCACTTTCATGAGTTGAATATTTTGCCTGGTTGTCATGTGTGACGAGATTTGGTTGGCTCGATGGTCCAGGGAAGTCATCTTTCCACCGATCGTGCTAATGTATTAATAGACGCTATGTGGGGCTACGGACCGCCCCGAGGGAGATAAGATTTTAGTCGGATTTAGACTTACCCAAGAGAACAAGTCTAAATCCGACTTAAACCTTAAGGTAACAATTAACTGCATGTTGATACTGAGTAGTGTTGATTTGAGTTTTCCCCCCAATATTGAGCCCCAAAGCTTCTTTCAACCGTACCGTATTTGCCCGTAACTCACTACTCGCCATGGCGGAGCTTGCCTTGCTGTCCAGTGTCGCGGGGCTGTTCTCACTTGGCATCACAGTATCCCGAGGAATTCTACTGTACTACGACGCATATCGCAGCTCTCACAAAGACATCGATACCATGTGCGAGTCGATCGAGTCGCTGGGAAAGACTCTCGTTGCGATTCTGACCATGACGAAGGGCCGGGATCTCAGTGGCACTGTGCTCGAGACCGTCACCAGCAGCATTCGATCTTGCCAAGCAGGCATCGAGGATTTGAAAAAGAAGCTGGACAAGGTCAAAATGCTTGCACCTGATGGCACTTGGAAGACTCTGGCGGCAAATGCTAAAAAGAAGGCTACTTATCCTTTTAGGGAAAGTACTTTGGTGAAGCTCCGAGAGATTTGTAGCGAGTTGAAGGATAATCTTGCGCTGGCAATCGATGCGCTTCAGATGTAGGCCGCCATTTTCAGTTTATCAGTCCCCGCAGCTCTCTAGTTCCAGTTAAGTGACGTTGATTCACTGCAGAGATATGGCGACTATCGCATTGCAGCGACTTGAAAGTGTGGATTTGGCGACTATAGCAATCCAGAAGGATTTGGAACGGCTAGAGGGCGAAATATCTGCTACGAACTTTGGTGTATATTCGCTTGTCACATCTCAAGAAAGTATGCATCATCCACCTACGGTCCGTTGATTTTTGGGTTAAACTAATATATCACCAGGAGAGCTTCTGGCGAAGATTTATGCTTGGCTGACGCCTCTCTCGACCGTTTTCAACAACAAACAGAGAGATACTCTTGCTACTAAGACACGACAAGATGCAGGTGCTAGAGCTTTACTCGAGACAGAAGAATTTAAGATTTGGAAGAAAGCGCCCGGCACAATACTGTGGTGCATTGGAATGCGTCAGTAACTGCATAGTTTCCCTACACGGGCATCTCAATGTGGAAAGGCTGACTGCGTTATAGCTGGGACAGGTAAAACTGTTAATATGTAAAGTGACATATTAAACCTCTCGGAAAAGCGTATGCTAAGTATCACAGGGCTTTCATAATTGAAGCGTTGCTTCAAAAGCGGAAAGCCGATGCGTTCGGCGTCGCTTTCATATATTTTAGCTACAAAGACGGAGAAATTCAGACACCAGTCAACCTAATGGCTAGTCTCCTGCAACAACTGGTGTCACAGAAGTCAGAGTACCTCCAAGATCTCAAGAGTTTATACAACAAGCACGTTCGAGAGAACACGCGGCCTGACGTGGGGGAAATCTCGGATCTACTTCTACCCATCATATGGAGCTTCCCCAAGGTCTTCATTATCATTGATGCTCTTGATGAGTGCTCCGATGCGGACGATGTGCGATTCATTCTTTTAACCGAGCTGAAGAAATACAAGAGTCGAGTGTGCCTGCTGATCGCCTCGCGACCACTTCCAAAGCTTGAAGAGGGACTCGAGGATGCCGTTCGTGTCTATGCGAAGGCCAGTGAATCTGACATCAAAAATTATCTCGAACAGCGACTTGCAAGTGTTAAAACTATGCAGAAGCATTTTATTGACGAGCCTTCACTCAAGAGCACGATTGTCTCAACAATCATCCTGAAAATCAGAGGCATGTAAGCATCAACCTGTATATCCAACAAAGCAGACTAGGAATCTTGATGTTGATTTCCTTAGGTTTCTCATGGCTCGTCTATATTTGGATACGTTGACGACCAAGATAACCCGCCGCAAGATCAAGTCCGCTCTGGATAATCTTCCGGAAGGTCTAGATTCCATCTACGACGAGCTAATGGAGAGAATTAGACTCCAGAATCCTCGTGATCATGCTGATTTAGCAATCAGAGTTCTCGGCTGGATCTTCTTTGCCGTACGTCCCCTCACCGTGCAAGAAGTTCAGCACGCTTTAGCTATCGAGGAGGGAGATCGGGACCTCGACTGCGACGGAATACCAGATACCGAACTCCTCGTCTCCGTCTGCGTCGGAATGGTTGTCATCAACCGCGAGAGCGATACCGTCACATTAGTCCACTACACTGCACAGGAATATTTTCAGCGGGGGAAGAAACACGTGTTGGAGCACGCAAACATGGATATAGCTCGAACTTGCCTGACCTATCTCCAATTCGACAACATCAATCTCGACACAGACCATTCGCCCAATAACATAGCACGTATGCTCGGCGAGCATACCCTCTTGGGCTATGCAGCTCAGCATTGGGGTGACCACGCGCGACAAGCCGACGATGATCAAATTACTCAGTGTATTGTCAGACTTCTCGGAAGTCAGACCAGGGTTCGTCTTCTCGTGCACGCGAAAGACTACGCCGACAACCATTCAAAGGGCACCTACTTCAAGCCTAGGCATAACGTAGATGGCTTGTCTCTGGCATCTTCTTTCGGCCTGGCCTCTGCAGTGTCAGCATTGCTCCAGTCAGGATCAGACATCGACTCAGCCGATTCGAATGGACAGCGGGCTCTCTACCGCGCAGTGGGAGGCGGACATATGAAAACTATACAAATTCTCCTCGACAAAGGTGCCGAGATCAATGCAAAGGATAGAATTGGCTGGACAGCTCTCCATCTAGCTTGTTCCAATGGTCAGACCGAGCTTGTGCGCTTGCTGCTCCAAAAAGATGCCGACATAAACATCGTCGACGGATATAAAGCGACGCCTCTCTACCGCGCAGCTGAGTCTGGCTCCGAGGCCGTTGCAGATCTATTGTTGAGTAAACAGGCAGATTTGTCTATCAAAAGCAGTTATCTACAGACCGCGCTGCATCGGGCTGCAGATCGCGGTCATGCTGGAATTGTGCAGCTGCTTCTGAGATATGAAGCTGATGTCGCTGCGAAAGATCATTATGGTTATACGGCTTTCTATCGAGCAGCTGACCAAGGAAATGAGGAAGTGGTGCGGATTTTGAGAGCGCATATGGATCGCATTTGAAACCAAATTGCTCAACGAAGAAGCAAGAACGTGGAGATTTAATTGGAGGCCCTCGACACCACGAGCGAATCAGAAGACTCGAAGAGCACCATGCAGGTTTCAGTCCAATTGAACACTACATCCAGTCCCGAACTCGCCAAGACGAAGGCTGTACTGTTCTCCAGACCAGACTGGAGAGATCCTGCACCCTTCTTGGGCCATCCTCGCCAATTATGGTGTTGCATCATCGACTTTCTCAACAGCGAAAGCATCACGTCATTAGCTCTCTGCAACAGAGAGCTGTACGAGAGTCTCATACTAGCAATGTCCCTACGTGTTTGCCGGAACGAACATGCAGGATGAAGCAACCCTCTCAGCACCGGGCGCGTCGGAATCTTTTCCAACTACTAGAAAGGGATCACGATATTTTTTCGGCATATTTACTCCTCTTAATCGTGAGAACAATGATCCTGCCACTGTTGAGTGTAAAGCCAGAGAAGAATGTGAGAATCAAAAGTACTGCTACGGCGACTGGAAGATCAAGAACGAACTCATATCAAGCCATGAACGTTCGCGTCGAGAGGAACAACGCCGCAGTACCTCCCGCTACATGTATGAACAGAAAGGCTACTACACTACGGAACAGCCACGAGACACGGACCGGATATCAAGCTGGGTTATTGGATGGAAAGAATTTGGGCGGAAGAGCTGGGCGGTGACGATGTACTGGGTGGTTGTCGGGGACTGTGTTCCAGGATCCATTCGTTGGGAGACAATAAACACACAACAAGTTGTCCTTTATACACCCCCGTTCCTTCCTATCGGTGAAATAAGAAGCGCTGTAACCAAGACAACGAAATATGGAAGACTTATGAGGGGGAGGACATTTTCGACCCAGTGTCTCTCCTGACTAAAGAAAACAAGAGGTTGCTGCTGTCGAAGTCCCCTTCTCCTCAAAACGAGGTCACAAGATAATACTGCAATTGGTCGTGTCATGGTGCAATATCTTCTTCAGGTAGTTTTTCTTAGGCATTGCTCCATAGAACCATAAAGAAGATATTTTCCATTTGCAATATATTCAAGTAGTTTTCACAAAATACCTGTCTACCTTTTTCATCATGGAAACATAACTTCATCCAGCTATCTTGAAAAAGGCAATAATTGCCCAGAACCTACTGTTGACAGTCACTCAGTCTGCTTCTCCGCTTGACATCTCTTCAACCGATCGCCTAAGCTCGCAATGAGATCTTTGTTAAGAGCCAGTTCCTTGAATCTTACTCTTTTAGTCCACTACTTAGGGCAACCCTCGACTCGTGCTCAGGCATGCTCAGGAATGATCACTCCCGGCTCAGGTTAAAGCGGCAGCTGCTCAGGTCCAAACACTAAAACGGAACGAGCGAAAACAAGGTTTGAGTCTGACTTTTGTGGATATCTCGAGCCCAAGACTGGGATGGATCTCCCAGGTTGTCTCAACCGTGGCAGAATCGCCTTCCTTGAGTAAGCGGGACTTAACTCCACAACTAGAGTTCACATATGGGACCTCTCTTCCATAGATGAAAGTTATTCTTACTTCACAGTAGGAAGTGCAGGGTGACGCCTCGTTCGTTGAGGGTTGCCTCATTTCACCGGCACAGCTTCCATTCTTACCAAAGTGGGACTTTTTCGGAAAGTAGTACAAGTCCTATGCTGCTGTCAATCCCACAATTATGCAAAGATAATGGCTGCATTATATTTACTTGGTTGTATAATGTATTGAATGAATCGCAGGGTCGCTCCTCGTTTGGGTCCCGGGAGAAACAGAAAGGCAGGCCAAACAGCAACGCTCGGATACGTGGGTTAGAGTCTCCAGATTGGGGGCAATTCTCCTTGAGGGCATGCATGGAATGGTGTGATGGAGGCTTTATCAAGTATCTGGGGTACCTCAGGCTCGCTTTACAATAGGGGTTCGCAAGGCACCATCGCTTAGAAAATCCGGTCAACAACCAGAGCAGCCTAAGAGGAATCAGTACCGAGGCTGCTATATCGTATCTCTACGAGGAATACTATCTGGGCATGACAGGCACAGAATACAATTTTCTGGCAAAGCGCCATGAAGTCGGTACGATACGATACCACGCGTGGCTCTTGTCAGCATCTATCATCATATCGTCGCATACAAATACCACTGTTGATCACCTCTTACTTGCTTCTTGGTAATCTCAGAACTTGGTTCGTATCACCTAAAATCAATGGCAACTCGTGATTTATGGCACTGAATCCAACACGGAGAAACTGACTGCAAATCGTGGCTGCTGGAAAAGGAATGTGCTGACTTTCGCTCGGGCAATTAACCAAGTCCACCTGTAGGTCGAAATAGAGATACAACGCCTACCGCGCAGATTAGCACCATGAAGTGTAATTAAGAATATTCTCATCTCGCCAGGTAATGGTCATACATTGATCGACATCACAGTTAGTCTTGGACATTCACAGAAAAAGTTTCTTTGGAAGACAAAGTGCATAAGACTAGGATACTCGCCAGAACAAAAGCAGGAGACCCGGAAGAATGAAAACAGGCCAAGTTGTACAAAGACAGAAAAGCAAACAGAACCCCGGTGATACAATCGTAGATATCTCCTCATATCGAGTGCCATAAGATCATATCCTGCTACGACCAATTTGAAGTCTGGCTAAAACTGCAAAGTACTCTATCCAAAGCCTGAAGTACTACAATGCAGATGCCTTTCGAGGGTTTAGTATTCCAATTGAAGGGAAAAGGTCTATCAGATTGACGTCTCCGGCAGGAGGAGCCGGTGGAGGTTCGACCGCTGGTGGCTGAGGTGCATCTAAGGCTGACGAGACTCCAGGAGTTTTGTAGATATCACTCTGACCAGGATGATTCCATAGAATACCCCCTGTTCTGTTGCAGTCTGTATAGACAAAAATGTTCTTGCCGAATCCTGAACCATCTTTCGACGTTGGCGGGGTCGTATTGCACCAATTGTGTACTTCTCTCCGTTTCTCCATGTCGCAGGTTGCTTATGCTCCCAAGGCGCTAGTATCATGACTGGACGTTGTCGTGAGTGTACCACAGCTCCTGGTAACTGTCAGCAAGCAATTTTGATAACTGCTCCTTAGATATGTGGGAAACTTACGTGACGAATGTTGGCACCCAAGTCCAATAGCCACATTCACCATCATCGAGGGTTTCTTTAGATTCAGCCTCTTCACTATAGGATACTGTTGTACTGTAGCTGTAGCTTCCTCCAATGCTGAACGCTCCCATCAATGCCGACTTCGATGCCTCAATACCAACAGTTCCATTAATTTCCCAAGTATTGGTGGTGCTAACAGTTTTGCCTTTCTTGATGGCGCACTCTGTTCCTTCACATGGTGTCGCATCATAGGGAACTTCTCTACCATGGGTGAAGTAGACTTTGACTTCGCAATACGAGGAACAGGCTCCTTTGTCATCCGGCTTTGGCATTTCACCATATGCAGTACATCATGTTGGTTATTCTATTAAAGATGGTGTGACCCGCGTGAGGTTGGCTATTTGAAGTTGGTGTGGCCGCAAGGCCAAAGTTGTAGAACGCTCTACTTTAGAATCTGTGCCTACTTGCATCATGCTTGTCCCTTTTGTGATTCTAGCCGCCAAAGATCGTCAGCTCCAAGAGGCCTAACCCAAAAGTTAGCCACGTCCGCCAAGCTAAGAAATGAAGGTAGGTTAATTAGTAAGTGTATCTACTGTATTGTCGTCTTAGTCCAGTGCTTGTGGGTGTTGGGTGAGGGTTACTAAAGTTATCATCAATCTATCTGATCGATAAATAGACTCGCTTAAGCTCTTCCAAACACCCCGACTTCCAGTATCAGGGGCGTGAGGATGGGCCTAAAGCCCCTAGTCAGTCTCCACGACATCAAGTCGTGACTCGCTCTGACATTTACCACTGTTTTCAAAAACAGAGACTCACCATGAAAGTCAGAGAACACTTACACAAACAACGCTAGGCTCAAGCGGTAGATGCGATGCAGCCCAATCTTTGCATCCAGGCGTCAAACATATCGTGGCGAAGTTGCCAAGACAACCAAAAAAATGACCCACCGTCACTTTCGAGTATCTGCAGCTAGAAATAAGTATATGTGCAGGTTGAAGCAGCTATGTGTTGGTTTCATGTAACCGCCGGCCTTCCTTTACCGCTTTGTGAAGGGCTTGGCAGCTGATGCATGCGACCCTACGCATCTTCCATGATGGTCCGACCCACGGATGAATGCGACACGATCGAAAATGTGTCAGCCAAGTGTTGGTAACATATTTGGATCAGTTCGCAAATTTCAGCAATTTTGTCGCTGCGTTCGACCTCCCACTTTGCCGTCACCTCATGTCACTGCCTCCATTCTCACATCTTCACGTATTTCAAGGCCATTTCTGGCAAGATCCCGTCTAAAGACTTTCCTCAAGCTTTGATTAAAAGGTTGCCCTTGGTACGTGTAAAGATACGACTGCTCAGGCTCGTCCATGACTAAATTGCACCCACAGGCGACTGATCAGCTCCAGAGATGTCAGTAATCTCAAACGGATCTGGCTCGAGTGTATATTGTTCGAACGCCGCAGAAACAATTCCGTGGTCATCCACCGCCTGTGCCACCACCCTTCAGGAAAACAATACTGCAATCATATCAGATTGCTGTGGGAAAAATAAAGTTGCACTCTATGGGTCAAACCACTCCGACCAGTATCCATGGTGCTATCAGTACTGCAACTTATCGACACCTACATTTAGAGAAAGCTCCGTCTTCGCATGCTTGGAGTCATCTAACCTGACTGGATGGAGCTGTCGGGATGCACTGAAGGCGGACGCATGCTCAGCGAGGAAAATAAGCAAGGTGGTTCTGGCTGGATTGGTGGCATTTACTGGAATCTGTTTCGTGAATTTGCTGTAGAGGGACTGCAAAAGGAAGAATATTGAGGAATAATATGGCTTCACAGAGCTTCGGAGCGCTTATATCGTATTTGGGGGCGAATTCTCGTCGAACAAGGATGTCGAGCATCCTAGCAATTGCAGCCACGAAAGTCAGGAGACTGCCAGACGTTTCCAAGGTCAAGTTCTTCATTTGGTTGTCTCTCACCATCTGAGAACAATTATTATTCGTCAAATATATAGGTTCGACCAAAATATGAGCCCGAGTGCATAGGATTGTTGAAGAATCTCGCTTTTCAGGGGAGAAATTCAAGGAGGCAGGACCTGCCAAGGGTTTTACGCGCCGCAGCTAGAAATCAACCAACAACCAACCAACAAATCCAACAACGAGGAGAACTCACCAGCATCAAACACTGCCCTTGTTACTTGAGCTGATATAAGTTGTGTACGCAGTCATGTTCGGAAAAATGAATACACCATCAGCTCCAGGCGCACCGTGAGTATTGAACGGCTTTACCTCTATCTACTTACTGTTCAGTTTATGATCGAGTACCAATAGGATTACGTTCCATATCTCATACCAAAAATTGAGCGCAATCTCACATACCGGTAGGTGCCAGCCTGACTCCTTGACCGCCGGAAAATGCTGACCATAATACAGAAACATCAACAGAACCGAGCAATGACAGACCGATATGGCAAGACGTGCATCGATAATGTTGCCTTCGACACTCTTCCAACCAACTTGACGGCCTGCGCGGTCACAGTTGGGGGAAATAACACCGAGATATTGACTCGATGCTGTGGGGAAGGCAATGTTGCATTCTATGGGCCATACGATTCTCCAGCATGCAATCTGTACTGCAACTTCACGACCCCAACTTATGAAGAGAGCGGAGTTTTCAAATGCATGGAAAAAGCAAACAATCTCACAGGCTGGGTGTGCCAAAACGAGCAGAAGAAAAGTGCGGCGTCACTTGTAAGGAATGCCGACAAATTGGTCTTTGCGGGTATTGCAGTCGTGATTCTATTGTCTGCGGTTGTATCCTGCTAGATGATGGTATTCAGCTCATGAAGCCCAGAGAGGAAGAGTTGATTGTCATGAAGCTTAACGAAGAAGGATTCTGTTGTTCGATGGGTGCTGTAACAGAGATCAGAAATTTTTACGATGAAAACCTCTCGAGAGTCTTCAATACCATCACACAGGATAGTCCTGCACAGGCTGTTAGCTAAAGACCACTTGACGAGAGCCGTAGTGCAGTGCACGCGAAGAACAGCTATATGCGAACTTATCCTATTCTTCTCTTGATAAATTTCATCATCAATGAAACCTTTTACTGCTTGAAAGTTGAGCCGTACAATGACCGGCCAGCTTTTTGGCCGTCGGAGAGATTGCGACAAGACCTAAGCGCTGGGAATATCCCATGCCTCAGGGCATGATCATGGTGTGTCACATTGCATGTCTTAAGCAGATGAAATGATCGGATTAGGATCTCGAAACCACAGACAAGAGCTATCTCTGGTGTCCAGAGTTCCTTGGTACCCAATACACCTCGCTCATAGGTATTCGTGATGCAGTGATGTCTCTGTCTCAGTCTCACCTGCAGACATGAGGTCGATATAAAATCTCGCTTACGATGACACCCCACAAATATTACATGCCACCTGTACCCGGCCAGCGTAATCGCGGGTTCACCAGCTTCAAATCGAGCTCCTCCACAACCGCACCACCCATGCCGAACCCAAACCAATGCCTCCTCCAGGCCTCACGAATGGCAATCCAGCTCTCAATTCCTCCGAGGAGGCTGCTGCCTCTCCCAACATCTACGAATCTTCCTCCTTAGCGTCTATTCGCGCATCCCTCTCCGCCCTCCATACTCGCGATGCAGCAATCGCATCGAGGCTTCAAGCCCTCATATCCTCCCAGGCCGATCTCTCCCGCGAGCTGGGACGCTTAGATCTACTACGCGCGCATCTGGGAACACAGGTCATACACACACGGGACATCAGCAATGGCATGCTCGATTCTGCTGCGGGAACTGCATCCCACCTCTCCAGCAAGGTCAAGGAGCTTGATCTTGAGAAGAAGCGTGTAGAAGAGACGCTGGGTGTTGTCGAACAAGTCGCCGAGCTGAAGGCATGTGTGCAAGGGGTTGTGGGGTCTATGGGCGCACCGCAGGACTGGGAAGCTGCTGCGGGGTATATTGCGCGGGCTTCCAAGATCCCCAATCATATTATTGAGGGGAAATTTGCCGCCAGGATCGTACCAAGTGTTGAAGTTCCAGATGCTCCAGGAATAACGATCGAAAACGCGAAAGAATCGCTCTGCGGGCTGTTTCTGAGGGAGTTCGAGAAAGCCGCAGAGGAGGGCGATGGCAGCAAAATCACACGTTTCTTCAAATTGTTCCCGTTGATTGGGAGAGAGGATACTGGACTCGAGGTCTATGGGAGATACGTGTGCCAGGGAGTTGCTGCCAGGGCAAGAGGGAGCTTGAGAGAAGGGACTAAGGGAAGCGCCGGCAAAGATGGGTTCTTCTATGCAAACGCGCTGACACGGCTATTTGAACATATTGCGCAGATCGTGGACGGTCATGGAGGACTTGTGGAAAGGCATTATGGCCAAGGAAAGATGGTCAAGGTTATTGAGAGGCTACAAGTGGAGGCAGATGTACAAGGTGGAATCGTCTTGGATATGTGGGGGGATGAGAGGAGTGTTGACAGGCGGTTGACGGATGTAAAGAGCTACCCGTTCTCCTTCCTGGTTCACAGCTTCTTGCCAGCACAGAAGAATATGGGAATATCACGAACAAATTCGCCTGCTGTTGGAGGCGGAACAAATGGCAGAGTCAGTGAGGACGAGGGCGTGGATATGAAGGAAATCGATGGGCTGCTCAATGAGACTGCGATGATGTTGGGCCGCTGGTCGATGTACTCGCGATTTTTAGCTGGCAAGTGTAGGGTGAGTGCGCCGAAAGCCGTCTTGTCGCAAGCCATATCTAAGATCGAGCAGGACCCGGATGAGAGTCCCGAAGAACCGCTGGCCACGCCAGATCTGCTCACAAAGTCTGCCCTGAATAAAAAGATCACGGCTAGGCTTACCACTCCGTTCAATACGATGTCGACATTTTTTTTCAGGCGATCAGTGGAGAAAGCCTTCCAGTTAGACGAATCTCCTGCCGGGCTGTCCCTGAACCCATCGAAGCCACTTGATGGTAATGCGCCATTCATCATTTCTGCTGTGGACGATGTGATGTATATTGTCAACACGGTTCTCCAGCGCTCACTCGCGACATCTCTGCGGGAAGTCATTGCTTCCGTAGTACCTACTATCAGTCGAGTGCTAGGGTCAGATTTTATTGGCATGATCCAGAGAAAGATGCGGGACGAGTCATATCCCAAGGCAGTGATACAAGGGGGCTTCCCACCTGAGGACAAGATTATTGCTTTCATAGTCCTCATCAATTCGCTCGAACTGGCAACAGATTACCTCTCTCGCATCGTCACAACACGGCTCTCCGCTGCCGAGTTACCAAATGGCGGCAAAGGACCTAATCCAATAGACGAAATGTTTCCCTTTGGTCATGATTCGACCTTTGTCAAGAACGCTCTTGAAAGTCTAAGTTCAAGCTTCGCAGCCAAGACCTCGGAGCTTGTTGCGGATGGGTTGCAAGTGATGTTCGAACGAGTGGTTAAACCTCGATTAAGACCTGTCCTGTCAGACACTTTCCGAGACGTGGATTATTCTTTGACGGAAGAAGAGCTCGCTGAAATTGCGAGGAATAATGATACAGATGACGATCAAGAGATGATCAACGACCTAGTTGCCCGGAGGTTCGAGCACAGCTGGGAGGCGCTAATGAAACCCATCCAAAGAATCATGACCCCAAAATCCTTCGCCGCCCTCCTAGACTCGACTGCGAAGTACCTGTCCAAGGTCCTCGAGAAACGGATCTGGGGCTTTTCTGGGAAGATCAATGCCCTGGGTGCGCAGCGAATGGAGCGAGACTTCTCAGGAATTATCAGCGCTGTGGCCAGAGGCGGTCGATACGGTATTCGCGACTCCTTCGCACGCGTCGCTCAGGTTTCGATGCTTGTGAACATGGAAGAAGATGAATGGGAAGCCATTAACGAAGCCGAGGAAGAGGGCGATGAGGAGATGGCATGGGTGCTGAGTGAAGAAGAAAGACGACGGGCGAGGATGTTGGTGAGAGGGTAGAGAAATGACCAACATATTCATGCATTATCACCCAAGACATGATCAATCATTGTATGATTTGAGCGAAACGTCAACTATTTTGCATCTGGTATTCAAAAATAGACTGGGATTTTGAAGAGCTATTCTGACGTCTCAGTAGTCTTCGTCTTTCATGGCTGCAAGCTCCCTGGATAATGGGTTGCTATTGAACGTCTCACCAACGTCACGAGCATTACCACTCAATTCAGTCAAACACTTCATCTTCATCTCTCTTCTCCCTCTTCAAACCCTACCCATTATTTCCCATCCGCAACACCCATCTCTCTCGAAACATCTTCAGCCCTGATAACTCTCGCATACTGCCCCCTCAAGCTCTCCACTTGAACCTTACACACCGTCAAAACTCCCCTTTCACTTTGCCCACGCAGCAACTGCATCCCCAACCACCTTCAAATCCCCTTCCACAAGCCTTCTCACCTCATCAAAATGATATCCTAAGATCACTCACTGACCTCACCGTGGAACCGAGACGCAAGTCTATACTCAGACCTACAAAGTGGATCTTCCAGATCTGCTTCTCATTCAGATATTTCTCTCACTCCCACCTGTTAGTTCCCGCAGTCGTTCCCGTCCACGGCGTGACGAAAGCCGAATTAGTCGATTTTCTGAAGACGGGTCTGTTGTCTACCGGGACGGAAGAAGAGTGAAAGTTCATACTGGGCGAGGAAGGATAGAGAGGTAAGAAGGGGTTAGTTGAGGAATGATAGATGTTGATTACATGTGGTGGGTTTGATGAGGTTTGCAGAGAGCGGAAGCACTTTAGGATTTTGGCAATGGCATTTGTGTAGTTGGCGGTGCTGCAGGAATGGACTCAGAATGGAGAATCTTGGGTACCGATTTGGTTGTCTACTATTAGAGGTACGGTGTGTGAGTGGTCGTCCACCACGGTGTTAGTGCCAGAGAGTAGACTTACTTGGTTTGGGCAGGCTTCGGGCCTGTTTATTGGGTTTAAAGTTTGGGGAGGATTTGTTGGACTAAGTTTCATGTCGTGATTTTGTGCGTGTCATCGTTCGACTGTCAACAGTCGGTGATACGCGCATAAGGTATCGGATGGTAATGTGAGAGGGGGATTCTTCATGTGAATGATATTAGTGGTAGTGGTCACCACTGATTCTCTGATGAACACTCATCTATGGGATTTTAACTTCACCGATCAGCTCTAGATTTGCGCTATAGAATTAAGAGATGCAACGTGGCCCATTCGCGACCACTGTACTGTAGTGTAGTGAAGCCACACACTATGAAGGCCAGTGTACGGCATTCTCCGTCCAACTGCGAGCACTTCCCCTAGGCGGTTTTCCTACAGACAACAACTGCAGTTTGTCTGTTTGTCCCTATCTTCAGTAATAATAAAATATAGATAAAATTCATATAAAGCCTGGAGTAATTTTGTCCAAAAACGATGCAGACAAATTAAGCTTTCGGCTCGGACTTTCATAAAGCCCTTTTTACTTTTTTGTGTTTTACTTGAAAACAAACTAACTTTTAGACTAGACGAAAGACGGGAAAGGAAAAAGACTAGAAAGGAGAGAGAAGACGAGGAGGAGGAAAAGAAGGAGGGGAGAGAAGTAGAGAGAAAGGAGACATTGCGTAGGAGGGAGATCGTACTTTAGACGGAGACCTGGTGGAAGACCCTACTTTGGAGGGAGACTTTACCTTGGAGGGAGACTTGACCTTGGAAGGGAGACCTTAACTTGGAGGGAGACCTTACCTTGGAGGGAGACCTTACCTTGGAAAGAGAGAGAAAAAGGAAGGGAAGTAACGTTATTAGTTAGAAAACTCTACAAAAAACCGGTAGCTGTATTTCCCGTGAATGACAAGTAATATCAGTATTTTGGCTTTAAATCGTTAGAAATCACCAGAATCAGAGAATTTAAATAAGAAAAATGCAGACAAGTGACTAAATACAATAGAAAATACGTGTAAGAGGCCTCTTTACAGACAGTTCCTGTAGAAAGTACAGTCCGTGTCTGTTAAATACCCCCGCCCCCCCCCCTTCCCCCAGGGTTCACATCTCCATGCCGTTAATCGCCTACTTGTCTACTTCGCGCACTTTAATCCGAAACGTCGCGCTTTCCACCAGTTCTCAATTAGAGCCTCACTAAAAATAAGGACAGCCATGCCGATCCCGCCCTGTAGTAGTGTTAAGATGCCTGGTTAGAGCCTTAGACGCCGTTCTTTGTGTTGGAACCAACAATCACAGGGGTTAGAACCAACAATCACACCTGCTCAAGAGTCAGCGCTTCCTCATAATTCCAAAGGCCAGCTCATGATGATCCATCTCAAAACCAATTTGCCAATTCAGCAGTCGAAGCACGAAGATAAAATCAACTGACAAGATTGTCGGAGTGCCGACAATGTTGGAGAGGTGTGCTAGACGGTCGAAAATGCTTTACATTGCCCCACTCTCTCAAGTCCGGCGCTGGAATACAGCTCTTGTATACGCCACTGCTGTTTTCATGATATGGCTATTCCTGCACTGCTCAAATTCCATGAGAAACCTGAATCATGAGAACCTCCAACCGAGCGTCCACCTCGTTCTCTCAACACTATCGTCCAACGATTACTCCTGGACAGAGAATCTTGGCATTCACGATTACCAAGTAATTCCGTACATGGCGGACGACCAACACGCCAAGTATCATACTCCTGCCAACCAAGGCAACGAAGCAATGGGATACCTCACTTATATGCATGACTTCTACGACGAACTCCCAGACATATCCATCTTCCTTCATGGCCAAGACTGGGCATGGCACGTCGATGGGGTTCTTCAATACAGGACTTCCGAAACCCTCAATCGACTCGATCTCACAGAAGTCCTCCGTCGCAAATACATGAGCTTGCGCGTCAGCTGGTACAACGCCTGTCCGAACTGGATTAACACATCCATCACAGTCGACTCGCCGGACTATTTGAGGGATATCAAAGGCGAAGAACCATTCATGAAGGACGCCTTCCAATCACTCTTCCCTGGTGATCCGCTCCCTGAGATCCTTGCTGCACCGTGCTGTTCACAATTTGCCGTTACACGAGAAACAGTTCGCGCCGTCCCCCGAGAACGCTACCAAAACGCCATGTCCTGGCTTCAGAACGGAACCTTATCCAGCTCGATATCAGGCCGAATCTGGGAACATTTATGGCAGTGGCTGTTTCTGAAGAAGGCGGTCGATTGTCCATCTGAGCACACGACGCTGTGTCGGAATTATCATATTTGTTTTGACTCGAGTGACGATTGGGAGGTGTGGAAAACGATGGAGAAGAGGAGGTATGACCTTGAGGAATTGAGAAAAACGTTGCCGAATGGGGAGATGTCAGAGAGAAATGAACAGGTTATCAGCTTGGAGAAGAAGGTTCAGGATCTGGAGAGGAAGCTTGGACCATTGAGGGAGAAAGCCATTTTGACAGGGGAGAATAAGGCGAGGAGGAAGAAAATCGCTGGGGGATGAGAAAATAATTTATTTTACGACGTGTATATTGTTTCAGTATAAGATGTATAGACGTAAATGTGTTTTGGCAAGATCCCGATATGAGGAAAGCCATGATATGGTCTGTTTACGACATGTTAGTAACAACCTGGAAGGGGTGAAGCTAATAGGAATCGCCGCCAGATCAAATTCCACAACCATCTCCCCCTCATATTCACATAAGTCGTTGCTGGTGTACATCAACATCCTACCCTGGATAGGGGGTTTATGCAATTCGATTGACTCTCGTGTCATTCCTCTTTCGGTTACCGGCATGTGTCCACCCCCTTAATTCTGCTCACAGCTTACAATCAACCTCCTCGAAAGTCACTTCACGTGGCAACAGCTCATGCGCTCTCCACAGCTCAAATAGGACAAAGAACTCGATTGACGTAAAGAAGCTATCTCGTATAGACAACATCGTAATTGTCTTGGTACCCCACTAGCATCACGCCCTCGTTCTCGCTTAGCCGCTGCGCCATCATCAGCGCCCAGGCCAACAGCTATCGTGTGTGCCTGTGTGCTACCTACCCTGCCTTCACCTCGTTTTACGGCAAACTTCCTCAAGCCCACCTCAAAGAATCGGTTCCTACGTCAAAAGACTCTTATTTCGCGTAATACAAACCCAACGACGATGTTTCCCTAGGCGAACGAGACATGTCCAGCCAAGCCAAGAATAAACATTGAGCGAGGTGTCGCCCGGAGGCGCAAACTCACGCAAAACACCATGCGATGGAGTCCAGGCAGTCGCAGAGCACAGCTCACATATGTCCTTCTAGCTGTTGTCGGGGCGCTATACTATCTGACCCTCACGATACTGGCCTCAGGACCCGTCAAATTCGACCCATCCTATGGCCGTCTCAGACAAACAACCAGCTCATCTAAAGTGGCTATTGCGACGTTTCTGTGTGAAAATTACGTGGGGGATGAGAATGCCGTGGATAACTACTTCATTGGTGCGAGGACACTGCATTATCAGCTGAAGATTGCGACTCAAACGAAGATGTTGAGGAAAGACATCCCGTTTCTGGTTGTTGTCACGAGGGCCGTTACTCAAGAGAAAAGAGACAGGCTGGAGCGGGACGGGGCGACTGTAGTGGTTGTTGACGATGTTAAATTGCCTTGGTGGGTTGAGACGGGCGTGAAGAAGTGGAAAGACCAGTTCACGAAGTAAGTTCTCAAGCATATGTGGATTATCTCATGTGTCACCATGGGATCAGTCAACTTGAATATGTCAAGCGATATCTAAACAAAACGCTAACCAGAACTCCAGACTTCGCATCTTCGAAATGGTGGAATATGAACGCATCCTCTTCATAGATTCAGACACTCTTATCACGCGTTCAATCGACAGAATCTTCTCCTCACCCTTGGTCCAAGACCCATCACCCACGCTCTCCAACCTAACCCATCAAATCAAAAACGACGAAGCCCTCCTCCCAGCGCACTATCTCTTCGCAGCACTCCCCGACAACGCCTTTGCCGGTGAGCGTGACCACACTTACCCACCAAACTCCACCAGCACCGACTTATCCGCGGGGTTCTGGCTCGCCGCTCCATCCAACGAGATGTTCACTTACCTGATGTCAGTCATGCAGCACTGGAAACGCTTCGATCCGTTCACTATGGAGCAGAGTCTGCTGAATTATGCGTTTAGGAGGGAAGGGCCGATGCCTTGGGGAGAGTTGGATCCGAGTTGGATCCGGTTTGGAGTGCGACGTGGCCGAATCAGGCGGATTGGGAGGCGGCAGTGGTGAGTCTGCATGAGAAGTGGTGGGTTGTTGGTCCAGAGGATTTGAGGAAAAAGTGGGAGGCTGCTAAGGAGGAAATGGAGGGGTACTTTGAGGGGCGAGATTGAGGTTTGTGTTTTGATACCCTAGACTTTGACGGTTCACATAGAATGCTTGAGAGTTTGCTGTTTGTGAGACATCCATGTCACCAATTGTCATTCATTACATTTGGAAGTGGTTTGAGATACAAATTCTTATTGTCTTTGCATATTTGTCTCATCCTTACGCGGCCATGATTATCCTCAGAACAAAGGTAAATTCTAGGTTTCATGTTGTCCCAAGGAAAGAAAGATCTTAGCTGTATCTATGCCCACAGAAATAATGCTTCAGGCGATCTTGTCCTTTGGAACAGCTTTAGCCTCAGCCTTCGCCTTAATCTTCTGAAAATGAGCGTTCAATTGCTCCAAATCTCAGCCTTGACTTTGCAGCCTTAGCTTTACCTGCTTCAAGCTTACCCTTAGCTTCTTCAGCTTCGACCTGGTCAACCTCAAGAAAAAGTCCACGCTCCTTGTAGCTCAGACTAGTAGTTGGAGAAGTCGGCGTAGCACATCTCTTGGCCCACTAGAATAGCAGAATACCAAACGCTCACCAACCTAAGCGTGACCCCTCTCACCAGTGATCTCGCTTAACCGCCCCGCGTGTTTACTTTTACGTACCTGATGATTACCTTAATGCTCGATGCACACTTTTGACGAGGAGAGTAACCGAAGAAAGAGTTGTCAAGAGCTGATTTGTATGTGAAAAGTTCAGAGTTGAAGACAAAGCTGCCAAAGCAAGACCTGATTTCGTGACTTAAACCTGCCTCGCCCACCCCATGACCCGTCAAAACCAATTCTTTTGAGGATGAACTATGAGAGATACTGCTGTGCTTATTTACGATCCTGTACCTGTAAATCATGTCCAAAAAGCTCACGACGAGATTTTACTTGCGATCTTCTGCTACCTAGGATTCTCTTCCTGGCTTTACAGACGTGATTTAAGAAAGAAGGCGGGATAGAGTGAATGCTGATCCGCGAGTCTAGTGGCCACTCAACACACAGGTATCGAGATGATTTTTGACATGTTCTAGTCTTGTCGTGCGGATGACACACAAACAAGAGACTTTAAAAATTGAAGCACGAGCACAATCAATTTTCTGTTGTGGTAGTGTACCATGGACAGACCACGTCAATTCAATTTATCCAAACAGATAAAACATCGATCAAAGTGGTTGGAAGTCTGGCACGACATAAAGTTGAATAATGCTCGAGCTCATGCCCTATCATAAACTCTTGTTCAAAGCCAGCCGTCGTAAAATGCAAAACCCTCACATCGAAGCAAATCCCACAACTGCAACTCCCAACCCCAGAGACACCCCTCCCCAAGTCCCTTTACGACTTCTCATGGCGCCGCTTTTCTGACAGCCAGAAATCCCAAGCGTAAAATTTTGACGGTACGCAATATGGCCAACACAGTCCGAAAAATCAGCTGTTTGATTCTTGTCCGCCAAGCAGTATTGCCTGTATGAGAGACAATTAGTAGATTCTCCCCGAACTCATGCTGGATGAGTAGTTCAGCAAAAACATGATTGACTTACGTGCATGGACCTGTGTAGTATATTGGTTGGTTTTGGGCACAGCATTGGGTGAAGTTGAGGTGCACTGCAAGTGGGAAACCGCAGACCTCGCCTTGCTTTCCGAGTGTCGAGTCGATCACGTCGGGTAGAACGTTTTTGTCGCAGACTGGGTCTGCGCTCGAGTTCTGCGCTGATGCGAAGGAGGCCGGCATCATGATCGATGCCAACAAAATGATGAAGCCTGAATGCAACATGATTCTTGTTTGATGTGGTGTAAACGAATTTTGGACTGTTTGGAGATGTCCTGGAGAGTAGTGGCGAGGCCTGGTAATTGATGGAAGGGCGTATCTAGATAATGAGATTGTGGTGGAGTGAGTATCTGAGGCTATTTTGTTGGATCGGAGCAGGAGAGCTCCATTTTTGCTAACCGGACATTCGTTGTCTCCTCAGCTGCCCCGATCAAGAAGGTAATCGTCAGCTCGCCTACGGCGGGCTTCTAATATGTCCTTTCAGTCCTGGTCAGAATAAGCGAATGCGAATTTTCGACGATCTAGGAAGCCCATCGTAGGCGAGCTGAGAATTATGTACGTACAGCTGCTCCATAGGGAGGAGGTTCTGTCAGGGATCAGAACGGACCGTTTTGTACGTAGTGGAGTCATGGCTAATTTCAATGCCACGGGAAATTGTACTTCTGATCCACTATCGTGAACTGTGTTGCCCTCTAAACGGCAGGTCGATCCAAAATTGAGGAGCAATCAATCTGTATGAGAAATAGCTAGGCTCACATCAATAAGAAGGCTTTCTACACCTACCTCGAGTTCTTAAAACCACAAGCTTTCACTCGCATCATGGTGGAGTAGGCACAGCAGATGCTGCCAAGCGGTTAAAGCACTTTTCGCCCTGGCACAATGTAGGATCTTCACAGATCATACGAGCTTTTCTGCCTCGGCACTGCCAAAATCTATCCACGATGTTAGTGACAAACGACGCACTTTATCATTTCGTAAAGTAAGCCAACGAAGGGGGCCAGGAATTATGGGATCGGAATTGCCCCATGTTCGTCAATACCACCTCAGCCCTTGGCGAAAAATCCCTGACCCTCATTCGCTGACTGTTTCACATTCGTATGAAAATGTCGTAAAAAAGAAAAAAAGGCTTTGATATCTCATACTTCTATTCACTTTCGCTGTAGTCTTGAGGCAGAATAGGGGCTAACGAAACGTATTTTGGCAGTCTAAGCTCTCGGTTATCGACCATTACATCAAGTGAGAAATGAAACAGCTGCAGTGAAGCACAACGAAGTGAAAAAGAATGGGAGCTGGTGGAGCAAAAATCAACGATGTAATGTGACTACTCCCTTTAATCAGTGGCATGCAAATAATGGGCCATCCACCACCTGGAAGAGGGGATGAACTGGTCGTCAAAGAGCTAAACCAGCAAAGCCACGAGAACTCTCTCAAAGAGCGGATCGCGCCGAATAACCGAGTAGATGCTGCTCCGGGGAGCAGTTCCGGTATATAACTTTTCAATGATCCACAAGTGCAGATAGATGCGGAAGAAGCGCCGAAGAAGGCTTAATCAAGCCTTTTGGTGCTAGTGGCGCAATGGTTAATTTGTTTTCACAGTTCAGGGAGCACATCTGGTTCACACATGTATTGGAACCTGGGAGGATTCTGTTTCTTTTGAAAGCACGATTCTACCAAGTCTGGAATTATCTACAACAAGAAAGATTTGCGGAAATGGAATGAGTTTCACTCCTCACCGCTCTTGGTCGCGCTGTTATATGGATTGAAATTGCAACTTGCTTGAAAAGCCATTTGAAATCCTGTCACGAATCTTCAGCACGAAATTTGGACAGAGTTTGGTCCTAATGGCTGCCTTTCTGTATTCATATCAGAAAGGATCATAATACCAGGTCTTGCACATCAAGCACCGGTATTTAGACCGCGGTGGCTAGTTGCTAATGCTGCAGACCACTGCGATGCAAGCTCCCTAAAGAGAATGTTATATGAGCTTCTTTGTCCATATCCCACAAAGTGTCCTTTGACTAGCGTCGACGACGTGGTCCACCAAACCAATGATCAAGGCATTCAACCTGATGTTCTGCCATAGCTACACCTTCCTTATCCGACAACATCTCATATTCCTCGTCAGTCAGCTCAGCGGGTTTGCTCGTCTTCCAGGACATTCCCTTATCCCGCGCCTTTGCCCACGCAGCAACAACCTCCTGCTCATACAATGTCTTCCTCTGAACCATACAAAGTCCCATGAACGGACGTTTGTTCTCGTCCAAGACATCATACTCTGGGAAGTAGAAGCGTGGCTTCTCCATAGCCTCGTGTTCGCCTCGGCGCAGGAAAGTGAAGTCGTAGAAGCGGGTTTCGTCCTCAGAGGCTTTGCAGTTGTACTCGTTCTCAAGAATGTCTGTGATGTTTCCGTAGCAGATCCGATAGGTGAAGTATGCTTTATAAGTGCGGTAGAGGTAATTTTCGTCTTCAGTCTGGATGCGTGTGATCGTGAGAGTCTTGTCAGCGTAGCCTCGCCGATTACCTATTTCATTCTCTCCAGTGCGCCACTGTAGTTAGAAATATATGTTAACAATATTTTCTTCGTCGAACTGAGTATGTAGAATTGAATTTCAAGGTCGCGGGGGTATTTCATCGGCCATGGAGTATGATCAGAAGGGAAAAAGACACTTACAACAACGTCGAAGATGGCGACGATTTTTCCTTGACGCTCTATGACTGGTACCGTTGAGTTTGGGTCTGCAAGTAAGCCTTGCTTGGGCGAATTTTCGTCTGCCATTGCTCGTAAGTCGAGGAGTAGACAAGTATTAAGTCTGGAATGTGAGATGGTTGATGCGGAACTTCACTTGCGCGGAAGGAACACTCAGGACGCCAACCCGACAAATCAACGCAAGTTCTCTGAAGGTTAATTGAAATCAATTGATCAGATGCTGAAAGAAGATTGAATGAGGCATATGAGTGAATGGGTAGATTGTATATCAAGGGTTCTTAATTTCAGCATTTCTTGCTGAGTCTTAGATGCAGAATATGAAGTTGGCTTGGCCACTTGAGACTACCTTACCGGAAAAGACGCGTTATTAAGTAACGTTGAGTTGAGAGAGATACTTCCCTAGATTGGCAAACTTGCAACTCTGAAGAGATCTTAATGACAGTCCACCGTCGCCATATTATGCCGTGGTCGCCCGTCAATGGACGTGCCTCTTTAGAAATTCACATTACGTGCCTGTTTCTTTTTAAATAGGCGAACGGGAACTAAGTTCTGGAGAAAAGATAATAGACGCGATCGAATGTCTTTAAATATCAGCTTTGTGTCCAACGGCCCCAGATTACGCTTCACAGATGAGAGCCTTCACTTCATGTTCTGTTGCGGCGAAGACTGGGGTGGGTGAACTTGTACAAACGAAGGATATATATGCTGAGATGTATGACTCCTGGAGTGGCTCATGAACCAGCCCGACGAGGGTTTATTCCATGAATGGCTGACATCACCAGATGGATGTTTGTGTCGTTGGGATGAAAGACCGCTTACATAAGGTTGATGTAAGCGAGGCTACACGCTAATGTTCTGAAAATCATAGCCTTGCAGCTTCAGCCAAATTTTTATCCGCCTTGAGTCATCCTTCTCCCACAAACATCCTTCACTCAAATAACACCACCAAGAACAAATGAATCAGACCACTACAATTCGTTGATACTGGAAAGCTTGAGAATGTACAATACGTCTCGACAACCATTTACAGGTTCATTCAAGCGCAGAAGTCGTAGGATACCGCGATAGACACACTGGCTCGACCTGCTAGTCAAAGTTTGGCAGGGCATATACTCAGAAGAGTTTTCAGGATGGCTACCATTACCAACGGAAAGATGGCGGATACACGCATCCTGAATGTCAATATTGGCAACTTGGGAAAGTTTCAAGACGAGAAATCGCTCGAAACCTGGCAATTGCCCTCCAATGCCGAAGACTTACAGCCACTACAAGAAGCAGCCAGACATTTGCGAGAGGAGATCATACCAGTTGGATTCCCTACGGAGACGGTTTATGGGCTGGGAGCAGATGCCACAAGGAGTGATGCTGTGAAAGGGATCTACAAGGCGAAAGGACGACCCTCTGACAATCCACTTATCATCCACGTTTGCGACTTGACAATGCTGCGGAATTTGTTGGCTCCAGTTGAAGGACAAAATGGAGATTCGACATCATGCGACCCAATTCCTGCCATATACAAGCCATTGATTGAGAAATTCTGGCCAGGACCTCTAACCATCCTCCTTCCAAACTCCAAGCCGAGCAAATTGGCTCCAGAAGTCACTGCAGGTCTCCCAACATTTGGCGCACGCATGCCTGACTCTCCTCTCGCATTGTCGCTCATCCATCTTGCTGGAGTTCCACTTGCAGCGCCGTCTGCGAACGCTTCCACCAAGCCCTCTCCTACGACAGCTGAGCATGTCAGGCATGACTTGAATGGAAAGATTGAGATCATACTTGATGGTGGACCATGCCTAGTCGGTGTAGAGAGCACAGTTGTGGACGGTATATGTGATCCTCCCGTGGTGCTCCGACCAGGAGGTGTGAGCATCGACCGAATCCGCGAATGTGAAGGCTGGGCCGGAGTCGTGAAGGGTTACAAAGATGCCAGCGAGGAGGGATCGAAAGCTCCACGGGCTCCTGGCATGAAGTACAAGCACTACAGTCCCAAGGCAAAAGTCATACTTTACGAAGCATCACCAAAGCACGAAATTGCTAGATTGGGCATCAAAGATGAAGCAAGAATGATCTTGGACGCTCAAAAGAAAAAAAGAGAGTATCTCGGCTTCGAATCCCTGGATCGCCCGGCCAAGATAGGCATCGTCCGGACCAAGAATTGGGCACCCTGGGGGAGGCTCAATTACGTATGGCAAGACCACCGCTACAGTGTTCCCAATGGTACTGCGATCGTGAAGCACCAAAAAGTAAAAACTGGCAACTCATTTGGTATGAAGCAAGGCGAGCTTTGGTTCACACATGCGTTTAATGCTCTCCATGATCGGGATGAGCATCTGCCTGATATACCGACCGATGAAACAACACGCGTCCTAATTGGCGAGGTCATTGATATTGCGTTGGGAATAGATACAAAGGACATCGCTCATGGACTGTTTTCGGCTCTTCGAGAGCTGGACCTTCGAGATGTAGATGTTGTCTATGTTGAGGGCATACGGGATGAAGGTGACATTGCCGCCGCGGTGATGAATCGACTTCGCAAGGCAGCTACCAAAATCGAGGTTTAAAATCATAGATATATAGCATGAACATTTCGGGTCTGCCAATCTTCTGGTCATGGTTTTGTAATGTTTTTGATTTCGGGAATGATGTCAAGTATTTCCTCAATTCCCTGCGATAAGGGACAATGGCCCAAACTCCAAATCTACTCCGAAGGTTTAGCTTTTCTGCAGTCCTGTATCCCAACCAAGCCCGCAATGTGCAAATATCACTGTAGTAGCCGCCCTCCATTCACGACAAAGGGTTCAACCCTCCTAAGTCGCTCATTCTCTCTTCCCTTCGGTCCTATTTTACCAGTGACCAGAATGTAGTACCACTTCACAAACCCTGCCTCAACCAATCCCCCAACTTCGCCTTTCCAAACTGCGCAAGGTTGTTCATACCCTGCTCACTGAGATCAATGCCCTTCAACTGCGTGACATCTTGCGTTGGTGCTCTGCTGACACGTTGCACGATAATGGTAGGGTCCGTCTCGAGGATGATTCCGTCATCGACAATCTCATCAAGGGCGAGGGAGACAAGATCGTAGTTCTCGATGATGGTGCGCTTATCTACTGATTGCCTGTTCAAACCCACGTCAGTCGTAACTCCTCCAAGTCAACATCCCAATTTCCCCATCGCTCTTGTTCTCCTCCAAAATGAACGGGAGCGGTATAGAGAATTGAAAAGACGTACTTGAACAGCAAGTGCAACGAGTCCCGCATAGCCAGGATAACATTGTACAGCATAATCTCATTCTCATCCACGCCGCCCACGACATACATCATGATGTCGCTCTCGCTCTTGTACAGCACGATCCGGTTATCGTAGAGGATGATATCTGCAGTCTGCTTGGCCGTCTTCTCGAGGAGGCCTTTCTCGAAGGCTTTTTGAGCTTTGACGTCTGGGTAGGGTGATGCGGGAGGATCTGGAGATTGGAGTATCGAGTTAGTTGTATTCTTAAATATCGAGGACGAGAGGGCTGGTAGGGAGGGGGACTGGGGTGGTAGTTGGCAGACGTACTTGATGCGTGGCCAGCTGTCGTTGAGTGGTGAGGCGCATTGTAATATTTTGCGAAGACTCGGGAGCCATCTTCGGAGTTGAGAATTAGGATCGCGTTTACGGCGAAGAGGGACATTGAGGGCGCCATTGTTGCTGTGAGTTGTGAGGTTGGTGGGGAGTGGAGGGGCTTTGGTGATGCTGGACCTCGAAATCGCGAGGTGTCGTCTGTGTTGTGGCCTAGCATGTGAGGCAAGAATTCTGGTCGCAAATCTAGACTTTGTCGAGACTGATGTCCTTTCTTACCAAAAATATGTTATAATCATTATCAATTTGTTTCGGAAACCTCACACTGGTCATTTGTTGTACAGTGCAGAATTGATCATAAAAATATCAGTCGGACTACAAGAGAAGAGATCTCTCAACGTAACGCTTTCACATTTTTACCAGTCTCCATTTTGACACTCTTACCCCCTTCTGTATCTACCAGTATGGGTTTGGAGAGAACTGAGGAGTTGGAGGCGGAAGACTGTGGGCATTGGACTTGGGTTCCAATTTTCGTCAAATGAGGACAACTTCAATATCTCGAAGCCAATTGCAACCAAACCAGTGCATGAATATGTATTGCCACTACATGTGATAATTTCGCCACAGAATCAACAGAAGTTCTTATCGATAGACCGTTTGGCGGCACGGTCAAATGCAGTGCGGGTGTCTCGAGCTGGAGCAGTATGGGAAACTGCTGCAACAAGACTCCAGTCGACCGAGATGATGGCTCTGCTGCAGGCAGCACGTTCTTTGTTTACGCTACGTGTGGCGTTGAGGAGGCATTGACTGGAACAATTTTAAGCAGCATGGTATTTATAGACATTCTGGTGTATCAACTGCTGCGCTTGCGGCGACATCTCTGGTGCGCTTAATTTCAACTTGAGAAAACATCCTGCTTCAGCGCGGTCGTAAGTTCCTTTGGTGACTTTAGTATACTATAATTGACGGTATCGAGAGATGGTTTTAATTCTTTTTTCTGGGTATCAAACGGCGTTCTGTTACTTGTTTACTTTCTACTTGGCGTTTGAGGTCTTAGCGAGGCGGCATTTTAGATCTGCGTAGGCTAGGATGAAGCGAGCATCATACTGACAGCATTTCTATTTCTTTTATCATTCCCATACATGACCTTTTCGCTCCTCACATGGCCTCAGAATGATCTGCTGCAAGATATCAAAAGCTGACTTTCATTCCTAGACAAGATACAACTAGAGTTCATCACGATACTCAACCTTCTCACAAGAGTCGTCAGGAACGCATCCATCAAGATGATCCAACAGCAGTCCTTTAGCAGCCACTGCGCTCCCACGAGCCGCAGACCACAAACCGCTGCTTGTATTTAAGATCTTATCCTCGAAGGGCGCAGTATCTAAAGAACCATCTGAAGCTTTTTCTGCAAGTACCTCGTGCACCGTGTCTCTCAGTTCCTTATTCTCCCAGTGCTCACCAAGGAACATTACTCGATCGACCATGTCTTTTCCGATGCTATTTTTCACCGCATCTCTGACCTTGCTCCAATACGACTTGTTATCAATGTACTTGGATGAGCTCAGTCCTAGTCCAACGTTGATTGCAGTCTTAATTCTCCCCGGCATAGCCCAGGAATCAATCGTTCGCGTCAAGACTGCTGTCTCTAAGCTCTTCTCTGTGAGCGAAACGGCAAGTAAAACTTTGACTTCTGTGGCACATGGCTCACCCACACAACTCTCATCTTCATCTTCAACAATACAGCATCTATGCATCCGATGATCGTACAAAATCGATCGTGAAGATCCCCTCGCTCCCACTATATCAAAGCCTGCTTCCTCAGCAGCAGTATCAAAGCGTCCACGATGCGTATTGACTTGTGCGATAGTGTCTGGGTAAGAAACGTAAATGTACGGATAGGAAAGACGTGCTGTGGCGTTGATTGCTGTTTTGAGTTCGACGAGGAGGGACTTGATGGCGATTACTTGACGGTCGGAAGATATCTGTGGTCTGGGATAGAGAAACGGGATACCGAGCTATATTTGCACATGTTAATGACGTGGCAATCCTTCGTTCAGAAAGCGTACATACTGGGAAAAGACTGATTGGACGTGAGGTGGTGCTAAATTCAAGGCCAGGTCTGCATGGGTTAGCTATACTGCCAAGTACGAGAAAGGTAGGGGAGCAAACAGTTTACTGCTTTCGTTGCGCGACACGAGCTCCGAGTCTGCCACAAGTGCCTTCATTGCGGCAATGTACTGCGGGGACCCATCTATCTTTGCGACGTTGCGTATGGTACCATTGTGAAAGTTAATAGCTGCGGTTCTGCAAAGTATTAGAATTATGATAGAACTATAAGTGCTCTGGACTACATTACCCATATGCTACCGTCAAGTCGATCCCAATTCCTGGCGCTCGCTGGAGATGGACCGACGGACACTCACTGCAGATGAGGGTGGAAGTGACGCCGGTGAAGGCGATGTACCACATGCATAAAGTTGTAACCAAATACTGGAGAAATCTCATCATTTTGAATGCGGCCTTGTTTGTAAACCGGGGTCATTCGTCTAAGGTGGTCGAGGGAAGGCCTCATTGAGGAAAGACCGAGTAGCTACTGTAATTCTTCGTCGAGGGAAGGAAAGATAGAATGGTTTGAGATCGTAGTCGAACTTTCTCGGTAAATGTGACCTGCGCGATGAATCTTCGATGCTCTACTATGACGTTGTTGTGAGCAGGTGAATGAGGGGCTGCAGTTGCGGGAATTCGCAGTTTTAGCGAACCCGACAGGGGTCTCGTTAGGCTAAGCGACATGTTTATGTTTACGCTCGTTGATCGCAAGATAGCCCTTATTGAATTGGCGCCGTGAGCCTACTGGTTTGTAGTAATGCAAGGCTATACCCTGAGGAATCTTACATCCCCTGCCAATACATGCAATAGTAATTTATCCTCCAGTTCATGATGCAACGAAGATACCTCGTTGTACCTGTGAATACATATTGAATAGCGCCATTCCTTCTTCCTCGCGAATTGTCGTAGTAGATTAAGTGGAGTGAGACTCTGGATTTGGTCACGAACCAGACACAAGCATAAATCAATATCGTTTTGAGTGAACCAAGCGGATCTGTTACTTGCCCTGCGTCATTGACGATACACTTCTGCTTCAGTAAGTACATAAACTCCCTACTATAATAAAGAAAAGTTCCACCATCTTGAATAACTGCAAAAAATACTCGAATTTGTACTACCAAATCGATCCTCAAAATGCCGCGCCTCATCCTGACAGTGCTTATCCTCCTCCTGTTCTGCCAGTCTTCAGCTCTCGCAAAACCCTTGAACTCAACTCTAGGATCAAAACAAAAGCGCGATGACCCTACTTTCATCGGTAATAGTGGTGAGCCTACTTTTATCACCGTGACCTTTCCCGGTGATCCTCTCGACCCTGCTGGTCAGGCCGTCAATCTAGGCGATCCCATCGAGGGAACCTCGTTCTTTTACATTGCAAAATCATGCAATGGAGACACGAGAAATATTGATAGGAAAGTATACCAAAGACAGAGCAGATTTCTTCAAGCGAGCTTACCATGACGCGATGATTATGGCAGACCATGCTACCAGATGGCCGGAGGAAGGAAGAGACGCTTCGAATATGTACTTTGGCTCTGGCGTCGAAAAGACGCCTCATAAGGAGAACATCATGAGTAAGTACTATTCCCTCAGTTGGATGCCAAGTTGATTGCTATCATTTTTGTGAGAGATGGTGCTGAAAATGAATCACAGCAAACATTGCGAGAGCCTCAAAATGGGACAACAAGGGAGGGTTCGACAACTATATTGTGAGTTCTAAATTCAAAGACTTTATATCCTCACAGAGTAACTAATTGCTCGATAGATTCTGGACTGTAAGACTTCTCATTGCGTGTACAACAGCGGTTATATCCTGATGCGTCACAGGCCTAGATGAATGGAATAAGTGTAGCAAGAAGGTCGGAAAAGACGAAAGGTTAGAAGCTCTCATTTGCGCAGCAAACTTAGTCGCTAACAGAAGCCTTCAAGAGTAGTCACTTGCTACACGATCAACACAGGCGGTGGATGGTGGCTGAAGTCAACAATTTACTGCTGTCCACCATTCTTCACCATGTCGAACGTTGAACAACAGCATGATTATTGGAAAGACAAACCAACAAGCCAGTTGGATCTACGCTATATGCAGACCAGCGGTAATGTAGTTATCCACGAGATGCTACACACCAAGCAAATCACTCAAAATCGGCCAGACGGTAATAAACCCCTGCAAACTTGTCATACTATGACTTTGACGCTAACATGTGTACGTACAGTTTTTGATCAGACATTCTGTTTTGGATGTCGTCGAATCTATGGACCTGTTGATGTCGCGAAAGCAGCAGCGAATCCAAACCTCAGCCCAACATTCACAGCCTACAACTGTGACAGCTATGCTCAGTTCGTAATAGGTAAGTCACCACTCTACCTTGCCAACCAATGTTCCTAACACAGTCCCTAGCAATGTACTGGCAAGAACTGTTCAACGTCCTCCCCCCACCCCAATCAGCCACCTCCGTAGCACCACCCAACTTTATCGACGGAATCCAAGACTCTTCATCCAACTACGAGATTCAAGTCCTCCCCCCTCCAATACCTATCTGTTTCGGCCAGCCCTCCAACAAACCCTCTTTCAAAAACAACTACGCCTACCAACGCATCAACGAAGTCTGCCACACTTTTACCCGGGACGCTGGTCTTACAGTCGACTCCTACACGCACAAACGCTCTCTAATCGGCTTCCATGCTGGCAACACCCTGCCAGAATCAGATAACGATCTGTACATCTCCGTAGCGAAGGATCCTGTGTGTCGACCTGAGACAACATATCTCGTTGATGAAACAGAATGTGCGTATCTGTTGCACACCGTTGTTGATCAGTGTAATCCTGAAGCGTCAGCGTTCAATCGGAAGTTTGGGGGCAGGGTAAGAAGACACTGTGCTATTTGGAGTGTGGAGGGTAAGTTTGGGCATACGGGGGAGTTCCCACCTCCTCCATATTGAAGCTCTTAGGCGAAATGGAACGGTATCGGATTTTCGACGATTATTATCCTCGATACCTTCATTTCTTCGCTATAGACTTAGCTCTTAATCGTGAAAATACATACCCGCTTAATAACTGAAACTCTTGGGAAACAGATTTAATAGTGGACAGTCCATATTCTGGTGGCTTTTCCTTCCAAACTTATGAAAGAGAACATCCCGAACGAGTCAAAGCTCGGCAATAAGGATAGGAGTGGAAGGAAGTCAGAAGTCCGGCTCAAAAATTACGACAGGCAATCTGCATGCACACAGATTCCGTTAGCGAGGTACTGAGGCCCGAAGCCAAACAATAACGACAATAATAGTACGGACAAAGCATGCAGACATCGATCAGCACACCTCAGCTCTCCTTTTACTGTTCTTCAATTCCCATTAAATGACTACACTCTCGCTACCAAAAAGCACCAAGCGCTACATCCTACCCTCGGCCCAACCAAAATGCTCAAAATACAAATACACCCCCCTCCCACTCCCAGGTCCTCCCTTCAATATCCCCAAATTCCTTTCCGCAACCGTATTCCTCACATCATTCTGCAGCGTCCCCGCCCCACAAACATAAACACTCAGCTCCTGCCCCTTATCCGCCGCCTTAGCAGCTTCTTCTGCAATAGTCTGCTTGACAGCCAGTCGGCCAAGATACTCCCCAGAACTTGGCGGTAAAGCCCGGATATCGCTTGCAGAGGAAATGTTATCGTCTGATGTCAAAGAGCTGGACCTCGGAGCATTGGGATGGGGGACAGATCTCTTTGCTGAGTTGGAGAGACTACCACGTAAGTCAGACTCAACTCTTTTCATCGCTGGTTCCGTTTTAGTGTTTGGACGTGAGTAACTGCCACTTTAACCTGAGCAGAGGGTGAGTATTCCTGAGTATGCCTGAGCACGGCCGGAGCCCAGGCCTAAGTAGCATAGCCATACGGTACAGTTAAGCCGAGTGAGTGTACACTGACTGAGACGCTATTATGAAGCTCCTAAAGGAGCCCATTCCAGCACGTTCCCTCGTCTTGTCTCTGAACACAGATCCTATTTTGGCCCCTTTACGACCAACTCCTTATATAGCTACCTATTGTAAAAAAAAAGACTTGTCGTAAAATAAAGTGTTATATTATTTCTTACTATACAATATCTTATTTTATATCAATTATTTGTATAGGAAATTCTTGTATAACCGCTTGTGATTATGAGGAGGGGTGTATGTAGTTTAAAAGTAACAAAACAAATGGAGAACGGAGAACTGGAGACAATAGAAGGAAAAATAGAGAAGTGTGAGGTAGAAAGACGAGGAAGCACAAGTAAAATTGTACGTGATATATGCGCGTGCAGGCATGGGTCCCTATTGCTGTGCTCCCTGACTCCAAGCGTGACTTTTCACCTCATCTATACTCGGCCGCTCCTGATCTTCCCACCTGAAAATCCGCTTAAGCAAGTCGATGATCATCCCGCGTTCCTCCACATCCATCCGGTTTATTTTACTATCTTGCATACTCAACAGTTCTTCGAGTCTATTTTCAAGAGCATCATGCGTTCCTTCGGCGGGAGACTTTAGAATCACGTTTTTGCTCTCCCACGCCCGTACGAAACTTGGCGGGGATGAACCGAGAAGCTTCACTATATCCGCAGTGATAGATTTCTCGCTCGCGAACCAATCCTCAAACAACTCTTTCCCGGATAGTAAGAATACGATAAGGCATCCTAGTGACCATATATCGGATGGTAAACCGATGGGAATTTCCTCACAACGAACAAGTACTTCTGGTGCTGCGTTGGTAATGCGAACGTTGAAAACAACAGGACTCTCGAGGGTAGTTGTAGTAGGCGATGTAGAAAATGCACTTCCGAAATCTCCTATCACAATATCGCCCGAAAACTGACTGGCGTCCGGGTAATCGACAGCCACAGTAGCTGTCGAAGGCACATGTGCTGTTAATGGTTTCCCATCAAGTCGTTCAACATCCTCTAGGACTGGGCTGCCGAATTTGTCCATCATTTCTGATGTAGTCATCTTCGGGAGTTTCAAGAAGATATTTCCAGAGTGAAGATCTACACGTTTTGTCAGTGATCAAGTCATTCAAGTAGCAGTGGCTACCATATGATAATGTTGTATTCGGCAACCAATCAGCTTGGGAGCTCGCGGAAGCATACCTCCATGACCAATGGCCTTGTCGTGTAAATATTTCAATCCATCAATGACTTCGTTAATGATTTTTTTTGGCTTGCTTCAGGGGAAGAAGCTGATTCTCGAATGCGGAGAGATAATTATGCAATCTGGGACCGAAAACTGGGAGCACGAGACATTGATGGACACCATTAATTCCAACTATCTCGAAACTATCTTCTGGCAGAACAAGAAACTTTCTGCCTTGGTCAGCACCCTCGATATTGTCGTGCTTATCTTGTAGTCGTTGAACAAGCTTCCATTCCGCATGCACCAACGAAACATCTGCGCGTTGAATCTTGAGAGCGACGAATCGATTGCTCACTTGGTCTTTAGCAATCCAGACTGTAGAGTAAGAACCATGGCCAAGCTTGTTGGTGATCGTGTATCTGTCGTTATCGAAAGTTACACCAGGAACCACAGGGTGAAAGCCATCAGCCTTGTACTGGAAGAGGTCTTCTACCCCCTCGATATCATCGTAGTGAATCGGCTTGTCGGCCATTGTGTTCTGGGGTTGCTTTGGAGTGCCTTTCGAGAAAAATGGCTTGTGGCAAACAAAACGGCAATCGTTATCCTTGACTGGAGCCGTTGAGCTGTTTGCAATGAACTTGTACGTCGTGGAAAGTTGACACTCATAAGCGCCCGAGCTAACCCCAGCGGCAAATATGTTTGTGAGCAAGGAATGTCTTAGGAACAAAGAGCCCAGATCATTTTGTGTGTGAAAGTGTTTGTCCATGAATATGCAAGCGACGAATTCTCAGTGGCAGAGATTCGGTAATTTTGCGCCTTGCATCAAAGCATTTCTATCCAGCTTCTGACCGAATATATGTCTAGCGGTGCGATCAATGGTGGCCTAACGAGTTCAGAGACGTCCGCATCTCACTGTGTTGGACGGGTCAGAGATGTTTGCGGAACGGAAGCGAAGAGGTTATTAAGGTCAAAGAATCTTGATGCTAATTGTCCCACACACCATGATCTTTCTTTAGGTATTATTGGTAGCAGGGAGCTTATCTTGATCCCAGGCAAACTTCGGAGAAATGAGAGTGTAGATAGATACCTATTCTCAGTCCCGGAATTCTTTGACTGCAATCTAATATACAATGACCAATCCTACCGTCTTTCCGTCTTCATGACCCGCAAACCATCCATCCATTTTATACTGTAAATGCACCCGCTCGCCATTCTTTCCTAGAGGAATACTATATATTGGAAAAATTTCAACAAAGAAGATGGAAAGGGAGACCAGGTTAAAGTACACTTGGAAATCCCTAACCCTACCTACACAAAGCCTACATACATACACTACACCTACACAACCTGACTATATCCAGTCCCCAACCTCCTCCTCCCCCTCGACTTCCAATACTTCCTGCCCTCATCAACCCAGAACACACTACTCGTAAGCATGACCAACGCAACCAAATCAAAGAACCCCAAAGCCTCCGTCTGAAATACCTCCTGCAGCCACGGAAAATAAATAACCAGAATCTGACCCCCTAAACTGAGCGAAACAGCCCAATTAAACAGCGTATTGCTGAAGAGGCCGACCTCGCCGCGAAGGACGGATTTCGATTCAGAGCGGCAGTTGAGCGCGTTGAACATGTCGAAGAGGACGAAGCAGGTGAAGGTCATGGTGGTGTCGCGCTTGGTGACCTCGCCGTCGGTGAGCATCTCGTGCGTGTAGACGGCCATGGTGCCGAGCATGATGATGGAGGCAGAGGTGAGGACGCGGGTGATGAGGGGCCAGGTTAGGACGGGGGCGTTGCGTTTGCGTGGGGGGCGGGTCATTACGTCGGGGTCGACGGGCTCGACGCCGAGGGATTGGGCGGGCGGACCGTCCATGATGATATCTGTGGAATTTATATTAGCACTATGTTTCCCAGCGGTGGATGAAGAAAGGAAGGCGTACTGATCCATAGAATCTGCATCGCGTTCAAAGGATTTTTGAATCCTAAACACGTGCAGAAGAATACCAGACTGAGTGCAGCGGCGCTGGTACTCAGTTGGAATGTAAGGAAATTTTGAATGTTGTTGAAGATACCTTTGCCTTCTTCAATGGCTTTAAGGATCGTGGAGAAATCATCGTCTGTTAAGATCATGTCTGCAGCTTCCTTCGCCACATCTGTGCCTTGGCGACCCATAGATATTCCAATATCGGCTTTCTTCAGTGCTGGTGCATCGTTTACACCATCTCCTGTCATGGCTACGATATCACCTCGGGCCTGGAGTGCTCGAATGATCTTCATCTTGTGATCCGGACTTGTCCTTGCGAATATCGAAGTGTTCGCAATCGCAGCTTCGAGCTCCTCGTCTGACATTTCATCGATCTCGGCTCCGCTCAGTACAGGCTTTACCGCAACCGAGCTTGCAGTATGTTCCCGTGGAGCGGCAATGGTCATACCAAGCTTCTGGCCAATAGCCAAAGCTGTCGTTTCTGCATCACCAGTGATCATGATCACTTTGACGTCTCCCCGCATGAGCCGTCTAATCGATTTCTGAACTCCTGGTCTAGGAGGATCACTCATACCCACTAATCCTGCAAAGACTAATCCCTTGTACACATCCTCACTGTGTGAAACATGTGGTTCGGGTTGCTTTGTTGTTGGCGTACTGCTTCGGCTAATGGAGTGCAAAGATTTGGCATGTTTTCCAACAGGGCCACTCGCAAATCCCAGCACTCGAAGACCTTCAACAGCTAGCTTTTCGGCTGCATCCAAAGCTTCTTGTCGCCGCACAGCGTCCAACACCACCTCGCGACCGTCCTTTGTCAGATATGTATCACATCTGCTCAATACACGATCAACAGCTCCTTTGATATAGGCGACTTCTCGTGCAATCGACATGCCATCCGGAGTCGGATCGCCAACAGTGACTCCCATCCATTTACGTTCCGAGCTGAAAGGCGTTTCTCCAAGGCGGGGTCCGAATCCTTCTCGAACATCATGTTCCTTGAAACGGTCCAAAAGATCAAGCATAGCCACATCTGTTGGTTGACCAACCCATCGACTTCTGAGCATGTGACCCTCTGAATTCTCGGTAGAGGACAGAATAGCTATGGAAGAAGCAGATTGCGGGTTTTCGTCATGAAGACGATTTAAGCGCGCGTTGTTGGCGACATTGCCGATACGGAGAATTCTCAGGGTAACGGGGTCCGGCTTGGACTCCGTGGCTTCGTCATCTGAATCAACCTCGATGGGGCCATCGCCGCCAAAGAACCACATCTTTGTCGTTGTCATATGGTTCATTGTCAGAGTTCCTGTATAGGGTTAGCAAAGTCTATGTAAAACAGTACATATTTAAATACCTGTCTTGTCACTGCACACAACATTGACAGAACCAAGCGTCTCCACACTTGGCATTTTTCGGACAATTGCATGGTGTTTTGCCATGCGATGCACACCAAGAGCCAAGGTTACGGTGACAATGATTGGAAGACCCTCCGGAATGGCTGCAACAGCCAAGGAAATGGAAATTGTGAATATTTCCAGTAAACCCTTTCCTTGCAGCCATCCAACAAACGATATGACAGCAATAATCGCAAAAGATGCCTGGCTGAGTTGCGATCCAAGAGAATCCATGGAAAGCTGCAAGGGTGTTCTTGGGCTCTCGGTTTCGCTCACACTGGCTGCAATTGTGCCGAAATGTGTGTTTCCGCCAGTCGCATAGACTATTCCCTGTCCATGGCCAGATCTAACTAGTGTTCCCATAAATGCAATATTCGTTGTACTGTTCAGCTGCGTATCCGCCCCAACCGTTCCGCTACCAGCCGATGCATATGCTGGAGATCCTGGTGGCTCTAGATTATTCGACTTCGACCTAATGTATGCAAATGGTTGTCTCGCCTCTGCAGTAATCCTCACAGGTTCGTTCTCTCCAGTCAAATTCGATTCATCAATTGTTAAATCGGACGCCTTCGTCACTCGAATGTCTGCCGGAATTCTGTCGCCAGTCGTAAATAAAACCAAATCCCCCGGAACCAACTGTGCTGCCATGACCTTGCTAGATATTGCCTCCACCGCGGCCTCAGCTTCTGCCACAGATGTAGAGTCCATCAATCGCTCCTCCTCTGGCGCATCTGCGACGCCTGGTTGCCATGTCGGTGTCCGTAAGCTGGCTGTTCTGGGGGGCTCCCCTCGTATCAGATGGGCATGGTTTGGAACCAGATGGCTTAACGCTTCGATCGACTTCTCGGACCTGTATTCCTGTATAAACCCCACCAATACCACAATTGTAACTGCAACCGTAATACTGATAGCATCATCTTTATTTCCAACAATTACAGACGCCCCTGCTGAACAAAGAAGGAGAAGAATCAGGGGCTCCTTGAACTGCTTCAGAAATCGCAGCCATAAAGGCTCTGGTGCTTCATGAGGAAGTTCATTCGGACCTTGGTCATGTAATCGAGCGAGAGCTTCGGCAGGTGAGAGACCTTTCGTCAGGGAGGTTTGCAGTCGCGTAGCTGTTTCGTTCGGAGTGAGGGCGGAGTACTCGTCTGCTACTGACTGCATAGACCTTAGCTTGCTGCCCTCAGAAAAGGAGGCGCCGGGCTACTGACCTTTGCAACTGATGAAGATGAGCGAACATGGCTCCGTGACCTGGACCTCGACCTTGCCTCTGACCGTGGCCTCGATGGGGGCTCTGAATTCGAAGCTTCGATGGTCGGGAGGTTCGACAATGGCAACAAACTCCCACCTGGGCTCGCGGACCGGGAGATGCGCGGCCACCCCATGGCCACTTTCCTCTATACTGGTCTCTAGTATAACGAGCAGCAAATGATGCTGTCGTCAAAGCTGATTCTACCGCTGAGGCATACGAAACAGGGATATGTTGCTGGAGCTGATGGAGCTGATGGTACGGGTCTGGGGTGATATGGTTGGGTGAACTGGACCCGGTGCGCCTCTTCCTCACAATGGTTCGGCGTTGATTATTCGTGGAGCATCGCAAACATGCCAATGTCTAAGTGGGATGTCTGGGAGAGTTCAAGGACATTTGCGTGTTTGATTGATTACAATAAAGTGCTCCGTGAATCCACAACGTGTCGTGAGGCGGCGCTGGACTTTTGCCGTTTCAGGGACCCACAGTCAAGCTGGGCTGGACTGGGGGGCACTCGGGGCAGCACTTTTTGGCTTCGAAGCACTGAGCCTGAACCCCTGCAAGCAGCGATTGAAGGGTGGACCTAACGAATAATGGGCAATTGGACATGATGGGGAATCTGGAAATGGAGAGACACACCTAGACAGAAATCGAACCGGCTAAAATTTGAAGAAATGGGAATTATCCAGTACTTCATTCACCAGGTACTGTACGAAATCGGATTTATTTCATTCTCTGTTCGCCTCGAACGAAGCCGACACCCTTCTAAATATTCCAGTGTTGGAATAGTAGGTAGGGAAGTTTCACGTGACCAGCACTCTGTGCCTCAGGCAATCAAGCAGCCAACCTTATTTGGCCTTAGTGCATCTCCAACCCAGCCATCTTGAATTCAAACAGCCAGCTTCTTCCCTCCCCTCCCCACCACCCATTATTTCGTCGCACAACAACAAACTCCCCCTCCTAGGACCCGCGCACTCTTTGCTCATCGTCGCATTGCCAACTATTTCTTGCACCTCGTTGTCGAACTGGAACACAACATTTTGACGCGCTCCCTATTCGACTTGCGACCGAGCTTAGATTCCTCGACGCGCCGTCATCACAACAACACAACAAACGCGCCTGATTCTGCCCGCCACACGACTATCCTGATTGTCCCACGACAATTGAGGACATTGCCGTACGCGCAAACACCTCTGCAGCTACCGACACTTGCACATCGTCAACATGTTTTACTCGGAGACTCTCCTGTCGAAGACAGGCCCTCTGGCAAGAGTATGGCTGTCTGCCAACTTGGAGCGCAAGCTCTCCAAAAACCACATTCTACAAGCAAGTGTGAAAGACAGCGTTGAAGCTATCGTTACGCCCAATCAAGCGCCAATGGCACTCCGTCTAAGTGGTCAACTCCTTCTCGGTGTCGTCAGAATTTATAGTCGCAAAGCGCGTTATTTACTTGACGACTGTAATGAGGCACTCATGAAGATCAAGATGGTATTGTTACCAACACATGCCTCCAGTAAATAGTACTAATCCTGTCCTATAGGCATTCCGTCTTTCCGGAAATAACGACATGCCAACCGGCATCCACATGCCTTCTCGAGACGCGCTCATGCTTCCAGATGTACTTACTGAAGGCGACAACCTTGAGATGCCTCCTTTGCCTGATGCGTCATTTCTTTTCTCTCAACTAGACGATGACTCACATCAACGGAAGCGCAGAGCAGGTAGTAGAGATATCAATCTCCAAGAGGACTATACTGGCAGTCAGTTTCTGCAAAACAGCATCGAAAATCAGAATGACGAAGATCTCGCACTGGAGCCCATGGATGACCTGGATTTAGGGTTGGATTTTGGATTAGACCTTGATGACTTTAACCCGAAGGCTGTTGACCGCAGCATCGAAATTGGACGAGATGCCCCAGCCGCCCGCGCCCCGGAGGATGACTTGTTGAGCGAATTGGATATTCAAGTTCCCGCAAAGGATAACTTCGACGCAGGAGAACGCGATACATCCCTCAACTTAGATTTTGGCGGAGGAGACTTCGGGATGGACGAAACTGTCCGGATGGCCGATGATGATGGAGATGTCTTGATGAACATGGGAGATGGACCCGATGGAACCCTCGCCGCTGCTCCTCTTATCCGTCCTGGAAGGATCTCGGAATCACCCCTCTCGGATATCGACGAAGCTTTGGCAGCCGAAGTTGAAGCTGAGCATCGAGCAAACATGACCTCGGCACTCTTTCAACCTGAGGATGAACCTGATGAGTCGACACTGATCCTTAACCCTGCCCAACGTGCCAGAAAGCAAAAGCTCCTCCGACCTGATGACGAGACCATGATCCCAAACCACCAGATCAAGGAACAGCAAGAGCAACACGACAAGATCCTTCGACCCCAGTCATTCCTTCCACGCGACCCAGAACTCCTTGCGTTAATTGAAATGCAGAAGAACGGTGGTTTTGTTTCGCATATAATGGGTGAGGGTCGGAGTGCGGGATGGGCACCAGAACTCCGCGGCATGTTGTCATTAGCTGCAGTTCGAAGAAACGGTGAACTTAAACGTAAGCGCGACAGTGGTGTTGCTGATTTGGAAAGCGGTGATGACCAAGGTCCCCATAAGTCACCACGTCTTGACCTAGGTGAAGAGGATGACCTTGCGGCTGGGCTTGGAAGTGCAGGCTTGGACAAGGAGAACACGATTCTTGCTGCAGATGGAACGGTAATTGAGATGCCCGCCGATGACGGATTTATGATACCGCAGGATGAGGAGCATGATCCAAGTGCTGGCCTCTCACCAGGCGCAAATTTCGACGAGACCACCGCACCACTAGTACACCCTGCCGACAGCGGACCTGTCTCTCTTGGTACCAAGCATGCAGTTCACCTACTACGCGATAGATTTGGCCCCGAAGCTGCTAACAGTCCCGACAAGCGCAAGAAGGCCAGTGTTCTCTTCCAGGATCTCCTACCAGAGGCAACCACCAGCCGAGCAGATGCTACCAAGATGTTTTTCGAGGTGCTAGTTCTCGCTACCAAGGATGCAGTCAAGGTTGAACAACAAGAAGCCCTTCTTGGGGGTCCAATCCGTGTCCGAGGAAAGAGAGGTCTATGGGGTGATTGGGCTGAACGGGAAGCGGGCGGTGAGATCGCAGAAGAGGAGCCAGCACCACACGCTGGTCTTGAGCGCTCGACAGCTGTTGCTGTCGCCGCATGAGCTTCTTCCAACTTAATATTTCGATCTACCTACACTTCCCTGTACAAGTACTGCATATGTTTATGTCTCACTTACGAGGCCGGAAAAGACCCTGGGCGGCAGTGGCGCAGAGGCGTTCCCGGATTTTTTTTTCAAGCTCCCTTCTATTTCTGAACGGAGGATAATTGGGTCAGGGCATTGACATTGGCGTTTTTGTGTTCTTGGTTGGCTGGACGGGTTGGCAGCTGCGAATTGATGTCCCTTCATTTCGGTATTGGCTAGCGATGGATGAACAAATGGATATGTGGGGAAGAAATGAAGAGAGAATAGAGAGAGGGAACATAGACGATGATGACCTTTTTGAGGCGTGCTCGTTGGATGCATTTCTTGATCTCATATCTTAGTTAGCCACTGCACATTATGCGAAAGGAACACAAAACGCTGTCATGTTATGACAGTGCGGGTTTGGAGAGTAATGTGTCTTTTTGTGTATGCCGTGTTTTGTGGTCTTCATTGTCAAGATGTACATCGCTATATCGACTAATCAACTAAGCTTAAGATTGGTCGAGTCTTTTAATCCATCACACTCATAATACCCCCGCCATTTTTACTTCGCCTACTGGGATCGAAATCTTCGCCAAGTGGCACATATCCAGAAGTCTACTTTATGTATCAGCCCCTTATCTATATCTGCTTCCTTTCAAGTTTAGCAGTTGTTTTAAATTATCGTTATCGTCTGAAGATGAGCCTTCAAGTGACTAGTGACCTGACTGACTCATCCGGTCACGACTCATCTTTCAGATGAGACGATACGGCTCAGCCTCATCCCCACGCTTCGGGATGACTGCACTGCATGCATCTCCGCCTCGTACTATCAACAAGTCAAGCCTCCACATTGGGAGGCCAGTATAGCTAATCAAATAAATATAAGTCATGTCCTTGTTCGGGACAGGAACGAGTCTGGATACTTTTTGATCTTTTCTGTCTTTATGACTAAAGAAGTCGAGTTTCTTGAACGTTCCAGCTGTACCGCATAATTCAAAAGCCATCACGCGATCGAGCTCTAGAATTCATATGCGTTTCCAGACATCTTACACTAAGAAACAACTTGCGAAGTACAGACGCAAAAGAGACTCGAATTCCTCACAATATCATGGCATCAACTTCACACCCCCACCGCCAGAAATTCACACTCACATCCACCACCACCGCCCTCGCGCTCCTCCTTCCCCCCAACCTCTCCCCCGAACTCACCACCCTCCGCACCCTCCACGACCGCACATCCCAAACCTGGCCCTCCCACCTCACCATCCTCTACCCCTTCCTCCCTCTCTCCTCTCTCCCCTCCGCAATGCCCCTCCTCCAATCCGCACTCTCATCTCTTCCTTACCACAAACTTAAAGTTGTGTTGGATGAAGTAGGGGTTTTCAAACATAGGAAGAACGCTACAGTGTATTTGAAACCCGGGGAGGGTGGTGAGTCTGAGGGGACTTTGAAGGAGTTGAGGGGGTGTGTGGAGGGGCTGTTTGGTTTGAGAGAGGGAGAGGGGACGAGGGAGGGGGTTTGGAGACCGCATTTGGGGGTGGGACAAGCAGCGCGGGGAGGGAATGGGGTGGAGAGGTTGGTGGAGCAGGTGAGCAAGTTGGATGATTTGGAGTGGGATGCTAAGGGGCTGGTTGTGTTGAGGAGGGAAGTGGATGGGAGGATGACGGTTTGTGAGGAATTAAGATTTGGTGGTAATAGTGAGTTGGATGAGGATGGGGGAAATGTGAAAGAAGAGGGGAGAATCGATGATACGGGGTGGACGCCTTGTTTTGCATTCAAAAACGACGGTTACAGCATTGAGCAGGAGACATGGTCTCGCTTCTCACCAGATTCCAAGCTCGAAGCGAAGCACACGGAAAACATCTCAATATCAACCTACAACATCATGGCCGAGCCCACAGCGGCCCCCTTCACCACTCGCCTCCCCCTCATCATCACCTCCCTCTCTTCACCAAGCCCACTACCTCCATCATCCACCCTCCAAATCCTCTGCCTCCAAGAAATCAACGACGAATCCCTCCCCCTCATCCTCGCCTCGCCCTACATCTGCAACACCTACCCCTACTCCACCCACGCACCCTCTTCGCTCCTCCCCAGCGCAAGGAACCTACTCACTCTCGCTTCGCAACCTTTCACGTCGACCGTCGTGAATTTCGAGGAACGGCATAAATCTGCGCTGGTTGTTGAGTTTGAGATGAGGTTTGGGGGTGAAAGGAGGAAGTTGTTGGTTGCGAATGTGCATCTTACGAGTGGGTTGACGGATAGAGCTGTTAGGGCGAAGAAGAGCCAGATGGATAATCTGAGGAATTTCCTGCTGGCACGGGACAATGGGAGGGAAAGCGAGATTGTCTTGGCGGGTGATTTTAACCTTACGACTTCGAAGAGGACGATCGAGACTACGCTCTCGCGAGGTCTTATTACGGCTGAAACGGCGAATGCTGTAAAGAACGTTGTTGATCTCAGTGTTTGGGAAGACGCCTTCCTCGCTTCAGAATTGATTGTTGGAGGTGGATGTGAAAACACCCTCCTGGGCCACGGTGGCGGTGAGATCTTCGAAGGTGAAAAGGGCGCTACTTTCGATCGGACTACGAACCCCATAGCAGCGCAGCTGGATCCACCGATAGATCGGAGTCCGCAGCGTTATGATCGTGTTCTATATCTCAAATCAGGTGGGATATCTTCCGAGAAGACTGGGTTTGAGATTTTTGGGTTCGCGGATGACCAAGGACACGTTGGAAGTGACCATTATGGTGTTCGTGCTTTACTTAGCATTGCGAATACTGGATCTGGATCAGGATTAGGATCAGGTGCAGATATTGGGCCTTCTACAACAAAACATAGAGATTTGTCGAGACCTGAGGCTGGCGAAACAATCACAATCGTTGAAGACGACACTGATTTCAGCACTCTCCTCGACCCATACCTACCCACAGCAAACGATATCGCCCAGCGAAGAATGGCAATCGAACTCCTTCAATCAACCCTCTCTCGAGGGCCTGGACTGGAGAACCTCATACTCGCCCCTCTAGGCAGTTATCTTATGGGCACGTATTTCGCTGATTCAGATGTCGATATCCTGGCTATTGGCAGTGTCAGTCCTGCGAAGTTCTTTGACTTTGTGGGGAGAGAGTTAAGGAAATCGGACTTGGAAGGTGATACTGGAAGTGGAGACAGCTTCAAGGGCGTGCATTTTGTTAACTCGTTGGTTTCGATTGTGGAGGTTGTTGTTTTGGGGATTAAGTTTGATTTGCAGTACTGTCAAGCCGATGAACTGGTTAAAGTGTTTGTTTTGTTTCCTATTTTCCCTTATTGCCCCTGCTCCTGGGCTTTACTCTTCAGTACAGCAGTTTAACAAGCTGACGGCACCTCTAGATATTACGACTCTATCCCGTCACCAGAACTCCAGGACCTAGTCTTCGACAAAGATCTAATCTCTACCCTTTCGCCCTCTTCGATTCGACCCCTCAACACCTACCGTGACTCCGCGTTTCTCCTCAATACAATCCCACATCTCCCATCCTACCGTCTCGCGCACCGCTATCTATCTATATACCTCAAGAATCGCGGCCTGTATTCCGCAAAATTTGGATACCTAGGCGGAATACATCTCCAGCTGATGCTCAACCGAGTCGTGAAACTCATCCACTTGTCCACCACAAGCGATAATTACGAGAGCGGTTCCGTTCCAGTCACAGTCTCAGCATCGACTGTCATTCGCACATTCTTTGCTTGCTACTCCTCATTCAATTGGGCTTCAGAGAATGTTCTAGATCCGCTTCTTGGGCCAGAGTGCAAAATCTCCTCGAGATCAGCACGTGACGCTATCTTCATACCAGCAATCCACACGCCTACCGCTCGACCCAACGTCGCATCTTCATGCACGAAACTGTCAGCGCATACACTGTCTTCTGAATTCAAGCTTGCAGCAGATCATCTCAGTGCTGGCGACTGGGAATGGTGTCTTCGATCACCCGAAGAGGGTTTGGGCGATTTCCTGCATGGAAGTGGTGCGTTCATCCGGGTTGCGATCGATGTTTGGGGTGTTGGTGAGGGAAGTGGGAGAGGGAAAAGTGTTATAGCAGAGGAAAAAGTTAGAGGGGTTATTGGCGCGCTGGAAAGTAGATTCCCAAGGCTTCTGGTAAGTCTGGGATGGATTGCGGGGGTGGAGGGCAGGGTTTGGCCGGCGAGGCTGTATGTTCCTGACCGCTGTCAGAGTACTCAGGACGAGGGCAAAGGAAAAGGAAGAGAATACGAGGATTATGAAGCAAGAGATCATGCAGAAGGCCAGTTCAAGGGCTACTACCTTCTTGGTGTTTCTACACGAGAAGGGATGGATAAAGAGGGTAAGAGGCTGATGGGAGGCAAGTTGATGACTGCCGTTCGGGAGTTTGAGAGGGGTATCCTGGAAGTGAGGGAGTTTGTGGAAGCAAGTGAGAATGTTTGGGTCGTTGTTGATGTTGTGAGGAGAAAGGAGGTGTTAGGTATGGGTCTTGAGATTGATCGGAGGGAGTGGGGTGTGAAAACACGACAGCGACCTGATACATTGGAACATCAAATCTCACTACAAGATCCAGAGTCAGGATTTCCTTCATCGACAGCCACATCATCTGCAGGTACTCACAGCTCCTCATCAGCAGCTACGACCACAGCGGTCAAGTCCAGCAAGCAGCTCAAACAAAAAGCTACACCTCTCCGCCCCGTTCACGAGATCATCGCCCGCATAAAATGGGATGCAGATCTTGATATCGCGAATTACCTCATTGGATATGAGGATCGTTTTGTGGGTGTCAAGGAAATGGAGCTGGGAAGGTGGAAAAGTGAGAGTACGGACGAGGAGTTCATTCCTTTGCATGGGGTCGTGTGGATCAGGATGAAAGATGCAGTGGAAGACGGCACTGGCGAGAGAGTAGATGATGAAATAGTGAGCGAGAATGAGTGCGGAGATGAGGATGAGAGGGGTAGGGATGGGGACGGGGATGAGATTCAGGGAACTAGGGGTGCGATAGTCTGGGATCGGAGACGAAAGATTGACCGTTTCTTTGGGAGTGGAATAGGTGTTGGTTGAAGACATTGGGTGAAATGAACGGACTCTCGTGACAAGATTTAGAGAGCAAAGATGCAGTCGTCCATCAATAAGTAGACTATCTTCGAGTTGCCTTTGACAACGACATCTGACGACGACAATGAGGCAGAAGAAACACAAAGGAGTCAAAAGAACGCGAACTGCGAGAACGAGATATCTACACGATATCGTTTAACCCCCCTGTTCTGTACTACGGGCTGTCGGAGAGACTGTCGTGAAGACAGGCGTGACGTAGTTGCCCTCGACGTCTACCACATGCTTTCAATGCCTGTATCGACACGGGGCTGTATAAACTTCTGAGCCTGCAGTAAGATGCAATTTGGAATACCAGACAACGATCAAGTTCGTAGGCAGGGCGTGATTAACACATGCCTTCTCTAGAGGCCAACGATAGGCGGTCTGAACTCGACCTACAATTGTTTTCATATTGACACGTCTTCATTGTGAGTAGCTGCCGTCTTGACCGGTCCTCACTAGATCGTACGTATGCTTGGCTAGGCTTACTCACAGGCGTTTAATCCGACGATGCATGCTCATGTCGAATACCGTACTTTCTACGCCACATTAAATGATTGGATATCGAGGCAGAGCCTTGCATGACTTGGAAGACCGAACCACCTCAGACGTTTCCAGCAGGATGCCACTGTTCAATGTGTTCATGCACTCTGCTCTTTCTTGTGGACAACAAAACGTGGATCATTTGGTGTCAGCATGCGATTGTTCGCTCAACCCAGTTCAGATCATCTCCGCATTTCGAATTGTTGTCACGATATTATTGTTGCGGCGGTTGTTTTTGTGTCGAATTATGATGGAGGAAAGGCTCAAAAGGAACTCACATTCAGCTGAGATTTGGTTTTGAGCAAGGATTCCAAGCCACTCTTACACATCGCCACTAAATCAACCTTGCAAGTCTGGACTGAAGACCCCCAGCCTTGCCCTTTCGTTTCTTATCTTCAACAGAGCCGCTGTGGTTTTCGTTTGATTCTCGATCTCTAAATCGAAGCTTCAATGGATATCTCTTGTCGCCCCGAATGGAGCCAATAAGTGCCTTGGGTGCAGCTGGCTCAGTTGTAGGAATAGCCAGTTTTGGCCTTCAACTCTCGCAAGTGCTTTACCAGTTCACGACCCAAGCATTGGCTGCTAAAGAGAGCCTCCACACCATCCTCAACGGAATCGACGCGACAAGTCGTGCGCTTGAGTCCGTTCATGGTTTCTTAGCAGAAGAGTGTAAGCACCTTGAAGAGAAGGGACAGGCAATTTTATTCTCGGAAAAAGCGATAACAGACGTCAAGGGGACAGCGGACAAGTGCCTGATCATATTCTGGAGAATTGAAGCCGCAATCACGAGTAAAAAGACTGGTTCCAAATTCGAAAGTACATTGATAGAGAGACTGGAGCTTTTCAACGCCGCGCTGTGCAAGGAACAGCTTCAACCGGTGTTTCCGGACCCAGAGCTGACGAAGCTTTCTACTTGGGGACGCATCCGTTGGACATACATCGCTCCTAGACTGGATCAGTTCAACAGTCAGCTACAGCTTTTGCAGACGAATCTGGTGTTGATGTTCCAGGTGATCTCCCTAGGTGTACATCGCAGGAGACCGTAAGGCTTCAAAGTATCCCAAGTAATATATACTGAATCGAAATAGAAATCAGAGGGAACAAGACCTCAGAATTCTACTTGACATGTACTCTCGGATACAAAGAATGGCGCAGCAGGCAGATCTTTCTCAGATTGGACAAAGGCGGTCGTCTAAAGTCAATGAGCAATTGACTGGTTTTGAGCGACCGAGACTTGAGAGTCCAGTCCCAGCACGCGATAGCCTACACCCTTTTCTGTCGCGAGACCCTTTTCGGAGGCTCAGTCTATCTCCACGGAGGCGGCAACTCAGTCCAGCAGTCTCAGGCGGGGCCCATATTATGAATACTCCAAATCAAGCTTTGGCTCACCCTGGTGAGGAGTTGAGCGGACCAAGTCGTGGATTTGACTCGGGAAATGTCGGTGCATTGCCAGACTTGCAACATAGCTCGAGTAAGAAGGGTAAAGGGAAAGAAAAACTGCAGGTTGGGATGAACAAGGAGGCTGCCGTGACCAGCGGCCATTTGCCAACAGCCACGGTTTGCACTCCTTCAGTTCCGAAAGCACTTGAAGTAGTCATGAATCTTTACAGAAACGCTGACCCAAAACAGAATCAACAGGGCGATTCAGCCTCCGCCTCGACCAATGAGCTTACAATGCGCCACTTGTCAAGTATGTGCTAGTCGAGCTCAAAGCCATAAACTACTCCTTTCAGGTCCAAAAAAGCCGTTGGTTTAGACAAATTTCTTCAAGATTAGGGCTGACAAAGACGTAGGCCCTATAACACAAAGTCTTAATGCCTCAAGACCTGTAGAGAGGCTTTCGGAGCCAGTTCCGGAGGATGATGGGCTGACTCGCAGGGGACGGGAAGCTCAAGCCACAAGCAAACCAGCTCTAGTCACAGCAGGTTCGAGTTTGTCTCCGAAGGACGAGCAACCAATCGCCGATGAGACAAAGATTGTTGCTGCTTCAAACTCAGAGTCGGACCAGAGAGTGCCTAAAGCCGCTGAGATGGTACCATCAACTAGCCCGTCACCCAAATCGGTAAGTCACGATATTGATATACGCAAAGTTGATACTTACTCAGCTTGAAGGGAGTCAGCATTCAGGTGGAAAATGGAAATATTGTTGAGTTTTCTAGTGATGAGACTGTACCTCAGGGTTCAGACTATCCCTCTCCATCGATAAAGCCTTCAGCCATTGGTGTCCCAGAGATCATCGAGAGCACTCCAACTCCCACCAGCAACACGAATAGAGCATTTATTTGGTACAATGAGCGCAGCCAGCAAGCATCTGACACAGCCGTTGATCGGTCAACTCGCAATCACAGTGATCCTCCCAACATCAATTCCCAAAACGACGATCAGCACAACGGGCCTAAGTCAAATCCAAGCAGGCGGAATCGATCACCGAAACGCCAGGAAAGTGCGAGTATACTCGAAGAACTTTCATATGAGTTCCAAGCTAGCACTCCAGAAAGAAGAGCCAGCAGTATTGGGAGTCGTCGAAGCTTCTACGACAGCGTCTCACAAATAACGAAAACCTCTGGCAATCGGAAGGATTCAAACAGAATTCTGTCGCGAATGAAGACACTCTTTAACATGGATGCGGCTCAACCAGATCCATTCATCAGCGCATTTTTTATCAAGGATGGCGAAGCCCATCAAGTTCCCTATTCAGGCACACTCAAGCTATCCCAGGCCATGATGCGAAGTATAGAGTGTCAATCATCAGAACAGCCATGGCACAAGACCTTCGCATTCATGAATTCCGATGACCTTACCGCTCTCCAGAACATCATCAAGGAGGTTGGGTCTGATGGGGCTCGCAAGATTGTCGACCTTAAGAAGGTCCGCGAGAATCGAAGCAAATTCTGGAGGTCTGGAGTCTACGTATATTTTGCTGTAGTCAGAGACTTCCCTCCTGAAGCTCCATCGATGGCAAGCAGGTCTCGCAGCTCTACAAGTCGCAATCAATCCCATATAGGAGATAATCTAAATCATGGACGCAGACGACGCTCAAGTGCAGCCACAAATTATCCATGGATTCCTCTAGGCCCTGCAATGCAGCAGTCAGGTCAGCCACCTTCTCATGCGATAGACAACAGCCAGGTAGTGGCTCAACCCGTAGCAACAGCTCCAAATGTACCTGCACTACCTCAAGCTTCGGAGCAAGTTCGAAGCGGCCAAGCCGAGGGCCAGAACCCTCAGCCCAGTGGGAGGGCCATGGCGTTTGTACCTCCTCCTCCTCCTCCACGACCAGCACAGCCAATTCCTCCTCATAATCCCACCACTAATGGTCCTCGTCCTCCTCCTCCTCCACCAGGGCAATTTAGGCCTACTCCCATGTCCTGGGGGCCACCACAACCTGGTATTCTTCCTCCACGGCAGCAGTCGATGAAAATTCAGGACATCTCGCCTCCTCTTCTACTAACTGAGGAGGTTTGCACTAAAAGGCTTACGACCTTTAAATTATTCACAATTCACAGAGCGCCTGTCAAAGAGAATGAAGCCAAATCAACTTGGAACCGAGCACAAGTGATCCAGGAACAATTCGCCCAGGCGGAAATTCAAATGCTAATGAACAAGCTCCATGAAAAGTCTCTACCAGTGACAGAGAAGAAGGCAGCACTTAGACGAGATCAGCAAGGTCAGGTCACGACTATAATGGATGACCTTGCGTCTCAAGAGCATGATGCTAATTTCCATTGGGTTCTGGCGCAACTTGATGTCAGAGCAGCTGATATGGATGGGAAGGGGCAAGGCAAGAAGCCAGCCCGAGAGGATGTTATCATTCTACTCTTCGCCAAGCGGACTCCAATCCCCGAGGTCAATCCTATTACCCTATATCAGATCTTGGAAAGAATGAAGGCCACTCGGTTACAAGGCCCACCGCCACCACCTCAACCGCCAATGCAACCAACACAACCGAAGCCCATCTCGATAATGCAGCAACAACAGCCAACGCAACAAGGAGGCTCAAAGTCGAAAACAGTTTCAATGAGTAAACCGATAAGTTCAGTTTTGAACAAGAAAAAGAAAGCACGAAAAGACGATTCTAGCGACACTACAATCAGTGACTCAGACTCCAGTAGTTTTACGAGTTCTGATTCTTCTACATCAATGACCACTAGATCTGGTGAGGCTCGCAGTCATCGATTTAGAAGCAAGGGGTCAAGTCGCAGGAGGGATTCCAGGTACCGGTCGAGAGATAGGTCATTGTCCCCCCGACCATCCCGGCATGACTTGTTTGACACTGGGTTGTCCCGCAGAGGCGACTTTGACCCTATTGCTTCAGCATATCAAGCTGGCAAAGAAGATGCTACAACTAGCAGGTACGGCAATTCGTACAGTTCACAGTATCCGTACCGTACAGAGACCATGGCTCGGAACTACGATCGAGAAGAAATCTCACAGTTGGATCGCTATATTCCAAACGCACATAGCTCGGATCGCCCCATATCAGGACAGTATGACCCGATTATTGAATATCATGACCGTCCGCTCGTGGCACGTCGCTACCCTGTCCCTGATAGCTCATACGATGCCTACGATCCAATCGTTGGGTCTCGACAAACCTACCCTCAGCATCCCAAACCTGGATATGCTACCGATGCAGAAATCGTAGCTCGCCGAGGCACTCAATATCAGAACAGAAGTTCGGATTACTCGCGTGTAACAGGTGTCGATAGCTACCCAAGAAATTATGACAACAAGCCATACGATCCACGGTTGCCAGGCGAGAGGGGTGAGGAGACGGGCCGAGATAGTAATGATATCGTTCAGCAACTCCTGCTCGAGTGGACACCTCAGGATACCAGTGAAGACAAAGCGAACGGGGTCAGAAATGAACATTGTGGTGCGGACGGCATCCCTAATGAACAACCATCTATGCAAAATGAAAAAGAGCTTAATGGACACCAAGGTACCAGGATCCCTGGTGGAGAGGCTTCAAAGAAACCAGACGTCAGGTCTCGGCAAACCACTGTCGACGACGCGGTTGATGAGTTGGATGAGAGATTTCAGAGTCCTTTTTCAGTTCATTCGTTCTATGGCTCGGACACGGGCCTGGACACAGAGAAGAAAGACGGAACATCAGCTAGAGAAGTATTAGAACCAAAGCCTGCAGCTACAATCAGTGCCATCTCCAACACCGGAAGGGAAGCCTCACCCCCATCAATCTCGCAGCCACAGCCACAACCTCAAAGCAAACCGTCGTGGCTTGATCCTTCATGGGCACAGAAAATGGTTCAGACTACTGCTGACAAGCCTATCGACCGTGGCCAAAGCTCCCGAGCCCCATTGCAACCCAACTCCGAGTCTCGCTATGAGGCTGGCATACGACATAGTCCACCACCGATTCCTCGAATACCTATTCGGGACCATTATCCTAACCCAGCGTCCCGCCCTTCTGACTATTCAGCTCGAGAAGAATTTTACCGAGGAAGGGAACGCATGTTCGAGCCCAACTACAGGCGGGAATCTCCTTTTGGCTCGACGGACAGGTATATGTCGCCACGCAACGCTAGACATCCTTTTGCCCCGCCACAAGGAGATGTGCCGCCCCGGCCGTCAAGTTACGACTATGCATGGTACTGAGTTCATTTTTATTCGAGGAGGTTTACCTTGCCTATTTCCGACATGACAAGTGCGCTGGGCCTGGATCCTGGAAACGAGGTATCCACAGCTTCCATCGATCTCGATGATAACGTTATCTAAGGAGCTATTGTTCCAATTTGTTTTACTCTTCGTACAATAAAGCGTCCGTGGTGAGTTATTTGATTCTCACCGTACCGCCCTGGCACCGGTTGTAGTTGGCCTGCTAAGTTCTCAGTTAACCCGGAAATTTAGACGCTCATGGTAGAGAGATAGAATAATGAGCAGTGCCTAGACTTTTCTTGAGTCTAGGGAAGAGTAATTTGACTGAGGGAAATCACAGGTTCTTAAAAGCTAAAGCGGTCCATAAGAAGGCACAATTTATGTTAGTCGAGTCGTTCTGTTCAAGTTTCAATATTGTACAACGATACTCGGGATACACGAATGTTGAATTCGCAATCTGATCCACTACCTAAGGTTACGGTAATGACTGGCTACAGCAATGCCCACAAGCAAGCTGTCAAATAGACACTCCTCCTCGAAGATACAAGTTTCGACTCATTTCGCCATCTACCCGTTGCCGGTCCACCTCTACGTCTCCATTTCCTCCTCTCACTTAAGCTAATTTATGCACCATCATTGTTCTCGCAGAGAACATAGAAAGACTTTGCACCGACGGCTTCAGTGCAGCCCTCGGTGCCCGAACGAGCAACCAGGGATCCTGGAGCGCAGACTGGGCTGCTGTACGCCTCAACTATAACGAATCAGCAAATTTTATTATGGAAGTCACCAAGTCTATATAATACTTACCACGGCAACCTCTCTTGGAATCTTGGACATAATAGATACCGAAACTGTTGAACGAGACATTGGCGTAGCATTTCTCGTTGACGTCTCCCTTTTTGGGACGGAATATGCCACCTGGGAACTCGGGGTGGTCGGTGATAGGGTTGAAACATTTCTGGGAGCCAGCTTCTTTGTAGAAAGTGATGGCGAGACGCTCGTCGGCGCGAGCTTCGAGGACGGCAGGTGCGGCGGTGATGCTGGTGATGAGAAGAGCCATGATGGCGGATGTGAGGGATGCTGAGATGGCGACCATTTTGGCCGAGTTCAATTGTTGTTTGAAGAAGAGGTTGGAATCTGAAAATCTTTGTTGCTGTGTTTATTGAGTGGGTGAATAGTCCTTAGAGGTTGTCTGTGGGTTGACTTATATAACTTTCTGAGCCGCGTACCGTTCTCAAACGGCTGCATCGTCTATCCCAAACCAGTCTGCCGAGCAGTTAAGGCTTCAGAAAAGGTTCTGAGTTTGTCGTTGGCTATCTCGTAAGAACCGCATCATGAATATCGTCATGAAATACAGGGCTCTGAAACGATTCGTATGTATCATTCAGAAAACGTCCACGAACAATAGAGGAGTCAAATATTACTCTATTTCCGAACGATATTATTGGATCGGCTGGATTGATCTGTCAATATTCTCATTCAAATTACTGTCATTTTCTTATAGGACCATGGCACTGAGCATCTACGGTCAGCCTGGCAAGGAGCCAATCGCTTTCTATGACGAATTGACAATATCCAAATCGTGTTTGTACCTATGACTAGGAGCAGTTACAGCTTACTAGGTGTCCAAGCTAAGGGAAGACTTGAGCTGAGGCTCAGCCCCAGACACGTGGACAGTAAGACGACGTGATACAAGTCTTGCTTATGGATGCAGGTTCACAGCTGGATTCCTTTTAAAGCAATGTTTCAAGCGAAATTGCTCCGAAACAATGGACTTGTGTTTCGCTCAATACATTTAATCAAGCTTTTCTCTAATTAGTCAGTTGGAGAACTGTGTGGAAGAGAACAGATTGTGTTGTAGCAATCGCTTAAAATCTCCTGGTCATAACGTAAGAGATGGAAGGTTTGGCAGCAGACTTTCAAGTTCTCAGGAACCTGTCTGGACTCTAAGTAGACATCAAACTAGACAAGCAAAACCAAGCAAAACCAAGCAGAGAGAGCCAGGAGTCTGTCAGCCGTCCTCGTGTCGTGGAAAACATTTTGCGGCACAGATCTCACCAATAGTCAGAAAAGTGAAATTTCTGTGGAACCATAAGACATCCGGTCATGTATGACACGAAAAGAGTCACAAGAGCGCTAGAATACGCAATAGCACAGCCTAATAGCAAAAACAGAAGGAGACAGGCCAATGAAGTCGCAGAAGTCCACCTACGATTGCCTCACCAGTGTGACTTCTCCATTGTTCCATCATATTGGATGGTTCGAAGAAAAAAAATTGGGAGTGAGGAGAAAAGGCATAAGACAATAATTCAGCATTCCACTTATCTTGAAATAATTGTCTCTTGAAAGGAGTCTGCGAATCGGAGAATTTCTATTCAAGCTGTCTTATCAAGCAGAACTGTGCACCGGCACTCGAAGTAAATTCAAAGGATCGATGAGAATATGTGATATTCAGCCAAAAAGGTGATGATGAATTCTCTTTCCCATAGCAAATAAGTTTGATACATCTGAATCAAGTCCAGAACTACGAGGCCTACACACCCTTCGTGGAAATGTGCTGGGTCTGAAGTCCCCAATGCATCTCTCAATCCCAACATTTAGGTTACGTAATCGTTGGTATCTTTAGCAGTACAATGACTCCAGTTTTTTTTTTTATTTATAAGCCGAGAATTGAAAAACGATAATACCTCATGACCTCGTTTAGAAGCAGACCTCAATGCTTTTCCTTCTTTTGTTTACATGATCGGCTATTGTTAACTTTTGCCAGACCGCCTTTAGCGAGACCAAGGTCTTGGTTAGGGGCGGCCGCACGCTAACGAGGCGTCGTTCTCAGGCCGTCACAGCGTGCACTTTCCATGCACGACGAACCGCCATCCTCGACGAAACCAATAAGCGCCCGCCGGCTTCTCACAAGAGCCTAGATGGGACATTCTTGATTTTTGATATCGACAGTAATCTCGACAACAGAATTAACGTCCTACAGTAACCACGAGTATCTTTTGTTTCGTTGCGATCCTTGGTATCGATCTCGTGATCTGACGATTAGGCTCCCAGCCTGGTCGACTTGCGAAACTCAATTGTCCTAGGATTTCTCGAGAAGGCTGGCCTTAAAAGAAGGACTCCTTATCGTACGCTTACATTCTTTTCGATATGGCTTCAGGAGCTGCTAGAAGATCTGCTCCTTCAACAGGCAGCACCAAGAAGCAGGACCCCGCAAAGGTGCAATTGGTGACGGCGGTCCAAGATGCGTCTGTGGAAGCAGGTATGTCTTTCTACCTATTCATCAAGCTGGGTAACAATAGCTTACAATGTACAGAACAAGATGCAGGAGCGTCAGGATCATCATCGAAGCTCAAGGAAATGGCTGTGGTAACGACAAGATCCATCGACGAGCCAACAGACCCAAGTCACGTGGAAGAGCCTCGCCGAATAATTCTTCCCGACGAGTCGACCGCCTGGATGTCCAAGATCCATCTCCTTGATCTTCCAGTCGAACTTGTCGATATGTTCTGTAGAGTGTATTTGGACGTGTGCTCCAACACTTGTCTGGGACTGACATGCAGAACGCTGTTCAACATGACCGAACACATCCATCCCTATCAAGTAAGCCTGCACATGCGAACGAGCGGGAAGTGTCTTGGCCATCTCTTGACTGGTTGGATGGCGCCAAAATACAGCTTCGATCACGCTTGGGGCAAGTTCTTGCCGAAGAAGATGTTCCTGAGGAACGATGAAGCGATCGAAAGAGAATGGAGGCGGAAAGAGTCCTGGAGGAATATTCGCTTGGCTGTGGATAATGCGGGTGCTATTGTTGCTTATGAGAGTAGCAGTAAGCGGAAGGGCTTTTAATATGTTCAGAGCTGTATGGAAGGGCGTTGATGGCTTGCTTGGGTATGGTTGTATTGGCGTTGCTGGAAGTGAAAGCGATGAAGCGAAATTTGCGGGATTGCGGAAATGGAGTACAGTGAGCAGGCGTTATTACCTTTCCTGTTAGCTGCTGGCATGGTAATTCATGACCTCATGCAGTGTCTTGATATGCCTCAATAAGAATATTCTTTATGACATACGATGTATGCGGCATGAAAGTGTATACTTTGGCAACTGATGTCCTTGGTAGAATTTCGCGTAAAACGGCACCAAAATCTCGCAATGCAGAAATCAAAACGAAGGGATTTAGAGGCAATCATATGCATTGAGTATGCGGTGCAACGTGAGAAGTAGCAGCCAGGCTATTGCAGCAGGCAGTCCAGCCAGCCGGCTTCAATTGGTACCCAGGAAACCACCCGAAAAAGAATCGGACCCCGTGAGACAACCCGCAAATCAGCTTGTATGAAACAGTTCTGACTCCAATGACGCCAAACTCCTCCCAGCAAGTCTATCAAATTCCAAAACTAGGTTAGGAACCGAAATTGCAGGCCAAGGATGAATAGATGCCAAGAATCTCCGCCCAAGGAATTTCCCAGAGATATCCGCGAGCAGAGAGAGGCGACTTTTTTGATTGCATTGTGTTGATATCTGAAGGCAGCTTAGTGCACTGAAATCCTATTCGGAAAGGTTGTGACTTACCAATACTGTACAACTGGAAAGTGATATGAGCCCGATGCCAGATCCAAAGCACACTAGAGAGTTCCAACCGAGATGGCAATGAATGGCAAGGGCGAGAAAGGTGCACGGTTCAACTGTGAAGTTGATTGCAATTATGAAGAATCGCATGGGCCGTCGCAAATGATGGCAGTCAACTCGGGCTGAGTAGTAGAGAGAACGTAGTCGGTGTCTCCGGGGAACTTGAAAAGATTGTTGCAGGGGAAGACAGAGCAGCCGGCTAGAGGGTAATTTCCGCCTGCGGGTCGAAGCCAGTGGATTTGTTCATTTTGAGGTCCCAAGCCAAACTCATTGGTCTTGACGACCGAAAGGTCGAACCACTTTGTCATGTTAGCGCTACCGTAAAGAAAGCCCCTTGGAAGGCTGTATATAACAGACACTCATGAAAGAGTCTCGTTGAACAAGTGACGCGCAAGGATATTGGGTGAAAGGAAGGAATTTTGACTTACAGTATATCCATAGTTGCCATTGAACTTGACTTCACCCTCGACATTGTGGTGGCTATTGCAGTCTCCCTTTTCACCAGTTGTGATGTAGACAGACTTGAACATGTAGTCACCGCCCCACACTATAGGAGGTGTAGCACCGCGACCCCATGCCTTGACAAAAGTGCCTGGGATTGGTGGGTAGTGTTGGGGATTCTTTGGGTCTGTACCTGGAAGTGCACCGGGGTACCAGCAGACAACGCTTGGTGGAGTTAGCTGATTTATTGTTCAGGGGAATTCGAGGAAGAAATCACTTACCGATCATGAGGGGTCTTGTTGATGAAGATGACCTTGTTGCCCAAAGCAGAGCCAAGGAGGGAGAAGAGACCAAAGACGAAGATGATAAGGGACTGCATCTTGAAAGACTTGATACTTTCTGGGGTGTTTATTGGAATGAGAGTTGAGTTGGAAGGCTTGTGGAGGTATGAGGAAGTCTCACGGCAGTCTTGGTGTATGAAGGAGTGACCGTACGTTGTAGGAGCACAGCTCAAAGAACGTGTATTTGAACTGGCTGTTGGTTTGAAGGATTACCAGAGACGAGAGTCAAAGAAATTGATGTATTGAGTAGGGGAGGAAGAGAGTGACAAGGAGGACAAATAGAGGGGTATTTGTAGTCAGGAGCTAGGCGCTGGAGGCCGATGCGGCGATGCCAGATTGTTGCTCGTCCTGATAGGGTCTAGTGGGCAGTTTGAGGCAGCATTGTTCGAGGTGAATCCTACGGCAAGAGTTCTTACGGGTTGAGATCAATGCCGTCCGTCAAATTCACAAGTACTCAACAGGCTCTAAACGTTTCGCTCAGATTAGGCATTCACTGAAAGCGATCATTGCAGCGCCATCATGAACGGAACAACCAGCGAAAATGAACAAGATGTAACGAACAAAGTGTGGGTTGGTAAGCTCAACCGAGCACGATTACTGATTACTACCAGAGATGCTAATCAAACTCTCATTCACATTTTATCAATTCCCGAGAAGGCTGAACAAGACACAAAAAGGCCAGAATGCTGAACAATATTGCGAGCCCAAGATATCGGGTCAGAAAATATCAGTTTCTGAATAACCACAACTCTGAGGACACAGGTAACAACGTGATTTGGACTTGATATCTGCTGATAAGACTGTATGCTTGGGACAGCCTTTCAACCTCAGATTGAAGTAGGGAATTGTTGGATTGTGCTTTAAAGTTGTGATGTAGAGGCTGTTCCAGGATTCACGAACCTATGACTGAAGTGGACAAATCAACATGGAAGGAAGGTGAGCGTTGTAACTTGAAGAATACTGCAAGATTTTGAACAAGCCAATTGCAGCGAAACTGAACAAAGTGCAGGGCGGCAAGATTGAAATGTGCACTGGTCACTTGTACTTTGCGAACCATTAAAGTGTCCAAATTTGACGAAGAATAAAGAAGAAAGAGGGATGAATGGTGAGCAAATGGCGAGGACATGTGGCCGAGAGTCGACGTCTTGAAATTTGGACACGATCCCAGTGTAATTCTGCCAGTCTAGTCAATGAAGTACTCACAGGGGTGGTGTAAATGTGGAATCCAGCTGATTGGTCCAATACCATAGAATAAGATCGTGAAGAGCCATTCTCTCAGCATTAAAGCAGTTGTGCATGATTGACCTTGAAAGAGAGCGAGGTACGGAGGACCGGAGGCCTTACATTCTAAATGGTATAGCGATATCGGGGACTCTCATCTCCCAGCTCTGCAAGTTCATCCTCAGTCATCCCCTCAACTTTGTAATCTTCCAGCCCAGAGTCCCGCTTCTTGTTCGCACGCGCGTAAACAAACCACTACAGCATCTGTCAGCGATATTTTTCGACCTCATATCAGAGTTCATCTTACCAGAATAGCATACAAGGTGCAAGCAAACCCGACCATCGACAACGTAACCGCATGTCCCGTTACATAGCGTGGCTTATCAGCAGTTGGGTAGATGAAACTGCTCAAGATACCAGCACAGTTCCCAATCGTAAGCTGCATTCCTGTCGCAGTCGTTCGCTTTCCATATCTAGGTGAGTTGTTCGGTAGCCAGGCAACAGGAAGACCGACGACTACGTAGAGCCCTCCAGCAACCATGAAGCATCCGAAGTAATGGGCACCGGATGGGGCTTTGGATAGAAGAATTCCGTAGCCGATGATACTTGAGGCTCCACCAACGAGAGTAAAGATGGCGCGTTTCGAGGTACGATCAGACAGGTGAGCAGCAATCATGTATAAGATAGCTCCAGTGGCGTAGCAGGGAACAGTTAGAAGCTGAGTCTCTGCTGTAGTCCATTCTAAGAAGGGATCAAGATTGATTCTCAAGCTCCTGCGAGGAGGAGAACTTACTGCCGAGCTGAGATATGATCGTTGGCAGGAATGTCGAGAAGCTATGTACGAGTCATTAAACCTCAATTCCGATTCCGAGAAACAGGGTGAGCATACCCATAAAGCATGGTATCAACGCCAAACTGGGCAAAGTAAAATGCCCAACACTTCCAATCCCTGAAAGCTTTCATGACATCTTTCTTTGAGAATTCCTGCGCAGCAGCAGTTTGACCATATTCGCAAGCCTTGCGAACATTGATCAACTTCTTGTCCTCATCAGTAAGAAAATATGCCTATCTAAATCAGCTCTGGTTTTTTTTAGTCAACGCGACCCGGTTTACCGTTTGAGGATTGTTGGGCAGCAGCCAAAGTGTTGCAATGCCCATAAAAACAGTTGGGATGCCTTCAAGAATGAAGATCCTAATATTGTCAGCACGGTCAAGTAAGTGCTTCAAGAGCGACCTACCATCTCCAACCACTTTGACCAGCAACACCATCCATGTGTCCAATTCCGTACGCAAGCAGTCCACCGAACCCTCCAGCTAAAGCAGCAGAGACAAACAGGTACCCAATCCGTACTGCCAGCTCCTTTTTCGTGTAGAAGAATGTCAGGTAGACTGCCAAGCCAGGGAACAAGCCAGCTTCGACTGCACCGAGGAACAGTCTCACGACTAACAAACCGGCATAGGATTGTACAACCCCGCCAAGTGTGGCGATAATACCCCAGGATGTGGCAATAAATGCTATCCAACGGGAAGGAGTGAACTTTTTCAGTACACTGGGAAAGCATCAACTGGTGCAAGCTTCAGAAGTTATTTTTTATCGCCACTTACAGATTTGAAGGGACCTCGCAAATGATATATGTGACGAACAGAAGCGAGACCGCAGTCTGATACATATTTCCATGCATGCCAAGGTCTCGCTCCAGATGGTACAATCTCGCATTGCCGATGTTGACCCTGTTGGTCCGCTCAGTACATGCAAAATCTGCAAATCAAGTACACACAAACTGGGAAAGACTCACCGATCTAAGAAACTCAAAAGATATAAAGCCATCACAACAGGAATGATATGGATATCTAGCTTTCGCACCAACTTCCGTTCCGCTTCCCCACCGAGCAGCATTCGCTGGTTTTCAACCCCGACATGTTTGGGTTCGGCAGTGGACATATTACCTGAGCCCTTTTCCAATGTCTCGGCCTTGTCCACTCCAGCATTAGCTGGCGTTGAGTTGTAGTTATCCGTCATGATTGTGACTGATTAGGGTTTGAAAAATTCAAATTGTTGCAGTGGAGATTCCGGGTACAGAAATCACGTGGCATCGAATTGAGACTTTCAGAGTACCTAGATGCCTTTGACTGAAAGAGAGACCAACTGTTGCGGTACCGTCGTGTATTTATGTGGTGATCCTCATATCTGTGTAGCTTACAATTGTTGCACAATCACATACCCTCTTATCTTGAAGCAGGCTAATCTATCTTCGGCCAATACGAAACCTTGTCGTACCAAGACATTAGAAGGTGGGATGCTTCCCATCGAGACATAGGAACGTAACGCAGAAGTGAAAGTTGGGATAAATGCGAAATCTATGAAAAGTAGCAGGGTAGGACTGACGTACTGAAAGAAGAAGTCAACCTGGTTCAGGAACTAGAGTCGCACGTGACCAACCTCCTCTACATATTGATGACGCTTCACTTCAGCGTCCGAAGAGGAAGACAGATATATTATACATTGGCGACAGCTTCATATGTTTTCCCCAGATAAGGGCTTCCATAATTCCACCTTGATTCCGACAAAGCTAGATTCAGCTGATGAAAGCCTCCAGAATATCTTCAACACCCTTCAACATCCACTCGGCCCCCTTTCCAGCATCGATGATCGTACAATCAATGCTGAGTTCGCCTCTATCTCCACCACGCGGAACCTCCAGGATCTCGAACTGGTTGCGCACCAAACACTTTGGCAAATAATCACCATCATTCAACCGTCTTTCTTTGACCAGCGTCTCGGCTTTCTTCTCGCTTATTTGCAGGAAGAGGAAGTGGAGGCTGATCTTGGATTTCGACCATGACTTCTCGTTTGCTTTGTTATAGTCGATGACGGCGGACCGAAAGAAATTCCGGTGCGTGCGCTTCAATGCAGAACAGGACACCACAACCAATTCGTGTTTGGTAGACATGTCGATTGCTGCGTGTGAAAGCTTTCCGAGCCACGCCGCGTAATCGAGACCGTTTAGTGGAGATCCGGACTTCATTTTCTCTATATTCTCTTTGGGTTGATACTGTATTGTATGAAATTTAATTGCATAGTCTTTGGCATGAAAGGGAGGAGACTCCGAGCACTTTTGCTTACCTGGTCACCTTCGACGTGCTCAAATCCCCGCTTCTCCTGGAGAAACTTGCCGACTGTGGACTTACCACAGCCACTTGGACCGAAGACAACAATGATATGCCTCATACTGGAATTCTAGATTTGACGCCGATGTTTCGCTGAATGTCGTGCTTGATGTGCCTTTGTAGATGCAATCTCAGTCGTCGAGGTGTGGCAGCCTGAGAGAGGCTGGGACTGTGTCGATGCGATGCAGGTGAATTTCTGGTTAGAGGAAGCAAATTGTCGTCCGAACAGAAGAAAGAAAGCGAAGCTATATTATACAGGATGCTTTGTGTCCAAAATTGAATTGTTTCAAATTTTTCAGCACATCGCCGACATTGTTGTTTGTGTGTTTGGGGTTTCAAAGCAACACTACGCCACGCCTCTTTCTTCGAACCTTGAGTTTACCGGATTGGCATTTATAAGAACACCTGCGACTGTGTCGGGCGGTTACAGTAAAGCGTACACTCATATGTACCATTTTAAAGCATAATCGTCGCTTTGAAGAACAACAACGCGGCCCGTCCACGGTTTGGCTGAGTGACTTACGAGTATCAGGAATCCTAGTGATTAGATCAATATAAGACATTCGCCATGTCATATATGCGCATTCCCAGAATAGCAATTCACAATCTCACAGTCATTTAGTGATGGTAGTGAGTTTGAAGTGTAGTGTCATTAACCAAATCCTGAAGCACCAGTAAAAACCCCGTGGGGAAAAGGTTACTTCCACCTGTCCTGATGAGACAATGACAATTACAAAATTTACATGATTTGTAGAACAACAAAAACAAGTAATCCTGCGCCTGTCCTGATTTGACAAATATCTTTAACCAATTTGTAGTCCTCAAAATGAAAGTACATGAACTGAAGTCACAAATACATGAATCATGAAGTTCCAAATCCTCCGCTTCTGACAGTTCACCGAAATGATCTGAAAGCCATCGCACTCTGAAGGGGGAAAAGATGGCGGTTTGCTTGGTCGATACCCCTTTGTTGACGTGTTGCTGGTCGTTGAGGTGTAACCTGTGTTGAAGCCGGAATTGCCCCCCACAAGTCTTCGGGGTCGATCCAGGAGTCGGCGCCGTCGATATTACTGATGTTTGTTGTCATCACCGTTGTCGTCGTCGTCCCAGTGGTGGCGTTGGGTTCCGTCACTGGCCGTATGTTCTCGCGATGGCGTTCTGTAAATGTTTGTCGGGTGGCGGATCGTTCGAAATTGAAGGCATCCTCCAGGTACTCGTCCATGAGGTAGTTTGGAAATGCGGGTCGACGTCGATTGGCTTCTTCCTGGAGACGATTGCTTTGAGGACTGATTTGCTGCAGGGAAGGTCGGAACGGATCCTCATGGTGGGTTTCGGTGACGGCGAGGTCATCAATTTCAACCTCAGAATCAGAAAATATGTCGTCGTTTGACTCGTCTGATGTTTGTGGCGAGAGTATTGGAGATGGTGGTGCCAAGACTTGTAGTGGTAGTCTCTCTTCTGGCTCAGGTGACACCTCACGAGAAGGTGTTGCTGGTGGTGATGAAATACCGAAGTTGGCCAACTTATCCTTGTTGGCTTCGTTGATGACGGCATCGAGATCCCCAGCTGTTATAGACTCCAGATCGTCCATGTCGACTGAGAGGTCAGATAGGTTCTCACTCCTTCCAGTGGCCCTGAGTTGTGTTCGATGTTGTCGGGTAAAGTCTTCGAATTCAGATCTAGACTGGTTCGAGAGAATCATGCTGCCACTCGTGTTGGGTGCTAGGTGAAACGAGTCTTCGGCGGCGTCATCGCTACGTCCGTTTTGGCTGCTGGCGCGGACTTGGACGCGACGTTGGTTAGTGAAATTCTCGAATCCGAATTCCGACTCACTGGAAGGATCCATACCTCTAATATTGCTTAGCGCGATGCCTTCTTCAGTGGGTTGGGTGATAGGTTCCGCGTTGTTGGTGGCCATGGTGACTCCAGGGTTTGCCCTTGGCTGTGTTGATGGCTCCCATGGCTGACGTCTTGTGGGCTCAGTAATTTCAGATATTGGTGTGGTGTGAGTGCGGGCCTGACGTCTGGTTGTGGTTGATGGTGCCATGGCTGTTGATTTCTGTTGACGTGTGCGGGACCTCGAAGTGGAATTGTCGACCTTGGTACCGGATAGTTACGACTTTTCTGAGTTGCTGGCTTTTTGAGTGTCCAGGCGGATATCCAGAGTTGAGTTGCTTTGGAATCCGACCACGTTGATGTCGTGCAGGAGATAGAATTTGTCGGAGCGGCTGTTTTTTCTGGTTGATCCTCTTCTTACTGCTGATCTGTTGTTCAGTTTGTGTGTGTGTATGTATTGTTTTCGTTTTCTTCTTGATGAGAGTTGGATAGAGCGTGGATGATCTCCGGCTATTGGCAGAAGGGTTTGTTACGAGAATTGTTTCTCGAAAGTAGAAGATGATATTGTGATTGTGCAGAATACTGTTTGAAGAGGATGAAGAAGAAATCGCAGGATGGAGGACGTCTCTAGAGCTTAAGTACCTCGTAGTGCGAGTCGCGTATTCTAGACAAGTCTTTAGTACTATCGATTAAATCTCAATAAATGAATGATATTGACAATTTGGACGACTGAAATCACCAAGCTGACTTTGTACCAAGTTTTCACAAGTAATGAAGCCCACCATTGGCCTGTTGATGAGGGCTAGCGTCAGTAGCGGTTTGAAACGGTTCTCCAAATAGTAGCCTGCAGTAAAACAATAATTATTATCTCAAAAAAAAAATACTCAAATAATTGAGAATATATCATTAGCGCGACTGAAAAATTGCAATCAGATATTCAGTTGATGGCGGAGACGTTGATCCAGATCGACAATGCTCCGCACGGATCACGCCACAAATGTCTCTCATAGTAATTTTTCTCAATAATTTCAGGCCGGCATCATGATATGGTCTTCAGCGCCGACATTCATAGTGCTGTGATTCTTGATCACGACTGTTGAGTGGTTCTCAGCACTCAACTCCTTCCCAGCATGCTACGAGCATGAGCAGGTCTGCAAGCACAGTAAACACATCAGATATTCTTTGCCGCAAGTCCAATATGATATGCTATATACTGCTGCTAAGTTTGAATGTCAGCAGACCAGATCAACATCGTAAGCTGAGTAGGCCCAAAGCAACAAAACCTTCTGTTTGAATGTAAACAATTATGCAAGGTTAAATTGTGGATACAGCCAAGACTGTCCATTTGACAAAGACTGACTTGCATCTGAAAGGAGTTTATAATGATAAATGCCGTCTAGTCATTGTGTAGTCCCCTTACCCTCTCAGCTAGCTTCTTCCTCCATTCATGGCCTCTATGTCACCTTGACCTCATCCATCTGTCCAGGAGCATTCAAAAACAACGAATAAACGTTGCTGATACCATTAATTCGGGCTTTTTTTTTTAAACAATTTCCCGCGTACTTAATCAATCACAGAACCTTCATGCTTCCCCTCAATTACCGCCCCTTTCCTCCTCATCACAGCCATCCAAGCAGCCTTCTCCTCCATCTTCCTAATGTTTTCCAGATTTACTGTATCGATATCATTCTCGTCAGCATAAATCTGCTACGTCATATTTGAATAATAACAATAATTTATTATGACTCAGACCGGCGTGTAGAATGCAATAGAATGATTGCATCTCTCCGATGCAACCCAGTATGGCATAGTGACAGACTGCCGGTAGTGTTCCACAGTCATGGTTAGTATCTCTACTTGACCTCGCTAAGTGTTCGCTTCCAGCATTTGTTGACTCTGGTACCTACCTAGGGCTCGAATTATTGAACTCTAGCAGCATGACAAGTGTGGTTCCTACCCTAGAAGTGTTTGATAGCTCATATGACATTATGCTTGCAGTTTGGACAAAAGTTTAGGCTAGAGTTTGGTAATACCTAGTGGCCTCTTTTGGATTTGACAATGTGGACGAGCACTCCGCTTTCAGGTCACATGGAGCTGACACGAGGGGCAAATGGAAGCTTGATTACAGATATAAATAAGTTGATGCTGAAGCAGAAATGTCTGCTGCATCCAGCGTAGAAATATGCTTGGATGGATCCGTTCAGATGGACAGAAATGCAAGTCACGTGAATGGCGAAGGACCACTGAAGACAATGACGGCGAGGCAACGCGTGGTGCTTACTTAGAATGAAATTCTTCATCTATTGTAACCGTCTCTGTTTTTCCGTACATCAGCTATTTGATGAGTTCTGAGCCAGCAGATCCAGCGCCTCCTTCAAATCTCCCAGCTGAGGACTAACAGACTCCTTGCTTCTCAAAGTCATGACTGCGCCAGTCTGCGCAATGTTGATCAACCTCTCATCCAATTTCACACCCTTTGCTAACCCAGCGACAAGGACACCAAGGAAAGTATCGCCAACCCCATTGACGCTAACAACATCTTCCACCACCTCAGTAGCTGGGAACAGTCGCATGTACACGCCGCCAATTTCTGTGCTGCCATTTGCGCAACGAGACAGAATATAGGGTGCTGAAGCTGCATCAGTGAGGCGTGGATCGTTCGGTTTCAGGAGTTCAGTCATGAGAACACCGTCTGCGCCAAGCTTGGTGAGGATCGTGGGGATGAATGGCAACAACTGGATTGCCTGGATTGGAATCCCTTCATCGGTGAGCTTGTGATTGGTGATAGACACGAAGCGGTCGCGAGCACCGGAACTTAGAATGCCGAGGGCATCGATTGCTTGCCACCATTCCTGAGACTCGAAATATTCGTGTTTCTTTGCTGCTGCATGCATTGCCGCGAGTTCATGCTGGTTGGGTGTTGCCAGGTCCAAGACATTGTTTGGGAATGGCCCCAGATTTTCGGCTGTGCCTGAAGGATGCGGTTCGAAAATACCAGCTGACTTTGCGACAGATACTGGCTCAAATGCGACCCTTGCATTCAGTGACCGTGAAGCGTGATCGATTAGTCCCCTGATCTTGTCCTTGCGCCAGTTTGCGTCTACCACAACCCATTTGAGATCTGGCGAGGGTTTCATTCTTATTAAGTTTTGGGGACTGACGGATGCAAAAATGCTCATGTCCGCCATAGCGAGGACCAGGTCTTTTTTGGCGTCGTTGACGGCTACGTACTGTGCCGTTCGGAATTTGGAAGGCAGTATTTCCATACATGATGTGTCGAGGCCCTCTGCTGCCAAGGCAGACATCACAGTACTGCCAGCTCTGCGTGGTCTTAGGAAGTGGTAGTATGGAGGAACGGATTGCTCTTACAGATCTTCTGCGACAAAACTGCGCAATTGAACACAAGCATTCCCACCAACGCGATGTGCAGCTAATGCGACATTGTGGCCAACACCACCAATCGAAGGAACGATTTGGGCGATATTCGACGTCAAGAGTTGAGGGGAAGTGGAAGCAACTTGGTCACCAGCTTCTTCAAGTGGGGCATAATCACAGGATAGGTCAACGGCGACGGAGCCGAGAACATGTACTGAATGCTGTGAAAGAGTGAGCAAAATTGCAAGGCGAATAGAATTTATCCTCTAGCGTAAACTAGGTACACATTTACGTACGTGAACGTTTGAGTTAGACTTTTGGAGAGACGCTCCACCGGAGTTTTCAAAAGGCTTGATACGAGTCTGCAGATCTTTTCTTGCACTAGAAACTTTAACGACTTTTGTGACGTGCCATGGCATCATTGTACAGCTTACCGTGGTAGTTTGTGCGCTGAACTTCTGAAAGCTGCCAGTTCAACGGCAACTCTCGCTGCCATAGCAACATTGGATTCTATCAAAGCTTTGTTTGCTGGTAAGCTGTTACCTTTGGTGAGTTCTTTGATCCTTGCAAGGATGAAAGGAGTGTTTGCATGTCCATGGAAACCTTGCTCGGCTGCTTCCTTTACGGCTTGGTTGATTGCAATGTCGATCTCAGCTTTGGGGATTGAGTAGTCTACCGGAATAGGGTTCGCAAAAAGCAACCCCGAATGCATTCCAGAATGCCCGCTTCTATAATCGCCCAAGGTTTCCTGCGCGTCTTACGTCGTCAGTTCAGATCGCGAAAGTGGGCCGATATACTCAGACTTACAGATCATTGAAGCTGCCTCTCTTGGGTTCTGAACGATCCCATGACTCTTGATTCCACTGTCTCGAGTGTAGAAAGCTGGAAAATCTATATCCCCCGTCCTGCCATCTGCAAAGGTACAAACGGTAGCTCCCTGCGTTTCAAGGAATTCCAGTGTCCGCGGAATGTCCAGGAAGCTTTTACAGCCACTGCTTACTACTGCAATCGGCGTTCTGCCAAGCTCAGTGAGATCAGCAGATATGTCCATGCTGTCTTCACCTCCACGATGTACACCTCCTAGACCACCAGTTCCAAACACTTTGATGCCAGCTCGGTGGGCTAGAATCATTGTTCCAGAAACTGTGGTTCCTCCATTGAGCTTGGTGCCAGATAATCCCTAAAGCGGTCAAAAGTCATGTTCATAGGAAATCAAGAAAATCTCACCATGCCCAGAATGTAAGGGAGATCTCGTCTGGAAACCTTCATCGTTTCTGGCTTGCCGGCTGATGAAGCGAGCTCAGTAATCTCGTTTTCATTGAGCCCAATCCTGGCCACCCCGTGCAAAATACCAATAGTCGCTGGTACAGCGCCATTGCGGCGAACGATCTCTTCAAGACCCAATGCAAGAGCCACGTTGTCCGGGTATGGGAAGCCATGCGTGTAGATTGTTGACTCCAAAGCCACAACTGGCTTGTTGTTGCTCAAAGCATGTTTGACCTCATCAGAGACCTTTGAACAAATGCTGTCTGGAAATTCGAAGTCTTGCGTTTTGCTGCCTGGGCCATTCTGTCTAGCTTGTTGCGATTTCGCTCTTCTCACATTCTCACTGTTCCACCCCCCAGTGGTCTGAATTTTCCTAATGGATAACACTGGTGTATCATCCTCTATACCTATGGTAGACTGGAATCTGCGAGATATGCTGCACGCCGGAAGTCGTGACTTCGCTCTGAGAGTTGCACTATATATTCCGTGCAGCGCCTTGTGCTGTTGGTGAAAACCTCTCAAGATGCCGTGCACATAACATTGACGAACCTTTTGCGCTCTTCCAACGCCACCACATGATACAGAGAGCGTTCCCATCTCAGCCTTTGCATCACGGTCGCTGTGATAGGCCAATTGCAAGTCCAGTAGATTTGAGCTGTGTCGTTACGGTTGACATCTCCCACGTCTCGAAGATGGGAGCTATCACGTGTGGTAAATCCCAGCCACAACGAGCCACATCCCGGTCCTAGTGATAACCCAAATCAGACGTCTCCAATCTATATGATACACATACCGTCTCAACCTTACCAGTTCGTGCCATCGCAGCAATCAATTCTCGGAATACCGGCATCAGTCTTGACTGTAGGGCTGGCCCGGCAGAGCCTAGTATGCATTACGGTAAGGAGGCAGGTGCATCATACCATTACGATACGAGTGACTTCATTTCCCTGTCCAGTACCTCATATGATAATGCTGATATTGCCGCTGCCATGTCTGCCAACTTATCCCCTCTTTCATGACGTCCCGATAGATTTTCTTTTTTCCCGTCCTACTCTTGCGATTGAAAGAAATAATCAAGAATGATGTTTCTGTTTACTGTCGCTATTGCGCTCCTGGCGAGATGTCTTACTGCGCAGGAAATCCTCAACGGCCAAATATTTACGCCTGGCATCGCGATTGTCGACGCGCCGCAGCCTAACACTCCGTTAGGAGGAGGTATGGCGCGACTCCCTAGAATCTTGGGCGCATATAATGATGGCAACTAGATACTCTGCATGTCGCTCTCGATGTCACCTCGAACGGGCAACTCCAGCTGCCACCATACCCTTCCGATCCCGTATCTGCCATCTACAACATCACAATCTTCCTCTCGAGTTATACGACGGGCAAGAACTTCACCGTATCGAATGGCACGGCCAGCCCAGGAAACGTGAGCCTGGGAGAGATCATGGCGCAAGAACCAGGAAGCACAGTAAAGCATGTCAACTGGGTATGGCCAGATTGTTTGGTTGGAGACGGTGCGCCGAGCGATAATGATTCTGCTAGGGTTGCTTACAATGTAGGGATTTTCATCGGGAATATAAGAGGTGGTACGCTGATTAGAAACAGATCTCCATTCGCCAGAATTTCCGTTTGAATGGCACTGATATGTATACGATCTTTGATCTACCTATCAAAGTGACAAATTCGATACCCGAAGATAGCAACAGGCCGTCCTGCGACATCTTGAACAATCCCCTTCTGGACCAGGCAGCATTGAATGCTTCTGCAAATAGCTTTACCCGGATCGCTGGAACTCCGATTGAAGGGAATGGCAAGAATGGAGATAAGAATGGAATAGGAGGCACCAAACCAGATGGGACAGCTGGGGATGGGCTTGGTGGAGCTGGGATATTGGACTGGGGCACGGGTGTACACAGTATATGGATCGGAGCTTTTGCCCTAATGGCTTTGCTGTAGAGCACCTTTCCACAGGCACATCAAGAACGGAATTTTGATTCGAAATATACTGTCATTCTGTTTCACGGCAATTCGATCTACCAGGCCCATAAAGCTTCTTCTCCATTTCAGATCTGCGCACTTGGGAATACATTCCCTGGTTCTATTCAGGTACCGACATTTCCGGCCCGGCGATTGCAGATGGTCGGCTAGGTGTTTACTATGTGGGTCGATGAGACTCAACGTCTTAGTCATTTGAAACTGTATGTTCTTCTCTGAAGAACTATCGTAATCATACTATGATTTAATGGAAAGTCTTGCATCATCAGATCTGGGGGCTTCGGGGAGCTCGTTCCCAAATTCTCGGGCTAACGAACGAATATCACCTAATGCCATAACCTGTGTGCAAAGTTATATCCCCATATCGTCGCGTACGCTTTCTCAAGCGTGATCCAACACGACTCTACTTAAATCTAGTCAATAAAAAATATGCAATATGAGGGACTAATCCCTCGAGAACAAAGGAATCAAACCAATCAAGCATCTTTCGAAATTGGGCTTCTGCTCGTATGGAATTGACCGCTTTCATGGGATCCGTGGGTGTTAAGGTTTGTATCAGTGGTAAATTACCTGAAGCTTCCGTGGGTTCCACAACAGCTCCTGAGTACTCTTCTGATTCGTGCTGAGCCATGATGGAGCTGACGGAGCTAGTGGCTCGGTTCCGGCTAGACGCCTTACCTACCCCGCGTTTGAACTAGCACCTCGGTCCAAACCCGACCACATGGAAGAGCTGAAGAGCTCAAACCCTGGAATGTGGTGTAGCTCAAATAGAGTTATCAGGGCAGGGCCGAGACAATGCGGAGAAGATCTGGGGCTGGGCGAGCTCCATATCAGATCTGTCTCCCCTTCCCTCATTCATGCCTTTCAATCGCTTCTTACCAAAAGAGCATCGACAACAATCGTTATCAACCCCAGTGAACACATCATCCACAAAACAAGCCTCCATTGTCTGGATATTGAACTGGACAATACTTCAAAATGCCTATGCACAACGGCTGGCTTCCACGAGAAGGTATTAAGCGCTCACCTATACTACCTACTGCCCTCAAGGACACGACCGATTAACTAGCTCAGGTCTGACAAGTGACCCCATCGGACGCTTCATAAAGAAGACTGCACTCAACCCCGCGTTCACGATCGCGTTCCTCCTCCTCGCACGCTACACCAAGAAAGGAGCCGACCTAGCAATTCTCCATGAGACGGCCTACTCTCGAATCAGAAAGCTCTTCTTCCTCGGGCTCGCACGATGGGCATCCAACTATCTCGACGCGGGTGTCTTGGATAATTGGACAACGGATACGTATGATTGGAACAAGGAGATTGTGCTGATAACTGGTGGTGCAGGAGGTATTGGTGGGAATGTCGTGAAACTGCTGGCGGAGAAGGGTATCAAGGTTGTAGTGCTGGACGTGATTCCTATGACTTTCGAAGCTCGTGAGTGTGGCCCTCAGTCGGGATATGTTTCGCAGGGACTGATGGGACGCAGCATCAAACGTGTATTACTACAAATGTGACATCACATCTCCAGGGAGAATTGCCTCAGTCGCAGCAGAAGTCCGCAAGGATGTGGGAGAACCAACCATTCTCATCAACAATGCCGGCGTTGCTCGCGGAAAGAATATCCTCGATGCCACGGAGAAGGATATCCGCTTTACATTCGAGGTCAACACCCTGGCCCACTATTGGATGGCAAAGGAATTCGTCCCCGCCATGGTGAAGTCGAATCATGGCATGGTCGTGACAGTTGCATCTTTCGCCGCCTACGTCACAGTTCCCAATATGACTGACTACGCCGCGTCGAAAGCCGCGGCACTATCTTTCCATGAAGGACTAACGGCCGAGCTGAAGACTCGATATGGTGCCCCCAAGGTCCGCACCGTGGTCATCAACCAGGGCTACACCAAGACGCCTCTTTTCCAAGGCTACAATAACGACTCTCCATTCTTGGTGCCGACCCTCGAACCAGAAACTGTTGCTGAAGCCATCGTGAAGAAAGTCCTCGCTGGACACAGTGGACAGGTCATTATCCCTGGGTTTGGTGCGACCCTGACTTTCTTCAGAGGCTTCCCGCACTGGTATCAATTGAAAGTGAGGTCCAAGGGAGAGAACATTATGACCAATTGGAAGGGAAGACAAGTCATTGATGTTGAGAAGTGGAATGAAAAGGATAATGGGGAGAGCGCGTAAGTTTGGTCATGGGTTGACAGTGACTTGTGCTAATTTCGAGGTAGCTCGACGGTTCTGGTTCCGCCTGCCCAACAGTGAGCGCTTCTAAGCGGTGCTCAATTAGTGGTCTGTATCTTAAAGGCATATGTCTAACTTCATCTCTGAGCTTGTATGTACTGTACCTATGAACGTCCACGATTCAGGTTCCCTGTTTCCATGCATCCATAAACGTGCTGTATTTGCTCGATCTACTTTTTGAGCTTTAAATGAGATCCGGTTATCACTCCGAGGCGGCAGTGAAAAGAACGACATATGCAGCATTGCAGAATATATTTCACTATGTATATGTCTGCATCAGGAACGCAAAACTTGGCCACGGGGTAATCATGAGGACTAAGTTTTGGAATATCAGGAAGAATATCGATTAACATTAGACGACACAAATGATGAAAAGCAAAACTTGAACTTTCGCTTGGTCGTGTCTGGGACCTGGAAAGGTGGGTTGCACAACAGCTGCATGATGCAGCTTCAGCCGCTTTCAATTCCAACATTTTTGCCGCCTTTGAGGCTCTCAGATCTTCAGAGGCAGCACCACTCGAGCTCTGTGAGAGATGTTGCTAGAGCATTGATCTCGAGCGAGGGTCATCAAGAATAGTACTCCTACATTATTTCCTAAGGAACCTAAAAGGTGCCTAGGTAAGGTAGGTTCGAAAGGCCTGCAACAGACATGTCACATGACGTCGCCTCGAAAGTTTGTCACTGCAGGTGGAGCAATTATGAAAGACAGATGGCAGTCATCTCTTGCAGCTTGCCATATTTACACGACAACGCCCTCTATAGTTCCGAGCCATCGCCGATTCCTTCTACCAACCAGATCACTGTCCATGACCTTCAGCTTGGTCAGCGTAGGAAGAGTTCCCGGAGAGTCTTTCACGTGCGTGCATGGATCGAGCTATGTGCATGCTTCACTAGGCCTGCAGAGCTTCACACACGTCGGAAAATTGCTACATGCATGTGCCAGGGTCAACGAAGCTCCCCTCATCTAGGATACAATGAATTGACATGTGGTGGTAGTTCTACTGCCCCCACCGGCTCCCATTCAGATTGTTGACTTTCTGAGCAGACGCTTGCCCTAACACTCCGGTGATTCTTCTCGGACGTCTTATGTCAACCCTCAAATATCTTAATTGCTTTCCACCAACAAGTACTGCCTCGAAAACATCTTTCTTCGTGATCCATCATCCCTCGTTTCACGCATGTGAGGGATCATTTGGTTACCAGAAACTGCCACAACTGCCAAGCGGCTCACGACTCCCTACGCCCGGAAACACGTACATGCTATGTGAAAGTCAGCCGATACCTGGTCTATGGATCCTACAAGATCAACAGGCACATCTCCAATGTGATCAGAAGCCATTGTGGCCAAAAGTTGGGCGACCGGGGAAACGTCGGGACAGCGCGGTCCTCTCGCAATCACGGCCCGGTCTACCGAATGTCAAAAATCAACAATCTTCTCTCAACCTCGTCGAGTAATATCACGAAATGTCATGGTCACCCGACCAAATTGCCGAAATATAGCCATTATATGTACATTGATTAGCTTTTGTGCTACGAGAACTTTCTCCCATTTCAAAGTCATCTCCCCAGAGGAAGCCAGGGCAAACTGGAGAACAAAGTCTGCGATAATCTCTTTCATCCACTTCATCGGCAATAAATTGAAGACTTTAGAAGAATCTTCAGTTATATTTCATTATAAGCCAGTACATTATGGAGCAGTACAGTGATCTTCTCTGGCGGGAGGTTTCACCAGGTCGGTACGAGAGAAACATTGATGAACCAGAGCAATTCTACACTTCAATGGCAAAGACATATGAAGCAACAGGGCATACATATTTTGCAATCACAGCATATACTGGAATTTCAGTATCAAGATCGTCTACATCAGAGGACTCTGGCATCGATGCGCGTGTCGAGAAAGCTCTCCGTTGGGCTTGGAAGAAGCTCAGGCACGACCACCCTACCCTTGCAGCACCTGTGGAGTATGATCATGAAACCAAAAGATGCAAGAAGATGTACAAAACTCTAAGGGATAAACAAGAAGTGGATACATGGATGTCTGAGACCTTCAAAGTGGTCGACCATGTCCAAACTGGTGAAGCATTTGCCAACACTGATCCGCCAGTTGGATCTTACGCAACTTTGTATATCGTTACTCCCCCGACCTGTTCTCAATCAGAAAAGAATTTTCTCAGACGAGATATCATTTTCCGAAGTCACCACGATCTCGTCGATGGTGTCGGCACTCTCATGCTACTCAACAACTTCCTTCAGCACGCTTCAACAGCCTTCGGAGCTGTTACAGAACTACCTATCGAGTTTGGAGCTGAATACAGGAATCTTTCACCCCCTCTCCGGGTCGCGGCTGGTATCCCACAGTCTCCAAACGCCGATCAAAAATCGAAGCTTGCCAAGTTACATTCAATCAATGAGGCTTCCAGGACTGGCAGCGAAGTCCTCAGCCTTCCTTTTTCTTCGACTGTTCAGACCCCTGGCAACTCTCAGCGTACTGCCATCCATTTTTCTCTCGGAGAAAGTAGTAGTATTCTAGCAAAGACGAAAACCTTTCGCTCAACGGTCACGCAAGTCTTTCACGCTGCTATTGCATTGGCAGTACGTGATCTACAACCAAAGACTAGCCAGGTACGCCCAGGTCGATATTTCAGCTACTCCCTGGTCAACCTTCGACACTGCTGTATACCTCCATACCACAAGCCACGCCATGCTGCCTCAGTGTATCACTGCGTATCTGCGAATCACCTTGTCGTCGATCTCACTGTACCTGCCGAGTCAACGATTTCGGCGGAACAGGCACCCGAGGAATTTCTCACTACCCTTGAACAAGTCCGGAACTTCTATCACAACGCCACCATCGACGCCGATTATCTGAGCATCGTCCCGTCGTTATTCACTGCCGTCACGCCAGAGTATCCAACTTCTGTTAGTAATATCCCCGCACCAAATCAGAGTCCTTCGGTATCGCTCTCCAGCCTCGGAATTGTGGACCGTATCGCGCAGCCAGAGCATGGCGCGTTCGAAGTGATGGAGCCGTGGGTCATGGGCGCTGAGTATTCGACTGGTATCGGAGCATTCCTATCGACATGGAACGGAATCCTGTGCCTTAGTGCTGGCTACAATGAAGCGTTTCATTCGAAGGCAGAAGTAGTGGATTTCCTGGAGAGGGTGCAGCGGATTGTACTTGAAGGGCTGGAAATATATGGCTTGGGTTTGGGCGATGGAAATCAGTTACCGCTAAGGACGGGCTAACAGACTGCTTCAAAAGTCTCTCTATGAGTTCAGATACTTTAATGGAAACCTCGTTCTCTTTTCCATTGCGCTTCACGACGTTCGGGATTGTGAAGCTAGGATCGCTTAATGACACGTGACGCCATGCCCGATACGGTTGGAAGTCAATAGACCGGAAGATGATCAGGATCCTTAGCGTCCAATCATTATTTGCAATTCATAGGACTTCTGTCGCCCTAAAAAAGTAATCTGAATGGTCCTGCCGTATTTTTCTCCATTTATACACCACCGTTGAAGCTCCTGCTAAAGTCTAGAATCCGCTTCTTGATTTCGGAAACAAAGCAATCTCGATACCTGAGACATCTCGAGCTCACCAGACTACTTCCGTGACTGTTGTTTCCTTGCCTAAAGGTGCCGCTTAAATTGTTCTCAAAGCCCGAAACAAATGCTTGCACCGGGCGCGTCACCAGCCGGCCTGTCCACGGGTCACAACACCAGATTCTGTGGTCTCGCGCCAGACGAGCCTCCGCCTGACACATGCTGATTTGAAAATGAACAGGTTTTTGCCATTTACAGACCCAACTATTCCGGTGTGTCTTTCAAGACTTCAACTCTTCACGAAACAGAATGTCTTCCATGGCAGGCAGCGTACCTGTACCGGTGAGACAGTGCAAGGCTCGCTCAGGCAGTGGCTGATCAAGACGGTGGAACAATGAACGCCGCCGTGGATGGTTTTCCCTTTTCCAAGAACAGAAAATCTTCCCTAGAACAATCCATCCTTTCGAATGGGTACAATTGTCTCCTAGTGTCTATAAATAACCTGACTTTCCTATTTGTACTTGTTTTTTTTTCAACAAACTTAGTTCGATCGTTATCAAGCTTACATCATCGTCTAGTAATCGACAAAACTCTTGCTAGGATTCTCTAGACACTATTCCACGACACTACTTCTTCACCTCCAACCCGTTTGGACCAACCACCATCCCTGGACCAACAGATCTCTCCACAGCCCGAGCTCCGCGCCGAAAGCAGAACAAAGTGCAATCTGCGTGTCAGAGAAGAACGCGCAAGAAAGCATCTCGTGACTGTCGGAATTTATCTAAATCCAAGTATCTTTCAGACATGGAGCTCGCTAACGGAAAAGTCCATAGCGACGCGAATGCTGGGTTAACCCGGCTTCCGACCGCAAAGCCCAAACTACAGAAGCAAGCCGGAGACCACCAAGAGAAATTCAAAGCAATGCCTTGGGATGCTCCCGAACTAGAATTTGAAGATCCTCTTTTTGGCATTGAAGTCGTAGATCACGAACAAGACAAGTTCGTGTACTTCGAACCTCCCGAACTTCATTTTTCCGACGATGAGGATGAAAGCACAATTTCGGGATATTGAATGCCCGATCAGCATCTCTCTTTAGATTGAGCTTGTTCATGTTTGAATATTTGGAACAGAAGCTTGGAACCGAGGGATAATGCTGTCCAGGCAAGTCCCCTGGCTGTCAAAACAACCACAAGAGATAATTCAAAATTGTCAAAGAAACAAAAGTTCTGCTCAGCGTCCCGAAACAAATTGTGTGATTTTGGAGAATATGACCGTATTTTCATGTGCTCCCAAATCTATATTGACCATTTACTTCACTATCACAAGACGCCACCTCATTTATGTCCATGGGATTCAGACCAGTCCCCTTCCACAGGTGAGCGTCCCTCCCTCCAGATTTCTGGCCTCCTTCACCTAACCGAGCATGAACAACACCTTTCTCTACTTCCTCTAACCAAATAAGAGATTTTGGCCTCCGAGTACAAGCACTCACATTCTATGTCACCAAGAGCTTCCTCAGCAAAAGGAAATCCACAGTAGTTCGCGAATATTCACACATAAATCGGACAATTTCCTCCAAACGACTGCAAAATTTCTTTATTGAACTTCCGCTTTCGCTTATCAAAGCGGAAGTAAATAAACAAAGATCCGGATAGTCTGATCTCCGCCTTTTCCCCTGCCAGGAAATCATCTCCCACGTCAAGATCGTAAGAATAAGCAAAAGCCTAGAGGAACAAATATAAGAGCAATGGTCATGGAAAATATATGTATATCCCAGCTTCCCTTTTTCTCCAAACCATTCTGTGATGCATTACCTAGACCACAACTTCATATTCACGGGGTTTCACACTTCACGCCTGGGCTCTGGGATGCACTACCGCCAACAAGACAGAAGTTGAAGCTACTTTACCTCACTATACACGCTGAAGTACCTGATTCGCAGAGCCACGGTTCCGGCGTGCGCTACTGCATGTCAGCAGCACCGCGAAGTCATTTTTGGCTGCAAATTTCGGATTTGATTGTTGCCTATATAATATATTATATCCCTCTCCATTCATGAGGCTCAAGTAGAAGTCCTCGATATTCCGTAAACCGTTCCGTGTATCCAATCTACGCATCGTTTCAATATTTACAAGTTTCGCTCCCCTCCGCACAAGATTGCTACTCATCAAACATTACCTCGCTGGCCTTTCGTATATACACTCCATCTCAGACGATCTTGTACAGCCATTTGGCAGTGAAGAAACAGGACATCCCAAAGAGGAGAAGTCCGGCGGTGAGACACCAGAACCACGTCAAGTCGCCCTCGTACTGTTGGCCTGGGACCCAGACGTTCATACCCCACAGACCTGTGATAATATTCATGGGCAGGACGATCGTACCCAACACAGTGAGCTTTCCGAGAACGTCGGCGGTTTGTTCTTGTCTCTCGTTCATGCGAATGTTGATTTGCGCGAGGTAGTTAGCATGGGACCGAGCAAGAATCCTGCATCTGTTAGTAAACATAAACGAAGTGTGAGAGAGGGACTTACTTCTCGTAATGGGACAAGTTTCCAGTCATAGTGACAATATGATCCTGAATGTCTCCCAGATAGAGTCCGATCTCGCTTCGGGGGGCAATTTCCCAATGCTCGTTGCATCGCTTCGCAAACCCTTTGATGACATCTGCCTTGTTTCCTAGCAACCTGTACAGACCCATGACTTTCTTTCTGCAGTCACCAACCCGTCGTAACATGTCACCACCGCTCTCGCCACTAGTGCCATCCCCTGCGTCCGATTGCTTCTCGTTATATTGTTTCTCATCCTTCGTTGGCGCATGAAGCTTCAAGATCGCGTCGTCAATATCATCAACCTCGTCTTCAATGTTCTGAATCAAGGGAGCAAAAACATCAGTGATGTCGTCAATTATAGCGTAAGAGATCCAGTCTGAGGAGAGGATTAAGTAGTCACTCAGCTGTCGAATTCGACGGCGAACATTGGCGGGGTGAGGCGTGAGGGAGAAGTGGAAGCTGATCACTCCCTCGCGGAAAACCACAACATACATGTTGACCGGCTCCAGGAAATCCTCATTATTCATGTCTTGTTCGAAAGATCGGTAATTCACAAAGTAGTAATTTCGGAACAACTCCACTTTCTCCCGAGCTTCTTGCATCATAATATCCTCTGCAGTCAAAGGATGAATTCCAAATGTCTTCGAAAGAACTTTCATCTCAGCGTCAGTTGGGGACAAGACATCGAGCCACCAAGTTGGTCGGTCTCCATATCGTTTAGACTTCTCTGGTTGTGGAGAAGGTGCGGTTGGTGGTGACTTAATTGGAGGGGATTTGACTTGGCCATTGGGAGTCGCAGCCCCAGATGTTTGCCCTGAAGTTTTCTTTGCATCTCCAGCGAGAGATCCACCACGCCTTGAGTCGGGTCTTGGCGGGTCCATCAAAGACCCTTGTCTGGTGTGTACCCTCGAATCTCCATTAGTTCCATCGACATGTCGAAGATAAGTATCGTCTCGTCGCTCTGGTTCTTCATCTTCTGAATCTGAACTATCACTTAACTCAGGAGGATCCGGAATAAACAATTCTCGGAAACTTCCCCCAGGCTGTACCAACTCTGATATCGTCTGGCTATGAATTGTGCTCTGGAAGTCCTCATTGAAGTAGGTGAATCTGTATGGTGCATCATCCTCAGCTCGATGCCAGCCTTTGTGGATTGGTCGCAATCGACCCCCAATGAGCTGCGGCTCGGTTATTTTCTTTGCCCGGCGCTCTTCGCTCCTCCCTTCCTTCTCAAACCTGCTCCACTCATCGAGCATAGCTAGATCAGGCCATTTGCCTCTCCTGCGCCGTGGACCACCTCGTCGGTAAACGTCATCCTGACGTTGAGCCATATCTTCTTCTGCCATTTCCGACATGCTCTCGATTGGGAAACACACATCTCCTTCGGCCTCGAGCGCAATGGTATGTCTCCTGCCTTGGAACATATTGTCCTTGTGAGGTGATCCAGGCATCGAAGTATCATCAATTGCATTATCACGATCACCATCCCTGTCATCTCGCATGGAGGCTCTGGAGGGGGCGAAGTCATCTCTCACCATCATATCTCCAAAGCTCATATCTCGATTCGAAGCCCCGAGTGTAGGACTACCTGGTACTGAAGGAGGGTAGTTGACATTGTACTCATCATTGTATGATGGAAAAGTAGGGCTTTGACGATCGAAAATGGTCTTCTTTCTACTTCTCGACGAAGCTTTGCTTGAAGAACGCTTGCCACTGGGGCTTGGTCCAATTGATCTCGAAGAATTGTTGCCCGGCCCAAGAATAGCCCCAGAACTCTTTGCCCTCGCCGAGGAGGAAAGTAATGGCGCTCGCTCATCAACTTCATTATCCTCGTCGTCGCTATCCTTCTTCGCGGTTCGAGGTCGGCGACTACTTGACTCAGATGGTACGAAGGGGTTCTGGTATTGGGGTCGATAGGATGACGGACTATCGTAAAGTGGAATTCCGAATGCACTCTGTCCCATGGTCGATGCTCTACGAGGTCGCAGACTCTGTTGTTCGCTTGGGGCAATCCTATTAGCTAGATTTGGCTGTAAGTTGCACTGTAAACATACCGGTGATCCAAGAGGGCTTCGCTTTCAATGCTTGTATTGCTCAAATTACGCCCTTGCAGACGGTAGAAACTTGCTCGGGCAGCATTGTCTGTATTCATCCGTGAATTTGACGGCTCTGGCAATCCTAGCCCATCTTCAGTCGATGCTGCAAATGATTTTCTCCTCCGTTTCTTCTTCCCTCCCCGATGGTTCCTCTTCTTCTTCGGAATGGGAGAATTGGTCTCTGGTCGCAATGTCGCTGTCGAGCTGGCAGCGTTCCCAGAAGGACTCTGTATAGCAGTCGGCTCTGGTCTCTGAGGTGTTTCCTCTGCATTCTTCAGAGGAGAGCCTCGTCGCGGAGGTGGCGCGGCCATATTGCAGCGATGAGCTCGTCACGGATTCCAAGAGACGCCCTCAAACTTCTTGTTCTTCTCCAACTGGCAGGCGCACTGCTAATTGGTGAAGCTGGATTGCGCAAGGATGTACGAGGCTTTGGCGAGAATATCTCGCTCTTTGTGCAATGTATGGATTAACAGCTACAGCTGGTTTTCCGTCGGAGAAGTTGGCGATGCGCTAAGAGGGGCTTCGGGCGCGTCTGGACTGTGGTCTGGAAATGCCACACGCCAGCAACTCCAGTAGAGTATATCTTCAACCGCAATTGCCCAGACTGACGAGTTACGAGGAGATGTGCGGCAGGGATGGGCTGTTGGTGATGTTGTCGAGTTGCACGTTGAAACCGAGGGATTCCTGCCAAATTCCCATCAATTGAATCAGACGTCATACCTAGTTTCTCATTGGCCAAGATTCTCACGTGCTCACTTGCCTATTTCGTCTTCTACAACACCAACAAATATTTTCAGAATGAGCGCGACTTGGGCTATGCTGTTCATCCATAGTCTGAAAGACCGTAAGCATTTCTGGTGGTATTGGTTCATGTTTTGTGATAGAAACTGGATTAGCGACATTGAAAGGCTTCTTAGCTGCATCAATTTTCAGTGCAGCCAACCAAGTACCCCTAACTTCCTTGCTTGAACTCAACTTTAAGTTCTGTAAGCTATGAGTTGCTATGCAGCCCCGCACTGAATCCCCTCCATTCGTCAGGTACATTAAACTGACTGAATTTCTCAACATGGACGGCCATGATTTGGGCCGAGATTAGAGGTGTCGATATAGTTGTAATAAGTCTGATCGAACTTGGCAACTGTTTGCATTTTAATAGCTTTGAACGCGAAACTGGGAAGATTCAGAGGATAATTTGCCCCAAACTCCGCCAGCTTCATGTGCATTTATCCTAGCATTCCTTGCGGTTCTTGTACTATTCCAAAATCAAGCATCTATGCTTCAAAGCCTGGCCTGTGTATTTCACCCATTTTCCACGTCTCCATTCGGCATGAATCATACGACTGCATCTGAGCGATCATTCTCGCTAGCGAGACTAACATGTCAATGAACAGGTCACAATGGCTTGACAAAACTTGTCATAGGTCAGTTAATGCATCTGTAGAAGCGAGTATCAATTCCTTAATAGGCTAAGTAGTCATAACAGCCAGGTATGTTCCCCATACGATTCAGAAAGTCCCGTGAAAAGTTCAAAAATCAGAGTCATTTAATGGGTCCAGTCACTGCAGTCGCTTCGTACTCACTTGAGGCGCATCGCAAGAGATGACTAAATCAAGTAGTCCATAATGGTTGGCAACAATGACAACCTTGCTGAGATTACAATTGAGATGTATCAAGCAGATGAGTGCCACTTCGCATAAGGGTATATATTCATTTTCCTGCCTTGATCCGCAGCTTATTCGCAACATTCCACCTCCTTTCACAGAAAACCTTGATAACACTCCGACAACCAACTACGAGTTTTATTGAGGCTAAAAGCTTCATTTGTCTGCACCATGACCAAAAACAACTTTTTCGGCGTATCTCAGTACAGGAAGCGCCGCAAGAGCAAAAATGAACAAGCTCTGGAATGATATCATCCAAAACTCTCCCACTGTATTCTCCCATCTCTTTGAACCCTTGCTGACATATTGATCCATTCAAGTCATGGCATTGATCCAACCTTTGAGACAATTGATGACTACTCCTGTACATTCTCTGCCGGTTCCACCAGGTCGAAGTTGTCCGATGCCAGCTCGTTCCATACGGACGATGGCGGAGAGGTCTGGATCGATAGCAAAAGCGAGCACGATGGTGATGCCAGCACAACAACGTCAATTGAAGCCCATGATGAAAATTAAAAGTGGAGAAAAAGTCGCTGGGGTCAGGTCAAAGATGCGGTCATCCTGGGACTTGCTGAGATTGACAAATTGGGGCTTCACATAGGCCATGTTGGGACGTAAGATGATAGGAGTGTCTCTCGAGATACCATAACGTCACTTGCGCAGTATTGAGAATATCGCGCTTGGAAACTTGCTAGGGGGTGAAGATAAAATGCATCCATGTTTTCTAGAATGCTTCTCGTAAGACTGATCCGATCGTCGTTCTTTCTTCCCAATATGTGATCAGGAAAGACGACCACAACAACACAAGACAGACTTGCCCAAATGGTGTCATCCCACTTTAGACGGACTGCTGAGTAACGCTGAGATCTCTGTACCTACACGGGTTTTGAAGTGGACGCCTGTCATTTTTAGCATGCAGCTCATCCCAATGTAGGAACTTCTCTCCCGGCACATCACTCTCGCAGTCTGTCAGGGGAAAACGTTCTTCTTCCGCCTTGGGTTGCAACCTTCCCTTCCATCGTTCGACATGTCAACTCAGTTAGTTTGAAGTTTCTCAATATAGTCAAAATAGCCGTGCTGATGTCCAGGTTGGCACGGCTGGGGCAAGTCCGGCGACAGCGGGTAGCCAGGGGCTCTCGCTTAATCTCAAGAACCTTGTTCCCAGACTGCAAGTGTCACAACTCTTGGGAACCTATCCGCTCTTGTCCTTTCTGGGATATGCTTGATATCTCGCGTTAGATCGACGGTCATGTTGAAAAATGCTATGTAGCCATGGCGTTCAATATAGTGCGGGGGGACTTTCGCTTTTGGACGAGTCTGCATTCTGTTCAGAAGCTGGGTCGAGAGGTTGGTGTTTCAATGAGGTTGTATTCGCCGCGTTGAATATCAGCCAATGATTCCATGCACTACATTCACTTACAATAATTGTCCTGTATCGTTTGGTTTGTGCAGCAGAAAATGTTTCGGTGAGAGAGTAAGTGGCAGTGATTTTACGGGAACGAGAAAAGTGAAAGTGTCTTAAAGGTCATTTTCGAGACTCCTTCCAGCGACACGGTGAAAGTCTTTTGGTGGTCTGCCCAGATGCTCCCCACCGGACCGCATGAATGTAGCTCGTCCTCTGTGGAATGCTTGAAGCTGCAGAGAATATCCGTGTCTCGCCCTTGCAGCTATCCCTGACAGATGCAGAAAAGGCCTAAGCGAAGATTTCTGCCAGGATGAGATGGATCACATTGGAAAGCCACTCGGCAGTGACTTCCTCCAATACCACCATGTCCAACATTCGATACTGATAGGAAACTCTGGGCATGGAACGGGATTACTCCTGTCTTCCAGATGTACAGTTACAGAGGATCCATCGCATAACCAAGAATAATTATCAAAAGACGTCCAGCAGCGTCCACCAAATGTCACATTTCATTTCACAGCCTTTTGCAATCTCGAACAACAATCTTTTTCACCTCCATTTTCTTATATTGCGATTTCAATACACTCTTTTGATCTTCCAACTCACCCTCTTTCTATGATTTCTTCCACTGATTTATGAAGTTTGCAATCCAGTTGACTTCGACGGGGACGAATCGCTCAGCATGGCTCTCGAAAACTTCGATATCGAACGATCCAACCAAGAGATGATCCGTCAGACGCTAATATCGAGCATGTCTTTCTGGTTGACCATCGCTCGATTGCTACAAATTGTACGCAGGCTAAAATCCATGGCGGCTTGATGGTGCAGAACGAGAACTAACACACACCAGAGTCTTTCCTTCACGGTACTCTTCTGTACTGGCTACACAGCTAATATATTCCTCGGTGACTGGGTGAGTTTATTGCTGGATGGGATCTGCTTCGAACTTGCAGCTAATGCCACTTATTAGTTCCACACTTTCGGTATTTCACAAATCTCCACTATTTGATGGCGATAATCTAACATGCCCAGGATTGAGTTTCGTCACTTTCGTCGTGACTATGCTGTTCATGTTCTACGTATGCTTCCTCTTGCCCCTAAAGCGTCACTACTGACTCGAACTCAGATTTTCGTCACCCCTCGTCGATTCCCCAAAGTCTACCAATACCGAGTGCACATGTCAGCAACCCCCTCAATCAAACGAATCAATCGAGTACACTTACTGATATCATCCCAGTGCGATGGAAATATTTGTGACCTGTCATTGGATAGCGACAGTTGCTCTCCTCTCGTGGGAATGCCAGACGTGGGATGCAGCCGAAGACGTCGTCAGCGATGTTCTGTCATACGAGCCATCTGACACAGTCCACTCGCTTCCGCACCAAGACTCTGGAATCCGTTCATTGCGAGCTGCCACAGCACTAGCGAGTATCAATTGTGTTCTCTGGGCTATTACTCTCTTCATTCGTGAGTGCCGTTTTCTTCTCGAGACTGCCCCTGCTGGAACCGAGCCAGAATCGCATTTACTAATTTCCAAAATATCAGTGAGACGTGTACTACTGTATTCTGAGGACAGTTGACGGGCCCTACGAATTTGACCAAGCCACAATCGATGCCCTGAGGGCAGACGATCCATTCGATATACCATGCCTACCTTCACCCAATATTCATCTTCTCGGGGAGGGGGGGGGGGGGGGGGAGGAAGATGGCATCTGGCTCATACATCGAACATGATTTGTATGTCGAATTAAGGAACAAAGAACATGGTGCGACAAATACAAAGACTCAAAACAGAGCTTTCGAGACGCTTCGATGTTTGACATTTGGCTTTACGACACTCTTGAACTTGCAAGGATCAGCGTCGGGAGGACTAATGGGCTATTTCAGAGTTTAGTATATCATTTTCCCCCGGGGAATTTACGCACTCTGTTGAGGCAGATCACTCTGTCTCACAAATCTCAACAGAAACTATATGTACCTATCCAGACATTCGATTTCATGAGTTGCTGAGAGGCGAACGAGCTTTCACAGTGACAGTACGAGATTCCGCAGTAACAGGCAAGATACAGAGCTTTGGTCATTTGATATTCTCCCTTGTACACTTTTTCTGTACCGGCTGCTTATCAAACCGCAGTTTCAATTGCTCAGTTGTGCAGCTAAAGATCTCGTGAGTGGCTAAGCGAAGCATGTTTACCTTACTTGCACGCTAAGAGCGACCTTAGTCTGTGGTCTCTCAGAACAAACCCATCCCAGCATGGTCAAATTCATCTTGACAACAGTAGTCTATCAGCAATCTTCATGTTACCAGTCATGCATTCTTTTCTACCTTAGTTTCAAGACTTCCTCAGCGGCAGGTACTGCTGAGACGATACAACTGAAGTACGAGGTAGTTGGTCTAGCATGCCTGTTCCGGCCAGTGTTAAATGATTTCGGACGACTTAATGACCCAATTCAAATGACTAGAAAGCAAGATCTCATACTCAAGTATTATATAACAATATTTGTCCCACTTAGTGGTAAAGCGATGTAATGAGCTGCCATTGCAACGAGTAACGCCGACTAAATGCACGCTGTTCCTAGCCTAGCAATATCCGTCCAATAAAACAACCGACAAAGCTCCATACAATAGCAAAAAGATATCACATACAGCCCGATAGGAACATGCTCCGATGGTTTCCTAGCAATACCCTTGAATCAATGTCAAGCTCCATCCCTTCAGATCAGCAAACTCAAACCCCAGCCCTGCCAAGCTAGCGTTCCCCTAAATCATACACCACTCGCCCTCTTCGAATGTACTCGTTTTCTTGCTCCCGGCGGTGGACTTGCGTCATACAAATCTTCTTTCAGGCTCTCATGATCTTTCTTAACAGCCGGAGAAGCTTTCTTTCCCGCACCAAGATCCACAAATATTGTCGAGCTGCGTTCAATGATCTCAACAGAAGGCTGTTGTACAGTCCCAGCAGCACGTTGATTGTGCTGTGTACGGCTTGGCAGAGCAGTGAATGAAGTCGTCTTGCGCCGCTTTCTCTTGTTAAAGAGGATCTCATCAGAGTCGCTATCGTCGTATTCTGGCTGATAGCCTCTAGGACCAAGAAGTGGCCGAGTAGATGCCGTCAGTGTATTTCGAGTTGTCGAAGGAGCACTGGCACGGCGATCCGACGTATCGCGAAGTATCTGAACTTTCTGCTCGTTAAATATCATGAGCACGACATGAAGCGCGAAAATAACATGCCCAGTATTCTGAAGCCGACCAGCGAGTATTTCTCGAGTCCAGTCTATGATATGCCTTTTCGAGTCTGGTTTCCGATTCCATGAGGATGTCTCGGACAGTCCAGGAAAAAGCCGGGCGGCAGTACCAAAAGTACGAATTTTCTGAGTCAAACTGCCGTAGTGTATGCCAAAGAAGAGGGAATCGTCAGGGTTGGCTATGCAGATTTCACGTACTTGTTCCACTGTCTTTCCCACAATTTTTCGTGATGTTCTGGCAGCTGTAAAATCGGATGACGAGCTAAAGTTGAGCTTCGGCGCATTTTTTCCATCCAGAAACTGCTGTACCGCCTCCTTGAAGTAATCCTCCAACGTTCGTCCAGTGTCTGCTTCCCCTTCGTCTTCCTTCTGGAGATTCTTTGGTGGCTCTGCATTTGTCCTCGCTGACCTTAAGACTTCATAGTCCTTGATTTTGAACTCATCAAAGCGTAATATTGACCAAGTCATCCGAAGATTCGGCTCTGACTCTCGATCGAAGAGCTTCAGGATCTCGTCCAGGTGTTTCTTCAAGCTGATCTGGGCCAGCTCCTCAGGTGATTTCAGGCATTTCTCGGTGAGAAGAGTTTCGCCCCAGTTTGTATCGCGAATCTCTCTTGCGATGACTAGTTTTTCTTCTTCAGACCAGGTTTTCCACTCCTCCAACGATACTGTTTCCTTGCTACACAGGGTGTAGTGCCCGATGTACAAGAACCTCTCTTTATTTTGCCTGAAGACTGTGGCGTAGGTTTTTCCGACATCTCCACATCCAGGTCTACCTTCCACAAATGCTAAAGCACCATGACGACCCAACTTAGGAGCAAATTTCTGGTGTTCCGGGATGATTCGTATGACTTCGGGCCATGGAATTATTTGCTTCTTAAGCATTGAAGCGCCTACTTTAGAAAATGCAAATTCTCCGCCTCCAATTTTCTCCCGCAGAAAGGAAACAGAGAAGCTCTGTAGAGGGTATGGCAACCGAACAGTGATTGGTGGCAAGCCCTTTATGTAATCATTCAGCGTCAGTGCGGTAGCCCGTAAGATATTTGCCCTTCTGTTAGGAGTTGTTGAATTGGTTTCTCCAGTCTGTCCGATCATCTCGCGAGATATTTGGAGAGCGTCTGACATGTTTGCTGTTGGAAGTGCTTTTGAAGAATTATTACTGTGCCTTTGCTCTATCGGTCTCTCCTCGAATTCATTCGATGTTATCAAGCCCACCGAAGTGCGGCTCCGGCTCGACTCCTCGACAGGATGGGACTCGCCAGGCTTTCCTTGCGGATGTGATGGAGATTGCTGCGATAGCTTCGCGGACTTCTGGCTGGCTGGTAAGCCCCCAAGCGAGCTTGGATTGATCCGGTGCAGGACACCCCGAATATCGGCATTCGTGATACTGTTATTTGTCAGAGTGTTCGGGTTTTGTTTGCATCGCTCGTCGATTTCCTCTGACAGCAGCCGGGAGGCGGTAGCTGCATCGACCTCCTTGCTTAGCCTGGCAAGCAGGTACAGAGTTTTGTCACCAGGCGTGTGACCTTCTGGAAGCATATGTGACGGCAGGATTCGTTGGGGAATATCGTGCCAGTTTTGGTGTATGGTTTTAAGCTCGCGTATCTGGAAGTGTCAGTAAGAACCCCCAAATCTGAGATATAAGGTGCGCACCTTTCTGTTCGAGCTTAAATCCACATGGTTCTGTAGTAAGAGATTGACTCTCTCGTCCGGTCCTAGAGATAATTCCGTGTATGCAAGCTCTCTGCCGGCAATCCGAGCCGACTTTAGCTCTTTCAAGTGCTGTCTCTTCAAGCCCTCGATTTCCGCAGTTTGGTCGACATTTAGCCGTATGACATCTGAGTTCGCAGCTTCGCTCCTTCCAGCCTGTAGTCCGAGCTGATATGATTCAGCTCTCACGTTGCTCAGCTGCTCAACATGATGTCTACGAAGCGCAAGACGCTCTCCTTCCATCGTGCGGTCGAGATCTTTCAGTATTTCATCGCTCATCGATTGTCTTCCCTCAGACCTCGCTAGAGAAACTTTATCGCTCAACTCTCGCTCCAGCTGTGTTACCCTGGCTCGCATCTTTTCATCTTCGCTTCTGGAACTAGTCGCCTTGTCTCTCAGCTCTCTGTCTAATTGTGCTATCCTACTTCGCTGCTTCTCACCGTCGCGCTGCATTGCGAGTAGACTGTTTAGGCTTTCTCTGTGAGACGCACACTCTTTTTGTAACTTTTCTTCTGCCTCTGCCACTTTTTCACGGAGCTTTGTCAGTTCAGATTCATGACGGCCTTTCCATGTGATTTCCAACTCCTCAGCTTGACTTTTCAGTGCAGTGTTCAACATGCCAAGCATTTGAGCTTGGAGATCGTCTAAACCTCGCAAGGGGACTGTCGACCTAGAAACCTGGCCAGACTGAGGTACGACGCTGCCAGGTCCCGGTATAGAATCTCCTCGACCATGAGTTTCTCTGGTCTCGCTCTGACTACTGTTTTTGTCAACCGTGGCACGACATGAAGAAGCTGACCCATTGATCGAAGGCGTTTCAGTGACTCGAGTGATCGAGCTACTGTCATGAGCCGAAGTCTCAGCACTCTCGTTATCTGCTATCTGCCTGGCTTCTGGTGACCATCATCAGCGAGTGAGTGTGAATAGACAGAAGCTCAACCTTACCAGAAGATTCTGAATCTACATTGACTACAATGAGATGTCCTTGTTCAAGAGCCTCATAACAAGCATGAATCTGGTCCGCATGCCAGCGTGATAGGAATTCTGGGTACGTATCACTGAACTGCCACTTGTATAAATTCGGTGGTTGCGGATCTGATTTTCGGGGATCGATTTGCGTGGCGGACCGTGGATCAAGCGGCCGGCCGATTGTTGCCTCTGGTTAACCAGTCAGTCTTAATTTGAAGCGAAAGGTGTGGTTTACGTACCGATAACCTCAATCAATCGATCACGAAGCTTATGCGGTAGCCTTGTTCTCTTTGATGCAGTCTTTATGCCTGATTCCCGGCGAGGAGGCACAACTGACTCGCCAAGAACCATCTTCCCTTCATCAAGCGCGATGGCCTGAATTCTGCCATCTGTCAGGCCTCTGTATAGAGTCTCGAGTGCAGACTCGTCCAATTGACTTGGCAGTCCTCCATTATCTTTGTAGTTTTGTGTGATGGTAGTATAATCGAAGCTGTACGAAGAGCCTGGTACATCTATGAACTTCCATCTGATGTAGCATGTAACTTTTCTGTTTGTCCCGATGGCTAAGGATATGGGCTTAGTACTGGAGATATACTGGCGTGGTGATGGATGGCTAGGTTATACCTTGATCTCGTAACTCCTTCAACATATCTGAAATAACGCGCCAAAGTGTTGCTGCATCCATAGCAGTATAGTCTAGTGGAGCAACGGTTCTCGAACCGTCACCCATCTCGTGATTTTGCCGTGATGCTGTGACGATTATGTTGGGTGGCACGCGTTGACCCGAATCTGGTCCAAGCCTGGTCCAAGTGGTCGCAAGACCATGTACACCAAGGGCCAAACAAGGTCTGTCTAGAGAATGTCCGATGACACTTAAACAATTATACTGCAGACCACAATGATGATTTTGACTTCGTCCCAAGGGAAGGCTGGAGCGGTGGGTTGTGGTGCTGCTGAGCCGGTGTTCGTGGTGTGTTTTGCTCGTCGTCTGGAGGGTGTCGCGCCACGCTTTCCCCTGCTCTCTTACTAAGCACGCGCGAGCAGCGTCACCTCCAGATGAGATGTGAGTTTTGCTCGCAGACGAAACCAACGCAATTTGGTTGTTATGAAATATCTCTACGGGTTACATATTGAGGTTCCATATGCCCATAGTGTTTTGTACCCTCGAGCAAGCAACAAACCATCTGTATCGACCAGAGGCCTCGATCTACCGACCCTTTGAAAGCTAGTGTGTTCAAACAGCCAAATGTGCTTGCTGTTCACAGCCTAATATTTGTCACAATATCAGGGCTATTGAATGCCGTTGCAGGCAATTCTCGGATCGGTTTATTAGTATACATTATGGAAGCCCGTCCACATTTCTCTGTGGTAGACATCATGAGCATCGCCGTATCCTGCTTTCCATTGTAGGGGCGGCAGCTAGACGCTTGATATTGCCTCCCCCAAGCATCGACCATGCCCTATCCAGTATTCCAAAGTCTCTAGCCAATGATCGCAAATCACCTGGACGAATAAGGACTCGAATATGAATTCCCCATGGCAGGGTTATTGCTCGTCGAAGTGAGCATGATTTCACTTACGCGCCCAATACCTCCATTCGTAGCCTGCAATGCAGTGCTTGGCACGCAGGTCCCAGAGGCATACGGTGATTGCAGAGGAGTTTGTGAGGAATAGAGTCCTTGTGGAATGAGTTGATTTTGATGATATGGTTGTTGTGTTGTGTTAATATAAGGTGACGAATATTCTTGCTTCTTTTGCAAGAATTGTGAAGCTGCGTCGGTAGCTTGGCGTGCTTTGACCACAGCATCAGGGACCTCTCTGACGTTGTGGTATCTCTGCAGAGTGAAGGTGCAAGTGCTGCCGGCTTTCTGACATCGATTACATGGGCCGCCAGGATTGAGACACTTTTGATCCTGGTGTCTGCAACGGTCACATTTGACTTCGTTGGATGCCACCCAGTTTAGAGGCTTTGATAAATCGGACTCCAGCGCGATGGATGCCGAGATATGTTGTTGGCCATTAAATTGACCGTATGCCGAAATTTCAAAAGATTTCGATGAGCTACTCCCCGTAAGTGTAGCAAGTGCATCGTATGCTGACGCAGCTTCCGCAGTTTTCTCTGCAAGTCGCTGCTCCAGTACTCGATTACGCTCCTGTAGATAGACTGCGTTCTGGACATCAATCTCCTGGTTCTTGATGATATCCTGGAGCTCTTCGTTTTGTTCCTTGAGCTCAGCAATCTCTCTACTGTAAGAAGCTTTCATTGCAATAGCGCCTGGCAGGTTGACAGCCGGACTCAGGGATTTGGTCACGTCGACAGTACCGTCATTCACTGATCCAAGCCGTTCGATTTCACGGAGAGCTTTTTCTAGAACCCCAATCCGGGAGGCCTGCTGGGAGGTGGTAGCACGTAAGTCTTGGATTTCCTGCCTGGAGCCCTGAAGTTCGCTCCAATCATTCCTCCACTGCTGTGATCGGGTAGTGAATTGTGCGATCAGGTCATCTAAGTGGTGAACATCAGAAGATGCATGAAGGACAGCCGGTGCGTGTTGAACGGGAATTGTGTGTTGAACGGGAGGTGCGTGTTGAACAGGAGGTGCGTGTTGAACGGGAGGTGCGTGTTGCACGGGAAGTACGTGTTGAACGGGCGCTGAATTAAGTTGGCGATCAGTGGCTGCGTTCAGTTCGGCAACGAGCTGATTTTCTGCTGTCCCTGACTCGTCAACTAGGATTGAATCAGTAAGTTCACTGTAGTAGCTTGGAAGGTAGCTTTGATTATGTACGTCTGTTACACAAATTCGGGCATGTAAACTTACTATCAATGTTGATCGGTTGGGCATAGGTATTTGTCGCTTTTGCTTCAGTACTTGGGTAGCTATTGTCTGATGGGGCCTGTGTAAAAGCACGAATTTTACTGTCCCACGTTTGCTCTGTAGAGTAGCGCTCCAGCCTCAATGTCTTCACCAACAGAGCTTGGAGAGCATGTAGAATCTCGTCAGTTGTCCACTTAATTAGAAACAAAGTCAGCAATCGTCCATGGTAAATAAACATCAAAATCGGATGGCAGGCTGTGTGCCAAATCACTTACGCTCCAAAAGTTAGTCTGGCCAGGAAATTCGGTAAGAACACCGGTTTCAGGAAAGACCCATCTCCAGCCAGGTAGACCAGTTGTACCATCTCCCGTGAGAACAAGTTTGTTGTCGAAAGATGTGTATCCCGTCTGCATCGCTGGTACTAATCAGCAAGGCTTCAACTCAGCGAAGGACATACATACTGATGTAACGAGCGAATGCATTCTCCGCAATGCTGACCAGCCGTCTCTGATTCTGCCTACCAGTTGACGACTCAACAGAATCCGGAGTTCCTGCAGCTGCGACCAGCTTTCTATTTGGAGGCGGTCTCGGCCCAGGATTTCTGACGTCAACTAAGTATAGGTCTCCATTTTCCAGGGCCATATTGCAATCCTTCACCTGAGACAGCAACCAATCTCCAAGGGGACGTAATGGGAATCCTGGGTACTCAGGCGTAAAACGCCACTCGTAGAAGTAAGGTTCTGCTGGGTCTGATTTCAAAGGGTCGAGGTAATGGCCACCAGTACTCCGAAACCTTGGCTCCTTTCCACTTAAAAGTTCTACGGTAGGTTAGTACCATCGAGGGATGAGTTACCCACGTGATGATGTTCAAGTTCGAGTGAAATGCCACTCACTGATTCTATGGATGAGCTTCTGCCTCAGCATTTTAGCGAGGACTCTAGCATTAGACTCATGTTCTACAATCGAGAGCTTTGGAAGCGGGTCGACGTAGAAGATGTAATCTGTATCTTCTCCCCAACGAGGTTCTATTATGCGTCCGTTCTCATAACCCGGAGCGGACTCCATCGCGGAGCCTGGCGCCTCCCAATTTGTGTGGCTTGGGGCTGGATTCGTGGTGGGCTTGAGCAGTGTTCCAGAAGCTGAATGTCAACACGCCAGAGGTGCGATTGTTCAAGCGCGGTCGAGACGCGTGTCTAGTCACTGCGCTCTTTTGTCTGCAAAGAGGGAAATGGAGAAGCTGGTGATTAGCTTATCTGATTTCAGAAACTCATTGAGCAAGTTGCTCACACGCAACTAACGGGAATGACTTTCATGTTGTGATGCCAATGAGATCCACAAGGCTGACAAGGCTCGAAGGAGGTCGATCTTTAATGCAGGAAGCCTAACCTGATACAGCTAGCAAAGTATGCCTCAATATCAACGCCCCGCGAACCTCTATCGAAACATCCTCACAACATCTCTTGACGTTTTCAAGCTTCACAAGAAAAAGCTACGACGGACCTCACAATGGCACCACCAACACCCCTCGCAATCGCAACATCCTCTCTCCAAAGGCTCGTCAAAGAAGAGATCTCCTACGAGAAAGAGTTACAGGGACAGGAGGCACGTCTGGAAAAGATTCTGGCGACGAAGGACGATGATGAAAATGCGGAGTACAAGTTGAAACAAGAGGTGTGTTTTCATTCTCTTTATTACATCACAAATTCATATTCGAAAGTGGAAGAGGTCTCTCGCACAATAAGGCCGCGAAAAAATGACATCTACGACGTGATTGCTGCTCACAATTACCCCGCTATTCGCAACCTTTGCGCCAGGAGCTCTCCTATAAGCACAACTCAACCAGTACTCTCCAGCTTTCAGCACAGCTTGTTCCATACTTTCTTTAACTATGTGCCACCTATCACAGAAGCTGATATTCCTTCAGCGCGCTGCCATCCAAGAAACCAAAAACGTGTTCCCGCCGCTCCGCGAACGCATCAAGGACGCTCTACAAAGGCTCGAGGACCAGGTCGAAGAAGGGCAGACCAATGGCGCGTTGGAAGAGGAGATTGCCAAGGCCAAGGAAGTCATCAAGAATGCGAAGGAGGCTGCGAAGCAATGATTAGAGTGATGAAGGAGGCCAAAAGGAAGGCAAGGATTTGGGATTTGTGACACAATGATACCACGATTATGGAACGAAGTTATGGGGACATAGACTGCATATGGAATTGCCTCATGGCCACAACATTTGGTCTTGAAAGTGATACATATGCATGGTTTTTAGATAGAGGGTATTGTGCTTCTATGGTACAGAGATATTGTACACTGGATTTTGCGCAGCATCTAGGTAGTATCCATCTTGTCTTCCGCCTCTCCCTCTTCGGCACCTTCCTCCGGCTCGTCAACGGGCTCTTCGATAACGACCCGTGGTGTCTCGACCTCCATTTGCGACTCTGTAGCCTCCGCCATGGGCGTATCAGCAACGGCGTCGCTCTCTTCGATCTTTGTTCCAGCGTCACCCATAGCTAAATCCTCATTCTCATCAGCTTCTCTCCGACGTTCAGATCCAGCAGGTGAAGCAGCCCGGCTATTGCTTCTACTTCCTGATCTCGATATAGATCCTGAGGGGAGTGGTCTGGGTTTGAGACCTGACTCCAATCCTTGTGTCAGCCCATCTGGTCTGGGCGTGGCATTTCCACTTTGACTGCTATGCTTCGGCGTCTGGCCTCCCCTAGAGCCCTCACCAGCTTCTCCATCTTCCTCGCCACCATCCATACCCTCCCTGCGCTCAACTTCCTCTTTCTCATCCCTGATCAACCGTCTCAACTGCATACCCTCCTCCACAATGCGACCAAATTGCTCTCTTCTCTCCTTCCACGTAACACTATACGCATGGCTCTCCCGCTCCAAGCCCTTACATTCCTCCTCCAATTTAGCCAGATTACCCTCTTGTACATCCCTCGGCTTCAATAGCTGATTATTCGTGATCTTCTCAGCCAATTTATCGAATTTCTTGCGCTGTTCCAACGTCTTCTTTGACTCCTCAAGCTGCAATCGCAATTGCGCCGTGCTGTCCCTAACAGCTTGTGCAGTCTCCAAGATTCGCTGTTTGTCGGCCTGATATCGTGCGCGTTCGCGCTCGTTGCTGTTCAGCAGAAACTGGATCCGGGAGATACTGTAGTCGAACGCGGCGAAGTCGAACTCCACATCCTCTCCGAATTGGCGACGGTCATCGAGCTGCTTCTGTAGCGCGGCATCGGGAGACTCGGCGTCTTCTGAGGCATTCTCGGGTGGTGGAGTGAGGAGTTTGTTGGGCGTGACAAGGAGCGAGCCTGGTGCAAGGAGACGTTTGGTGACGCGCTTGAAGGGCTTCTCTTCGACGTTTAAAAGACGGGACTTGTGAAGCTCGTCTTCATCGCGGGAGTCTAAGAATTGGAATGAAGCCATCGTGGAATTGCTTGTTGTCGGTAGTTGACTCGGTCAGGTCTGGGGAAGTTGTAGTCGCAGATGAAGCTCGCTGGGCTCGAGCTGCAGCACCTGTCGAAAAGTGATGCGGCAGTGGGGCCGCCATTTAGCGCATTCTCCCCAGTCTAGATGCTCGACTAGGTAACCTTACCTTCAACTGTCTTTATTCTCAATAATATCTTTATAAAGCATTCTACCCATGTTGTACCATTTCACTGCTATATCCTGAAGCAATTCATCGGATTTTTTTTACAACCCACGATCTAGTTTTCTGCTGCCGAGAATCCGAATCACAGACAACACATCAGCGCTTCAACAGCCAACCTCAATCAATAATCCCAGCAACTAGCTACATCATCCACCTCAAGCTCGAGAAGAACACCTTCAAGAAACTAGCCAAAGGGCAAACCGCGGCCAACATGCCCGCGCCATCCTTAGTCGATTCTTGTACTAAAGCATGTATCAAGAATATCCGCAGTATGTGTTCTCACCCCTCTTCCTAAGACCATACTGACCCCTCCAGGTCTCATAGACGTCGGGTCCTTCGAATACTGGCAAATAAAAACCGTTCTCCAACGAGTCGAGTCTCCTGAACAACTCCATCAAATTGAACTCAACTCACCGCAACTTCTCGGCGAAGACGCAGAGCTATGGCAATCCTTCATCTCCCGTCATATCCCAAACTGGCGCACGAAGAACTACAAGCCCAAGAACCCCAAGAAATGGTACGAGGTGTACTGCAAGTATAAGAAGGAGCAGCAGGAGGAGATTGCCCGCGATGAGGAAATTCTAAGAGCTAGCATGATGGGCTTGAAGGCCGCAAGAGAGACGAACGTTTCGAAGATCGTTGATTTGAAGATGCTCCCTAAACTGCCGAGGGACCCTCGTATGATTGCAAACAACGGCGGTGTACCGATCAAGAAGGGATTCAGAAAGGAGGCTCCCGCGACTTTGAACTGGACTTCGGGAAGCAAGACGAAAATGACGGACGGAAAGAGTGTACTTACACGGGCACGCCGGGAAGCCAAAGAGATCAGCCAGATGGGCAGGTTGGCGAAACCTACGCATCGCTTGTCTGGAGCTTTGGGACAGGTTCGCAAAGCTCCCGAGGGAATGGTGAAGGAGTACAAGACGGCTTCTCAACCCGCCATCAAGATCTTATCGAGGAAGAAACAGCCCCAGACTCTGGCAAGCTTCAGCGGTGGAGTCACAGGCCCATCATTAGAAGAAAGAGAAAGGCGACTCAGAGCAGCAATGGCTGGAGGCTCTGGATCGAAGCGCGATGCTTCAGGCAATGTGAAGCACACATACGTCGGCTCCTCAGACGACGACCTCGACGACTTTATCGAAAACGACGAAGAAATAGACGACCTATTCGATGAAGCACCCAAACCCAAATCTAGACCCGTCTCCTCATCCACAGCTTCAAGACCACCTCCATCCCGACCCGTAACATCACGACCATCCCAACAATCCTCATCACCTCCAGCACCATCCTCACGGCCTAAGCCCAAACCCTCGGATGTGATCAGCTCTCTGATATCTAAGCCGAGACCCGGAGGTGCTTCTTCTCCACCTCCATCCCGTGGGAGAGCTTCGTCGCCTCCAAAGACAGGAACGGGCCAAAGACCTATGGCGCCGAAGAGAAAGGAGGTAGATATTTTCAATCGCGGGCCTAAAAAGCGGAGAATTGGATGAAGGTTGTACAAATGGGCAGGAACTATTTCTTTACGAAGCATTTTGGAAGGAGCAAGTCTTTTTGGCAGTATCAGCAAGGCGTTGGGAATACAGCATGGTAGGAGTCTTGAGTTTTGGGAACGGAAAGGAGATAGTGTGTCAGTCAAATTATGAAAGTCCCATATTTAGAAGATTGCGGAATGATATTCTACTTCTTTGTCTTGACTTTCCCCTCTTTGTCACAGTAACTCTGGCTCACCAAAAAGTCAGGCCAGAAATGCGAGAAATATGGAGAAATGCAGTCATTTTTGTTCATTAGCAGTCATGCATCTATCATCCAGCCATGCCACATGCTACTACACGCCAAAGAGAAAAGTCGAATGGGGAATTGAATGCGTATTCCAGTTCATCGTCGGGGCAGGGCAATTGAGGGGGGGGGAAATGAAATTGTGTGCCCTGCCCTTAACCCCTCCCTCCATTTTGTGATGTCGAAGGCACCAGTTCAGCTCCTCAACCATGCCTCAACCCCTTCATCCAGACCTGCCCTACAGGCCATCTCTTCCCACCCCAGATCGTAGTCCACACCAGCCCAAGTCCATGAGATCAAGAATACTATCCCATCCAGCCATCCCTTCCATCCATCCATCTATCCACGCAACACACCCGTCCCAGCTGCCCATACGCTCCCTCACCGCATATTACTATTTCCCGGCGATTTACAAGCACAAGCCCCCACGCAGCGCAAGCACAAGATGCAGCGTCGCACCGCCCTCAAGCGCATATTCCGTAGCTGTCTTCTCATCCGCCCTATATTGTAAAACCCGTCAGCTGAAGCTCACCACATATCAAATACCATCTTCAGCACCCCGCCCTCCCTCCAATCTCCCGCCCCTGCCTAGCCAGTTGGATGCCACGCATCACAGGCATACGGTGACATGAACCTCTCTGCACACAGCGGGAATGTTGTTGAAGCGCTCGAGAGTGTTGGGCTTGGAAAAGAGGGGACGGAAATGTAGATGTTGCTTGCAAGGGGGACATACATCTGCTTTCCACCAAAGATCAAACGCTGCTGAACGGGTGGGATACCCTCCTTCTCCTCAACCTTCTCCTTGATCTGCGAGACCTATGGACACACAAAACATAATTAGCCATGCATCCCACCTCACCGTCCAACTTCCACCTCCACTTCCACCTCGAACAACTACACACCAAAAACCTTGGAAACAAACGCCGCCTTCCAACAGGCACATACCTTATAGTCAGGCTCGATATCAAGCTCGATCTCCTTCCCGGTGAGCGTGCGGACCTTGATCAACATCTTGTTTAGTGGTTGGTTCTGGAATGGTGTTCGAGTTTGGTAACTGTTTGGTTTCGTTGGACTGAGTGAGGAATAAGGTGGTGGTGGTGGTGGTGGTTCTGAGAGATGGGGAAGGCTGATGGTGGATGCTGGGCTGGAGCCTCAAGGGTTTTGGTGGGCTGGACGCAGACGCGCTAAGATTGGAAATAGGCGGCAGAGAGAGGGAAAGCCTATCGCCGATAAGATGGAGGGGTAGGTACTTGGCTTTGCCGAGGATTTACCGGCTGTGATGGAGTGAAGGGATATATGCTGCTGGGGTATATTATTATGGTGCTGAGGATGATTTCTACTGCGGTCAATGGATGAAATAGTAATCATTCAAGATTTCTGGGACATAAGGTTGCTAATAAATCAGCTGGAGTCCATCGCATATGCTAGCAACTCACATAGTTGACCTAGAACGAAGCGAAAGATAATAGGTGGCATTCGAAAAGTTCTGTTCACGCAAGAGAAGTCTTTTTCTCTCTCTTTCCTCAGCACTCTGGAAGATATAGTATTGTGATCGCAACTCATTCATGATAATCCTCTGCTGAAAGCTCTTATATCATTTCAGATTTGTGTGCACCAAATGAGCGATTGTGAAAGTAAACAAATAGCCGAATCTTACAATTCAATTAATGAACTAAGTGCAGATTTCCAGGTAGGAAGCCAGACAAGCAATTGAGGAATAGAAATTGTAATTGCTGGCTCCAAGCATGCCACACCAAGTCCAAATCCAGGAATGAAAGGCCTCGAACGTCTATCTTCATGTCGCTCGATTCCCCGGATACCCGAAATCTTGATTTGAATATCTGTGGGGTAAAAGAATGCTTTTGTATTCTACCATTATACATTTTACATCACATCACATTCACAATTCCGCGGCGCGCCCATGTTTAGATACCCCACTCCCTCCCCACAGCCTTCGCACTCATCCTCTTCGCATGCTCCATCCTCTTCAACTTATTCGCCGGGGTATTCTCCGGCAACAGCTCAAAACTCCTCGCAAACGTCGCAGTCATATGCGCAATCGCCTTCGTCATCACAATCCACGCTCCGACATTCAGATTATCCTTCGTATCGCCCACCTGGTGATAATTCTTATCATACCACTCCCCCGCCACACCACCAAACATCGCCTGCTCCTCTACCGTCTTGACACCCTCAGCACCACACGCGATCCCTCCAGTCGCTACACCAGCCTCTAGGAATGGGCCGTAGTCCGAACGTCCGTCGAACTCGATCTGTGTGAAGTTCTCGCCCATCTCCTCAACGAAGAAGCGCTCGAATTCATGCTCTGCCTCAGCTGAACCAGGAGGGCCGGACTCGCCGTATGCGGATCCGTCGCCGTCGTAGACTTGGAAGGCGTAGTTGGGCGAGGCCATCATGTCGAAGTCCAACATCAAACGGATCTTATCGAGGTCTTCTTGGCTGGAGTGAGTGACGTAGTAAGATGCTCCGAGGAGGCCGGATTCTTCGGCTGTCCACCAACTGAAACGTACGGCGTTGTTGACGCTGAAAGCTGTGAGGTGGATGGCGACTTCGAGGATGGAGATAGTGCCACTACCATTGTCGTTGATTCCTGGGCCTGGAGGAGAGTTAGCTGTCGCTACATAAGAAGGACGAGGAGAATGTAGACTTACCAGCTGCAACAGAATCAGAGTGACCGCTGATATGGATTACATTATCATGATCTCCCTCGATCGTCTCAGCAATGATATTATTGGTAATAATATCATTCGTCTTCGTCGTAAACTTCGCAACGACCTGCTCACCAGCAGCAAGGCGAGCCTTAAGGGCGAGTCCCACATCTTGCGTGATTCCAGCAGTAGGAACATATGGACCTCCATCAGCTGGAAGGTTCTGGAGTGAGTAGCCTTCAAGTGTGCCAACATCATTGTTGTAGACGATCATACCAACGGCACCGGCGAGGAATGCATTGTGGGCTTTGGTGCCGGATACACAGCTTCCACGGAAGACGAGGGCGATCTTGCCGGTTGTCTCGGCAGGGAAATCGGTCTGTACACGTTAGATTCTACCCTTTCTTAAATCTCAAAGTGAAGAGAGCGTACCGAATCACAACCCAAATTAGCGATCGAGATTACAGGCGCAGAAACTGTCCCTGCGGGAGCCAAATCCACGGCAAAAGTATCCGGAACCACGACACCACCAAGCGTCAAATTCGCGCCCGCACCGACGGACAGCGAAAGTGGTTGCAGGTAATACGTATAATAATCAGGGTACTGATCTAAGATACTAGTGATCCAAGCAACAATGCCTTCGTGGCCTTTAGTACCGATCAACCGGTTGCGACCAGGTGAAGCGTAGGCGATTTCTTGGAGTTTGTTTGCTTTGGCGAGGAGGGCGGAACGAGTCATTACCCGGCGGAGTTTGTTCTGCCATTTACATCAGTCCTTATTCTTAATCGTAAATTTATTTCCGGCGGAGGAGAGAACTCACTGACTCAACCAATGGCTTAGTAGCCCGGATTTCTTTCGTATCTGTGCTAGGGACAGACACGGCTGTGGTGGCAGCCACGAAGGCAAGAACAGCCGCGGCGATCGATTGAGTGAACCGCATGATGACAGAATGGGGAGAGGAAGGGATAGTAGAGGAGGGAGGACAGGAATTGGGATTCAACGACCTGTTACCAAAAGAAAAAAAGAGAAAGAGAGACAAACATATGCAGCTCCCCGTCTACTTATACCTGCCTACCTGGCCCAAAGTGGGATCAACAACCATCCATGCGGCCATGACCTGTAATCAATCTTCCCAACCCCGCCATGATCAACTTCATGACATCCATCCATCCATCCCGGGTAAGCATGGCCTGTACATACACCGTCCATCAATTTACAAGGCAACACACAAGAAATACACGGAACCCGCATATGCAGGTACTCTCTCCGATCCTCAAAGAAGAAGCTGCTCACTGCACTACCCAGCCAAGCACCCAACCCCTCTCCCACCAGCACAAAATCTCAGAGCTTAACACCCCTTAGACACAATCTTGACTGCCTGTTCCGAGCTTGCCGGCTTAACTTGGCATCGTAATACAATACTGTATCCGCCTTCTGGACGGATGCTCGAAAAGCCTGGGTGAGATAAATAATAATGGCGCGGAAGTGGGAGGTAGAGACGCTGGAGAAGGAAGGAGATAAGACATATTTGCGGGTTTGTGCAGGGTCGTGGGTGCTTGGCGGTTACTTGGCACTCGGCTTATCCTTCGTGGCAATGCTTGTTGAATTCTTGGTGGGTGGGCTGTTGATCTGTATAAATTGATGGCCATGATTGGATTGTTTGCGCTGTGTGTAGTGGATGATATTTGGACGAGGCATGCATGCAGTTTCGGCCACTGTAGCAAAGATGGTAAAGAAGCTCGGTGGAAGGTTCGGCTCGGTCCTACCAGCTCCCATAGCTGATAAGGTAGGCAGACTCCTGGTCAATTGGTACTTGTAATCGGAAATCGAATACGAGATTCGACGGATTAGGAAGCTCGATACATTTAAATCAGTCTTCGGCGATGAGACGCACGAAACGAAGAGCCGCACATAGACAGGCACATAAACAGACGAAATATCAGGCGGAAGTTGGAATTGTTGCTCACGACGTCAAAACAAACAGTGGGGGAATCACACACTGTTCAGATCACCAATTGATCCGATACATCCTGATTCATTTGGTATTAGGTTCAAATTCGGCTCCTCAATCTCAATTCCCTGTATCGCGAGATAAGGCAGGGTTCCCAGGAAGCGAAAACCTTCCTCATCCCAAGGCCAAAGCCATGACCACCTTGATCTATGATCTACGTACCCGGAACCTTCGTCACAAACCTAATAATCGACGACGCGAAATTGCCTGTGTTGGCCCTCTCAGAAGCCGCACTCACACCGTTCCGATCAACCATTGATACCGCGCCGACGGTGTTAAGGCCATACACGAAGACCGTGCTACCAGAGTAGGTCTGGCCGGTTCCGCCGCCCTGGTCGATGCCGAAGATTTGGTTTTGGCAGTATTCGTTGTAGACTGTGGCGGTATGTTCAGAGCAGGCTATGGGGTTTGTTAGCTTGTTGTATCCGGGGGAGATGGGAGGGAGGTACGCACTCAGAGAATAGTTATTGAAAAACGAGTAGAGACCCGCGCCATACACCAGTATGTTCTGGGAGTTCAAGACGCGCAATCCCCATGCCAAATTACAATTATCTGACTTTCCAGCGCAGAAAACGGAGAAATTGGGGTCGTGGCGAGCAGGGAACACGGGGAATGGTATAGTTGCCTTTGGGCTTGGTTGGAAATACGGAGTCTCTGTCTGTATGAAACCCATGAAGATGTTCTTGGTGTTCATGAACTGGTATTGGTAGAGAACGTGATGCTCGACTGCAGTTCCGATCCTGAGATACTGTTAGCGAGGCTCCTGTCCAGATACGGTCTAACTTACAGCCAGATGTTTCCGACCGTGCTCTCACACGAGAGTCCACGACCAGCATAAGCAGTGATTCTGGTATTATTGTTTTTAACATCATCCAAGTCGTGATCGGCAGTCCACAGCCAGACATTCTCCATGTAGAGTCCATTTGCAATGTTGCCAATGATCATGGATTGCCAAGCAGCAATGCACTTATTGTTTGGCTGGGCGGCATTGATTGGGCATTCAGCGGTCTGCAAGTTGCTTCCCTTGAATCCAGCGATACGAGTGTGGACATCCCACATTCCAGACGGTGTGGCAGCTGGAGATGCCAAGTTCCACTGGATCAGGACAGCGCCAGCTGCGTTGCCTTGAGTTGAGACAATCATGTCTTGCCACTCGACCACACCGGTCTGTCCACTCGCAGCACCGACTCGAACGACGATAGCAGGACTGTTAATGTTGGAGAAGAATGGGCCAGATCCCATAATGGTGGGGTAGTTTTCTCCAACAATTCTGGCTCCAGGAGGAATAGTGATGGAGCTCGTAACCTTGTAGACACCATAGTCAAAGTAGACGATCTTTCCAGCAGCTGTAGCCGAGTTGATCAGGCTTTGAATCACGGCTGTATCATCCGTGACTCCGTCTCCTTTAGCACCCGCAGCCCGGATACTGTAAAAGTCGGCTGACAAAGTGGTTTCATATTGAGGCTTGGAGCGGGTGTAGTATCTTGTTCCTTTGAGCATGGACGCTGGTCGCACGAAAGAGGAGACAGGGCTCATCGCCTTGTTGGGTCCAGCAGGACTGTAGACATTTCCCTGTACCCATCCAGTGCTGATGGTGACAGTTCCGGTGCTGCCTGCAAGAGAAGTGGAAGTAGGACCCTTGACGGCAACTGGGACATTAGTGAAGATGACATTCTCGAGAGCGAGACTGCCACCCGAGTTTGGTTGAGACGTGCTGCTTCGTGCGGATGCGATGCCGACCGGGGTGTTGCTGAATGTACTGTCGATGACAACAACTGAGCCGACCAACTGTCCGGAAGGTCCCCCGTTCGACATGTCAATGCCAACCTTGCAATTGTTGATTGAGAGACCCATGTATGTCCAACTCCAGTCCCAGACCTGGTAGATAGCTGTAGCGGAACTATAAATTGGTTAGCATTTCTGTTTGAGTTTGGGAACGCAGGGGTGCTCGCTTGTAGAAAGTCAAATTGCGCGATGTGAATTGCTGAGATCCAACATCCATAGCATGGTCTCCTCCGTAGAATATCAGATCGTTCAAGAAGCCGCCGGATCCTGTACAACCAGTGTCAGCATTCTCGCTTTAAATGGGGTGATAAGAGCCAACAGACCATTCTCAATAAAAACTCCTTGATGCTTGTTGCCGCTGACCTGGCTCAACTTGAAAACACAGTTCTGAATACTCGTTGCCTGAGCAGTAGGCCAATGGATACCTCGAGCCAGGGTTCCTGCAGGTTGACTGGTTGTGTCAAAGACCAAATTTCGGACTTGTCTGTAGAAAACATTTGTAGAGCCATATGCAGGGTCTGCCGACAGGTATGGGTTGGAATCTATAAGTGCGATGCCAGAGAAGCCAGCAGTTGCTTTCAAAACTGCCATCTGCCCAGGATTGGGGTTTCCGATGAGATTTGTCATGTAGTATTGGACGATGGGTGCGGAGATCAGGTACGTTCCTGCGGGGAAATACACTGTCGCAGGCGAAATGGTGCTTGATTGGCATCCAACACCTGGAGCTCCGGGTTTGCATCGAGTCCCAGCAGCAATAGCTGCATTGATGGCAGCGGTATCGTCAGTAATCCCGTCACCTAGCAATCATTAGCACTGTGCCCATAAGTATAAACACATAGCATACCCTTTGCGCCATAGTTCTTGACATTTCTGTACACTGGATACGCTGTGCCTTGAGGATTGTAAGGAGCTACACCCCGCTTCGTAATCCACTCCAACCAGAAACTCTTTCCATCGTGGGCGCCAAAAACCTCTGCCACGAGGCCAAACAAAAGAAGTAATGACACAAAGATCTTCATTTTGAAGCAGAAGATTACTGAAAACGAAAATTAAAGATAGACCGTTGTAAACGAATGTGAAGGAGCCGCTTGTGTATCAGCGTGGCATGCCTCTAGATCAGAAAAAGGAGCACGCACGAAGTGGGAGGAGCGTCAAGAAAAGGTGTTGTGAACATTCAATAGCAATAGCAGAATTAGGCTTAGCGGAGCATCGTCAAATTGAGACAGGCAAGGCTGTATTGTGGCGGGCTGAAGAGCCAATACCAGCCTTGCGAACAAAATTAAGCACTTAACCTTACGACCCTTGGATCGATCCTCCGATCGAAACCTTGAAAATCCACCAGTATTGTTGCTTTAGAAGTCTAATACGACGTCCTATTCGCGCTCGCGAACAACACATGACCTCGCGATGCTGTTAGCACCAGAAGCAAACTCGTAATGCATTCATCCGAAATGAAAATTCTCGTGAATCGTGAGATTCCTGCAAAGCTGAGGCTCAGCCACAAGTAAGGGCTGAAGCTGTGCCGCTTGCCTAACATTCTTACCACACAGAAGCTGAGGCAAGGTACGGCCGATCCTCGATTCGGTAGCGCTCAGGGGAAAAGAAATTGGGACGAGACGGCCCGCCAGGGGTCAACAGGGCGCTTTGATGCTATCTGGTGATGGCGTCGCTGAGTAACGCCGGATAGGCTATGCAAGGCGAGGGGAAATGTGAAGCTATTCCCAATACGCATATTTCGGCCCATATCTCCGATTTAGGGGACAGCCGAGGCTTAGGATCATCAACACCACGCCCGTCACCGAGCGCCAAAAGAAAAATTAGGGGACAAAGAGGCTTGCTTGCCAAAAAGTTAAGTATGAAGCTATTTCCAGTGTCATGTCTTTGGCGAGTTTCTGCACTCAGGATAAGAGGACGAATGAAAGCAACGTTGTTACTTTTCATAAGCAGAGGTTAGAAAAACGCTCGGACCCCTGAATGTCGGCACCAAAGTCACGTGTTAAACCTTGTTCGTTTGCAGACTGTTTGTGTCCAGGTCACATATGTTCTTTCGATGACCTTGATCATATCTTTATTCAGTATCTCCATTGACCTGAGGTAATGCAACAAAGGCTGAAATTGTGTCACTTGGGCATCCAAATCTGGCAGAGGAGTTGACGCAGCAGTCGTGAATTCCTCGGCTCAGCCCAGGGAAGCAAACCTCTTTCGTCCCTTTTTCTCCTTGTTGTCATAAGTTCGGACATTTGTCGCAAGACAAATACAGCAATTTAGATCTATTGTAGCACTGCTGTATTTTCTTTGTTGTTGCAACATTAGGCTCGTTCCAATTGGAGGCAGATGACAGTCCCACAATTTGCAGTGGCCGGTCCTCGCTAGGTCAAGTCATTCTTTATGGATGGAATACCTGCTTTTCTAATTTATGTTTTCACTCAAAGCGAAGTCGGCGTTCGTTTAATAGGCTTTTTATTTCTCCCATAACTCTTTCTACAATTCCGAACTATACCTAAATGAAGACCCGCAAGAACTCTCCCAGAGCCATGATAGCCATAGCCTGGCCATATGGCATACTTGTCCTATCAATATCCTTATAGTGCTGCAAGGTATGGCCCATCGCGGTCCCAAAACTCACATCCAACAATTCTCCTTGCTCATTGACCTTGCCTAGCACAGCCTTGACCGCCCTCATCGCCGACTCTCTAAACTCATCCCCAGCAATATACCTCAGTCTCAACGCCTTCAACATCCCGAACGCGAAACCAGCTGCGGCAGAACTCTCGATGTACGATCCTTCATTCAACGGCTGATCGATCAGTGTTCGCCAGAGTCCGTCGGGCTCTTGATATTGAATGAGAGCGCGGCACTGAGCTTCCAGTGTATTGATCAAGTGGATTCGGAACGCGTCGTTCGTTGGTAAGTCGAGCAGTTCGAGGAATTCGGGGATGACGATCGTCAACCAGGAATTACCCCTCGCCCACAAAGCAGAGGCAAAGTTATGGTTTCCATCGAATGTCCAGCCATGATAAAACAGTGCAGTTTTGGTATCAAACAAGTACTTGATATGTAAGAGGAACTGTCTTTTCGCCTCCTCGACGTAGTGAGGTCTGTTGAGGAGTTTCCCGATCTTCGCTAGCGGAAGGACGGTCATCATGAGAGTATCATCCCATAACTCTTGCGCGTTGAGATTGTCGTATGTCATGTGCGACATCCCGCCAAACTTGGTCCTGGGAAGCTCATACATGGCCCAATCTTCCCAGCTCTCAAGCCAGGGAAGACAGGGTTGACTTCCTGTTTTCTCGTACAGGTAAGCGAGCGTGAGCATCGAAGCCATGGTGTTGATGTTTTTGGTGGTGCCGCCTTCAGCGAAACGGCTTGCGAACCATGCTTCGATGATTGCGAGCGCCTCGGGCGATCCAGTGAGCTAGCAACTCAGGTCAGTATCAATATTCCATAACTTGCGGACTCTGCAGTGTAGGAAGCAAGAGTGGGGGCCATTTTACGGTGTGATAATTCCAGAGCCCATACAACCCGATTCCATGAGTCCATTCCCAACTATTCCAGCCCTTCGTATCGATCACTCGGCCATCGTCTAATCGCAACAGAAATTCTCCTGTCGTGTCTTGAATGTTGACCAGCTGGTCGATCAACAACTTGATGGTGGTATGCACATCCTGTGCGGCGATTCCATTGGCAACTTGTGGCATGATCAAAGTGTACTTATGTGATCCTTGTCCTTTTTCTCACTCAGTCCTTTCAAACTCAGCTCTTGTGCTGATTACTGGTGTTATGCGTGGTGTTTGAAAGAAGTGACGTCCAGAAGCCAAGAGCTCGCGGCATGAACATGACGGGCATCACTGCACCGAGGGGCCCTTGGCAGAAGACATTCAGATCGGAGGTTGCCTAGATTGTCTGGAGGAATAGAACGATACTTTATGTGATTTTAAATGGTCGGAAGATTGCTCCAAACCTCACTGATACAGGATCCACTACATATGAGTAGAGTTAACCTTCTTTGGGAGGAACCCTGAAGGTTGATCCAATTGTGTGTTGCTTCACGAAGCGTTCTTAGTCATCAATCGATTGACTGCAGCGACACGCTCGTTCACTCTCGACGCTTTTTTGGACCCGGAGTTGGAACATCTCCTTTTCTATCCCCAACACCAAGGAGGTCTAAACTCTACCTCAATCATTATAAAGTATGGTGATTTCGGCCCCTGGATATACACACCGCCGCCTTGAAGGAGAAGTTAGAGGCAGAAGCTATCTACTGACGCATAAGGAGAACCGACAGGAACATCTCTTGAAGCTCGTCAGCAGCACGATACACAACTTGCTTCGAGGATGTGAACAGCAGGTTGCGGAGATCAGAGCTAAATTCGATATTTTGAGGTCTCGGCCTGAGTATGGCGAGCGTACGAGAACCAGGAATGAGATCTCCCACCAGAAAACTAGGGCGAAAAGTATTTTCAGCGCCATTAGCTGCTCTATCACACAAATTCTTCATCCATCCGTACGTTTAATATGGAGATGGAGTCTTGAAAAGACTTTCCAATCATTTGCGTCTGGAATTCAACTCATTTCAATACCACCTCAGATATGTTTCATGAGAAGCCATAGCTGAAGCATTTCCTCGTTACAGATACTTTTTGCAACCAACGCACGGCGTTGCAAAATGATTTCTATATGCACATTTTGGATCACTAAATCTGGTCGTCGTCTGTAAAAACGGAAGCGCGTCCGGCCTTTAATAGTGATTCTGTTCATTCCTCTGAGACGGAAGCAGAGCTGGATGGTCTTTCCATTTGTGTGCTCTTCCACCAGCTCATATCTCTAGGCAAGTTCCCGCTGTTGCTCAACATCCTCGTCGGCCAGCGCTACGTTAAGGAATCCAAAGCACAGTCCGTTTATGAAGAATCCGGTGGAGACTCCGGGGAAGTCCTTCGTGTTCTTCGCAGTATGAAGAAAGTCGCACAGTCTTGTGATGTCGAGTTTCAACTTGATTATCAATGGCGAGCAACTTCTGAGAGAGGAAGTCCTCGGTTTGTCGATTTATATGTCTACAAAATGAAAGACTTTTTGCACAGTGAAGTTACGTGTCAATTCAGTATTGCCTCCGGATTCGTGGAAAAATTACGGCCTTTATTGCGCCGAAATGTGTTGCGTCCCCCACAATCCCGCTTCCGTTCTTCCGGGGATGATTTTCTTCTCCACCCTCGTCCACTTCTCTCCAAAGAAGTGGGGATGCCCAAGTCAACACAACGTTACGATTTCGGTTCCGAAGCTCAACGAACCAGCACTCAGCCCACTCTTCTCGGCAAAGCTTGACATGCCCTCCCGAGCAGCATCAGCCTCAAATGCCCTGTATATTGCATACGCGCACCTGTCAAGTGCTTCGTACAAATGAGGCGTTCCATGGCATTCAGGACAAGCAAGTCCAAGAAGCATGGCATCCAACCTTATCTTGCGGCGAACCGTCCAGAATACTTGGCTCCACATCTGCAGCTTTTGCACAGGTAGGATTGACAGTTGGCTGCAACTCTACCCCGAAAAGTCGAGATGTTGAGGAGTTCGTGGGGCGAAATATGGACCCCGCTCCCCAGATCCCGTACTTCCATCTGGGGCCTAATTCCAAAGTTTCCCTTCGCGTCTATATAGCTCTTGAGATGCGCTTGGCAAGTGTGCTTTTCCATCTTCTCTCTCCTACTTCGCTTGACTCAAGAAACCTAGCAAGATGACGGACAACAAGATCTCCACCAGCCCAGAAATCCAACATGGGCACGGCCGTAATGATCACATCAGATCGGATCCTGAGAAAATCCTCTCTGCTGTTGAGCTGGAGGACGTGAAGGGTGATCATATGGATTACAACCGAGTTGACAGAGAAGTTGCGAAATATGTCAGCGATGTTGCCATTGACATCTCGCCTGAGGAGAACTCCCGGCTCAAGAAGCTCATCGACAGACGAGTTCTCCCGATCATGATTTTCACATACTTCCTCCAGGCACTTGACAAGGGTACCCTTTCCTTTGCCAGTATCATGGGAATCCGAAAAGACACGCATCTCGTTGGACAGCAGTTTTCATGGCTCACTACTTGTATTTACATTGCTATCTTGATTGTCGAGTACCCGACAAATTGGCTCATTCAGAGGTTGCCCATCGGAAAATATCTCGGAATCTCTATCATTGTTGTATGTACACATCTCCAGCCTACTTTTCTCCATTTCGAATGTCCAGAATACCATGCTGAACATTTACCTCGTAGTGGGGTGCCGTGCTCGCTTTGCACTCCGTCGCCACCAACTTCACTCACCTGGTCGTCCTTCGAACCCTTCTCGGAATATTCGAAGCCGTCTGTCAACCAGCATTCGTCTATCTCAGCTCCATGTGGTACAAACGTGAGGAACAAGCTGCTACAGTCTCCTACTGGTACATGATGAACGGTGCACAACAAATTGTCGGCGGATTACTAGCTTACTGCTTTACACTCATCGAAAGCCCGCCCTCACCTATCAAGAACTGGCAAGCGATCTTCATCAGCTACGGATCTTTCTCTGTTCTGTGGGGTCTCGTGGTTCTGATCCTGATGCCCGACAGCCCAATGCGAGCCAAGTGCTTTAGCGAGGCAGACAAGAAGCTGATGATTGAGCGCGTGAGAAGCAACCAGACGGGTGTGCAGAATCGCCACTTCAGATTGGAACATGTGTTTGAGGCTTTCAAGGATCCTCAGATGTACTGTTACTGTCTCATTGCGATCTGTACTACGCTTCCAACGAGTGGTCTCGGGGCATTTGCGAACATTATTATCACTGGATTCCATTTCACGGTCTTGCAGACTCAGTTACTCGCCATGGTTCTTGGTGCATACATCATTATCATTCTGATGAGTAGTATGTGGCTTGTCAACAGGTTCAAGCAAAATGTCCTGATCATGGGGATTTATGTTATTCCGTGAGTCCACACTTTGCCCCTGCTGTTTGTATAGTCTACTGACTCTCCAGATCCTTCATCGGTACCATTGTCCTCATGACTGTCAAGAATACAAACAAAGCAACCCAAGTCGGACTTCTGCTCTCTTACTACATTGTCCTTAGTTTCTGGGCTGCGCAGTCTCTTTCCATGACTCTCATCACCCGAAATGTAGCGGGGCAGACGAAGAAGTCGGTCGTCGTAGCCATGAACTTCATCTGCTGGGCATCCGGCAACGCTATTGGTATGTTCTTTCAGTCTCTTCTATTCAATCACAACATTCTAACAGTCACTTAGGTCCACAGGTCTTCCTCTCATGGGATTCACCTCGCTACCTCATCGCCTTCGCAACACACATGGGCTGCTACGTCCTTCTCGTCATCGTCCTCATATTCCTACGCTGGTACCTCAGGCATGAAAACATGAAGAAGGATCGTGTGCAAGCTGAATTCATGGCTGCTGGGACAGGTGTCGTTCCGGATGTTGGGTTGACTCATGCCTTTGATGATTTGACGGATAAGGAGAACATGAACTTTCGTTATGTGTACTAGAAAGTGAGTAGAACATTTCGATACATTGGAATTGGTGTATGTGATTTGCAATATTTTTAGGATTATTGATATCAGACTTGTGAGAAACTGGATTGAATTGCATCAACATTTTCCTATCTGGTAAAGTGCTCTCCTGAATGAACACATACCTACCCAGATACTCTATGCCATCAGCCCAAAATCTACAGACAATTACTTACGTATCAGGATTCAGTCAGAACTCTCATGTGATGAATATGTCGCATCACATGTTGAAAGGTTTTGACAGGCAACGAGAATCTACCTCAGATTTTCTCCCGTATTGAACTACTCAAAAGCCGAGCGCCAACACCAACGATACTAACAGACTACCGACGACCGTCAACTCTTTGTACCTCATTCACCAGAGTGCTCGCTTGCCGACAAAAAGTCGAAATCTGTTGAGAATCCACACTTCCCTGCTCAATCTCGAGATATTCTCCTTAAGCTTCTCGATGTGAGCTTCTTGTTCGGCTTTCTCGGTAGCCTTATTCTCTGCCTCTGCCTCGTTCTCTGCACCATTCTTCTCTGTCTGTGCATCCTCCTCTACTTCTGCATCCTCCTCTTTTTCTGTAACCTTCTCTGCCTCTGCCCTGGCGGCCGCGTCTTCGTTCAAAGTTTCTGCCTTTTCGTTGTCCATGTTGAGAATTTCACTCGGATTTTGGAAGGTTGATTAGAGTGTCTTGATTTGGATGCCAGTCGGGGCAGCTTGTTGATATATAGTAAAGATCAAAGTTTCTCTCTTTGTACATTTCTTTATCCTAAAAACAAGTCACGAATACTATATTGTTCCATTCACGAAAGGCTAGCTCCTTTGTTGAAATTAGAATAGATTTCCTCCAGCTTGAGTCATAGAGACGAAGCCAGGTCACATCCCACCTTTGTCTAAGGCTTGAATTGATTACCGTGACCTTATTTAGGTGAAGTAAAACAAGACTGTGGAACGAGTGTGCTTCCATACAGGGAAGTTGATGATCAATAGTAACACCAGTGGCAACAGATTTTCTATAGCATCCGCCGTCTCTAAATCTCTTCCATCCAGGCTACCTCGCATCTGATCGCCTCTTCAACCAAATCTGAATACATACCCAAGTTCCATCTTGTGCAAATGGGGCCCCCCTTAACCACGTCTTCCTCCAATTCTCGTTGGGCGTATATACAATCTATCTCTTGTTCTCCCTCGCGAAGGTCAGGGTTACGAGGAATCGCTGCGACTATTCGAGGCAGTCCCCAAAGGCGAAGAAGAATTATCGGGATTTTATTCTGGTTCCAAAGTTCCTGCTTTTGGCCTGGAGAGCTCGTTTCATAGTCTTTGAGAGCTGACAATGCTTCCCACCACCCGTAAGTATCGCAGGTACAAATGGAATTATTCACGACAAGATTCATCATTAAGATTCGAGGATCTTGGCCCCATATGGATCGTAAGGTGTGTTGAGAATCCATTCAACTATCGATTCTTCAATGGAGTCAAAGTGGATTTTGGTTGAAGCTTGAGTAATTGGCGTAGTTTGTATAGGTGAAACTGAAAGAGGGTGTGAGATATACTAGCGTATTTAAGCAAACGCATTCATCGCCTCGTAACAAAGCAAAATTGTGCGTAAATAAACTAGTACGAACATACAAATGCACTCGTTACCTGAATTTCAACAAAGAAATAAACTATTCTTAGTTATAGTAGCCGCCAGTCTAAATATACGATGCATTATGTGCCTTGAATTATAAATAAGTTTGCAAACAAAGATATAAACAAAGAGCAAGGCGCATTCGCTTAGTAGGCGCTAAACCCGAAGCTCAACCTCAATCCCGTGACGGCAAGGAGATTCCAGCCCAACTCGAACTCGAATTTGATCATGGATTCCGCCGCCCAAATCGACGCATGAAGCCCCACCAATACCTAATGACAGACATTCGGCAAGCAAAAAAAGCACAACACTCCTCGAAATACAAGAAAATGACCCCAAATGTATTGAATGGTTACATACCAGCTATCAAGTATTCAGACGTTGAGATTGACCCCGATCTCAACTTCGCTTAGCAGTAAACACACATTTCAAAAACACATTCTTCCGCCTCACCCCCAATACCACCATCTTCACTGTTGTCTCCCACCATCACAGCACAATAACCACTTCTCAAGGCTTATTAAAATCGATAACAATCCTCCCAGCAACCTCCCCTCTCCTAAGCTGCTGTACACTCTCCGGCATCTGACTCAACCCTCTCACCTCACAGATCTGCTTCAACAGTCCCCGCTGAGCGTACTCCAACGCCTTAGCTGTGTCCTGCATAGTTCCTACAAGGGAGCCTATAACTTTGAGATTGCGGAAGGCGAAGTGTGAAGGGTCGCCTCCGATTGTTACGGTGTCTTTTGGGGCTGGTAGATAAAGGCTGTTAGGATCTTGGGGAGTGAAAAAACAGCAGGTAAAGAAAAGGGGAGGGTGAGGGAGAAGGGAGGACGTACGTAATGCAACACAGACGATTACGCCGCCGACTCGGTCTGCGATGTAGCTGATGGCGTTGGCGTATGCTTGGTAGGCAGTTACAATGACTGTGAACAAAACTTGGAGTCAGTATTGCCATTTGAAGTTGAAGATGAAAGAGTGCTAAGATGTCTTGACAGGAGCAATTGTCGTTTGAGGTTGATAGAATAGCTTACTCAGGCTATATTCTTGCTCAAACAAGCTGCAAAGGGGAAAAGAACTCATAAAACACTCACCACCATGCGCTCCAACACCACCAGCGACTCGCTTGACCTCAGCCGCAACATCCTCAACATCTTTAAAGTCCACAAACTCCTCAGCGCCCATCTCGATCGAAAGATTTTTCTTCTGGGCGCCCGTATCGATCACAATAGGACGCATACCCATCGCTTTAGCCAGTTGAACACCTTGAATCCCAACACCGCCTCCACCACCGGGAAACACAACCCACTGTCCGACTTTCAGACCGGAGTCGATCAGTGCTCGATGCATCGTCGAGGCACTACACATGATTGGCCCGGCAATATAATCGCTCACTCCGTCTGGAATTGGGCTCGTGTATTTGGCTGGACTGACTACGTATTGCTGGTAACTCCCTACCCCGCATCAGTTACCCAAGGCCCACAAATTGACCATCCATCACCTCATACCAATTCCCCCCCACTCCCCCCTCCCCAAAAGACAAACACAAGGGGTAATAATAATAGAAAAAAGACTCACCCGTAGCAGCCAACCCCGTATACACCCCGCCCTGACAATAATTCTCCCTCCCTTCCCAACAACACTCACACATCCCACAAACATCCAACAACGGCTTGATCCCTGCTCGATCCCCCACCTTCCAATTCCTCACATTAGACCCAACCTTGACAACCACGCCTGCGCCCTCGTGACCTGCGCATTTCACGCCGAAGGTAGACATGGCGGGCACGTTCCAGTCGTGAAGCATGAAGTGTACGTCGGACATGCAGAGGCCTGTGGCGTTGAGTCGGAGGAGGAGGTCGTTGGGGCCTGGGGGGGAGGCGTTAACCTAGGTGATTGATGAATTGAGAGGAAGGTATCAGTAGATCTCACTCACCTGGCTCCGGGACAGGCACATCTTGGATTTCGACGCGGAAATCTGGACCTAGGGGAGGGATAGTTAGCGAAGACAATCTACCTTAGAGATCAGATGAGGATGAGACGTCTACTGTAGACTAACCTTCGTTGACGCATACGCCTGCTTTACATGTCTTTGGGATATCGAATTCTGTTGGAGCACCACCGTTTTGTTCTGCCATGATTGATTGATTGATTGATTGATTTATGACACCAGTTATAAAACCTAGAAGGAGAGGAGAAGGAGAAGAGAAGGAGAAGAGAAGGATAGATAGATAGATAGATAGATAGATAGATATAAACAAGAATGATTCAAAATGAGGGGATCTCAAAACTCGTTTTATTTGTTCATGGAGCTGGCTCGTGAGCTAGAGGGGGTAGTATCGCGGGGTAGATAATGCGGGGTACATTACCTAGCAATGCTATGACATACCTACCCTACCTATCAATCAGATCCTACCGGCCGGAATGCTAACCTCGGATGGTTTGGTTTGGTTTGAACTTTGAATATTTGTATTGTTTCATGGATTTCTCGAATATGTAAATGGTATCGTAAACGTGGTGCAAGAATCACCCGCTTGCTCGACCGCTCGCTCGCTTGCAAAGATGCATGCTTTCAAAAAACGCCGTTCCCCGTGTCGCAGTCGCCCCCGATTGTAATACAATACCCCGAAAATCGGCCAGTTGTAGGCAGGTAGCAATCCACCTCCCTACTCTCTGCTCTCTTTCCTCCCTTTCACCAGTTCCTAATCAACAACCTATCAACTCAATCCCAACATCCCAACCAACATCCTCTTATGCGCCGTCTCCACCTCCTCACTCCCACTCGCGCTCTCCCCCTCCTTCGGATTCGGATAGTAGAACGCCGCAACAGCAATAATCATATAAACCAATACACACAGCGCGCCCTCTAGATAATTACTCTTCCCATCCCTGAGGAAATTGCCTACCACGAGAATAGCCAGGATCAGCATGACCATGTCGAAGAGCTCGAAGTTGAGATCCATGGGTTTGTGGAGGCCCCAGGCGACGATGATGGTGAGTGGTGCGTTGAAGAGTGCGGTTTGGATGGTGGCGCCGAGGACGTGCGAGAGCGCGAAGTTCATTTGGTTGTCCCAGGCTTCGTCCATGGCTGTTAGGTGCTCGGCGGCTTTTTCGACGATGGGGACGAGGATTAGGCCCATGAAGGCGTCGGAGACGTGGTATTCTTCGACCTGGGGGTGGGGGTTAGTGTCTGTGGTGAATGGGGTATGAGAGGAGGGAGAGGGCTTACTATGTGGTGGATTTGCTCGACGAGACCGATGGCGATGATGGTTACGAGTGCGATTGATACTGCAAGGGCGATGATACATTCCGTGAATGTAAGCCTGTGGAATATTAGCCCTGTTTATATGAAGTTTGATCCGCAAAATCCCGCTTCGAGACATTTCGCCAGCCCAAACCATAGATGTTGGACCGAGCAGGTAAAATACGTACTTGGCTTTCCTGAGGTCCTTATGTCTATCCTCATCGATCATCTCATCATTCTCAAAAAGATCATCATACAATCCATGATGCGTATGCATCTGGAACCAGACATAAATAGCATAAGCGACCATGAGCATAATCGAAGCAATTCGAGAAATCATGACGACTTTATGATCGAGCTCTTCCACAGTGGTGAGGGTGCCGTTGACAAGAGCCGTGTGAAAGGCAACTGGGACGCTGAGACCAAGTCCTCTGTACCAAAGTCAACTTTTGAACAGAATATCAAAGAGACCTGAGTGATAAGATAGGAATGAAATAGAACTTACGCAGTCAAAAGCAACCCACTCCCAACCTCACTAACCGCCTCATGAAACTTCTGCTCATCCCTCCTCATGCCCCCAATAAAAAAGCACATGCCCAAACAAAGCAACAACGTCGCCAAGATCGAACCCAGAATCGCAGCCCTAATAACCTGGAACTGATTCGTATTCAGCAGTACCATGAACAGCACAATCTCCACCACAGAACCCAGTGTAGTCTCCAGCAGGACACCAAACACCTTCGGGAGTTTCCGAGCGAGTTCCTGACCCGCGAAACCAACGAGGTTGGCGCAGGGGACCATGGCGATGTAGTTGAGGATGAAGATGGTTAGGTGCGCGTCGGGTTTGGCATAGCGGACGGCGATGGCGGCGGGGACGACGGGCCAGAGGAGGTTGACGACTTTGGATGCATCTGTAGTTGCAGTGGTGGTTAGCAAGGAGATCGATTCCACTCCAGCTTACACGTTCCCAAAAAGGAAATATTGACTCCACCCCAACCCTTCAAGTCCATCTTCCAGACTTCGTACATAGAAAATTCTATGGGTAAGGTAAAGAGAGGGAACATACAACTCGCCGACTTCCAACAAATCTTCAAGAACTTGAACGGATGGAATCCACGACGGCCACTCTCGCCCTCGGGCTGGATCCCATTGAAGATCTTACTCTTCTCATTTCCATTCCGGGGACTGTTATGTGTAGGAAGGGTTTGGGCGTGCTTCTCGCGCGAGGTAGAGTCGTTGCTGACGGTGGGGTAGTCCCAGGGAGCGCTGCGCTGGGATTCTCGTCTGTGGGAGTTGGAGCTGGCTTTGGGGCCGCTGCTGCGTTGGAATATACCGGGCATGGTGGAGGGGAGGGAGTGTAGTGAGATGTGGTGATAGTTTGGTATGGTACGTCTTGGATGCCGCCTTGGGAGTCTTGGGATGGAGTGCTAGGAGTCTTGGTATTGAACGACGATAGTTGAGTGATGCTTGAGTCGTGGTCGTATCGTCGTGTCGTATCGTCCGTGAAAGGTGACTGAGTGTTTGCTTCTATTTTCCCCGTATGAATCAATCAATTGGCTCAGTCACAGCCCCTTTGTCTCTCTTTGGTGAACAAAAGCAATCGCAAGATATCATAAGTCAAATATCTAAAAGATGGGAAAAGTCCGTCTGTCCCCCCCTTTTTCAAAGATCAAGCGTTGTTGGCCCGGTTCCAGGTGGTCCAAGATCAGGTTTCGAGACAAGGTTCAGTCCGCCCTGGCAATAGCTAAATACCAAGACACGTCCCACGTCACAGTTGTCTTGGCTTCAGCACCACCAGCGAGGCTTGACTGCCTGTGCGACACGGCCATTGGTGCTGGCTATGCGGAGTGACATTTCGATGCTTCTAAAAGTCTTGGGACTTGGGGAACGGGCGGAAAACCAAGGAAATCGTAGCGTTGCCAAATGTTGCTTGTGCTGCTTGTTTTGGTGGTTTGACCTTTGAAGGGAGAGGTGGATATGACAGCTTGTGGTTGTGGCTGGGCTGGAACTGTCGTGAACTCCACTGGTATCTTCATTGTCACTAGGCGGTACGGCCCGACGAAGAGACTGATGAGTTATCTCTTCAGATAAGTAGGTAGAAATTGTGTACCGCAGATATAAATTGCAGTAAACAGAGCCCTTCCACATTTCTTCGATCGCTACCAATGTCATGTCCAAATGACTACTGTAAGGTATTGAGTCTTGAAATTGAACCTCGCGTAGCGAGTCGAGGGGGTCCGTCTCATTTACACCGCCACTCACAACCAGCGGCACGCAGCAGATCTACAGAGATCTAGATCTGCCTCTTCACTCAAGCAGTACCACCAATCACAGCGTGGCTGCTTCAAGCGCACCCCAGATTACAAGAGGTAAGGAGAGCTGAAATCAAGTTCCTGGTGAGAGTCTAGGTGATCGAAGAATCTAACCAAGCTGAATACTTATATTTACGATAAAGGTACCTTATATGCTGGAAGCGTGACTTTGTAAGAAGACTTCAATTCAGATCCGGGTATCAGAATGTGGAGTTCTGCTGCTAGGCGAACACTTGTTCGTTTCCAATTCTGGTACGCCAATTGAAGTCAATTGAATTAGGCATTGAGGCAGTACGGAACTACTCGGGAACACCCGCTGTTGACATCTGTAAGTTTGAATTTGGATTATGCTGACAAGGTCATATTAAGCGGAGAATCTGAAGCCCAACTTCCGACTCACTGTACATCAAGTTGACATGGAGAACTCTGTTGTGTTACAAGTGTGCGCATTTTGGTTCCGAGATGTCTCTGGTGATCGTGGCATGACTTTCGTCCATGTTGAGCCCATGTTGAGCTGCGCCTGTCTCAATGTTTTTTTTTGTTCGGGGCTCGGAAAGCCAGAGGTTCTGAAATGGTATGAGGCCACTCCATACACAGCTCAAACACTCAAGTGGTGTCCTATGCACCACAACTGATAACCTCACACAGGACATCAATCAAGAAAGTCAAAAATCCAGACCAAGCTCCACATACACAGTGCAAGCATCTTTCAATATAAAATACACGGCTATCGCTCGAATACAGTGGAGAGTTTTGTCTTTCCATCCATGCCTCCCCAATTACCGACCCATCCATTACTTTTTATTCTTATCCTCATACCCCTCCACGACGTTCAGACCCAAGCCCTCGGAATCCAAGTACACCTTATTTCTACCACCAGCATCCTGCAAGATCTGTGCAATCGCTCGGGCGTTCTCGATTCTCTTCAAGTCGACGTATGAGCGGGACTTCTTGATAGCATCTCCAATAAGCTCAGCAGAGCGGGCTTCTCCCTGGGCGCGGACGACCATAGCTTGCTTCTCTTGTCGGGCTTTGTCGACGACGAAGGCGGCTCGTTGGGCTTCTTGTTGAGCTACTTGCTTGGCTTCGACGGCGGCTGTGAATTCTGGGGAGAATGCGAGGTGCTGGATGACTCAGTAAAGGAGGTCAAGTTTAGAGTGAAAGGTAACGTACTGTCAAAGAGACATCATCTAACATGATATCGAATCTCGCCGCACGCTTCGACAGGTTCTCTCTAACCAATCTCGCAACGTTCTCACGCTGAGTGATCAATTGAGAAGCATTGAACTGTGCCACCACGCTCTTCAGCACCTCATTGACGATTGAAGGTAGAACTCTCTCATCGTAGTCTGTGCCAAGCGTTCGGTATATTTGTGGAAGAGCATCAACTCGTGGTCTCGAGAGGACACGGCATGTAATGTTCACCATCTGCAGATCCTTTGTTCCAGTAAGAGAAGCAACATTGCGTGGCTTCGCTCGCACATCGTAGTCTATCGGAGTCTCAAACCATGGGATCTTGAAATGAGTTCCTGGAGAAAGCTATTAGTCGCCTCCTCAAGCTTCAACATGTCCAATGCAGTCTGCGTACCTTCCCCGTAGATCTCCTTGCTCACACCGCCTACTCTCGTATATTTGATAGCTCTGTGACCACCATCGACGTTGAAAAGCGCATTGTTTCCGACCATTAAAGCTCCTCCCAGAAGAATCAGACCTCCGACTCCTCCGGCCATTCCCTTTGGTGAAGGGCCACCAGTCTTGCCAGCCTGACTGGCCATCCGTTGAAGCCTCTTCCATGCATCCTGTGGGTTTGACATCTTGACGAATCGAAGGACAGCGTCGAGATGATGTGGGATGAAGGTGGTGATGCTGTTGATAGCTGCGAGGGAAGCAAAGAGTTCAAGGTCCGAATGTTTACTAGTGCATTTTCAGCCGCGCTAATTTCTCCACACTCCTCTCTCTGCTAGCGCCACATCAAATTCAGACCTCAAAGACCTCCGGATCCAGCCTCTCACCCCCCATCAAACATCACCACTACGCAACTGAAGAAACTAACTTGGCACAAGTTGAGCTGCACCGGGCAGAAGACGAGGAAAAGACAGCTTTAGAATAGCCAGAAACACTTTTTCCAAAAGACTTCTGTGCCATTTCCTCTCTACCTTACTCTCCATACTTGAAGGTGATAAGTGATCCTTCACATTCCTGAAGGCCAGTCCAGAGCATCGACCTCGCTGTCGCCGGTTCCTGTGATCTTACTTCCATCCATCTATTTGCAGACCTGAACGGTCTACCTTTTGCTTCAAAGATGTCCAAACCACCCTCCAAGTCGGTCTTTGTTGGCAATATTCCATATGGTGAGTCGCGCTTTTAATCAACTTGCGACGGGACTGACAATTGGCAGGCCTTACAGAAGAGCAGATCATCCGTATATTTAGCACAGCTGGGAAAGTGTTAAACTTCCGATTGGTATATGATAGAGAGACGGGGCGACCAAAGGGATTTGGATTTGTCGAGTTCCCAGATTCAGGTTCGTTGATTGTCCTCACCTTCGTCGCAACACAACTAACCTACCTCTCAAACATAGACTCGGCAGCTTCTGCGGTACGAAATCTCAACGACCATGAAATCATGAATCGCAAGCTACGTGTCGATTTTTCCAATGATGGAGACAATGATGATACTGTAAGGTACAATCTACCTGCATGTTGCTTCTCTAGCTAACACTCCCTCCAAGGCTGCGCCAGCAGAATATCAACCTCCTCCTCCAATGCCAATGCAAATGCCACCCTCCAATGGCTTCCCACCACCTCTTCCCCAAGACTCGGCTGCTCGAAACTCCTCAATCCCTCCTCTTCCCCTCGGCGTCGACCTGCCTCCAGGACTAAACTGCCCAGACGCCATCTCACGAACCCTGAATACCCTCCCACCCGCACAACTCCTCGACGTACTTTCACAAATGAAAACACTCGCCACCACAGACGCCGCACGCGCCACCGAACTCCTCCACCAAGCCCCCCAGCTCTCCTACGCCATCTTCCAAGCCCTCCTCCTCATGGGTCTCGTCTCAACCGAAGCCCTCTCCTCAGTCGTCGAGCAAGCCTCTGCTGCTCCTCCCCTGCATATCCCACAACAGCAGCAGCAGCCACATCAACAGCAACAGCAGTATGCGGCTCCACCAGGAAGTTATCCTCCAGGATTCCCACCTCCACCGCCGCATATGAGTGGGCAATTGGGTATGCCGATGGGAACTCCGCCTACGCATGCACAAGCTTATCCTCCTCCACCTCCGCAACAAAGGGCGCCTCCGCCTCAGCAACAGCAACAGCCACCACAGCAGCAGTCGAATCCTGATACGGATGCGTTGATGGCGCAGGTTATGGCTATGCCGCAGGAGTTGATTGATAGTCTACCACCGGCGGATAGAGCGCAATTGTTGGCTTTGAGGGCTAGTTATGGAAGGTAGTTGGTGAGTGAACTGCTGTGCTTGGCTTGGGAAGCAGATGTAGATTTGGAATGGGTTTCTTGCTAGATGGATGGGACGGAATGCTCTCTTTGCGGCGTAAAACTCTGGTTGAAGGAAAGGATGGGCTTGTCTCAAAAGCATATTCTATCAGATGCGTGGGCTGGCTAAGAAGAAGCATAGCTTGATAATGAAATCGTCTACCATGATTTTCTTCCACATCATTTATCTCCAATTTTGTTTACATTACCCTCTCTCACACGTCCAAGCAATAAAGTCTCGAAGCGAGATTTCAATAAGCTTAAGAACACTAGACACTTGCCTTGAGACACCAGCCTGCAGCCTCATCCCCATTCTCAACCTCAACTCCAAAAATATCGGTCAGTCTCAAACTCCGGCTGACATCGACTCTCGTAAAATTTCTCATCCCACCTTCGATCACATCACATCATATCATAACCCAGCCCACCTTCTACAGTAGTCCCAATCACCCAACGGAAGTGGCGCACCCCTCCCGCCAAGTAACCTTACAGCTAAAACATACCGAAAGCCACCTTCCTGCAGCACCACCACACCACACCACACCTGCCACAACAGGCATCACGTCGAAGCTTACCTACCCTTACTGTAGAGCTTCCGAGAAACATTATTGCGCTACAGTATGGGCCAGGGCGATCGAGTTGAACTTTACTTTAAGTTTATAACTGGTACAGTACTATACTTTATCTTAATTGCAGATGTCTTGTTGTACCTTCCTGAAGGAGCTTAGTCTATTCCCAATCACAGAGATTGTCGTTTATTCTCATATCCTAACCCTTTGAGAGAGTGACTGCTAAGAATCCGAAAAGTCGGCGTGAGGGATAACAGTGGAGTTGGAGTACTACAAATGCCTCATACCCTATTTACCAACAGGTCCAACAGGTCCAACAGGTCCAACAATATTAGCATGCTTGCATGCATACATACATAGCGGGGTAGGGAGATAACCTATGATCTCGCTCGTATCTCTGTGTTACCTTCTCCTCCAGGATAAGCTTATCATCCCATAAACAGCGTCCGGCATTCATCCAGACTAGGAGGTACCTACCCTACCCTTTCCTACCGGTACCTGACGGCTTCTGCGGGGTTTCCCTTCTCTACCCATCCCATCCCACCCTCCCAAGTCTGGATAAAAAGGAACCCAATTGCTTGATTTCTTCAGAAAGGACAGGCAATGTAGAGAAGGGAATTTGAAGAGCGGTGGAGGAATAGAATCCAACGAATGTTACCCTGGACCTGGACCGGATCTGCATCAAGCTTTTGAGCCAGTTACTTGGCGGGAGATGTTGGATGACGGACAGGTGGTGGCACCTTGCTGAGCAAGGAAGACCCGAAGGTAACGTAGAGGTTATGTAAGTTTGTCTGTCTGCCTTTCATGGTATCTAGGTGGGAGGTAGGGTAGCTACAGGTGGGGTGGGTGGCGGGGTATAAGTAAGCTGTTCCCCTGGTTTGACAATACTTTTCTCTTCTTCTTGGTTCTCAAGCTCTTGGGCAATTCCTACTGTCTTGCTCTTCTTTAGCTTCATTTTGTCTACTGTACATTCGTATCTATCGATACAATCAACCTCATCAAAATGGCTCCCCTAAGCTCAATCCCCCTCCTACTACTCAGCACCCTCCTCACCCTCACAACAGCAAGCTACCCCACAACCAACACAACACAATTCACACCCGAGGAAATGCTCAGCATCTCCCGTCGCGGCACAGCCCTCCCCAACGCAGCAGGCACACTAGCACTTTACACCACCTCTCAGCACAGTTTCAAAACTCACAAGAACAGCTATGGTCTCTGGGTGATGAACATCACGAGTGGGGAGAAATGGCTGTATACGAATTCGAGTGCGGCGAGTGATCCGAATTGGTTGGATGGGAATATGTTTGTCTGGTTTGTGAGCGAGGATGATGGGAGTACGAGTGTGGTTGTGGGGGATGCCACGAAGCCGGATGTGGAGTGAGTTTGCCTTTCTATTTTCTGTCAGAAATCAATTGGCGTAATTTTTCAGCATTGCAACTTTGTAATGAGGGGATAATCTGACATCAACAGACCAATCTCTGCAGGTTCAATTCCGGGTCCAGTCAGTGGACTCAAACTCGCTCCAACGGGCAAAGGTACTTGGAATTACGCATTCACTGGATCTGCTGCGCCAAATAGATCACTTTACAATTCTGCTCTTGTTGAGACTCCCGTATCATCTGGGATGATGTATACGAAGATTTTTGTTCGGCATTGGGATGCTTGTAAGTCTCTCCGATCTTTTGACTTGGACTTGCTGACACATTCAGATGTCACTCCGTATAAAAACAGTGTCTGGTACGGCACTCTCACCTCATCTCAGAGTAGTAACGGTACTGCTGGTTTCTCAATCAATGAGCCGATCAACGCTCTGAACGGCACTGGTTTTGAATCCCCAGTTCCTGTTGTCGGTGGAACTGATCAGTAGGTGTCGCCGCATACTTTCTGAGTTTGTAAATCCTAACACTTACCAGATATGCCATCTCATCCAAAGGTCTCGCTTTCATCGCCAAAGATATCAAGCTCCTCGACCCCGTCTACACAAAGTCAGACGTATGGTATATCCCACTCTCGAACTTCACAGCCGCACCCTCCAAACCACAAGCCGTTCTCACCCCAGGCATCGAAGGCGCCTCTGCCTCCCTCGTCTTCTCACCCACCAACAACGCACTCTCTTTCGTCCGGATGAAAGACATTTCCTACGAATCCGACAAGAATCGCATCTTCACCGTCCCAGATGTAACGCAGAACTTGACTGCTACCGAATATTACGCCACAAACGATGGAATCGGTTTCTGGGACCGTAGTCCTGGTCCCATACTCTACAGCAAGGACGGAGCGACCATTTTCGCTGTAGCAGAAGACTTTGGCCGTGTTAGACTCTGGAGTCTATCATCTGACCCTGCAAAAGCCGAGACTCCAGCGCTGGTCTTCGCCGAAGGGGGAGTTTCGGATGTACAGTGGTTAGCTGGCGACAAGCTTCTCGTCACTAGCAGTAGTTTTATCGACAACTCCGTCTACTCATCCGTGGACCCTACCATAGCGGCGGGCAGTAATGCTACAGAAGGCATCACGCTCTTGTCCGCCAACCTCAACTATGGATCAAAATGGGGTCTGTCTCGCAGCCAAATCTCAGATGTATACTACAAAGGTTACGGCGACTACATGGTCCACGCCTTCGTCATCAAACCCTCCACCTTCCAACCCAACAAGACCTACCCCCTCATGTTCTACGTCCACGGCGGTCCCCAAGGCGCAACCGCCGACGTCTGGTCCAACCGCTGGAACATGCTCGTCTGGGCCGAACAAGGCTACGTAGTCGTAGCATTCAACCCCACGGGCTCCACCGGCTTCGGCCAAAATCTCACAGACGGCATCCAAAACCAATGGGGCGGCCGGCCCTACCAGGACCTCGTCCTCGGCTGGCAATACATCGAGGAGCACCTCCCCTTCATCGACACATCCCGCGCTATGGCAGCTGGCGCATCGTATGGCGGATACATGATGAATTGGATCCAAGGCAACCCACTCGGGCGGAATTTCAAAGCGCTGTTTACACACGACGGCCCATTCTCAACCCTCAACATGCCTTCTAGCGAAGAACTCTGGTTTCCCCAGCACGACTTCAACGGCACGCTGGCAACCGCATGGGACAACTACGCGGTGTGGAACCCAGCCAACAAGACTGATCAGTGGGCGACCCCCCATCTGGTTGTGCACAACGAGCTGGATTACAGATTGCCGGTTAGTGAGGGGTTGGCAACGTTCAATACGCTGCAGGAGAGAGGCGTGCCGAGCAAGATGCTGATTTTTCCCGATGAGAATCATTGGGTTCTTAAACATGAGAATAGTCTTGTGTGGCATAAGACGGCGATGGATTGGTTGAATGGGTATGTGGGGTTGCCGAGGTATTCGAAGCCTGGGGATGAGGCGTTTAGGGCGATTTTGATGAATGGGGAGTGGGATTATTAGACTTTCTTTGGTTCTGGGAGGAGGGAGATAGGAGATTGATGATAGTGATTGGGACGTAGAGTGTTGGAATCATCTACAACGCTGTGGAGAAGTAATGTCATCCAAAGATACTCAAAAAATCGCAATGATTATGTTTGATTGATGAACAAAACCTACCTCTCCATCTCACCAAACTCTTTTCCATACTCACCAACTACTCCATACCACCAATCCAGGCTCAATATCAATGTCAAAGCTTCTATATCAAGCAAGGCCGCCACCATAGCGGTATGGAGAAATGCTAAGCGAAATTTAACAAACGGCTTTATTTACAAACACACCCCCACCCCCTTCTCAATTGACAGAACGCCTATTTACCGTTTCTCATCTAAATATCATCGCTGTGATCACGGCAGTAACAAACAGCGGAACAAAAATCTAGTAATAGATCTTTGGATTCCTAGTAATGTAGCAAAGTCCAATCGGACATTGAATTATCTACAGAGCACATACAAGGTTGCGGCATGCCTGCGATACGGGTTCCACACTTCTAATATCGTCGTCGTATCTGTATCTTTCTATATACCCGTTGGTATATATGAATAGATATATATGCTCAAATGCCGCCAGATATAACTCCAAATACGCCTGCCAATGTACGCTGGATGCTGCTACCACCAAGATTGAACGCTAAACCTCAATCCAAACCCAGTCCCAAAATCGAAATGCCCCTCCATCCCCCTCCCCATTATTCTACCTCTCCTCTCCCCTCTCTCCCCTCTCCCCTCTCCCCCTCTCCACCAACACCCCATTCTCCAAAACCCTAATCTCCCCACCCCTAACCGCAACATCGATCAACCCCCGCGCCAAAACATCAACCCTCACCGACGGCAGCAGACCAAGACCCATCATCACCAACCCCTTAAACCCACCTACCTCTTTCGACAACACGAAAGTTGGTCGTGCGATGTATGATTCGAATCCCGCCGCGTTGTTGTTGTGGTTATTTTCTGCGAAGGAGAGGAGGTTGAGTTCTGCTTGGCCCTGGGGGTGGGAAGGGGGGGAGGATGTTAGTGAGGTGAGGTCTAGTTCAGTTGTGAGGGAGGGGACTCTTTCGAGTTTTGGAGAAGGACATATGATGAAAATATGAAGGATGACCAGAGCGCATAGATAGGTCAAGAGGAGAGAAAAGAAGGGCGGGGAACATACAGCTACTTTCCTCGCCTCAGGAAAGAACCACACCGAAGCATTCTGATCCCTAACCACCACGAACCCACTCAGAAACACAAACCGGAAGGGTCTACCTACCGGACGAGGGAGGGCGGAAAACGCTTTCACAGCAGCGAGTGTATATTCCACAGTGACTTTTCTCGTGACTTCAATATTTGTTGATTTTGCTCCTATGGCCCTACCACATTTAATACGCATCAGCCAAAACTCCTCTTTTGAAAAAAGATTGATAATCAGAGGGCTGGAAATCTCACCATATACACCCCTCAGCACCTTCCAGCTTCTTCAACACATCTGGTGTGTAGGAAGTGAAATCATCAATGATAACCACGCTGACTTTTGGATTTGAGGTGAGGTTTTCTGGGAGTGGTTTCCGCGAGAGGGCGATGATGGATGTTATTTCTGGGTTGGAGATGGCTTGTGTTAGGACCTCGGATCCGATGAATCCGCTGCTGCCGGTGAGGATGATCTTCATTTTTATCGAAATTCAAAAGCACTGAGATGCGGCTGTTTGCGTATGCGGTTGAAGAGTTGGAGTGTGGCGAGATGATTCGGTTGTTTGACGAGAATGTGGTTTTTGGTGCTTTGTGGATTGGAGAGAAGGGAATTGGAGCAGGCTTTTTGTTTATTTGTTAACGTTTTATTATGGCGTAACTGTATGCCATGTCCGATCAAGTATATATACAATCAAGAGAGAGAACTCGCTTCAATCCGCACCGCGTTTGAATATCACGCCGTGTATGCGAGGTCGTCCCGAGTTGACGTCGGTGGTGTGCTGCACGGCATGATGTTCGTCCGCCGGGTGTGCCCGATCACGTGTGTTGAGTTCGACATGAGCGTTCTTGGAGAGAGGGAAAGAAAGACTTGTAGGAAGCATGTCAAAGTCTGAAAGACTATCAGCTATCGATGAGGATACTATGGAGCGTATGAAAACAAGGATAGCGCTTGTGAGAAGTCTCGTGTCTATTCAAGCCGGTAATAACACTGTTTTCATGACAACTCCATCTCATGGTACTTACCCAATGATTTCTTCGAATTCGACGACTTTTGAATAGCTAAAAACCGTGATGGAGAAAGTATAACAAGAAACAAGCGAGTTTACACATTTCGCAGAAGAAGGAACGGGTACTTTTCGGATTTTCCGGTCCAGCTAGCACAACCACACCCTGCGCAACTGCCTCTGTTCATGCGCAGACTGTCAGAGTAAGCCTTGCATTGTGGGATTCCAATTGAACGAACATAACGCCATGAGTGTTAAAAGGTATAGGTTTTATCGGCCGAGATGTGTCTCTGGCGAACGATGTTCTCGCTTCCGACCTGCACTTGCAGTCTCTGAGTAAAAAGTAGAAGCGTCTCGAATGCCCAAGCAGGCTAGGCCTATTCCCCTGTGCCCAATACTTTACCCTAGCTCTGCAGCTCTTTCCACGACATCTTAAACCAGAGAAGCTGTATAGTACTTGCATCTTACCAGATTATCTCGCAAGATATGCACATGCCCTTGTTCCAGCGCGTTGCAAAACGCGTCCTAGCTTCCTCGGCAGATTGCCATTCGCACAACCCCGCCTTCCCCTTGTCCTATTATTCCATCCCTTCGTCATATATTTTCGACCGAGTAACTTCCATAGAGATTCTCTGCTCAATCGCAATTAGACATCGCTGCTCGGAGTCGAGGTCGAGGTCGAGGTCGTGTCGATCATAAGGGTGGTTCCGTGATCGGGTTCCGAACGCGTCCGCCATATCGGTAAGATCGATAATCCTGCTGAAGAATTCAAGGTTCATCGGCTCGAAAATATTGCTTTCCTGTACGGACAGATACGTAGGGAGGGGTTCGTGGTTTGGATAATCATGTTGCGTTCTGTTGTTGTCAAAAGCGCCTGGTCCGCGACGCGACGGAAAGTCCAGGCGAAGGTTTGGCACTGGCTCGTTTAGAGTGCCGAATTGGGAAGGAGGGGTAAACAAAACAGATTGATTACTTGGAACCCTGCCAACAGCAGATGTTGCCCCGATCGTCTCGAACAGGGAATTAATCGTTAGGCCTTCAAGGCTTCCAGATAGCTATTTTCTAACTGAAAATGGTACCTAATCTATCCTCAGAGCGGACTTGGAAGTCTGTTCGACACTCTGGTTACTTGATTAATATACCTATCAATGGCATCAATTGTTCTGCTAAAAGTATCTTCTACTTTACAAGATGTAGAATCTCTACTCTATATAAAAGCAAACAACGAAACTTCCAGACACTAGAATAATCGAGGGGGTGTAAGTCATACCACCGTGCAGCTTTACGTGGACTTATTAGTGGACGACTTGAAGGGTTTCAGCCTCATTCAAATATCAAAGTTTCGCGCAGAAAAACACAATCAAGACACCTGCCTATCTCCTTTTTAGCATTCTACAAATGCAACTAAACACAACGATATTATATTCAAAACGCTTCGGCTATTAACAACAAGTCCACTGTCCACTATACCAAACTCAAAAATCCCCCAACTTAGAAATCAAGAATCCTGTATCCTCCTTCAAGCCCAGATTCCTCTACTCATGTCCTGCCTCCCCTGCCCTGCCCTGCCCTCTCTTCCTCTCTATAACCCCAACAGACCCCACAAAATAATCAATTTCCCCTTCCCCCCATTTCTATATCACATCCACATCTACATCCACATCTATGACTTCACTTCTGTTCAAGTCTATTCTATTCCACTCTACTCCACACCACAGCCAATTTTTATCTCAAGCAAGAATAAAATACAATACACAGTATAATTATAATTACCATTACAAGTACCAAACCCCATCCTCACCATTGAATCACATACATATTCCAAATTCTCCTCTCAGTACTCCAACTCCCTCTCCCAGAACCAAAACCCTTCATTCCCTCCCTCCAGCCCGTCATCGACTCCGAATCATACATCTCTCCATTCAAATTCCAATTGCCCATCCCAACCAACCTATCTCCAAGAATAAACTGCCCAACGACCCCTCCCTATCCTATCCCATCCTATCCCATCACATCACATCCCACCCCTCCCTAACCCTTCCAAACCCTTCCCTTCCCTCCCCCCAACCTAACTTCAGCCCAACCCGAAAGGAACAAACGTACATCGATCAATTCAATCAATTCAATCAACTCAATCAATTCAACCAGTCCGATCAGTCCGAGCGGGGCAGGGCATCAGAACCACAGAACCACAGAATAGGAATTCAAAATCATACATACATACAAGTGAACAAACAAACAAACAAACAAACTAACTAACTAATTGACTGACTAACTTGCAGTATAATCAAAACAATCAATCAATCAATCAATCAAACAAACAAACAGCAGGCCATGCCAGGCCAGGCCACTAATTAAATCTTTTTTTTTTTTTTGAGGAAAGAAAGACAAGAAAGACAAGAAGGATGGATAAGGAAGGATGTTATGAGCTTGTAGCTAGCTACGTTACGACTTCGAGGAACGTAGAAAAGTAGAAACGTGGAACGTGAAGTGGAGTAGAGTAAAGTAGAGTAGAGTAGATTGATTTGCCTGAAAGATTCAGCGGAAGAGGGTGTAAGAAAGAGGTGGGGAGAGAGAGAGTAGAGAGCGAAAAGAAAAAGGAGGATAGAAGAAGGAAGGGATTAGAAAGGGGTGGGTGTTCTGTAATCTTCATTCGTTTCATTTCTATATCAACAGTTTCTGCCTTCTGCTCTCTGCTCTTGCTCTTGCTCTTGCTCTTGCTCTTGCTCTTGCTCTTGCTCTCTGTTCTGCTCTCTGTTCTGCTCTCTGTTCTGCTCTCTGCTCATATCCATCTATCCACTACTGACTGCTAAAAACCCTCTGCTCTATTCACTCCTCTCAATATTCTCTCAATATTCTCTCCACTTCTCTTCCGTCTTCTCATCTCTCCAGTTGTCTTCCCATCAATCAATCAATCAACCAACCAGCCAGCCACTTCGCACGGAAACAAAACATGTATCCGTATCAGGAGAAAAAGCCAAATAGGAAAGCGAAAAACCAGAGCTAGCAAGTAAGTAAACAAGGCATGCAAGCAAGCAGCAACAGCAGCAGCAATGATAGCACAATCAACCAGTCAGTCCACGCACGCACGCACGCACGCACGCACTCAATGCACGACACCTATCCATGCAATGCAATGCATGCCATCCGTCCATCCATCTACGGTATATGAAACAAGACGGACCAACAGACAGTTCACAAGATAATCCATATCCGCCATTCCCTTCTAGATAAAGGAATACCATCTTCCACCATGCCATCCTCCTCACACCCATCTACAAGCAAAGCAAGGCAAGCCAAAACAAAAGTCCAAGGAGCAAAAGCAAAAGATGACCGAGACCAAGACCATCCTTCCCAAGCGCGCCCGCCATGCCGATGAGAGATAAGATGAGATGATTAGAGCAGAGCAGAGCAGAGCACAAGCTTGCCAACAACCCAAGCAAGCAAGCCCAAATGCGAAAAACGGTGTGTAATCCAGGTATTAGAAGATGTGGTAAGAGGAAGGTATGTAGCGAAGAGTCAGAAAGGCGTCCATGGAAAAGATTCGATCCGGAGGAGAAGAGCGACAAGCGGAAATGATGAGCGAAAAGCAGGAAGAGTGACAGAGAGACAATATGTACGGTTGATTCTGCATAATTGTGAGGTTCGAGAAGTAGTGTCAGATGGAGTAAGAGTCCGACGTCGAGCGATGAGATGCAGAAAGACGTGAACCTTGGAAAAAGGAAAAAAACAGGGCGTAGTTCTCGAGGGGCTGGAGGATCGTGATAATTCTCATATGCGATCGTTCTCGTATGTGTAGTTTTTGTATTCGTGTTTTGTGAGGGGGGCATTAAGCCGTCAAAAGGAGTGTGGTCCAGGATTCCCGATCCAAGAATTTGGGTAATGAGGATCCGCCACCAAGGGCAGGGATCAATAACATGAAAGGCTAATTCAAAAGTATGCCGATGCAATATGCACGCCAATACGCCAGACCAAATAGTGAAAAAAGGTAAAGTGCATACCATCTTTCGAAGATAGTAGCGAAGACAAGCTCGTCGAGTTCCAAAGGACGAGTGTCGAAGAAAGGTTGGCAGGTGATATCCCATGCCATAGATTGAACCAAACGCCAGAAATGCCAAAACGCCGTGTCAATGCAAATATTAGTATGATACCATACGACGTGCATGGCCACGATCAAGACTGAAACCTGGGGAGGTCATTCCTGTCATCATGAGGTCTCCACCAGTACTGCCACGAGACCGATTTGGTGCAGTAGGGCTGTCGTCTATTTGTCCTTGTCCAAAGGCAAAAGTTTGTGCCCGACTCAGTTTGGTTCTGTTTTGACGAAGTCTTCCCATCTCCCTCTCGCAGGTGTATGCATGCTCCTTGGCATCCATCTCGACGTAGTTCTGGGGGAAGCAACGATTTCTGTGTTCGGAAAAGAAGGTACTGTATCCACCATCAAGGATATAGACTTCAGGGTAGGTGAGCTTTGGATATTGCTCAGCATTAGTAGAACGATCTTGTTTTCGAATGTGTCGAGCCATGATCGGTGCACGGTGGGCGGAGTATTCGCAGTGAAAGATTAATAGTGTCTTGCCAGGTAGGCTGGTCTCGAAGAGTTGGCTTGCGAGGAGTTCTTTGTCGTTGTAGTTGACAGCACCATCAATGTGACCACCCTCGAACTCGTACTCGAAGCGGCAGTCGATGATCATCCTTTGATCATAACTAGGATCGAACTTTCCATCCAATACCTGCAGCAGAGTATCCTTGGTGATCCTTGGGATACTATCTGGTTGGCCTTCCTGGAAGAAATGTGGTAGCACCGGTTGATGAAGTTCGTCAACGTCCATAACAGTATGAAGGTTGCTTGTCGGGATATCATCCTTCTTTCCCTTCATCACATCCGCTGGGTTCTCGAACATGCTCAACGATCGACGGAATTGCTTTCTAGGCCGAATTAACGGATTAGAAGGCCTTCTAGTGTGATTGCCGATCGGCGAACCGTTTCGAAAAGATATCCCATTCATGCTACCAAAAGGTTTACTCTGACGCGGAGGGCCCATGAGCGAGACCGAAGGACTGTTGGCAGATTGTGGTCTTCGTTCTTGTGGGGGTGACTCCATGAAGCACTCTCCGAGGGACATCGAAGTCGTCGTCGACAGCTTGCTACTTCCAGCACCAAAGCGGAAGGGAGGCAATTGACTTTCGGGATTTCGAGGTAATGAGTTCGTCGAGTAACCTTTTGTTCTCGTAAGGGATGGTCGGACCAGGATAGATTTCCTTCGCCTATAATATGATCAGCATATAAGTTCCCAAATGGAAGACGCAATTCCGTACTCGAGTCCAGTTGGTCTGGGTGCGTCCAGGAATGCTGGACGAGGCGGAGATGAAGGCATCATATTCTCATTGACATGCCCAGGTGTTGGTGATTGGATTTCAATCTGTGCTGCAAAGTATGGCTGCTTGTGTGGGAGAGGCGAGATATCCATTCTTTCTTCCAACGGTCCTGGGGATGATGACGGTATGGGAGGAGTTGTGACACAGTCTAGACAATGTTAACTCCAGATCTACCCGATATCAATCTGCCATCTTACCCCGACCATCAATTGTGCCAAACAAGTTCGAAGTAAAGAGGGACCTGCGAGGAGTAGGCAATTGAGGGCTGTATTTTTGTTAGCCATGCCGAGGGAAGTACAATGGAATGCATACCTCATATCAATGTGGAAATTCTGGGAAAGATCTGCCGCCAGACTTGCTGTAGGAGAAGATCCACGGACTGGCTTGATCTGGAAGTAATCGGGCTTGCTCGAGTAATAATCTGACTTGCTCGGTCGCTTCATGCTGAGGTCACGGAAGTTGAAAGCTCCAGGTCCAAATCCGCTATTAGAGATATGTGCGTGAGGATGCGAGGTGTACATGTGATCCATTCCCCAGGATGGCATGAAGGAGGGTTGCTGCATTGCAGCTAAGGGTGATGAAGCCTCCATATTGATGTGTGATAATGGTGGAGTAGATGCGAGGGTTGGAGAGTCGTAGTACAATCAATTGCACGGCGAGAGTAGTTCCACTGCAGGGAATTGATCGAGGCAATTGCAGACAACGATTCGAGGTATCTCAGCTAGGTCGATTGGGACGAATTGGGGAGGAGGAATCCAATCGTCGAAATGGTACCAAGGCGAGTTCGGAGATCTTTCCGTAGAAAGGGTTCGATGGAGGAGCTACAGGAATGTCTTAGACATCGAAGCTATGCAATCTTCAGTCTTCGGCCGTCTGTTATGTCGTCGAATCTGGCAATCGAGATGTGCCCTTGGGTGCCCTTGGGGGTTTCGTTCCTGTGGTTAGTATGCCCGTGGTCGACTTGTTGTTGGAGTGGATAGAATTGACATGCGAAAGGCGGGGAGGAGACCTTTCGGATGTGAATACTGCTCCAACTGTCGAGGTCGTGGGATGAGGATGAGAAGGTTGGAATGACGGGGGGAGTCGTGAAGATAAAAGCAAAGGTCAAGGTCGGCAGCCACGGGCGGGATGGGTTGTTGAAGAGTGATGCCGGGACCTGGTGGTGCTGGTGGAGCGACCGTGGGTTGGGAGGGGGAGGGATGGTGAAGGGATGGGATGGGATGGGGTGGGTTTGAAGCTGGGCGAAGGCGAGCTGGGATTTGTTTTGTTGCCGGGTCGATTTGGCGTGGACAGGATAGGTAGTTAGTTAGGTCAGGATAGCGAGCGCGAGTAGTGAGTGAGTAGTGCAGTGCAGTGCGGTGCACCTCATTCAGTGGTCGACGACGAAGTGGGTATTGCCAGGGCCTTTGGAGGTGGAGCGGGTCGAGAAGCTCGAGTTTGGCACTGGACTGAACTACTGAACTGAACTGAACTGAACTGAACCGCTCGCGCTGTTGTTGCTCCCATGTCAGCGCTGCCATGCCACCACAGGCCCCTGCTCACCCTGTCTCTGTACTTTTGCCCTCTCGGGTCTACTATTTGCTGCGCTTAACTACTCTCCCTCCCTTGCCTGCTTCTAATTCCTTGCCCTACGCTGCCCTGCCCTGCCCTGCCCTGCCCTGGCCCTGTTCCTCCCTCGCCGTCGCCCGGTCGTTTTAGCTCCGTTTCTGCTGCAGCGGGGATGAAGGGGTGCCCTGGAAACCTGTGCACAGCTCCCCTGTCCTGCCCTGCTCGCTGAGGGAGGGTCGATGATGGAGACAGGAGAACAGAGAACAGAGAACAGAGAAAAAGAAAAACCTCACGCTGGTTTGTACGCCCACATCCACAATTGCTGCGCACGGCGATGGTTGCCAGAGCAGTGACTTCGAATTTGTGTTCAGATATGGTTTGAAGTATAAGAGGTACAAAAAGTATAACTTCAGATGGCAGTACGAGCGTGCAGGATTGGCATTGCCATGGCAATCGCATGTGGGAATGGAGGCATTTCCCGTTAGCGATGCAACTCGTACTACGTATGTCATAAAGCCGTTTATGGTTCTATACTCCAGCTGCGTTATTCAGTTCATCGTCATTATGAACACCCTATTCCAAGTCTCTGTATCAGACAGAACAAGGTTGATTGCCCTTCGCTTCATAAATTTACGTCCGCTGCAGCTTCCCCCTCGGTTCCCAACTTCTCACTCATCCCTCAAATAAGCAAAAAGGCAAACCTCACCTCATGCCAGGGATAAGGGCCGCTGCAAACGCACGGATTACAATCCTTCCCTCACATCTCACTGGTCCATTTCCGTTGACATCGGAAAATATGACAAAGTATACACCAGCATGCTCAGTTATCATCCCAAGGAACAACCCATCGAAAGACATGCCCACTGTCAACTCTTGCTTCTTCCAGCGAAGAAAGCGAACATCCAAAACATCATCCACTCATCCACATGCACGCATCTCACGGTCTGCATCCTGCTTCATGCTTGCTCTTTGTTCTCCAGGATGGACGAGCGAACGCATTGATCTTTCCACAACCCCACACTTCATAATTGTCCGATGTGTTCGAGATGGATGGTTCATGAAACGTGCTCTTCGCCACTCCTGGGCAGCTGGGCAGCTGGACAAATCGGCTGCCGCTGCACAAAGGAAGACGCGTTTGTCAATATTGACTTCGCGTCCCACGTCCCAGCTAGCTCATCACAAAACCTGAGCTTGTCACCAATTGCATCATCAGACACCTGCATGCAACCCTAAATACCTGCTTCTCAAGCCTGCCAACTGCCTATTGCAGTGCTCCAAGCATTGAGTTCTTCCAGAATAAATCCTGCTTTGCATCCAATGATCCAATTATCATTGCCTGCCATCCGCCCAGTATTTTTGTGCAGGCGTCACGCTTCTCTTGCGTCTTTTTTTTTAAATCACCTCTGAGCTGATCCCACCCCGATCTCTGATCGTGCCGTGCTTTCGCGACGGCTACTCGGCGATGCAGGTCTCTCGCTGCTTTTTTGTTTGGCACTGAGCTAAGGGCGGGGTTCCTCACATAAGCCGCTATCCATGCTCCCATGCCTTGCCATGCAAGGGCAGGCGGGCAGCATTGCCAGGGGAGGGATCAGATGGGAGCTGTCGGTTATGGGCAGCTCCAACCAAAAACGACAAGCAAGACGAAAGACAACGAGCCCCATCGCCCATGCGATTTGCCCAGCAAGCGCGGAGCATCTTTCTGTCAATTTCCAAGAAGCGCCGGACCTTGCATCCAGAACCAGCAATCGATCGAACTGGGCTGTCTCTTCTGTCTGTCTTTCATATCTGGCTCCCTTCCCTTCAGAAATAGATACATCTGTCCAGCTAACCGCCGGCCGGTTGCCAACAACAACAAACAAAACACGGTCCAAATTAAATCAATAAACTTCCACTCCGTGCTGGTTGCTGTATCAATCAATCACCTGCAGCAGGACGAGACTAAACTCTGCATCCTGCATATGCACGCAGCGGTGAGCGTGTCCAGGTCAACGAGCACCCAGACGCAGCCCTGTCAAGTGTCAAGCCGTCAGCCTTCCTCCCGATGGCTTATCGGTATCACCGGGGGCGACACCCATCTCCTCCAATCACCACCCCCAATCGCACAGCTTCATACAGTGCAAGTCTCACGATATCGGGCTCAGCCTCATACAGATCGCTGCTCCTCGTAGTCAGCTAATATCCCGAGCCGCGCCAGTTGAGCGAGTTAGAGTCGCTGGCTCGCACCATGGGGCGCTGGGCTCGATTGCACTTTTTGACGTGCCAAGACTTGAGGAACGAGACAGTTTCCCAGGAACGAGAGTAGTCCGCTCCTACCTTAGCCCGTGAGCCCGTCCATCTGAGAAGGGAGAGGTCAGACAGTATTACCGAACTTTCTACGAGTGTGGAATATTGTTCTGAGTTTGTTCCAGAGAACGTTCCATCCACAAATAAAAAAAAGAATACCTATCACCTGTCATTCATCCCTTCAAAAATCCAATAGAAAATTACGATACATACCATACTGTACAAATAAATCCAAACGTAATTGTACGATCCACGACCTCGCGCAAAATAATCTCTCCGTCCAAATTCCCGACCAGAATAATCAAGCAAGCAACCGCCGCACCACCGACCGCACCACGCTCCCTGCCCGCCCTGCTGATCATCACGACATGACCTTGAACGCTGCTGATACTGGCCCGGCCTAGCACTGACTGCCCTATGAAACGCCCAAACAGGGTTTATGCAAGTGTCGCTCTTCGCCCATCCATCCCAAAGCATCCAACTTTTATCCCAATTTATCCAAGTAGTCACCCTGCCGCCCATCCTTCGCAACCTAATCCCCAAACCCCAAACCCAAAGAAGACGAAACCCCCCCTCGCGAATTCGATCCCCCTTTCAGATCTCGATACAAGCTACTCAATTGACATCATAGCTTCCTTCACCTCACTATTTCCTATCCTGATACTCCCGACTAAAGAGCTTGGACAACCCCAACCCCTCGGCAGATGTCAGTCAATAAACCCTTACGCGCTGCGCTGGGAAAAAAAAGACGCGATCTTCCTTGTTTACTTTGACCTAGTTGTAACAATACGTGAAAAAAAATTGGTGAATCCCGTACTAAAGGAAATGAACAATGCCATGCGCTGGTACTCTGTAAACACAGAGGATCTCGATCTTTCTTCAGCGGGAAGACGATCGTGTGCTCCGTTGGGTTTGTTTTCATTTGGGTTTGGGTTTGCCTGCCTGCCTTGGTTGGTTGGTTTCCAATACCGTGTTCTGGGAATTTGTTCCATTGTTGCGGCCGAGGATGATGCGGAGTTGGATTTTGGATTTTGGGAGTTAAGGTGCCAAAAAAATCTTGCTCGTCGCGCGCTTGTGTAAAAATACCTAGCTTCGTTCCTACCGGCAACTAACTAACTGAATTGACGTGACCAAAACAAAGAGAGAGGTGTTCAGCACGCCTCTTGCTTCACCTCATCTCACCATGTCCTCTCGCTGTCGGTCGTGACAAGTCCGGCTTCCTTCCTCCCACCTCGGCTTTCAAGAAGCCGACTGACTACTCTAGACTCAAGACTCCAAGATTCAAAACTCAGCCCTTCTTCTACCTAATCAATATCTCTCAAACACCAACACCACGACCTCCCCCACCTTTCCCTTCCTCCTCCCTCTTCCTTCATCCTTCCCCTCATGCACACTCACCAATCCCAAGCTCCTGCCACCACCCTCCCCGAGCTACCCCGCTGACGCCCAGGTCACCCAAGTGGCATGATTTCCTCAAGCAAGCTGAGCTGAACAATGCACTGCTTGCTTGCTTGCACTCCGCATGTTTGAGGAATTCCCGGGTTAAGCAGCAACGATCCGTCCGAAGACAAGCAAGCTGAGCTATTCACACCGTTTTCCGTTCCATTATTATTCACAAATGCGAGAAAGGGAAGGAAACAAACGGAAACGGAAACGGGAGACGTGTCAGCGCCAAGAAACATAAACAAACAATGCGGGGCGTGGGCCGTGCAGTCGCGGTGTCACGGGGACGGGACAGGGCAGGGCAGACATCAGGTCTGTAGGTGTGTTTCAATTGGAAAAAGCCCGATCGATGTGAATTTTGCGCGCTTCGTTTCGGTTCTGGCGTAGGTACCGTGGCATTTTCCATTATTGTCCATGTCCACTGTTGTCTGTTCGGTTGGCTCGAGATGGATCGATGGACGGACAGGATAGGATGATCGCTGCACAGTTTAAAATTTCACCTACGAAACGAAACGGAATGCAGGTCGGGAATTGCCTGCTTGGTTCAGTTCAGCGGTTCAGCGTCCTCAGCCTCACTACTCAACTGATCAATAATCCATTTTTATTTTTTATTTTTTATTTTCACTTCCCCTTGTTTAAACTTCCCGTGAAACATTTAAATCGGAAAGTTTCTTTCGCCTCAGAAAGTTTTAAGTTTTTTTTTTTTTTTGAGTTTTGAGTTTTACTGTACTGGAACCCACCCATCCTTTTTTGAGTTGTCAGGAATGATGAGTCTGGGTTTACATACAGTGCCTGCCTAGGTGAAAACGGAGGAATCTCCGATTTACACATTCCCGATCCTCTCTGTTTCTTGCGTCGCACGAGAAAAGTCTTAGCCGTTTTCAGAATGTAGACAGATTTGCTTAAACTTTATCTGCTGAGAGAGCCGCAAGAAACATTTTGAGTTTTTTGTAGTAAAACACCACGCGGGAAAAATATATCTCAGCTGAGAGGAGAGTTTTGGTGAGGAATGGATGGAAACGTCTTTTGGTGTTGATCAAAGGAGGGATCTCCGATTTTATTTTATGAGAATACATTCTCGCTCCTCTCTTTTTATATTTTCTTTCATATTGTAGTCTCAACCCACTCTTTTGTAGAATGTAAATGCGAGGGTGGATGTAAAGTCAGACCATTTCTTTGAACTACATTCGTTGGATTCATTCTCGCTTCTCGCTTCTATTCCCCCACAAAATGCATTGCGAGCTTACGTCTTTCTGACAGAGTTCAAACATCATGCCACCCTTCCCTCGGCTCGCTTCAGTATCACATATTCTTCCTTTCTTGCTTCCTTCATCATGCAAAGCATTCCCAAGCAAAGCATTCCCAAGCAAAGCATTCAAGTTTTATTCAAGTCATCCCGTCATGGTATATCCACATCTCTCCACATCTACATATCCACACAAGCTCGTTGCTATGGAGAGCTATCACAGCTACAGTGGATACCATGTCTTCCCTCTGCATATGCACAATGCATTGTATGCAGGAGCAATGCAGGGCATGTCTCTCTTTCTCGCTTCTCATTATGCACTGCACAGTCTTTCCACTCCACCGTTTCGCATTGAACCCTGAGCGTGGCGCTGGATCGTGAAAAAGGAGTTGACTCACTCAGTCACTCCAGTCGGTGCAAGTCAGGATACCCATCCTGCATAACCTTCCAAAGCATCCTTCTATCCTTCCACGCACAAGCACAAGCACAACACATCATCATAATTCCTCGGTTCACAAACGCTGCACAGCACGGTATATCTCCACTGTCCATGCACACAAACCCCACTAGAAAACTTTCCACAGGGCAGCTCCATTTTCCACCCCTCACCTGAGTACGCACAGAAGCTCTATGCAAGCAAATACAAGTGCAAATTCAAGTACAAATACCCTCTCTCCCCTCTCTATGCACATAATCCTCACCCCAAACGAGTGCATTTAATCTATGCAAGCCGCAAGTACAAGCTCAAGGTGAAGCTTCAACTTTCGGTCGCCGGCACTGTATGCAATGCGATGCGATGCAGCAGAAAGGGGATCTTGACATACAAGAACCCCCTCGACAGCCACTCCCATTCTCGCATTTGGAAATTCTTTTTTGCCCACGGTAAGAACATGCGTTTTTCACACTCCGCAATATGGGGAGGAGAGTTCACGATGGCTTCATTTTTATTTTTTTTGGTCTTCTTCTGCACCAAGACGGTGAGCAGATGGATAGCACAGGATGGTCGTCGGACAGACAATGGGCTCACCGTCTACCGCCAAGACCGACCTCGTCCCAATTTTTCGGAAAATGAACCATCAGGAGGTCTCCAACACCTCAACTGGCCATTCACGAGCTTCCTAATACACCAGATTACTCCAAAACAAGCAAACCAGTGGGCAACTTTCTCGAACTTTTCATCTCCGTCCCAACGCTCCGACTCGCCAACTGCACTCGACCAGACCAGTCCCAAGAAATCCGATGCATTTCCGATCTGTGATCCGGGACTCATGAATCGGTCGATGAGATGGATGGATGGGTATTCAGAACAGACCAGACCAGACCCAGACTCCACAGCGAGAAACCATCGTCCAAACCACCGCACCGAACCGACCCATCTTCCTGTCACGGATCCACATCTTACAAGCTCCAACCCAGAACCTACCCCGCAAAACAGCCTTTTCTATCCTACCCTTTCCCGCCCCTGTCTCGTCCCTTCTCATTCCCTTGACTCTCTTCACTTCACCGATTTCCCATTTCTCGTTTCCACACTCTCTATCATTTTCCAGTCTGGGCTTCAGCTTCCACAAGCAAGTATCAATTAACTTCTCTATCGAACGCACAAGCAAAAAAAAAAACCCCCCAAAAATTCACTAAGATCCAGGTAAGTACGCACGCGCACCAGCCCGTGGCATCCTGTGCTGTAAATTCACCGGAACAAACCATCCCATATCCATACCCATCCATACCCCACAGAAACTTCCGATGGCCGCCCAGCCCAGCCCAGCCCAGCCCAGTAAATCTCCCGATATATACCTCCGACCGAACCCAGCACTACAGTAGGTCCAGGTCAGGTCAAGGTCCAAGTTGAAACATGTCATCCACCACATGGCAGGCTGCCATTATGGCGAGTCCCAAGCTCCCGGAGGTCAGTTCTCACTTTTTTTAGGGGGAGGGAGGGGGGGGGTTGGCTTTTCTCTTTGGTTTGCGCAATTCCTCCTTTTTGGGGAGCCTGGGAGCTTGGGAGCCTGGGAGAGCTCTGAGCTTTTGCAGGAGGGCCGGCCACCCACGAGCTTAAAATGTGGTGTTATTTCTCCATTTTCAATTTCGATTTTCGAATTTCTGGGTTTTCTGGGTAGGGGGTTAAATTTCGTTTTCGTTTCCATGTTTTCTTGTCTTGTCTCGCCTTGTCTCCCTTACTGGCTCTATTGATTCTTCGATGGGGCCGAAAGATGATGGGGAGAGGTAGAGCAGAACAGTGCAGAGCAGAACAGTGCACAGAGCCCCATGTGAGGAAACTTACGATACGTAAGCTATACGTTGGAGATCTTATTTATTGTATCTGGGGGTCACGCTTCCGAGGAAACGAGAAGCTGGGAGTTGGGTGCCGGAACTGGAATCCGGGACCTGGGATGGGATGGGATGGGATGGGATGGGATGATGGTAGGGTAGGGGAAGTTTCGTTTGGGTCTGTGGGATGGATGGACTGGGAGTTTGACAGATAATATGGTGTGATATGATCAGATGGGATGCTACTATGTATGTGCGTAGAAGGGGGAGAGAACGACGTGGAAGAGATGGGATGAAAGGATGTAGCAGAGCAGAGCCGCTTCCGCGAGACATTTCGTTTGGACTTATGGTTTCAACTATGGGCATGGGTTTCTCTGGGCAGCGTTTAGAGTTGCACAGGACAGGATCTAAGATGCCGGAGAGGAGAAAGTATAAGTATATGTACACAGCCGAAGTTTGTGTTAATACCTATCCACTCATACATTCAAGACCGAAGGGCGAATTATCCCTTCCCAATCGAATAGGCCTATCTCGAACTCATTTATCTAGCTCTTTCGATCAACAAACAATACATTGGATGCTACCACAGATCAATAAGACAAGGTACGGAGGAGCATTCAGAAGGCTCGGGTAAAAAGAATCAGATCTCAAATTCAGACGCATAAGTTCTACAAAACAGAGCTCAGCGATTGAGCCAGCAATATCAATATTCTCACCCAATCCCAGAAAACCAACCCTATTGAGAACACTCTAGCTATCTAAGCTTTCAAAAAACAAATCACATGTGTGTAAGTTATTCTCGGCACCCCCCTTCCTCTCAGCCTTCCTCCGAGGAACTTCCTTCCTTCTTTCCTCCTGCACCTACCTACCTACCTACCTACCTACCAACCAATCTAAAGCATCGTCTCCCTCCCCTCCTACTACCATACAGTAGCACTCTACCTGCATATGCATATGCAGGCACACTTCTCATGCATGCACTTCTAGTTGCATATACACCTGCATCTTATCTCCACTTCACAACGTTCGGGACGACGACCCAATTTTCGGGACCATCATCTACCTACATCTTCGGCACATCACCTCCGCATTTATTCACTCACTCATTCAGTCAGTCAGTCAGACCGCCTTCTCCCTACTTACCTACCCACCAACCTCTCACCTTCTAGAACATCTTCTTCCTGCTCTTTCCTTTTCGAAACTTTACGGTTGGGTTGCATGTGCATATCGTCGATAAGAAATTTTTCTTTGCCCTTGTGTTTTCCGTTTTTTTTTTCCGTTTTTTTTTTTTTTTTTTTTTTTTGGTGGGATAGTGGGATAGATAGTGGAGAGGAAGAAGAGGGGTGGAAGGGAGGGATGGGAGGGATGAGATGTGAGAAGAAGAAGAAGAAGAAGAAGAAAGTGCCGAGTTACCCCTCCATCGATTGTAGTTTGGATGCCGAGGGGGGTCCGAAGACATTTGTAAGATATTCAGGTATTCAGTCTTGTGTGGTTAAGTGTGAAAAGAATTGCTGCAAGTGCTTTAGTTCTGCGCTTTTAGTTCTTCGGATTGAGCGGCGGTACGTTGGGTATGTTGCCGTTCGTTGATGTCGTAGCGTTTGAAAAGAGTGCCAGGGAGGGACATGGTGAAGAAGTTTCTGAGATCTGCTTCTCATCTTGAAATTTTAAGCCTGCTTATGATGGAATCCGTGACTTTAGGTGGGAATCAGCGTTGTCTCTCTCTGCCCGCGAAAAAGAGCTAGTCTTCGTTGGATTTGCATACCACTTTTTTGATCTTCTATTATTTTCTTTCCCTGGAATAGTTAAGTGTTCAGAGTTTAGGTTCTGACTTTCCAGGACTCTATACTACTTTTCAAGATGCTACAATGCTGCTCAAACAATTACCCGCCATCATCGACATTTCCATTTCTCCATCCATCCATCTCATCCTAGCGTGCCTCACCCAACCTTCCTTCCTCATAACAAACCCATACACCTTACACCCGTACAAACGTACAAAACCTTCGAATATCTCTCTTCCCTATACCTAATCCAATCACTTTCTTCCTTGAAGCATTGGCCACTCGCTAAACCCCAAACCAGTCAATCATCATTGACTGACTCACTCTCACCTCTGCTGCCTAGATCCCCCTTTCGCACACCACACCACTTTTTCCAAGCAACCCTTTATAAAGTCAAAGAATGCTTTTTTCTCCGCCGAAAGGCAAATGGTCACTATGAAAAAATACAGAGAAGATTAGCATTGCCCCTGCACAAGGATGACATTGTCTAACAAAGAAAGCTACCACTTTTTTTTTCAGCTGTTGAGGGTTGGGATGGATGTTTGAGGGACGAGGGAGTAAGAAAGGTTGAGGTAAAGCAGAGGAGGGTACGGCTGCTGCCTGATGAACCAGTTCAGTTTGAACTCTTACACCACTCTATATATTTTGGTGTTTATTCTGTCAAAAGGTGACTGCCGTGAAGCGAAAGAATGATTTGAGAGAGTGGCTTGCACTACCTGTCTCTGCCTCTGCCTTTATATTTAAACCTTGGCTGCTCTCCCACTTTACTTGCGGGAACAAAAACCTTAGACGTCTTCCTCGATAAGTGTTCTCTGCTTGACAAACTCCTTCTACAAGGCGTCTTCTTGTCCCAGCAGATTTGCAATTCCACCTCTTCACACTTCCTTCCCTCTTTCTCCCTGGCAAAACTTCCAAGTTCGCCGGAACCACTTCATGTTGCCATTCCTCTTGTTACTGTCGTCATTGCGCTTATTGTTGTGGTCTTTCAAGAGTACGGTGGCTATTGTCAACCACCGCATACTTTGAAGTAGTTTGTGGAAGTGGTCTCTTAGAATTACAAGTACGGAAACATATGAAACTATTTTTCCAACCTCAAGCCATTTTACTTCTGAACTTCAAACTTGAAAGAACAAGGCAAAGCATACAGCCTGGAGATTTCCAACGTCCATACAATCCTTGCAAAAGAGTGTTTCCACGTGTGGCGCCTTCTAGTAAGGCTTCTAGATGAGGCCTATTCATACTCATAGCTCAAGGTCCTGAGAAAGGTATGGGAGCAAGTTCACATGATTGGAGATTCACAACTGGTCTAGAATGGTGAATAGCCTTTCAAATATTGATTTAGTCATGATCTTCAGTCTGCGAAGAAATGGAGACTAACGGATCCGAGATACAATTCAAATCCTTTTTACTCACAACTTGGAATATAGATACTTCACGATGTCTTCCGTGTCGAATGCTTCCTCGGGATCACAAGTGGACGATATCCTGAGCAAAAAGTCAATATGTTTCCGTACTGAGATAGAAAGAGAGCACAGAGGCCTATGAAGTATAAGTTACAAGTTTTGGTGACTGCTTGAAGTACTGGAATTTGAAGCTGTCCAGAGCACTTGGCTTCGATCAAACAGAACTCATGGTCAACACCCATCACATAATTATAGGAGTGTCGGAAAGTGAAACTACTCATGAGCGCGAGTCATTTTGGTTTTGAAGTTCTGTCTATGAAGCTTGTTACTGAATGTGAAGATGAAGCACTCCAAGCCCATGAAGGTAAGGTCTGGGCAACTAGTCAACAGCATATGATTGTGCAGCATGCTCGATGCTCGATTTCTACGGTGCACACTTTTAAGGATACTGAATATCTATGTTTACCTATTCATTCCCAGTCCTGCGACTTCTAGACAGGGTTTAAGATGCATTTGGAGACCCTCTGGAGGGTGAACGGAAGCTCAAGCCATCTCACCCGCTGGCAGAGACCATGAAAGCAATCATGAAAGCACGCCATTTCGAGAAGTATTCTATCAGCCAAGCAACGAAAAGATTTTCGCATTTGAATCTTCGAGAAAGTCACCCGCAGTGGGTGCCAGGTAAAAGTAGTTCATGGGTGAAGACTCTACGTGACCTCACAGCCTTCAAAGTCACGGCGAGGTAAAAAGGAGGGGTAATGCCTGCCTTGTACCGGAGCCTGGCGAGCACTTACTGGCAGTCTCAGAGTTCTTGCATTAGTAGAGTAATCGAGAATACTCTGGGCTCGAGAGAAGGACGTCGAAAAAGGATGTGGATGTGGCACTCTTTCGAGATAGTTGCGTGCCATTAGGCGAGCCTTGACGACAGAGGTGGGGAGGAGCAGCGGAGAGCAAGGCAGAGGGAGACTTCACACCGATTTCAAAACGTATTTGATTCAGTTATTGAAACCATCCAAGCAACAAGGATCCAAAGAACAGTGGATTTTATGATACGGACATGCTGTGATAGATTGCAAGAGTCGATGGCTGTGAGATCCATTTGGGAAATGGTGAACGGACTTGACCAGGACGTGCGTTCAGATGAGATTAAATTACTGGAAATGATACAAAACTTTGCGAATACGATATATGAAGAAGTCGATCACCCTGACATTCTAAGCTGATCATCCAATAACCAGACATGGTAGTGAAGACGCAGGAGGATTCACTAAATCACTTCCTGGGCGGGACGCGAATATCAATCACTCGCACTCGAGGAGGCAATGTCATGGATTGACGCGAGCACACTCCGAGGATTTCAATCTCTGAAATGAGATAAGCTTGAATGTTTGAGCGTCTCTCGCTGGGAAAAGGTTCGGTGTCGGATCATGGAAGCAATGGTTAGTTTGTCACAGGGCAAGAAGTCGCGACTGACACCATTCCTGCATTCGATCTACGATGCCGTTTACTTTTGGCTCGAGAAACACAAGACAGTCTTCTCAATGTTCTGAATTCCAGTCGTGACATTATTCTCGCCCGAAAGTGATGATCTGGAGACAGCAGAGGATGAGAAGAGGCATGCAGGTCTCGTCTCGTCACGGCCGGCAGGCCGTGACCTCTTGGTAGCTTCTCTTTGATTGAGCGTGTCATCCTTGGTGCAGGGCTGGAATATGTTAGTTGTGATCGCTGAAACAGTTTCAAACTACAAACTAGAGCGCAGTGGTATGGTACTCAAGATATCGATATTGGTCGAGATGGATGTGTCGATGAGCAGGGCAGGATCAAACACTTGACAGGCATGGCGCGATTTGCAGTCCGTGCACCATAATAATGCTTGGAATGTGAGTTGGAATGATTCGTTTCATTATGAGATGGTTGCATTTATTGGTAGGAGACTATGGTGGAATAGAATTGTGGCAATATCAGATTGGGAGAGGGTGCGATATGATGAAGAACCGAAATCACTTTTCCCGATACATTGTCATGGTATTCGACGGCGCGTTGTCGCGCACGCAGCGCGCAACATCGCGTCGTACCAAGTTTGATGAGGAATAGATTATTTCATTATTTTTGTGCACTTGGGAGATGACGTGGATGGAATAATGGACGAGAAATGAAGGAGGTTGGGGCGAAAGCCTGGTGTCGTGGCCTGGATTTGCGGGCAGAGTTTTTGGTGGTATATCTAGGCAAATGAGCAGTTTTTGTTCGTGGTTCGCCACATTTGGTCAATGTACGCTGTTTCTTCCACTTTCCCACAGAGCATCACTAACATCTTTCAGTTGAAACGATACAGAGAAGATTAGCATGGCGTAAGTCTTCAGTAACAATGCTCCAGCGATCACCACTAACACATTGCAGCCCTGCACTAAGGATGTGAGTTCAACCGCTGTAAAATATCTTCCATACCCTGTACTGACTATCTTCTAGGACACGCTCAATCAAAGAGAAGCTACCAATTTTTTTGAATTTTTTTGGCTTTGCGATATTCTTTTTCGGCTTTTAGTAGGCGTTTTTACGCGTACTTCTGCCGAAAAGCGGGCGGTAGGCGAAAATTTCAGCGCTGTTGCCACTGCGCAGCCGGCGAGTTGAAACGATACAGAGGAGATTAGCACGGCTAAAATTTGGCCCAAGCCCCCTAACAGCTCTCCGCACATGACGCTTACTAAGCGACGTGCGTGAGTCTGGTGAGTCTCTCCACCAACATTCGAATCTTTCTGTTCAACGGGCTGCTGTTCCAATAAATATATCACAACGGTACAGTGCTAGTCTCCACTAAGTATCAGAGCATGTACTTGAGCTCGATTGTACTAAGACGTTCATTCAATAGGCCAGGGCGAATGCGCTCGCATGCTGCACAGCTGTGGAGGTAAGGAAAGGACCCTAGCGCTCGTCCTTATCACAACATGATCTTTTGCCTACATGTGTTGATATCTGGTGGGACATTTGTGATCTACAAAATGTAATTATAATTTTCATATCCTCGAAACGCTGGATGCGGCTTCTCATTCTCGCCAAATAGTCTCACTCTCGCTAGTGTTTCTATATTGACATCAGACTTGCGGTCTCCAGATTGTTTACAGTGCTCACTACTGTAGCGTAAACCCTAACTCAGCATCATCGTGGGCTTGGAGTCTATTTAATTACATATAAGTGCCTCCAAATGTCATCAGAACCTGTAGCGACACGAAACGATCGGTCACTCCGTTATATAACATACCCGAAGCAAGGTCAAGCTGGTGCTGTCTGAGAAGCGAGACTCTGACTGCTGAGAACACGCTTTTCCAGGGCGCAGCGCTGAAGAGGATCTCTAAAGCTGCCTAGCACAGCCGTATTTCAGGCGTTCCTCGCTTAATTACAGGGCATACAACCCCTGTGAAATCGCCCTCTAGTTTCAGTACATTTGCCTTGCTATTTCTTGTGTGCTTCTAGTTTAAATAGGCACACTCTTATATTAAAGCTGTCATTTAGGTGAGGAAAATGCCCTGTAGTGCATGGAATTTTGCAGCCAGTTCGTTAGCATTCCAGATGAATATGTATCTCCATATTGCCAGCTCGCGACTTCATGAGTCTAATGTATATGCTCCGGCACGCTCAATCAAAGACTAGCTACTAATCTTTTGTCGAATTTTTCCCCCCAGCAGAGCAATGCGGAACAGCAGCCGATTTGACCTTCCAGAATAGTTCATTTACGTGACTTCAAACAGCAGCTTCCCAGGCTCATCAGCCTAGATTCAAGGAGGAGGCAGGTTTTGCCCTACAGTGTGGAAGTGGCACTTTCATTGTCAAAGAATCCTTATGATCATCACCGTTTGCTGACTGTCTATGAACCAGTCATGACTCACAACCCCCCGCCAGCGGTTCCCAAGAGCCGGCCTTTGCGTTCAAAGTAGATCAGTCGCTGCTTTGAGAGTTGTGAAGCCAGGTGTTCAATGAGAGCGTTATTTTTGTGCTTGATTATCACCTGCCTCCACGTGTTCACCACCTTTGCTTCATTCAAAAAGTTTACCGTATGCTCACCCACGTTGAATATATTTACCAAGTGAAAACAGGTGCAATGGAGCACAGTGGATTCACGTGCCATGCACCAGACTATTCCCCTTCTGGAACTTCAGCGGTAACACTACTCGGCGTACGTGATCCTCCTGCAGGGGATTATGGAAACAGGTTCTCAGATGCAGCTCACAGGACACCATGCCAACGTTTGGAGAATAGTTATTGAAAGCAGGGTGAAGGTATTGGTTCGTTTAGCATGATGTAAACGCTTTCAACGAAAGGTGCAGAAAAGTGAGACGATATGCGGCAAGCACATGCGAGGCGAGCTGAGGTGAGTTGAATTGAGATATTGCGAGGGGAGGTCATACGAGGGCATGCGAGGTCTATGTCGAGGCTGGATATGGGAAAGCACATCAAGTTTGCATATATAATCTCTTCCCTCACCGACGGGTTGGGAACATCAGCGCAGCTCTTGTGATTTCCCAGTACTTTCCAGATCCACCATGTGCGACGATGCCGAAGTTTTAGCAAGGGGCTGTGGCCACTTGTATGACCTGGATATCAGGAGATGTCGAAATGCAATCCAGAACGGCACCACTTGCCCACCTCAGCAGCGAACCCGAGTCCATTATCCACAAGAAGACCATGATGGAAAGTGCAAGCATGCCAAGGGCAATCTCCTCCTGATTCTACCTGGTGTGTCCCTATATCAAGTCGTGGTTTCTGGAAGAAAGCTCACACGATCTTCCAGATTTGCGAGGCAGTGTTGGACCGCATTGACAATGGGCTGGGCTGGAGAGTGGGTAGTTCGGTCCCTTGATGATGGGAGGCGTGGGATGGGGGATGGGGAAGATGGATCTCATGCATTGATGCCTTAGGCAGCAAAGTTATACAGCATGTGGCTAGTGTGGTTCCCAACCATACTTCTCGACCTTCCGCACATATTACTCCATCGGTTTCCTATTCTTTGACACAACACAAGCTGATGTCCTTAATGTCCTCTGTATTTGGCTTAACTAAGAAAGAATCAAAAACGTGCAGCCAATCTCTCGCTTGCAAACGTTCTTCCATAACTTTCCACGCTGCTCGACGTCAAACACGTTCATCATCGTCCCAATCTCAAAACCCTAAGATCACGAGACATGGCAGACGAACTTCGTATTGCTATCCGATACAATACACTCGATGTCCCCGGTCTGCCAAGTAACCGAGCGCGACAGGTCGCTGACGACTTTGCCACTTCGAAGCTATCAAGGCCGTTTAGCAATTACCGTGATTTCATTCATTGCCCCTCGGATTTTGATAGCTCTGTTTCGCAATCTGTGTGGATTCTGTGCGACTTCAATGTTCATGATCGTCTTCCTGACCTTCAAGAAATTCCGACGCAGTTCTGGAAGGTTAATTACGGCAACAACCAACTAGCGTAGGTAATCCCTAACCCTTTTCATGAACCTGTCTATAACAAAGCTGGCAGGACTTTCAAGCCACACCAGACTAATGCGAAGCACTTTCTCAAAAGTTATCCGTGGGGAGGGAGGGACAATGAGTGGGAATACCGATCACAGCAAAAGGAACTTATTTCGGAACGAGACCTTAGGAGCATGGCGGAGGGCGAAATCATAGTTGGTCCCCCGCAGGAGACTCATTGAATTTCGAGCTGTAGCATTGTAATTTAGCCCAATTAAAGTCGGATAGAGATGGTCACGATTCTTGATTGTCTCATTCATAGTCCCTCAGCTTGTATATAAGCTAAGGAAGGATTCATTGAATGCCTCACGCAACCATACTCGCGCATTGTCTGACAACGCATCGCCTCACCTCGCTGGCAGGGCACCAAATGGAACACAACGGAGTGCGATGATTAGATCCCGTTGAAAATTCTATATCTCCTCATCATTCCCTCTTTCACATCCATCATCCCAAACTCACCTCTGATCCAATTTTGATCCCCTCGCATATCCAGAGCTTGTCCCTTTATCCCAAAAATCTCCTTACACTGACCCCGGGATGAGCGAAAGGGATCCTGAAAGTCTCAGCGACGGCGAGACCGGAGTTGAGAAGCATTGATCCAAGTCTCCCTTCCGTACAACCTGGTATTAAAAACCGCCGCCAGAGGGGCACGCACTTAAGTCTGGAGTAGTTCCTGGACAATCAGCGAACTTCCAATTGAACGCAATGAAAATTAGTTTACGTCTGCGAGGTTATCGCTTCTGGAAAGTGCTGCCTCTCCCACGGTAGGGCAAAACCTGGCTTCTACTTTAAGGTAGCTTGGGTGTCAAGCGAGGTTGTTTGTTTACACTATTTGAATCTTTGCGACGACCAAGAGGACGGAAGAAAGGTCTATCCCTGCAGGATTTTAAAACCATAAAAATAGTAAAATTGCGGCAGATGTAATAAACTGACCGAATTAGCTCGAAGACAGCAATTGATTTTGCTAATCCTGAGAGTAGGTAGCAGCGCACGTCCAGAACCCCATTTCTTGCCACCGAAACCAATCTCATTTGTCCCAACGACTTACTCTAGACCTCAAGAATATGAGGGTGTCAACTAATAAGCTCCAGGATTGAGAGAAATGCGACGTCAGGAATGTCCTTTTGTTCTCCAGCTTCTTGCTTATCCATCTTGGGGAAACAGATGATTTTGTTGTCCCTCGATCACATTTTAGAGTAAATAGAGCTGTTGATAGGTGCAATCATATCATTTTTTCCGGATTTACACCATGTAAACGAAGAAAGAAGTATGAACGTATGCTCTTATGTTTGTAGATATAACATTAACATGCCATCAACCACAGCACAGTCTCTCCGCTTCGATGTTGCGTAGCCTAAATACCAGTTCCAGTCCTCTTCCTTGCTGTCAATGACGCCGGAATTTTTTTTCGCTTGTATATCAAACAAAATGAATGTAACTCTCAGAGTGACTAGTGCAATCCTTACGACGAAGTAGCAGTGTTGACCTTACAATAATCGAGATTGTGAATGCTAGTGTCCGGGTTACCAGCCCAGGTAGGAAAAGGTCTCGCAGTTCCCGAACCACCAAACACAGCAAAAGTAAGAATGAACACCATGACCTGTGTCCCACCATCGAGAGCAGCGGAGACGATATAGTTGTACTTGATGAAAAACTCGGGGCGTTTTCTTCGAAGATACCACTGAGCGAAGAACCCCAAGAAGAAGAAGACACCGATAGCTGAGTTGATACCGACGAACAGGTAGCCCATCTGCCAGAGAATGATGGAGAAGTTGATGTAGCGGAAGAACGGGTGGGGGAAGTATCGGTTGAGAAGCCAGAATGGAACTGGAACGACGAAGCCGATTATGTAGGCTATGGTGACCCATTGATACTTGGCGCCGATGGAAAAGGTGTCCTTGGCAATTGACCAAGCGATAGCTAGGGTGTTGAACTGTTGAACGTTTTGACCGGACCAGATGTTGGACCCTGCAAGACCCTTGAGGATAGGTGCTTGGTTGTCAACGATCCTGGACGTGTTAATATTTTTGCTCGACAGTAACAGAGTGGAGCCTTACGTGATCATCATAACCCAGTTCATGATTGCGCCAACAACGCAGCCTATGACCTGGATAGTGAAGGTATGTCTCGGAGATAAATGAACGTATTGCGCTAGTTTCAGATCTCGTGCAAGTAATTGAGCTTGTTGCATGGAGTTGAAGGTGAAGCAAGTGAAATACATGTTGGCAAGAGGACGGCCAGGGAACATGTAACCCGCAAGTGTCTGACAGATGGGTTGGATATTGTATTGAAAACCTGTGATGCCATACTGAGCTCCGAAGAACAGCAAGAAGATAGTCATCATGATCGTGGACAGTAAGAAACCCCACCAAGGAAGTGTAGATTTGAGGGCGTAGAGTGATCCAAGAGCTACACACCAGCAGATGACAAGTATGGCGCCCCACCACCAAAGAGGAACTTCCTTGTACAGGTTCCTCATCATCAATCTGTAGTGAGGGTCAAGCTTCTCGTCATTCTGCAGTCGCTCATTCCGTGCCTCAGGAGACTCTTGATTGGCCCAAAACTTCCACGATTTCTTTCCCAAAAATCTCGCCTTAAGATTGGAAGGGGAAGCCCACTGCCATCCGTGCTTAATATCATCGAAGTTCCAGAGGAGCATGTGGACGAAAGTGGCGGTGAATCCCATATTAGAGGTAATGAGGTAACCCAAGTATGAGGCAGTGAGCCACGGGATCCCTTGGGCAGCAAGAAGTTCATTATCAACCTCGAACGTATCATTCAAGATATTGGTTTGGTTGTATGTGACGAAATTGGTGCCATTTGAGGAGCCATCCAAAAGCTGTTGTGCCAAGAAAGGGAAATCTTGAGCCCGATAACTGTTGCTATAGTAGAGGCCCATGAAAAAGATAATGCATCCAATGTAGCCGATGAACTCGTTGACTAGAGTGTACAGTGGCAACCACAATGGCGAGCCGAATGGAGCAATGTAGTTCCAATCGAACGAGACAGCACCTAAACCGAGGCCTTCATTTCCAGAAGCACCACCGAACACTGCAGATTGTTATTCAAGAGCTTCATAATGAAGGAAACGGCGAGGGCAATTCTCATGCAAAGACTAGATCATAGTCCGAGAAGCGAAAGTGCGGGTTGTACTTACAGTTTGTGAAGACCAAACTATTTTGGTGGGCAAGACAAAAGATTGAAACACCTTCGAGAACAGTGAAAATGTATTCAGGAAATATTTCCCAGACAAGAAAAGTGAAGAAGACAATGTAGAAGATCTTCAACCGTGCCTTTGCAACAGCCTTATCTTTATGCAAGGATTCGAGAAGGGAAGTAATGGGCAAATTCATCGGCCACAGCATGTGAGTTGGATACACAAGGATGTGTCGGAGCAAACCAGCGAGACCAAATCCAATCAACTGGGCAGTGATAACAACAAAGATGCCAGCAGCCTTGTTCGGGTAACCCCCATAGAAGAGCTCTTGAGCAGCCAGCGCCTCGGTAGCGAGAGCCGATTGGGACGCTGCAGAAGCCATCAGAGTGATTGAAGCGTGCTCTTTCATGTTGAATGGACCGGGGTTCAGGAAACGACCGATCGATCCCTTTCGTGGAATAATGAATGCCATGGCTTCGCCGAGAATATAGGCTAGAACAGTCAAGAAGACCACCGAGACGTAAATAGTCTGTGGCTTGAAGTAGAAGATTTCTTGGAGAACAGAACCAAAGCAGGATAACCCAAGACCTAGCCGAAGTTAGTCGGGCGACAAATGACCCAGAGAAGGCCACACTATGAACGTCAACATACCCAGGAAGAAAGTTCTGAAGGTCCATGGGTTCAAGGTTGGGTCATCCTCGACATCGATAACTCTTCGACACTTGTCAGCACAAAGATTCACACCAATTCCGTCAGGACCAGATACTCACCGTGTGACGAGACCCTCCGCATCTTCAACTATACCTTCTCTGAAGATACTTTCTCCTTCATACACTGGAAGGTTGGTCTTTTCACCGTTGGGAGGCTCATCAATGCCGGATGAATAAGCGACTTTCTCATCACTCTTCTCATGAAACTGCTCGCCTACATTGCTCGTCCCATGAATGCCATGGTGATCGACGTCCTTGGCCGGAACAGCCTCGGAAGAACTTCGCGCAAAAGTAGATCTCTGAGTCGCCATCGGAATAGAGTAGGTGCAACACTACACAGCAAGGAGAAGCGAGTGAAGTACCAAGCCAGCAAAAGGCTTGGCTTCGGCATTATATATGTATGAAAACACAGAGAGTTTCTTTCGAACCGCCACCACTTTCCCCGAGGCCAATCATGGTGTCGTCGACGCGTGGATAATATGGCTACGATAAGAACAATGGTGGGCACCCTTGCCTGTACGAACCAATATATTGTTGGCGGGTGCCAGCCGTTGCCAAGCACCTGCCCGTTCCCGCTTAGCCACGAAGCTTGTCTCGGTCCCAGCTCGCTGCGATCGACGCCTGCTAAAAAGCTTGTCGTATTCCCCCACACCATGGTGGAGAGTGGCAGCGCGAGCCAGACCAAAGGAGGCAGGTCGTCTGCTCGGAACTGCTGAAAGAAGACACGAATAACTTTCAGTCGTCGTGAGTCGTGATTATGATAGCAGCTCCTGTTCTTATCTCGGATTTGAGGCACATTACAGTCTCTGTCGGGTTCCCATCCCGATCCTCCATTCGTCGGGCTCGGAACTTCGGCTGTTCCTGGTTACCAACTGCTTGGTCTTCTTTCCAGGGTATTGGTTGTACATAATTCCTTCATAATGTTAATCATCAATAAGAATTATCTCCGCAATCCAGATAAAAGGTGGCGTTGAAGTTTCTCCATCTTTAGCCCTGAGTCTTGAGTAGCTTGAACATCGATTCCGTATCCTCTTGCGTAGTTCTCGAGGCCATCCAGCTTTACTGTCAGTTCTCTTACTTGTCTCACTCTCCAGTTTCTCTACCTCCCCTCTTCCCCATCCTTCCCTACCATATCAAGCTTGCTCGTTCTCCTGTCGACTCCTGGATTATTTCACACACCAACACTTTCCCATTTTCCATGTGGATATCATACCCTTTCATCATTTCCCACGCCCGGAGTGTCTTTCGCTTTGATTCTGCTCCCTACTCCAGCAACTCTGGGATGTTCTCGAGGGGGAGTATCGTACCGGCATCCGCGGTTCAAAGCAGAGGTGCCTCCTTCTCCAAGTTCCATGGTGGCACCGTTGTCCAACAGAAACCGAAGCCCGTTGGGAGTTCTGATGACCGAAATTTGTTCGACAACTAGGCGAAACAATCAACATCTTTCCTAAATCGCTACTCTGGCTGCAAGCGATGCTGAAGAATGGAGCTCCGTGGACGTTTGCTCAGGCAAGACCTTTGCTTGGACTTTCAGCGTAGTTTCACTGGTGATATTGGCGCCATTGTTCAGCAGAAATGTGATGAAGGAGGTCCTATCGTGTTGACTGCCTCTTGTAAATCTTTCCAACCATCTAAGCTACAAATATTGACATCAGTCCCGTGCTGAAGGAGAATGGCTGACATATCCCTTTTATCCTCTTCTGGATTCTTGTTGGCAGCAAAGTGGAGAGCTAGCCAGTTCTCCGGTGTTTCGTGGGTGATGAGAACAGCATCAGAAGAGAGAATGACCCTAGCTGCTTCAATACTCCCATAGCTTTGAGTTGCAATGATGTTTTTCCTCTAGAATTTGTCGCACACCAATACTTGTCATCTATGATGGCCTTGAAAGAATTGTTGATGCGGTAATACAGATAGGGAAGCGAAGCAGTTTAGTGAACCTCGCGAGAGTTGATGAGGCAACTCATCCAAGCTGTAGATTGGCTAGTCTTTATCTGGATACTAGACTTGGTAAGGAGAAATGATGGTAAACCAGCTAAACGGATCAATCCCTCACGAACATAAGTTGTCAAGAAGCCAGAGAATGCATAGGAAGCCAGAGAATGCAGAGGGCGAGGAAATATACAAGCGAATACGAGTACGAGTACGATGACTGGAGGCGGAAGTTCACCGCTAACCGCACGCGACTCTCCGCGTCACATTTTGAACCCCTCCATCCTCAATAGTGCGCTCTCCCAGCTGCCCCTTGACACGGTACAATGGACATCTCCGACATCCTCGAAGGCTTAAACGCTCGACATCTTGAACGCGACCCCTTCACAGAGAATGGCGACGATTTTGGAACAGGCGGTAGAACTTCCGGCCAAGCATATCTCGAAGCCCTGACCAGAGCTTGGGTCAATGAGCGTGGAGCAACTGAACTTCTACCGTAGGCTATACCGCCCCAATCAGTCCTATCTAACATATTCAGTTGGCCAGAAGATGGCCTTATTGAACGCGCAACCAACCGTATCAAGCAGCAAATCGAGCTCGTCGAACAAATGACTGGCGACATGGACCCCAAAACAAACTTCAGCCTCATCATAATCCAAACCGAAGTCGAACGATGGAAATTCCTCATACGATCCTATCTACGCGCTCGAATTGCTAAGATCGACAAACACACCCTCCACTACCTCTCCCCGGAACATTCTGGCAGACTCAGCGAGACGGAAATTGCATACGCGACGAGACATCAGCAGCTGCTGCATTCGCATTACTTGAGCAGCTTCTTAGGCAGTTTCCCACAGAATCTACAAAATCTCAATGATACGGCGGGAGGAATAAATATGATTGGGGGTCCGGATGAGGAGGAAGGTGTTTTTGTTAGAGGTTTGGGGGCGAGGGATGGCAGTGGGGAGTCTGCGATCACTGTTCATGGGAGGGGGCGCGATGGCGATGGCGAAGTTGATGTGGAGAGGGGCGAGGTTGTGATTGCACGGTGGTCCGATGTCAGGGACTTGGTTGAAAAGGGCGAGATGGAATTGGTTTGAAGGGAGGACGGGCACATCGCAAATCTCGAATCCTGTTTCATCTTTCGAGACTCGGAATACGCATGGATCCGTGGCAGGCTACAGCAGATGATCATGGACGATGGTGATATTGAACGTCATAGGAAGGGGGCTATCTGACGTCGTGCTGTCTAACGGTTTTATTACGTCGCTGCAAATCCTATGGGCAAGTTCTATGGGAAGACACTGAGCTACCTCGCAGAACGCGCCGCAGACGGACTCTGTAGCCGAGTTGGACCTTCAGTCTTGCAATACGTGCAGCCCATGATCGATCCTCATTCGGCATATTGGATTGCCCGACAGGAATTGGACTTACTGGTACCAAATTCAGAACCTCCACCTGTAAATGCGGAAGCTGAGGTGTCACCAGACTCCTGAATCCATGTTTATCAACATTACGAATCAGATCTGCGCAGACGATTCGGTCAGTAAAGGACCACAAATATGAGCAGCATTATGGGGTTGGACGACGGCACTACTGCTTGTAAAATATTTTGCATATCTCCGCTGGCTCGAAACTCACCAAGTCATCGTCTGCCGCGGCAGTACTTCGACGAGGTTGAGTATCGAAATTGTACGAAGCATCCCATTGACTCATCGGGATTGACGTTAGTAGAGGACGTGTTATGTGGGTACCATCTGTGTCCACACAGCGTTACCCTCCAATGAATTGAGAGGTTGAAAGCGAAGCAGAAGACTTTACTCCTGCGCAAGAGCCTCATGATATCATAGGATCGCAAGTAATACCATTGTATTTCCTTCTCGAGTAATCCAAAAGACAATGACATTTACTTATCAGTTGCATCTGTTTCCATGGGGAGATACTGCGGGGAGTTAAAGTTAGGGACCTGCGCCAGTACTTCAGGCTATCCCTAACAGGAAATGCTTACTGCCTAGATGCATTATCGCCTTGGGATTCGGGACCAACCAGAATTAGGGTTCTCATCCCCTGATAATGCTTACAGGACTGGTTGTTGAACCCCAGGCTAGTCCAGTAATCAGGGTGCAGCACGCTAGTCCGTCAGCAACCACTGAATAGTTTCGCTGCTTTACGTTATGGGCTTCTCCGGATGAGGGTAACAACCAAAATTTTATCTTGCACACCCTTGCCAGTCGTATACCGCCATGAGGCGTTTGCTCCGCGCCAGAATAAGAGTCTGAGGGTCCCCTCATTATTTGCGACCTGTAGTTCAAATACATCTCGGCCTCGTCACTTCGGAGGCCTCCACACTCCAAAAGAACAGCCGACTCACAAGCGACATGACGCCTTCGATTGCTCCAGATGAGAGGGTTGGTTCATCTCTCGCTCCGACAGAGACCAATAAATCGAAAACAGATGGATCCAAAGCCAGCAAGATGATTGAGACATTCACCACGTCGAGGCCGCCCGTAGGAATGTTTCACGCGTTTGGTTCGGTTGGATCAGGTATCCCATCACTCAATGACATCCAGAAAGGAAACTTCGAATCCGATGGATGGTCTGGGCCAGGTCAGAGGAGGAATAGCAATGCCCACCGTGATTCAGATCATCATGTCCTGCGATTCCATCGCCATAAAACAATAAAAAATTTGCCACCAATTACGGAACCGGAAAAGAAGACCACGACTCTCGAAGAGAAGAAAAATACAGACACGATTGGTGTCGAGAGCCTGTTGACTCCGACAAATGGAGAGGCTCCAGTTTTCACTCCTCATGATCCTTCTGTGCCATACGAGAATGGCTATCAATTTCCTCCCAAGCACACCAAGATGCAAGCCATCAGAATCGCTGCCATTGGTTTCTGGAAATTCGTCACAACTCCATTCGGGTTTCTCCTCACCATCTACGCCCTCAACATCGTCGCATGGGGTGGAATGCTCTTCTTGATCCTCATCCGAGCTACGCCAGCCATGTCACACCCAAGTTGGAACTCCTGGGGCAGTGGTGCGAAGAAGTGGCTCGAGATCGATTCCCAGATCCTCAACGCACTCTTCAACGTCACTGGCCTTGGACTCATTCCTTGGAGATTCAGAGATTTCTACTACTTGCTTCAATGGCGATACCGCAAGAATAACGATGCGTTGAGGAAGCTAGCTGGTATTCATCGTGGCTGGTTCAGACTTCAAGGTTCTCAAGACCTCCCTATTCACTGGGATCCCAAAACCAACGAGCTACCAGAAGGTATATCAGAGTCTGCTCTCTGCTTACCCATCAGTCTCTCTCCAGATCCACCTCTCACTGGCGAACGTGCACCACCAACAGCCAAATATTGGAAACTCGACTTCGTGATCTGGGCTTTTGTTTGGAACACCTTACTGCAGATCGTTCTAAATGGCCTTATGTGGGGTCTCAATAAGTACGATCGTCCATCTTGGAGTGTGGGGCTGTTCATCTCCCTTGCCTGTATCGTTGCCAGTGCTGGTGGATGGGTTATTTTCAAAGAAGGCAAGAAAGTCAAGCGTGTAGAAGGTGTGCCTGTCAGTGAAGAAGATCAGAAGATCTTGGCGGAGATGAGGGAGAAGGACAGAGGGACTGGCTCTGTATGACGGTCTCGAGGCATTATGATCATAGGCGCACGGCGTTCTGGAGACGAACTCGCTCCGAGAAGATTTTAGATCAGTACATGGCGCTCTGGAACTCAACAATTTGCATACTTCGGGCAATTTTCTAGGGAGAATAGATGAAGCATGGGCACTGTATTAACTGTTATGTTCCTTAATTCTTGTTCAGGAATGTATCTATCACAGGCATTAATTCTCTACGATTACTCCTCCCTAAACCCTGATATTTCTGTCCAGCAATAAACAGTCACGACGAGTCTTCGTACCACTCAGTTTATTCACTTTCTGTGTCACAATCACATCTAAATTCATCTCCCAATCTTCCACTCCAAACCCCCAGCACCCCAAAACCCAATACCCACACCCATCTGCACGTCTTACTTAACGCCCCTCGCTTCCTAACGTGGTGCATGCATAAACTCCACCCAATCAACACTCACACCCAATCTATGGTCGAGTCCCCGGAATAGGCAATCATTTAGCGTGTTTCCTGTCAAAGCTTAATAAGACCTTTAAACTGAGGCTGGCCAATGAGATAGGTGCTTGCCTGCTTCCCTTAGAGTGGTTCGGGATTGGAATGGGTGCTAGGAGGATTGTTTCCGCTTGGTGACTTTCCCTTTTTCCATCTCTCAATGCTTCTCAGTAAGACTTTGCTTGATCAATTGTCGTGGTGCTCAGCACCTTGTTTTTTTGTCAACGTGCTGGGGATCTTGTTATCACGGACTTTATTTTCGGCAAGCTTGCAGCAAGCTTCAGTGCGCTCCCGATGGCTCGTGATTGGCTCCGACCGGTTGCTCACTTCAGTCAGCAGCAGACAGCGTGGCGTATACTCTGTGATTAGTTAGTAATGGAGGCGTTAATAAGATCAAGATGCATTGGCATGGCAGGCTGTTCAGAATGACAGCAGCCGCAAATACTTTTTGGACATCCGTCCGAATGGGCTTACGAAGGGTCTTGATCTGCCAAATTGCTTCTTGTACTGGTTATCTATTGGCAAGTAAGATCGTCAAAAAAGGCTTGGAGAATCGTACGGGCAATTATGAGATGAGTGTCCCCCTCATTTGTCCTGCGCTTCCTCGGGTCTTGCTTGAAATACTGAATCGCCACGGTAATTCAGTGGAATTATGGGGATTTCTCACATGTTGCCGCCATCAGCGGCCCCGGCATTGGGCTTCTTCTATTTTTCTGTCACAAAGCCGGAGTAAATTATGTGATGTTGGAGTTGGACAGTAAGGTGCCTACGTCAGCTGACGACTTTTCGTGCTTTCGGGTCTGCAACCCAGCAACCTTACTGTACCGCTTGCAGACACAGTGCCGCAGATGTGGAATAATACATTTAGATAGGCTGAGTGTATTTATTTGCTATCTTGCCCTCATGTCTGCTTCGTATTAATCATCATATCGACTGCAAATGTCAACCTCGTCAATCAGTTCTCCATCAACAAAAGTCGTCACCGCCTGGCAAACTCTTGTGCTATTCTCACTCTCGAGTCCTGGCATCTATTGTATTCTCACTACATCTCCGTTAACAGCTACTCGGATGTCGTGGCATGAAATTCTCTCGAGATTTCTGCACCGCGAAATCGAAACGACATCTCCCGTGCCCTCAAAACACGACGTCGAGATCCCACTCGCAGACCTTCTTCCCGCATGATCGATCACTTTACCTCTTTCGCCATCCGTTATAAAACCCAACGTCTGCAGACCACTTCGTCGATACGAGGTGAATATCGCAAGCAAAACCATGATGTTTCCAGTACCGAATATTGCCGCATTACTCACATGGATCCTCCTGGCTGTATCAGTATTGATTATCTTTTACAGTACCAAAGCTGGGCTGGAAGCAAAGATTCTAGTCTCTTTGCAGAGGCACGATAGCATATTCAATGCTTCCATGATGGAAATTAGTTTTGCGGATGGAGTTGCATTGGGGGAGGTAGGAAGGAGTATGAATTAGCGAAGTCAAGATGTGCAGTTGAGATATGGGAAGAAAGACACTGCCAAGATTCCGCGGCAGAAGAGGAAAAAAACATAAAATGGAGGTTATTGTGGTAGATTTAGGATGAGAAATTACATTTTTCCTGGCCTTCGGTTGCCGAGGACGTTCGAAGTGAGGCTTTAAGAGACTGGCAGATTGCTCCAACACATTGATAAAATGCTCATGGGTTGAATTTGAAACTTTGACATTCGTATCATTGTTGGAGTTCTCTCGAAACCATTTGTTGAATCCTTTTCGAGCGATAACGGCGCGGCGCAGGACGGCCTGAACAGACACTGGCACCTTCACCATAGGCTTCTGGTACGCAACAACAGTTTCAACTATCGGAACGATTTCTTGAATTGACAAGATGTACGTGGGTGGGATCTCAGATTCCGTTTCGGTGGTAATTTTGAGCAGCTTCGCTTCTTTCCGAGCCTTGCCCTAAAGTCTGCCATTGGTAGTCGGTTGCGGAACAGATCTCTGACTGACTTGTGAATATCCCCCACCTCGTACCTGTGAGGACAGCCAGGTCACGATTGTGTTTGTATCCTTCTTGTATTGCAGATAACAGCCGCTGAACGGGTTCGATGACATGACGGAGGTCATGTGAGGTCGCCGAACGAGAGAGCCGGAGGAGTGGATGTGTAGAGTAGATCTGTAACTATTGTAAAAGCTACTGCCAGGGATGCTGGTGTGAGTTGTACAAAGAAGAGTACTCGTGTACCGATGCTGATGGTATTGTGCAAGAATATTAGTGATGCTTCTCGAGATTTGAGGTCGCTATCTGTTGTTTTGTCATTGCATGACCTTTTTTGTAAGTGCCATAAGCGAAAGAGCCACTCCAAGACTACCTCAGCGATGTCGCATAAGATGGTCTTGAATGGGTCACATGATGATTGTTTATACATGCTGACTGTATTGATGCGTGAATTTGTTATTAATATCATCAAAATTCTTGTTGCGTATTTAGTGACTCAATGTGGAAGTAAACAAAAGGCACTGCATTTAAGCGAGGGTACAAAATCCGCCTAACGTATATACCTAACTAACGCTCGGTCCCCTCTTCACCCTACTGAGATTTAAGCCAAATTCAGCATACAAGTCATCATCAGCTACCAAGCTATCCCACGTGCTTCGTGTCTCTCACGATCGGAATTCAATCTATCTCCCCCGCCATTGACTTTACCGCAGATCCTGATCGCTGGTTTATCCATTTTAGGTGCAGCTTTGAATGATGTCAACTACAAGCACCTACTTAACAGAAATTTAATCATCCAGCTCTGTTTTGCTTGTAAGAAATATGAAGAACACGGGAAGGACCCTGTGAGCGAGAGAAGTCAAATTGGAAGGAGAATGCTAGGTGCGTGGATGTCGCATGTCGTTGCTTGCATCTGTTTCTGTGGCTTTTTGAGTCAACACGCCACACCAGTGGATAATTCTAGACATGACAGTGACTTTCTTATCTAGTCCATTAGACTCTCGTCTGAGGTAGATCTCCCTGTCAAACTATAGTCAAGTGTCCACCAAAAATCCAAGTAGTAAAATGAATGAGAGAAATCAAATATATAACAATGAATTGTATTAAAGCTATAGACAGCTTCTAAAAGACATAAAACTCTGATAACAAAGCAGATTACACCCACGAAAAGCACGTTGTGGCCTTGCTTGTTGACATTCAGCCACCCTAAACATTGTTGCCTCAAAATGCCAAGGCTCACAGTAACCGAGATCATTTCGAAAGCTTCCCGACGCGTCTACTTCATACAACACAACACCATTTGAGTGTTGCTATCGCCACCGCAGATCTCATTGTAGTGTAAGATGTTCGACCAGCTCAAAGCAACAGTTCGGTCGCGTCGCCATACAATGAAGCAGCCCCGTCGTCCCGAATCAGCCATGCCAAGGATGAGAAACGATGAGGAGGCCATGAGTAAACAAGAGAAGCTGGACGCGACAATGAGCGTATTTGCGAAGATACGTCGTACTGAGTCCTTGAAAGACGTCCTACACCCACCTATCACTCGAACCAAGCCACTGACTTTCACCAACTTGTTTGCTACTTCGAAGGAAGACACAATGATGCCGCCTGTTTCCGAAGGTTAGTACCCTCCTATCTCCCCTTCGAAGATTTGCTCTGACTCAAAGGAATAGAAACAACAGCTACTGGTAGCGTACCACCTTCCACTGCTTCAACATCTATCACCAATGCAAGCACCGCTGTTGAGATACCTGCGAATCCCCTCTCTGGCCTCGGTGGACCTTCAACAGTCAAGCGCAAGCCATGTCCCGTCACCACCTCCGGCGCTCTGAGTGCATTCAACAACGGCGAGCCGCCCAAGTTCGACCCTCACACCCCTCGCTTCAACCCTGGTATGCACCGTCTGGCCAAGTCTGTCCTGAAGCACCGCTATACCACAAAATTCACACTTGATTTCGAGCCTCCGAAGGGTGTCAGCCGTCATGAGTATGATTTTATCTGGGTTACGCCTGAGGAGTTGGAGAGGAAAGTCATGGAGGACATTGTTTGGGTTCGAGAGAGATATGCACAGGCTGGTAGGGATGAGCCAGACTGCAATGATATCATCTTCTGGTACACTGAGGAGGATATCTATTGAATAAGAGTCTTTCTTGTTCTGCGCGGACTGGGACTGGCGGACTTGATACAAATATGGGAAGCGGCTTGTGTGTTTGGTTCATAATGGTGTTTGTTTTCCCAATTTGACTTCCAGCTCAAATAAGGGTTTTGATTTGTATGAGTTTGGAGAATTGTAACGACTTTAGAAATGATTGATGACTTGACGAATGACAGAGGAATATGGGCACCATGAAGGGGGGCATAATGACTTGTTTGAGTATCAGATTCTCAGGTGGAGGATTGTTTTCATTCGGTCACCAGGACCGAGAATATATTGAGGCAGGCTTGCGTTTGTCCAACCAGCTTACCGTCCAGGCTCACAAAGTTTTATGTCTCGGCATATGGCATATGACGGGTAACTAACACCCTCTTGTTAAGCTTTTGGTCTTGCCGTGAAAGACATGACTGAGACTAAGAAAAACCCGCCGCCAAATTCCAAGACTAGATGATCTTGTTTGCCAGGTTTGAAGGGTACCTGCATGCTGTCCGTTTGAATGCCAAGGGGGGTACCCACCCCTACGTCGCCCTTCCATCACATTAAACGCCTAACTTCCGATCTCTCTTGACAGTTTCTCCTGCTTGTTACCTGCAAATCTCTGGTATGGCTCCAAGGAAACTCAAAATTCTTGTTAAGTAACAATTCCCAATACCAACCACCAAAAAAGTTACTCCGACACCGCTGCAACCAGGTCTACGAGCTAATCGAAAGAGCTGCCCATCATGGCACCCGACTTCAGTCGACCAGTCCGACTCAACAGAAACACTGTTGTGACGGAATTTGACCGATACTTCGGCAGCGAGGTCAAGCTCGAGAATTGGCAGCGTTTGTGCCATGATGTGGGAATCACGGATGTACCACAAAGCTTGAAGAAGTGCAAACTGGTAAGAGCTGTGCTTGCTTCCTTGGAAAAGTATAGGAGCAGGGGATACTGACCGGAAGCGCAGGCACTTCGCAGAGTTTGGGTCAACATTCACGATCTCATTATCGCGGTCCGCCAGAACAAAATTCCCCACCGCTTCCAAAGTCAACACGAATTGAGTGCCTACACGCTCAGAACTCGCAAGTTCTTCCCGAAAGAGAAGGCAAAGGAAGGGGGTCCTGTTAGACAACTGCTGGCTCACATTTTCTGAGGGGAAGAGGACTGGTGGAGATACAAACTTGTGTGGGCTGGTGCGGGGTTTATTCGCCTGGTTGGGCTGTTACTTCACTGTGGCAATTGGGTAGTCGAGCGGAATCGAAATATATGCATTGGAACGTTGGAAACTGCTAATCTTGTGTTATCGATCATAGTCCTTCTTCGACCTTGTGATCTTCCTCAGAGCTTGCGTGAAGCAATTGGCTTGGCACGTGATATCAGCAATATTCAATGACTATCAGTACTCAAAGTGAAAATTACCATACCTTTGGCGCTTCAACCCAATCATGATATCCTGCAATGTTGTTCAGCCACGAGTCTCCAGCATGAGTACCGATCATCGTCAAAGGAAACCCAAGATCGAATGGTGCTGCCCCTTCAATCTCATCCATCTCCTCCTTCGTCAATTCCAGACTCAGGGCCTCGATGTTGGCCTTCAGCTGCTCAGGTGTTCTCCCGCCAACGATTGGGAAGACGTAGGGGCTTTTGTGTCTGACATATGCGAGTGCAATGCTTGTCATAATGGTTCCCTTCTTTTCAGCCAGATGTTCGAGGACGGCACAGACTTTGAGAATGTTTTCGGACGGCTCTTCCAGTTTTCGCCCTTCCTTTGCTCGTCGCTGCTCGGCAGTTTTGAATTGGCCGCCACCGAGAGAACCCCAGGCTGCGATAGACATGCCTTCGCTGTTGCATGTGTCAGTGTCGTGCGATATCAAGTTATACAACAAGGGTGGTGGGTGAGGAGCAAAATATCCCAAGTCATCAAAGACTTACTGCATGGCCATCGGGATGATATCTCTTTCAAAGTCCCGTTGTGCTGCTGACCAATTGCCCTGATAGACAGAGAACTGTTGAAGCCCGTGGTCACGCGCATATTGATTGGCCTTAGCCACGACCCAAGCTGGTGTGTCGGATGCACCGATGTACAGTACCTTTCCAGCTCTGATCACGTTGTTGAGGGATTGCATGAGCTCTGGGATCGACGTGGTAAAGTCCCACCAATGGATGTACAGCTATTCAGGGTAAGCAGGTGCCACAAACAATTGTCGTACAAGACCTACCAAATCAATGTATGATGTCTGCAAGTTCTTTAAACTTCTTTCCAACGAGAGGTGAAGACTTTTGGCTCCGTTACCACTGGTATTGACAACGATCTCCTTATCACCGAAGCCCACACGCCCACAGGTTGTGTATTTTGTGGCGATCACCATCTCGTCTCGGACACCACGCTTTGCCATCCACTCACCGATTGCTCTTTCAGACTCCCCTTTCTGGTAGTTGTTGGCTCTAGACATTGTTAACAGTGGTCTATCAAGAAATAGTAGGGCACCTGCGTATCAATGAAGTTCCCTTCATTCTCGTAGAAGGTATCAAGCATAGCATTAGAGTCACAGATCCCAACAATATCGGCCCTCGGAATTCTTCAGTTCCACTTATTCCCAATGTGAAGAAAGGCTGCTCACCAAGACTCGCCCAAGTTCACTCCTCCGAGGCATAATGGACTGACTCTGACCGAAGCTGTTGGAGAAAGAAGCCGGTAGTACCCTAAAGCTGTCTTGGGAGGCGGAGGCCGTGCAAATGCTGACATTTTTGCTGACATTTTGATGATCTGTTCTTGAGAGGAAAGCGTTGAGTCGAGTTTGATTGTTGGCTTTTTCGTAGAGTGAAAGGATTGGGGAGCGGAGCGGCGTACTTATACCTTGTACTTTCATATGGGACACATTTGGGGTATACTCAAAAAGTAGATTGAGGGTGGAGTAAACATTCGAAGCGAATCTCGGCCGAAAATTGAAAACCCGTCGTATTAGTTAGGCTTTAAATCAAGAGGGGGCTCAAAAGAGCTCAGAGATGCAACCATCGAGGGACTTCCAGGTTCTCAAGCTCAGGCGTAGAGCCACAAGATACTCGTAAGTGGGTACAATACTTGTACTTGAAGCACAGTGGCAGGATCCCCAGGATCTCCAGGGTCGGACTTACTGTACAAGGTTGAAAAATTATCGGCGACAGCAAAGCAACAGCCAAGAATGAATGAACGGCATATGAAAAAAAAAAAGCCAATCATGAGACATAAAATCTGCCGCAGTCAGGACTTAAGGTTTTATATCCTATCCCCGGTGTGATAGCTCTGCACCAGAAGCGATGTGGGGTAGACATACCCCATTCCGCGTGGACCTCGGACTTTCTGTCCGCAGGGCCACATACTGGAACCCAATGGTCATAACAACATATTGCCATGAAACAAACTATAGCCAGATCAAAAACTGCGCAATGCGTGGATCAACGGCTCAAGTAGACTAGCTGGATCAATTGTGATAACATGCCATAAACTCAATGCCGGTGTCATATTGCCAAAGCTTATTGGAGGGGCTTCTGGCGCTGTGCATATACGGGATGATTGAGAGACCAATTGGTTAACATTGAAGAGGAAACTGGCAGATAAAATAATTCTTCTTTCCAACGAGCATTATGAGACGGTGATAGAAATAGCTCGACCCTCCGACACATGAACCGCAAGACGGAAACGAATATGTAGAGAATGTCAGAAGGAGAGATGCGGATATAAAGAATCATTCAGTCTGCTGCGACGTACATACACCCACTCTTACGATTACTTGGGCTTGCATATGATACCATGAGCTTTGTGGTAGAATATCCTCGAGCTGGAACTTGAAAGCAGCTTGGAGTGTTGTCTTTGGCTCTTGGTCATGCAAACGCGTAAGTCTGCCATTCATATCATAATTTCAATGATACAGATATATTCCTTCTTAAGAGACTTGCCGTGGCAGCCTTCCCAAGCTGAAGTTTGAAGTGTGAAGAGGGGAGGGATTTCTTGGGGAAATCACAAATGGATGCATGAGGATATACGAGTATCGTGAATCGGTCGGAACTGCGTGCTCGCATGTAGCTGGTTCTGCGCTCAAGGATGTAGTAGCGTTTTCTCTACGCACTCACTCCTTATGGCTTGTAATTGTTGTACTGCGCATCTCTGAAAGGAGACGGTACCGTACCTTACAGGAGAGAGCAGGTTCCGACCCACAGGTGCACTTTCCTGAAATAACGACCTCTCAACTGCCAAGAATTTCTTATCACTATCAGTTAACTGTCAATTGACAGTTACTAGAATTTTGTAACAGTGATATGATTGTTATTCTAGGAAAGTGCCCCTCTCACGGTGGGTCGGAACCTGCTTTTTCCTTTAAGGTAAGTTTGGCGTCAGGACTTGAAAATTGGTATATATCACGTGATCGTTGAGCAAGGCTCGACGAGGCTGGGCGCTAAGGAATCCTTGTCGAAAATATTTGGCGAACTTTCGAAAAAGTTGCTTCAAGTTCCCAATCATCAACAGCATCCACTCTCCACAAAATGCCTCGACAGCGGTCAAAGAAGCTGAGTGCCAGTCGCGTGGTAGAACCAAAGTCTACTGCGGCAGAAGATCAGGTTTCGGACGAGTCCGAAAGCGAAAATTCGAACGACGAAAGTGACAATGAGAGCTTAATATCCGTGGAGAAAGATGAAGAGGAGGAGGAATTGGACAGACTAGTATTTGGCGATGGCGCAGGATTCAAAGCAATGCTTGGGCAGGGCATGGATGTAGACTCGGGACATAAAGGGGGACACAGCGGAGTGGAGGAAGAAGGTTCAGAGGCGGGGTTGGAGCACGTTGATGATGCTGATGTATGCTCCTACATACGATTGAAAGTCATTCCATGCTAATGAGGTTGAAGCTTTTCTTTTTGGACTCTGGACCATCCGGTGATTCGAATGCTATGGTCTTGCATCAAGCTTTGAAGGAGCAAGCCAGCGATGCGCCGGCTTGGGAGGACAGTGACGATGATCGGTTGACAGTATCTCTTGCTGGAAACTCTAGGCTTCGGAAACTTCGAATAAATGAGGACGAGGACTTAATAAGCGGTGGAGAATACTCGAAGAGGTTACGAATGCATTTTGAACGTCTAAACAACGTACCAGAATGGGCGCAAACTTCACAAAGACCAGCGAAACGTCGACGCAGATCATCAGCAGGATCTGATTCCTCAATATCTTCGAATGGCATGGACATAGACGAGGAAGACCTTTCCACTCTCCCACTGGCACGTCTTCTACAAAACGCTGGCTCTTTAACGAGAACTCCAGTAAGCTCCGCGAAACGTACGAAGCTGCGGCCCGAGGTTCTTGATATCCAACAAACACGATCATTACCCAATGTTCAGTCGTCCGCTATATCTTCCCTCTCTTTTCACCCCGAATATCCCATTCTCCTGTCATCTGGAGCAGAATCAACACTATACATTCACCACATCGATCCAACGGCACATCCGACTCCCAACCCATTACTCACAGCTATCAAAGTCGGTCATACCCCTCTTTACACGTCTGCGTTCCTGCATCCTGCAGGAGAGAAAATATTCTTCTCAGGACGTCGTCGTTATTTTCACGTTTGGGATCTCCCTTCAGGAACAATTGAAGCTGTCACACAAGTGTATGGACAGAAAGATGAACAGAGAACTATGGAGAGATTCAAGCTCAGTCCTTGCGGACGCTATATGGCACTTGTGGGGTCTTCCAAAAAGGGAGGTGGAATTATAAACATCTTGGACGCGGGCACTACCCAATGGGTGGCTTCAGTACGGATAGAGGGAGCCAATGGAGTTGCTGATTTTGCATGGTGGAGTGATGGAGAAGGATTAACTGCCATTGGCAAGGGAGGCGAGGTAGCCGAATGGAGCGTGGCATCACGCTCATATGTAGCACGCTGGATCGATGACGGCCATGCCCCTACAGTCCTAACTATGGGTGGCTCCAATGGGCCAAAGTCCCTGGGTGGAGATCGCTGGGTAGTGATCGGATCACAGAGTGGTATTGTGAACATATACGATCGAAGAACATTTCTCTCGGACAAGAACGAAATCGCGGTACCAGAGAGACCGCAGCCGAAGAAGTCCTTCGATCAATTCACGACACCCACGAGCCATCTGGAGATCAGCCCTGATGGCCAACTATTGGCATTTAGTAGCAACGGCAAGAAGGATGCGCTGCGCTTGGTACATCTACCTAGCTGTACGGTATACAGGAATTGGCCGACGGACAAGACACCTTTAGGACGAGTCACGGCTGTGGCGTTTGGAAGGCAGAGTGATATGATAGCTGTGGGGAACAAGTCAGGAAAGGTACGGATGTGGGAGATTAGGCATTGATTACGAATAACGATGTTGTCTTCCAATTTTCCAGCTCTGCTGCTACGTTTCCATCTGCATGTCGCAATTGGTTTTGGCAAGTATCCCGCGTATATTTGACATCTATAGTCTTGACCTAGCAGAACCGGAATTTCCGACGACGAACCATCTTTCTCTTCATTCTGTCCGCCATCTTGACATCTCACCAAATTGTTCCGCAAGAATTCAAATTCTGGGGTTTTTCAAATGTGACTTTCGGCGGTGCTCAATATCAATCGATATATATGAACTAAGGGTACAGCCCTTGATCCAGTTACTTGCTAATATCAGAAAACAATGCCCATCTCTGATCCTTGCTCACCAGTTGACACCCAGCGTTCGGTCAACACCGAGGTTTCAACTGGAAACCAATCAAGATCCTAGGATCCAGAAGCAATGGTATCTTCGCACATTGTGAGAATACCACGGTGACGCCAGAAATGCGCCCCCAGTACCCAACGAGCCATCAAGCAGCACCTCAATACCCATCTTTCACACCTCCTCGCAGAGCCCATCATCCCGGCCCTTGGGGTCCAAATGTTATTTCTCAAAATTCTTACTTTCAAGCCGGAACTATTCTACTACAGAACTCTTCCCCAATCTTGTTTCGGCAATCGCGAGGAGACAGAAGCGCGTGACAATAGGGCTCAGGTGAGTGCAATTAGTCGCGAAGAGCAAAGTTCTAATTTCGAGTACAAGCAAAATGATTGGATGTCGTTCACCGCGCGATAACACTCTCTTGCCTGGAATCTTGACCGAGGAACTCTGGCAGGGCGATCGTGAACCAATCAACCTCTTTTTGAATCAGTGACTGAGTGTGCCAGCCATGCATACCATTGCATGCATGGAACTCATGCGACGTGTCAGCGACGCGACATGGCTCACTGTTGCACAAGGCTCTTACCTGCCTGCATTTACTCACCTTATCCTCATCGCTCCTCCTCCCAACTTCCCCAATATTCATATATACAGAATGGCAGCCAGCATAAAATCCTCGACGAGAGCTCCTCCTGTCAGGAAAGAGATGGCTCGACTTTCGGGCAAGATGGAATGGCTTGATGATCGGTGGTGGCGAGAGTTCCTGGTAAGTTAAGGAGCAGTAGCCTCCCTCACACATACCATTTTTGTTTCTTTCGGCCAGTGTCGTGCCTAATTACTGTTAATGGAGACTGCGCGTCGAAAGTTCTTATCAGAGAAAGCAATACCTGCAAAACCGTCTGTAGCACAAAGAATTGAGGTGGAAGCAAATCTGAAGGATTGGGTGAATAGTTCGACGGCGTGGTGGGGTGGACCTGATAGCTGCTGGGCGGAGGATGGATCTATTATTGAGTGGCATCTTGGCCAGTACATCCGAGCGAGAAAGGACAGAGATTCAGGTAAGTATCGATTCGACTCGGTGTCTGCTACCGAATGGAATGTTAAGTAGCAATCGATGAGCAGATCCTCAACCAGAGGAAAGTGCCCAGCCTCCTCACACGGGGAGCCAGATAGATGAGGGCCCCATACCATTTGATCCAGTCAGGAATGTTTAATAAATGCGCTATGTGCAATTGTCAGTGCATGTCATGGAAAGAAAGAAAGAAAGAAACTATGAGCAGAGTCAACATGCCATTCGTGTTCCGCTGCTGAAGTCTTCTTGCAGCTTTTTACTGTATAATACTCAGTTTTCCACGAGTCTAAAATTAGGCGAATGGAAAGTAACAGATATGTACTCGGTTGTTCCAATCGAATCAAGTCGACCTCATTGTAGGATAATCAAGATTTTAGGACCTAGAAGGACGACAGTCGTAAGATTGACTGTACTCGCCTAAAAGTCAACAACGGCCGAGTCTCCACTCTTATCTCCAAGCGTGGTATGAAGATTTAGTAACTGATGCGGATGCGCTATTTGCTCCCTGTTTACCTTGTTCGTATATCAAACTTCGTCATGCCATTTGAAGGTTTCGCAGTTAGTGGTTCGTTATCTGCGATCCAGTCTTCTTGATGGACTATCTATCCACTACTGTTTACCATCAGAACAGCACCTGGGCCCTAAATATCCCCCACCACCAGAACTAGACCTCTCACAATACGCAACACCATGAAAATATTATATCCAAAAAAAAAGAGATATGAAAAAAGGGTACTTACAGCAGCTCTCTCCAACAGACAGACAAGGAACAAGCGGATAATCTGAAAGTGGCTCTTCTTTTGCGATCTTTAGTTTTCACCAAGCGCTATCCCATCGACACTTTCCAAAATATCATGGGCTGCTGAACATGGGTGGATGGTTAGGCAGATCAACGAATCAAGTAATCCACCACTGTCTCGCTCGCCCCCAAAGATCTAGCTTGCTTGCTCACTCACTCATGAAAGTCTATCAGTCTATTCAAGCTAGAAGAAGAACTCACAAGGAAGCGTAACTAACTTATCGTAGAAACTATTACAGTGAGTGTTTCCGTCCGAATAGCTAGCTTACTTAGCTATTAATCAGATCTCTAATAATCCAACTTTCCATCCTTTCTTCGCCTTACCTGCTAATACAACCAGCATACAGACCCCAGAACATGGTAGGTAGGTAGGTAGGTAGGTAGGTAGGTAGGTAGGTAGGTATACGTAATATAACATAGATACTTCTCAACTCGAGTCCTGTTCTCCTTTCCTTTCCATCCAATCCAAATTGCAATACTCAAACACCACGCTCACGCTCGCCCAAGATCCAAGATCCAAGAAGACAGACATTTTGGTACATCCTGCGCGGAAATGCGAAAGTAAGGAATCCAACACCAATACCAAAATTCAATCAAATCGATCAAATAGCCCACAAAAACTCCCTCTACCTCTATCCCATCCCTTCCCATCCCAAACCCCTTTCGCCTCTCCCCATATCCGGGGGCAAAAAAAAAAAAATGCCAACCTTCCTTCTCTCCATAATCCTACACTCCCCTCACCCCCACTTCCCCCTCCCTCCTCCCTCACCTGCACCCTTCACACTCATCCTCTACACCCTACCTTAAGAAACAACCTCAAGGCCACAAGCTCCCCCTCACCCTCCTCCCCTCCCCTACCGGCCCAAAAACAACACTCAGCGCATCCCTAAAGCTCGCCTCCCCTTCCTTCGCGGCGCCATCGCTCTCTATTTTCGCCGGCGGGCCCGCCGCGTTCTTCTCCGCTTCGAGGCGGTTCTCGAGATCGGTTTCGGTGGCGGAGAGGGTCGCTGGGTTTTCGGGGGTGAATCCGGGGTGTTCGGTGGGTGGGGCGGATGTGTTGGGGGTTGTGGGTGGTTCGGGTTCGGGTTCGGGTTCGGGTTCGGTTTCTGCTGCTGGCTGAGGCTCAGAGGCTGCTGGATCTGTGGGTGGAGAGTCTGGTGATGGGGAGGCATCAGAGGATGGAGGAGAGTCCGGCTCAGTAGGTGTTTCTGGATCAGCTGCTTCTTCTGGTTTTGGCGGCGCGTTCTCTGATTCCACATCCTGTCTGCCCACCAGTCCCCCTTCGATACCATCAAACGCTCTACCAGTGATTCCCCTCTTCACTGGCGGCGCAGAGTTGTTAACTCCCTCCCCCCTCTCCGCAATACTCGTCCACCCCTTCGCACCACTCGCAACAACATGCCTCCTCATCGCCACATTCCAACTAAAACTACTCTCCCACATCCCGCCAAACAAACTACTCCTCAGCAACACCTCAAAATCAACAAGCAGCTGCTGATCCCAGCTCAGACCCTGCAACAACTTCCACTCCTCCTCAAATCCCTTCAACGGTGTATACACCGACGGGCTCTCCGGGGAAGATACAGAAGCAAGTAAACTCTCTTTGGTCTCCACCGACATCAGCGCATTAGCCGCCGTGTTCCTAAACGCCTCTACATCCTGCTCCGTCGTAGACGTAAGGTATATCAGTGCGAGATTCGCCTTCCTCGCGTGGGCGATATAATTATGTTCCTGCACACCATACGCCGTCCACCCCGCCGCCACAGCATCCTGCCCCGTCCGCAAATGCGCACCGTAGAACTTCCCCTGGATAACATCCCGTCTCGGCTGCAACCCCAATTTATATTTCGTATTAAGTGCGTACACCGTCGTGGCAGCTATACGTCTTACGTCTGGTCTGAAGCGTAGGATCCGCCCGAACTGCGCGACGAGGTGCGGGTCGTCGTAGGTGAGTGGGAACTGCATGAGTGGTGCGGCGAGGGAGACTAGGATGGGTTTTGTGGCTGAAGGGGGAACGGGGTGCGTGATGTTCAGGAAGGAGTGGAAGTCTTGGGACCAGTTTCCGGGGGCGCCGAGGATGAAGCCGCCGATTAGAGAGATGGTGATGCTGGTTGGGACGAGGGGGACGGGGATTGCAGTGGAGGGGAGGTCGAAGAGGTCGTTTTGGTGGGCGATGAGTTGGATGCGCGGGCAGGTTTGGTGGAGGGTGGTGGTGAAGTGGTCGAGGTCGAAATAATGCGTGAAGGGGACATTCGTGCCGTCTGGAGAGGCGGTGGTTCGTAGGAGGATTTCAGGGACGATGAAGCCCGTCGCTATAAGTATTGCTTGTTAGAGATATCTCTGATTTAGTCGTTAGAGGGGAACAAACCTCCAGCTTCAATGGCATAGCGCACACAATTCAAGAACACATTCCGCACATTCCCAATCCCTCCCTCCGGCGCCTCACATTTGAAAATCAACCCCGGCGTCCAATGCCTCGTCCTGCACAGCTCGACCAGCGTGCCATTATTAAAAGGCCCATCTATCTCATTCTCATCCGCCAGAAGACTCTCCACAAACAGCCCCTTCTTGCCCTTCACAGCAGTCTGGTATATAGCCCTGTACCCCCGATGCGTGATATCTGCCGATCCGGAGAAGAGGTAGAAGGCCGTTATGGCGATGGAGAGAAACGCAATGCTCAGCTTGATGGCTGTGCTGGCTTGGGTGGAGAGGGGGGGCATCGTGGTGGAGTGTTACGGGCTTGATGCTGGATTCTTGATGCTTGGTAGGTAGAGACTGTGGATGGATAGGTGGATAGATGAGTGTTTGGTGAGAAGATGATGAGTGAGTGAGTGACTGGAAGACTACATTCCCAAGAGGGGTGTCATCCCTTGCTGAGGTCTCGTTTTTGAAGACATTCTAGAACGCATGCGGACTATCGAATTCGTGGTCGGGGCAAGTGTTTGTGGCGTGGAACTTGTTCAAATCGGGAGCTGGAGTGACCCCTGATTTAAGCCTTGTCAGCCGTGAGCTAAGCGGAATGGGGACCGCATTGGTCTTCACAGTATTTCTGAGAAAGTTTCTGGCTTCGGAATACTTTATTTTTCATACATTCTCTAGCAATTAACTATGACATAATCAACTCAGACAGGGATATTATAGTTCCAAGAAAGTTCCAGCTGCTCGGTACCATCAAGATCACCGGCCGCGCATCACCAGATAGATCCCCGGATCTGTATCGGCAGCCCCCGTGAACAGTCACCTGCAGTAGCCGAAGTCAACAAAAGGATTGGATGCCCACTCTAGCAAATGGAAGACCCATCCAAAAGTCCCCATTATTACACCCAAGTACTCAGATGTATGTCCTTATGTTGTTCTCTCTGCCTTCCTTCGATATCCGCACCCATCCTCATTGATTTTTGCTCAACAGCCAACCAAGCCTTCCCCCAACCTCACTTTCTACGTAAATGTCAACACCCTGCTTGCTGCAATGCAGCCAGTCACACGATCGAGCGTTCACGAATGCTCTCTGTTCTACAGGTTAAACCACCCATACCTCGTAGTTTGAAATGTCATTTGCAACCAACAGTAGCCAGAAGAGCGTTCGCGAACCAGTTAGGTATGTTGCATATCGCCGCGATGAGAGGGAAAAACATGTAAGTGGAATCAAAGTCCATTCGTCCATCATCATAATCAACAGCGCACGTCATGTGTTCATGTCGCGACTGGAAATACCATCCATCTATATACAAACACCGACCCAAACACTTTTTCCCATTCTCTTCTCGTCTGCCTGCCTCTCCAGTCCAGCCCAGCCATTCCATTCCATTATGCACATCTCCCATCTCCCCCTCAAAAGCACAAAATATATGTACGCCTGATTTCCCCTCGTACCCAGCCGGCCAGAACCCAAAATCGTCAAAGTCATCAAAATCGTCATAAGCTCGACCCCATCCACCGCGCGCGCCCTAAGCAGGCTAGTACAGTCCACTCCACTGAACAATCCCATGCATGCACTTGAAGAAGAATTGGAGGGAAAACAGATCAATCCAATCCAACGCAAGCTTCGTCGTGGTCAAACAAGCAAGCAAGCAACCAATCGACCGGTCCATCCCATGCAGTCGTTACAATTCATCAGTGCCTTCCTTCTAGTGGCAACCACTCAGCCCTATGCCCGGTCAACTTCGCCCAGTCCATGCATCGATAGTATTCCTCCGAGATAGCAGGCAACGAAGCCAGATAGGGGAGAGGCAATTTGTCGTGCGTCGATCGGACGACTGGTGCCATCTCGGTATCCAAGTCGATCCAAGGCATGCCGGCCAGGCAGACAGGAAAGTCCAGACCTGAAAAGAGAACCGTAGTCGAATGAAGAAGAAACAAGAATTAAAACTTTGTAGAAGAATCCATCCAGTCATGCAGAACAAATCTCATGCAATGCAATGTAAACCACCACCCCAGGTGGAAGAAAGGCATAACAAGTAACAAGGCAGATACAAGTCGTCCAAACTCAACCCAACTCGTCCCAAAGTCCGAGTGAAGTCTAATCAAGCCAAGTCACACCCATCATCGCCTCAAGCAACCCCTAGAATCGAAGGAGAAATTCCAAAATCCCAGTCTCAACGCCATCATCCTTCCAGCCAGCCAGTCCTGTTCATCCCAGCCCGACTGTTATGTCCATCCGTCCGTCCATCATGTCGTATGTAGTCGTAAAGTAATCGTTATCATCATCAAGCAACCAACCCCAAAACCAAACCGTGAAACCCAACCCGACGAGAAGAAATAACCCTAGCAGAAAAACAGAAGACCCCATGAGATGCAAAATGCAGATGCGAGGCAAGGCAACAAGGTATTAAAGAAGAAGTGGAGAAGAATATTTTTTGGTTCGTAATCTGAACAATCAAAATGCGTAAACAACTCCGTCATATGCTTGCTTTTGACAGATCGTGCCGTGTTGTGTATTTGTCCGATTTCGATTCGTCTATTGTTGCTTCGCAGCTGCCTCTCGCTCTCGGATTTGCCTGAGCTTGGAATCGAGGTTTTGAAGTCGGCTTTGGAGACTGATGGGTCCGTCACCAAAATCAAATGATTCGATTGAGCGTCGTGTTTGATGCGTTTGGTGGACCGTAGCAAAAGCGGATCGGCGAACTGTTGCGGATCCATCCTGGAACAAGCGTCGGGGAAATGTATTGCTTGGACCAGATTCCGAGAAAGGAGAGCCGAGACGGTCACGAGGAGGTTCGAAGGTAGCAGAGGGAAGAAGTCTAGGTGTCTCGGTTGGAGGGACAATCGTTTGCGGTGGTACCGCTGTCTTGGGGCCATCATCCACAGGGGAGAATTGAAAGAGACCGGGCACACGATGTCTCAGAGCTTCATCACCAAGTGAGAATCCACGACTGCGAACTCGCCGCTGGTTCAAAGGCGTACCGAACAGTTGCTCATTGAGAATACTTGGTCGAACGATTGCGCCACTTGGACTGAGCTCTTCCTCTAGATCATGCTGAGCTCGACGTTTCTGTGTGCCATTCAATGAGTGAGGTTTGTGCAGTCGTAGCGGTGACCTGAGTAGTTTATCCGACTGTGTCCTAGGTGGAGAAGGTCGCGGTTCGAATGGATCCAAAGCCTTTGATGAAGAGGGACCATATGTTCGTGCCACGAATGGTGATCCAAGTCGCCGACCTTTTGATTCGGTCAGACTAAGGCCCATACCACGTGAGTCACCGAAGCTCAGTGGCTTGAATTCTTCGAGACCCGGGAAAGCTGAGGGGCCTGGTATATCGGGACTATCAGCAGATAGTTGGGCGAGAGGTCCATCGGGTTGCATAGAAACAGCTGTACTGGTCGTAAGGGACAAGGCGATATCCTTGGTGTTAAAAGCAGAAGATCGTGGGGGTTCGGGAGTTCGTAGTCGGAATTGAAGCTTGGTGAACGGCGTAGGACTACGTGATTGCCAATGACGATGGCGAGTGACAGAAGTATTGTCTTTCTTCCTGCACATCTCACGGAGATGGTTCCGTGTTGCACCGCCACTATGTGGCCACTGTGCGTAGGAAACTTTGGGATACTCAGCAGTTGGAGTGTTGCTGCCACTTTTCTCAGCCACGCTTGTGGAGTTCAAGGTTGAACCTAATCTTGTGGATCGGCGAACAGGTGATGATACTTTTTGGCCCTTCCAGCTTCGCTTAGCTTCACGGGCAACTCTATAGCAGACTCCTTCTGGCGGAACAGAACTGGCGCCAATGCGGAACGGGGTTACTGTAGGATCTTGAAGGTACATGATGTAGGTAGACCATAGGTGAGCACTTTGAGCCTTGGTCCATGGTGCGTCCTTTCGGGTCTTAGATCGAAGTTTGCTGTTCAAAGGTTGAAAGACATCAGCTTGGAGAAGAAATGCCTTGCCTTTGCCTTTAGAGAGAACCGGAAGATGAAATGGATCGGCGATATCAGATTCTGGGCTGGTACAGCTTCCATCATCCGACGGGCGAGATATTCGGCTACCACTGTAAAAGGAGTCGCCTGAGAAGTCAGATCCGTCTGAATGTGATGAGCCAGGTCTGGTAAAGTAATCCTCAGCTGGAGATGGCGAACCCATGGTCCAGTCTGGTCGCTGGACAGGTAGATCGATGGAGAGTGTAGGCATTGGTGTTTTCGGAGGTGAGATAGCTCGGTGATCGAATGTGAGGGGAGCAAGGAGACCGGTGTTGACAGACAAATCTTCTCTATCGGGCATATCCAGATCCTCCGCTTGTTCTTGTGCGAGTTCAATTGTGGGCACTGGTACATCAGCAGCAGCTACTGATGCAAGAAATTGTTGTGTAGGTGCTTGTAAGCTTGAAGCATTTCGTCTTCGGACTTTCAGGCGTTGTCGTGGAGGGGATGGTTGACGAGGTTCTGTGGAAGCAGGTTCAGGTGTGCAAGGCTCCTCATATCTAAATCCCCTCGGCAAAGTACGCGATCCGTTTGAGTGATTATAAAACATCTTGTTGTTTGCTGTGGAATGTAGGAGGGGGCCGCGTGGTGTTGTGGAATGCAAGGGGCCGACTGAGACCGGCGGTTACAGAAGCCAAGTGCAAACGGTGATGCGATTACAGAATATCAAGTACAGCAAAATCTGTTTGAATTGAGAAGCGATCGAGAAGAGGAAGAGGTTAAATGGTAAGCGACGTTCGTGGTCGATAGAAAGAGATCAATCGATCTTGCGGCTGGCGCGCAAACCAAACCACAAAGCCGAACTGCAACGACCCAAGCTCTTGGGTCCAGTTATTGGCGAAGTTTTCTGGAATGCACTCAAGGGTTCCACATCTGCATCTGCGATTGTGTTTGTTGTACGAGCAACGGTAAATCGAGGTGGCTGGAGTTAGGTTGAGGTGAGGTCGAGCAACGATTGCGACGGCGGTTCGCGACAGCAATTAAGGCGCGCGAGTTGTCCGCCGAAGGATGCGATTGAAGCGTAGGGACAGTCCAGACGTGCGCGACGAGTTCTAGGAGTGGATAGAGGACGGTGAGATTGAATGCGCCGAGGAATCTTCGGAGGTGTTTTGTGTCGTGGTGTTGAAGAGTCCAAACTAGTTCCCTCCCGCCTAAAGATCCGACCCGGGGTGTGCTTTGCTGCTGAGGAATGGATGGTCGGATGGCGTTTGCTCAACGGTGAAGAAGGCGAAGGAAGAAGTCGAAGGTAAGATAGGGTGAGGTCGGGTATGAATAAAGAGCGTAGGTAGTGGTAAGCCACAAGAGGAAGAGGACGAGGACCAGTGAACGAACGACGAGGGTGGTCGAGTGCGGTGGTGCAGTGCGTGGAGAGAAGGTAAGAGGAGAGGTGAAGGTGAAGGTGAGGAAGTGGGCGAGCGACTGGACCACTGGTGGTGGATAGTTGGGGGATTGGGGGGGAGTGGAATCAGGGCAAGCCCAGCGTGTGCAGCGCAGAAGTGGATTGGCCCAGGCGAAGATCTGACCAAGGACAGGGGTACGCGGAAGGGCAACCCAGCGAATCAGAGTAAACTTGATCGCGAAACACGCCGTCTGAATTGGGCGATTTGGGGAGATACAGCCAATAGCACTAATTCAGTGTCCAGCAGGTAGTACTTATATTTCAGCGTGGGGCGGATGTGGTGTGGATGCGATGCGCTGTGATGGATTCGAGGATTGGGTTGCTGTGTGCGCGTGGGATATGAGGAGGTGGGTTCCCGTGGACAGTGGATGGGTGGATTGAAGGATAGATGCCCTAGGTGGATATCCAGATGTCCAGTGGGATGGATACAGGCCGGACAAAGGCTCCTCTTTCTATTCTGGCCTGCGTGCAGCTGGATGCAAATGGATGCCACTGCAGCGTGCCTGGGTGGATATCCGTGTGATACAGCCAGGTTGAGTGCAGTGTGCAGGACAGCGAAAAGCTGTTGGGTTGGAGAGAGGGAGACAGAGTAGATGAAGAGAAGATGAAGTCAAGCTGGACAAGACAGGTAGAAGAAGATCCCATTGGGCCCTTTGGGCACTCGTCCAACCACTGAAGAAGTCGCAAAAGTTGGCAAAGTCCAAGATGATCCAGATTAGGGACTCAGTCCCTGGTGACACAATGTCTTCAATTGAGGACCTGCAATCGGCTGGAACGGGCCTTGTACATCCACTCTGGTACCGAAAGGATAGATAGATACGAATAAATGTCCGTGGATAAGGAATCCATCGAGTTGTGGAGTGGAGTTGATAGTTTCTTGTGATAGTTTTCTCCAGGTCTTGAGTTGGATTTGATTTTGATCTCCCTTGTGATCGGACGAGGGGAGAGCACGACCAGCAGAGCACGTCCAGCGTGGCAGGGCAGGGTAGGGCAGGGCAGGATAGGGATCAAGGAGTCGAATAAAACTTTGCGCAATCCAAGTCAATTCAACTCAGTCCGTGGGTGCAGGCGGTAACGCTTCACGAGCGTAGAGTTCAAAGCAATAGTTCGTCTCCTCCTCGAGCTTGGTACCTTGTGAGCTTGTGCTCTGTTGTTCGGTTTTTGCCCGTGCAGTCCAGACTTGCTCGGCGCAGCGCAGGTAAGGTTAAGGGAGGTGGATCCTGCTCAAGGTATCCTCTCCCGACGGTGACTGGACCTGAACCTGAACCTTGGAAGATCGTGAGTCCAGAGTTCCAGAGTAGTCAAGACGAATAATGAAGCCCGAGTGGATAACGCACAAGAGCAAGTGAGACACTGGGGGAGGTCAAGAATTGGACGAGAGCAGAGGGAAGATGCAGCTACGCTACAATAATACTCCGCAAGAGTACAGTAGTCGAAACTCCCCAACGAACGAATACTTGGTCTAACACACAGTTCACAGGATGGAATGCACGCACAACGCAGAGGGGGGTCCAATAAACCCCAGCATCTTTCTCCCACGTTCTATTCTCGATCAGATCAGATCAGATCAGTCAGATTCCACTCCGACGCGTCTGGTATCGCTTAGCAGAAGACGCGTCGTCTTCGCGCTTTTCTTTTTCGCTTTACGCGTCAACATCCAATCGGGGGAGACTCGCTTATTCCTTTCCTTCCTCTGCCTGCCTGCCTGCCTGCTTTCCTTCTGTCCATCTCAACGCGCTTTTTACTCCCTCACTCAATCATCCTTTTCCAAGTCGTCCCATAAGCACAATCCCAAGTCATAGCATAGCATAAACACCCCCCTCCAATTTCACCTTTCGTGTCATATCATCCTTCTATCAATTTATTCATGACATGTGAGTGCTCCCGGTCCTTGGATATCGATTGGGAGCAAACGACGGCGCCGTGCAGAATCAAGGACAGAAGAGGGGAACGGGAACGCCTCACTTTGAGCGCGTCGTGAGCGAACGAACAGACATACAGACGCGACGTATTTCCTGCTCTTGCATTTGCATTTGCATGCTCATATCACAGGCTCTCGGACTTCAAGTCGTTGGCAGATAAGTAGCAGCAGGAGCAGGATCTCCAGTCTACCGTTTGAGTCCATGGTTGGAATTCGATTGGCTTCCTCACCTCTCGCTCCTCTAGCCTCATCCATTCATTCGACCATTGATTCGCATATCGGAATCAAACTCCAAGACTCATGCAGACTAACCTCTATGCATTTGCCTTCGTGCCTGTTCGTTTGTCCAGCTGCGAGCAGAAGACGAGTTCATGTATCATGCGCTGTAACATCAAAACCGTACATCACATCAAGTTCGCGTTCATTTAGGTATGCTCCCAACCCAACCCAGGACTTCCGTTGCTTCGATTGGGCTAGGCACGAGATGATCTGCACATGCGCATCGCTGTAATGCAATGCAGTCGTACTTTTGACAGTTCGCATTCTCTTGTCCCCTCACGAGCTGCAGCGTGGGGAATACCACTCGCTGTCGAGGCTGGGGGATAATCATACCCAAGTACCCCAAGTACGCATGTGCTGCAGCATTGAGAGCTGAAAGTATTCAATTCTTAGGTAAGATACACCATTTCTATCCCACGTTACTTTAAGTCCTTTCCAGATGTAATTCGTCGAGGAATATGCAGCTACACCCAACCCGGCAAAAACCACCCACGTCGCGGAAGGAGAATATTATCTGACAACCGCCGCCGCTTCCCAAGCTGCACCGTTGGAAATGTCTCACCTGTCATCACAGCAAAAACTCCCCGACTGACCCGGATCAGCACTCCGCGCTACCTTTTTTTTTTAAGAACCAATCCCATCGTTCCGTATTTAAAGCAACACTGTTTAGGTTCTTACCGGCAATAATTGGTCGATTGATCAATTCAATTTGAAAAGTCTAGAACAGCTGATGTGGATGTAGATCATCGCTTCGTGAGATCTCGGATAAAGAACTTCAAAGTGTGACCCCGCACACAGCACTACCCACCCACCTACCTACCATCAGAACTCAACAAACAACACATCTTCTGTACTGTAAACGCTTCTCTTCTCTTCTCTTCTCTTCTCTTTCTTCGTGCTTCGTTCATCATATACGCCCAATGATGGACTTGTAAATTTATCCCACACTAAGGTAGTAGCCGTCGATCCCCCTCGCGCCGCCGCCCCTCCCCCATCATATCACTCCGGCGCGCGCTTCCAGGGCAGATAGATACCTATCGCACGGTACCAGTATCCCACGCACGTATCCCACGCACGTACCTTACCTACCCACCGCACTCCAAGACATCTCCTGTACTGTACTATTTCCCGGCACCGATTAACCTTATTCTCGCTCCTATCTATCCAATACTCGTAAGGTTAGGATTTGTCATCAAAAAATCAAACCGCTCATTCATTCATTCATTCATTCATTCATCGATGCACGCATTTCACGCACCGCACATCTCATCACATCACATCATATCACATCACACCGCATCATACCTAATTTGATTTAGCGAAACAATTCATCCAAACAGCTGACAGCCATCCAGCTCGATCTCAGCACAGTTAATTAATTTTCGAATCTACCTATATTCCCCCCCCATCTTGTTCGGACGGCCTGAGGGTTGACTTGAGTTGAGGTCTAGCTTGAGAGAGAATGACTGACTGACTGACTGACTGATTGACTGACTGACTGACTGACTGACTGACTGACTGACTGACTGACTGACTGGCTGGCTGGCTGGCTGGCTGTGATGAGTACGGGTGGGTATACCGAATTTTTTTTCTCTTCTTTTCTTTCTCTATGTTAATTGCGGGCGGGGGAGGGGACTTTGATGGTATAAAATGGAAAAAATAAATAAATAAATAGATACATCTGCTACTATAGAGTTTAGGAAGAGAAAAAAAGGTGCGTATTATATATACACACAAACCCTACTAGCTTACCTCAACACTTTTTAAACTTCGTATTATTCTAGAGCAAAGATTAAGTAAGTATTCCACAACAGGCAGTGCGGTGCACAAAAGAGATCGAGATAGCTATCCAAGAACCGATCTACCTACTACTATCTAGTACCTACCCTGGTATCATAACAACCAAACGAGACCACCAACCGGCAATCTCCCTCTGCATTGCATTCCTTTCCGCACCACCAGGCACTTTTTAATTTTTTAATTTTTTTTTTTTGGAGTCTTGAACATAACCAGGGCTCTTGGCTGCGTCTGGAGCGAGCGGGAGAACTGCGATGCATATATATCTATATATATGTCCTGGCAGGCTTCCACCACAGAGTGAATGGATGGATGGATGGATGGATGGATGGATGGATGCACATAACGTAACGAAACGAAAAGAGCACCTCCCCTGGATGTTGATTTTCATTTTGATTTTGATTTTGATTTTGGCTTTTCGGCTTCAGCTTCGTCGTGGAATTGAAGGGGTATCTATATATCTACAAGAGAGAGCATCGGAGTCGGACGGAGACGTCCGGCTCTTCTCTAAAGATTATTCGGTATCTCTATTATTAGGTAGTAGGGGTGTCCAGCAGATAGATAGAAGCTAAGAAGTCTGTCTGTTAGGGGGAATCTGGTGGCAAGTTTGAGTTTGGTGGTGGTGCTTTGATTTTTGTCAAGATCGGTCGGCCTCTGCTTAGATGACTTATGATGGCTTTTTTTTTACCGTGAAGCGCTTCATGTCTGGGTCCGACTTCGATATCGTGGGTTATCGCATGCTTGAGGAGGGGGTGCTTTTGCCCACGCCAGTGGCCCAGTGATGACAGATGACACCCATGACGATAAAATCTTCGAGGCTTGGATTTCACTGCTTTTCGAAGAAGATGGATGTTTATTGAGGAGGGCTCATTTTAGTACAATAGGCTGGATGGGAATACCAGAACTCGTCGAGTTCGCTCGTATTCTGTGTGGCAAAGTGAAATAATTGCGGCCGCCCTTTCCCCAGATGTAATGGTAAAGTGTATGTTTCTTTTGTTATTACCGGTTTGTAATTCTGGGTGTGCATATCAGGTATCTGTTGGGAGCCACTGCAGAGATCTGTAGGGATTTGGTCACTCTCCAGCAAAGACGGGGCGTAGGCTATCAGTATTCAGTTCGGTTCTCAGTTAGCCTGTCGCTTAAGTAAGTCAATAAAGCCCCACCACCCAGGTTTTGTTTTTAAGCCTTATCGTTAACACGTCACACTAGCCACCGAACGGATATCCGTTAAGAGTTTATGGCTAAGGAGAAAGCTAGAAATGTCAAGCACTGCAGCCCGAGGCTCTCTAGCTCTGCCTCGCTCAGGGATGACGTACTTACCATGATTGGTGGCAACATGCGGTCAAAATTGGCAGATGTTGCGCTGATGTCTGAAGTAGTAATTCAGCAAGGTTATGTAGGGAAGATATGATGATGAGATCGGATATGAGTAAGATTCGGTATAAAGTGCGAACTACTACCTGGGTCCAGAGAGGTCCTGAGTTCTGGTGTCAAGAGACCAGCCCAGGGGTGAGAATTGACGACGAGGGAGGCCATCCTGGGCACGCGAATCAAAGGGATATCAGAACTTACTGGTCCAGTTACAACTCTCCAGAACCATATTTCTTGAGGACCTGCTCTGATTTCCAAAGGCAGCTGACTGGGATTACTACCACGTGACTGGCCTGCCCAAATTAGGGTTTCTTGGCTCCCCAGTCTTGGCTCTTGGCTTTGGAAAGTAAACAAACGTCACGGATATCAATTATAAGACTCTTCCAAGCAAGTCTGAACATCATATAACAAATGATTTTGGTGGAAATCATTGGTTAAAAACTATATATAGGGCTTTGTCATGTCCGCGCTCGGAGCCGGCGTTTCCGGCTGCTAGGTTAAACACACACTCTCGGATCCCAAAACCAACACTCCAACATCCTGAACCTCACCTCACCTCACACAAACGCTCCATCACGTCAAAATGCTACGAAGAACACGCAAAGCAGTCGTTCATGTTACTCTATTCTTCGGAGCTCTTCTACTAATCGTATTCATCAATCTCCCACAATCAAACAGCAAGTTCTTCGCCTGGGATAAGGTTCGCTACCAAACGTCATCTGCATCACTTCCTGAAACCCGCGGCATCTGTCCTGGTCTGGACAAAACAACAAAGCCAGTACTCGTAGTATCACGAGTCTCTTCTGATGGAGACATCAACTGGTCGGATAGCCTGTCTGAAAAATATCATCGATGTGTCTACACGGCTGATGCACCGCTCGACAAAACTGCCGTGCATTTGCAGGTCCCGGCGAACCGTGGTCACGAGGCGATGGGGTACCTGACTTTTCTGATTGATAATTACCAGAATGTTCCCAAAGCTGGAGTGGTGTTTGTTCATGGATCTCGTTGGGCGTGGCATAACGATGCGCCGGATTACGATAACACGGCTCTCCTTTCAATGCTGAATGTCACTTCTGCGTTGGCGCCTTTTGGATACCACAATCTCCGCTGTGACTGGAGTCTCAGTACCTGTCCATTGTCTACAGCACCTCAAGGAAGTTTAGAGACTTCTTCGCAAGCAATTCTTGCACCATGGGATGCACGAGCGACTTCTGACGCGGCACTCCCAATAGCCTTGGCATCGATATTTGGAGGCGAGGGTTTTGCAAAGTATGGACCAAAACTATATCTCGGCCGTACTGCTACAGTACGATCACAATGCTGCGCACAATTCGTCGTTTCGCAAGAAAGTATCTGGCGACACTCCCATGAAGAATACATTGCCCTTCGACAATGGCTTCTCGACGGCCCAGCCAACAAAGATGCCGCACCTCCAGACGACAAAGTAGCTGGTCGGATCATGTCTTACATCTGGCATATTCTCTTCATCAAGCAAAAGAAGAGTGACATCTCCGCCGGTGTCGTCGACCTCGACCAGCTGAATAATCAAGCTTGTCCGCGTGCCGATGAGTGCTACTGTCGACTTTATGGACGTTGCAATCTTCGTGGGTGTGAAAAACCTGGGAAGTGCCTGGGCCAGTATCAGTTGCCTCCGAAGTTGAAAGCTCCGAATGGTCTGGAGACTGCAGTTTCTGATTCGGATCAGATTAAGGTTGGTGTTTGGGGGAAGGATGGCCTCAAGCATTGAGTTGGCTGTAGATCTGTGGAGATCATTCGCATCTGAAGACTTTAGAGACATAGAGACTCGGTGTGAGATCGCAACTGGCCGTCAGGCGAAGGCAACTGTTGAAAGGGAGTTGCGAGCACGCATGCCACCTCGCGGCTACAAGCCATGATTCCCGGAGATTGGATGCAAGCGATGCTGCGAGGTCCCGACGGTAGAATTAAATCAAACTGAAACGACCGGCAGTGATGAGAAGAGGAAGTCTTTGACATGGGATCTAGCATGTGTGAGTGCTGGAAATGCAAACAAAATTGCTGTGTTCGGAATCTCTGCAAATCTTTATCAGCGGTTCAGCCTATCCCGAAATCGAGCTGGAAAGATCCTACAAACTTCAACATGGCAGCTGTTCACAGTATGAAAATGATAAGGCTGTATATCTGTCCCCCGGAGCCGGAAAGTGGAGGTGGGACTTGTGCTGTATTACAACCTTTACCATCTGCTAGATATTGGTGGTGGCTAGAAGTGTCCATCAAAGATAGTTCAAGAGTATTCGGCGTACTGAGTCTTGCTATGCTGTGAGGTCGGCCGGGTTGCTTGCAATGTGCTCGGAGAAGTCTCATTGAGGCGACAATCTCATCGAAGCTCCATGCGGGAGATAAGGACTCTACCCGAGCCGATTCGTATGGCAGCACAAATAGACCTCTCAATTCAAATTGCATCTGCAAAAATTGCGCAGCCCGATATGAGAATCCGTCTGATCCGAATGATCTGGCTTCCCAAACTTACACCTTTTCTCGATAACTCGAAAATATCTGGAGAGGTTTTGAGAGTTGCTGGAAGAATTGTTGAGGAAAGAAGCCGCTGAATTGTCGCCTGGCACTATTTGCTCGCACCTTAAGTGAGCGTAAACAGGCAGTGCAGAGAGATTGTCGGGAAAGTCAATAATGAGAACCTTCTACATTTCACCCCAAACCAGGGGGAATGCATAAATCCAGCATAATGGGGCTCTTATCGCTCTTTTCTTCTGTCCTTCCCTGCTTCAGCAAGGTCCAGGTAGACCGTAGCTGTGGCTAGCACATTCTGTGTCGAAGTTCATTCTTTTATGAATCAAGGACCTTTGGTACAATTTGAGAAGTACTCAAGATACTACTCCTTTCAACTGGGACTCAAGTTCGAAGAGGTCAAAACCAAGCAGGGAATCGGAAAGTTCAAAGCATACAAATAACACAACATCCGAGGCAAGCGCCAAAAAGTTTGACAGCCAGCGCTTGCCAGCTGTCTCTCCCAGAACATATGTAGACAGACCTTCATATTCATCAATCCATCCACTATCAAGAAAAGATACAGTAGTTAAATTGAGGGAAACTTCCCATAGCCTGAAAAATGATGTTCGTGTTGCCAAATTTGCACCCTCGAAGTCAGGTGAAGTCGTCAAGCGACCGCTGGCGTCTCGTCGAGTTCACCGCTCAGCCAGCTGCCCAATCAACTGCGATCTCGGTTGGGCAGAATGCACTTTACACCTCGGCTTCTGGTAATAAACCTTTGACTTGTAAAGTTAAGCATATTTAAACCTTGCAGCACGCAATTCCATCCGTTTCTCAATCTGTCCTTTTTCCTTGTATACCTATCGTGTTTCTGCCCCGCGGTTGTTATTTCGTTTTTTTGCAATACAGACCTGTTCTTCCCCCCATAGGCGCGTGCGAACATGAGAACGGTCAACAGTGGAGCGCCAAATGCTCCGTACTTCACACCCCTCCAGTCTCCAGCAGCTGGCACTGCTCTGGTTCCCAACCCACCAACACTTTTCTCTCCTCTCAAGATCAGAGATGTGACATTCCAGAACAGAATATGTAAGTCTCCCACCCAATCTCACTCTGTCCTTCAGTTATCAACCTCCAAAACTCCATTCTACCCCGCCCCACCTTCCCCAGCCCATCTCTTCCCTCTATACTGACACCCTCTCCCTCTACCCAGGGGTCGCCCCAATGTGCACATACAGCGCCTCCAACGGCCACCTCACCGACTTCCACCTCATCCACCTCTCCGCCTTCGCCTTCCGCGGCGCCTCCCTCACCATCATCGAAGCCACGTCCGTCCTCCCCAACGGCCGCATCTCCCCCGAAGACGCAGGTCTCTGGACCGACAGCCAGATCGCGCCCATCCGCCGTATAGCCGACTTCCTGCACTCGCAGAACCAGAAGATTGGTATCCAGCTCGCGCATGCTGGACGGAAAGCGAGTACCTTGGCGCCGTGGGTGGGTGATAAAGGGAGAGGAGTCGCGAGCAAGGAGGCGGGTGGGTTTGAGGATGATGTTATGGGCCCGAGTGCGATTTGTTGGGGGCAGGGGTTTCCAATGCCGAGGGAGATGAGTAGTCAGGATGTGAGGGATGTGATTGATGGGTTTAGGGATAGTGCGAGGAGAGCTGTGGAGGGGGGTGTGGATGTTATTGAAATTCATGGTGCTCATGGGTACTTGATCTCCTCGTTTCTCAGCCCGATCAGTAATCGCAGGACGGACAAATATGGCGGGAGCTTCGAGAACAGGATCAGACTGCTGGTGGAAATTATACAAACTGTTAGGACGGTGATTCCGAAAGGGATGCCTTTGCTGGTAAGAGTCAGTGCTACGGAATGGATGGAGAAGAATGCTCCGGAGAGCTGGGACGTCGAGTCTACGATTAAGCTCGCGAAGCTACTTCCTGGCCTTGGAGTCGACTTGTTGGACGTCAGCTCAGGAGGGAACAGCGAGTCTCAAAGCGTGAGCATATTCAATGACTACCAAGTTGGAATCGCCAGCCAAATCCGCAAAGCGCTCTACGAAGCGGGAATCAGAGACTTGTTGATCGGCGCAGTAGGCATGATCACCGAAGCCGAAGCTGCGAAGAAGATCGTGCAGAAGGGGGATGATACAATTGAGATCACGGATGAGAATGGAGGGCTGGCAAAAGCTGATATTGTGCTTGTCGGAAGACAGTTCCTTAGAGAACCAGAGTGGGTATTGAGAGTTGCATATAGACTCGGTTTGAAGGTTCAGTGGCCGGTGCAGTATCAAAGAGGGCAGTTCATCAGAGGGAGTAAGATTTAGATCTAGATGAAGATACCTACATAGTTTCGCATTTGTAGACAAAGAGTAGATAGATGGATGATAGACTCACACATATCGATCACTTAACAAGCAAAATTCTCTTCAGCAGCAATTTCGTGCCATTCATGAGATAGCTATGATACACCCACCACCTACTCTAGACTCCCAATCCACATCTCCCAACTCCAAACAAGAAGCAATCGCAAGTCTCGACTCCCATCCCACTCTACCCATTCCCCTCAACTCCCATACCGTGCCGATAATAGCGTCCAAAGCCAACCCCCTTACTCACTCACTTCCCACCCACAACCCAATTCCAAACACCCGCTACCACGCCAGCCGGTCCAGCCAGTCAACTCGGACTCGAAGCCTTAGGAGGGTACTGCTTGCCTTCGAAGTCGACCTTAGGCTCGCACTAAATCACCATTTTAAAGTCAGCCTCATGTCTTGTCACCTCGTCCATCATCTCTCAAACCACCAATTGGCTCACAGAACGCAACGAAAGAGAGAACAAAAAGAAAGAAACGTACAGTACACCTCTCCTCAGCAGGAATATTGTCCATCACAGCAGGGATGTGCTTTCCGCAGCCCCACCATGTTGCCTTTTCTGTGAGAAGGGGTGAGAAGTTAGTTGATTGAATGATGATAAAGCTAACAAGGAGGGAGGGGTGAAGTGGGAGACGTACGGCATGTTGAGCAAGTGGCTTTCATGCACATTCTGGCGATAAGGTGTTTTGTCTTTCTTGGAATATTTGAGTGAGAGATTTGGAAGAGTTTTGAGATGAAGCGGGTCGAATTGAAGTTTATCGGCTTGGAAGTTTTCAACTGTGTGATTTGATGAATCGATTGATTTCGTTGAATCTATTGATGTGGCTGTGATTCTTGTACTTGTAGGTGAGAAGAAATGAGGTGAAGTTGCTTTTATGTTTAGGTTAGGAAGGTGGGGGAGGGGTACCTTAGTGAAGTGGCTGCCGTGCGGCTCGCCGATGTGGCGTCAAGAAGGAGGGGCAGGCGCGAGATCTTCGGGATCTTTCCGGGCAGCAGATTAGCGAGGTCGACGAGGTCGGCGACTGGATTTGATTGGTTGAGGATGTGAGATGTCAACATTCGCTGCATGCACAGGATACAGGACCTCAAGAAGAAGGATACATAATTTTTCTGGAAGTCGTGGCTGGATTGGGAGTGACTGAGTCTCTACGACAGGTAAGTGTCGCACCAGATGGATATAAAGCATTTTGGTAGGCTCTTATTGCTCAAAAGAAGAGTATCAGAAAAGAAAAAGGATTTGCTGATCAGACTATCACCGGTTTAGAATTAGTAAGACGTTTGCGATGGGGATAGCTAAAATAACCGTAACTCTGGAATGAAGCAGCGAGGAGAAGGAAACTTGACAATTTAACAGGTTGGCAACAAAACTCAGTCTGGCAACAAAGTTTACTCCGCTAAGAAAATTAACCTCTTTCATGCACTACGCGGAACACTCCTCGAAGATTTCATCAGACAAATATCCAGTATCTTCACACACTAGTTTCCCAAGCTACAACGAGTCAATTGTCCAGCATCACACTCCCACTGCCTTTGCATTCCCTCTTGTTTGTTCTAGTTGTCGCTTGGTCCCAAGAAGACAACCCTTTTTCATGTAAGAAAAGATACTTCATTTCCCAGCACCTGCGGGTCAAAAACACTCATTCTTCGACTTGAACATATTCACTTACACCCGTTGTGTACCCATCAGTCAATACAAATAATCTCCATTTTCAGTCTCACTTCCGATTCCCAACTCCCAGCAAAATCACAGAATCTGTGACTTTCGGTACTTTCTTCAACAAGTGTTGAAATGCCGATTTACCGATTCATTGATTTCAGACTTGAAAACCCCAATACCATAAAAAGCCATCAAAAAAGCTTAAATTCCAAAGTCTCCACCTTTCTCAACTTTTAGACAGCCGGAGCTCAATCTTTGCTTCTCTAGAAAGCTGAGAGAATAGCTGATATTCTGCACATGTACAAACATGAAAAAGGGCTACTAATACGCGCTTTCTCTAATTCTTACCCTTTCAATGGAACTCAAAAGACCGAGGTTGTTCCTGGGTTTTCTTAAATTGATTGGAAACAGGTATCATCGCAGTTAAGTTCCATTGGCAGAAAAATTGAAAATGATAACAACAACGACAAAAGCCCCTCCCCTCAATCATTGATGTCCATTGAAAATCCTCCTAATCACTAAAAAGTCAAGAAGAGTCAACACAACACAACAATAAGCATACCTCAACTGAATATTGACTCTTCGACGCTCCTCACACGGCATGCGTCTTCAGGTGTATGAGAGCGATACTCAGTTAAAGTCCAGAAACGCTCCATGTATTTAATTATACCCCTTGTCAATCCTGGTAGCTCAGTGAATCCATTGAGTGGGGTTCACAAATGAATAGCGTTGGAAACATCTCTTCATTCTGTTCTTGGAAATTTTAGCCAGCCCGGCGGATATTCACTGCTCTATTCTCATTCTGACTCTCATATTTTGCCAAGTCGGCTCTTTCTCAACAGACAAACTCCCAGATATCTATATAATTCCCCTCGCCCCTACCCCCTCCCCCCAGAAGAGAAGCACAGCAGTCTTGTATGGGAAAGAAACACCAAATTTCGGACATTTCAGGTCACTCACTCCAAAATCCATGTATTATTAATACACATGAAATCACATAAATCCCATCCCATCTCCACCACCAAGCCTAGCACAAACAATCAACCCCAACCCAGATAAACCATGGTGACAAGAAATATTCAACGGTAAGGTAGTTTTTGACAACAATTCTCTATTCGATAACAATCCCCTCATATCTACACGCAAAAAACGGCCATCATTACCCCGTACCCTTCAAAGCCTAAATCCTGAATTCTCACATCCCGCATCCTCGCATGCTCAACTCCCTCAACTCCATCCCCCACACCCTCCAAATCCCCAAAACACTAAACACCTTTCCCCCATCCCCCCTCCTCTCTCTCTCCAAATCAATTTGCCCCTCCACACACACACCTCAAAATCCAACCTTCTCTCCCCCAACCCCCACGCATAACGCAGACAAACTGAAACCACACACCACTCCATCTTCTTTTCCTCCCCCATCCCATTCCCTCCCATTCCATCCTATAGTTCACCCCATACCTCCACAGCATCTTCATCTTCGTCTTCATCTTCATCTTCATCTTCATCTTCATCTTCATCTTCATCTTCATCTTCATCCACGCTCTCCAATCCACCGTGTCCAAGTGAAAATCCACCGTTCCCTTCCCCTTCCCCTTCCCACTACAAATCCCCAATCCCAAAACCCAAAAACCCTTAGACTCCCGCTCCAATCCAGTCAAGTCAAAATCTCCTCCTCTCCTCCTCCTTCCTCCCCCTCCTCCTCCCTCATCTCCCTCCACCCTTCAAACAAACTCCCATCCCATCCCATCCCATCCTCATCATCCTCATCATCCTCATCACCCTACCCTATCCCATCCCATCCTTATCACCCAAGAACCAACCAACCACCAACCACCAAACTAATAATATAAAATAAGCACAACTATCCACAGTCTTTCTCTCTCTCTATACTATCAATTACCAACCACCAATTAAACCAACCACCAATTAAACCAATCAATTGATCACAGAAAAAAAAAGAAATACCTGCGGTCGGTACTTCTCTAGTTATCTATACCCTACTCCTACTCCTAGTACTACTACTACTACTCCCATTACTACTAGTACCCCTAGTACTACTAGTACTTGCTCCCCACTGGTCACATCACGGTGTTGAATGAGATAGCGGTGGCGGTGGTGTGGTTGGGGAGGTCGGGGAGTCATCTCTCCGGTGCTGAACCCCTCCCTCCCATCACCAGCTTCAACCCCACTACTCGAGGCCATTCTTGATTAGGGGCTTAGGTGAATCTACCTTACCTGCCGGGTTTGGTTATAGTTAACCTAGCCACCCGTAGCGACGGCGTGAGCAGCTAAGTTTATTTGCACGACATTCGAACGATTCACAAAGCAAGTACTCGTACCAATCCAGAGACAAAACCGAGTGAAGGAGCAGAAATCATTCTTCATTCTTCATTAGAAAGCGATAGCTATTTCCGTAATTATAAAGCAAATCCCTATGCATACGATAAGGTGTGGTATCTCATCTCCCAATCCATCCATCCGATCCCTGGGAATCATCAAGCACGCCGAACTAATCCCAAATCGTACACATTAACACACTCAACCCTGTAACTCCTTTGGAGCTGGCCTCTCCTCGTCCCTATGGCCGTGCTTCTCATCAACACTCTCACCACTGCTAGCAATCTGGTGCGCAGCAACACCCTCACGTTGGAACTTCGTGTCATGAGACTCCTTGTTCTCGGTGAGGGTATACTCCTCCTTATCGAGATCCTTGTAGATGAACCAGAAGAGAGGAGCAGCGATGAATCCGACGATGGTTGGTCCAGCGAAGACCCAAGTTAGGTATGGATCCTTGACGAGGCCAGAGAAAGCGAGACCAAAAGCATAGGCGATGGCGCTGGAGAAGAGGTTCATGGCCGAGACCAAACCACGCATGTTCTTCGGGGCCATTGAATAGGCAATTCCGAAAGCAGGCACGTTGACGAAGAGCTCAGAGATTCCACCAATACCAACGGGCAGGGCAGTCCACCAGATGGTGATGTCGGCAACAGCAGAAAAGCCGTCCGCATCAACACAATCGCTTGTTCCTTGCTTTCCGCAAGGACCAATCTTATAGGCATAGTAGTTGAGAACGGTATATCCAATACTGGCGACTGCTGCCATGAAGAGTCCAAGAGTGATCCGTTTGATGGAGCCAAAGCGAATGTTATACTTTCTGAGAAGAGGGTAGAGTCCATAATTGAGAATTGGTGCAGTGATGATGATGGCCAAAGGGTTGATGTTGGAGATGACATCGTTGGGAACCCCGTTCGTCTTCAACATAGTTGTCAACGCTGATTGCGATCCACCAAGACCGTTATCATTGATATTCTGGATTGGGAAGAACATGAACATTCCAGTTGCTTGAAATGCACGTTTGACGTCGTCAACAAAGACATCGTTCCATGGGACATCCATTGGGTGGCCAGAGGCGGCGATGACAGAGGGCTTGGCAGACTCGAAGAATCCTCCCTTCTTGGAGAATATTTTCTTAAGACCTCCACGTTTGAAGCAGATGCCGACGATTCTGAAAACATGTGGTAAATCGCTTCCTCCTGGTGGGAGGATTCTAAGCTTGTTCTTGAGGTACCAGAGCATAGCTGGGAGTGGGAGATAAAGGATGAGTGGGATGCCGAATGCCAGCCACCATCCGACGTCTTTCGCAGAGTAAGAAGTTCCAACGTTGACGAAACCACCAATGTTGACCATCATGTAGAACCACAGCATGACTCTCTCTGTTGTCGCTTCGGGGTCGATGATGACCTTCTCGCCAGTGACAAGAGTCTTGATGGTGAGCTTGGTCTCCTTCATCTGATCCAGAAGCATAGGTGAGATGCAAGGTTTGAACATGGCTGCTTTCTGTCAGCAAGTGCCACACCGGAGTCGAAAAACAACTTACCAGCACCAATCGCTAGAATGTAGAGACTGATGAAGTATGGGATCTTGGCATTTCCGTTTGCCAGTAAATTCTTCGCACCGGAGACAACCATGATAACGTGAGAGATGCCGCACACGAAAACACCGACGAAAACCATCTTGAAACGGCCAGTCTTCTGATCTGCGAGCCAACCGAAGAAGACAGGCATGGCATAGACCAACATATTGAAAGATTGCGAAACGGCAGAGGCCTTCACAGTTCCCATTCCCAAAGCACCAGCGGTGGCTTGGCCACCCTGGCCACCCTTTGATGGAGCACCCCAACCATTACCTCCTTTGGGAAGGGGCCGGTTGACGAAATTTCCAATCAAAGGCTGAACACCGTAGTAGGAAGCACGCTCAGCAAACTCAACCAGGCAGAGAGCGTAGGCGATCCATGGGATAGATCCTGGTACGCGACGAAGAGTGTGTCTCTCTTCTTCGGTGGGCTCGTTGACGTGAGCTCCAATATTCACGCGGTCGGCATCAGCGACAACCATAGAGTGCTTGCCTTCGAGGGCGAGATGGGCATCGGCATGAGTGCCCGCCAGGGTGGTTTGCGCATCGTAGACAATGTTGGTCGCTATATCATGTCAGATTAGCATGTTCCAGTAGAAAATCATGGCACATATATCACGCACCCATTGTGTCGATCTGAACTCGCTGTTGACGCGGATGGTGTAAAAGGTTGGAGAGTGGGAGGACGAGGGTCTTTATGTGCGTTGCCCACAGTCGCACGACAGATCGCGCCTGCCTTCTAGGGTGGCCTGTCGAGTATCTGTTCACCTTCTCAGTTCAACCCATCTGCCCTTCCCTTCCCTTACTTTGAATTGCAGACCCGGCGGAGGGGAAGGTCCAATGTAAAGCTGATCCGCTATCAGTGGCCATCACGGAGGCACTTGTCTCTATGGAGCAGCTGCAACGAACATCTGGCTATTTGTCGGTGTGGGGTACAGGGGATTGACAAGGCCAGGAAGGCAGGTTGAGCATCAAATCGAGTGCCACTGCGGCTCAATCCGACCAGGTCTGAAGACGATCCAGCCAATTGTGACCATATGGAGGCCATTGCATTAGTAGAAACAGAGTGCATTCATATCCACCACCCCAGCTGATAGGCCCGAAGCGGTGGATGCATCGACGCTCATGTCGACCCTCAAAAGCGGACGCGCGATGTAGCTCCATGCGGAAGGTGTGTGGATTGCCAAGATAAGAGCGTAAGATATCAAGGACGATGGGCACGCCCTCACGCCTCCACAGAGTCCGCACACGGCACAGTCTATCCTGATCTCCAGAGACTTGGCGATACTGTATCGTCATTGGAGCAGCTGACGTGAGTAAGCTGTCTTGAATCCCTATCAATTGATTTGATTTCCAACATCCAGCAGCCAGTATTCGGTGAGCGACAGCCAGACGGCGAGCCCGAGGTGAAAGGAGAGGACTGGTGATCTTCGCTGCTGGCTTTTCGTCGGTCATTGCCGAGGTGGGTGGTGGTTTTCTAGAAAGGCTCTCCATGTTCTGTGTTACCTTCTAAGTTCTGACCAGGTGCAGGCCAGGCCTACGAGTAAGCACAGTCGAACCACTCTTGCTTTCTCCGAGATCCAGCAACCAAACTTCAATTGCCGTAGTCAGACAGCGATACCGCAACACAGTGGAGAGAAGACCATGGCTTGTTCCATTCCACATCATCCACATTATCCATCCATCCAAAAGACCATCACAAATGTTAAGCTCAGTGGCGGATCGAAGCTCTCTCGTCCATGCAGCCAAGGGCTATCAATCCGCTCTACCCCTTAAGCGAGTCATATCAGCGCCCCTGGATCCAGCCTGCGCCAAAATGACCCGCGGAGCCAGCGCAAGAAGCCGCAATCGCCTTCTCTATCCAGCCACATCCCCGAAGCCACCAACAGATTGAATGGGGCATGCAAGGACGTCTCCTCGCCGCCGAGAGAAGACAAGAGAATCAAGAGAACGCTGGTGGAGGGACGTAGACTTGGGGGGAAGGTCAAGAACACTGGCAAAGCTTGAATCGACGTATTTTGTTGGCTCCATCACGATCCTGTTACAGTGTCGCACACGACACCCTCGATACTCGGCTGTAAAGACAAAAGCGACAACGATGACGAGTGCTTTAAGTTGGACCAACAAAGGGGCACCCCATCATGATTATCAACTCCAGCAGTAGTCCAGTGGGTAGAGGCGACTTTTTCGCCGCACCGGATGGCTTCTCGGAGGTAACCCGATCATCACTACCGTATAAACTTTCAGTGGAGAGCCAGCGTTCGCCTGCCCGCGAGAAGCACCGAAGAAGATGGAACAAACAGGCCATACAGACCCGACATCGGGATATAATGGGCTGTTGCTCGGGTACGTATTCTGTGTATCAATGAAAATGGGGACTATGGTATCCGAAGTCGCCTTTTTGAAGACCCTGCTTTCTCGTGCCAAAAATCGGTATCAGTCACGTGCCCTCGCCGGATGCGCCGGCACCTCACACTCCCTCAATCATGGCCCCCAACCTTCCAGAGTACCTTCACATCCCATCAACCAAGCAAACATCCAGCGTTTTCCAATCCAATCCTTATCCCTCCCTTCCCCCTTCCACCCAAACTACTCTCGGACAACTCCCGCCAAATCTGACAGATAACTTCCACGCTAAAAAAAAGGAACCTTGTAATTTAGCTCCCGTGCTTCGTTGCCTTATTCCGCTTTAGAAGCTTGGAAGGTCAGCGTGGTAATCTAGAAGATGTATTTGCCAGGGGTGGAATATTGCCTGCTTGCTTACTTGATTGACTGGGCCAATTAAATATACCAGTTGCCTAACTTGACCTCACGGTGTCTTCTTTCAGCCTTCTTCCTCCTCGATCTTACAACCCCAACTCTAACACGAACACGAACTCACACCATACTTACCATTTCACTCCTCGCATTCAATCAACACTCCATTATCTACATCCAAACCGAGATGAATATCTTCTCGTCTCTTCCCTGTGCTGATACCACCGATACAGCGTTGATAATCGTACAATTTCCCTTATCCAGGGCCGATAATCTTACAATATCCATTCAGGGCAGCCAAGCTGTTAATTAGCAATTCTTTACAGGCGTTCCCAATAGACGAGCCTAGAAAATTCGAATATCAGATTATTCCTGTCAATCTTCTCACCGTTTCAAAGATTCAACATCTCCAGACATTCTTTGTTCCATCAAATTCTTCTAGGAGGAGCTGAAATCTCGGTTACTGGCATCAAGATTTGGTTGCATAATCGCTGTATTTGCGGAAGCTGAAAGGTTATAGGATCTCAGCTGTTTCCCTAAAATTTTACGCTTCATTTTAAACAACCTCTCATCTCGTATCGCATGTGCCAGCTCAAAATTTTAGTTTTGTGGTCTCTCATGATGGATTTCTTTCTTTTTCAACATGGGCCACATCAAATGAGATTACTCTTTTGTGAAAGAGTGCGAGAGACAAGAACCTAGGTATACAAGGGTTTTGGTCAAATGGAGTGGAACTTTTGATTTTTTCTCTACGCATTTCAAATCATACTCTGATACCCGAACTCATTCTTCATGTTAGATCTCTAGTATATATGTATCTCAATCACTCTTAACCCCCTTCCTCACACAAGCTCTACCTGTGTTGCAGTGTTGTTGTAAGTCCACCTCATCACATGATCACCAACTGCACGCTCCCTAAGGTACCTACGTTTCCTTCCCAAAGAGGCAACTTACCTACCTTCCTGCCAACACCTTCACACAGCCCTACACAACCCTACTTTACCGATCTTTTCCTACCAACACTCATCTTAGTCCAAATACCCGGATATGAATATGGTTATTATGCATGCGAGTCTGAGCTTACTTCAACGTCTTCGAGCAAGGAAGCTAAGGCGGATATACACCATTACCGAGCGGGCGGGATCAATAAATGAACGGCAAACAGAGCGAAAAAGAAATGTGCAACATCAACGTCATACTTTCTCTATGTAATTTTTATCAGAATTTGGAAACAATCAAAGTCTGCTAACATTGCTTCCGCCGTCCGGTTCCTTCAATGTGGATGAGGGCTACTAGGTAGGTGGGTCATTCGTCAATTCAGAGCAGTCTCATGTGAAAGATCAGATTGGATCAGACCACGCAGCTGATATATGCTGACCAGCAATGTCGAGAACAAGAACAGCCAAATATCATCCATGCAATATCCCATCCAATACGACTCCAAAACTAGCTTTAGCTCCTTACCATTACATAGCTCAAAGAACCCCACGAATCTCCCTAACCCTCTGATGTGACTGCTTCTCCCTTCTCACATCCTTCTATGGCCCCCACCAAGCACCTCTCCTAGGCCCCCACCACCTCTCGCTGCCACCCTCAGACCTATTTCTACTGCCGCTCCTGTACCCGGGACTAAGAGCAGATCTATCTCCATTACCTCTTCCGAATCCACTTCTATTCCCATCATTCCCATGCTCTGCTCCAAGCCCGCCTCCAAACCTACCCCTACCCCGACCTCTATATTCACCTCTGCTCCCTCCTCTAGACCTACCACTGAAGCCACCTCTAGCCTCGCCCCCAAAGCCACCTTTGTTCCCTCCTCTGTTCCCTCCTCTGTTCCCTCCTCTGTTCCCTCCTCTATTCCCTCCGCTTTTCCCTCCTCTGTTCCCTCCTACATTCCCTCCTCCATATCCATATCCTTCCCCTTGGGTACTCTCATATCCATCCTCATACCTTTCCTCATTCCGACCCTGATATCCATGTCCATGTCGATGTCCGATCCCTCCTCCAAGTCCACCAGAATATTCATCCTCATCCCCATTCCCTCTATCATATCCATCCTCACTCCAACCCCCATGTCCATATCTACGTCCATGTCCATTCCCGCCATTGTAACTCTCACCTCCATCGTAACTCCCACCCCGATATTCGTCCTCATTCTCATCCCAACCACCACCATACCCATCCCCATCCCTCTCCCCACCCTCATACCCCTCCCAACCCTCCCCACCAAACTCCCCCTGCCCACCTCCACCTCTACCTCCACCTCCATCCGCAAGCCCACCCCTCTCCCTGCCCCTCTCCCTCCCCCTCTCCCTCCCCAAATCCCTATTGTTATACTCCTCCCACAAATCCTTCAACTCCCAATCACGCAAAAAGAGTCCCCCAAACGTGGACTTAACATCTCCCGTTTTTACGAACCGGCATATGTACTCCGTGGCTTCAGTATCCGTGCACCCGCGTTTCCACATTATTGCCCTCCTGAATTCGGGGATCGGGATGCCGATTCTGATGATATCCATGTTTTTTTTTGGGTGGGAGAGGGAGAAGGGAGAAAGAGGGTTGGACTTGGGGGATTTGGTGGTGGTGGTGGCTGTTTGTTGGCTGAGGTGAGGGATTTGTAAGATGGTTGCGAGGTAGATTGCGGTGTAGTGTTTTGGGTTTTGGTTCGAAGGTTGATGTGTAAGACTATGGTATGACGTGGTATGGGTGAAAATAGTGGTTGGGTGTATTGAGAGGTGGAAAGAGTGTCTTAAGTAAGTGCTTGGTGGATTTATATAGATCCGAGAGTATACGATTTGTTTCAACCTGGACCTCCATGAGTCTTGAGATGGAAAATTCTGTGAATCAAGGTCCTTTATGGCGAGATTTGTCATCTGAACTGATCAGACGTGATTCTGGTATGACTTTCGGATATTATTGTGTGGAAGTAAGTGCCCACGCATTAACAGGACAGTTGAAGTTTGGTATGGAGGAGCAACAGGTATTCCGCCATTTTTCTGAGTTCCCCGTTTGCCAAGCAGATATGTGACGGAGGACCGGCGACATACCATCGCGTATTCTGATATCGTGAACCGAAAAATCTCCTACACTGAAAGATTTTCCGCTCAGTTTGGGGGTTTCCTGGCCCCTTCATATTTCTGATGTTGCTACATCAATCCACTTTTTACATGGATTAGATTTTGTCGCTGAAGTTCCCCCCAGTCAAGTTTTGGAAGGTTATGTATACCGCATTCAACAAACCCTTGTCTCGCTTGGTGCCAAACAAAACGCGACGGGAAATACCAAGAGTTCAAGAATTAAGTTGATGATAAAAGTCACGCATTATACATAACCAGTGTCTTCCCAAAGCTATATAATACATTCAAACCCAACGACTACCTTCCACTCTTCTCTTCCCTCCTCCGCTTCAACCCCATCCCATCCCATCCCATCCCCTAGTTTGGATACTCCGGATTAACCGCCCTCCACTCCTCCCATCCCTCCTCCTTATACATCAACACCCCATCCCTCACCTCAAACACCGTCCCACACTCCCAATCCGGCCACACACACTGCACCGGATCCTTCCCCTCTGCACAAACATGTTCCGGCACCTCCCTCTCATATCTCTGTACCATCTCCTTCAGCTCGGCATCTTCCACTATCAAAATCCCTGAGTTGGGACAGTGGCGCATTGCGCCGGCTAGGTAGAGCTTGTTGGCTTGGGTGCGGGCTTCGTCGTAGGTGAGTTTGGCTGGAGGTGGGGGTGCAGGAGAGGAGGAAGATGAGGATGGAGGAGCAGGGGATGGGGAGGGTGAGGGAGAGGGAGGAGAATAGTGTTGGATGATGCGGAGGAGGAGGGAGTAGGTTACGATTGTGGAGGTGGGGTCGCCGCCTGAGAGGTAGTATTTTGATTTTTTGCGGAGCTCGTCGCGCTTGGGAAATGAGAGGAATGTCTGGTCGGAAGGTGGTGTGGATGACATTATGAATGGAATATTATTGATTAGGTTTCAGTCGTTATGATGGGGCGTAGCTTGAAGTCGAAGAGCAAAAACTGGGGAAGAGAAATTAGTAGAGATGATATGATTTTTAAGTAAGTCCCAGGAACTGACTTGGTTATACCTGATTTGAGAGGTCTCTGGTTTGGAATATTGCTGCAAAAATTACAGTCATCTCAGATTCTCGCTCAGTATAAGAGAATGGTGGGAATGATTGAACACCGGACCTTTATGACTCGAAAAGGCAGTCGATTAAATGATGCTTAATCCGCTATTCAGACGTATGGCAGCGCCATTTTAATCACAGTCACGCATTTTCTTTACCAGTCTCGCAAATTCATGAGAGCAGTATTTTTTCTTGGCCGGATATTCTCTATGATACCGAAAAAACGCCTACTGGCTCCACCTAAGCAACTGCATGAGCTTTATTCAAATAATCGAGGGCCCTAGGAATATCAATATCTGCTTTGTTATGGCTGCACAAATTAAGCGAGAAATTCGCGCAGTCACACAAACCACACCACCTAGTCACCAAAAGCGCCATTCCATACAACAAATCAACTCAAAGCTGTTTGATCCATCAATTTCTCATCATGAAAACCATCCCAGACACAAATCCAATCTCCATTCTCCCAACTGATGCGCAACAGGACCGCCACAACACCATACGAAGACTCCATCCCCTTGCCTCCTCCTCCAGCAGTGAGCCATTTCTCGATCTGTTCACGAAAAGACTGCAATTCAACATGAAACTTCCTACCCCCTAGCGGAACGAGGTGGCGAGGACCAACCGTAAGACGTACAATCGATGACGCCTCACAATACCCCACAAGTTTGCTTGAACGTAGAATATGCCTAAAGATTCGAGTCTGGGTACTGGTTTGGATTTTTGATGAGAGATAGTAATATAGAGTATCTGTGAATGCATTATTGCGAGGTGGTGTAAAAGAATAATCGTGCTGGAAGGAAAGGAGGAGGACGACGCTGGGTATTCATGAATCTTTTTGAAATGTCTTTGACTCAAATTACGGACAAAACAATAAATCAACGAACACCAGCTATTCCCATCAAAAATAGCAATCCTTGTCAAGTAATTTGACTCCGACATACACTCTCCTTCTTCGCTGCATCGATTTTTCACACCCTTACTTATCGAACGCCAAACCTCTATATATACTTCCGTCTATGTTCAACACACTACACATCTTTCTCCCCTGCAGACTCCACATCAACAAAGGCTAATACGCCAAAAATAACACAATTTCCCAAAAGCTTCCTTAAAACTACCAACCATGCCCCCAAGAATCCCAAATGCCGGCGGTCTACACCCACAAACACCCGGAGTAGTACTAGCAGGCCTTCCTACTCCCATCCATCAGCAACAACCAACCCCGGCAGTTCCACAACCAGCTGCTCCCCAAGCTACTATCCAGCAGCCTGCTCCTGCAGTCCAACAACAATCAGTTCCAGTGGCTCTTCAACTGGTGCCGCAACAACCAAATGTGCAGCAAGCATATCCTCAGCAACTCATCCCAGCGCAACAAGGAAATCAGATACAAGCCCCCTTCCCACAACTCATCCCTATTCCTCCCACTACCCCACAAAACATCCCTCCAGCCCCTCTCCCTCAATACCCTCAACTCCAACTCCAACTCCAACCCACACCCATCGCCATCGTCGCACCACCTCTCACCCTCACCCTCCAACACTCACCGGGCCTCATCACTCTCACCGACCTCCTCACCGCCCTCACTTTCTCCAAATCTAACGCTACCCCTCATCGCCTAGACCCTCGCAGCGCAGCTATCGCAGCCGTGAACGGGTATATTGCGCAAGGTGGGATAGCGTATGTACTTTGTGCTGAGGGGTTGACGTGTTTGGTTAGTGATCAGGGCGTCTTGGGGGTTATTGATGTGTGGGTTCGGGCGGGGATGCCTGGTAGGGCAGGGGTGGTTGGGGGAAAGGGAAGTGGGGAGGGGAATGGAGGGTGTAGTGAGTGTGAGAGGGAGAGAATGGGAGGAGGAGGGAGTGGTGGGTGTAAAGAGTGTGAGAGGGAGAGGGGTGGGTGTCGAGATTGTGGGGGTTGTAGAGAGTGTGATAGGGAAGAGGAGAGGGAGAGGAGGAGGGAAAGGAGCAGAGATAGACGGGAGAGGAGGAGGCGGTAGACCTACAGCACATGGACATAATAAGTGAGAGCTGAGAGAAGGTGGAGGGAAGGTTAGCACCAAGATCCTGCTGGATGGGTAAGCAGCTTCTTAAGACGGGGTTTGCTTGCGAGCATAGCATTGATGTTCGTCGTTGGATTTAAGTGAGAAGGAGCGCGCACAATCTCTTAACAGTTCAGTAAATAGAAAAGCCGATCTTCAAACAGACCCTGACATCCAGCTTACATGCTTCTAGTACATCGCAGAGAATCGTTTCTCATTCCCTAGCGTACTGGAGAGGCCCAGACCAAAACGCCATCCAAATATCAGACGCACCCAAACTCAATCCCCTTCCCCACGCTCTACCGATGGAACACCGCACTCCCCGGCACCCACCCCTTCTCTCTCACACAATACCACGTATCCGTCTCACTGGTATCATTCCCTCCACTTGTATTTTGATCAATACTCGCATAAAGACTCCACCCCAACCCCTCCAAACACTCCAACATCCTCATCAACAACATCCTCGTACTCATCGTCTCCTCACCCGTCGCCCACCAAGGATACCCATTAATCTTAAACTCCCACGCATTCAGCGTACGATCCTTCCATCCACAATCCGTCTGCAGCAACCGCATACTCGAAAGCAAATTCTTGAATGCCAAGCGCAGCTGCTCGTCCGCGCCAATCAGGCGCAATCGATCGCTTTTGTTGAATGAGATGGCTATCCACTCGCTCGGTGGAGGAGGCTGTTGCTGTTTCCGGAAGAATAGTGTATCTTTATCCATCTGCTTCTTACTCACATCCGTACTCGCATGTAATATCCACCCGACTGAGAACAAATACGCCAACACCTCCCTCATCACCACGCGCGAACATATCGCGTCAGACGACTGCCCGTACCATGGGTTCCCATACAATTTGAACTCGTGTGAACCGCCATATTTCTGCTCGGCTTGGAGGCCCTTGGGGTAGGTTGTTTTGATTACGGTGCGGAGGCCATCGATTTCGGTTTGGGTGAAGGAGAGGAGGCGGATGCGGTCGCTGCGGTGGAGGGAGAGGGTGGCGAAGGAGGTGCGGAAGGGGGTGTATGCTGGGGCGAGGGGGGAGGAGGTTGATTGTTGGATATTCTTCTCGAGAGGAGCGGATTTCTCGTTAGGGTATTGGGAGTTCATTGTGAGGTTCGAATATGAAGAGCGAGGCTTCAGCCTTATGACGTCAGTGAGGTCAATCGGTCAATCGTATGTGTGATGTTGACCTTGTGAAGGATTTTTGGTGTATATGAACCTCTTTGTACTTGAAGAAGAAATTAGTGAAATTGATTTCCTGTAGATGAGAAGAGTTTATACATACCCGTGGTGATCATCAGCAAGGAGTGTAAGTGACTGCCTGGCGAGGCTGTACAATTCCCATTGAGGCTGTGCGGCCGGGGTCTAGCGCATCATTTTACCCAATCCAATGCTTGACGGACGTCTTCTGATCTGGTGCCGGATGTGAGCCGACTAACTCAATTGACTGCGGCTCCTTTTAGTCAGGTCAGTATATTTCCAAGCTGTATGAATATTTATTGTGAAGAGCCAAAGCTGTGTCGTGAGCTTCATTTGGGCTTGGCATAAAATGCTCCATTGGTTGAGGGCTTATTTCCAGCATAAGGTAGCTGATCGCAACCTCTCTCCACAATTCTTTCCCTTCTTCCAGCTTCAAATACTTCTGATGTGGAAGGGCTTGAAATGCGAAAACTGGTTTATGCTTGAGTCAAAAGGACGCCTTGATCTGTAGCTCTGTTTCCACTGTGCATGGAAGGAAATGTCTGCTGACCCTTGGGAAAATTGCGCCGTCAATTCGTTAACGATAACAAAAATCCGGTTGTCTGGCTGCCAGACTGCCAATGCCACTGCACTGATATCACTCGGAGAGGTAACATTTATCATCTGTGGTCAAGTGTAGATATTCTATGACTTGTACGACGTTGATGCTGTGGCGCCGAGCACGGATGCAGTTCCACCGTGTGGCTGAAGCTTCATTGGAATTTCCGCACCCTCAGAATCTAAACCAGAACAAAAGCCCTTCTCAACTCCCAACAATACACCCAGCTTGATGAGGCCATCATGTCTCCTCATCAGGCGCTTCCACCACCCAACGATAGCATGTTTTCAGCAACGAACATTGCTTACCTTAGCGATCGAAACTTCCTGCGATGATACCAGCGTAGCAGTGCTCGAGAAGCACCCAAACAATTCCGCAACCATCCACTTCAATGAGAAGATCACATCCGATAATCGCGCATACGGCGGAGTCCATCCCGTCGAAGCACATATCTCGCATCAAAAGACTCTCTCCAGTCTCGTGAATCGAGCTTTGCTGAGTCTCCCCATCCAGAAATCGACCGAGTCTCTCGAGAACGCGATATTCGTGAAGGGTCAACATGGCGCCACACTCAGGAAGAAACCTGATTTCGTAACGGCCACTCGTGGTCCTGGTATGCGAGCGAGTCTGATAACTGGAGTTGATACTGCGAAGGGGCTGGCTGTGGCATGGCAGGTTCCCTTTCTGGGCGTCAACCATATGCAGGGCCATGCACTTACGCCACGACTGGTGTCTGCATTGGATGCTGGAAAAGAAGGACTGAAAGGCAAAGACAAAGATCCAGAATTTCCGTTCTTGACATTGCTTGTGTCTGGGGGACATACTATGCTGGTTCACTCGCAGTCTCTCTGCAACCACGAAATACTGGCAAATACTACGGACATTGCGATTGGAGATATGATTGATAAATGTGCTCGGGATATTCTACCTCCCTCTTATCTAGAAGGTGCCAAAGATGTCATGTATGGTCCTCTACTTGAATCGTTCGCCTTTCCAGACGCCCAACCAGAATTTCAATACGTCCCTCCAAAGTCCTTTGGCAGTCCTCGCCATCCAATGAATCAATCATATAATTGGAAGCTCTTACCACCATACTCCACACCTGGTCGAGAGGGCCCAAAGGGACATGCAGATGCATTCACATACTCCGGGACTGGCGCAGCAGTCAGAAAAATCGTTGAGCGAATCCCTGGAATGGATGATTCAGAACGCAGAGCCCTCGCCGGACTGGCCATGATGGTCGCATTCGAACACCTCGCCTCTCGAGTCCTTTATGCCCTTGAGAGACCCGAGATCAAAGTCAATACCTTAGTCGTTTCCGGTGGAGTCGCAAGCAATCAATTTCTGAAGACCATTCTCAGGACTATACTAGATGCTCGTGGGCACGAGAATGTTAAACTGGTGTTTCCACCGCCGAAATTCTGTACCGACAATGCTGCTATGATTGCATGGACTGGTATCGAGATGTATGAGGCAGGGTGGAGAACTAGTTTGGAGGCTATTGCTATCAGAAAATGGGCGATTGATCCTAAGGCTGAGGATGGTGGGATCTTGGGTATTGATGGATGGGAGAAGGTGGATTGGTGAGTTTTGGTGATTTGATTTGATACCCATTTTTTTTTTTGGCACAATACAGCTGCGCAAAGTCTCTGCTCTGATCTGGCAATGTTTGAGTGAACCCTGTGGTACTGCATCGCATTCGTATCCCACTGCCAATCGCAGACTAGGCCATACAACAACCTCCATTACTAAACATTCCTCGTCCAGCCACTCTACAGTACTCTTTGTAGTCCATTTCCACTCTCATATATTCTTCCCCGTTCCCTTCGCCTTTCCCTTCCCAGTCCCTTTTCCTTTCCCTCTCCCGTCCCCTCGCCCTTGTACCTTGTACACATTACACATCTCACGCAGGTGTTTATCATCAGCAACGGAATCCCTTTCCTTTCCCGTTCCCGTCTCTCCCCATCCCATCCCATCCCATTCCATACCTCCCGTGTCTCAGCCCATGTCATCGTCCTTTACACATAGAGAAAGTCGGCATCTCAGAAGATAATTGTATTCCTGACAAATAATTCCTATCCTCGCCCTACCCTTCTCATGCTTAGGGTGGAGCGGAGCGGGGGGGATCTCGCACTCAGGAAAATGCCAATTTTGCAGTAGGGATGTAAGATTGGCGTCTAAAGGTAAGTGAGCTTTACAGTTTCCGCTTCCGCTTGTGGGTGCGGAGGTGGAATAGGTAGGTTCTGACGACTACAAAGCATTCCGCTTGCTGATTTGAGATTTTGGTCTAATTGGAGAAGAGGGAAAGCAGAAGATTTAGCTAGTTATCAGAAGTCCGAGATATTGGCCGATGTGAAAAATCAATGCGAGGTGAGGTGAAATACTAGTTTTAAGAGCGGTTCTTTTATGGGTTTTCTGTTGGGGCTTGTATGATTGACGACTCATACTTGTTTGGATTACAATATTCGGGGAATTTTCATATTGGTCCTGATAGTGTTTAACATTTGTTTAGGGGAAGAGCCTTGGAGTTTCGAGAACACTGCAGCTACCCCCGATGTCAACATCAACATCAACATCATCATCAACATCCCTTCTCCTCACCAAACTCCCTCGCGAGATTCGAAGTCTGATATGGATATTCTGTATTGGAAACCAAGATATCCATCTCGACTTAGCCCTCGCACCAAACAAGAGGTCGGTCCTAACACAACCACTATCCAAAATTGACCCCCTTGCTCTGCTTCTTGTTTGCAAACAAATGTGAGTGAGCAAGCATTCCTTACAGCATACCAGTTATAGACCTCGAGGAAGAATGAATGCTGACATTTTGTCTAGATCCATTGAAGCCCAACCCGTCCTTTACACAACCTCGACTTTTCATTTCACATCTTTGACTGCAACGGCAACACTCACTCAACTCACTCACACCCTGCCCCTTTCCACACTATGTCTCATACGCTCCCTCCACCTCACATACACGCTCCCCACCCTTCCTGTAGCAGAACCTCATATCGGGATGACTGGGTACACTCCACTTTGTGAGAGTTCCAACTGGTTAGCAATGTGGGGTATTTTGTGCCCTGCGAATGAGGACGAAGACGATGAGTATGACGTGGGGAAGGATGAAAGGGAAAATGAGAGTGACGGCAGGGGAAAGAGTAAGGGCAAGGGTAGAATGGGTCGTTTGGGGGGATTGCAGGGATTGAGAGATGTGAAATTAATTATCAAGGTGCCAATTTTGACTGGCCAGAAGGAAGCGTGGAGGGCAAGAGAGAAGGAGATTCTAAGGGATGTGAGGACAATGAAGAGTTTCAAGGGGAGGTTTGTGCTTGTTTTACCTTGGGAGAAACGGGATTGTCCAGGTACTGAAAGTGGGGATAATGGCGGACTGGGAAAAGACAAAGTTGATTTGAGTAAGGAGGTACGTGAGGAAATGTGTAAAGGGTGGAAGATTGAGAGGTTCGTTGGAGATGCCGAGAAGGGGAAGACTGTGTTTGCTGTTTTTGGAGCGTGGGATATGCAGCGGGAATTGGAGAGGGTTTGGGGGTCGAGATATCCAATAGGTTTGTGATCAGAAACTATAGGAGGGAAAATCAAAAAACTGCAGGCAATATGTAGAAAAATTATTTCCTGGGCATTTGAAGCAGACTTGCTTTAATTAATGCTTGTTGTTTGTCTGTGCTTGTTGTTTTGTCTGTGCTTGTTGTTTTGTCTGAGCTTGTTGTTTTGTCTATGCTTGTGCTTTCTGATAAGTAAATATACCTCCAACACCATGCACTGCGATTGATACAAAATGTGTTATTGAATTACCTGGTAATGTTCTTAATTTAAATTCCAGCCCAGTTTTCACTAAGAAATTATAGTTTTTCTTCAACATATGGGTGTGCAAAAAGAAAATCCGTAAAGCTGGGTGTCTGTTCACTGCGATTGTCTCGATACCTTATATTTATCTGCCCCCAGAAATTCGATCCACATTCAAAGACTCCTAGGAGTTGCATAGGTCGCATTACACTATTTACATCGTGGCAAAAGTCTAGGGATGAAGCGATCCGATGTAGGACTTTGTACGCCCCAAAATAGAAGCACCCTAGCGCCTCGGATGAACAACCCCACCAGAAACTCAAAGTCAACGTCAACGTACTTCTCCATACAACCAGCAGCACGCTTTTTCTTTCAACATGCACCCCTTCCTTCGAATAATTCTTTGTACAAGGAAAAGTGATGGAAAGTCCTTGCAGGAGTGGACTTTGATCAATCATTGCTGTTTATGTCTCGAGAATGATATAAGGCTGTGAAAGTAGCAACACGTATGCAGTTACCGAGGGCTCGCAACAGTACATCAAACAAGTCCTCACCACTTGCACGAACTATCATGTCAAAAGTACGGTCTCTTGTTATTTCAAACCCATATTCTGAGAGCACAGCAAACGGAGACTTAAGAGGCTGATACTTTCCCAGGGACTATTACGCTCAACCCCTCTCCACCCCGCCAACATCACCCCCCATCGCGAACAACAAGACCACCGGGTTCCACCCCCATACTCAACACGAGATAAAGGTCTCACAGTCCTCAGAATATGAATTTGAATATCTGAAGCGACTGAAGACAAGAATTCACGCGTTATGCGTCAACTCTCGAAGTGCCTGAGAAGAGGGAGGTAAATGCCAGTATCAATTCTGGCCCTTTCTCACCCTAACTCCCACTAAAGAGTACTTCTTCTCTCGAGAGTGATTCTCATTGATGTTGCTCACCAGGCAGTTTAAAGTCAAAACGAGAACTTGTCTCAAGTGAGAGCTTTGATCGGTTTCGAGCTTGACATGTCGTCTGAGCAAACCCCTTCGAAGATCATCCCACTAGACAGAAGAGTCTCCCATCTGCAACAAACTTCTTCTCAGGTCTGGCTTAGTAGAGAGACACCTGTACGTCTATTTAATGGCTGGGATTCACATGCTCACAGACGGACGTGTAACTGCCTGACTGGATATCTCCAGACTTGACGGCAGATGGAAGGCTTCGAAGATGTCTGCCAGTTATCACACCACCCCACGGATCTCGACCAGAGATTTCACAGAAACTTCGAAACTCTTCACATGATAACAAGTTCAGACGAACGTTTACTGTGAGGAGCAAAGCCTACTGCTTCTCATGCAATGCACACTCAGGTAAATGTCTCTAGGTTAATACAGGGGTCTCTGTACCTGCACAGCCAAGGGAGAGGGGCAGGTTCTCTTTATCGTCGAAGCATGAAAAAGAGAGATACACAAGGTAACTCCTTCCTATTTCTTCAAGCGTGTTTCAACCACAAGGTAAAGTGTTCGTCTCTCTGAGCACATTGCAACACGCTGCTTGAATTTGATGAAAGCACACACTGACCGTGGCTAATAGGTATTGAAGTCAGATATATATAACACAGAAAAGGAAACTTCTACGCCCATTTCATTGCGCTTGTCAGTGCTGTTGTAAATCAGACCCAGACACAGCCCACTGGGACTGATTTAAAGATATATCTCATCTGAGCCACCACGGCCTCCAGGATCACCCACCCTCCAGCAGACACATCTCAACTCTTAGAGGCCATGCCAATCAGGACCTTGACTAGGTCTATGTTCAGCACCACTTATGACCGCCATGGAGGGATACGATGGTAACAACGAACACAAGTCTTCTCTTTCTCAAAGAAAGAAATTCTGGTGCTGCGAGTGAGAATTATTCTGAACATTCACTACCCAGACAGTCATGGACCGCAGTCCTTTCTCGTCATATTGATCTCTTGTGGCCATTCCTGAACGGTGTCTTGGATATGACGGTGCTTTTTGGCTAGCTTCTGGACCTTGCTATGCAAAACAATTGTGCGGCCCCTAGTCGCGGCACTGCTGGGACACGTTGAAATTTTGCGTATCAGAAGACGCCTGGACAAGCAATGCTCCACGAGTGTCGTTTGGGACTGCTCATCCTTTGTGAGAAAGAGCCTTGGGGATAAGCCTCTGTTACCTCCCAACGGACTTGTGATGATCAAGGTGGATTGGGTACCCTACAACAGTGTGGTGGGCTGGAATCATGGCATGAGGACAACAGAAGTTGGGGCGTAGTCTGAACAGTGCCATACTGATGGACAACGACCACAATGATGCCAACGGTCCTTACTTGAGCACTGCTGATTCTCTCCTACACCTCAGTCGTGCAACGAATCACCGTTTGGACTTTTCTTTGTCCTATCACTGTGATGATCCTGATGTTACTGGAGAGTTCGGCTCCACTGTCGGAGTGAACAACTAGCGTACCGACTTGCGTAGCCAGGTTGAGACGGGGAGTGGATAAAATGTGCGCTCCACTCACTTATCTCCCGAATATCGACAACGCTTCCTCGCTCCAACCTCCATCAACAACACAAGTCTCCCTTACACACTTTTTTGAACCTTGGACGCCACTATTGCTTCTTCAATCTTTACTACACTCTACAATATTTGCCCGAAAAGTTGCTACCGCTGCCCGGGAACGCTGCGCGCTCTCGAGTCGTCGTTGACAAGGAGTCGCACAATCGATCTCTCTTTGGCTCCATTGAAGTCGCGAATCTGAATCATCCTTTGATCTGAGTCCTGTAAGTCATTGAAGCTTTTCATGCTATTTCCTCCTGCAAAATTGCTCCCAGTCAGTGTTGTTACGACATGATCCGCCTCATATCCTCGAGTTCAGCTTCAACAACGAGAAGACCACTCGAGTTCCAATTTTTACCCACACTTTCAAGGCCACCCCGCAACAACAGCTAACAATTTTCTAAGCGACAGAATCTCCACCACTCTCTACTTTGATCAACCTTGACTGAAGAGAGTAACTCACACGATGGTTAATCCTCAGCTGTCCATGCCAGAGCGAACAGCTGTCGAAGGACTTCTACTGCTGTCCGAGACTCCAGTCGAGGCTTCAGGAATCGCAACTAGCTCGAATGATAACTCTGCAGCATTGAATTCGAGCTCTGTTCAAGCCGTAGAAGTTACGCCAACAAACTTCAATTACTTCCAATGGCATCACTCCTGCTGTACCAAGTGCAGACTCAACTCCCTCGCACGCAGTCACATCTGCGAATCCCACTATGTTGAGCGTTGACTCTGCTCCATCAGGCTCAGCACTCGTTTGTACGACTACAGATGCACCTACCCCGAAAGTCATTCCAGACGGCCCAGATGCTGTACCAAGTCCCCAGCCTGCTCCTCAAAATGGAGTTTCATCGGCAGATTCGAATGATATCAGCAACACAACTTCCGCACCAATCTCAACTGCCGTAACTTCAACTTCAGGTACTCTGAATGCTAACGTTTCTGCACCAACTCGGGTATCTTCTGCTCCGACCGCACTCACACCTGCAACAACCCCGGCAACTGGTGTTCCTTCCAGTACCACACAATCTGTTTCTGCTCCAAGCCCCATTTCAAGACAACCCGCTGTTCGAGCTGGAAAATTTCGACACTATCCCGTACAAGGCCCTAGCCATTCCGCCAGACCACTACCTCCAATCACTTGGGGTCCTGGCTTGACCTCCGGAGAATATGGACGTGGAAGTCAACCACCTGCCTATTCATCCTCGATGTCTTCGACTAGTGAGGCTGGCAATGGCTCCATCCAAGACAATAGTCTACCTTCCAAATCCTCTATCAACAATACCACGGACGGACAAGACTTCGCTGATTTTAGTGTCAAGCCTCCTACTCCAGCTGGCCCCTCTGCACACTTTGACAAGAGTCCCAAAATTCAATCCCACTCGATCAAGAATCCTGTAAGTCAGCAGTGTGGCTTCGGTGGAGTTGCTTTCTCAGTGGTCGACGGTCGACCTAGATTGGAGCCGGTCAAATCTAAGGACAAGACCGGAAAGACCCAACCAGCTTCTGACCCAGCTGTTAGTCGTAACACGTCTGGTCAACCAAGTCATGATGGCATACCTAAAGTCCAAACGCTTTCCGGCAGTCAGCGCCCTGTTACTGAGAGTTCCTTCGACCCATTCCACGGACCAGCTCCAGGCGAAAGGTTGCCCTTTTGGTTCCTTGTACCTTCTGCTACTCCTTCTTCTGGAAGTCCATACGGTCCTCATACCAGTAGTCTACTCACTACGCCATCAAAGACAACTTCTATTCAAAATGGCACTAGAATTGGTCGGGACGCCATTCTGCTACGTAGCGGACGTCTTGGAAACCCTGTTGCCACATCTCCCAACGGTGTTACTGGACAAGATTCCGTACCTCGCAATTCTTCTATCAACAACACTTCAGGTACTCTTAATGGTGGCACTACTCGTACACCATTGCCCTCAACACCTGTAAAGACTGCTTCTGCAAACGCCATTGGCGACACTCTACTGCCTGCCAGAAGCTCTTCAGAACCAACCAGCTGCGGCACTCGGAAGCAATCAGAAGTCTATCAGCGTATGGAGCGCCGCCTAATTGATATCGAAAGCGGTACATCAGCTGTCACGGTTGACGATCTTATTCGTCTCGAACACCTGGAGCGAGCCTTACTGTCTGACTTCTATATCCTGCACGGAGTTTTCCTTCAGCACCCTCACTACCCCGGCCAACCTAATGAGGCTGCTTTCATTGCAGGCGGCTTTCGAAACCCAAAGAAGTTCTATGCATATGAAGATCGAGTAAAGGACTTGAAGAGCAAGGTGCAGAAGCGAGAGGAGAAACAGGCCGCTGAGGAACCAGATAGAGAAAAGGACTGGAGCAAGCAAGTGAAGGAGGAGCATAGCACTTTAAATATTCTGTACTCGGAGGTGCTTAACTGCAAGAAATTCTTGACAGAGCTCCGCAAGTATTTGGAGCGAGAAAACAAGGTTGGCGAATTCTACGAATACAAACTCAAAGTCCAATACACTGAAATCGGCAACCAGGTCATCCCCAAAGGATACCGCAAGTCCGGCGCGGCGATTCAGAAGAAAGGTATCCAATCTGCCGATCCGAAGACTGCAAATGGCAAGAAGCGACGTACCGTCATCACCATCGACTCCGATGATAACAGTTCCGAACAAGGCTCTACGCCATCAGCAACCCAACCTCCTCGTAAGAAGGCGAAGATGCAACCGGCTCAAGGTGCAAAGATGACTTCCGCCATGCAATTCAAACCAATCGGAAAAGTTGTCAATGATTCCGCCTTGCATCAACAACAACAGCAACGAGGCCAACACCAATTCCAAGTTAGGAATGGTTCCACCATGCATCAGCAACCACGAGGTACTGTACAAGCCATGAATGGCTCGAGTGGTTATCAGCAGCCAAATGGCACTCCACGCCCACACGGTCAAGGTATGGATCGTTCTGGCTATGGCATGCAGCGACACCCACGAAACGGTCAACCCTCACCTCATCTCGCCCAACCCCGCACCCCGGCTTACGTTGACCGTGAGATCGCTTTGAGAATGGCGATGATTGAGCGACTGAACGAAGAAGTCCTTGAGCTGAGATGGGAGAAGAAGGTTTTGGAGAATAATGGTCAGCCTGGGGGCGCATAATTTGCTTCTCAACTCACATATACACATTACCCATGCTTGATTGTTTGATTTTGGCTGTATTCTTGGATCTCGAATATCGGAGACATTGTTTTGGAATACCCTGATATAGAGTACTGTAGCTAGTTGAGTTGAAACTTTTCAACCGGGATTTTAGTCTCTGTTTGTGATTGTGATGTTGACAAGTTGCCCGAATCTGCTGCATCCCTTGCCTGGGCTCACCACACCATGAATCACTGTATTTGGTTTCGAGAATTCTATTCTACTAACTGATTCTGAGTTTCTTGATACATGGAGAGCCATGTATAGCACTGACATCCAGGTGTGACGTCCTCATGTCTACCCGATGATTCGATCCAGCAGTTAGCTCTCACAATTGAACGACAAGTCACCTCAGTATCGACTCAGCAGGCTTTCTGAGATCTAACAAATGATCCAAAACCTACAGAACACTAGCATTGGCGGAGTTGTTGAGAGGTCAATTTGAGACCGGAAATGGTCAAGTCAATTCAATTGCTTTCTTTGCTGGTTGCGCGAGCTGGGCTTGGGCACCTTCTAAACCAGGTATTGAGCCACTACTAAAAGCCGAAAGAAGCAATTTTGGCATCGCATTTCAGTTGCAGCATCACATTGAATGGCGATGATGAGGCGTTGATGGTCTGGAGCTCGCGAAAGTGATTGGCTGCCATATTTGGTGCAATTCACCACGTGAGTTGGAAGCGCCCGGAAAGACTGGATCTCTGAAAATACATAATAAAAGCAGAGTGGTGAATCAAATTGAGTCACAGATCCATCCCAAACGATTCGCTGGTGATGTTTCTGATTCATCAAATGGAGCTCTTGCAAGTTCGCCCCGAACATCCTGGGGCGAAGCTGTTGCACTGCTTAATATTCACCTTGTCGGTCGCTCTCTCCAAATAAAGAAAGTGAATCCAAGTCTCATGTTACTTTCTTCATCAAATATCGTCAGGCTGGAGATACCGAGTTGCACAACCACGCCTAGTCTTTCTCTCGACTGTGGGGTCTCCTTCAGATTTCGAAATTATCTGATCACAACTTGCGTTCTTCGACGGCAAATTCGATTTCAATACCTGCTTTTCTCTTGCAAAGTTCTGGTCACGAGTTTTTAATCGATTTCCTCACTCTATTACATACCGAAACCACAGACTCAGTGCCGAAGAACATACCAGCCAGCCCCTTCTCTCGAACACGATGAGCGCTCACACTATCACCCATGAGACGTCCATTGATACGAAACCCATCACACCACAAGATGTCGAGGTCTATGAGAGCGCTTCATCCTACTTGAATCATGACTACAATATTCTCATCGTCGAGTTCGACAAAGACAGAGAACCCGCCATCAAATCGAAATTTGTTGCCATGAACCTGCACACCATGGAGCGGCTTTTCGATTTTGAAGACAAAATTAAGCTACTGAAGAACTTCGTGATAAAAAAGGAGGCCCATATTGCGAAAGGAAAGAAAATGAAAGCGTCACATTTCGATAAGGAGCGCGATTGCCTCGAGGTATTGGCAGATGACTTCGAAACTTTGAGAATGGACATGATGGCATTGAGAGTACTTCTTGAAGGCTCTGAAGGATATACGTATAAGAAGACTTCTGCAGGATTTAGGATCATCCGTACCACCCCGACTAGAGGGAAGCTTTCTGTAACAGAGCCGGAGGACGAAGCCAAAACTGTGTCCAGAACATCTACAAAGAACAAAAGCACCAGGTCGCAGACTAGGCGCAGCCTTCCTTCATCTCCTTCAACCGCTTCATCAGACATCTTACAGCACTCTGAAGCATCAAGCACCGAGCCGTCTTTCAGAATCTACGAGGAGAAGAAGCGGAAGCGATCTTTGACTGAGCATGACCAGGCTATGGATTTCCAGAGACAGGAACCCGACTTTGTCGACCCAGCTCCCAACCATGCCGCACAAGCTGAGAAGAAGCATGTCACCAGACGAGCTTCAAAAAGAAAAATTCAGAAGTATCCTGCTGTTGCTGTAAAGGCATCAATTTCATCTTCTACTACTTCTAGGTCTAGTAAACCTCGCCGAGAGGTCAAAATGCCAGTTGTTGAAATTGATGGGGTTATCTCAGAGCAGCTGCTACTCGACGAGAGCGTGGTTGCTGCAATCGTAAAGCGGTTCTCATCTCATTCTACCACTTCAGCACCACAAGATCAAGAAGTGAAGAGTCTTAAACTTAAGATTAAAGAGCAGCAGGCCAGGATCAAAGAGATAAGTCGGTACACGGAGGTTCTGTTGAAGGAAAGGGATGAGTTGAGAAAGGATAGACATGATGCTTGGGAGGCGTTGAGGGATGGGCGAACGGCTTTGAGGAATATGACTGATAGAAAGAATGAGTATAAGAGGATTTTGAGAGGAACGAAGAGAAAGAGAAGCGCGAGAGTTGTGGACGATACGTCTGATGACAGTGGCAGCGACAGCGAGGAGGAGATCCCGGCGGTGATGAAGAAGAGGTATGAGATTCCATAATGCTGAGTGCAGGCAAGATAAATGCTTGATAAGCATCTGCGAGATCCAGTGCAAAGCCTTTGTGATGGAAAATACTGCATCTATTGACCATGTGCACTCGGTTTGCATGGATAGTGATTGGAAGCGGCTTTTGGACTAACGAATAACCAACAAAGGCAGCATCATATGCTACAAGGCTTCAGTTTGCGACTGCAAATTAACCCAATAGTATTGATTTTTAAATATCCTATACTGTTTTCGCGATCATTGATATGATTGGTGCGATCTTATTTCTCTCTTGGAAGTGGAAGCCATGACATGAAGCGTCGAGACGTTAACAGAAGAATGAATATTTCTTTGAGCCATGCATAGCATTATTGCATGTCGACAGAATGAAATCCTCAATGTAGATACATTGTCTTTTTACTCTGGGTCTAATTCACAAAGTCGTTCTATTGATGTCGTCGTCTTTCAGCAATGAATGAATGGATGGATGGAAGCCTTCTCACAACCTATCCTAGAAGTAGACTAGTGCGTTCTCGAGTAATTTTCCACAATGTTTACTATCTTATCTCAATCCAGCGAAAAGATTACTATACCTTTCATCTTTATTGGACTTCGTCGTGAAGAATATCGACTGAAATTCTCCTCTCCTAATACCTTTACGAGCATAACAACTCGAGAACGTTTCGGGCAACGGCTACCCATCAACTCCCCCTACCTCAAAGCTACCAACAACAATGCGTCAAATTTAGAGATCATCTTCTGGTCTCAATTTTCAGCCTCTCAGCCAGTCTCAAAGCTCCAAGAACTACTTAGGCCGCCAGATTCGAGCGAAAATGTCAACATCGACTCCCACGGCAGCCGATAAACAACAGGCAATCATCGCTGCCGCCGCTCTTTGTGACAACTTCGATTCCTTGATCTCGGACTATGGAATTCTCACTGGAGCTTTCCCTCTAGAAGATCCACACATCAAAGACTGCTTCATCTCGAGAGATATCATCACTAGCATGGAGCTGGTCGAGCTAGATGATAAGGCCAGGAAGTTGAGATCTCGGGTTGAGAAAGATGCGAGAAAGGAGAAATACCGATATACGCCACGAGAGCGCCATGAAAACGCAAGAAAATACCTTGAGAAGCGGTTTAAAGTTGTAGTTGAAGACCTGAAAGAGTTGAAGATCCACCTCGAGAGCTCGTTTCCCTTTAAATACCTGCCGAACTGCTCATACAGACTTCTAGGCGAGGTAGGAAAGCAGCCAGCTCAAGAAATCAGAGTTCCACAGGACCTGCAACAATATTTCCTCCGAGATAGCACTCTCGATAGGATATTTCCAGCACTTAATGGCTTGGTCCAATCTCCTATACCTCACGCGAGTCCCCGCGAAGAACCAGTTGAGCAATTTGCTTCTGATCCAAGCCCCTTTCAGTCTCCCCAAACGATCAAGAGAACATTCCCTCGATTCGAAAACACTTCACAGCCTTCTGATCGCAATGAGTTCATGATGTCGAGCAAGTATCTTGTCAAGCAAGCTTCAAAGTCGACTCGTCCCCGACGTCTAGTAGCAATGGGAATAGCTGAAAGAATTGCCAACACAATCTCCAACCCTCAAGAGTTCAACCACCCTTTCGGAATATTGGCGCCAGAAGTCCAGACTCCACAGCAGATCTGGCGACATCGATTCCCGAATGGATATTCCCAGTTGGAATCTGCAGAGTACACCCGAGCCTTAGAAGAGCTACTTGCGGCTTCTACTAGGAAGAGGAAATTGTTGGAGACGGCGATGTCGAAAAGGTTGAAGGCAGCCCAGGCTAAAAACAGCGCTTTGGAAGCGACGCTGAAAGAGACAAAGAAAGAGAACAAGGAATTGAAGGAGAACAATGGACAATTGGGCGAGAAGTTGGAACGGCAGAGGCGGACGATATCCAGACAGCAGACTTCTGGCCACCACCGTATATCTTTCACTGACGTAAATCTGAAGACCAAGCGGAAGCGCCACTACGATGAACTCGGTCAGGAGGTGGTCTCCAAAGAAAACAAAGACCCAGATCTGGATTTATCTACCAAGCGTCTGAGAATATCTTGAGATCAACTGCACTTGGTGGACGTGCTAGAGGTCTTGGTTGAGTATTCATTGAATGGTATGTTTTCAGTTCAGTGAATGTTGGTTTGAATGGGGAATTCACTACGAGCTGCATGGATCTGTACGACTGGAGCAATTAGTAATTCTTGTCTGGTGGATTTACTGAAAATAGAAATCAGTGTTCGAACTTCATGTGCACATGCAGCTTGTCTGTTTAAGAAGCTTATCTATAAAATTTGTTCTGCAAATCTAAGATGGTCTCATTGTAGCTTCGAGAGTCCCGACAAGGTAGACCTTTTTCTTCTCCCTGCCGAGTCGAGAATCTAATGGTGAAATCACGTCGCCAAGATACAAACAACAATCGTTTCTCGGTTCTACATTAAAACAACATCATTTAATCTCACAACCGTTCTTTCCACTGATTCAATCATATACCAAGAACCAAATCCGACATCTCATAATGCCCTCTGCGACCCCAGATAGCCCCGCTTCGAAACAGATGTCACGAGATATCTTCAAAGCTGCAGCCAGACCAGAAATTTCCAGCTCTTCAATTGACGACCAGGACAAGCGTAACATAGAGGAGCGGGGAAGTTCAGTGGAAGCAGAGGATCTGCGGGCTCGAGCAAAGTTAGCGGAGGAGATACTCCGAGATCGAGACGATGAGATCTACTACCTGAACGAGGAGGTCCTTCAACTACAGAACGAGAACGAAGATATGGAAGAGAAGCTGGACAGATACAAAGAGCTCTTCGGACCACTGCCGCCCACAGCTGAAGCCATTCAAGCCATGGAGACGAGCAGAGATCGAGTGATGCGCCAATTCTTTGGCAGACGGGGAGCCGAGGAGATGAAAAAGGATCAACAAGCACCAGTATCTCCTCGAAAGGCAAAAAAGATCAATGAAGCCAATTTTACCACCGCAAAACCAGGTCCAGCTACGGTTGAAGGCTGCTCGACCAGCACGAGGGCCTCTCACGGAATTGGAGGATTCATGGAGAAGGGGGCGGGTGTGAAGAGAGTCAAGGGAGAGCCAGATGAGGAGCGACCAGCAAAGAGAGGAAGGAGGCGACCAAGAAAATTCAGAGCAGTGGAGAAAGTCACAAACGCATTAAGGTCTGAGCGGACAGCCGTAGGGGAGAATGGCAATCCGAAGACGACGGTTGTCATTACGGTCGACTCAGACAGCGAGTGAAAGCCGAACTGGGCTTCAGAAAAGATCAAAGAGATATCAAAATGGCTTCTCAGTGTCTGAGTGGAATCTATCAGGACATTCGTGTTATTTTTCTTGCTTGCGTTGCTGGATGGGAATAAGATTAGGATTTGTAGAAGAAGGCTTTTCATGGGGTAAGACCTATATGTTTGTGTCTCACTTTGGGAATTCGTGAGGCTAGATGATAATTGAAAGAACAGGTGGCAATTGCAAGTGTGGTCTTCGTCAATTTCATCGTAGTAGAATGAATGTGGACATTGAGACAACTATCACTCCGTGGCATGATCCAAAATCTCCAGGTGAATTATTGCAATAGCTTTGTCGGTTCCATCTATCGTATCAGGCTTTCATGTCCAAAAGATAAAAAAACACCCTTTAATGAAGTTAATGAATACCAAGCTGCATGAACTTTCCGGTCAGGTACTCATAGTTTCGCCACAGAGTAAATTTCGCGCTAAGCCTCGCGTAAGATCGCGACTTCCGTAGTAAATAAAGCCGACGCGCCGGACTCTTCCATTCCTTTTTCGACACAAGTATTGAAATTCATCTGCATCATTGAACAATCGACCCCTCAAAATGGATTCCGACGATGATACTGACACCAACAAGCTGTTGCTGGGCGGCGGCGACGAACCCTTTCGGCTCCAGCCATTAGAAAGACTCGAAGGGCTAATCAGCGAGATCAACAACATCCAGGCCGCGTTGCCAGAGCTTGTAACCCTACGCAATGGTATGGAGATACTCCACCGTCAAAATATTAGTGAGTATTGATGCATAGCATATTCTCTTTTCCAACCATTGAAGATAGCTAATCCATGACTTTGAACATAGACCTCTGTGTCCGAGTAGCTATGGGGGAGATAGTGGCAAACTCTGGCACCGAAGATCCAGTTTCGAAAGAAAACAGAGCCAAAGATGCGAAGGATTTCGAAGATCTGGGTGAAAGGTAGGTCTTGACTCCCATTTCAATGACTTGAAACGCAAGAGACTTGTCGCAACAGGATGCAGGCTCTGCGGGAGGCGTTGAGAGATGGCACGATTTATCCTATATGCTTTTTATCAGAGCCATATCTGTCATTACCCAGTCTTCAATGACCCAATGCTGACAGCTGCCTCACGCAGTATTGCCAAATTACAATTTCGTCTTGAGCAACTGTCTAGCACATCAGCATACAAGAGGCTTTTGCAGCGAAAGCAGGAGCTCGAATCAGATCTCAGAATGGAAAGTGCGAAGGTACAAGCAAAGGAAGAAGCCATAGTTGACTCCATGATGATCAGAGAGAGTCTGGAGAGAGATTTGGTAAGACTTCATGAAGATCACAGCGCAGCAAGTACAACCAACGTCAAAAGTGTCAAAGCTCTAGAAGACAGAGTAAAAGAGGTCGAAAGCTCTTTGGACCGAGCTGCGAGAAAGTATGCAGACTTGGATCTGGACCACGGCAAACTTTTGGAGAAACTTCAAGGTAACAATCAGAGCACCGCAAAATGGACAGATCATAAGAAAGCTTTGGAAGCCCAAGTGGAGATCCTGCGAGGAGATAAATCGAAGCTGGAAACTGAACTTAGCAGATTACGAAGTCAATCAAGGGCACTGCAAGCCGAAAAGGAAGACCTCAGTTGCCAGGAGGCGGACTCAGAACTGAGAAGACTCAGGACTGTCAATTCGAATGTCCGAAGCGAAACCATAAGGTTGAAGACCATAGTCCGAGAACTTGAAGACAAGGCTAGCATCGCAGAGAGACTGGGTAGGTGTTTGCAGCCCCCTGAATTTACCATAAAGACAGGAGTCTTGGTTCATATACAAGGAAATGGTCCAGAAAACACATACAACAGTGGAACTGAAAGCTAATTTTTTCTTATCTGCTACAGGACCGAAGGTCAACGAGGAGCTGGAGCGTCAAAAAAGGAAAAAGAACCAGTGGAAGGAGTACGCCAATCAACTCAAGCAGTCTCTTGAAGAGAAAGAGGCGGAGTTAGAAAAGGCCCAGGCAGACAATCATGGACTTGCAACAGAGCTCAAGCGAATCTATGATCGCGCCAAGCAAGACGCTGCCAATATCTCCCGTCTGTATTTATCACACACAGATGAAGCACAAGATGAGGCTGGCGATGAGGGCGAAGACGAAGCGGAGAATGGAGGCGAAGATGCGAATGATACAGGGGATAGTTGCAGGCTGCCTGCTCTACAGGGCTTCAAGCAGCCAGTCTATAATATGGTGGTGGGGTATCGCGATGCGGGCGGCCCACGACGTCGTGTCTCACAGGGAAATGTACCGCAGGACGATTCCGAGATGCCAGACGTAGCTCTGAAGCCCAAGTCTGAGAATTTGGTGCCTCCTGGATACTCAATTGTCAAAGAGGTGAGTATCCCAGATAAGTTTACGACATTGCTAACCAGTGCAGCATTTGAGGAAAATCTCCGACCGCACGTCCCGTCCAAAGGTCGTGTCATCAGGCGATGCTGGAGGCTCTTGAAGCTACTTCTGCATTGAAGTTGAGTTTGATCGACCTTTTCATGTGTGCAAGAGTAATTCACAGCAGGAAATCGAATACTGGTAAAGTACAATCGGAAATGTACAGAGAAGGGCCCTGGCAGTAGTCTCCCATGCAACAAACCGAAGCTGACTGATAAATATTCTCTGTTGGGTTGAGCTTGTGTATGTTCTTGTTTGTATTTATCTAGGCATAGATTTGGTGTCGGATATGCTCTGCTTGCACAGATGAAAGAATGATTTGGTGACCGGTACATCTGACGATTCTGCACGGGATGCAAACGCACAGTTGAAAACACTATACCTATAATTTGTCCTTTCTCTTATTAAGAGTAGAATCGTAAATCGAAACTTTAGTTCATCTTTGCTGATCATTGTGGTTATGGTCCATGAGACCCGGTTGTACCTGGTAAGCTGGACGTCTTCGGCCACCAATCGATCAACCCACTTAATAGCACCTGCAGACACTTGGGTATTCTGATAAAAGTTCAGGCTGAGACAGGTCGTATCCAAGTTCTACCCCCTTTGATGACACATATGAGCCAGTCTCGTCAACCACTGTGAAACCAAGCCTCAGTTCACCTCCGCTGCCCTCTCATACTCATACGATCATAAATTCCAAACTGCTACGTACCAGCACTACGTAAAGACCCAATTTGTTAGACATTTTATTCAAAAGATATCGAGAAGAGCGTCATGGGCCTCAGAACCCGACGATCAGACTTTACCTGAGACGCACGAAAGCAGAAGACCACGTGTGGAAAGTGAAATAAAAAACCACGCAATTGCTAGCTAAGACCAAAACTTCGAAAGCCTATCAGCCGCCGCACAAAAGGAGGAGAGGCGAGACGTCACACGCGAGAATAATTCCTGTACGAGAGCTCTGTAGCCAAACAGATTGGGAGGAAACAAGATAGGGCTAGGAGAAATTGAAGGAAGATGAATGGGAACAGTAATGCATTAGCATGGATATGACGATGAAAACATGGTAGGCAGGAGGAGAAGCTATCTACAAAATAAGGTTGTTTATTCGATGAGTTATTGGTTGCTTGCTTCAAGGCTCCCCCAGCATGACTATGTCTATTTCAACGTTGATGTGTCTTACCAATCGAAGCTGGCTTGGTAGAACCCTATAGTCGCCGAGAATTTCTATTCACTCACTTTCTTAAATCCCCGTACATTCCATTACATATCCACGAAGACAACATCATCGTTAACTTATTCTCTTCAACAGCTAAAAATATCTCTGAAGTGGACAGCACCCCAAAAGATTCAACTGGCAAGCAGAATACATCATGGAAGCAATAACCACATCCAATATTCGTCCAGCAAGCGCTAATGCTGTCGTCAATCTCGGTGACCAGCCAGCACTGCAACCAATCTCCTCAGTTTTGAGTTCTAATACTCTACCAGGCGTAGCGTCGCACGATATCTCCCATGACAGGACAGTAGCAGCGGATCGTCCCTACCCATCGGTAACCACGGTCCGCCGGCTGGCCGAGAAGCATCCATCGGCCAAAGATGATCTTATCGAACTTGCAGATGCCCTCAAAAATCTCGAGAATTCACATCAAATACTCCTCCACTCTCGATTGAATATCATCGCCGAGAAAGATCGACTCCTAGAGGAGAAGGAGAAAATCATCCAAGACTTTAACCGCCGACTAAAGAAACGAGAGATCATCAAGCAGAATATCATCAATCAGGTCAAGGCAGAGGCTGCGCGCAAGACAGAAGAGGAAGTTCAAGCACGGATATATGTGGTCAACGAGAACTGCAATACACTTCATCTTGAAAATGCTATGCTTTTGGCTTCTGTGGATGACTTGAAAGAGAGGTTGAGGTTGACTGTTGCTGGCTTGAAAAGATCTTATGGCGAGGTTTTGAAGGAAGACTCTAAGATGGACACATTCCCGACAGATAAAGAGCCGCGTACCCCAGGGGAAAGTGATACGATCTTAGTGATGAAGGACGTTGCGGATACTCCGTTGCTTGAATTTGCTTCCAATGGTGTGGTTGAAGCACTTCTCCAGGGGTACGAGAAAAGTGTGCCAGCACACAAGAAGACTTACCGAAGCCCCTATGCGTCAAACACAACAGCAAAACGCAGTCTTCTATCGCCCGCTACGGAACAAGAAAAGATATCTTGCGCAGAGGGCGTGAGCTTTGACCAGTCATATGGTCCTTCAACCACACCCACTCCGAAATATAGCAGTCCTTATGGCAACAAAGTGAACTCCATTCAAGATTCTTTCTTGACAACTGGTCACGTCGAAAATCATAGTCCATACAACGAAAAATCACTCACGGGAGAGAAAACTTCCCAGATTTCATCCGCCGAAGATCAAGAGAAGAGCGATGACACACATCCAGAAGTTGACGTCGGCATGCGTCAAGCAATTCTACCAAGTGATCAAAACCAGACGTCATACCCAAATATCAGAGAGGTGATGGAAGATATAGATTGAAACAGACCATGAAAGATCAATTCCATCATTATCTAGCTCCCAACCCTCCTCTGAGCAGGATACCGTGTGGGCAATTGAGACAGCGCGGACATGTCACGATGACGAGGTCCACTTGGCATACAGAGACTTAATGATTCGGCTACGTGAGAAACAGTGAGTTTGTCAGCTAACACTAAGTCAGAGGATCATGTGTATTAATAAATCTTAGAGGTGTGACTTTGCGGCAGCCTTATCTTCAACCCACCAGGCTACCACAGTCGGGATAGAAATACTTCATTGAAATGCAAATTGCTTTTTTCTTTTTGTCTTCTCGCTTGCATAATGTTCATAGGGTTGAGGGTTGCAAGAAGCGATGATATGTGGCACTGGTTGTCTCCTAAGCTGGGATATAGGTCACCTATGGCTGTGAATGCAGCGGTGTCTGGCATTTTTACCTTTAGGGGGAGAATTTGCATCAATGGATATATCGTTTCAACGCGTGCATATATTTCTGGATGTACAGCAGTAAAGTCTCAGTAGGCATTCCCATCACGTATCAAGGCTCAACTGTAGGGATGTGGGGATCAGCCTTCACGTGATGAACAGCACTGAATTCGAAATAGGGGCCTGCTCGGTAAATATCTTGGCGTAAACAATGTCCTGGGTAATGTTGATTTGCGGCCCCCAAGATATGGCTTTCCTTGTTTTTACGAACTAGAGATCATCTCAAAACTCAAATCGTAAGAAAACTTTTGACTGTGTTAACATTTACTGCAGTCATGTGGTCGCTCTAGAAGTGAATTAAAAGGTGCCAGGATGGCTTGATTCCTGCAGCTACAAAAGACACACATACCATTCCTCCAAGGGGAGATCTCCGTTCCTTCTGCGACAACATAGAACAAGATAATATCAAAAATTGTTGCATTTTTTATAAAGAACCTCATTCTTGGAACGCGTATCAATATCTAGCATCTGCACGTCTTCTTGACTTCTTCATCCCAACTACCAGACATCCAACCACCAATCATTCTCGCCACTCTGCCCAAATTATCGCCCAGCTCTTCCGATTGGTCCCACGACGAGTATTTCATTCAAATCCGAATCTGACAAGCGCCATGCCTCTCTCCATCTCTCAGCCGCTCCAGAAAAGCAACCTCATATACCAAGCCCGTACCCAATCCAACAACTCGAACAAGTTGTCGTAAAAGCCGAAGAAGCTAACCCACCTGGCATAGCCAGAGTCCTACTCCGTCCAATCCAAGGAACTATCAGAGTTCGAGAACAACACTACAAGAATTGCTTGAAGGAGAAGGATACCCAGATACTCGCATTGAAGCTTGAATTATCGAAGGCAAAGCTGAGCGCCAAGGCAACAGACGAGTATTTGCTGGAGGTTAGAGGAGAACTTCAGGACGCCAAGAGGGATATGCGAAGACTGAGGAGCGAAGTAGAGCAGGATGAGAAGAAAATTTTGGAGTTGGAAACCAAGAACCTTGGTTCTGCCAAGGGTAATGGAAGGAAGATCCAGGAATATAACGATTCCATGGTGGTCCTCCAGCATGAATTGGCTACATTGGGCGACACTGTTGATGAGCAAACAGCGAAACTTTTTGACCTACACATGGAAGATATTGCACAGAGAGGAGAAATCCATCTCTTGAAGAAGGATATCGAGGCTCTGCAGAAAACTCTGGAGGTGAACAGAGCAGCTGCAGATTGGCTGGTTCAAAATGGTCCTAGTCTACAGGAGGATTTTCGAAGAATGGCAGATGAAATTGGAGAGCTAAAGTACAAGGGAGCGGACATGGCTAGATTGATGACAAAGAGTGCGCGAAAGTGGGAGCGCCGTATTCGACGGGGAACTTAACGACATTCGGGGGCGAGGACTCCAAAGATCCGGGAAGCGTAGTTCAAGTTTGAGTTAAGAGATGCAGAAGAGCTGAGCTTGATGATGGGAGGACCGTGAGTTCGTTGAGTTCGTAGGGATCGGAGAAGGGACGACTGGCTGCTATATCATCTCGGTCCAGAACAGACAGGATTCAACGAGTTGAGCAACAAGATGTGCTTGCGGATCCATATGTGGGAGTTGATAGTAGTCACCAATTCATTCTTCCAAGCGTCGGGAAAAACGAAATTCGTTGTTGGAGTACGTTTTTATTTTTATCAGCACTTCGTTACCTTCACCTACTTTCTATTGACGAACTTGCAGGATGCATCTTGCCAATGACTATTCACTCGAAAGATATATCCCGGTACGTTATCTCCCATAAAGGAAGCTGGTATGTTTGAAAGAAGTCCGGGCCTCAACTACGGCATAGTAGATTGGTTCTGTGGTTGCGGGTGAGATGTCTGATTTGTGTAGCCAGCCTTCATCCTACCCCACGTCACTAGTGCCATAGGTAAGAAGAAATACAAATAATCTGATTTCAGAAATGGTATTTTCAAGCTGATTACTTCCCCTGTACCGAATCTCATACTACTACGGCCATGATGGTTAATCCTCGTAAATATTTCTTACATCAGGTTATCTTGACTCTTCAAAGCCTCGAAGTCCAGCTCGCTATTCACTAAACTCAACGTAAGAGGAGCGCAGTAACTCTGTGACTCTAATTCGCATACTTAGGAATGGGGTTTCGCCTTTTACAACAAAACCCTCGTCAGAGTTTTCCTCTGAACAATAACCATTCTCTGCCAGTCTTCAGTCGCAAACCTCACGCAAAGTCTTCCATTCTGCACATCACATGAATAACCAATCCTAAGACCAATGAACTCGCTGTACTGGCTTGCTCCTTCGAACAACCCTCAAGAGACTACCTTCGAGACAGTCATGGCTCAATGTGAGTGGTGGAAAGTGGGAACTCGGATTGACGCTAATGTCAGCAGATGCAACAAACACTCCGCCCACTCCCGCAAAGACGATCATTTCTATCAGCAGCTCCTCTGGGACTTCTGAGAATGGCGGAGACGAATCTCAAGTCGATGGAAGGAATGACCTCGCCCTCTCCAGTGCAAGAGAACCCCACACCATCGCCAAGCCCACCCCACTCGTCAAGAGCCTCCTCGAAAACCTGAGCGGAGATCTAACCAAGATCATTAGCAGCAAAGATGATACCATTGAACAGTTATTCACCGAGTGCGAATTGGCTCGGAGGAATGCTTTGGAAGCTGAGAACTGTCACCTTCAAGAGAAAGCCGAAATACTTCAAAGAGCAGGATGCGACATCGCCAAAGGTACCGCGCGTATCTTGGAACTGCACTTGCGTGTCAAAGATCTTGAAGGAGAAAAGACAGCTCTTGCATCAACCTCTCAAGTCGAGATTTTCCAGCTCAAAAAAGACATCATTGACCTGAAGGCGTGGAAGTCCGAGGCTGAGAGCATTGTGGAGACCCTGCACAAGGAGAGAAGAGAAGCGAAAGCGGAATTCGAAGAAGAATTGGCAGCAAAGGACCATCTACTCGAGCAAGCAAAGATGAAAGCAATGGAGGATGGGAAAGGACTGGAAGCAAGAGATAAGAGTGTCAAGGAGTTGAGCAACGAGATCATCCAGCTGAATGGGCACAAAACCCAGCTCGCGAGCGAGGTCAAGGAGTTGAAAACGCGGGTGGAAGGCTACAAAAGGAAATGGGACGCATTCAAAGACAGCATGGATGAGGCTCTGTCTACAGATGAACATCTTAGTAAAAAGGCTGCCGTAGTTGAGCATTGATTACTGAGGTCGGTTGGACTGCATCCTGATCAGGGGTGAATGGGAATGGTTGGTGGCACCTAATGGTCGCATTTCAGTCTCGAAAAAGTATCATTTTTATCCATGAGAACTATTCTGCAGAAGATCTAGCATCATGCCAAAAATTGACAGAAAAGTCATTGCTTTGAAAGGAATGGAGTCATGCGGGGTGCCGACGCCTGGACTGGCCCATGGAAAGAATCTTTGGGCAGAAGTAATATTTACATACAATATCTAGCCTCTTTTTGGTGTTAGCCTGTGACGACAGATACTCGTCAGATGTTGGATGTCGTACTCCTCTAGAAGCAGATCTGTTTCCTTCTACGACTGAACAGTGCTTATGTCGGTCTCACTCATGCATTCGTTCGTATGACTGCCTGACAAAATTCATTGTTCATACTCGTTCCGGCTGGAACGTCAGCCTTTGGAGTTAATACATTGTCTCATCCTATTCTCGCTTACGACGGCTGGCTCTGGTAACGCTTGAGCCAACTCAAAAAGCCACCACTTCCTGCAAACCACTTCTCGAAAAACACAACCTGGAATCACTTTCGATCTGCAACGTAATAACTACTCGACTTACACCAACATCCAGCAGCATCCCACATGGCCCAGACAAAGCAAACGCCTGTGGTGTCCAAATCGATGGAAGAGTACAACCCTATGTGCGAAATGTCTCGTCAGCAGATGACGCAAATCACCTATCTAAGGACAAAGAATAATGTCTCAAGTCTCACATCACTAGAAGAAACTTATTCAGATGAGTCATCGGACGATGATACGCCTTTAATAGAGAAACTGAGACAACAACACGTGGCTACAAAAGTCGCTCCGAAGTCGAATTCAATAACTCCGCCAACTTCTTCCACCCCAATCCCTCGAGAGTCTCGTGCTTTGGTATTCAGTTCAAAATACAGGCGCGCCATTCCAACAAACTTCTCAGAGTCCAAATCAGAGACTCAGCCAATGGCCTCAACTCCGATCTCCGAAGGACCTGCGGGAAAATTCGCACCAATGACAATGTTCACTCCAGCGCACCGTCTTGCAGAGGAGTTGATCAATTGCGAAGAGGAAACAGCGCTAGCTTTGGCCAATAAGGAAGATCGAATCAACATCCTCAAGGAACAACTCGACAGCGAGAAGCGAAAGTCATATCAGCTTGACCATGATCTTCATACTGCAAGGAAGAAGCTTAAGATTGTCGAGAAGAGCTTGAAGACGTCAAAAGATGATATCGATAACCTGAAAAAAGAACACAAGTCTGAAAAAGATCGGATGCTGAAGATTACCAAAGACTCGCAACTGGTTTCTGAAAAGTAATCGACTGACTTGCAAAGGGCTCAAGCTGATCTTTTGCAGATGGGAAAGAAGCAGAAGGAAACTGATATCAAAATTCAGTCGTATGTTGACTCTCTTCGAAGAGCTCAAGAAATTATTAAGGAGCAACAAGCTGAAATGGAGGCTTCGGACAACCTGGGCGAAAAAGCTCTATCATCCTTGAGGTCCCTCAGAAACATGTATACGGCCAAAATTGAAGCATGCCAGGCTACCGCCAAAGATTTTCAAGTCATCATAGACGAACTAGAAGGAGAAGTTGAATTTCTCCACTCGCGAGCATCAAGGTCAAGGTCTGCAAGTGGCGAAAAGTAAGCCGAGACTGTTTGTGAGGTTGCAGGAGGCCAGAAGAGACGAGCGCCCGTGGATGCATATGCGCGCAAGAGAAAGCTCGATCGTTTCTTGGAGGATTTTAACGACAACCCGATGTCCCGAGGTTATCAGGAGAGTAAATAGAACGATGGTGAACTCCACCGATAAGTTCTTCCAGCCACCCTCTCTGCATCGGTTTACTTTCCACTTCTACAATGAAACCTTCAACTGGAGAACAACAACATTCTGTGCAACCTCAGTTGCGATCGCTCGCACATTACATCATGACCTCCATCTCCGATCTCACCCAAGCCGGATTTCAAGAGCAACCATGGTTTCTCTCCGAAATATCCCATCAGCCAACACAAAGGCCATCCAAAATGCCATAACCATCTTCCGCAGCAAACGCAAAGCTGCAACAGTTATTTCTTCCCAATCCACCGACTCCACCTGCACATTCCCGATCTACACCAACCCTAGTCTTCACAGCGTAATCGAAGACGACGACACCTTTACCGAATTTAATATTTTTCGTTACAATCCTGGCTACGAAGACTGTATGGTGAAGCTTGTTTTGGGGAGGGAGGAGGGAGAAGAGGCTGATGATACCGATGAAGAGAAGGGGGATGGAAAGAATCTCGAGACAATGGAGAAAGGAGGGGGAAAGGCAGCGGGGCAAGGGAGGTATCAGAATGGATATTATGAGGACGATGGTGAGGAGAATGGCACCATCCCCAAGGGCCCCATGCTCTGCCGATATACGAATTCCGAGCCACCAGTCAAGGTTCTCAATCAATGATCTCGCTCCCACCTTGCCTTGCTTCAATTGGTTGCTGGGCTAGATAGACAATTTCAAGGGTACCGGGAGGAGTTTGGCTGTAATTTCGTACTTGAGCATTTGTCATTTGGGAGAGCCTGCTTGGCGTGATGGATGGGTTTGGTGGGAGTCTGGAGGGATCACAACATCCGCCGTTTCTTGATCGTGTCTTCAAATTGAGCGTATACATAGCACAATTAAAATGGGATTGTGAGCACTGAAAAATTCTTCAAAACTTGTGATTCAAGTATGTCGTTTCCCAGTTGGCTGCCAAGTAGTACCATCCTCCTGCCTCCGTCAGACCAAGACAAAAAGTATATTTACCACGGTCGTCCTGGACGACATGGTGAGAACCTAACGTCTCCGGTACGCTGAGGCAGACTATTCTAGAGCTTCATATCTCTTGAGATTCACATTTCAGCTCTTTTGTATTTCTTCTTCATGAACGACTAGGCCTTCTGAGTTTATCCAGTGCCTAGTACCATTTCCTCATTTCGCAATCCTTGGAAGTTGCACTGTGTATCCATGGCAGCAAGGTATTTCAATGCCTAGAATTCAGGTCAATCTCAAAGAATTATGCCTAAAAATTCACGTTCACAATTTTGCAACGAGGAACCTGATTCTGGCTGGCTGCTGGGTAGCGTCTAGGTCGTGACCCACAGATATCACCTTAAGCGAGAAGCCTGGCAGAATTCGCCCGACCGCAGCATAAGGTAATTCCGTGGGAACCAAATTCGGGTAGTTGGAAATGGATGTAGGCACATTGTGAGTATTTCCCTTGGGATTTTAAACAATTCTCGATACATCGAGGACAAATGACGAGCTACCGAGTTCACGTCATGCTTGTTTGGCCAAGCGCAACCAAAGAAGAGAAGATTAGGGCGAAGAAGTAGGTGTATAGTGCATCACGAATGTAGACCGGGCTTGGATTTATCAGTCGGCGCGGATCTAAATTCTGCCTGGCCCCAGCCCAATGGTAGCAATGGCAAGGACCGGCGTCATGAGTGTCCCGAGTCATGGATTCGCTGTGCAGACAAAAGAATGGGATTCTATTCTTCATATGAACAATTCAGTTGACCCCAAGCCTCTCCATACCAGATCACCATCTCCAAATGTCACCATCACTCATACGCACTATACCATGGAAACACACATAACAATTGAAGGCTCTCCCGCAGAGCAAGCCAGGATACTGAAAGTGCTCAAACGTTGTGGCTTGATCAATCAGTACAACGAAATCACACCCACTCGAGCCGATGCATTCGACGCGTTCAACAAGAACCAAGAGATGCTGATAACCACATTAGAAGCACAGTGTCAAGAAAAGAATGCGCTGATCACAAAAATCGGACAAGAATCAACCGTCCATGGCGAAAAGCGCAGAGATGCAGAAATTGAAAATCGCAGGCTGGAAAAATCAAACGTAGCAAAATCCATTGTGATTAACACACTTTGAGCGATCGTCCGAGAAAGAAATCAAGTGCTGGACGAGACGGAACTCGGAGCAACAATATTGGAGGATAAGCTCCACGATGCCAATGAACAACTTGCCGCAAAGAGTAAGCAGCTTAATATGAAGGTGGCCGATGTCACTGATGTGGTGGTATCAAATCCGGATGATGAGTGCCGAAAGGTCATTGTGAAGAACAAGGAATTGGAGGAGAATATGAAAGAGTTGGAAAGTCATCAGCTGACTCTGAGCAACACAATATTCCAGCTGAAGCAGGAAAGAAAACAAAAGATTGCAAGCTGAAAGCGAGTATAGGAAGACGAGAATGGAATTACAGGAGCAAATTCTGAGTCAGTTGACTAAGAAAAACCAATTGCTGAAAATGCCGAGAAAGGAGGACCAAGAGGAGCAGGTAGCTGGAGATGACGAGGGTGAAGATGCCGACGTAAGAGCAAGAAAGAGAAGAAGGCTGGACGTAGATTGAGAAGTTTTATTTATGATGCTTCATGGCTGCCACGAAGCATGGAGTTCTGATTTGAAGTGTGTACGGCAGTAAACCGGATGAATACTTGTGTATTTTGTTCATTTTGGCTGCTGTTGTTTAGTGGCTCCTGTTTCAGTATTTCACCCTGGCAATTCACAATATATAATTCACACAAAATTCTATATTATATCACCAGCAGACTTTGGAACATTAACACACTGTGAAATTGATATTAAACACAAATGTAGAGAACGAGCAGCTATTATTCACCCAATCCAAGCCATACTCATGCTAGTGTACCTCCAACATATCTATTTGATAGATTGCTGAAGTATAACACTTCATCCAATAACCGGCTGTACGATTCAAGAAGAAAATCCAACTCTTCACGCCTTGTGAGAAACCTTGTGGCACGAATACATGTGCAGTGGAACTGGACACAAATTAAACTCCAAGGCATCTCTTTGCTGTGCGCTGTATCGCCAATACCGCTACAATGCCACGCTTAAACCCAAACCTTAGGAATTTGTCTGGTATACTGCGCTGAGTCGCTAATTCAGCTCAAATGTTACGTCAAAATCATAATCCCCGATATCACCCCAGGCATTTGTTTCATCAACATCATTTGGAGGTGCAACCGTTAACAACCTGCTCTTCAACTCTTGAATCTCGACCTCGAGGTCGGAACTCCTTTTCACCTCCTTCTCATACTTCATCCGCCAGTCTTCATTCTCCCCTGTGATTCTGGCAATCGTTTCCAACATCTTGGCTTTCGTAATAAACTTGGCGTTTTTGGCCGCTGGTTCGTTATTATTCCGTGGTTTTCGATGCTTATAGGGTGCCTTTGTTGTATCATTGGGGTCCTTGCGGGGACGGCCTCGTTTCCTCTTAGCTGGCTGAGTGGGGACTGTAGGATACGCCAATTCAGGTACCGTGCCTGGAGAGATGGTACTCCCGAAGCTAGAGGTTGGTGAGAATGGTATCTGGGCAGTGTTTGAACCCGCGAGATATTCGAAATCGTCAGGAATGGCTCTTGTACCCGAGAATTTGTCTAAGTTGTTCGTAGGAGCGGAGGCAACAAAATCAGAGTAAGCATAGCTGGATGGCATCATCGCCGTAGGAGATATTGTACCCAGTGTTGTCTCTTCGGCCTGTGGCATGTATGGGGACTGATAGTGCATCGGACTTGGAAAATTGGACTGTACCATTTTGGCACGTCAAGTTTCTAGTCCAGATGGCTAAAAATAGTCAGTGATTACCTACGAAGTCAAATGAAACCCTGCGTCTGGTGTGACTGCAAAGGAGCAATACTGACCTCTCTGGACTGTGGTGGTGGGTCGCCAAGGAAAAGTAAGGATTTCGGATTTTTGAGTAATAATGTTTCGAGAGCTAACGTCGTAATATGGAAGAGGTTTTGCTGAAGAACTTTTTGGGAGAGATGGAATTTGTGGTTCTGGTACTGCGTACAAGAAGTGTTATTGTTCAAATGGAAAGCACGACCACCAAAACTGGCCGATTGGCAACTTACGAGACGACTGTTCCTGATATGGAAAGTCCCGTTACACATCAGTGCCACTGGTTAGGTCCTCTTGACAGCTTTTATGGGACCTTTGATAGCGTAGCAGAAGAATTCGAGGCATTGTGCCGTGCATACTTGGTCCAATTTACAAGCTAGCAATTAGTTGTAACCCACAACCTGGAAAAAGAATCGTGCGCCACACGCCATTCATTTGGTAAATGATGCTTTAACAAGCCATTGCCCTTCCACAATCTTTTGATTCCGTGACAGCCATATTCTATCAATATCTATCTAAGACCAATATCAGCAACATAATGTATACTGAAATCCAGCATGCCGTCGTGGCCGTCGTGGCCGCCTCAGTGGAAGATACTATAGCCACAGAAAACATTAAGCTCAAACAAGACCTCGCAATCAACACCCGGGAGATCGACAGCCTGAAAGGACAACTCGACAATTTCGAAAGAAAATTCCGAGAATTCCGCATCTTCCACGAAAACGTCAAACGCAAGGGAGCCTCAAAACTCACACACGAAAAGACCGCCACGATCAAGACACTACAAGAGCAGCTTGAGAACAAGCAACACGACTACCAGGAGGTACTCGATGAAATCGAAATAGCTGGATATGATGCCAAGACAGCTCAAGAAGAAGTTACTCGCTTACTGACCGATATTCAAGATCTGGAGCAGCGACTCGAGGAGGAAGAGGAGACCAATCGACAGATGCAACGTCAGTTGGAGACGGCTAATCGAGAGGGTGTGGTGCTTTCAGAACAGAGGGAGAGAGATGTGAAGAGGATTGAAGAATTGGAACGAGAGCTTGAGGCTGTCAAGCGTGAGGTCAAGAAGGATCGTAAAGACAGAAGGGCACGTGAAGCTACCGGGGCAAAGGTCTCCATAAGGTTATATGCAACAGAGGAGTCCTCCTCAAATATGAGGAGATCCAAGGCTCAAAGTCGGGAAGGAAATGTGCAAGGGGGAACAGGGGGTCACACTCGTGGAGAAAGGAACGTCACGAGTGAGGATTCGAGGGAGAGTGGCATGCTACAATTACATTCATCTGAGAATTCAGAAATATTGTGGGGATTGTTAGATCGAAATATTGCTGATTTCGAGGCGGAGGAGGTTGCGAATTCTGCAACTGGAAAATTGTAGATAAAGTCATATTACTGTCAGGATGTAGATTGGCTCATCGATATCATCCACAAGATTGTATGTAGATTCTGGGGATCACTTATACTGTTTTCCCCAATCTTGTGTTATTAGATTGTGGGCTGTGGCAGACTTCAATAGCTGCCAGCCGAGTTGCAACGTGGGGACGAGGAGTCACCGCCGCCTTTCGACCTGTGAAGTACATATCATATCCGAATTCCCCAGAATAAGATGTACTATAAAGATAGTAGGGATACTACTGTGCTGCTGACGTCGATATGATGTCGTGGACAGTCTGGCCATTGAAGACCAGTTTGCACTAAATGATAGTGCCCACAAGGTCGGAAAAAACCCACCTTCCCAGGAATCTGATATCAGCCCACAAATAGAATCCACACAGACAGCAAAAATTGCGGTGAATTTTAGAATACGCTTGGAATTATCGAGTGGAGTCTATAGACTGTGAGGCTCTTAGAAAGCCGCCACAACACTAGTATCTGGCAGGCACGTGCCATCAAGACCTGCCGGCCGATTGAACAGGATGGTACATATTTTCTGTATGGGTTTCATCTGAATGAACATCGTATATGATGAGGTACTGTAAAAGAATGACCCGTAAATCTGACAGCCTTGACCTGAAGGAACGGAGAGCAGAATAAGCGAGTACTCGTTGAAGCTTGACATCATCGTAGAATTGCACTGCACAAATGAGCCTGGGACACAGAAGAAAATTAATGACATTCTGTGCCGGAAGTTTCAGAAGGACAAAGCTCTGATGGAAAGCAGGATAACATCTCAACAAATTCCCAAAACCAATAAGCATTGCCTGCTCTTCGCATCGTAGGCTTCACATTGGACACTTGCCATTAACAACTGCCCTCGCTACCACTATAATTTGCCTGACACTAAACCCAATGAGTGACTACTAAGTCCACACACACATTCAGGCTCCCCGTTGGCTGTATGAATAAGTGCGGAAGCCGGTTCACACTTTCCACCCACGCAGAGGTATTCATTCTGGAAAGAACGTCTCAAACCTTGTTCCTCTCACACATCGCACACAACCGAGGAGCAAGACACTGAAAGGACAAATATAATTACAATCAAACTCGAACGAACAAACACTTGCAAACATGGCTGGTCAAGATTTCAGGTCCACCGAGGAGATCGCAAATGAGATGTCCATTGTAAGTTCTCGACACAACAGCAGGTGAGAGGAGGAAGCAGACTGCAGACTGACACAATGAAACAGGGCAATTTCCTCGAGTCCGAGGCGAGACCAGTTTCTGCCAATGTAATGTCCCTGGTAAGTCTAATACCTCTCTCCTCTCTCTCCATACTTCCACTTCTGCGCTTCTCGGCCGCAATGAAAGGCATACCCATCTTGAGAGATGCGCCGAACTGACCCAGCGCCAGGACCATATCACCAGCAGCGACTCCTCCCCCGGGTCCCCCTCCCCCTCCTCTTCCTCGCGTAATGCCCAGCCCCGAGACCAGCGCGATCCCGAGGTCAAGAAGCTGGAAGAGGAAGTCGCTCGCTTGAAGCAGATCACCAAGAAGCAGGAGCTCGACAAGTTCTACCATGCCATGTACGACTGCGACAGCGGTTCCGAGCTGCAGGGGATGACGAAGCAGTATGAGGATCTGCTTGCTGCTGTTCGGATCCTCGCACTTGGTGATGAGGAGTTGAAGACGAAGCTCAAGGATTTGGGTGTTGATCTTCGTGAGGAGGGCACCGAGATGCGCAGAACTGACAGCAAATGGGCTAATCGGATTTGAATGGGTATTGCTTGATTGGATCATACTCAGAGTTGATGAATAATTATTTGGGAAAAGAATGATGGGACGATATCATCCTTGGTTCTGGCACTTGCCAAGACTTCGGTTTAGGTATGCTCGCCATCAGGTGTATCGATCCCATAAATACTTGTATCCATTCCAAGGTTCTCATTGGTAATACCACTCGTGAAGTGAAGCAGTAATATACACGGCCTCAGCCTCTATGCCATTCCATCCATCGCGCAGCCATGCTTGCTATTGAGACAGTCAATGAAATTATTCCCAGTCCTCCTATCTATGCCTGCCTTGTCTCACACCAACTCGCTCGTAACATTCGAGAACTCGCCCTTCTCCAACTTCGTCTTCCAGAAAATAGGGTTCGTATCGCTGAAGCCGTGCTTGACCCATCCGTCCTCCTTGACATGGTACAAGTTGATGAAACCACCGGAATAGGCATCTCTGTGTGTTGCAGCCAGAATACTTCTGCTTCCAAGCGCCAACGCCTCCTCCTCAGTCAAATCGTATCGGTATTCGGCGTCTAACACTCCGTATGCGAATGTCTGACCGGAACCAACACAGAAGAGATTGCCGCTCAGACGGGTTCCATCTGAATCAATGTAGTAAAGAGCAGGACCTTCCTCCTTGGTAACACCGGCGCACATCGTACCCATCGACAGACCCATTCCCTTGTATGAGTAGACCAGGTTTGCGAGGATTTTTGAAGCGGCTGCCACGGAGATTCGGCGCTTTTGACGGAGCTCGTGAAGTCGACATTGCATTCCCAAGTATGCGAGCCAGTATTGACAGTCCTGTAATCCAGCGAATTAGCTATCCCATCTTTTCTCTAACTTCATTCAAGCAGGGTCGCAAATCCAATGTATACGATATGGATAGGGATGAACATACAGCAGCTCCACCAGCCATTGTCCCTAGTAAACAACTGTTGATCTCAATAACCTTTTTAACCGTCTGACTCGCAATCCAGTCGCCTGCTGTCGCTCTCGAATCGGTCGCTACGATGATACCGCCTTGAAATCTGAATGCTAATGTTGTGGTACCGTGGGCAATCTTGATGGGGCAGTCTGGGTTGGCATGGTCGTCAGTCGCAGCACGAAGCCAGGCTGAGGGCTGTACAGAAACAAAACAGTCAGCAGATACTCATGGCAGATTCCTCAAAGCTCTAGGAGCTCCAGGCAAGTCTAAACATGAAGCTAGGTAACTTACTTGAGCAATAGGAGGCATGGCGAACTTCAGGGACAAGCTTGGTGTTGGCTGGTAGAGCTCCATCTGGTCTTCTTCGGCAGAGTTCTCCTTCTCGAACATTGGTCTGCTGTACTGGGCCACGAGGGTATCCATCTTGAATTGCGGTAGAAGAGTAATGCGAAGGTTTGGAATGGTGTTGTTGAGGTAATGGGGATGGATTCAGGCGTTCGTGGTTGTTGCTTTGATTGAGCTTCAGGCGACGATGTGACGCGCGACAGAGCTCGAGACACGTGACAGTGCTGACTTGGAGGTATCCACTTTTCTGCCAACATGCATCTCCACCTTGCTGCTTCCCTTCTTGTGCAGTTCACACAACTCATATCTGAGAAAGCTTTCAATCTGAGATTCTACAAATAGTCCATGGCTTGTTATATCTGCAAAATTATCATATAGCAGAAAGCACGTTTGGACCTATCGTGGCAGAGCCACATTGATACAATGACATCTCAAAACCGCCGAGAGAACCCGGATTAAATACTATCAACTGATCGCTCAGTGGGTGTCTACCGACGGCTCATCGCTTGAAGTTGCACTTGAATTTTATTCTGAGATACCAGCCTTTGGCCTCAAGGTAATCAGAACCTTTCTTGGCCAGACTGATAGGTCCACTTGGCATTACAAGTGTGTGGAGCACGCCTTTCCAGTGACCTGATCAGTCTCTGCTCAGTCGCATCACGTATAAAAGAACTGCAAGCTAGGTACAATTCACATTATTGTCTTCACTGATACTCACGATAATTCAGCATCCCATAACCGTGCTTTAGCATTTTAAATCAAAAATGGCTAAATCCGCCCCTGGAATCTTCAGCGATTTGCAACATCAGTCAGCCACAGACAGAATTGTTATCATAGGAGGAGGTATTGTAGGGTCGGCTCTGGCATATTATCTCAGCCAAAACTTCGATCCATCTCGTATTGTCCTCATTGATTCGTCCCAGTCAATTCCGCAAGGTTCGACTGCATTTGCTCCCGGATTTGTTGGACAGCTGAATACCATCAATCACCTCACCCGAGTAGCAAAAGAGAGCGTGAAAGCATATCTCCAGATCCCAGGTATGATTAGAAGTTAGCGTTTACTTCATGGCTGACGGTTTTAAGGCACATTCGATGCTGTTGGTGGCCTTGAAATTGCGAGCACCGAGGCTGGCATCGCGGAACTCCACCACCGGCGAGACCTCGCACATGCTGCTGGACTTCCAGCTAAGATCATCTCGTCTGGCGAAGCATCTAAGCTTGCGCCAAACTTCCACTCCCAAGATAGCCAGTCTCAGGCATTGTTGTTCAGCTCGGATGGTACAGCTAATGCACCTAAGATCGCCCAGTACTATCAAGGTGAGGCTGAGGCGAGAGGTGTTGTGATCTTGGAAGCCAAAGTCTCCTCTATCAAGTCAAAATTCGACAACCACTTCTCTATCACGACGGACTTGAGAAAATTGGAGGCCAAAACGGTGATTGTCGCAACTGGCATTTGGACGCAAGAACTTCTGAGGTCAATGGATATTGCCCTTCCGATTATTCCTGTTCCTCATCCTTATGCATATGGACCTTCTAGACCCGTCCGAGATATCAAACAACCATTCATACGCTGGCCCGAAAAACATATCTATGCTCGCGACCACGGTGAGTTTGATGGATTTGGCTCATATGACCACAAGCCGTCAATAGGGAAGCCTGACCAGAGCGCCTTGTGCGATCGAGTGACTGAAAGGTATGAAGACTTCGATCGAGGTCGAACATGACTAACAAGTAGCAGTACGATCCTGGACACTGCCCTCTCCATATTTCCAGACCAAGCGCAACGCCAATCCAAGACCCCATACAAAGGCTTCAACTCCATGTTCTCCATAACCCCAGATAGTCTACCGTTTGCCGGCGCGGTGCCACATATCCCGGGATTGTACGTTGCGGCTGCTGTATGGATCACCCACGGAGCTGGTGTGGCTCGGTTGGTGGCGGACCTTGTTTCCGGCAAGCCTCTAGCAGATGAAGACCGAGATGTACTGAAAGCATTCGATGTGATGCGTTTTGCTGGGCAGGAGCCGAAGGTACTCGAGACGAGGGCATTGGCGACATACAATGATATTTACAACAAGGAGGACCATAGTTAATTGTTGTCGATGTTGAATAAGAAAGCAAGGAGTGTTGCATCATCGACATGGCTGTTCAAGTGCCCATCGTATCCATGGTTTCCAATCTGTGTCCAGCTCTTCCTCGATTGCATCCAACAGCTTTTCTCCCACTGCTCTCAAGAACCAGATCCAGTCAGCCTGTTTAAGAAGAACGCAGTAAAGCGCCAAGACAACCAGAGCTTCTGGGCGACGTTCGTAAATCAGCTTCATGTACTCAGACGATACCATGCCTGGCCAGAAGTAGACCGCACTCATGATGGTGAGAGTCTGATACGGGACGAATGGCAGAGAGCAGACCCGTCTCAGCTCGTCCAGAGTCTTTATCCACTCAACCAGTCCCTCATCATCGACATCACTCTCTGACCTTTCCTTCTCCCATTTCAGTTGCACTTCGGCCAAGTGCGCATCATCCGGGTTCCAGCTCTTCTCCACAGGTAGCGCAGTCGATATCAAAACCGACGCAAACGGACCCTGTTCCAAAGCCGACCAGTTCTTCCTCAACAAATCAATCAACCCTCTCGCCATCATGAACCAATGCGGCTTGTCAAGTGACGGAATCCCCATCGACGATACGCCCAAGACGCCAGAGACGGCAAGCATGTACGGGATCATGAAACCCGCAAATGCAAACACGGCGCTGACATCTTCAGGATCGTGACGTTTAATGAGTTCCCGAAATGTAGGCAGCGCAAGACTCTCGGATCTAGATGCGAAATTCACCAATTCCTCTTTCCGAGAAGGCTGCACAGTTGAAAGATGCAATGCCGAGACGGCGAGGAGACCGTGCATTAAGAACTCATGCGAGAGAGCTATTCGCGGGATAATGATAAGCCAGAGATCCATCTTTCCAGCTCGTCCAAGCGTGGTGCTAGTCCTCTGATTATAGTGATGGAACAGTTCCAGTGATTTAGGATTTGATGATGGGAAAGGATCAGCTCGCAATCGAACGTCACGGTTGGGCCAAGATCCAGAAGGTTCGTGCCGAGTTCTAGGCATACTGGGAGTAAAGAATTCAAAGCTACATTTTAGAGCTTGTCGTTGGCAGCCTGAACATGTGGGCTTTCGCTCATCGCACTGGATGTTGGTTAGAGACGGGATAGACAGGTGTGGAGAATTCTTGGGATGAACAAACTTTCACCCTGCGGCTTTTGCATTGTTGACAGCCCACTCTAGTCTTCCTGTGGAACCGACGCATGCTATCGACTTTGAGCCTCAATCCTCCCCCCCCCTGTGCGTTGGAAACAGTTGCAGGTCTCCCCAAATGTAATCACGTTATTGTCACGGATAACTGCACATGCGGAAATCTGAGCCCGAGACGAAGGTATCCAACGAGGAGTACAAGGCCAATGGTAGAATCTCGCCTTAAAAACTTCGTACAGAGAGAAGGATGATTTGTGTCCCCCTTCAAGAACGAGGCCATTACTGTGCCACATCGCTACCCCTGAGATGGTATCCACTTCGCAACTGCGCGTCGTTCCGGTGGACTTGTGATTGGTTGAACTTTTAGTCCTCTGTTGATGTTGGTTGCAATCTTGGTTTGCAAGAAGAATGAATTTGATATGCCTTGCGGGGTTAGTATATCGGCTCTTTTTCTTGTACTTTGTACTGGTTCGTCGAATTTACGATATCATTTCGGGTGTTGTAACAAGAAATGTGTCCTGGCCCAAGTGGGTATTTCCCATACCTAGCGAGCCCCAAACATTGGCTCGGCCCGCGACAGTAGGCAAAAACCAAATACTAAGTAATACGGTACGGATTTGACGTAAATTGGCTCTTGGTAAAGAAATTCCTATTTTGACTTCCGATTAAACCCTCTCAATGTCGTCCCCACAGCTCTCTTTTCATCGTCCTGCAGCACGTCTCACGATACAACCACTAACAAGTAAGATTTTAAAACCACATTCTTCCTTTCAACACACTTCTTCCTTCTCACCCATACCGGTAGCTCACATCTCCCAGACATGATCTCCTGGGAAGCGCATTTGGTTGGGAGTAATTGGATTTATAATCCTGTTGCCTGAAGTTCTGAATGTCCTCGCTGAATATGTGGCGGAAAATTTAACGCGGCTGGGGAGATGGACTACTTCATTGGCTTGTTGGAGATACATTGTTGGTTTCCTCTTGTATCAACAGCCGTGCCCTGCAAATCTACCGGGTGAGTGCTCTGAGACAAGCGAAATGCTTCCATCACCAACAACCTGAACTTACAAGTCGTGTACAAAACACACCATCCCAAGCTTATAGATAACATACTGTTGTTAGCTCGCTGATATTTTGATTTTCCGAAGCAACTAAGGCCATGAACCGCTCAGCATTCAACAGCAACGACACAGAGAATCATGAATCCACGCTCGAAGCTTGCAGAGTTGGTGATCTATTTACGCTCCAAAAACTTCTGAGCATATCTACAAACAAGCCAATACCAGAAGCCACTGGCCTCTCACTCCTCGCCACAGGCGTTCAACACCAACACCCAAAGATCGTCACTCACCTCCTCACCACTCATCCAACCATCTCCCTCTGTCAGAGCACCGACATCGTCGCCTCCCTCCTCTCAAAGCCCAGCATCCCAATTCTTCGTCTTCTGCTAGCCCACGATTCCCATTTCGCAAACATTTCCATCGATTATGGCATGCGCACCTTCCTCACAGACGCCTGTCGTGAACCTCCCCCCAAAATCAACCCTCTGATTCACGTCCTTCTCGATACAGGTGCTGATGTTAATGACGGTATGGGACCTGGAGGTGGAGCATTGCTTGCTGCTATTTGGGGAGATCAAGGAAAAGACATTATTCTGAAGATTGTGAAGAAGGGTGGTTTTGTGGCGGGTCCGGTTCTGACTGCGGCCTTGCAGAAAGAGCGGGTGGATGTTTTGAGGATGCTTTTGAAAAGAGGAGGGGGAAACATTGACGTTGAAGATATTCTACGAAGAGTACGAGCAGGAAGCAACAAGAGGATTGAAAAGATAGTGGAGAGGTTTATGATAGAAATGGACGAAGTGACAGACGAAGAGGAGTTTCAGAAAGGGGGTACGAGGCATATATAGGTGGCAATTCTGGAAGTCTAAATAGCACATCAATAGAAAAACTGTAGTTGAGTGTGTTTTTCCCGATGGAGGAATCTTCGCAGGGAAGGATGAATGTTTCCAAGCGCCAAACATCAGAGTGAATGTCGACTCACGTGACTCTGGCTCGGAAAGTCATCTTAATGGTCAGTTCTCAAAACATGGTGGTGATTCAATTAGAGCGCTTCATAGACTATCACAACTGGAGGCTACGAAGTCGAGGGATGAAATTTGTTTAACGGTGTACAACTCAAATCCTCTCTCCAGCAAGTCATGTGCTCTAGGCGCCAGGCCGAAGTCGGCTTAGCACAGGGTCGTTTCATTGCCTTCAAACCTTCCTCGTGTCAAGCTTTGTCAATAGCCAACATTCAGTCATGAAAGACCCTATTTTCCCTGAAAATAAAACTTGATGTGTTTTTCAGAACGAGAATCCTCGATCTCTGGAGCCAAGGTTTGAAGATTTGCTATTCAGTTGACCAACTCACCCTCCATCATATCGAAGTGGCCTCCCGCGTTTTGTTGGAAATTTCGCCTGTATGTCCGTACTAATCCGACAGCCTTGTCCATTCTAATTCTCTCACCTTTATACATCAGTCGCCCACAGATCTATGTGAGCTTCAAAAAAAGCTCAGGAGTTGAGAGATCAGTTCAGCTTTTCTGATCGTGGTTCTTTCGATACCAAACACGCCCAAGCAAAGTGGCCATAACTTCGCAATGGACGTCCATATACGCAACGTCCCTCAACAGAGCACTGAGAACAGCTTGAGGAACTTCCTCAAGCCGTTTCTCTTAGCGCTGTCTATTCGATCTGTCTATTGCAACAAGCCCAAAGACAAGAAGTTCGCGTTCTTGACCTTCCTCCATCTCAACGACGCTGAGACGTTCCTCCAGAATTACGGCCAGACCAAGAACCAGACACAATATGCTGGCAGTCAACGAAGCCAGCCTCGCCCAAAAGTCACATCCGTCAATCTCAGGTTCCTCGGACAGCCAATCTACTGCCAGAAAAGCAACAATGAGGCCAATCCTTACCTGCTTCGAGTTCTTGCCAAGGAGGAGAAGGATCGCCAAACGAGAGTTACGACTATGACAACAATCGATCACTACAAACCTCAGCTTCTGCCTATAGTCTTCCAATGCACATCTGTATCATGTGGTGTATGGAGCTATTCTAGATCGAACCTTTACTTCGAGCCTCAACAGTCATGGCATTCCCCAGGTGTTTTGACATTTGGCGAGCATAGCACTATCTTGACGCTAGACTCTGGCATCAGAATCGACTTCCTGCACTTTGCTACTTTGTCAATCTCCGCTGAAGAGGGATCAATTCCGTCTTTCATATTCTCCATGCGTGAAGCTCCCCGATTTTTCCAAAAGATTCTTTCCGATCCACTGGCAGACTTGATGGCACAGCTGGGGATCCGGTCAGAAGAAATTCCAGCACAAAATCGCCGAGGAGGTCCAGAGCGACATAGACTTCCCTACTTAGATGACATGCATCAGAAAACTGCCGGAAGCTGCTTCGTGTACCGCGTTGAACTGCAGCCAGTGCCATTCGGACGAGACGATGTGACGGAGCGCATGCAGTCTCTTCGAGTCGCTCCCGGACTGCCCCGTGTAATCCATCGTCGAACAGATGTTATCCGGCCACGACAAACATTCGCGGAGGGTGTGCAAGTACTACAGACTATCCTCTCGTCAAGCACGACCACAATTCCTTTCCCATTGGCCTTCCAAATACTGAAGCTTGCCTTAGATGGCTACCTTCCTCCACTTACTGTTGTCAAGATGGTACCTGCAATCCAAGATATGGCTCGTCGAACTTCAGTTCTCATTTCTGTGAAGTCCATTCGAAAATTATTCAATCAACTCGACTACCCTGGACCTGACTCTGAGGCAACCGAATTCGAATTGAGTGAGGTATTGCAGCAACTGAAAGATAACGAGGAGCAGTGCCAGAGAGAGGACATTGCAGTCGATGAGGATCCTCAGAGATCTGGAAATATTGCTATCATACACCGTGTGAAGATTACCCCATCAGGAATGCGACTCTGTGGCCCCGACGTCGAATCAAACAATCGAGTCCTGCGCAAATATCCAAACCACCACGAATACTTCATTCGAGTCCAGTTCTCCGATGAGGATGGGCAGCCAGTCCGCTTCAATTCTCGAGTCTCGAACCAGAAAATCTTCCACGAGCGCTTCAAAGACGTGCTGCGAAAAAGCATTTCCATTGCCGGAAGAGACTTTGAGTACCTCGGTTGCTCGCATTCCTCCCTTCGTGCCCAATCATGTTGGTTCATGGCGCCCTTCGTTTGTGGGGGAAGCTTGATGTGGAGTCAAACTATGATACAAGAGCTTGGAAACTTTACTACTATCCAGTCTCCGGCAAAGTGTGCTGCCAGAATTGGTCAAGTGTTCTCTGATACAAGAACTGCAGTGGCAATTGACCCAGCCTTAGTCCGCTCGGAGAGCGACGTTGAACGCAACGGTCGTACGTTCAGTGATGGTGTGGGAACAATGTCTATCGCCATGATGGAAAGAATTTGGGACGCTCTTCCAAGGGCCAAACGTGTCAAGCCTGCTCTCTTTCAGATCAGATACCAAGGTATGTATATTATTGAAGAGATGCGAACTGCCCGCTGAGTCCATTAGGTGCCAAAGGTATGATCTCTCTCGATACAAGACTGAAAGGTGATTGTCTCGTACTACGTCCATCAATGATCAAATTCGATGGTTCGACTTGGCCGGATATCGAGATTTGTGAAGCTGCATACCAACCACTGACAATGTACTTGAATCGCCAATTCATCAAAATTCTCGAAGATCTGGGAGTTGACGACCAGTTCTTCTTGAACCTGCAGGCCCAAGAAGTCGATCGTCTGCGGTCGATAACTGAAAGCCCGATGAATGCATCAACTTTCTTGAAACGACAGTCCATCGGTACCGGTCTCCATCTGCCTTGGTTCATCAATGAGCTTGCATACATGGGCCTCGATTTCAGAAGGGACGGTTTTCTTCGAGATGTACTGGAGATGGCTCTACTTGTTGAACTTCGTCTGTTGAAGCACAAGACACGGATCCCTGTCGAAAAAGGATGGCATTTACATGGGATCATGGATGAGACAGGATTTCTGGAAGAAGGTGAAGTGTACTGCTCTGCTTTGGTTGCTGGAGTTCCGATGGCATTGACAAAGAAGAACTTAATAGTATCACGGGTAAGTGAAACAAAGGACATTGAAGTTTGAGGTTTATCGGACATGATCACGCTGCCACTACGTTCAAGCAGGAACTGATGTGTCCTAGGCTCCTGCGTTGCATCCTGGCGATGTTCAGCTGGCACATGCGGTCATCCCACCACCGGGATCACCTCTTTCCGAACTCACCAACTGCATTGTTTTTAGTAGTAAAGGCAATCGAGACCTGCCAAGTCAACTTTCCGGGGGTGATCTAGATGGAGATCGATATTATGTGATGTGGGACGATAACTGCAAGCCGAAGCGGACGTTCATGCCCGCCGACTACGCCCGCCAGCCTCCTATCGATATTCATAGGGCTGTGACGAAGGATGACATGACGGACTTCTTTATCCAATTCATGGAGACGGATCAACTTGGTCGAATTGCGGTTCTTCATCGAGTGCTTGCCGATCAGCAACCGGGTGGCACTTTGCACTTGGATTGTATCACTTTGGCAGAGATGCACTCTACTGCTGTTGACTTCTCAAAGACGGGCATTCCAGTAAGCAAATAAAGCCCTCTCCTGCAAGAAATTGATATCAATATTATGAAGCATGACTAACATGAAATTTCGCAGGTCGACATGTCTAAACTCCCCAAATACAACAAATGGCGCCCCGATTTCGAAGCTCCTGGCCCACATGTGAAGATCGAGAAGCAAGGCGGTCTTTCACTCGAGGACATCGACTATAGGGATCCCGATGATCAGGTAGACCAAGACGATGACTTTTCTAGCTATCGATACTATGAAAGCGTGAAGATCCTGGGCAAGCTATACCGCGCCATTGACGAACGAGAGGTCTTCGAACACATCAAGCATCGGTCCCTGAACCCAGAAATTAGCCGTGAGTCGACGGTTATTGATTCCGTCTGGGATCAAGTACGTGCCAAATGCGCATTATTCCAGTATAGTCACCATGTCGTGTGGGCGAGAGACATTCGCGCCATGTAAACATCCCCGCCTGCCTGAGCTCAATCTGTTCCAGACCTAACATGATGACAGGTACGAAGAAAAGATGTTGGATATCATGATCAACCACAGCGAGAACACCCTCCACGCCGTCTCCGAACTCGAAGCCTTCATTGGAAATATCCTCGGTCGCACCGGTGCCCAGAGCAAGAACCAGCGCGAGCTGTCCACAACCATGAAAGAGCGATTCGAGGAACACTCTGCCTTCATCGTCAACTGTATCGTCAAGGATGGCAGCGAGTGGTCTGAGGAATCTCTGGAACGCAGTATGGCTTGTTTGGCTGTCAGTCTTGAGAAAAAAGTGGTCTACAAACGTCATGAGAATCTGCTGAGCTTCAAATATCTTGCTGCAGCTGTCTGCTTGAGAGAGGTGGAACGAGTTCCTGGTTTGTGAACCGAGATATTATGATGATTGGGGAGATACACGTATCGGATCCGTTGAGTTGAGTTGCAGGTTTTGATGGCTATGCGGGGTAGTGACTGGGAATCATTGCAACGTGGGAGTTTGAACTGTTACTTTCTTCCTTTGACGGGCTTCATTGTCCCAGTGCATCCAGTCTTATTTGTGGATCGGAGAGATACCCTTTGTCGCAGATTAATAGGTTCTCTTAACGAATGATGAATCATGAGTACAAGCAGGCCCCAGGATCCGAACGAGAGGACTGTGTGAAATCCTTTGGCAAAGTAGCATCTCGACATTTCAAAACTTATTTTCTAAAAGTTCTTAATCTACTGAATCAAAGCTCCTCTCTCTGGGAAAGGTCTGAATTCATGACAGAGCCTCAGAACGGCTTGTTATCTTGTGGTCAAGATATCTGACACTGTGATACACTGCTACTTTTCTATGACTGCCTCTGCGTCGTATTGCTGACGCTCAATATCTTGAATATATTCGGCTCTTCAGCTGACCCTTTTCGGACGGAACAAAAGCGTAAGCGAATCAACAACGCCATGCTCAACCTGATCCTCTCCAGGAAGTCTAGATACAAGCTCGACTGCTTTAGTTAGCTTCAACTCTACTCTCACTTCGCCACCATCCTCCCCGTTCCATTCCACAGTAGCCACATTCTCCTTCCCCAAGCACACCTGGGCTTTCAGACTCTTACTCAATGCCAACCTCGGCGAGAAAAGCACCTTCTTTGCCCCAGGTTCCAAAGGCTTCACACCCGCCACCTCGGTGCAGAACTCATAAATCGGCACACTTCCCCAAGCGTGACAATCTGATCTTTGCCTCACGTCATCTTCCTCCCACGTCGTCAAATTCATTCCTAGCATCTTCCTATACGGCTCTAGCATACCCTTCCACATGGATTCGAACACCCCATGACCAGCGATGGCAAAGGCGCGGAAGGCGTAGAATTTCATCATGTATGAACATTTTGAGAATTTCGGGTTCGTGAATGCTGATGTAAGGAGACGACCATGGTCAGACGGAGGTGAAGCTCCACATAGTACAGCGAACACCTGGCAGTGTTGCGAGTAAGCTCCTTCATCAGCAATTGAAGCCAGCGAGTCTGTGAAGAACTTCCCATCGTAGCAGTGTTTTCGAATCGCTACCAACAACGCTTCAGCTCGAGATTCATACTCCACTGCATGTGCGGGTCGGCTGACTTGTCGGACAAGAAGAGCAGCCTGTTTCAGTACGTAGGCGTACAACATACTGAAATATGTATGTCGATTACTCTTTCTACCTGAAGTCGGCACGCCTTTGTCGGGATGCTCATCGGTAGCTCCCCAGGTTGTAACCCAGTCTACGTACTGCCAGCAATCATACGGCAAGCCACTTACAAGTCCCAGCTCGTCGATATGAGAGTCGAAGAATTCCAGCACGCCATCAATGCGGGGCAGAAATGATCGAGAAAACCTGACGTCCCCGAAGAAGAGGTGGTGGTCGCATACTTGCAAGATCCAGTAGAGTGAGAAACCGGCGATGATCTGTGGAACGTGAGATGGGAATCGTGATTGCGTGAGCCCTTCGGGAGTACCAGAGGAGGCGAATGTGATGATTGACTGGCGCATGAGACGGTCGTCACCGCTGAGGAGATAATGGAAGAGGCCGACGGTACGAGTATCGCCGGCATATCTGTAGATTTAATCAGTAAACTGTCTGAGAAGCAGCTATGAACAAGTACTTACTGAAGCTGCTCATAGAATGGACAATCCGAGTACCCATCAAACATACAATTTCTCATTGTTCTGATCGACACATCCCAGATTTTCTCACCGTGCTCATCTTCAGGTTCAGACCAACTTGCTTTCACCGCCATGGGATAGTTGACTTGTGTTGCTTGAAATGAAACCAATTCAACTGGCGCTGAGCCTGTGGTAAACTCCACTCGCATAATCCGGAATGTTCGAAACCAGAACGGTTCATACGTCACTGTCTCTCCCTCTTCGATATCCAGCGTCACTTCGTCAAATGGACCTAAGATATGCCCATTCGCTGCATCCAGTCTGTCTTTCTTGGTTCTGAAGAATGGATATGATCGTGGTTCTAGCTCATATCCTTCTGAATACGTGACCTTGAGACGAAGTTGTGAATTTTTCGGTGATTTGAATCTCCACTGTACGAAGGCCGTCGAATGTACATCCGCGACAAGTTCAATTATTTGAGTTGATTCTTCCGGAATAGTAAGAGATTGGTTATTAGCGAAGCAGCTCTCCCAATCTTTTGTACCGATACTGCTATGACACGTTCGCATAAGATTGACTGCAACTGAGGTTTCCTCGGGCATTGGAATAGGGCGGGGTCTGAGACGCCATGGTAGGAGATCACCATTCAGTGTCCTCATGTTGTATGGTTTAGGAATGACAGTTGAGCTTACAGTCGAAGGAGATATCCTTTCACTAATCTAGCCAAGGTCATTAGCATTATGATAGGTAAGAGAAAAGGGTAAGCTCTTACATGCAGAAAGACATCGTCCACCAGCCCCGTTGGAAACAACACGCTCTCGTCCACCTGAGCAGTCCAATGCTTTTTCGTACATAAATCCACCGCTCCAGCTCCAGAACCAATACTTCCAACGACTGTTAGTCCTGGGAAGGGAGTCCGCTCAAAAGGCATCGCTGTACGGGTTCCCGAAAAATATCGCAGTACAACGACCTCAATGCAATTTCCACCTTGTTTCAGATACGGAGCAATGTCTAACGTATCATAATACCAGATCATGAGAGAACTCCGGCTTGGCCCAGTAGCCACCCGCTGGCCATTAACGACGAGCTTGTATCTAGTGTCTGCTGAGATATACAGTATCGTATTGCTAGGTGTCGTCTGGATATCAAATTTGCGTGTGAATTTGACGATTCGTCCAGCTGTGTTAATTGATGAAGGGGAGCTGTCAATCCAGTCCGGGACCCACACCCAGTTATCATTGAGCTGGCATATAACCTGTTAGACTTTAGTACGGTACAGTTACTAAAGAAGACATGACACGAACATTTTGCTCTTCGGATAATGCCATTTTGCCTGGTTGAGGAGTTTTATGTAGACCTTGATCCTTCAATTGAAAGGCAAAACTATATAACTTCGAGCTGTGTACAAAGCCGTTTAACGATAAGCTTCTATAGCAAAACTCTTGTGATGAGGCTACAATTGAAAACGAACTTCGACTTCGGACTTTCTTGTACCGAGAGAAAAGATGGCGGCGGCTGGCACGAGATCTGAAAAGACATTGACTCCCTCGGAAACACGTCCTTCAAAAGCCATTCTCGGAAACACATGACCGGAAATCGCATCATCCTTCGCACAGGCATTACCCCGTCCTACGGTAGACTGCAATGTAAGTAGCATCCAAGGCTAAAACAAGTCAAGCGACTATTGACATATTACCCGCACCAATCAGTCAGCCCCTGGACTATCATAACTCGCCAGGCCACCCAATCGCCCTCCAAAAAGCCACAAAAGCTCGCCTTCAGTCTTCAAGCTTTCCCCGCGCTCCCCCGCCCGCTGTAAGAAGCCGAAAGCTTATGGGCTGTACAAAATGAAGCACGGAGAGGGACAAGCACTCAGGACTTGCCAATATTTGAACCCCTACTCGTGGATAATAATGCCGAGCAATACAAACCTTCATAACTTGTCGTCCAGGAAAAACAAGCTTCTAACCGTTCCTGCATTGGCTCCGTAATATCTCTGTGCCGAAAGCTATCGACCAGAGCACTGGAGATATCTGGGGACCCCACCAATCCTTTAGATACATGCGGGGGTCGGTGCATCTTCTATCATGAGATCTAGTCTACCACTCGGTTAAGATGGTGCAGCGGACTATAAGGGAGTTCTAAGATGCTGATCATTAGATAAAGATCTCTCGGACCCTGAATATCTTTTGTTCAACCTCCGCCAAGTCTTCAACTATTGATGCTGACCCCGTGATATACAAACTCTTCCCACTGAGTTCATAGCCACTCTCGATCGTCTAGATTCGACTAATCTAAGGTCGCTCCGCAACTATGGCCTCTATTCACGAAGAACCTGCTGCGGTCGCTCCCGCTCAGCCAAATGAGAAGGAAATCGAGGAATCAAAGGACAACGTAGGCACAGAGCACGACGAAGTCATGAAGCCCGGCGCGCCACAGATGCGCTCGAAAGATGATGATCTGGGTATTTGGGAAACCGTAAAACAGTATAAGCTCATCACTGCTGTGGCGATGGCTGGAGCTTTCGCAGCGAGTTTAGATGGATATCGTGGGTCTCTCTAACTTCGCATTCCCGCAAAATCTGCTCTTTGGACAAACCTTCCGTACTTTGATATCTCCACTTAAAGCGAAAATGTGCTGATCGAGCTTCGAAACAGAAATAAGTCTCAACGGCGGGATTGTATCAAACAAAGGGTTCATTCGACAATTCGCAAAGCCAGGAACCAAGATTATCGACGGGAAATATGTCTCTGCATGGGGTGGTATTCAATCCGCTGGTCAAACTATTGGTCAGATCGTACGTTCCTCTCTACTTATCATTCCCAACATAAGCTAACACGATGTAGTTTCTCCAGTTCGCGACCGACAAGCTCGGTCGCAAACCTGCTCTCCTTATTCTCTGGGTATTCCTTGTTGCGGTTCGTTCTATCCTCCCCTGCACCCCACATCCAAATCCCCCAAGAATACTACCTATACTGAAACCTGTCGTCTCCCAGAGTATTTTCGCTGAATCGTTCGCAACGCACTGGTCCCATTGGCTCGTCGCCAAACTCTTCTCGGGTGCTGGCGTGGGAATGCTTCAAGCAACAATGCCAGTTTATCTTTCCGAAATCGCACCTACGCAGTTGAGAGGATTTCTGATTAATGCGTATACTTTGTATGTTCTAGTCACAGTATCCGCTCTCCTTCACTTGATTTATGGCAGGAGTACCTGAGTCATGGTGCTAATACGTTTTCAAAACAGCTGGTTCGTCATCGGTCAACTCCTCGGTTCAGTAGCTCTCAACAGACTGAATGCGAAAAATCCTTTCGACTTCCGTGATGCGATTTACACTCAGGTATGCCTCTAATGTTTCATCAATATAGCAAAGACCTATATTCTCGAAGAAAGCTAATACATTCCCATGACAGTGGGCAATGATCGGCATGATGCTAGCTATCTTCCTCCTCATCCCCGAAACACCATGGTGGCTTGCAGGCAAAGGCAAGCTCGAAAAGGCTGAGAAGATTCTGCTGAGGTATAACGGCCATATCAAGGATTATGATGTGAAGGAACATATCGTTAGTCACACTTCCTTTTCTCTCCGCCCTACTATTGCAACATATGCTGACATGTCTTTAACAAACAGAACGTCATGACCGCAACAATCGCAGAAGAGCGCTACACGGCAGAACGCAATTCCGAAGAAGGAATTTGGGCTATCTTCCGTGGCCGAAATTTAATTCGCTTTATCATAGCTGGCTGGCCGAAGATCGTTCAGCAATTCGTGGGGTTGAGTGTCTTCAATACTTATGCGACATATTTCTGTGCGTATATATTCTCCATCCCCATAAACCATGTCCCGACCAACATGCAACTTGAACGTTCTCTTCCCAAAAGGGATTTCACTGACGAGTATCAAAACAATTAGTCCAAGCAGCTGGAAACAAAAACCCCTTCCTCGTAACCGTCATCCTCGGCTGCGTACAAATCATGTCCATGATCGTCACCTCTACCCTAACCGACTCCATCGGTCGTCGTCCACTTACCGTCTATCCCTATGCAGTCACTGTAGCCTCAGTCCTCTCCCTTGGTATTGTCGGCTGTTTTGATTACACGAAACAAGCGACGAGCTCTCTATTGGTACCTATCTTTTTCTTTCCGCTCACCTCGATGCTTACTTTTCGCCCCGCTGCCTCTTGAGCCATGTCTCAATTCGAAAGTTTGGGATAATACCTAACATTTATTACAGGTCTTCTTCGCCTGCCTCGCCACATTCTCCACCACCGGCGCCAGCGCAATCGGCTACGCCTACGCCGCCGAAATCCCCACCCAACGCCTTCGCGCTCAAACAGCTGGCTGGGCTCTTGCATCCTCAAATATGATTGCTATCATGTTTAGCTTCTGCACTCCATTGATGATTAATGGGACTGCGCATTGGGGTGTTAAGACGGGTTTCTTGTAAGTTGATTTCTCTCGCTCGCTTTATATGTTGTTTTGTTTTGTGTTCGAATAAGCGAGGACGTGGTGGAACTCTGCAAATACTTCAAGGGGAAGCTTATTCACGAGACGAAGAACTTGGCAGACTGACTTTATCGTGCTCTAGCTTCGCAGCAACAGGTTTCATAGCAGTGATCATCGCATGGTTCCTCCTCCCTGAAGTTGCACGCCGAACACCAGCTGAAATCGACGAGATGTGAGCCCCTCCCTTTGTCCCACTCATTCCTTGTCCCTATCTCAGCCTTTCATTCAGATACTGATATTGTATGTCTCAATTAGGTTCGAGAAGAAGATCAACCTCCGCAAGTTCAAAGGCTACGTCACAGATGTGCAGACACACATGGCGGATGCAAATGCAAATACAAATGCATAGGCGATTAGGTCATTCGTTCACGGAAGACCAGCAGCGTGGGAGTCTCAAAGCAGTGGAACTCCAACGTAAAGACTCTGTAAGCATTTAATAGACGATCTATCCGTACTGATGTGTATGGAATTGAGTCGACTACAATAGCCAATTCACCAAATTTCAATCTCAAAGTGGAAAACCCAAAGAATGAGAACCTGCAATATACCGTCCTTGCCTACCTGCCATGTCCCCTATCACCTTCTCACCTGCACATCTATGCCCACAAGGAGTTAATAGCTAAAACACAAAGCGAGACAACATCACAACTCCTCAACCTCAGGCCCATTCCTAGTCCTCTCCCCTGCCCATCCCTCTCCCCTCCTCCTTCTCCACCCCTCTCCCCCTCCCTTACCCTTTCTCAATCATATCCCCAACCCCAACCCCAATCTCTCACACCTTCCCTCCCCTCCACAAACTAGCCCTACTTCTCCCTCCTCTCCCTCCCCGATCCAACACCCCTGCAAACACCCACATTCTCTCCCCTCCCCCATCCCACTTCCCCCAGCCCACTCCCAAAACATAGCCCTACAAACCCCCCCATCACAAAACGCCATCTCGGGCGCACTTTTCAATCCCCCCTCACCACATATATCCCTCTCCTTAGCCAAATCCTCACACTCCCAACTCTTCCTACACGCAAACCCAACCGTGACACACACCTCTTCTACTCCATCCGGGGAGCGAATAAATGTCCTTCTCGTCTGGGGCGTGTAGCCCCCTGCGGGGCATTGCGAGGGGTAGGAGATTCCTGGATTTGTACTTCCTGATCTTGTGCCGCTGCTCTTTACATCTACATCTGGGGTATTGGCAACGCCGCCTGGGAGTTGATGTTGTAGATGGGGTTGGAGGTTTGGATGTGGATGCACGTTGCCACTGCTCTCAGTGCTGAGGTCGAGGTCGATATCAATCTCAATCTCAACCTCAACCTCAACATCCCGATCTATATCAACATATCCATATCCATGTCCATGTCCCACAGAAGCCGCCGAAACGTACAAGCCAACCGAAGCCGAAGGTAAGTCCCCCAGGGTGAAGAAAAAGGATAGATAGAGGGAGGTGGCGAGGAGGAGGAGATTCATGTTTGATATTAGTGTTGAGACAGTTGATAGCGAGGTGCAGATAGATGCAAGCAGAAACTCCACTGTGTCGTGCGCGAGGAACATAGAGATATTTTTGCGGAGAACGAGAGAGAGAATTAGGAAACCGCTTACATGTCCATGAAACTAGGCACTATACTTCCCTTTAGATTGAGATCGTCATCTCGTGCTCTTCCCAGATGTCTTGTACGACTCCTGGCGGTCTTGACTCCAACTCCACTACGATGGTCAAGGCTAGAATTCTGTGTAATGGATAGAAGTCTTTCTATTGGTAAGTCTACCATCCCCTGCATTGTAAGAAAGATGCAGTTCTACCAAACCAAACAATTGATGCTTTCACCACCCACAACTTTTACCAACCCACCCTGATACTGTTTCATAACTCATACCATTCATAGCTCATACTTCTTGACCCCATAATTCATGAGACCACACGCCCTCCACTTAAATCAATGCCGATCACCGCTTGAAATCCGTTGCCCTATTCAGATTGAAAGCAGCACTGATAAGAGCTAGATGACTGAAAGCCTGCGGAGTGTTGCCCAATTGTTCACCAGACCGAGATATCTCCTCTGAGAACATGCCAAGATGATTGCTGAAGCTAAGCATGTTTTCGAAGACATTGACTGCTCGGGGTAGGTATTTAGGTTCATAGACGCCAGCACGAGTCATTGCCTCGACAAGCCAGAATGTACACATGCTGAAGGCACCTTCACGACCACCGACACCTGAAATGGTCAGTTGGCTGTCATTGAGCGGAGGGTAATGCTAACCATCTTCAACGCGTTCTGTATCATATCGATATACCAAGCCAGTTGATGTAAGTCCACCTTTCTCGGGGGAGAGAAGAATTCTATCCATAGTTCGGAGGAATCTAGGATCATTGGGTGTGATGAAGAAAACTAGTGGTGCGATGAGAATCGAGGAATCGAGGTAATCACCACTTTCGTAGCTTTGTACAAAGCATCGAATATTTGGGCTGTAACCTAGAGGATGTCAGATGGGATGATTGATCAGGTCTGGAATCCTACCCTTGGTCATAATCTCCTCATAGATCTCATCACGAGCGGCCATCCAGGCATTCCTGTTCGGGCAGGGCAGACATCTCTTCTCAGCCAACCGAAGACCTCGATCAAATGCGACCCAAAGCATGACTTTCGAGTAAGTATAATTCTGCTTTCGACTTCGAACTTCCCAAATGGACATATCCGGTTCCTTCCAGATAGTTAAGACGTAGTCTTTTCGAGTAAGCAGAGACCGATTGTGTGTAGGACGAAGTACTGACCTAAAATCTCACGAATGGCAACCCATTGTTCCCATGTGATTGGCTTGCCATACTTGTTGTAAAGGTATATTCCGTCCATGAGTTCACCATATATGTCGAACTGAAGATGGAATGCAGCTCCATTACCAATACGAACAGGCTCACTGTCTCGGTACCCCGAAAGATGCCTATTTATGTAAGCAGTGATCACCAAACACGAGAAGCAGACTTACTTGAGCTCGATTTCTGGAATTTCGGTATCACCACGAATGGTAAACATGATTGGCAATGCCCCTTCCACAGATCTTGACTTTCTGAATCTTTCGCTTATGAACTCCATGTAAGCGTCCGCCTCTGCTGTAAAACCCATTCGAAGAAGAATATAGATTGTGAAACTTGAGTCTCGAACCCAGCAAAAGCGATAATCCCAGTTTCTACCAGTATTAGCCTTCATCCATTTAGTCAGCAGATAAGCTTACCTGACACCTCCAATGTCCTCGGGGATAGAAAAGGTGGGAGCAGCGATGATGGCACCAGTTGGCTCGTATGTGAGAAGCTTCAGAATGAGCAGACTCCTCGAGACCACTTCACGCCAGCGGCCTTTGTAAGTACTCTTGGAGATCCAGTTGAACCAGAATGTTTGAGTATCATGTTGTTGACGGTCAAGTACTTCAGTAGTCACGTCACGGGTAACGTGATTGGGGATGTCGTCGCGGAGAACAAATGAGATAGCTTGACCTTCCTCAAGATGGATATGTGCAACAATACCTATGATGGATATTAGCAGAGGAATCGAAACACAGTTATCCATCTGAGCTTGGGTGTATTTACCTGCTCCAAGCATTCCTGGGCGTGTTTCTTTGCGGAATATCACGGTTGGACAAGCTTCGGCATTTTCTTCACCATGGTCGATTGTGACATCAACTTGAAGTTTGAGATTCTTGCTGGAGAAAGTGACAGTTTTGCTCTCTAGGCATCCAGGAGGGTGGTCGGGCAGGAGAATCTCAGTAGTGTGCTCGTCCATGGCATAGTTGAAGGCAGGGAAGATCTCGACATCTGGGGTAACATTAGCCGAGCATTCATAACCTTCATTTTCCTGCAAGACAATCATCCAGAAGATCACTTCTCGAGGAGAAAATTCGGTTTTTAGGCACGGACTTACCCAGATCAACCTTCCCACGAATGCACTCAACACGTCTGACCAACCATTTCTTCAATTCATCTTGTACACTAATACCCTCGCGAAAAGGCATCTGCTTTGAAGTCTTTGTGACGATAAAGCTGTTCCTTGGACGAGGGAAGAAATCGATCAAGTCAACCACACCTTCTTCATGAATATACCGTGTTTGTAGGATATTGGACGAGGGGAGATATTGCTGCTTCGTAGTGTACTGCTTGTCGGAAGGAGGAGAAATGGTAAAATAACCACCCTTGTCTTTATCGAGAAGTCTACAAAAGACGGATGGGGAATCGAAATCGGGCCTGAGAGTGGAGTATTAGCAGATGAAGGGCGATTCGAAGGGATTTGGATGGTATTTGCATGAATCTGCTCCATTCCACGGAAAAGACAGTGTTATGCAAGGAGAGGAATGAAGCAACTTACCAACACATAAAATCTACACTACCATCAATACCAACAAGAGCACAAGTCCGCATATTACCAATCAAGCCATAATTCTCAATTGGCAGATATCCCGTCTGATTCCGTCTCGAAGTCTGAATTCCAGCGGGAGCACCCATCTTGGAGCGCTTTATTAGGAATTATTGTTGCTTTCTGGGGCGGGGCTTGCGGGGGCTATATCGTTGATTGAGAGGTTCGCGAAACCGGTTGGATCTGGAGCTGGGACTGCTTGTGCAAGAGACTCGGCAGGTGCTGGAGCTGTACCTTGATTTACAGGAGCTTGTTGGACAGTCGCAGTCGGGTTCACAGCTGATTGAATGGGCTCTGGTGGATATGCGCCGTCTGCTTGGGGAATGCCAGTAGGGGCTCTTGGAGCTTGAGGAACGGCCGAGGAAATTCCAAAGGGTGAATTACGAGGTCGTGAGAATGGAGAGCAGGCAGAACTCTCGCTGAAAGTTGGAGAGGATTGGGGTTCAGCTAAGGTTGGTGGAGGAGCTGGTGAGGTAGGACTGTTTACTAAACACCGGAAGAATGTTAGTATCTATTCCTCAATTACGAAAGAACATGTCATTGAACGCAGTACAATGTCGGTTTCGTGGAATTGGACATACCTCCCGAGGCGACACCGTTGACACCTGCGGTTGGAGGGAGGAGACTGTTATTTGAAGATGAAGGGAGAAGTCCAGGCGGGGAAGGACGTGGGATGTTTGCAGCTCCAGGAGAAGGATTGGACGCGATGAGGGCGTCGTAGGCAGTTAGTCTGGCCTGACGACGATGCTGGTCGAACGCAGCTTGTTGAGCTTCTGTTGGAGGTTGAGTTGGATTTTGGGGTGGGAGTGGGAGTGTGTTGTGTTGCTGGTGTTGAAGACCAGGAGGTGCTGATGTTCTGCGAGGAAGAGTTCCGGGAGGAAGTCTCGGACGGTTATCACGCCTCATGGTTCTCGCATTAGCTTAGACTTCGTCCTTTTCCTCCTCCTCGTCCTAGTCCTAGTCCTAGTCCTAGCTCTCCTCCTTCTCCTGTTCCCGTCTGAGACTGAGACTCGAGCTGCAGCTGGACGCGGAATCGGCGTGGGATTGGCTGGATGAGGGGCAGCTGTGTGACATGGTGGGATCCTTTGTAAGATCCAGCGTGGGGATCCAAGGCAGGGCCGGGCATTGCATTGGCTAGAAGGAAGCAGATAAAGGGGAAGGTGCATTGGCATTGACTTAGGAAGGAATGGTGCGGTACGGTGCGGTGTGGGAAAAGCTCCTACCTAGGGTTATTCAAGTGGAATTGAGGGCATTGGAATGCATCTGACGATGTTTGGTTTGGATGGCAGCTGCAGCCCGATAACGAGCGATAAGCCCCCAGGGACGGATGTCTCGGGGCCCAGCTCAGCTCAGCTCCATACAGCTCAGCGGCCCTTGTACGAGTAGCTAGAACTTAATCTGCTTCACCCCGCATTTAAATCTTGACAAACTGCATCATCTGATCCAGGGATGACCAGTGGAATGGTCAAGAAGTGGCATTAGCCTCATAAAAGAGAGGGCAGAGCAAGTGGGCAGGCGGGATACGAGACAAGACCCTGAATAAGAGACTTTTCTTCTTCTCGCTGCCTCTGCCAATGACGGTCCCTTGCACTGGCGCACCGTCTTTCTGCAGTGCAACGGCTGGAGTACCAATCTGGTGAAGACGAAGGGGAGAGCTCCGAATGGATGACTTTTTGCAAACCTAGGGAATACGCCGATGATTGTTGGAGGGTTGTTTTGAAATGGCTCGGGCGAAGCGAGCAGACAAGAGAGGGTCAGAAAGATTCCGGAGAGCACCGGTGCTGGAGAAACTGATTCCGGCACCCAAAACGTGACTCGATTGAAAATCGCAATTGACCTTCTTATGGTCGGCGGCATTTTTGCTCTGAAACATATCAATCAATTGACCTAGATGCGCACCATCCATCATCCATATCCATACCCATTCAAGAATTGTTGAAAATGGAGCGGTGATTTCATCTTCCGTCAATATCACGTGGCCATGTCCTTTCATGGATCAATTCGGGATGTGCGTTGATTGTCAGTCGTTGTCAGCCTCTTTAAGCAATCTTCTAGCTTGTCGCATGATGTGTAAGGCACTTGCATATCAACATCCAGCTACGGGAAAGTCGCCGAAAACACTACTGCCACAATTCAAACTTTCCTTCGCCTCATTAACCTTAATCGCTCAAGGTTTTCCTTCGACATAACAATCCCAATCAAAACATTGATCCTTCTATCCCCTCGCAGAAACTCAAATCGGACCAATATTAAATCCCTCAAGCAAGCTTGATCTCCATGATTTCCAACAGCTACATGGACTGGCTGACATAAGGAGGGGTCCATTCAAGTCCAGATCCACAGCAGCTCCGATTCCCCTCCGTCATTTGAGCCTTATCGCCTGAATTGGTGGGGTCAATTCTGCGGCGGCAATTGGAATTTCTCATCAGTTCTCCATTCCGAGTCAGGATACCCTTCGAACCAGCATTTCCTCCCAACTGCTGAAACAAATGTCATGAGAAACGCAATTGCTATGCTATCTCCCTAAATGGGAAGTCAATAACACCAATGAGCTTTGCATACATCTCACGATATGCCAGATTCATTTCCTCCTACTGGCTGCTCCATCCATTAATGTCGCCGGCCGGCTTCAGCTTCAGCCTTGTCCTCTGCTAATCTGGTTGGTTCGATGGATGAATCGGAAACACAAACATGACCTGCTATTTGATCCGCCGCCGTGCCCTGTCTGCCCCCCACCCAGCCGTTTCTGATTCAGACTCTTTGTAATCAGCCAGCGTCGGCTATGATGAAATGTCAACCCAACATCATGAAGTGCCTCTCTTATCAAGGTCCAGAAGAGGAAGAGACTGGACAAATTGTAGTCGGCATCAAGTGCATCACCGAGAACATGAAATGAAATGGCACTTCAATGTCCTCAGATTGACAGAATTCCATGATCTTTTCGTCCGAACTCGAATTCCCAGAAAAGTAATTCCAGTCAGTACATCTCCGCTTCCGCTCAGACGCCGACACAATACCGAAGCGTCTGCTCTCCGCGGTGATACTGTACGCCTTTCGTCTTGGACCTGAATTAGGCCCGGTCTCCTGCCCGCGTTAGAGCTACAGCACAGCTACGGCTACTGAAGGAGTAATTCTCTCCTCTGCCTCACTAAGCAAATAATTGCAGCAGAGCAGAGCTAATCAGCAGTGTCAGGAGCAGTTCAGTTCTGCCCACTCCTTACTTCGTTAGCAAGCATCAGCCAGTTGGTCCTGTCGCTGCCCCTCCATCCCGATTCATCCAGGGCCCACATCCACCTGGGCAGCACCCCTCCCAGCGACTAAGGTTACTCCTACCACTCGATCCTCGCCAACCAAAGCCCCGAGAAGCCCAGTCCCAATCCCAATCCCAGGCCCAGGCCCAGTCCCAACCCGCCTTCCTAGCCAGCCAAACCCAACCCATCTCCGTCTTAACTTCCGTCACCTGCTAGTTCTTTTCTTCCTCTTTCAACAACAAAATACCTCTCTCTCCTCTCTCCTCTCAACATCACTCTCTCCGTCTGGCCAGCTCCAACGGAATATCTGGACTTTCTTCCCATCGACCCTCTTCACATAATTGAATCTGCCCCTCCCTCAAGATGAGCGGACCAACGTAAGTACCCCTCATCTCATTCACCTCACGTCCGCCCATGAAAAAATTACCCCACCATCGCTATCGTCACTATTCATGAGCTGCCTCAACTCCCTTCAAAGGAATTAGCTGCAACATTCCATTGCACAGAGAGCTGCTTTCAGCTCTCTGTCCTCCCAGCTTTTCTTTCTTCCCAAGACCTCCTCTGACCATTCTCCTGCACAATCCAGTGCGCGCCTTGCCAGCATCAATATTGGCGGGTCCGCGCGCGGATTCCCGGATCACTCAACATCAACAGCTGCATCTACATCTGCTTCTGTTTCGTCTGCACCTGTACATACTGACAATGAGCCCAGAGGAGATTTCGGCCTCATCGGCCTGGCTGTCATGGGCCAGAATTTGATCTTGAACGCTGCTGATCACGGCTTCAACGTCGTCGCTTTCAACCGTACCGTCTCCAAGGTTGATGCTTTCCTTGCCAACGAGGCCAAGGGTAAGAATTCCTGTGATTTTCTTGCAGATTGAATTATGCTGACTCTGAAACTTCAGGCAAGTCTATCCAAGGTGCACACTCGATCGAAGATTTCGTTAGCAAGCTCAAGAAACCCCGCCGTATGATGCTCTTGGTCATGGCCGGTAAGCCAGTCGACGACTTCATCGAGACCCTCCTACCACACTGCGAGAAAGGCGATATCATCATTGATGGTGGTAACTCCCATTTCCCCGATACCAACCGCCGCACAAAATACTTGGCTTCCAAGGGTATCCGATTCGTCGGTACTGGTGTCTCCGGTGGTGAGGAGGGTGCCAGATACGGACCTTCTTTGATGCCCGGTGGAAATGAGGAGGCTTGGCCATACATTAAGGATGTTTTCCAAAGTATCGCTGCCAAGAGTGATGGTGATCACGGTGACCCATGCTGTGAGTGGGTTGGCGATGAGGGTGCTGGTCACTACGTCAAGATGGTGCACAACGGTATTGAGTACGGTGACATGCAATTGATTTGCGAGGTGTGTACTTTGAATATGGTCAATGGACTTTTTACTGACTTCCTAGGCCTACGATATCATGAAGCGTGGTCTTGGTATGCCAAACAAGGAGATTGGTGACGTTTTCACCAAGTGGAATAAGGGTGTTTTGGACAGTTTCTTGATCGAAATTACCCGCGATATTATGTACTTTAACGATGATGATGGAACTCCTCTTCTCGAGAAGATCTTGGATTCTGCTGGACAAAAGGGTACCGGAAAGTGGACTGCCATCAACGCTCTTGATCTCGGCATGCCAGTTACCTTGATCGCTGAGGCAGTTCTTGCCCGTTGTCTTTCCTCCGTCAAGGACCAACGTACCAAGGCTTCTGAAGTTCTTCAATTCGTTGGCAGACAAAGCAAGTTCGAGGGTAACAAGGAGCAATTCCTTGATGACCTCGAGCAAGCTCTGTACGCTTCCAAGATTATCTCATACTCCCAGGGCTTCATGTTGATGCAAGAGGTACGTCTGCCATATCATACCGAATCCCAAATTCTAACAAATCATAGGCTGCCAGAGAATACAAGTGGAAGCTCAACAAGCCATCCATTGCTCTCATGTGGCGCGGAGGATGCATCATTCGATCCGTTTTCCTCAAGGATATCACTGCCGCTTACAACGCCGATGACAACCTTGAGAACCTTCTCTTCAACGACTTCTTCAACAAGGCCATCCACAAGGCCCAACCCGGCTGGAGAGACGTCGTCGCCAAGGCCGCACTCCTTGGTATCCCAACCCCAGCTTTCTCTACTGCCCTCTCATGGTTCGACGGTTACCGCACCAAGGACCTCCCTGCCAACCTCCTCCAGGCCCAGCGTGATTACTTCGGTGCCCACACCTTCAAGATCAAGCCAGAGTTTGCCAATGCCAAGTACAAGGTTGGAGAGAACATTCACGTTAACTGGACTGGTCGTGGTGGTAATGTCTCTGCTTCCACTTACCAGGCATAAATTTCTGGTAGGGTTGTGGGGAGGATGATTTTGGTTGGAATGGATGACTGCAAAGCCTGTATTTAGAGTTCGCATAGGCAATGAGAAATTCGTTGTTTACTACATATCTTACAAATGTGGTGGCCAGAATACTTTACGATGTAGATGGCGACTCTTGGTGGAACCACTGGCTATGTCGAATCTCCAGATGGGTCTTGACACCTATTACTGATACTGCTTGAGGCTGGATAAATAAGATCTTTTTTTTTCCGTAAAAGCTCAACTCTATTCAGGCATCCAGAGGTGGATTTCAGGACTGGGTGCGAGTGGACGTTGCGCAGCCTTGACTGAGAAGATTTATTGCCCGGGACCTGAAATAATAACAACGTAATCGTTAAGAAGCTGTACTGTCTATCAATTGAATGATCGAGCGACCACTCAATACTTGAAGTCCACCTCGAATGATTCCAGGAAACCAGCGTCGCATTCAAGGACCTCGTCCGCAACGGGACACTATCACGTGACCATATCCGGCGCGTTTGAATTTCGAGATCACCGCGTCCTTCCTTCTCATCGCAACCCATCCAGCCCAACACAGTCCGCATCCGCTAAGGGTGCCTAACAATTCACAATGCAAATGACAGAGCCCATCCAGGGCATTCAACGGGAACTGGTAATTCTCCCACCCCTCAATGCGCATGCGCAAAGCTCAGGCCTGACTCCAATCGCAGCAAGGACATGTCCATCTCGTCTCCAGCTACCGTTTCCCTCAACTCGCACAGCTGCATCCCGACAAGGTAGCTGAGTATCTACTCGGTGCCCCGAAAATCGCGCGCGATCAAGCGACCTTCTATTGGACGTACCTCGATCGACCGGCCGATGGAACGGTGTTGCTGGTCTGGCAATCCGCGCAGCTTGGGACGGAATTTCCTAGCGATGGATACATCTGGACTCCTGGGGAGAGCTCTTTTGCGATTGAAGTGGCGGGGGGATATGTAAGTTGGATGACTTATCTGCGATATGTTGAGCATTTCCTGATGAGTTGTGGCAGACGCTGGAAATGTACCAGCAGAAGACTGGATATGGCGCAAATGAACCTGTCGCAACACATTCTCGTCGTCGATATCGTTTGATGCATTCGAGAACTAATCCAGGTGGCCCTTCGCCGGATCCTTCCTTATGGATCATACACTACACACAGTGCGAACCTCACGATCGAGTCCCGTCGAATGTCATTCCCGTCGATATGCGCGTGCGCGAGATCATGAACACAAGAGCATACCTACATTCCCACGGACAGATTGTGCAGAAGGAATTCATGCTACACGATCGTCAGAATTGGCCCTCGATCGCCTTTCCAAGAGGCCAACCGCGAGGTCAGCCAATTTACGGACAGGGTACACCGGCTCCAAGAGTTCCCCAGACGATGGCATATCCTACACAACCTCATCCTACAGCTGGACTCCCACCTTCGAAGCGAGCGAAGACTCAAGCAAGTGCTAGCCAAGCTGCTGCTTCTGCCGCCGCCGCTGCGAGCGCTGCTCCTGGTCTCGATGCCGATGATGAGGAGGACTTCTCTCGAGGTGATTACTTTGATCTATTCACGCCCCGCGATATCAGTATCGCGAGATACAAACAGAACCACGAGTGGATGGAAGAGATCCTTTCTTCGCCATACGCTATTCATCAGATCATCCCCTCTGATCTAGGACTTGGTCGACGTGGAGAGCTTCAAGGTCTTACGGATGGCATCTTCGATGCGCCTACAGATCCTGCTACGGATGTTGTGAAACACAGCTATGTTGGGCGATTGGATCCTGAGAAGGCAGAATTGTTCCGACAGAGGGCTAAAGAGCACATTGCTGAGACCAATGCTGAGATGGAGAGGATGAAAGCTAAGCATGCGAAGCGACTTGCGAAGTTCAAGCGAGGATCTGCCATCACTCAGGCGGAGAAGCAATTGCGCACTGCTGTGGAGAACCCAGATGATATGGGTCATGAGTTCTGGCGTCTCGAAGGCAAAATTGAGGAGAATGAGGAGGGCAAGGTCATCAACAAGGCTACATTACGAGTTTCTGATATTGTTGCCCAAGTTGAAGCTTCGGTTGGTCGTCATGCGGCTGCAGTCAAGGAACTCATCCGAATCCAAGATGGCGGCTTTGAAGAAGCACCTGTTATTCCATCACCTCCACCTGTCGTACCAACTCCACACGTCGCCACACCCGCTTCCCATACTGGATCTATCGGCGCTTCACAAAATGGCTCGAATGGATCACAACACAGCGGAGTTCTTGTCGGCGACGCAGATATGGATATGAGCAACTCTGCAGCTGGGCTACTCGACCAATACCACACTGGTCTCTCCTCGAACGCGACCCCCGGAACAGGTAGCAACTTCCCAACTCCACAGCCTCTTTTGCAACCACCTTCTTCGGCTGGTACCCCAAGCAATCTGCACATTGCATCTCCACAGCCTACCACCCAGGCACAAGATCAGCCGACTCCAGATGTTTCAATGTCCAACACCGCAAACGATCAAGCTCCAACAGACACAACAGGTGGAGACTGGGTCGTCGTTCCTCCCGGAGGCGTCTCACCCGCCAACTCAGGCCCGGGCTCAGGCACAGGACCAGCCCAAGCACAAACCCAACCACCACAACCCAAATCCACTTCTCCCACACCACCCCTCCCCAACCCCGTCCTCACAGACACCAACCTCAACCCATCCGCACCACCCAGCAACAACCCCTCTCCTCATCCCGCCATCACCGGCACCGGCACCGGCACAGGCACAGGCACAGGCAGCGCCCCACTATCAACCGCCAACACACCCGGTACCAACAACCCACTCCCAGATTTCCACACCTCGCCCAACGATTTCGCAGATCTAGGCGATCTCGAAGGCGCGAGTGAACTCGCCAATTACACTGGTGATCTCGGTGGTGATGGTGCGGATTTGGGGGATTTGGGACTCGACATGGATGTTGATGTTGATGCTGGGATGGATGTCGATGTCGATGTTGATGGGGGCATGGGTTTGGATGATTCGGCTTTTGGGGATGCGTTTCATGGGGTTGAGCCGAGGGGTAGTGGGGTGGGGGAGGAGGAGGGTGAGGGGCTTGGAGATGGGGAGGGGCTGGGTGGTGGGTTGTGAGGCTGAGGCGTAAGGTACGAGTTCTTATCGGAGTATATGATGAGGGACGATGAATAAAGGGGAGATGGTGTGGTTGCTACCTTCGCGTGTCAAGTGTGTACGGAAATAGGAAGTTGGAGGGAGACGTTGATCTGAGCTGTAAGATGTATAATAGACCAGTTGTGTTGTTTTTAAATCCGCTTATTTGCTTGGCTTCTAGAACATCCATTCAAGGTCCCCTTTCTATGTTTTGTTTTGTTTTGCTTTTCTTTGCTTTACTCCGTGTGCCCCCTTCTCCCCCCCCCTAGCCCGCGTAAATAAAAGTGGCCGATCGAGGCACTTCTAGAACACCAAAACTAGCGCACTAAATGATATTTTTCTCCACGCTCAAACAATCAAAACCTCTAAATCTTTTAGTATCTCTATAGAAATACTATATACGCACTTGCACCGTAGCAATTATTTTCTTGCGAAGTTGTCGTTGCGTAAATCGCGAGTTCGTGCTGCCAGAGACCTTGTCTCAATCGGCCACTTTTATTTACGCGGATAACCCCCCCCCTACTTTCTCTGCCTCTCCCTCTCTTCTCCATTTTCCACTCATTTGCTACCGAAGCAGTCATACTAATGTTAACCTCACCCCAGCACCAGCAGTGAGCCTGCGCTTACATCTTCGAATTCGCCCGCCCTTTTCAAATGCAGAAAACCCCAAGAGCGATCAGAGGCAAGCCAATAAGTCAGTTCATATGTTCATAGTCAAGTACCAATCTAAATTTCTCTCAGGATTCCAGACGTATAGAGACGACCGTATTGACATTCCCCCAAAAAGAAATTCATGATCACCAGCACCTCCTAAGCAGGCAAGGCAGGCAGGTCTTGATGTTTGTCTGTCTGTCCGACCGGAACCTCACATATACACTTTATACCTCGTACCTCATACACAACTCCCATACCTTCCTTTCCTTTTACGCCGCAACTTTGGACTGACTCCCTGCTGCTCCCGAGAAGGCTCAGGTCTCCAGAACACCTCTCTCTCACATACCACCACATACGTACGCGCACTTCCGGCACTTCCGGATACCTTCTCATCGAATCGAACTGCTCTCGCCCATCACCCATCACACACTAAAAGCTACGCTCCCGAGGAGACCCTAGATCATTCGTGCTTTCACGAACACTTTCAATTCCGATTTTGATTCGCGTCTATGGTGTTTCCAATCTCATAACTATACCTTCCCTCAGGCGTACCTTCGTCAGATAGGGGTGGGTCTCTTTCGTTTCGCTCGCTTTTCAGCGGGCGAGAGAAGCGCATACCTCTGGCCCTGAGCGTTCTTGTTGCGAAGGGTGTTACTAGACGGTCTTTCCTGTACTTCTAGAGTCGGTTGTCATTTTCTGACTCTATGAGTGGGATTTGGGGAGTGATGGAAGGTGTAGATTGGAGGGGGAGGCTGGTTGAAGCTGTTATGGGACCTTGGGTGCGGACGGAGGAGGGAAGTTGATGGTGTGCAATCTCGTTCTCTCTGTGATGGGAGAGAGATTCTGAACTCTTATATTTCCTCATCTAAGCTATAGGGGATCGGCTTAGGATTAGACGAAATAAAGTAACATGACTGGTGGACTATACTTACTTCTATATGCAGGTGGTGGATCTTGTTCGTATTATATTCGTATTGGTATTCAGAGTTCGCAAAACTAGACTCTCCTTGCCATGTCCTGAGTAATATTAGAGTTCCACACTTTCCCATGAGCCATTTTGTTTTCCGTATATTCATATATCTATCAAAGAAAGGGTCTGTCAGCAGCGCAGGGGAAAAGTCATGTAAACAAAGGAGTGGATCGTGTCTCAGATAAGCGAAAACTTCAAACAAGAGTGGAAGCAAATATTTGCTTGATTTCACAAGCTAGTATGTGCTCCAAAAATTGATAATTGATAATAAACCCCTCGAGTTGGAAGGGGAAGATCATGGAAGAGTTATCCAGCTATAACTCACGTTTACTGAACAGTTTGCAAGAACGGACTGCCCCAGAAGAAGCATGAGTGCAGAGCAAGGCGAGTTGAAAAGTGTTGATCCTAATTTCCGTTTTCGAAAAGAAATGTTTCGCAATAGTCCTATTTCTTACCCGCCGAACGAAAATCATCCGATGAAAATTGAAGAGGAAGAGAAGGGGGAGGGGGGAATGAAGTCCTGAACGTTCGCAATAGACTGCTGGCTTGTCCTCATTGAGAGTCGTCCCGAGGATAAAATTATCGAGGAGAAACAAAATAGAACAAAAAAGAAATCCGTAAAATCGGAAAATCGTAAACCGAAAGTGGAGCTTCCACCCCATGGTACTTGCTGTACGCAAATACTCGACCCGCAAATATTTCAGGTCCGCCTTCTCCCTTGCGACGTTCACAGCATCTTATGCCCTCGATGGACCCATTATGTAGCGCTTAAAGCCTTGAAGGAAGCCACCGTCTGAGCAATGCTCACAGCTAGGGAGAAGAAAGCAAGGAAGATGCTGAGAGATCCGAAGATGATGACGGCCCAGAAAGTATACTGTCAAGGTACATAGGTTAGTATCACGGCAGATGAGTATTTGTAGGAAATTTTTCTGCCTCAGGAGTGGATGATTGTAATCTTACATACATAGTTCAGCGTGTCTCTCTTGTCCTTCCAGAGCTGGCGAATCCCGCGCGGCTTCTGCGAATCCATGTAGTGTCGAAGCTGTCGGAGTCGAGTTTGAAAGACCCCAAATTGTGAGTATGAGACCAGTCTTTTGCTCAAGGCCGCTTGAAGAGTCACTTCATAATTCAGCGAACTTGTTGGGTCCCCAAGATGCATGCTTTGAATGTTTTTATAACACTTCAGCTGCTCATACAAATCAGAGAAGGGTCCGAGTGCTTGGAGCATCAAATTTCCCCAATAGACTAATGGATAATCTTTCTTCCGAACTTCACGCCTAGAGGCCGTTGCAAACAGAAACCCCCAAGTTCGTTCAATCTCACTCTTGACAGACTCATCCATGTCCGCTTCAGTACAAGGCGTCCCACAGAATCCTCCTCCAATTGCTCCAGATGCGCTATGATACTTGGTAATGATATTCACGCCTCGCCTGTTGATCTCTCAAGCCTAGAAATGCTGGGCTTGCTTAACTCACATTTGTTCCCATGTTATTATAGGAGAAGTCCACCTACGTATCACTTTTTGCCACACTACGGGAAGTGTCATTTGCTCAAGATTGAGTAATAGGTGATCTTCCAGATACAAAGTCCAGACAACACGGAGACCGCCCAGAGATGACAGAGACCGAACATTCAAGTCACCCAATCCGAAGGTGGTTCCAACAGCTATATCGCGTGCTTCGAGCGTCGCTTCTGATCTTGCTAAAAACAGTAGTCGGAACAGTTGTCGCATCGAAATCCCAAGAATCTCGTTTAACTTACGATCCGTAAAGCATGGTCGCAATAGTGCATCCAAACGTGGTTCGTACTTTCCCGTCAAGTAGCAGTCACCATAGGCATTGGTCCATGTATTTCCACCGAGCCTGAAGACTCTGTTGAACATACGCGTATATTTCAGAACTTTGCGGATGTCTGATATGTATACAGAGGGCCCTGAGCTTACTGCTGGCATTTTCAACACACTAGAGGAATAGCACCCTTGGAGTATCTCACCGAGGTTGCTTGTCTGTGCACGATACACGCAAACTGCTACCATAAGCTTCCAGTCCAGAGTTTCATCCCAAGTACTGCTGGTCTCAATACGGTTTTTGAGGATTTCATCGATGCCTGTTTTATCCGGAAATCTATCGCCGTGCCTGTCTGTGAACAGGAATGAAGATCCGCACATGTCAAGCACGAATTTTTTTCACCGATTTGGCCGACGATAATTCTTTCGACACGAAGAGTTCCCGTACTGGGAAAGTCTGTACTGAACGCCATATGTGATCAACTTCGGTCTTGAACTTCAGTGGTATCTCATAGTACGAATTTTGTAAATCGTCATCCACCTCGAAATCGTCGTGGCTGAAAACATAGTTTCCTATAGCTTCCATCGAGTCCGTCGTGTTATTCGGAGTGGGAATCTCTGGAGGACCACTTTCGAGGTCCTGACATGGAACTTCTTGGCTTCGACTCTCCCGGAGGACTTGTGCGCAGAACTCGACGAGTTGTTGAAGCTTCATGATGGGGACAGTCACTAGTTCCTCGCTTGATGTTGTTTGTCCAACTCGTGCTGTGTTCACCTCTTCAGCGATGAGCTCCTCCACATCCACTGGTGCTTGCTCTTCGTTCGAAGTAGTTGTTTCTGCTTGTGCTGTGTTCCAGTCTCCAAGACAGCCAACCAGAGCGGCCTGGACTGCGTGAACTGAGGTGCAGTCTTCGGCTACCTTCGCTAGTTCTGTTCTCGTGGAGATTTCTTTTCCCCCGCTGGTCTGTTCTTGAAATTCAAGTATATGATGACTTTCTAGTTCTGGAATTCTCGATTCAAAACAAGACTCCAAAGTTTGGGTACTCAAGTTGGTCCCCGTACCTGAGCCTTGAGGCAGTTGGTCATCACGTTCCTCGGCACTTCGCGTCCCTTTTTCGTCAATGGCGTTTATCACAAAAAGAATGAACGATTACTGGAAGATTCTTCAGGGGATTATGAGAAGCACCGCTACAGCCTCGCAGGTTGAGATTGATACTCGAGAGGTACCAGCCTGGTCAACAAAGTAGCAAGGTCACGTGAGAAGTATGACCTTCAAACGACCTGTATCAGCTCGTTGATTTTGAGCCTAGAATGACGGTATTTACGTGAGTAAAATGTATTTAAAGAAAGAATGGGCGTTGGATGATAGGAAGGAGTGATGTGCCGCGCTTGCGCCTGTTATTGTCGTCTAAAGGGCCAATCAGAACCTTGTACTTACGCCATGCAGAAAGGCTGGGCTTTTCCGTCAGCCCAACCTTGTTTCTTATCCTCACACCCTTCTTCATCCGCAACAATAATAGTTTTGTCTACAACACTCATGGAATCATATTTTCATTACTTCTCCTATTCATTCACCTGCCTTAAAAGGTTTGCAGCTGGTCCACAATGCCTTCGATTTGCCCAACAAGCTCTGAACTCCTAGCTCTCAACGATGATGACTTGGTTTTCCTACATAGGAGTGACAACAAGAGACACTTGCTTCGAGATATCAATATTAATCTCAAGTATTTTGGCCATTTTGAGATTGAACATCAGAATGGTCCTGGAAAATTAAAGGTTTCGCGGTGGCAACCAGGGACGACATCACTCTGCGGCTCGTGCTCGTTCTGCCTACTTTTGGACCAAGGAGTGCAAAGTTCGCTCGGCTCCCGCTTCTGGCCATGGAAAGACATTGCAAGACTTATGCGAGACAAGAAGCAAATGAATGTTGAGTTTGGAGTTCATCTCAATAGCTTCGCATACATCAAAGACACTTCTCCGTGGGCTGACGGACAGGAGAGCTTGAAAATTTGGAGCGTAAATTCAGTTTTCTTGAGTGGACAGTTTTCTCTACACTCTGATTTGGAATGGAACAACATAGCGGCAATTCTGGACAGTGCACTAGCTCATAGATTAGTGGAACTTGAGTTTGAAATCTTCGCGGACCAGAGCAACTCGCTTGCACAGTTCTTGGATATCCATCGGAAGCCACTTGATGCATCGCCTCTTTCAGAGAAGAATGTTTCCAATATGAGGAGATGGATGAAGGATTGCGATGAAGATCATGAATGGTGTTCTATGGCTTCGTGGATACCGACGGCAGAACATCCCAGCTTCCTCCCAACACGGCTTATTGATGTGGGAAATCCGAATACTGGGGTCGAACCACGTCTCATCTTAAGCAACACCCTTCCAAGATCGGGAAACAGCCAAGTCAACACATCGAAATATGTAGCCCTTAGCTACTGCTGGGGCTCTCCAGAGGAATCGAGCAGACTGTTGAAAACGACACACTCCACAATGCGCGAGTGGATGAACAGTATAAACTTCGGCACGCTACCACTCGCACTACAGGATGCCATCACGGTAGCACGAACACTGGAAGTCCAGTATATCTGGATTGACAGTTTATGCATCATACAAAACGACTCGGAAGACTGGCAAATCGAGTCCAGCCGAATGGCTGACATATTCAGCAACGCCTATCTCACCATTGTGGCAGCCACGGGCGACTCTTGTCACGACAGCTTTCTTTACCGACAACCCAATCAACTGACTTGCGATGTACAAGTACATTCCGAGACTTTTGGTTTGGAGGCAGGCAAGTTCAGTCTCCGTTCCAGACGACCCAGAGGAACGGAGAAGATGTCTGAGATTATTGGAAGTAGATGGATCACTCGAGGATGGACCTTCCAAGAAGAGCGTTTAGCAAGACGTGTTCTGATGTTTGGCAAAAACAAGTTCTTCCTCGACTGCCGGACCATTGAGAGGGCGGAGGATACCGAGAACTACAGATTACGACCAGACTGGGTCGGAAGTGTGTGCGGAATTCCTATAGAGGAGAACGGAGCAATTCGAGCATCGAAATATTCTCAGATGAGATCCTCCAGTGACCACTGGCAGACATTATGTAGCCACTACACCTATCGAGAACTTACGTTCGCTGCGGACAAACTGCCTGCCATATCGGGTATTGCAAATAGATTCTCGGAGAAGCTTGGAGGGGTCTATCTTGCTGGACTATGGAAGGATTACCTGATGCATGATCTTTTCTGGTACTGCGCATACCCCGCGACAAAACCGGAACAATACCGAGCTCCATCCTGGTCATGGGCTTCAGTAGACTTGAAAATCTCGTATCCCTTCTGGCGGACCTGTGAGTCGAATGGGTGTGAGATGTATTGCACCATTCTTGACGCTCAAGTTACGAATCACGGACTCGATCCATTCGGCGCTGTTGATGATGGATTCCTGAAGATGAAGGGCAGGCTACTCGAATTACAAGCTCGTCAGATACCGGACAGAAAGATGTCCCTGCCACAGTGGAGCCTTCATTTACAAGACATTGAGGTCGCTCAAGCTACCCCTGATACGGAAATGCTCGAAATCGGAGACTCGAGAGACTACTGGGCTCTGCTGTTTGCAAAATGTAAGGGAAGTGAGGGAAGCAAAGCACGCAAATCCCAAGCGAGAGGACTCTTGCTTCAAAAGTTTGAAGCGGATCGTGAAGGACTGCCTACATTCCAACGAATCGGAGTGTTCTATGTTGCGCTGACGTTTTCTGAGCAACATGGTTCGGCTGTCGATCTTTGGAGGAATTCAGCTGATGAAAGCACCATCCTGATCATCTGACGCTCTCTCACTGTGAGTTTTTTCCTCGAATGTCCACGAATGAAAGTTGATAGTAGGGAAAGACAAGTATTAATTGTTACATACAGACAAGAATATTACATTATCTAAGATGGGATATTTTTGATGTGGCGCATCCTCCGACCTGCTGCATCCAATGTGACATGCATTCATTTCCAATTCCGATCCTCATTCCAACCATGAATCAATATTAAGTATCTCGACGAGATCCTTATTCAGATTCAAGTTTCCTACAAAAGGAAAGCAAGAGCAAGAACTCCAGAGAGTCCAGCGGCGCCAGCCTTCAGCGAAGAAGCGGCACCAGTGAACTGTACGCTGGATGTGGTAGCAGATGGTGCCTCCACAGTGGTAGGGGTGGAAGCAGCGCTGGAAGTGGCCAAAGTGGTTCCGGATCCAGCCTGGCATGCAGCGAAATCCGCCGCACACTTGGACTGGTTACGGTCTCCTCCATCCTCACCGTTGCGGCACTTGTTGTACTTGTCCTGGCAAGCGTCGACTGGAGTGGTGCTAGGCGCTGGAGCAGCTGTAGTTTGAGAAGCCTGGGGGCCCTGGCATGCGGCGAACTCAGCGGCGCAGCGGGACTGGTTGCGATCTCCTCCATCCTCGCCGTTGCGGCACTTGTTGAACTTGTCCTGGCAGGTATCCACTGGAGCAGGGACATAGGTGGGAGCAGCTGGCGTGGTAGAGGCCGTAGGTCCTTTGCATGCGGCGAATTCGGCTGCGCATCTCGATTGGTTGCGGTCTCCACCATCCTCTCCGTTTCTGCACTTGTTGAATTTATCTTGGCAGGTGTCGACTGGAGCGGTGCTGTAAGTTGGAGCAGCTGGCGTGGTGGCGGTAGGCCCTTTGCATGCAGCAAACTCGGCTGCACATCTGGATTGGTTGCGGTCGCCACCGTCCTCTCCGTTACGGCACTTGTTGAACTTGTCCTGGCAAGTATCGATTGGGGTGGTGCTTGGAGTAGAAGGATAGGTCTTGGTGGATGTGCTTGCTTGGCAGGCAGCGAATTCAGCTGCGCATCTAGACTGGTTGCGGTCACCGCCGTCCTCTCCATTACGGCACTTGTTGAACTTGTCCTGGCAAGTATCGACTGGAGTGGTACTTGGGGTGGAGGGATAGGTCTTGGTAGATGTGCTTGCTTGGCAAGCAGCAAATTCGGCTGCGCATCTGGACTGGTTGCGATCGCCTCCATCTTCTCCGTTGCGGCACTTGTTGAACTTGTCCTGGCAGGTATCAACTGGGGCTGTTGGGTGTGGAGCATAGGTCGACGTGATTGTTGAAGTGGTCATGTAAACAGAAGTATGTGTCGAGGCGCCAGAGGTCATGTAAGTGGTTGCTGGGCAGACAGTGGTGTACACAGTGGTCCCAGCACCTGTGGTGTTAGAGCCGTACTGGGCTGAAGCAGCTGCAGCAAGAGCTGCCACGAGGGTGATTGAGCGGGCGACCATTTTGATAGCGAATGTGGTTACTTTGCAAAGTGAATGAATTTAGAGCAATCGATGATTTACTTGTAGCGTGGGCAGAAGCATGGAAACTGATCGATACTTATACGTAAACCTCGAAAGCATTTCATCACTCGCCACATAACAATGCCAAGAGTGTAGAACTATAATACGAGGCAACAAAACAAGCGAATACAACAACCGAGGCAATTAGCTGGAGAATGTTACAGTACTAAAGTGACTAGCGCAAGATAAACATCTTTTCATACGCCGACACTAGATGGCACGGCTTCGCACAGATGGGGAACACGAGGTCCTAACCAAGGGATGAGAGCACCGTCGCGATCTAGTGTAGCAGCTAGAAGTGCACCACCTCTCAAATAGGATTCGCCTCGGAAGAAACCCAAATGTTCTTATTGGCCTGAAGAACTGAAGATTAATGCTCATTGGAGCGCATTTCCTATTCGTGCCTGATCAAGTGGGTTTATGACCTCACTGCAGAGTCGGTTGAGCCAAGACAACACCTAACTGGCTGATCTTTCTATTTCCAGTTGCACTTCCCCTGAGAAATTACCCAAAGAACCAGTTTCTGGTAATTTAGCAAGGCTGAGTTGCTTGGAATTATTTCCGGTCCAGCTAAGTGGTTGTTCTTTATCCGAGCGCCATTTCCCTCGGGTGATGGCTGTTGGACTGGTTGGCGTCTACCATCAATTCTCTGCTTCAAAATACGAGACTTGGCATCGCATTATTGATTTTCAGTGACGTTACTTTCAGTCTACGTTTGAGATCGCCGGTGCACAGCGGTCGGACTTGGTGGTGTTGTCGCTAAGAACCTCCAGAAAATTTCGAACTTTGTTCCTATTCGCTTTTCTCAGAACTCACTGAGTGATGCATTTGGCTTTGACCTTCTCTCTTTGTTTTTTTCTTTCGGTGCCATAGTTATACATCGATGCTTACCCCAGCGCTTCGTTGCGGATGTTTGGATGTCAACAAGTCTCAGACCTTCCTAACTTGCCGCCCGCCGCCAGTGAAGCAGGGCAGACAAATGTCCGAACGAGATTAGCTCTCCTCTCTAGGATGCACTAAACGAATGTATTTAACCTTATCTGGAAGCTCAGTCTCTCTGAGGATCTGCTGCGATTCGATACGACGTTATGACGTTGAGCATATCCTCGATCCTAGCCTAGCCGAGCCGAAATCACCTAAAGTACCAATCCCAGTAGTCGTCCCGGTCGGTACTGCAGGTACTCCCCCAGCTCCATGGTTAGTCAGTGGGTCATCCTCAGGGATTTCTCAACAAATGGCAATGTTTAGATGGTGGTTTGGGGAATTCGATTGGTGCCACGTTCTCCACAGAATAACGTTAAGGCAGGGGAATTTGGTGAAGCTGGAGAAGCGAATCTTGAAAGGGAGGGAGTGCATTAGCCGACACGAGCTCGACCAAGACCTGAGCTCGATTCAGCCACTTTTCAAGCCATCTTTTAACGCGAAGGGGAGCGGACTTTATTCTCCGGACGTCATGATGTTTTCGTATCTCAACATTAGATCACGTTCCATGATCTGGTCTCAAAGTAGAGCCTTGGCACTCGTTTCCGTTAGTAAAATATTTCCCTTAAGCTTGTACCTGAATGATAGCTCGGCGCCTAGATAGCCTCCCTCGCTCAATTCACGTCATCTTTTGAACAAAGTAGGCAGAAAACAGATTTGAAGACGTCAACTCTCTACCGGTGGAAGGAAAATTTGGTTGGTTGTATGGTATTGCTCTCTCTTGCCGATGGAAGGAGAGACTTGAATACAAGGACTGTGCAACCGATGCACATATATCCTCTCTCACGCGCTATCCAGATTTCTTTTCCATCATACCGTTTCCATTCCAGCCGTAAAAACAGAGAACTAGATACTGAGTATGTTTGCGGCTCATTCCGTGGCCTCGTGAAGATGTGACATGTAATCAACGCAGCCACATCTGCTCTCGATGTAATCTACGGCTAGAAGCGCCTCCCATCACCTGTGGTTTGAGATGGTCTTGAAAATAGAAAACATCTCTAATCAATTTCATAGTATGATAATTTATCAAGTAAATAAAATCCCAAATACCTTTATCTCTTTTCTCCTCTGATGTGATTATTTTTCACACTAGACACAACAGAACAGCATGAATGATGAATTATCATAAAGGAGGAAGATATCCACCAAATATCCCTCGATCACCTTACCGTGTGTGTAGAGAGCCTCCCTTCCCCCTTCATCCTCAACCTGCCATTCAATAATTCACATCATAGCCTACAGCTCACACATCCATCAGCAACTACTCCGGCAGTAATGAAGATATCGCATACAAGATTGTCAGCCCCACAAAAAGACCCTGCTCGAAGTCTACACATTGCGGTTCTTTCGCAGCAACAACCAAAAATTGCAGATGGCTTCAATATTGAGCCTCTAGGGCTGACCCGCTCTTTAAGTGAGTGACGGGTATCAAGTGGGCGAGTAGTCACTGTTACTTGAAGTAGACAGATCGATTTGTGGCTCTCTAATTGGCTTCAGAAGATGATTTAAGGCATGGATGAATGGTTAGTTCCCGACAGGTGTTGAAATGTGACCGAAACCGAAAGTTTGTCAGACGGAATTATTCATGCCCTAACTACCTTAAGGTACTGTCAATGTAATCGTAAATGACCCGCACTTTCCAGAACTATATGTATCCTCAAAGTGGCATCCCAAAGGAGACGATGTCACCAAAAATATATCCATACCCAACACCCAATCCTAGAATCTGGGTAACAACTCACCAATCATTACGCCCCACAAACCCCAAACAAACAGTCCCAAAATACAAACACGGCCATCTGCCACACCCGTCGATTCAGCGAGCCCTACCCATAATCCCTCCGTCCACTCTCTAGCGCACCTCTACGCACAAGTTCAGCAGTCAATGATTCCCACCGGAAGCCAAGCATCAGGAAGCATAGCAACAAACCTGCAGCCATGCAGTGGTGGCTCAGCGGTGATCCACCTGGTCCTCAGGAACGTCAGAGGCATTATCCGCCGTGTGCTTTTCCGTGGGAGAAATTTCGTTGTGGGTGCAGGTGAGAGTGTTATAAGCGAAACTGGTGGGAAGTAGAGAAGAAGATTTGGAGGAAGGAGAGTTTAGCAGCATGCGAGATTTTGTGTCCTTTTTTTTTGAGAGAGAGAGAGATTTGAGTCATATAGGAGATAGTGGCACATGGAAAAATTGAAACCCTCATAATTTCACCATTTCGCAACTATTCCAACTTATCTCTAAGAACATCCGCCCTAACCCTAGCTCCACTCCTCACTAGACTCCTGCATCATCTTCCACGCCATAACATCCCGCTCAACACTGACCGTGAGATCTTTCCATCCTTCTCCACCTTCTGCTACATGTACATCTTCCCTCACAATATCAAAACAATGTCCCGCCCACTTACTAGGCCGGCACTCTTTATCATAATGTACATACGGCGGGTGCGCCTTCCAGAACGTCTTCATCAGCAAAACTTCCTCGAACGTCGTTTCCGAGCAGTCTTTTCCTCCTCTCGTGCGACGCCTCTCGGGTACCTTGGAAGATACGAATTCCTTTTTAGTGAGATTCCGTAGCACCCATGGGTGATCTCGGGGGAAGAGATACGAAGTGTCTAAGTGCTGCATCATTTCCCTCCATCTCTGCTCTGGGATCCCACTACTCCCCTTCCACATCTCAATTGCCTGGAGCCACTCCTCCTCCAAACTCGTAAAACTCTTAACTTTCTTAAAGCACCACCCCGTCCAGAAGATCTGCCTCGCAGGCGGCATCCGTATCCTATCCCCCGCATCAGCCTTCAGCACAGCAGGTGAATCAACCAAAAATTCAGGTAATTCCGTGGCGTACGAGCCTTGGAAAATGATCTTCGCACCCGCCCATGGTGCCGCGCTTTTGAGGTAGCAGCGGTGGATATGCTGTGCTACAAGATACCAGAAACTCTCACAGGTTAGTCCGAGGGCTATCATGTCGCTGGGGTCTGAGCTGATGTATGAGAGGATCATGTCGATGAGTTCGTTGGAGAGGGTGTTGAACCGGCCGCGGTGGAAATGTGAGCTGCTTTTGACGGGATGGGTTACAACGGATGAGTGGATTGGTCTGGCTAGTAGTGCCCATACATTGAAGTTTACAGTGCCGGATGAGATGTCCGTGAAAGTTGTGCCCCAGTCGTTGTCGTTCTTGGTGAACGCGTGGCGTTGTTCGAGTTCAGGAGCATAGAGTAGCCATTGTTGAGGGCTGCGCATGGTTTGGTCTACGCCTGGGGGACACATGGTGATGGAATGGTGGGTGGTTGATGGATGGTTGATGAAGAGGGAAGATGGTGTGGGAGGTGTGGGAGGTGTGGAAGAGGAAGGAGAGGGGATGGGTGATCCACTCATCTTTATATCTGTCTCGCTAGGCCCATGAAAGATTAAGCGAGGGTTGCCTAAACAAAACACGTGAGGAAACATTGGATGGAACATTGCTACAGATTAACAGTCGAGAACAAGGAAACGAGTTCACTGATCATAATGATCTTGAATCACGCCCTATTTCCTTACTCTCCTATATTTGAAGCGTCTCCGTAAAGGACTCCACCAGATAAACCGATTCCTAACATGTTTACTCTCAAAATTCCTATTTCTATTCAGCCAAAGGCCAACTAATAATGAGCTCACAAACAACGAAGTCGATTCATTCAGGAAAGTACCCCGTTGGCCCACAATAGTAACCAATAAGATGTGAAACAGGGTAATACCTGCTTCTAACTCACCCTTGCTTTCCCAACAACAGCAGCTGAGCGGAATAAAGAACGACGCCGCCACAGGGAGCACCATCATCAAAACTCTATAGTCCATGCTACCGAGCGGTTGGATGATATGATAGAAACAAAAATTCATGGAAGACTCGTTAAATATACAAAATGCGGATGCAGCATGGGAGAGCCTGGAGCACGAAGTCGAAAGTGACCGCCTGTCTCTCGTCCAGTGAAAGTTCCATCATCAGCTCCAAGATCAACCTCTACATAACCCCCTCGCCCCCTCATCAACAACACCATGTCCTTCTTCCCCTCCAACCTGCACCCCCATCGCCATTCCACTCCCCTGATGGAAAAGCACATGACAATGCAACATCCAAATCCCCACATTATCCGCTTTGAATCGTATGATCACATATCCTCTCCTCGGTACACTGACTGTATCTTTCCGTACAGGATTCGCAATATTTATTTTCGGCTTTGGCAGAGTGTCCGCATATGGATTATAGCTTCCCCATCCATGCTCTGACCGATGCGACGCTAAGACGTAGAATGAGTATCCGTGGAGGTGGAAGGGGTGGGCACCGTCGTCGAGGTTGTTGATTATTATGTCGACCCATGTTCCGTTTTCAGACTCGGACTTAGCACTAGACTGTGGTGGGAGAGGAATGCGAGGCATAAGTTGGTGTTCGTCCCATTGTGAACGCGGGAGGAAGATGAGTGGGAAGGAAGGGTTGGATTGCGGGGACCAGGTTGTGCGGTTCATGTAACCGGTGGGGTGATTGTTGGAAATGGAGAGCTTTTCCGTTTTAGCGTAGAGGAGGATGGTTTGCTGGGCAGTAGGTGGGACTGTAACTGAGAATGAGGGACTGAGTGCTGTTGCGAGGTTGAAGTCATTGAAAGGATTTTCTAAAGAGATCTTTTCGTTGAATAGAGGAGCGAAATCGAAGGCAGGGAAAGATTGGTTCGGTCGTAGAGCTTGGTTGGGGTATTTGAAGTTTCTGCAGGTATTTGTAAGCGATCAGATATGTTAGATGAGTCAGAACATCTACTCTGGATCGAGAAATATTCTCAGTTCCGGAGGGGTAAATGCAGCTTGAGGATTCCAAGTGACAAGCACGTCAACACGTTCCCCAGGATAAAGAATGCCAACGGAGCTGGCAACACGACCCAAGATGGGATACCCGCCATCAACGGTCAGTGTTTTGAGAGTAGCAGACGACAATTGCACAGTGAATCCGGCAAGGGACCTGTTTGCTGCGGTCAGATACAGGTGCAGTAAATTATGCTACGATAAACTCATACCCAACATTCACAAGCCGTACCCGTATTGGCCGCCGGTATGATTGTGATCCAAACAGACTTGGCAAACTCCTTTCCTTGCCCTGTATACATTCAACCGGTCGTGCTGGAACAGCCATCGAGCAGATGAAGTTTCCCAGACCGTTGACCAGTAAAGAGTCCGGGACTGGCTAGAGAACGCAGTCAGTAGATACATAACATAGACAGTCAGACGAACTCGCCTCATTCCCAAAACCCCTCGCGCTAGTATACCAACCCAGCACTTCATCCGCACTTCGATGATACCAGTCTCCAATCATCACCAAAACATCTCTCTCATAACCATACTCCACCAAATCGTTCCCCACCTCAACAGGTTTATGAACCACAAGCCCACCATACATCCCATCCCCCCTCTGAACCTGGGAATGCGCATGCCACCAAAAAGTGCCATAGTTCTCATCCCCAATCATGAAATCATAGGTGAATGACTCGCCTGGTGGTATAGGACATTGTGTGAATCCAACAGCACCGTCCATATTATTCGCTCCTCGCATCTCCAGCCCATGCCAGTGGATGGAGAGTCCTTCTGTAGCTAGACTATTCGTCACGTGGATGATCAGTCTGTCTCCAGGTCGACATTCGATTGTAGGGCCTGGAAATAGATCGTTGACGAGATATACGGCTTTCTTGACTCCGTCTGGGTAACTTACTCCAGATGTGATGTTCCAGTAGTGGGTTATCGTGGTGGACTGGCGCGACACGTGATCTTCCGGATGAAGCTGAATGCCAAGTATCCTCCCAGCGGATTCTGGTGTATCTGAAGCCGCTTTGGAGGAGATTGGGTTTGGTGGTACCCATGAAAGCTTTGAGATAGAACTGAGGACGACTACTGCCATGAAAATAGTGGTGAAGATTATCCCCAGGCTTCGAAGCCATCTGGTGGCATCTCGATATTTGCGTGGCTCATGGACCATTTTCTCGAAGTCATGCTGAAGTGTCTCTTCATCGTCCACCAGTCTCTGGATAGCCTCATTGTTGGTTTCGGTCGTCGATGTTGTTGAAGAGAAGCTGCTCAGCCGTCGTCGTCGCGTGTTGATCCTTGATGCCATGATCCCTGTCGCGCCTTCCATCCTCGGTTGGACTTCTCCCTTTCTCTTTCTCAACACTGATCCACGTCAGGATTTCTTCCACATGCTCTGTTTTATTTGGATCAAGTACATCGTAGTGGGTCTTTGTTTGCAGATACTGGACAGGATTCTCAAGTCCATGTTGCTCTCCCCTGAAGCTGCCAGCCCTCAAAACTTTTAATCTTCGCACGTGGGAAGCATCCACATCAATCTGCTAGAAGCAGAAGGTCGAAACCTGGATCGACAAACGGGAGGACAGAAAGCTCTGATCACCTAGAAATATACCCCGGCAATGGATCGTTGCATCCAAGGCGCACGTAGTCGACCAAAGTTGGTTCCTGCATGCCACGGGCAGAAATGCTTGGCGGTGATTGGTCTCCTTCTACAGCGTCCATCTGTAATTTACCTCAACCACTCAGTCTGGCTGAGCTTTTCGACATGAGTGGGATGATCGTGTCAAGCTTCAAGGCAGGGGCACGTTTTAACGTGTAGTGCGCGTACCCTTTTCTTTACGGACCATCCATGTGGCAATTTCCAGGCTTCGTTCGATGCTTCTGGGATGATTCTTGGGTGCCAGTCCACGAAGCTTACTTCAACACCATACTTCTTCGTTAGTGGAACCTGCAGATCCTCACTGCTCTTGTCGATAGTGCCATGCATGCAGGGACAGGAACTCTCATGACTGTTTTTGTCGGTAGCTGGTGAGGGGCAGATCTCAACGTCAATTTTAGGACGATATATAAGAATAGCATGAACCTAGAAAATGCCATGTTGAAGACGCCCAGAGAGCATCAAACAAAGTTCAAAGGATCGCAAAATGGCTATCAAGTCGTCTTTACTCTCCAAATTTGCGGTCATGTTGCCACTCCTCACTGGATCAGTGACAGCAGGCTCAATAGCTGACATCGAGCATGTCGTTCTCTTCATGCAAGGTAAGTTAAGTTTCCATAAACCTTTTTCACTGCTAACATGAATCCAGAGAATCGCGCCTTCGACCATTACTTCGGCACCATGGCAGGAGTCCGCGGATTTTCAGATCCGAACGTTCAAGTCAACTCCGGCAAGCCAGTCTGGCAACAGGATGTGAATGCTGCTTTGACGAGCAGCGCCTCATACCTCCTTCCATGGTATCTTAACTACCAAGGTGGAGACTTCTTGGAAGCTACGCAATGTATGGCTGCAGGTGACAATGGATGGGAGTCCAATCACGCTGCTCTGAATGGTGGGTTGAACAATCATTGGGCCACAGACAATACTCCCTGGAGTTGGGGCCATTACAGGAGAAGCGATATCCCGGTGCAGTTCTCAATTGCCGATGCTTGGACCATTGGAGACATGTATCAAGTAAGTTTTGCCACAATAGAACTCCCGCCAAATTATGAGACTGACGAAATGAGCAATCCGTCATCGCCTCTACCAACCCCAACCGTGTGACTTGGGCTTCAGGATCTATCAACGTTCCAGGATCACCACAAACCAAATCTCAAGGTGGCTTCCCCTATATCGACAACAACGAAACACCTGGCTGCGAGAAAGGCGGTTTCAACTGTTATCCCCTCACCTGGAAAACCACAGCCGAGATCTATCAAAATGCCAATGTCTCCTGGTCTGTATTCCAAGATAGCGACAATTTCGATGACAACCCACTCGCCTGGTTCGGTCAATTCCAAGACGCCGCCGAAACCTCTCCTCTCTACAAGCAAGGCATGGTTGGACAAAGTCTCAACGACTTCTACGCACGAGCAAAGAACGGAACTCTACCCGCAATCTCCTACATCATCGGCCCCTCAGAACTCTCAGAACACCCTCCCTACTCCCCCCGCGATGGCGCATGGCTCCAAAAGCAAATCGTCGACGCCGTCACCAAAGGAGTTGCATATTCCCAAACGGCTCTCATCATCTCCTACGATGAGACAGGAGGATGGGGAGACCACGTCACGCCCTACCACTCCCCATCCGGCACACCAGGCGAGTGGCTAGACGACCCTTACGGTAAAGTCGGATACACGTACTCTGGACCTGGGTTCCGCCTCCCATTCTACATCATCTCACCCTGGACACGAGGCGGCCGCGTCTTCACCGAACACAGCGACCACAATTCGCAAATCAAATTCATCGAGGAATGGCTCGCAGCGAAAGGTATGAACGTCGATACACCCGAAATGGTCCCCTGGAGACGAACACACATGTCTGATCTCGTCAACGCATTTGATTTCGATAACCCTGATTACTCTCTCCCTACTCTCCCCGATGCACCAGCTCCTCATAAAGACGCCAGTGGGAATTATGACGGTGCCGCGAATTGTGAGGGTCGGTATGCCATTACGAGACCTACAGTTCCGTATGACAATCAGATCGCTCCAGATAAAGTGTTCACTCTCTCCGAACAAGGCTTCAAACCTATGCGTGGCGCCCTCACAGAAGGCCGATTCATAGTTTTCGAGCTCAATGGCTGGGCACTCACCAATGCTGGTAAACCCGCCACGGACTTGACAGCCAGCAAAGCCACAGCCAATCACGAAAATATCTCCCAAAGATGGATTGTGCACCAAGCCAACAGCAACGATGAAGATGAAACGCTGTTTACGATTAGTAGTGCGAAAGATGGGAGGTATTTTGGCAGTCATACGTCGTTAGTGGATAGTGAGAAGGGGGCGCAGAAATATCAATTGCGGTTTGAGGCTGGGAAAGGGAAAGGGTATAGTTTGCAGAAGGAGAATGGGAAGTTTGTTACTGTGGATGGGAAGGGGGGTGTACAGATCTCGGGGGAGGCGAGCTATTTGCAGGCTTTTAGTGTGACTTACTCGAGTTGAGGAGGGATTGGGGTGTATCAGTACATTTTAATGGCAATAGTGTTGAATTGGCATAGGGGATCGCTCACGCGGGCTTCGAAGTCCCTCTACTCATGTCTGTGGCTGATGTCTCTGATCGTTGGTTGGGATTCAGATCCAGACCCCTCCTCTAGTTGAGCAAATCGTAGCTTGAAAAATGGGCATTTCTAAGCGCTCAGTTAATAATATAATACAAGCTTTGTACTTGATTCGGAAAGAAGTGCATCCATCCAGATCATGTGACCAGCCATACAAATACATCCACCTCCTCAGTCAACGCCCACCTTTCCCTTACAGACTTGCACTCTCCACTCAACTCCCCATCCCCCATCCCCCATCCACCTTTCACTCCCCCACCCCTACGCCACCACCCACTCACCCATTCCTCTTCTCCAACCCCCCCGCCTTCTTCCCAATACTCAGCACCCTAAAAGTCTTCTGCTTATTCCCCTTCCGATCCACCTTCGCCTCATACACCTTCCTCGCCTTCGTCTCCACCTTCTCCATCTTCATCTCCGTCGCCCGCAGCGCCCGCTGCTGCACATCCGACAATCCAATCAGGCTCGTTGACGTGCCTGGTTTGGGCACGATGCGGTGTTCGGTCCGGGGTGGGAGGTGGCTGGTGCGGACGGGTATGAGGGCTGAGGATGAGGGGGAGGAGGAGGTGTTGTTGGTTGGACGAGGTGAGTGAGACTGAGGCTGGCTCTCGATGTTTTGCTGTGGTGGTGAAGAGGAGCGTGACCTTGATAGTGATAGAGAAGTCGACATTTTGATTTTCGTGGTCCGAGTTTTGCTTCGGCGGCCCAGGATCTTGCCAGATGGTAATCGCAGCTCGCCTTCCTCCAATACCCGACCCTCACCCTTCTTCCCCTCTCCCCTTTGCTCGCAATTTTCATCATTCTCACTCCCACTTCCACCCTCCCCTCCACTCTCCCCCTCATTCTCACTCTCACTCACCTCCCAAAAATCCCCCAACTCCAACTGATCCTCCACAAGATTTAACCGACAATGCCTCTCCGCACACATATGATCCTGTACCGCCGCCCTACTACCCTTCACACTTCCGCAGGATAAGCATTCATGGAAGCAATTGATGGTTATTGACAAGTACCCCAGGAAGGAATCGATGTCTAGGAGGTGAGAGATATCTGGGATTGTGAAGTCGTGGGCCTGGGACATGTGTGTGAGGTTTGCGGGGGTTGATGTTGAGAGTTCGGGGCAGAAGAGGCATTTTGTGGGGGTGAAATCTTCGTCGTCTTCGGATGCAGATGCGGAATCTTCATCTGAGGAAGGGGACGATGACTCGGAATCAGATTTCGATTTCTGTTTCCCCGAGTTGAGAATTTGGTTCTCGAATTCTGAGCGTGGAATTGGTGGTAGTGAAGTCATTTTCCGCTTTAGGTTGTAGACACTGGGATCATTAGATTTCAGTGCAGGGGATTGACAGGTGGGATGGACGAACTGCCAATCTCCGCGCATGTGCTCGCGTTGTGCTTCTCTGGTATCGAACTGGATACCACATGTCTGGCAGCCAATCTCAATTGGCTCCATGGTTGTGTTTGTGCTCATTGTGGTTGTGGTTGTTGTTGTTGTCGATGTTGCGCCCACCATGCTAAATATCAATTGGTTGCTCGAGTTGTCGATTCGGTTGTTTTTGAGTTTTTGAAACTGCTTTAGAAGCTTGAAGTTCAAGTGAAATTGTTTGTTGATCTGATCTTTGTATTGAGGAATTGAGAGAGCTTATTTGTAGTTCTCGACTCTCGGTTATGGTTGCGTCGCCAAGAGCCCTCATTTCTCGCTTAACTGCGGGTGGCTTGATTCTCATAATGACTCATGCTGCACAGCCTTTGAGGGTGCAGTTGCGGCGATTTTGTGCACTCTTCTGTAACAAAAGATTGGCCCAATGGAGACATAATTGATGCAAGAACTCGGTTGATATCATATGTACCTGACTCACTTGAAAGTGAGCCCAGACTGTGGTCTGCTTCGGGGCTTATCACGTGACTTTCTCATCCACTCTCAAAATTGAATCCCTTCGAGGCTTCCTGATCATCGTGGCTCATACAAGGACAAAAGAATCAATTACATCCTACAATATACGTCATAATACTACAGCTCCTTGGCCAAAAGTCAATGCCAAACTTTCCAGTCTAACTGTCTCACTTCCAATCTCTCAACACCGTCTCCCCCTCCTTCACCCCTACAAACCCCAAACTCTCCTTCCAAAGTCTCTTCTGCAACCCCTCATCATTGGCCTCCGGCACAGTCTTATACAGCACCCCACCATCAACATACAACGCCTTCGGAAATTCCCCGAACTTCGTCCGATCAAAACACAAAGTCAGTAGATACCCGCCGTTCCGCTCAGGCGTGCGAAGCATCGGATTAGACGAGAAGATCCAGGCGAACCGAGCAACGAATTTGATGCATGCGAAAGAGATCTTGACAGTTGGGTCGCCGTTGCGGGTTAGGTTCGTGGCGCCTATCCAGCCTGGGTCGTGGCCGATGATGGAGATGTTGGAGAGTGAGGGGTCGGTGTTGATGCGGCGTTGGAGTTCGTGCCTGTTTAGTATCAATAACAAATCCCAAAATCCAAACACCCAACATCAATTTCCAAAAACAAGAAAGAACAATGAAGGAAAACGAAACACTCACATCCAAGCCCCCATCAAAATCTTACTCAACGCATACCTCCTCTGCCCAGTCTTAAGCACATCCCCGTCCGGAAAATCCTCTATCCCCTTGGCCATATTCTCACAACTCGTCGTCACTATCCCCGCCCTCTGCTCCTCCCGACTAAAATTCCCATTATTCACCCACCACCGCACATCCGACGACGTGCTCCCCACATAAATCACCCGCCCATGCCCCTTATCCATACTCTCCAGCAGCAACAGCGTCAACAAGAAATTAGCCAGGTAATTCACAAAAAACGTCCTCTCGAACCCATCGGCCGTAAAATGTTCCCGCGCCGTATCCTGCACGCCCGCATTCAGGATGAGTGCTGAAATGGGCGGGATGGAACCAGATGAGATGCGAGAGTTGATATCTTTTGCGAACGAGTGGATGCTGGATTGAGAAGTGAGATCTATAGCGAGGAGGATGTAGTTGTGGGATTTGGGCGCTTTGAGGAGTGCGGTTTTGAGATCTGTTGCTTTGGCGGGGTCGCGGACGGCGTAGATGGCGGAGTGGGTGTGTGCGTAGGGGGATTTGAGGAATTGGGAGATGAAGCCGAAGCCGATGCCGCCGTTGGGGCCGGTGATGAGGATTGAGCCTTCTTGGGATGACATGTTTTGGTATTTTTGGTGTTAGAGATGACTGAGGGTTGTACAGAATGAAGAATAGGAAATGGAGATGTTTGGAGCGGGTCTCGGGTATCACGCTGGACTTTGGCGAGCGGCGAAGCACCTTGCAGTCAGCACTTACATCATAACTGGCATGCTTCGCGAACCTTGGCATAGTACATATCTCAGCGCTACCCCGGACACTTTGGAAGCTAGTTTGGGACCGGGGTTGGCAGGTCATTCATTCTGGTATCATGTCATGTCATACAATCAGCAAAAGGGTATCTCAACAACAACAAAATCTAAAGATATTCAACCTCGGCCTCCACCTTCCATTTCAATGGCATGCCCTTTCCCACTTTCCGAAACATTCCCTCTACATCCCCAATCTGAATTCCAAGTTGAGCTTTTTGAGACACAAAAAGTTTCAATCGTATTCCAACATGATGGCTTTTCTTCCCTAGCCCACTGGCAGTCGAAGCTTGCATCTTGACAGTTTCCTCCAACATTTTATCATTGACTGGTAAGGCAGGCATAATCGTGGCCAAGAAGCTTGCCAGTGTGCCAATGTAATCACACCACCAAGCTGTCTCATGACCAACCAGTGCCCGAAGATTATCGTGGACTCCTCGGTCGACACGACCTAGATCATTGCCCCAACGAGCAGACATTATGAGAGCGATAACTGCTCGAATCTCGTGCGTCATTCCAGGAAGTCCGGCTAGGATCCCAGTGATGGGATTGTGCAATGCTTTAGCTGAATTTGCTCCGTCTGGGTCACCCATCGATTGCCATGTATTCCTTGCAACGAAATGTAGAAGCTCGTGTGATAGAATGGCTGGATATCCTTCTGGCATGGCCATCAGAAATATTTGAACCATACTTTTTAGAACAATCGGGTCTTGGTTTGGAGCGTGACCTGGGAGAAGTGCAAGTGGGTTGGATTCCCTAATAGCTGGTGGAAGCTTCATGTAGAGTACCCCTTCTCTGTTTCCCCCGCTGCAGAAGACAACTTGCTTGATCTTCGGGATTGCTGTATTCTGAGTCAGCGTGGGTAATGCATTTACACCAAGGCGTACATGCAACATTTTCATGACTTGGAGTTCGAAAGGGTGACTGATATGATCACTGACCTTCAACGAGGGATTGGACGACGGATACAATAGCTGGGAATTGTTCTCTCCTTCGTTTGGACATTCCAAAGATCTTGCCCTCTTCATAGTTGTTAACATGCAGCATTTCTTGCCATTTGATGAACCGGCTCCCAGGTACAGTATAACCACCAATAGCAGGTATGGGGTATGGCTGTATTGGATCGGTATGCATCTGAAAGAATGTCAGATGAGGTCATTGTTCTTGAATCAATTTGGATCTTGGGCAGAAAAATGTCGTACCAGCATGCTTCCATATCCTCGAAATCCTCCACCACAGAAATATATGGTGATGCCCTCTTTACTCTCTGATTGTCGTTTGAGATTTGGAAACTTTGAGATCAACTCGTCATACGTCTCCTTCATCCGGGTTCTTAACTCGGTTTTTGTTGAATGGGCAGTACCTGAGATGCCGTTCAGTCAGTCAAGATGTCCCAGATTGGTTGACGACAATCGAGATACGCAAATGCACCATGATGCATTGGATACCCTTAGGAAATATGCCAACCAAATCCGTCAGAGAAAAAATGTGACCCACTTTCTGTACTCAACGCCAACGTCAACTTCGCCGCCCCAAACGGCAAACTCATCGCCGCACCCGCAGCCAAAACATCATACCCACCCCCCTCCTCCCCCTTCCCCGAATCCACATAAGTCATTTGCACACTCCCACCCCCCAAATCCATAAACAGTCCCTCCACGCCGGTAAATCCACTCCTCGCACCCATCGCCCCAAACAGACTCTCCATACCAGGACTCAAGATATTAACCTTCAATCCACTACTCTTCTCAATCGCCGCAAGCATCTCGTCCCGATTATGCGCCGTGCGCATGGCTTCTGTGGCGAAGACGCTGATGTTGTGCCGGGGCACGGAGTACGCGTCGCAGATGGAGGAGAAGCGGCTGAGGGTGTCGGATACAAGGGATATTGTGGATGGGGAGAAGTGGAAGGGTTTGGAGTTCGGAGAGGAGGAGTGCAGGGCGTCGTAGAGGGAGATAGGGGCTCGCGAGCGATAGATGCAGTGCAGGAGGCGGGGGATGGTGAGATCTGATATGGAGAAGCGGATACCGTTACTAGATAGGTATCGTGAGCTGATGCTGGATGCGTTGGGTAGGACTTTGGAGAGGAAGAATGTTTACCTGCCCATGTCTACGAGTCCGTACAGCTGATTCGAGGAGCTGGTAGAGAATGGAGACATCGATGTCGCGAAATTGTCGATCGTGATGACCGTTCCGCCATTTTCTGACGGCATTTCGGACATTGAGGCGGGGGGTTGATGTTGATTGAAGCACGAAGAATAATTTGGAGATGAGAAAGTTGGAAGTTGTGCCAAGATCTGCCCCTCGATCAAACAGAGCAAACAGGCGGGGTGAAGAACCCCGCGCCTAAGAACCCCGCGCCTTTCCTCCCTTCCAAAGCCATGGATTGTTTTGTATTCGGAAAGCCGAATGGTAATTATGAGTGTGGAAATCAAATGCAGCTGAATCACCGCTAAAAGGTTTTGGGTATAAATAAATCCATTCCATTCCAGAATCTTAATAAATTTGTGTCATAAAAATTGCACCACATTGGCAATTGGCCCCTTCCAAGTAAACACACTGAAGCGAGAAATTGCTCCTAAGATAAACAAGACTAGAAAGCCAAGTCTTCATATTTCTTGCCAGTATAGCCTCTCCAAAGTCGGTTCCCCCTTACTATAACTGTCCCCCTTACTATAACTGACTTTGCATCATATCATCCCGCAATGCTTAATCCTCAGTAATCACTAGCCACAAATGATGTAGTTTGTAGCACACCTGCAGAGAATCAAGACAACACAGAGAAGGGGAATCTGTTCGGTCCTTCGATCTATCAAAAGCCATAAGGAAGTTCAGGAAGAAGGATCAAACAATCGCTTCGGGTATCAATCAACCCATCCACTCACCACCCCTTCCTAATAGAACACCCTCAAGACCGCATAACCCCCATGAAAGACCGCCCACAAAACCGGATACACAACCGGCGCCCACCAATTCTCCCTAATATCAAAGCCCACCCTCCTCAACAACCAATTCTGCATACTACTTCTTGGCGCTCCTGCAGTGAAGAACATATCCGCCATCATTCCATGCGTTATTCTCTGCGCATGTCCCGCACGAACAAACATATCCTCCTCGAAAGCCTTAATTCGAGCATTGACTTCCTCCACACCGCCTGTCTGCAAACCATCAATGACAGCTTTTGACAATTTCATCGCATCATAAAAAGCCAAATTGACGCCCTCGCCTGCAAACGGCGTCATCAGATGTGCTGCGTCACCGAGAAGCGTGACGCCTTTTCGATGAACCCATCTATATCCCTCAGGTAGATAGTGAAGGTTATAAACCTTCATTTCCAATTCCGCCTTATCAATCATATCTTTCAGCTCTGGAGTCCAGTCCGCAAACATGTCCTGTATCTCTTTCTTCCCCAGTGCCTCTTCCGGCGCCTTGCCATCAGGAAACTGCACATACAATCCTACATCAATCCCCCCGTCTCCAAGCTGCTGTCCCGAAATCGACTTCCCGTCGCCAAATGCAAACAATGAGCCTCTATTCACCAACTTGGAAGATTCCGGTGCAATTTTCGCGGCATCGGGAATAGTAAGCGCGTATTTCGAGATACCAGAAAACACCGGTCTCTGCTGCTCATCCAAATACCTCCTCGTCCGACTCCATCCCCCATCAGCACCAACCACCAGGTCAAACCCCTCCCTAACCTCCCCATTCGCAAAGTGTAACCTCATCTTCCCTCCCTCTTCCTCAACACCATCCAATTTAAGCCCCCACTCCACGCTCCCTTCCCCCTCAGGCAAAGCATCAATCAACATCGTCCTCAACTGGAACCTATCAATCTCCGGATTCCCCTTTCCATCCCCATCTGACGCCGGAATTGAAAACCACGTTTTGAGCTTCTTGTTGGTGATTCGCATGGCTGAGCCATCAAAACGCGCGTATTTCAGAAACTCGGAGTAGAGGCCGGCGGTTTTGACGGCGGCGAGCCCGGTGGTGGGGTGTAGATCCAATGTACCGCCTTGGGCGCGAAAATTGGGAGTTGGTTCTGATTCGAAGATTGTGATGGTGATAGATTGTGAGGGAGGAATTTGGGCCTGGGATTGGGAGTGGACGAGCAGGCGGGCGAGCATGCAACCTGAGGGGCCGGCGCCGATGATGGCGATTTTGAAGGGAGCCATGGTTCTGAGGTCGATTGCGATTGTGTTTGATAGAGAATAAAAGAGAGTTTTGAGGTGGAATGGATGTTTTGAGAGCCAAACTCTTGAAGGCGACTTCGAAGTCGAAGAGTTACGTGAATGGAGAAGCCACGATGAGAGGTGAATTCAAGTGAAGCAAACTCATATATGGGCCTAGAATTTGGCTCAGATGAAGCGAGTATGCGACTTATTCGATGATTTCTTTCATGAAAAATGTTAAATCGGAAACTGAGCGGGGTTCATTGTGTGAATGGACGTTGAGGAGAAAGGAAGAGTTTCATGAAAGAGCAGCTGAAGTCGGGCGGCAGCCGCGACTTTTGTTCCCGTCTTGCTTCAGTCCGGCCGTAAGCGATGGCGTACAAACACGCCGAACCAACAAACGCGAAGGATTCAGCCTCAAATAGAGCGTTCAGAGTGGTCTATTTACGTTCGAAGCAGGCATGGCATTAAACTGGTTAATTCTCCTTAAGTTCATAGACACTCATACTGCTGACTTCCTTCAATTCCAAAACTTGAGATTTCTCGCCAATCTGCCTTTTTATATACAATCAGCGAAGATGCGTACTAAAAAGAGATTCGGAGTATATCTAGGCTACAAGTACACTCACATGAGAATCTTGCTAATACAACCATATTCTAACTCTTCGTGAGATATAAACCTTCGCATTATATCACACATCTATCCCCCGTTCTCATTCTCATCTTGGCCTCCTTCTCCCAAATGGATGAAAACTTATCTTCGAGTTCTTGATTACCAACCTTGGCATACCATCTATAGTATCCTCAATCAAAGAATTCTGGTGTCTATCAGAACGATGCGAGCTCGAATTTCTGCTCTGGTGATGCCGTCTCGACCGTCCTGATTCATACCTTGAGTGCTGGTGATGAGATGAGTCTGGTCTGTGGTCAACTGCTCCTGCTGGGAGCTGTGTCGCAGATCCCCATGGTGTTGTCCCTCTCACTTGCATCGTATCGTATCGAGCAACAATATAAGTGTCACTTCCCTTCGTCACTCTCGCCATTCCCACTTTAGTCACGTCATGGCAAATGATCTGCTTCCACGGTTAGCTATCAATCCGCAGCAACGACTTCTGGGGCCCAGCCGAAACGAAAATATGAAAAAGAGGCACTAGTAGCAAAAATGCCGAGCTTCTTACCTGAGTATAATGCCCAACCTGCTCCCCATTCGGATCCTCATCACCAACTGCCTCTCCATGATAATGCCACTTCTCGTTTATCCATGCTCTAATGGCTGACGAATAGCTCTGAACATTATATTTCGACCAGAACAAGTTCTCGCCCATGACCCATTGGTCGTCATGTTTCATGCCAGTGTTACGTCGTGCTAGTTTTTTCGCCCATGCCATTGCCAGTATGGCGAGTGTTTCGCTCCATACGAGATCTGGACGTGGTCCTCCAGGAGCTTCATGACGAGCTGCCAGACGTGAATGAATATTCTTCGGAAGTATTCCAAGGTGGTTCACGTACCTTCATTATGCAGGTCCAAGATTTTCTCTATCTCGTGATCTGGTAGCGATCTGGCTGGTTTTGACTTCGCGGATGGGCCAGCAGTTACAAGGGTAGATGATTTTTGGAGAAGACTTGGGTTGCTCGGTACAGATAGGTGCTTGTGCCCTCCCCATGGTAAGCTCCCAATCTCTTGCGGTCCGTCGTATCGAGCAACGATATACAGCCACTCTCCAGACCAGATTTTCACCATTCCAACTTTTGTCGTCTGGGAACAAATGATCTTTCGCACTTTGTCAGCATGACTCTTGTAACTTAAGCTCATAGACAAGGCTCATAACCCATCCTAAATCTGAACCTCTTCCTATACATACCTGCGTATAATGCCCCACCATCACACCCCTTCCATTCCTCCCATTAGCAGTCATCGGCTCCCCCTTATAATCCCTCTTCTCTCTAACCCACCCTCTAATCGCAGTACACAAATCCATCTTTCCTCCTTCCCCACCAAAGAGATTCTCTCCCATGGTATATGGCTTCTTCCGAAGACTTGGGTCGTGTTGGAGCTCACCTTGACGCTTCATATTTTGTACCATCTTCTTGCCCCATTCTGCGGCTGCCGCGGAGAGTGAGTCAGACCATACGAGGCCGTGTCGGGGAGGACCGGGTGCTGAACGTCGGGCTGAATGGAGAGGTTAGTGGGGAGATGGGGAGATTTTAGGGATGAGTATAAAACGAACCTTCGTTGTGTAGGTCGAGGGCTCTTTGTTTTTCTTCTGCTGAAATAGCCGAGATGGACATTGTTGAACTGGCTGAGCGGAATTTGTGGAGATGATGAAGCTGTTAGAAAATTTACAGCAGTTTCACCATCTAATCGTAGAATCAGTTCATTTCGTTGAGCTCGCCACATAGCATCTGACTGTTCTACCACGGTTTGGAACGCGTTGTGAATCACCCATCGTCTTACAACACTTCAGCGATTGGAGTCTTCGAACTGTTTTGGCTGAAGTTGGTATGTGTACAGATGGCAAGATGAGTCAACTGAACAACAAATGTCATGGAATTTTGACCTCAAGTGAGGCTGGTATGATATATACAAGAAAAGACAGATATGTACAAGAAAGCTTCCAGAGCAAAATGATGGAGCCAAAAACGAAACTGAGCTACGCTCAAAGCCCAAAACACCAGACAGTGATCCATCGATTAGCATTCATCATCAGCAGCAGCCTCTGGAACGTTAGAGGCTACGGGGGCAGCAGAGGAAGTCTGCACGAGGGTTTGGAGGGTAGATGGGACGGCGGTAGATGCGATAGGAGCTGCCGTCTCGATCGCTGCAGCTGAGGTGGTTATAGCTGGGACAGTTGAGTTTGAAGCAACAGACGTAGCAACAGGAGCCAAAACTGAAGAAACAGGAGCTGATTCTAAAGCTGAACTGCTTACATTTGGTGCCGCACTGCCGGCAGACCCACCACAAGTGAAGAGTTTTGGGCCGGGAATGGTGTAGGTAGAGGCTTTGTACGCATCGTATGTGATTCCTGGGTCGGTGGGCTTGTAGGCTCCTGGGAAGGAAACGAGCGAGGAGGGCTTGGTGCTTCCGCTGCCGGTCACCTTGATCTGGTGGCATGAGGGGTAGAATTGAGCTCCTGGGTAGGCGTATGCGGCATGCAATGCGATGACCTCGTGGCGGACAAGGTAGGAACCTGGGGCTAAGCAGGAGGGGATGGTGTAGCTGAGGAATCCTCCGGCCTTCTCAATGGCATCGGCGGCCCAGACGTTGGAAGTTCCTGTGCGGCCAGCCTCTTGGACCTTGAACCAGACAGCACTGTATTTGTCAGGAATTTTTCAACTTCCTGCCTTGAAGAATGCTTACCTGGACTTAGGCTCAAACTTGGTGCAGTCTCCACCAGGGCACAAGGCCATGTAAGTAATAACGGGTCCCATGTGTGACTCTGGCCATAAGGTCCAGTACAAATCAACTCGAGATCCAGCAGCAACAGGGCCAGCGGTCAATTTGGCGGGGGAAGACCCAACGATTCCTCCGGCGGTATATCCTCCACATTGGATGTCGATGGAAGTGAGGTCCTCTACGGGTCCATTGCCTTGGATAGCTCTGAAGATCCGGTCTGGGAGAGGGGTAGTGTAAGGGTCTTGATACGGTTGGTAGCCCTAATTTTGACTGATTAGCTGATGTTTACACCGAAATGCTCAGAAGTAGGGAATTTCTCACAGTGTATGAAACTCCACCAATGGAAGCATTGTTAACATATCCATGGGCAGAAACAGTGGCTGCCAGAGCCGCAAGAATGGAGAAGGTAGCGAAAGACATAATAATGAGTGTATTTGAGAAGGTTTAGAGACTTGCTTGCCCTCTCATTATGGCGGCTCCTTAACCTTTATACAAGCTTCACTACCGCCATAGTGGAAACCCAATCTCCTCCTCATCTGATGTCTAAACTGCCAAGAGACACAGTGCATTGCTTGGCCTTGTTGTCAGGAGGGCGTTGCGCTGCGAATAGGGGCATATCGACATGTTTCTTCCAACGTCTGCAAGGGATTGATATTGCAGCAATATAAACGGAACAAATGTTTCCCAACTTGTCGTCCGAACTCCACTTCTCGATATTTTCTGCGCCACTGTTGCTGTTTCAAGTGGTGCAGGGCGTCAGGGCGGCTCGCCAGAATGGGCCGTGGAACCCGGGAACCGGGAGTGGTGGGTCGTTGGATCCACCACTAGGAGAAAACATCGTGGCGCTGTGTTACAAACTAGCCGAAGATATATTATCTTGCCCTTGGCCCCAGTTGCACGAGGACTGTTGCTCTTCTTTGCAATTTTGCCAAAATGTTGGAGCTCTTATTGACATCACATCTTCCTCCACTCACTTCCGCTCTTTGAGCGCGAGGGATTCAAGGAACGGATCAACATGGTGTTTGCGGCACAGCACGTTAGCCGCTGACGACTGAATGTTATCGCGACAACAACAATTGATATGGAAGTCCATTATCGCGACAGTAAGCTTCACATCTACTTGGTACTACGTGAATGAAGCGGCTTCCTTCTTCATTTTCCCTTACACTTTCAAAAATGTCATCAGTGAATATCAATGCCCCGAAGCGAGTTGTGGTGATCGGTGCAGGATGGGCAGGTCTTGTCGCTGCCAAAACGTAAGTAGAGCATCTTCCCGTGATCGAGAGCGGCAGATTATTGATTTGGTTCTAGATATCTGCAAATTGACCCAAGTATAAACCTCACTATTTTCGACAGCGAACGAACACTCGGTGGGGTCTGGAATGCGGACCGATGTTTCCCTGGCTTCCTTGCAGATAGTCCATCTGGACTATTCGACTATTCAGACCTGCCGATGAGAGATGCTATTGGATTGAAAGACTGGTCAGATCTTCCTGGGGAGAAAGTACATGAATATTTGAAGGCATACGCGGAGAAGTTCTCATTGGTGGAAAAGATGCGACTCAACACCAAAATATCGCGTGTGACTCGCCATGTCGATCAGAGAGCTTGGGATCTTGAAATAGAAGGATCCGGGGAAGTAATCACCTGTGAAAAATTGCTGGTCGCTACTGGATTGAACTCTAAGCCAAATTGGCCAGACATACCTTTGAAAGACTTCGCGGGATTAGTTATTCACTCCAAGGATATCGGTACAAGGCATGCTGACCTTTTGTCGGAAAAGGTACAGCGGGTTGCTGTCTATGGAGGTTGCAAGTCTGCCATAGATGCTATCATTCTTTGCATTAATGCTGGGAAACATGTCGACTGGATCATTCGCGAGACTGGGAATGGTCCAGGAATGATGGTGCAAGTACGCAAGAGAGGGGTACATGGTGCCCGACTCATTGGAAGATTCAAAAACATCCTCACACCATCAATCTTCTCCGTCGACTCATTCTGGTATCGCTTCCTGCACAGTGGAAAGAGCCGACTTGGCAACTGGATATGCAAGAAGGTTTGGGCGAAGGCAAGCTCTGTGCCATTGAGTATGAGTCCATATGACAAGAAATGCCCCAACATGGAAAAGCTCAAGCCGGAGACGGGCGAGTAAGTGATATCACTATAATGTCTTTATTTGACTAAGGATGTGGTAGTGCCTTGTTCTTTACGGCTAGCCTTGCCGCACTTCATGGCTCGAAGAAATTCGTTGACGAACTGCACTCTGGGACCATGATTCAGGTTCACCGTGCGACAATCGCATCAATGTCTGGATCCAGCATAGCCTTGAACAATGGAGACACTCTACCTTGCGATACGGTAATATTTGCAACCGGCTGGGACTATATGTCAACTCTGTTTGACCCAGCAGACTCCCTCTCACTTGGCATAACCGCGCCCTTGCAGGACGAAGACCCAAAAATAGCTTCTTACTGGGAGAAGCTCCACATGAAAGCCGACAAAGATGTCCTCGAGAAGTTTCCAGTCCTCAAGAACCCCCCTCCATACCATCCCCGACGAGTAATCCACACACCATATCGACTGTACCGATACATTCTCCCCCCATCCTTAGCCGCGCAAGACGACAGATCCCTCGTTCTCCTAGGTCTAGTCACATCCGTACAAACATCCATCTTCGCCGAGGTCTCTGCACTCTGGGCAGTGTCCTGGATGGAAGGCATGCTAGGTATCTCCAAGTCAAAGGAAGAGATGGACTACGAGATCGCAAAGGTCAACGCCTGGTGCGAGCGCAGGTATTTGGCGAGAGGTCGGACGAGACAGATTGCTTCGGCGGAGATTCAGGATATCACTGATCTATTGATGCGGGACATGGGCTTAAAAGTGTATCGGAAGTCAAATATATTCTCGGAGATGTTTCTTCCTGGTTCGGCGCAGGATTATAGAGGGATTGTAGAGGATATGTTGGAGAAATCGAAGGTGAAGAGTGAGAAATAGAGTTGGGTATTATTAATCTATAGACTGTCTAATGATTAAAATTACAAGGACAAATGAAATCTGGGGCTATCCTCTTTTCTCGCTCAGCCTGCCGTCGTTCATGTCTATACTATTGAGTGACGAGCAACACCGGGCACTCCAACATCCTTCAATCGCAGCATCGTGCTTCATGCCTTGCTCGAAATCCCCTTGGGGTTGAAGAATTTCACCACCAGGATGCCAAATCCACCAACAAGAACCATAACACCACTGAAAAACGCAACTTCATCGAACCCACCATACTGCTTGGCAAGAGCTCCATCAATCGGCGGTCCAATAAGTGCAGCGATTGCAACAACAGCCATTCCCATCCCCATGTACGTCCCGATCTCCCTCGCATCCGGCGTGATCTGCGCAAGACAAACAGCCATTCCAGAAATGATCGCTCCAGAACAGAATCCATAGAATCCAGCAAACACTATAATCCCCGCATTATTATTCAACTTCTGCATGCACAGGATCTAAAGCCCCGTACTCAATCCAGCCGCACAGAGAGCATTCAGTCGACCGAGTTTATCGCCCAGCACTCCAGGAATGACTCTCCCGAAGAAAGACGCGCCATTCAGAATCGAGAGCAGATATCCAGCCAGTTTCGGAGTCATGCCTTTCTCCACAGCAAAACTCGGCAGGTAGAAGAACGGCATAAACATCCCCATCAACATCAAGAATACAGCAGCCAACAAACTCACATACTGCGGGTTCTTGAATGCTTCAGGCAGGAAGAAGCTGTTCTTTCGTGGTGGGAGGCGGGGTCGGATCGCTGTGGCGGCTGGGAGCATCAATACTAGCATGATGAAGCCGATGATGCGGACTGTCCAGCCGAAGCTCAGAGAGCTGCTGTTGAGCATTTTGCTGAGCATGATGGGGAATAGGACACCGCCGATTGAAGACCCGCCGATTGTGAGACCCATTGCGGTGCCGCGTTTTTTGTTGAAGTACTGCCCTGTGGCGGCCATTGCGGGGGCCATGCTCATTCCCATGGAAACGCCTGGACTGTTGTTAGTGTTGAAATCTCGAATAGGGTTGAAAAGGCTCTCGTACCACCGAGAACACCTTGCGCGAGGAGGAATTGATAGAATGAGTTGCAGAGACTGGTCATCATGACCGAGATCAGGTATCCAAGGATTGAAGGCCATATGATCTATTGGACGAGCCACTTAGTTCAAGAACAAGTAGCAGATGGGTATGAATTTGGACATACCTTGGATCTGTATGTATCAAACATCGGCCCACCAACCAGATTCCCAGAGAACACGAAGAAGATTTGCAGAGATCCGATCCATGATATCGTTGAAGGGGACTCGTTCCGAAGTTGGTGTCTTTGATAGTACTCTTGATAGACACTATCATGGATCAGACACCGTGTAACACCACACAAGAGACAACATACCCGAACGCGTTTGCGTAACCAAACCCACAAAATAAGACTCCAGATGCACCAGCCACAACCAACCAAGCCCTCAGTCCACCTTCGGGGAAATCAGTCTCAGGCTTTCCGCCCCCGTTGACCATATAAGGTTTCTCGGATGGCGCTTCAATGCTTGCTTCAACATCTCGAACTTTATTTTCTTTCTCCATGTCAAATGCGGGGCTAGCCTTGTAGACGTCCATCTCGATCGATTCTGACGACTTCGAATTGCGATTTTAGGCAGATTGTCAAGTCGTTTCAAATAGCTTCAATGGTGAAGCTGATCTTGTACAGCTAGAGGAATGACTCGTACTCAAATGGCAGCATCGTTATATATGACATCAAAAATAATATCGATGTTGTGAACATTCCAAGCGGCTGAACGGAGATAGCGCTGAATTCAAACACTGATCTCAAGCCTTGCAGCAATCCTTGACAGTACCTCTCATAATAACCGGCCTATCAGCCCGTGCGGTACGAGACGGTGCTTTGTTACAATGGACCCCTTTATGCGACTCCATTCCTTTCATTTGACGCCTCGTCTCGCCTCGTCTGCATGTTGCAGACCACACATTCGTTGTTGTTTGACGCCACCAAAATCCGAAGCGCGAAGGCCGAGCTCGCTTCTGAAGTTAATTCCAACGCTGGTTAGTCAGCAGCTGTGCCGCCGCCAGGCCAGCACGTGATCTTATCTCCGCCCGCTCATTTCTCGGTCTTTTCAGCCTCACTGCAAACAATAAGCCGCATCACGGAGACAACAACTTTCTTGTCTTTGTGGTAAGAATCCACCTATATGACTCAAGACTGACGCCGACTTTCTTAGTGAAGCTCCAATAATATGCTTTCAAGCAGGTGCAAGCTTTTTTAGAGTGTGCTACTACTTGTAAGAGCGGAAACCTTCCCCCGTGGATCACCTGCGGGTCAAATATCTAATAAGAAAGCTTGTCTCGGGCTGTATGGTCAATCTGATAAAGTTACCAACACTGCTTCGTAACCTCAAAACACCGAGGACTCAGATCCATCCATAACTCCAGCCTCAAGATGTCCGAGTCCGGGGATGCACAACTGCCAGCCTCAGTGCCTCCAGTTACAGCTCCACGAAAGAGACGTCGGCCAGCCCTGTCCTGCGAGCCATGTAGGCGCCGGAAGATCAAGTGTGACCGCACTTACCCCTGTGGCCAATGCCAACAGTCGAAGACCATATCATGCACGTACAGTCCCGACAGCGTCCCCGGCGCAAGCCACGTGAATCGAGGAGGAGGCATCCAAAAACCCAGACAGGCAGTCCAAGAGCCTAGAGGAGATTCAACCCTTGGTAGATGGGCAAAAGAGAATGGCATCGCTATTCCAAGTCGTCCCCGTGGGCCTGCATCTACGTCTACTTCGAATGATCGTACTTCGGATACCGCCTCGCTAATGGGTCTCACTTCGTCCGATGCGTCTCATACGACTTGGTCTTCCCCTGGTGCCGAGGAGATTCAGGAGCTCCAAGATCTCGCGAGTAATCCTAAAAGCAAGCCATTGTTGAATCGCATTCTAGAAACGCACCGCCTCCTGGAAACGCTTTCAGAGGCCAAGGCCAAACCCTCGAGTACAACAGTAGAGGTCAGCATATTTACCCTTTCAACTTCACACTAGAATGTTATTGAACGCTTGCCATCCCTAGAGATGTTACTCCTGCCTTCTGTTATACTTCTCTGTTGCCATTAGCTTGTAAGATTTAGATATGCGAATACTGACTGCTAGATACAGAGGGAAGAGTTCAAGTTCAGACTTGAGCAAAAAGACCAAGTCCGTGGAACAGTATCCAAGACTCGATTCTTTGGACAGAGTCACTGGATGTACTCATTCGGAGTATTCGATCACATCTCCTGTACGAGCATCAACCCGTCGAACAACACCCCAGATCTGGCCGAGAACTTGAAGCAGTCGGAAGTTTATCGCAAGCTCGAAGAATGCAAGGCCATATCAAGAGCTGCGAAGGCAACACCACACAACTTGTATCTTTTGAATCCTAATTTTCGTGAAGCTGTCCCACCTCGGGATATTTGTGACAAGCTGGTGGCGTGCTATTTACGGACGTCTGAGTCGATCTATCGCATCCTACACATCCCTTCCTTTCACCGAGAGTACAACCAATACTGGCTAAACCCAGCAGGCACTGGCTCACCTTTCATCATCAAGCTACTCTTGATTATGTCCATTGGGGCTATCTACCACCAAGAGCCAGACTCTGTCCATTGGCGGGGTCAAGCACTTCAATGGGTCTACGCTGCTCAGTCATGGATTGCTACACCGTTTGAGAAGAAGAGACTTCATATCTCTGGACTACAAATCCATTGCCTCATCCTGATTGCACGTCTTGATAATGGTGTCGCGGGAGATCTGGTGTGGAACTCGGCTGGAGCATTGATTAGAACGGCATTCCAGATGGGGTATCACCGTGACCCGAAATTTCTTCCTCAAATGTCAGCCCTGCATGCCGAACTTCGACGACGACTTTGGGCAACTGTTCTCGAGCTCAACATTCAATCATCTCTGGACTCTGGAATGCCGGGTCTCATTTCTCCAAATGACTACGACACAGAACCACCATCCAACCTTGATGACGACGAGATTGACGAGCACGTAACAGCCACTCCAACCCCCAAGCCAATGGAAGTGTTCACTCAAAGCTCACTCCAGATCCGATTGTTGAGTAGCATGAAGCTGCGGCTCCTAATCGTTTCCCATTCAAACAACATCCGCATGGAGCCCTCGTATGAGGAAGTACTTCGCATCAGCTCCGAGTTGTCATTAGTACTGAAACAAAACAACGCGTTCATCACAAGGATCTGCCAGGCTTCACAGCCTCCAAGAATATCCCAAATGTTACGAAACATTTTCGACACCGCGATCCGAAGATTCCTACTCACTCTCCACCGGCCCTACTCTGCTCGAGCCACCCGTGATCCGCGATACTACTTCTCCCGCAAGGTGTGTATCGACCTCGCCGCCACCTTCCTCACATATCCCTCAACCAACCCATCCGAGCCCGTAGTCCCAGAAGGCTACCACGACGACTACACACGGATGACCATCATGCGTGGCGGCTTTTGCAAAGGACTGATTGTACATGCATGCATGGTCGTATTCTCCGAGATTCTGGCACAGCTAGAAGAAGATACCTCTTTCACAAGCCAAAGCAGACTCGGCCGCGAGCCACTCAAGCAACTCCTCCGAGACGCGGTCACACTCCTCGCTAAGAGAATTGAACTCGCAGAGAACAATGTCAAAGGGCATTTATTCATGTCAGTTGTCCTGGCACAGATCGAGGCGCTCGAAGATGGCGAGAATCCAGAACAACGTGTCATGGAAGCGGGACTGAAGAGCGTGGAGATGTGTCTTGGACTCTTGAAGAGCAGGATACCGCAGAGACTTAGCGCAGGTGATTATAATCGACATGTTGAGGATGGGACTTCGCCTGATGGGATTGGGGTCAGCGATGAGCCTGTCGTACATGACCCACGAATGGACTTTACGATGGATGATTGGAATATGGATTTTAATCTGCCGGAGTCGTGGTTATTGTCAGGATGGGAAGATAATCAGCCCTGGGGATTGCAGTTATAGATACCATGGGAGGGGGCCGAAGCGTTCAATGGCTGTTGAGTGAATAGATGGATGTAAGAACAAGGTGTACAATTACCACTCACTACATAGACTCGTTTGGGGCAATCCGGGATCACGACTCAACCACAGGGACCGCAAGGGAAGACGTACAAAATGAACATAAATTTACCTCTCTATCAAACAGAGCCTGGAATGTACTTATACATCTCGCAGGAATGCCAACCATCAATTGATTTGACGTAAGATATATAAGGCGGGTCAGTGAACTCACATCATTCTCTCCCGAGTCTCCCCTCCTTCTACCCACGAAAACACTATTTAAAAACACCACGTAAAACGCAATTCACAATCATTACATACTTCCATCCTCCCTCCCAAAAAACAATCACATGACCCCCTACCTACCTCCCCCCCCTTCATCCATTTCCATTCCATTCCTTCACCCCCTCCCTGCTCCCCCTCCACCACCGTACAAAGAGACGCCTTTGTTGCACATCGCACAATCCACATATATAAATAACCATAAAACCCGCCGCATGTGCAACCTTTCCTTAAAATAAAAAACCCTTTCACACACCCACTTCCAGTTTCAATGGCGTTAATTCCCCTCTCGGCACTGGTGCGTTGAAAGATGAAACATGAAACACCCCGACTGCAGTGCAGGACGCCGCGCTTAGAGCACGTGATGTTGGGCTGTCTCCGTGCCTTGGCGCCGAATGTTGGATTTGGTTGTGAAGAGAAGGGGGGAAGGGGAAAGGGGGGTTGGATGTATGTCGCAGGTGATGAGAACGTAACTATGCTTCTTTCAGGCCCAAGAGTTTTGCACTCTGATGCGCCCTGATTTTAAGAAGGTCATCACGGAAGATCTGCTATTTCACGTGACAATCTTTATGAACGGCATCTTTCCACGATAATGTTTTCTGTTGCATATCGTTCGATCCTGCCTATAAATACTATGCCGCATTTTTTACGTCAAGCCCGCAGCAGAGGTGAAAGGTCTATGGTATCACTTCTGAGATTTTAGTGAGGATCTCATCAGATCGGATTTTGGATTTCAAGTGTGGCGTCGGAAGGATTCTGGGGCAGAGCATGATCTGATCTGATCCTTCTTCGGCTTAGAAGGGGCTGCTAATGGATTACGAAATGGATATTCGCCGCCTCGTGTTTAAACAATGTCAGATTGTCCTGGAGAGCTGGAAAATAAGTTTTGAATTCTTGTGTTGACAAATGTTGTCGCTAAATCTGGCGACTCGGCACCAAAATCGCTGGGATGATCACATGATCAGTATGACTGCGCTCAAGGGGATCTAAGGTTCTCGTTCCTCTGCTATTCGACTTTAAGCTTTAAAGATTAAACGATTGCCCCTTTCCTCTACGAAGCGTAGCATCGTTATAAATAAACATATTTTCCATGGCACCATGCGTCACAAGGGAACACAGCACAACCTCCAACCCTGTCATCAAATCCAAGATTCCTCTGCATCACCAAAACTCTCCGATATCAACGAAATATAAGAATCCAATTCTTGGTTATAATCCATGTGGCAATTTACCGTTACTCAATCCGCCTAATACCCCGCGATCTCCAGCAATGTTCGGCTAAAGTCCAAAAGCTACCCGCCACGTGGGCAGCAGGTTAATATCGAATAGCCGCACTGAGCCTTGGATATACCTCATGATGTACTCCCCACGGCGTGGCAACAGTGTTGGTGGGGCTTTGTGGGTTTTAATCCAGGCCCTGCAACTCGGGCGTGCTGTGGACAATGTGCCTTTTGGATGCTACATCATGGCGTTTAGGCAAGATCCGAAAACCATATATAGGCACGATCAAAATATCTCTTTTATATTTCACTGCCCTAAACGTTTTTGGCTTTCTGACCTTGACAGCTCTTCCCAGCGAGGATTCACGCTATAGTAGTGGAACACGCCCGCCCCTAGGTGGGTTTCTCATATTAAGCGAATGTTTACCTCACCCGAAGAAAAGGTGGGGTCGTCCCACAGCCGAGCCTGCAGAACCTGGCGGGAATGCAATGGAAACCTGACCAGATTTAACCATGAGGTCAAGTCAACGGGCTTTGATATAATTGACGGACAAACTACGTACAAGAAGATCTGTAAAATGATTGATGACAAGAGTGTAAGGAAGGAATTCTCGCCGCCGCTGCATTCTGCATCCTCGTCGTCATTCCAGAGTGGAAATGTTTGTTTGGTGATTCAGCAGCGCTTCACTTCTACAGCAGCTCCAACTACGATATCCCGCATATCTTCTCTCCATTACCCATCCAAATCTAAACGCAAAGACAGCACAGTATGGTTGTAAACCCCCTTCAATCCATTTCACAACAGCATTGCCTCACCTAACCGAGGGGAGACAATCTATGCCTTGATAGCAGCCCCTCCCATCGGCAGAGCCTTAAGCCATCCATCAACCTGCTCAGGTGCTGCTTGTGGGAGATTGCACGCATTGTACTTGTCAGCCGACTGCTTGGTGATGCCAGCAGCAGAACAGTCCTTGTCAAGGTTGCAGTTCTTGTCCATGGCAAGTTGGAGGGTCTGCCCCTTCCATCCGAAGACGTAGTCACCGTGGGCGGCGGCGCCTCTATTCTGAGTGTCAGTGATATTTCCTCCATGGTCACTACCGTTGTAATGTAGGTGAGTGAATGGACATACCCCAAGTTCATGCTGTACATGAATGGATTAGATCCGTCAGCTGGGAACTGGCTTTTGTCTGCCATGAATTCGGTGACGTTCCACATCAACTCGTACATGATCTGTGGGAGCTTGGTCGGGTGAGTCGAAGGGCATGATCCGCCTCCATTGGCACCGGATCCCTGCCCGTAAGCAACGTGCGATTGATGGTCGGGACTGTCGAGATTCTTGCCATCCCAGCACCTAAAGTTGTCAGTATGTAGTTTGAAAATCCTCCTGACGGTAGCGAGACACTTACGTTGGGAAGATGATGGTCTGTCGGATCATCTTGCACTTGGTGTCCATGGGGATACCGACTGTGTCGGTACCAGTGCATGGAGCTCCACCAACAAAGTTATCCTCGTTCGTTGAAGTCCAGCATCGATGGCAGATATTGGACTTGGCAACCTTGGACTCATCTGTATTTGTTGCCTTGCCTGCAATCATACGGAACCCCTATCACCCATTCATCAGCATCTTAATGACACCTTCTCATCCATCCAGAGGTATACTCACAGGCTTAAACGCAGTCGTCTTCCCACTCGGGATATAATAGATATCCAGCCCTCCCTTATTAACCAACTTCCCCTGCGGTCCACCATTACCTACCTGCGGCACACGCTTATACGTGCCATTCTTAGCCTTGAAAAACATCACCGCAGTCCAGTAGTTTGACAAATCTTCTCTGAATGAACACGACGTGCAGGTCGACTGTGAAACCAGATCATGTGAGACGGGATCCATGGAGATGTTGAAGGAGTTGCCGCCGACGATCTGGTGCAAGTGAGGGGTGTACGCTTGTCCTGGATTGACAATAGGGTCGACTCGGTCGACGACCAGTTGGGAGCATGCGAAACGCAGCATGTTTTGGGCAGAGCCCTGGTGGGCTAGGAGCGCCACGAAAGTAAGAGTAGACCAATGCATCTTGATCTTGATCTTGAAAACTTGTCGAAAACGTCGTTTGTGGACCTTTTTGAATTCTCTCGGCAACAAGCAGATGTGAGTAGAATAGAGAAGTGAAAAGAACGGGCGTAGAAGAAGTTTCGAGTACTGAGAAGAAGATGTATCCTACCATCCTTATACCTTCTCCTCCTCTCCCAGCTCTTCCAGATCCCGCCACCATCCCACCCCGCAAAACCAACAACTGCCGAGATCTGGAGAACTTGTTTACTCACTTTTCGCATCATGTGGAGGTAATATAGAATCCTCGCGCAAACATGCCATCATTGGACTGGAATGTTCGATGCTTTGATTGATCCCATATATCCGGGCGAAGGGTAGGTTGAATGCCGATGTGGAGATGCTTGGGAGTAGTGGGTTGTGTCTGGCTGTTGTGGTGGTTGGGTTTATACGGGTATTGAGCCTCCCGGTAAAATCGCACTCCACGATGTTACTGCATTGCAGTACGACGCTATCGTTGACAAAAACAAAGTGTTTGCCGAGATTTGGAGAATGTTGAAGATATTATTGGATTAGTATAGGGTGGAGGGATAGGTCCTCGTGCACCACAGTGGTCTTTAGTATAGGTAGGTAGCATTGGGCGTTTTCTTTTGGGGGCATGATCGCTGGATCTCAGGGAGGTTTGCTGCCAAAGTACTATATATTCGGTCTTGGGTCACTAAGTATCCAGCACATGTCTTCATGTAGCGAGCGGACCAAAGGGTGGGAAGAAATGTCTGCTCTGGGAAATATCCTGGATCGGAGCCATGACCTACTCTGGAATATTATGAGGTTGGATCTATTGGAAGGGTTGGAAACAAAGATAATTTAAAATAAACACTGTCTCGAAGACCTCAAATCGTTTCCCGCCTCCAAAGGCTGAAATAATCTAGCAAAGAAGTCACTGCACTGTCATTAAGATTTCTCTTAAAGTCTCTTAGATACAAAACCTACGAAATGCCAAAATGGTAACTAAACGACCTTTCAAACACACACTTTCCGCCACAGAAAACTTTCGGATCCCGTCCAACCAGTCTGAATTTCCTGACCGAACCCAAAACACACTTCCAAACTTCAGATGACATATTCCCATTCCACTTCCATCCCAACACTTCATATTCGAAGCAAGTTCCCGTTACATGTGACTTGCCATCCGCCTCATATCTCATCCGAGTCCAATTCCCAGCACCCATCACATGTCTAGTCCTAACAGTCTCCATCCATCCCATCCCATCCATTTTCAGACAAAAATTCAGTCCTGCCGGCTAACTCTCACTACCTATCGCCAGTCTCATATCTCACCCAAGCCCAGTCCAGTTCCACCACCTATTCCACCGTCTCATCCACATCCCTTCCACCTAACCAAGTGTTCCCAACCCAATCCTTCCATTACATCAAACCTCCCGGCGATACTCCACATGACTAACAAACCGAAGCAAATCCTGCGCTTTGGGAAAACCCCAGCGCTTGCTTTCTAGGCACTCAACTGAGACTCAAGCTTAAGCTGTGTCTCAACTTCGCTATTCTCATCTCCTCTACTATACGGGAAACCCGATATTTGAAAGTTAACCTTGACGAGCACTAGATGAACCGACGGACGAAAGAGTAAGCAGGCATTCACCAAGCACTCATCCATCACTGCCGTGTCTTCAACCCCCCCTCGACTCTCCCCCATTTCACCTCTCCACGAGGTAAGGAAACAGACAAAAACACACACAAATACACACACACACATATATGTATACACACACACCCACACACACACACACAAAACGACAAACACCAAGACAGCCAGACATCGACATATCAATCTACCGCGAACACTTCATTTACTTACCTACCTCACTTGCCTGCCTGCCTACCTTACTAACGAACCCACCCACTTCCACCCGACCCACTGCCTCACTCCCTCCCCCCTCACTTCCTCACCCACTCCTTCCCACATATCATAACAGAATCCAACACCGGCACTGTAGTCTGTAGTCCCATCCATATCCAGGCTACGCACCTTCACATTCCAAATCCAAATCCAAATCCAAATCCAGATCCAGCACGAAGTCCAATCAAGAAGAAATCAATTAGAAATAACTCAACTTTCAAAAGCAAGTTGAATAGCAAGACGGCCAAAAAACAAGAAAAGAATTTTAGATTTCCTAAAAAAAAGGGGGGGGGGGGGGGGAATGATGTAATGTGTCGTGACGTGCAAGTAAGCAAGTAAGCAAGTAAGCAAGCAAGTAAGTATTTATTTATGTACTTATGTAGACTTGAAACAGTGTGATTTACAAACAGTGCGACTTACAAACAGGAAATTGAATCAAATCTAATCGACTCGAACAGCGCCGATTCAACCCGAACCAAATCCAGTCGAATGCAGCGAGCGAGTAAACTTCGCATGTATATATACATCTATCATACATAATACGAACTCGAAATCCCTTCCAGCGGCCCAAATAACCACCCAACCAACCAACCAACCAACTCATCCAACTACCCACCCACTCATCCATAACCACTCCTTCCGCACAAAATACAGCGAGCGAGTAAGCGGTACGTCAGACGGACGTCAGAATACGATACTACATCATATTACACTATACAACTCTTCAACTCTACAACTCTCCCTACAACTCTACCCCTCCTTACCGTCCCAACCACCATCTCAACCTCAACCTCAATTCTAATCCAAATCCCGATTCCCAAGCCCCCAGATCCGCCTCGGGCCTCAGGGCCCGAGGCGAAGAACTAGAATTTGAAATGAACATGACGACAGAAACAAAGATATAACTTAACGCCTCGCTATGCCCTAAAAACCTCGCCAATCATAGAAAAAAAAAGAACATGGTATCTGTCCATCTCCATCTCCACAAAATACGGCACATACAGCACAGTACAGCACACAGCACACATATCCTCAACATCGCCATCGCTCGTCATTACACGCAGTTCTCCTCCCCTCATTTCCTCCTCCCTCTCCCATCTTCAAATTTCATCAGAAGAACCCCTTCTTCGTCTTCTTCTTCTCCACCTTCTCCTGATCCTTATTAATACTCCCCAAAATATCATCAAACGTACTCCCAGCCCCGGCTCCAGCCCCAGCCACCGCTCCACCACCCACACTACCTCTCTGTCCACGTCCATGTCCATGTCCCTGTCCTCCCACCCCCACCATCAACTCACCACTCCTACTAACCGCTCTTCGTCCCGGCTGCGCCATCGGAGAAGTCCCCCGACTCATAGCAGGCGAGGCATAACCCTGGCCCGAGATAGACCCCCTACTCATCGGCCGACTACGCGACGCGCCATCTTGTTCGAACCCAGCACCAGCAGCACCCTCGCCACCGGGGAAAACAGGCAGGCGCTCCAGCCCTAGCACTATGCTGCGACGTTGCGACTGCCGGCTCTGATTACGGTCAGGAACATTTGGACTCAAGACCGCACTGGAGCTTCTCTGGCGTCCTCGAGATCTGGGTCTCATTTCACCGTCTCCGAATCCCGGTGGTGGTTGGAGGGGGGACATCAAGCCGTCCTCGAGGGACTCGCTGTGTAGGGTTTCGTCTGCGTCGCCGCCGACGAGCTGTTCGGCTACTTTCCAGCAGTGGCTGCGACTGTATGTTGCCTCTACGCTGAACTCTACCATGTGACTTGGTAAGCTGACGACGCCTGTTCCGCCTGCGACGTTGTACCAGGATCTGTTTGCGCGGTTTCCATCTTCCAGCCAAGGTCTTGCGTTTGCGGGCATCTGACACAGGAAATACTCGACATTCTCGGTGTATTGTAGTGTTGGGGCATCGGTCACTAGAAGAGGTAGGGACTGAATCACAGCGTAGAGGAAGATCCAGTGGCCGTATCGTTGCTCGGAAAGCTCGAGTGCATTTTTTCCTCGGCCTTCCTTCTCTTCGAATGCCAGATACATCTCTAAGAAAGGGTTTCCAGGTTCTACGCCGACGTTATGCGACTTCGACAGGAGTAAGAGCATCTCATATTCCTTGAGTTTGCGTGTCTGGAGCTTGTGCTGGTCTCTGGGCGATAGAGATGGTAATGTTGGTTCGACGGTCTGGATGGTTGGTACGAGGGGGGTATCGAATGGAATGGGAGGCTGAACTGGTGGAGACGAACGATCGAACTCAGCCAGTAGCTTCCGTAGGGCAGCGGCAGGTGGAGAAACATCGATTCCGCTCTCTTTATCTTCTGATGCTTGCATACCTCTCGTTGTGAAGGCACTGCGATCAACCAGTAAATCGTATAGGGCGCAGAGATCAGCATAGAGAAGCTTCAGAACCAGTCGATTGAGACCACCCTCATTGAACGTATTCTTCTTACTGCTTGCCTTTGGTGGCCACTGACCATATCGATCCTTGTAAAACGATAGTACTTGCTTTCGCATCGACATGTAATTAGCCTTCCAATTCTTGAAGCGGATGATCTTCGACTCATTACTGGATGTCGATGATGCAATGCCAGAGAACATAGAAGGAAAGTCGAAATCAGTCAATCTGAAACCAGCAGCTTGTTGCAGCTTCAGCAGATCGCGGCGTGACTGCTCCAACTGAAGCTGTGTAATTCCCGAAAGTTCCTTGTATATTGGCAAATCGAGGCTGATAATCGACTCCAACTTGCCCACGGCATGTGCAAAGGCCTCATTATATAGCGTCGAGCATCGCATCCGCTCGCCCAGGATGAGATTCTCAACCGTCTTCTCTCTGCTGCCACGAACATCCGCAAGGCTCGTTTCTGCCAAGTAGAAACCAAAGCTCGTATCTGCAGACTCTCCGAAAGTCGTCCCATCAATACCACAGAACTCGAATCTTTTCAATGCCGCAGCGATGTTCATGAAAATGTGGAATACCGAGGGGCACGCTGGGGTAGAGACAAGGGGTTGCCCGTTGAAGAAAGCAAAAAGGTTGCGGGCGTCAACAAGCTTCTGAACATCCTGGTCAGGAAAATGGGGCCCGCTTGAATGCAGGCTGACCGGGTAATATAGATGCAGATCGCGGGGTTCGTCAGCGAAAGAAGGTATGCCCTCTCCAGAATCATCAGATCCTGAATAATTGTCGGGTCTGACATCTGAAGTATATGGCGGAGAGTCAAGTCCACGAACGGCCAAATTGCGTGTAGCATCTTCAATGCTCAAACTTTCTCTCCCATCAAAGCTGCGGCCCCGAGATCTGCCACTGCCTGTTGCACTGTTCTGTGAATCGTCGTATATAATATCCAGGAGAATCTGCGAGCACTGGACCACGAGAGAATGACATTTGATCTGAGGGCCGCGTCCTGTCGATCGTGGGTGTAGATATACAAACATGTTCGCCTCCTTACTTTCATCCCAAAGTTCTGGAATCTGCACGCAAATGTCAACATTCCACCCCACACCCCTTGCATTGCGGTACTGACCTTGTCGCCACCCAACAGGAAATTCAAATTGTAGTCGATTTGTTGTCCGTTGTGTAAAACCCAAGCACGAGGAGGGGCTGCATCAAGATCCTGAGACGGGTGTCTCGATCTGGACTTGGAGCTGCTACCAGGTAGCCAACTCCTCCTCTTCGTCAGCTTCTTCTCTGACTCTCCTTCCGACATATTCATTGACACGGGTCTGCTCGCAATTGGGTTCGAGAATGACCGTCTCTGTGCCATATCTGGTTGTGGTGGGAGCAACGAGTTTGCCCGTGGTCTCCTATCCTCCAAGCTATGTGGACTCGGCGAAGCGTCTCTCGGGGACGCAATTTGAACTGGAGGTGTGCCCTGCTTCTGCAGTTTGTGTGGACTTGGAGGAGGGAGAGGCATCGTCTTCGCGCTCGTTGGTTGGGAAGGAGCAGGTGGAGGAGCTCGGGTTGGCGGAAGGTGTGCGGTGCTCTCTGCTGGAATGGGCTTTCGCAGCACGGTTTGGTTGTCTTTGGGCAGCTTAGCATCGGCAGTCATGATACCTGGAAGGTATTGGGAGAGTCTGTTCAGCCGCGAGGGTGGCTTCGAGAGGGTTGCCATCTCTGCTGTACTGTGAGGAGCTACTTGCTCTTCTTCCTCGCTGACAGGCTCCAAGGGGACGGAATGAGAAGATCTAGAAGAGTGGTAAGAGAACGAACGGTCGGTTGTTAACTTACTGCGAGTCATGATGGCGGAGGTCTGGAATTGTAGTTTTCCATCAACCAGGGGAGTGGGCCTTCGCAAGGTTTCTGCAGGGGGGAGGATGCAATTGTTGGCGTTTGAGGAAGCTCGGCTTGAGCAAATTGTGGATGTGAAGGTATTACGCGTTTTGAGTGGAACTCGGATGCGGGTGCGTGCTGCTGTGGGTTCGTCTGGTTTGCGTGGCCGATGATGACAGTATAAAGGTATGCGTCTCCCAGAAATAGCTCACGCGAAGTGTGTGATTCCGTGACTGACGGACTTCGAAGAAGTAGGTAGTCCAGGCAAGGAAACGGAAAGCGGATGCCGCTGCGCTGTTGGGACACAGTCTTTTCGAAGTGGTTGGAAAAAGTTATGCAGAAGTCTCTGTCCAGGGTTTATCCAAAGTAGGAGTATTAGTGATATATCTCCCCAAGAATGTCATGCACGGAAGCAGTTGTCCAACTTCCAGATGGATGTTGTTTGTGGAAGGATGCGGCGTATGTCTTGGTCTGAGCCTGGCAGGTGAGTAAGATTTCAAGACGCCTCCTGCGTACAGAGATGATGTAGGTCAAGTTGTTCAGAGGATCAGCAGAGGCAAGACAGAGAGAGTCAACAACGAACTGCACTGCAGCGTCGTCTTGGTCCAATAATAATGTTCAAGGAGGGGTTGTTGTTTCTGGCTGGGAAGAAGGAAGTACCGAAGGGGGACAAACCAATGCAAACCAAGGAGCTGGGACGATGTCTAATTAATTCCCGCCTGCCCTGCCGCACCTTGTGCAACTTGTGCAATGGCATGCGTTGGCAACGGGCCAGCGAGGCTGAGCCCGTTGGTATCTTTGATTGGAGCAGCCGCACTCTTCGAATAATGATGCGATTCGGGACTGGCAGGAAGTCATGTTTAGGGGGCTGAGGTCAGGAGAGGGACCGGGAGGCTAGTGACCCAATCCACTTTACCGGCTCGGGAGTCGGGAGTCGGGACCTGGCAGGATGACACCGACAGAAAGCTGCCCGGAAACTGGAGAAATGACTGTGCCGTGACTGTATCGTATGTTGATTTCTGTTGTCGTTGCATTAATCCAGCAAATGGCCCTTTGTCGATATTTCCTGATGGCCTGGATAATTGACTTTCAAACTCAAAAAGCTTCGTTGAGCAGTGGGGTTGAGGTTGAATTTTCTTGCATAACCAACGTCATCTATGCCCTGCCCGCAATCTATTTTTGCTGGCTGCGTCTGCGTGCATCCCGTTGCACATCTCTGCACTAACAAGCATCCACACTGTGGCAGGGTCGCATCGCCAAGCCGTCAGTGGCGGGCAGTGCGGAGATCAAATCGGTTTGATCGCCAATCACGAGAGTTGTTGAACTTGCCCCCTGCTCTTGGTTGGACTTTAAACTTGTTGGTGAAGCTGTTGATTGCTGTTGTTCTTGTCCTGAAAGAATCAGACATACTCGAGTACGAAATTTAAGTGCTTGTGACTGTGTTTGAAGTCTTTAAAGAAATTGTCCGCTGCTGGAGGCATGTGAATCACATCTTGACTACATGATTCCTCAAGCGGGGTTTATTTGAACAAGTTTGTGAATGTTGGATGGACTGTTGATTTGATTGTCATGCACAATTCCCGCAACTTTGAGCTTCTGTCCCTTTAACTTTGCCTTTGCTTTTTCTCAGCATCTTCATTCGCATCCTTGCCCTTCATCCAGCAGTTCTGATATTTTTCTTCTCCAGTGGCACGCCGATGGCACTGTCTAAGTAAACCACTCCTTTCACAAATAATATTTGACGCACATACGCTGAACCATTTTCCAATCATCGGCTCGAAACTACCGGATAGCATGACAGGTCTGACTCCTCCCATGTGATCACGTGTTTACCATTCCGTTTTCACCTATTCTCCCCCCCTTCCTCAGTACCTTACAGTCACTTGATAGTGATAAGAAATTCCTGACACTTGAGAGGTCGGTATTTCAGGAAAGTGCACCTCCCACGGTGGGCTGGAACCTGCTTTTTTCCTCTAAGGTACGTTCTCTATCGGGTCAGCCAGCTGTATAAGATTCACTCCAGTCAGCTATTTAGCAGATCAGATTGACGTATCCAACTGCGTGTTCCCTTCCAACTGCCCACTTATCCTTATTAAACACGGTCACGAACAGCTTGGCTTGTGCATCAGGAATCCCTAAGCCAAAGAGGCGTAGACTTACTTTCAATATCGGGGAGTTCCCATCAAGCACAAAAGCTTCAGTTCCTTGAAATGTCACAAAATCTCCGTTCTGTATACGTAAAGTAATGTAATGTACCTATTTAGAACAGCGAGCTCCTTCGCCCAGTCAGACGAATGTGGCTAGGTACTCACGGAGAACCTTACGCCACACTTCCTGTGGCAGTGCTTGTTTTACTCACCCCTCCCCTTGCCCTTCCTCCTCGATCTCTCGTCATGAGTTGACATCTCTCCTCACTCACTCACTGTCAGTCAACCAGTCATCCTGAATATGCATTTCCTTCTACTCTACTCTACTCCCCTCCAATTGCTCTACTCAGACCGCTCTACTCAAAACAAACCCCGATTACTCTCGCCGTCACATCAGTTTATCAAACAAATTTCGTTCCGGTTACTCAATCAATCCTGTTGGTCTGTGTGTAATCTAAGTCATTCCCCTCACTCTCAGTGTTGGGGAGATTCAATTTACAAGCCCTCCGCAATGCATAAATACTTAATTGCACCAGCCAGCCAGGTAGCGAGCGATACCGAGATCGTAGGATAGCATCTAGCTTGCAACCATTCATCTCCATGAAGCACCCCCGCCTCTCTCTATCCCTACTAAACTGATTTATGCCACCCTATCTAAACCTCGCAAAGACCATCAGCTATGGAAGACACAGTGCAATCCACCTCGTCCTATATTTGATTTTGGCTACGGTAAAATCTTCTAGAGCAAATCTTGAAAACTTGAGCGGCCTTGAAGTTTTGGATTTTGGGTCGCTGGTATTCTTCCACCGATATCTGCAATACCTGGAGGCAGTAAGTAAGCAAGTACTCACTGCGTACGCCCCCATTAAAGTCGATCCCATCAACATAAAGGAGAGCTTCACGTCTGGGAAATACGGATGCCGGGCTGGGTTGGGCTGGGCTACGATCTATGGTGAGCAACTAAGGAGATCATTCGCTACAATTTTGAAGTGTAATGCAAATAACAATAAACATTACGCACTAACCACTAAACTACAAACAAACCTCATTCGATAACCATAACCATAATATCATCAACCAGGAATACCACGAGACAGTAAGGAAAAAGAAAATCCATACTTGTTGGAACCCCCCAAGCCAAGCTCCATGCTGAATCGAAGAAAAGAAATGCAGAAGCACACGTCAATAGTCCTCGTCCATCCATCCATCCCTCCTCACCACCTACCCATCATACATTCCATAACCTTAGCGAACAACAACTTTCTCGAAATCAAAACAACCACCTTCGGCTCTTCAAGCAACCTGCGAAGTCTCCGCCTCACTAGGCTCATACCCCCTACCAGCCGGTCCAGTAGCAACCGACGTCCCCGTCCCACTACTAACCCGACTCCCATCCACCCCCGTCGTCGTATCCCTCTCATTATTCCTCACCACACTGTCATCCCCAACAGCACTATCATCACCCGTCGTCCTCGTACCCCTCTGGCTCGCCGACCTCGGCATAAGATTCCCCTCTAGGTTCCCAGCCTGAGAAGGAACATCCTCCAACTCAGGCTGCCAATCCTTGAGATCGTCTTCGGCATCGTTCAAGATTTGGCGGGCCTGGCCGGCGTGCTCGTAGGCGGGTCGCACGTCGCCGGGGATGACGGGCGTGTCGTCGAGAAGGTTGAGGAGTCGGCGGCCGTGGCGCGCGAGGATGATTTGTTTCTCGGCGCGCTCGATGGTGGCTGTGAACTCGGCGGCGTAGGCCTCCTTCATCTTTTGTCTAGTCTGATAGGAAGGACAATCAATCAGCACTCGTCTCACTTCACAGCAGACTGAGAGGCAGAGCATACCACATTAGTCAACTGCGCCTCAGCAACCAGATTCTCCGCCTCAGCCCTAACAAGCTCCTGCTCCAACGTAACCAACTTGGCACTCTCGGGCTCCTTGATCTTCAACTTCGCAATCTCATCCGCAATCTTCGCCTTGTGGTCCCGACTCGGCTGCACGCTCTTCTCCGTATTCCGAATCGCCTTCAACACCGCCCGGCTGTCATCCAAATTATGCGCATAAAGATCCTCCTGCTCGCCGAGCTCAGATAGCAAAACTCCAATCTTGTCGGAAATGTCGCTGACGGAATCGTCGTTCGTGGCCTCGCCCCAGTCGGAGAGCTGCCCTGCGATGGAGAGGCGCTCCTTGCCGGCGGCTTCGTACGATTGGATTAGGTGGTTCTCCGACTTGATGAGCTTGTAGAGCTTCTTGCTGAGCTCGGGCTGGACCGTGCCGCGGAGAGAGCTGAAGCTGAAGCCGTGGCGGGGGCTGGTTGCGGACGAGGATCCGCCCTTGTTGGATCGGATGGAGAGTGCGCGATTCCTGGGAGGGGGTAGGTTAGCAGGAACTCGAATACAGTGTTGTAGACCTGGAATAGCCCTAACAGATGTCGCAGAGGGATATTGCCCTTGTTCTCTTTCATGAAGGAGTTCTCCCGTCGCAGAGAGAACGGATGCGGCATGTTGACGGACGAGACGTGGTAGGGAGTTAAGCTTACATTTTGTGTTTGTTTTGGAGATGCGATTAAGGATTGCTATCTGGAGAGAAGACCGTCAGCTCTTTCCATACAGATATCCCTCAGACATATCCCCCTCAGAGTAAGGTAACATCGCGACTTCCTTCAGCTTCAAATACGTCATCGGAATGTTTGTGAAGGAGAAAAATACGAACCTTGTAAATTGCGGGGTATGGAGTTATCAGGCCTGATATATTAAGGACCAGGATGTAAAGACAACCTTTCTGTTTCTGCGCGTAATCAGGGTCTTTGCTTGATTGTTTGAGTTTGTGGATATTCTGTTTCGAAGTTGGAAGAGATGGGAAGCTCTTGTCCCGTCGTCCTTGCTTAAGCTGTAGGTGAACGCGGAGCATGCGGGAAGGAGGTACGATGACGTCGTTCGCTAAATCATCTGCCGGGGTGGTCTGGATCTCAGGGTCCTCTTCCCCTCCACTCACATGGATATTCGTCTGAGTTCGCAGCAGAGTTTGGATGAAACTTTCTACTTAATATGCGACTGTGTATGTTTTTGATGAAAACCTAAATACATTTGACGATGTATCACTCTTTTCCCCCCAAACGGAGTGGAGAATGGATTATCTTGAGCTTCATCACGTGGACTGAACAGCCCCCAGCTTTGGTGAAGTGTTGATCGTCCCCAGAGCGGAAGCGATGAACCTCTGTGTGTATCCTGACAGGCGAGCAACTCTGTAAACAGGTTCTAGCGGTAGGACGGCGGTGTCTTCTTGGTCATCTTGTTCGTCTCAGATTGAGAGGTTGGGCAGCACAGTTTAGATTGGGAGTAGTACCTTCATTGAATCATAAATCATACAGAGGCCCATGTCAATAAACAAATACAATTAAAACACTGCTCAAAATACCACTCAACCCGCTAAACTCCAACACCAAGGAACATATCCCATCTTCCTTACCCCCAAACTCCAATCTCTACCCCGCCTTCTACCCAAGCAGGCAGTCCCTCCTCCAGCCTCATCATCCCCTTCCCCCTCCTTATCCTCAATATCCAGCCACCAATTCCCCACCCCTCTCCTCTCCTCCCTTCAAATCTACCGATAAGACCTCGTACTATGTCTCTGCTCAACCACCACCGGCACACTTCGTCTGTAGCTACTCTGGCTCATCCTCGGCGTAATGTATTCCCTGCTAACAGGTCTCGATGTCCTCGTCACAGAAGTGTACGACGACCTTCCATGACTGCCATGGCCGTGGTGGTGATGAGAGTGATGCGAGTGTCTTGATACAGGGCGAGGAGCGACGTAGACTTCCTCGACGTACGAGCGGCGGTGGTGTTTCTTTGGTGAGGAGAAGAGACACATTTTGATTTGTTTATTGAGTGGTGATAAATTGTTCGCGATGGATAGGTCGCGGGAGAGATTTGATTTTTACGAGTTCGAATAGATTTCGTACAGTGGGTTGGAGAACAGATGTGGTGTGGGTGGATAGATATACCAAGATACTTGCTTTGAAGACCCTTAATTGAGAAAGACAAAAAGCTGAAGATATGACTCAACACTCAAGAACCTAACAAAGGGACAAACAAGGCATACTTATGTATTTCTGTGCCCCTCTCAAGCCTCAACTCACTCACTCACTCACTCGGTCTGACAACTCTGACAAGGCTCCCCTCCCTCGCCCCTCCCCCTCCAATGACATATGCCCCAGCCAGCCAAGAATAACATCAGCCCCAGCCCCCAGCAAATGCCCTTTCATATCAGCCCCCCATCAGCACACTACCCCAGTCGGGCCACCTCCCTCTCGGTCTGGGATGTCACTGACCCATGACAACGGCAAAACTCTCCCTCTCCCTTCAAAGGATTCTAGAAAAGGCCAGTCAATCGGAACTATTCGTGGCTGAGCAGAGCCTCAACGCCCTGTCCACTCTCTCACCGAAATTAGTGCGCACTGTAACTCCCAAGCGTTAAAAACTAAACCCGTAATGTTGATTTTGGGTGCCTAAATTCGTCCAGCTGACCTTACTACAAACGACCTTACCTAAGGTACGGAAGTACAAACTAAACTCCCCCTCGGTGTGCTAAGTGCTCGTGTCTAAAAGAGCACTAAAAGTACCCGTCAAAAGCAAGCACGGAAATATTCCAGAAAAAAATCAAGAATAGCAGTTGCCCCTCCCCTCCTTTCTTTACCTTGTCTTGTGTTCTCTAACTAGGTACTGCCGAATACACACACGCCCCACCCCCGGGGCAGTGTACAAAAATGGACATTCACAAAGGAGATCAAGATGGAATGGTTGGAAAGTGCTGGGCTCGGGATCAGGCTTTTTCACAGGGTGCGGAGCGCTGCAGACTTTCTCGCTCGGCACCGATGAGCCGACGTCAGCCTGCAGAGGGATCCCTGCTGCTTGTACTGTACAACGGGTGGGTGGGGCCTCTCTCCCTAGGGGTCTGCCCTGAAATTCAATTCGGCTTTGATAACAAACACCACGTGCACTTCTGTCAAAGCCTTTTTGCCGTACGAATAGAGAATTTCTCTTTGTTGCTTTATATTTGGAAGCTAAGGGTCAATATTGATCGTGGGTGGAAATACATGCACGATGCATTTCGGCAATTCACTGGTTCGATTGTCGAGCCCAGTTTTTGTGTAGATGCTTTACTTAGCATGGCTTTGATCGAAACGAAGGGCAACTTTTCTTGATTGTTTGTTTGTGTCTGGATTTAGCATTCCGCGAGGCGAAAGGATTGATTATTCTTAGATCTCCTTTCTTGCAAGGGCCAGCACAGACGGGGGTGGGGAGGTAGTACTGCAGCCTTGTCACAACGCTAAATTTGTACTTGTTCGTGTCGAATTCGATTGAAAGTCTAGTCACCCATGCCTTGTCAATCTCTATTTCGTATTTCAGTGATTGTTCTCCATATTAACTTGGCGCAGGCACGCAGTTGCGCTTTGCCCTCGAGGACGTGGCTGGTCTATATTCATGACCGGTGAAGGGAAGTGAGAATTTTGAACAATACAAGTCTTCAAGTACTGAAACCTACTCAAACATCCACAGATTAGGAACAAGAGGCATTCCTTTCCATTGAGATGTATCCGTTATAAAACAGTCAATAGTAGCATTAGAGTAAAAGGTTAAACCTCAGTAACTATCCAACTTTAAAGCTTTGTGGACATGAATTGCATCCGATGCGGCTTAAAACCCTCCTGCGAAAGCTTTGTTTGAAAACGAGCAAGGCTTTGCAACACCTCTAATCCATCAATTATAGAAGTCTTAATCGCCTCCCCTTCAAACTTTCTTGCCTTTACAGAATTTCCAGCCACACTTTATCTCTCTCGAACCCAATATCTCAGCCGCCTCCCTCTGTGGAGTGTAGCTCCCCACCATTTCCTCCAACACCGCAGCCTCAATGAGCAACCCCCTCCCTATCACAACCTCTTCTCCCATCTTGAACTTATCACCATCCTGCTGCCTACCCCTCATAATATCAACCATCCCCCTTCGCAACATTCTTTGCCCCAGCTTCGATACTGAAGACTTGATCTTACAGAGTCATCTTCTCCGATGTCGCTTAGGCAATTTTTATGTATTGGTATGGTTTTGTGACATGTCAATGGTAGCTGTGAGCTCTACTTTCGAGATATGGCTGGTGTGATAGTGGTTGCAGCCGATGGTGACGGAGGGATGTCTTTTATGGAGAGACTGGGCTTTTGGCCAGCTCGTGGGTAAGGGAGCCTGATTTTATTCCCAGCCAAGCAGTCAGGCCAAATTCAATTTTGTGCTATATTAGAGTTTTAAAAGCTCCTCGTCTTCAACTTTGGTACATGTGGACTAGTCTCAGCTCCACCGCCCTCAGCACCTCTCGCCTCGCTACTAATGGTTCCCTTGGCGCTACTGCAGATGAGAGACTTATTCCACGCCTGGCGAGATCTCAAATGTTGTGATTTACTGCATTTCGCAGCAAGTGAGTAATAATGAGTTATAGCTTAGGAATGTAATGAGGTACGAGAAAATTATTGGAATTTTCAAGGCTCGCAGTACCCAGATCTATATGCTAAGCGCGGTTTGGACAGCCCCCTATTTGTTCTCGCTTAACGTTCAACCAAACAAAACAGCATTCAAATGGTAGGCCTTATCCTCAAGAGTAATACCTAGTGCGCTGTCCATCGTGAAATCAAAATTCAAGGACTCTGAGTCTTTTAGATTCAGTATTGTTCACAGTAAACATGGTTTTCGTGATGGGAAAGGCTTAAACAAATCACACGTGACAAAGCTGGCCGCGAAAGTCGCGAGTGGATGGTTTCCTGGGGTGAATAGCTAGCTATTAATCATAGAGGACTGAAAGCTGTTCAAGGAGTGAGTGACTCACAGAATAAAATGTCTGGATTGGTTCACGCTTGAGCTTGAGCGTATTCACCATCCAGATTAGAAATTAGTCCCTAGTTCTGCGTTCCAATGAAATCCAAACCTTGAACTCATGGTTCGAGATGAGAACTCTCGAGTTGTTTACTTCCACATCTATCGAGATCGGCGCCATCTCTATTTGATGAATCAAAATCACAATGAATAACAAACAACAGCCGTCGACGATAGCCTCTAAACCCGATCCTAAAACTCCACCCAGATCGAACCAAACAACAGCCACGAAAAACTCCAACACTACCAAATCTGGCATCAGCTACCAGAACCAGTCCTTCTCAGTCACCACGGGCATCACCGACGCCAATAACGACAACTTATCCGCACCTTTCAAAGCCTCCGAAACATCCTTCTACATCGGGACCACCACCAACATCGATCGCTACACTACCGGCGCAGTTTACAGCTACAAGAAAGACACTTTCTCCACACCGACGACTCGGGATCCTTTTCTTGACCAGGACGACTTCAAAATGGGTATACTGTGTCATCTTTGTAATGTGCGATATCCGTATGTGGAGTCGTTGAATAATCATTTGAAGAGATCGCATGGTGTTAGGGAGTATGTCTGATTTTTCTTTTTGGTGAGCTGGTGGGATTGGGAGGTGAGGAGATGGGAATATGAGTGAGAATGAGGACCTCAAGTATGGGAAGACAAGTTGGAATTGTGGAGAACAAGGGGCTCGGGCTAAACTCATTTTTTAATTTTGGAAAATAAAGTTAAGGAACTCATTGCAAAGCAGAGGAGATGGGTGTCAAATAAAAATATGTTTGTGTAGGTTAGGAATGATTACCTTGCAGTAATTCATGTCTGATTCCTAAGTCATATCCACGATTAGTGTTTATTTTATAGTAGTACAATCTCACAGACAGGACTTAGTTGATCTAATCGGCAGGAGATACATCTGTACAATAAATCCTTTTTTTGTCTCACTGGCAAGTACAGAACTGCAGACTCTTCACTCCTTCACGAGCCTCGCTCTTAGAAATGAATAGCCTGAGCTAACTGCTTCAAACAAATGAGGTGAGCAGTAGCTATAGTATTGGATCTGGATAGGATTAGAAGAGAACACGTTGGTTATAATTCATCTCCTCGTCACTAGACCGAATAGCGAAGATGTTGAAAACTTATGTGTTGAAGTGCAATCTGAGGAGCAGTCTGTCACGTAAAGATTAGGAAGGCGCAGCTTTGACAATACCTAGGAATCATGAATGATTTTCCTATTCTGGTGTCCTGTGTGGGTTTAGTAAGCTTGCTACTCTTGCTCAGGCGCCAATCACCCTCGACCCACCCTCGGCTCAGTCCACTCGCCTGCGGAACCTGCGATACTGAAAACCCCCAAACGAGTTCGCAAAGAGTCCAGAATGGACACTTCCAAAAAAGAATACTTAGTGTTTTGCCTACGGTGTAAGTTGGATCAACATGGAAGCCTTTGAGGAGAGTACTTTTCTTTACTCTCTAAACTCCTGCTCCTCCGCACTTGTCTTGGTTGAATACCTCCTTTCTTCAATCTCATGATTTGATCGACTTCGTAGATCTTTCTGCTGGCTATGACAAAGTAGGAATTATACGTATGGCACATATCAAAGGGGCTATGACCGCAGGAACCTGTGATTTGCTACAGACCGAGCTTACATGAATGTGTTTCACCACCTCATTTTCCATCCAAGAACGTCGATATCCTCTCATCTATCCACTTCGAATCAACTGGGTTCTTTCCACCTCCAGCCATATGTCCCCAGATCGTCGGAATCGGATCAAAAATCCCATTCTTCAAAAATGTACTCTCGTTCTCCCCATCCTCCCACGGAAAATACTGATCCGTCTTACTCGGCATAACTAGCACCTTCGCAGTAACTCCCTCCAACGCCTCCTTATAGTTCCCATTCCCAGCGATAACCCCCACATCGCCCGCTTGCCACATCCTCGCCATGACTATTAAGTCCTCAGGATCCCAATTCTCGGAAGATCCTTTCCCTATCGGCGGATGTAACCATTCTTGCAAACTCTCCGCGCCAAATTTCCTCCAAAGCTCTTGTCTAAACCACTCGGCACTCGGCACCCACGCTGCATAAGCTCTGTCGAATGCTCGCAGCCCTTTGACGGGGTTAACGCCGTTTTGTTTGTAGCGGCCTTGATCGTAGTCGGAGCTAGCTATCAGAGCAGAGACTGGGCCTTCGAGGAAGGCGTAGTTATGACCTGAGGTTTTCGCGCTGCCGCAGATGACGACGGCGTGTTTGAGGAAAGGGGAAGGACCGGCGCCGTGCATTACAGCCCAGTAATAGGCTTGTTGGGCGCCCATTGAGAAGCCTACTACTGCTTCGAGGCTTTTGATGCGAAGGTGTCGGGTGAGGAGGATGTATTGGGAATTAATACAGTCCTGTATTCACAATTCAAACCAGCACGTATTATTCGAGGCCGATGCATAAGTAAAATAAATAAAGTGTCATTACTTACCTGGTACCGCAGAGAGTAGTCCGTGGGAAATTCATCATCATTAGAAGGACTGGAACTCTCCCCGTTCCCAAGCATAGCAACAACGATGACATTGTAAACTCTTAAAGCCCCAGACGTGAAATTGAGAGTTTCATTAATACGTCCCGCGAAGCAGGTAGGTATAAGAACTGTTCCCTTAATAGAAGTGGGATTAAATAAACGGTAGGCGACTTTGATATCCTTCGTAATTCCGCCTGCAAACTTGAAATTTGGAATTGAAAAGTACTCGATGCTAGCAGTATCGTGAGACATTGTAAGACAAGGTTTGGTTATTGCGGCTTGTGGCTTGCCTCGAGCCAAAGAGAAATGAGACGCAAGACAAGTTCGGAAAGTTCGAGTTGAAAATTGCATGAAGATGAACACTTCGTAGATTTAGGCAACTTTCTCAATGAGAGGTGGGTCTCGTAGCGACTAATAACCGCCTGCGGACCCCCCTCTCGCTTCGCGGGATTATCCCGTACGGCTTTTTTGGTCTAGCGCAGCCTGTATCATCGCCAGAAGGACGTTGATTCTTGCCTTCTAAGCGAATAGACCGAAAGTTAGAGATGCTGCCTTAGACATTTTTTCGGGTAGACTTTTGCGTGTATTCATCACAGCAAATTCCTTCTGGTTGCAGTACGGAATACCATTTGCGGTGAACTTGTTATCAGTTGGGCATGAGCACGGCAGAAGTGGTGCCCCGTGATTCGACTCGGACTCTCCACGTTCTGGCTGAGACTCGTGGGCGGCGTTAGCAGGCGAAACCCCACGCTGCATGGAACTACTTTCAGCGTCTTTTGCCTGATCATATCCCACCTCCCGCTCTGTCTTCTGGATTCTCAACATCAGCAAGAGCTGACTGATTGTGCCTGAGGCATTAAGTCCTACCTGCACCGTGACTTATCCTCCTTCCATCCCCTTGCCCTTCTTCGCCTGCGACAACTCATCTGTCTTATTTCAGCGACTTGAGATAAGCTCTATCGCTCTATCCCTCAAACAATTTCCCTTATGGATACTGTGGGTCATATTAGCGGTCCTTCTGCCGCTGCTGCTTGAATAAGGCTACAAAAATGTAAGTATTTACAGCACTATCCAGATTCGTAGCCAGAATAAACCTATATTGATTGGTGTGCTATTGAATTGGTACCCTACTACTCGACTACACCGAAAGAGATCTTACATGTGCAAGGTGAAGATACATAGAAGGATGAGGACTTCATACTTCCAACGTGAATGCTGAAAGCCAGAATGAGACAGATTTCAGTCTTTTTCTACCGCGTCCAGAGCAGTTTGAGGTAGCCAAATAACTGCAATAGTAAGTGGATGACAAACCACCTCCAGCCAGTGGCGTGTGCGACTGCGATAGTGAAATGCGAATTTCTCAATAAGGTGCGAGCACGTGGCAGACTGCATCTGTCATAGGCTGTCACGGCCTCGTCCATAGACCTATGCATGCAAAGGCACTCGGCAAGGTCGTAGCCGTCCAAAAGGGCCATATTCGCCCCACTGCCAGCAAAAGGAGTGACAGCATGATTGCTGTCGCCGATAAATACGACACCACGGGGTATTTTATTGGCTGTTCCATGGGCAAATGGTTTCTTGTCTTTTGAGTTAAAGACCCTGACCGTAGTGGCGTCGCTGTTCTCTATAAGGATACGGAAAGGCTTCCCGAAGGCCATTCCTCGTTCTTGAGCTTCGCGAAGGATATGTGCACCCAGCTTGCGTGATATTGGAGATCTCGGTAGGTCTCCAGGCTCTTTCGCCATGTAGCTCAGGCTCCAATGTATCGTCGTTTCATCTACTGGACAGGTGAATAGCGCGAGCGCATTACCACTAGCAACGATGCCCCAATCTCTATTCAAAGGGTAGGGAGGTGGTCCAGAGAAGCGGGAGACGACTGAGATATTGATTGGTCCAGCAAAGCTCAGCTTGTCATTCGGCCTGAGCCATGTTCGTATTCTGCTGTTCGCACCGTCGGCAACGACTAAAAAATCGCACACGTCTTCCTTGCCGCTGTCCAATTTCAGATGCAGCCTCCCGTCTTCACTACTTGAAACTTCACTACACGCAGAACCCCAACTGATCTTGCCATACTCGTTTGCAACTCTGAGAAGTATGTGACGCATTTTCAACCTTCCAATGCGGAAGTCGGCGTTGAGGGGATTTGCGCGGACTCCATCACGAAGGCTGACAAGCCGAACCCAATCGAGGGACCTGACGGTGATGTAGCCTCGTGTATGACCTCGAGCGTATCCTGGTCGGGTGATGCCACTCTTCAGCGACGTCTCGAGGAGCCTCATTTTCCGCAGAGCGTGCGCTCCAGCAGAGGATCCACTGCCACGTATCCTGACAGAGTAGCGCTCCTGAGATTCGCTAGGCATCTCTTCCTCGCGCTCGTAGTGTACCACCTCAGGAAACTCCCCCAACCCTTCTGTCCAGATTCGGCGAAGTGAGACGACAAAACTTAGGCCGGCTATGCCTGCTCCTACAACGATAATCCTTTTTCCGGCGAGCGGCGACGGAAGCGACAACGCTGATGAGTTCATATTTGTATCTGGTGCTCAAAATTGGAATTGCGTCTGATGTGTTAGACTTCTCCAATACTCGTGTGCTATTGAGCCGCAACTAATACTAACCTGGCAACAGTGAGGATGGATAAGGATCAATTGACTGCGTTTGAGACTTGACGGCTCATGCGCAAGATGGGGTGCTTTCCCGAGTCTTTGCAGGTCAGATCCTAAACTTGGGCGTTACTCTGCTAATAGCTCGACGCATGTTATGACAATCAGCTACGACATGCTAATGCTGTAGATGAGGCTCTTCGAATAGACCCGACGTCATCACTACTGCATTGAGGCGCTGATGCAGCCCATCCAACAACAGCAATGGTCAGAAGATACATGGCATCGGTGATGCAAGTCCATTTTCGCAATGTGAGCAACAGACAGCATCGGAGCACAGACAGCCTATTGGAAGCAGCCACGAAGCGACTGAGGCTCTGGAATGTAAAAAACAGCCAGCGGACGCCCGACTGATGAGACGCCCGACTGATAAGATGCCAGGAAGGCGATGCAGCTGCCGTGGGGTAAAATGCTTGTTTCGCCCCATCTGGCCCGGTCTGCATGCGACCAAGCACGCCACCCTTTTCTTGTGGAACCCCCACTTCCGGTTACCTATCTATCCTACAGTAATGATTCATTTCAAGAAATCGTTACGATCAAGAAATCGTTACGAAGGCTGTGACATCTAAGGGCAGATAAGCTTTGTCATGAAAATGCGGGGTGAACGCACAATATCATCAACATTAATTTACGAATAATAGGGTGCGATAATACACAAAACAGTGCTCAAGTTTCAGATGCAAGATCCCCCTCAATAGATACTGATTTCTGCCGCAAACTCCCTTCGCTCATAAGAGGTCCACTGAGGATCTTTGCAATGCTCAGAAGATATCGATCATCATACCTGCGGGATATGAGAGACACGCCGACGGGCATGCCGTTAGGTCCAGTGAAAGCTGGCACATGGATAACTGGCATATGCGCTGCCTAGATAGAGCTGGTCAGCTTACGGCAATATTAAAAATTCCGAAACTTCTCACCGTCCACACTGAGTTGAAAACGGGACTACCCATATCACCTAGTCCCAAGGGTGCTTCATCCGTTGCGCTGGGAGTTATCAGAGCAGAATACTGTGAGGCAATCTTATCGAAGACAAGGCGTAGGGCTGCAAAGTAGTCAAAGGCTTGCCGTACTTCCTCACGGGGGAATTTAGGGGCGTCCTCGACGAATGCACGAACATCAGGGTCTAGCTTTGTCTTCGTAGTGTCCATGAGATAGTCCTTGTAGAATGACACGCCCCCATCGGTGACAAAGATTACTTCGAACATCCTGTTCAGAGCTGTGGCATCGTTGAACTCGTCCGGAAATTCGACATCCACGACCGTGACACAGTGATTGCGGAGAATCTCTGCAGCATTCTCCATCGCTGCAATGGTGCCGGGTCCTGCAGATGGCCAAAACGGCGACTTCACGAGGCCAACTTTATGCTCTTTCAGTGGCATTTCCTTCATTGCTTTCTCCTCCGTGACACTGAGCACGTCCGTAATGAGTTTGAGATCTTCCATACTACGAGCAAAGTATCCAATGGTATCGAACTCATGGGAGGCGACCTTGATGCCTCCGCCAGATATTGTGTCAAAGGTTGGCTTCATAGCGTAGATGCCCGTGTAAGAAGCTGGACGAATAACGCTACCACCTGTCTGTGTCCCAAAGCTGAGCGGTACTTGAAAATCAGCCACTGCAGCTGCAGATCCAGCCGAAGACCCGCCTGGCGTTCGATTTGGGTCGTGCGGGTTGGTGGTATCAGGACCTGAATTCAACACTGTGAATTCTGTTGTAGTTGTCTTGCCTATAACAACTTATAGCGAATTCTATCGCAAAGCCAATGAACATACCGACTATTAGGGCTCCAGCTCTCCGGACTATCTCGACAATTGAGGCATCGGCATTTGGCTTATTGCCCTTGTATAACGGAGAACCATATTCTGTTGGCATGTCTTGATTCGAGTGAGCAAAATGCGTCCACCTGAAAAGTTATGCTCACCTTTGGTGTCCATGATGTCCTTGATGGCGATGGCTACTCCGTGGAGTCGACCTCTCTGATCGTGTGGAACTTGGTCGAGAGCACGAGCCTGGCTCAAGACGAGGTCCGAATCTGACATGAGATTAGGCCACTTTGCTTCATATTGGGATCGAAGATGGTCTACCAAAGTACTGCCATGCTTTAACTACGCTGTTTCTCGAATCGATACGATTCAATAGTGCATTCGCATAATCTTCGACAGTGAGCAGGTCCCTTTTGATCAAGCTCAAAACCTCAGTAGCAGTTAGCGACCACAATTTTGTTGGCACAAGCATCATTGCTAGTCATGAATGGGTTCCGATGAAAAAGGTCGTGTGTCCAAGCTGTTGGCCTGGGCGTTAACAGATGGTTATTATACAAGGAGAATAACAACGCTCAATAGAGGGACGTCCACTTTCAATTGAAAAGCAAACGCTAAATGGTAGGGAGAACCTAGAAACAGACAGCGAAATAGAAGTGAGGGGTGTCTTGGCATCAGCACGGCAGCCTCAGGTTGTGTACTGCATGCCGTTCTCGCTGTGCACAGATATGCATGCACAGCCAACAAGGGTCGAATGTGGTAATGAATTAAATAGGTGCAAACGAAAGCAAGGTCCCATCTTATCCATTACCAAACCATATTTCGTACTCTCTATTCTTTGCCAGTCTGTCAGCGACCATGAGTTACTCTAACCTTGATATTATCAAAATCGCCGATGCATTTCCGTACGGCTCTCCTGCCGACAGGCTCGAGACACTCAACTATTACTTTCACTTCCGTACCGCTTCACATCCAGGTGTCACGCTGGGGTACATGCTTCCCTGGGTAGCTCTGACCTTTGCTGAGTTGCCAGACTGGTCTTTGAACCTGGAGAGCAGCCCAAGAAGCCTCACACTAATTGGTGGTCATAACGAACCTACACGAACGGCCATTATGCAGAAGACTACGTTAAAGATGCGGGCGGCTGGTCAGTTCAAAGCGCTTGAAAAGTGGCGAGATGAGTTATTCCCGGTATACGGCCCAGGCAAGGAGTTACTCTTCAGCGTCGAACGCAGCGCCAGCCCCCTCTTTGGAATCGTCAATTATGGCATTAACATGACGGCATTTCGTTGGAACACTGACAAAGATCCTGAAGGCGTGATGGAGGTTTGGGTGCCACGACGGTCCAGCACAAGGTCAAAATTCCCGGGCATGCTCGACAGTTCAGTTGGAGGAGCATTGGCCACTAACGAGACACCATGGACCTGCCTCGTCCGGGAAAGCAAGGAGGAAGCATCACTAGAAGAGAAGATCGTCAGAAATGCCAAAGCCATGGGCTCTTTGACGTACTTCTACCTTTCGAGCGAGGGATCTGGATGCGAGACCGGCTTAGCCCAACCCGACTGCACGTATGTATTTGATTTGGACTTGACTGGCTCGGCACCAGATGCCCTGGTTCCAAATGATGGTTCGGTAGCGGTCTTTGAGCTATTAACGGTGTCGGATATCAAGCGGGCCTTATCTCATAAAGAGTTCAAACCAAACAGCGCCCTCGTCATGCTAGACTTTCTTATCCGTCATGGGGAACTCAAGGAAAAAGATGAGCCGGATTATGAAGAGATTTCTTCGAGAATGCATAGAAATTTGGAATTTCCGTTACGTTAGCTGTTGGGATACAGAAGTATTTTGTGCAAATTTGCTTGCTACGCTCCGCGGTCGGTTCTCTTGGAAAGGCGTTTTCTGGTGTATCGTATTCACTGGTAGTCTTCTCTATGACCAATTGGAAGTTATGTTTTCTCAAGGCAGTAGAAGTTCTTCAGAAGCGTTCCAACTTTACATCCAATCAGATTTTGTATATCACTGTGGTTGAGCAAGCATTTCGTTTGTCCTACCTCTTTGATCTGCCCTTGACGCCACTATGATCTTGGAGAGCAATGGAAATAGTCATTTTCAAGGTGAACAAGCTGGATTACTTTCTGAAATTGTTCCAGGCGTGGCATTTGCATAGCTAATTCATTGTGCAGTACCACCACATCTACCACAGCTTGCTTTGCGTGTTTAGTAGGGGCAGTGATCACGGTTATATGTTTGGCTACCAAGAGGTGAATGCGCATTTCTACTTGTTGAGATGACTAGTAAGGAAATCGTACTCAACTACTGCATCATTCGGGGTGAAAGATACTGGCATGAAAAGAGAAATCCACAAGAATAAAGGCACCACGGGGATAACTTTCTATCCTGAATTTTACTGATCAGCATGCGATAAAATGGCTCTGAATAGATGTAAAGGTTAGAGTTGTGTTCTATATCATTTACTGAAAGCTATCTGTCTTATGTTCATTATAGAATTCAGGGAAGAGTTTCCTCAACTCTGACAAGTGCGTAATCCTATGTTTGCAAACGTAGCCTTCAGGTGGTTGAATGTTTTCTTCCAGTAAATGCACCGTGGTCCAGCCTAACTTTTCCGCTTCTAAACAGCTTTGGGCTGAATCATCTGGAGGTGCACTATAAGTATCTCCTCGCGATCAAGAAGGGGACGGCACAATACGAACCAACAAAGTAACATGATTTCATATCTTCCACACAAGCTTCCTTCATCGCTCTCTTGAACATCTCCAAATGGGGCTTGGACCGAATGGGGCTGGCTTCATAGTCACAATAAGTGAGACCTTCGAACTGATCCTCAATCTCAAGTAACCGAACCACCCGTTTACCGTGGTTGACATAGGCATTGGTGAGTAACCACAATTTCACCTTGCTTTTGTCGATATCTTGAAGCATCTTGCGGAGCTCAGGATCGGGCTCTAGGAGATCCTCTAGTGGTAAAGCGTCATCAACGTGGCTGTTGAAATGAAGAGGACTAATTGAATGGTTCTGTGCGAGACCCTCCACAATCAAGCTATATTCATTGTGATATTTGGTATGGAGCTTTAAGGCGGCTTCTTGGTCAAGTGAAAGAGTGTTCTTGATGTACTCGGTGACGAGCCCCGTAGTGACTTCGCGGACTTTTCTGTCTTGGGTATTATTCAGAAACCGTTCTTTGCCACGGAGCATTGCAAACCGACTGCTTGAATATAACTTTATATTGAGTTAGCGTCTGCTTAAACAAGTATCCAAGGATAGTACTAACACAATTGTCAATATCAAAGAAAAAGACGGGTCTTAGATCCGACATAGAGACAGCAGCTCAATCGAAAGAGGGATAAATTATGTGAGAGCTAAGACAAGGCGACACAAGCATCTGAACACTGCTTAGTGGTTGAACGATGCAATGGGAAAATGCGGCCAAATGACACATGTGACAAGGACTGGTGTTAACAATTGAGGTGAAAACTGGGCCGATAGCCATAAAATACGTTATGTGAAGGCTATGAGATATATGATACAGCCTTTCTTGGCTGGGGTAAGGGTGGGGTGGGGCTGCGTTGGGTGTGATAACAAATGAAGTAAAAATGAGTGGAGAGTCATAAATTACGTTATGTAAGGGGCTTGGGGTGGGGGTCGGGTGTGGGTGAATTGGGTGAGCTGGATGCCAAATCAATAGGCTGACTAGGTCGACCCATTGGTAGACTTGTTGGTATGTTTCAGAATTGGGAAGAATGTGCATACGAGCCGCGTTGCATGAGGCTGCGCCCTACTCACCTACCTCCCGTATGCGGTGTTTACTTATTCGATGGCTGGCATCCTGTTCAATGTGTGGCACACTATTCAAAGCGCGGCATTCTATTCGATATGTGGCACCCTTTTGAATCTTTGGTTGCTATTGCGCAGAGTCAAACAAGAAGTACTCGACACATTGACGCCCTGCCATCTTGCTCTGAATCTGTCTTCTCTGTTTTCAGCACTTCTCCTGGCGTTCAAAGCCTTTAATTGTTTCTTTACTTATCTACTTTGATGAACTAAGTTACCCATGTCATCACGATGAGGCTGCTCCAGAAGGACGCTCTTGGACGTTTCGTTAGCCATGAATGGCTAACAAACTTTCCTGAATATGTTGCTCTTTCGCACACCTGGCTTAGTGATAAGGATGAGATCAAATACGAGGACATTGTCAACGGAACCGCAGACCAGAAGTTTGCCAGCTACAAAAAGGTCGAATTCTGCGCTAAGCAAGCTGCTATGGATGGCTACAAATACTTCTGGATCGATACGTGCTGCATTGACAAAACGTCAAGTGCCGAAGTGCAGGAGGCAATTACAGCCATGTTCCGATGGTATCATGACGCTGGCAGATGCTACGCATATCTTGCTGATGTCTTTGTAGCTAAGGAGGATGCAGAGCAGCTAAGCTTGTCACGGCCATGGGAAGGAGCCTTTCGCCGAAGCAAATGGTTCACTCGAGGCTGGACTTTACAAGAACTTTTGGCTCCTGCGATTGTTGAGTTCTACTCTGCCGAGGGCATACTTCTAGGCGACAAACTATCTCTGAAGCACATTATCCACGAAATCACTGGTATACCTGTTCAAGCGCTGGAAGGGGACGACTTGTCGAAGTTTAGTGTTTCCGAACGGCTTTCCTGGGCCAAGCAAAGGCACACGACGCGTGTTGAGGACCAAGCCTACTGTTTACTTGGCATCTTCGAAATATATATGCCGCTCATATACGGCGAGAATGGGCACGCAACTATCCGGCTACAGCAAGAGATCGAGAAAAAATACTCGGAGCTTGATAAGTGGGACCAACTACTTGAAAGCCTACCTGTTGCTCCTCAAGCAGCTTTCAACTCGCTAGACAATCAGCATGGGCCGACATGTCTTACAAATACTAGAGTTGAGCTGCTCCAAGATCTCCTGGAATGGGCAGATGGGACGGACGACAAATGTATTTACTGGCTCAATGGCATTGCGGGCACGGGAAAGTCCACTGTAGCGCGTACAATTGCCAGAGCATTCCACGAAAAAGATATCCTAGGTGGCAGCTTCTTCTTCTCAAAGGGAGGAGGCGATGTCAGTCGTGTCAATTTGCTTTTCACAACTCTCGCTTGTCAGCTGGCGAGTCGAGTCCCGTCTGCCAAACGCCATATCTGTGAAGCTATCATGGCGAATAAAGACATCGCGGAACACTCTCTTCGAGACCAGTGGGACCAGTTGATCATCAATCCTCTTGGAAAAGCTGAAGGCCTCGAAATCAACAATATCATTATCGTGCTTGATGCGTTGGACGAAGTGGACAATGAACGAGATATTCGCATTATTCTTAGGCTTATGTCCACCGCGAGGGTACTACGACATCTTCGCCTGCGTGTCTTCGTTACGAGTCGACCCGAGATACCAATCCGATACGGCTTTTCGCAGATCCCGGAGGCGGAGAGGCAAGTGTTCTTCCTTCACGATATCTTGCCCACATTGGTCGATCGCGATCTCAATTTGTTTTTCCAGCAGAATCTTGCTGCGATTGGAGAGGAACGAGGTTTGGCTATGGACTGGCCAGGCTCCAGAACTATTGCACGCCTCGTAGAGATCTCACACGGTCTCTTCATTTGGGCTTCTACTGCCTGTCGCTATATTCGTGAAGGCAAGCGTTTTGCCGTGAAACGGCTCGAGACCCTCATCAAAGGTCGCCATTCAGGTGCGGGCCCTGAGAAGCAACTTGACGCAATTTATACCACTGTGTTAGAAGATTTGATTCAAAAGGATTTTGAAGAAGAAGAGAAGCAGATTGTGCGTGGGACAATAAAAGAGGTGGTCGGAGGCATCATCACTCTATTCTCACCCCTTTCTGCAGCCTCTCTCGCAAACTTGCTCGACCGAGAAGTCGACGAGATCGACGAGACGTTGGCAGACTTACATACAATCTTCAACATCCCGAATGAAAGAGTTCGTCCGATCCGCTTGCATCATCCAACGTTTCGCGACTTCCTTGTTGATCAGAACCGTTGCAAGAATTTAGATTTCTGGGTTGACGAGAAGATGGCGCATAATGCCCTAGCAGATAATTGCATTCGAATCATGCGCAAGATGCTCAAACGGGACATTTGTGACCTCAAATCTCCCGGGACTCTGGCGGTGACCGTGGACCAGTCCTGTATAGAGCAGTGCATTCCTGCGGAACTTCAGTATGCATGTCTCCACTGGGCTCAGCATTATCGACAAAGCGGAGTACTTCTAGGAGAGGACGACACGCCATACTCTTTTCTGAAGGAACACTATCTTCATTGGCTTGAAGTAATGAATCTCATTGGCAAGAGCTCAGAGGTAGCTGCAATTATCCGCATGTATCAAGCTCTCCTCGTAGTATGTACTTGTACCCAAGGCATCTCTTCAAGTGACAGTTCTCGATGTATTAACGCTTGACTTCAGGACAAAGACAATGCGAGACAGCTATCATTCTTGAAGAATGCACGAACGTTGTTCTTCTCTTTTCAATCAGTCATGGAGCGGACGCCGTTACAGATCTATTGCGCAGCGCTTGTCTTCCTTCGCCCCTCGAATGAGTTGAAGCACCACTTTTGGAATGAGCTACATCCATGGTTGAAGCAAGTGCGGATTGTTGACGCTATTGCTCCAGAAGCAAAGGACGAGTACATGTTCGTGAATGACTTAGCCTTTAGTCCTGACGGAAAGCAGATTGCGTCAGCATCCATTGGTCCAGTAGTACGAGTATGGGATGTCGAGTCAAAGACTGCTCTATTCGTGTATGATGGTCAAAAAGACAAGACAGGTACAGTGGCGATCTCACCGAATGGGAAGATGATTGCATCGGGCTCTGACGATGCCTCTGTGATGGTTTGGAACACAGAAACACGAGCTATACTGTTCAATCTAGAAGGCCACACTAGATGGGTGAACACGGTCGTCTATTCTCCGAATGGACAAATCATCGCATCAGGATCGATGGATGAAACAATCCGCCTGTGGAACGCTTCCAGCGGGGCGGAGCTCAGAATTCTCCAAGGAAATTTGTCTTGTATCAACGCTATTGCGTTCTCCCCAGATGGCAAGTCTCTTGCATCTGCCACCTTTGACTGGCTGGTACGCATTTGGGATCTTTCCAGGAGCGACGTTCAGCTCATACTTGATGGGCATTCGGGTCCGGTGAACACCGTTAGGTTCTCCCCAGATGGCAATCAGGTGGTATCCGGATCGGATGACATGACCGTCAAAGTATGGAATCTTACTTCAGGAACGGAGTCGATCACTCTGAAGGGACATCTTAAGAAGGTCTCGGCTGTTACATTCTCACCAGATGCTCGCCGGATAGTTTCCGGGTCGGAAGACAAGACCGTACGGGTGTGGGACGTTAGCCAAAGAACTCTCCTGAGCACCCTCGAACATAACAGTGGCATAAACGCAGTTTGCTATTCGCCAAACGGGCATTTACTTGTAGCAGGCGCTTATAATGACGAACTCCGCCTCTGGGACGCAGGGACTGGAGAGTCGAAGGGCAAACTAGCAGATTTTGTTCCTCAACAACTTGGATCTAGCGCGGTCGAGAAAGATGCTGAGCTTGTGCCCAATTCTCTTGACGCTACAAGAGACTATGGCAAGGCACATGGAAGTGCGGTGCTCTGTCTAACTTTATCATCAGACCAACTGCTTGTGGCGTCAGGGTCACAAGACTCTGACATTAAGGTGTGGACCAAGGCCGGTATGGAGCAAGCAAAACTAGTTGGGCATTCAGGGCGTATCACGCGGTTGAGCTTTCACCCCAACGGCCATATGCTTGCCTCCGCTTCTGTAGATTCAACCGTAAGCTTGTGGAATGTTTCGACTGGTGTCATGCTACATAGCCTCAGAGGTCATACCGACGGAGTTCAGGATATACAATTCTCATCGGACGGTAATCTGCTTGCATCATGCTCAGCGGATAAGACAATCAGGCTGTGGGACACACTTTCAGGCGCAGCAATGGATCCACTTGAGGGCCATGCAGACACTGTTACACGCATCGTTTTCTCGCCGGATGGCTGCCTCCTTGCATCCTGCTCAGCAGACACTACCGTTCGATTGTGGGATGTGAAGACCGCAGCCTCGCCATCAAGGGGCCATGAAGATAGCATCAATATCGTGACCTTCACGGCAGAAGGCGATCTAGTTGCCTCCAGTTCAATTGACACAATTGTCAGGCGCTGGTCTATGGATGACACGGCGGGTGGCACCATCGGAGAGTACGAAGTCAATTCGGTGGCCTTCTCGCCAGATGGAAAACTGCAAGTATCGAATGGTACGGTAAGATTGTGGGAATGCGAAATGAAGGTTGAGCGAGCCGAAGTCGATATTCCTGTGAGTCTCCATGATGTAGGCTTCTCTGCTGGCCTCTATGCCGAGACCGATCATGGTACTCTGCTCGTGAGCCCTCCTGTTTCGGGTATCTTTTCACTTTCGCTGGATGAAGGATGTACAAGCTCCGTTACCGAAGACTGGGTTATGAAGGAGAAAGAGAACGCGCTTTGGCTACCAGAAGAGTATCGGGCAACCAGCGTGGCCACGTGTGGAAGCTTCACAGTCTTGGGCCATCCATCAGGCAGTATCTCCTTCATTTCATTTCATTGATATCATCTCGTTCTACACATATGATACTCTCAATAGTACGGAATGGGACAAGTTTGGTTGAAGCTGGAATCTCTATTAGCTGAAAGAGCATGGATCCGGAGTCGCGTTAATCAAGACTCTCTTGCGGCTTCACTGAGTGCAGAAAACTTGAAAGAACAAATTGGAGTTATCCAATACTCTCCTGCCCTGCCTAAAATTTAGCGAGCTATACGGAAGCCTCTTCTGAACGTGTGAGACTACAGGAGGTTAAAGTCCTAGGGAGCCTTGTAAGGGCTACCTAGTACATTTAAGGGAACATGCTCTCCATGAAATCCAAGTAGATGCTAGCAAACTCGTCCTCATGCTTCAATTTTTCATTTCACGGTAAGCGCCTTGCTTTCCTAGCGGTTGGCGTCCGCTAGAATCCTTTTCAAGATGATGTTGTACCTGTTGCGTGCAAGCTTTCTGCCCCAAAGTCTGGAAGATGTGCAGAGACATTCGTCTGAGGTGTGTTCTATTTAGGCGCCAAGTTCCAACACAATCATCCAGTTGGCCATTTACGGGTCACACAGGAATCAGGGGTCTGTTCAGCGGCCTCCGGCGGTCTTTTGTGTTTGAATCGAAGTAACCAAACCTACTCATTCATTAATCTTCGGCGAGGACTCACAATGCTGATAGAGGACCTACTTAAACACTTTGATTCATGACTTCGGATGGGAATAATGGCAACTCAAGCTGATCTCTCAGAGGGTGCAGGATCATGTATAAAAGAGCATCGGCAACGCTCCCTCTTTGTGTTTTCAAGTTGCCCCAAAAATAATCAAGAAAGTAACGAACATCTGAAGAACCACCTTCCAAGAAAATTACCAAGATAGATATCTTACAGGGATACATACAGTGCCTCTTTCAGGTAACGAATAATATCTTAGTGGCCTGCGTATTCAGCATTCCCGTTAGACCACCTCAGGCGGAAATTCCAGCTTCAAGACCTCGAGACAACCACTCATGGCAAACACACCTCAACACATCTCATTGGACCAAGGCCAATATCCCGGCCAAGGAATAATCAATGTCGGAACCTCGAGACAACCACCCGTGGCAAACACACCTCGATACATCTCATTGGACCAAGGCAAATATCCCGGCCAAGGAATAATCTACTTCCCCCAGCAGCCACAGGAAGCTGTACCTGCCCCACGCTTTTATATCGGCAACCGCGTGCACCCTAATTACATGGTGGCAACAAATACAAATCCAAACTCAACCTGGTATGACCAGGGTGCGAGATTGGCGGGCTTCCCATGCTGTGGTAGTCGGTGGATTACCGCCCAGCAGTACTCCACTCACTTGAGAGCTGCTCATGGTATAAAGCACTACTTCGGGTAGTTTAGGACTGGTGGAGCTGGACTAGTAGACATATTACAATATATGGCGTTGAAATCACTTGTCTGTGCTGAATGTGAATCTTATGTAATAATCAATGCTCAGCAATTCTGGTTAACATGGCTTGAAATAATTATTATGCGACAGAGAACCTGATATTCAATAATTATTGACAAAATTTGACGAGCGCACAGAATATCCCCGACAATAGAAGGGGACAACAGCTGCTGACTAGGCCCAGCCGTTTGTGTTGACTTGCGGACTCCATAAACGAGCACTTTTCCACGATAGCCCAGGATTCACAACCCTCATACATCAAAGGCACAAATGTCTTATTCAGGTTCTCAGATATGAAAATAGTCGTGGTTCTAGCTGGAAAGGACGATGCTTGTCTATAAATAGTACCAACAAATATCCTTTCATCCCATTTTTATACCTCTCCAAAATAGCAACACTGAACCTCCTCGAAATTCACGTCTATTATTCTTTCACAAGCGCATGGATAACGTGGCTTAACTCAGCTGAAGATTTCAGAGTAGAGAATCGTATCTGTGCCTTTGCTCCTGAAATGGTAACGTCACTGGTGGTGCGCGTGATCCGCCTCCACGGCAGACCGACCAACATGCAGATTCCAGCAACCAGACTTCGAGACCTATGATTCTATACATGTAATATTACACGCCCTAGAGTAATAGTGGCTAGGCTGGCTGTAAACAATAGTTGTTCTTTTAACGGATTCTACTTATCGATTATTGGCTATTTATAAAATTTAGCGAGGTATTGTTGCCTTTATTGCCAGCCTCGCAGGAGAACAACCCAAGAGGCATAGCTTGGACTCCGAATAGACAATAGCCTCGAATGAGACCCTTGATCATGAAGTCACTTCAAGAAACAAGAGGTACCTATCAATTCCCAAACCCCTTTTCTCTTCGTAATCTCCCTTCCTAGCCAACTTGCTCTCGCTCAAAAGAACAGCTACAAGAGCCAACCAACTAACCGTCCACACCTCGAGAATCATCAAACTCACAAATCCTCTCGGACTTGTCCTGAAAGAAATTCATCAGAATATTACTCCCAACCATGCTCTCCCCTTCCTACTACGCCTTCCCCCGCTCATCCTCCAACATCCCCGGCACAGGCATGCTCCTCATCCCCGAAGTCCGAATCCTCCCACAACATCAAGCGCATAATCACACCCCACCTCCAAGTTCAAGCCCAAAACCACAAGATGCGCTATTTTACATCGGCACAATCGAATTCCCAAATAGAATGGTAGCGAGACCACAATTGCTAGATGGAGAAGCAAATTTCACAGCACCAGGAGGAGATTCGTGGTATTTCGATATTGCGACGCGACGGACGGGATTTCCTTGTTGTGGGATGAGGTTTGGAACTGTGAAGGTGTATGCGGAGCATATGGATGCTGTACATGAGGTTGAGGGGTATATTTGCTGAGTGGGTAGGGAGAGAGGGAAAGAGGGAGGTTGGAAATGAGTGAGTGAGATGTACTGTGTTCTGGAACATAGGTAGATGGTAGAGTTTGGCGTTATGGAATGAAACGGTTTGGAGGAAGAAAAAGGAAAAAAAGGACGGAGTATGGTGATTTTTCCTGTTCATCATATCACAAGATGTTCCAGACATTTTTGCTGACTTAAAAGGTCAAGTAGTCAACTCATTGACCTTCAAAAAGCCTTGTTCGAGATACTTCCTGCCAAACCCCAATGAATGTAACGACGAGGACACTTACTCGGTCTCTTCCGAGTTCCGGGCAATCTCAATATAAACTCCCCAGTCTCTCACGCGCCGATGCCGATGTCTCTCGCCCACAATACCTATGCATCTCCACATCTAGCTCTAGCTTCACCTCCACCACCCTCGCGTATGTAAGCATAAGTTTCAGCGGGAAGGCACACAAGGACATCTACCTCAGGCTTCAACTCCAAAAGGCAGCTCATGACCATGGCCATGACACTCATTCTCTCTCGGTGGCGCCAAGCAAGCTATACACACCCGACAGATCCCACCTCCGGATGACAACAAACCGCCTATCTTTCGTCGATCCTCGAGGCCATCTCAGCAGTCACACTCTAGCTTCCAAACTCCGAACTGGGACCGGAAGAAGTGAGCCGGTCTTCAAAAACATCGTAGTATTGGACTGCGAGCTCGTGGCAGTGAATGCAGCTCGGGTGGTGGTTATCAGGAGAAGACTGGGACGACAGAGGAAGGGAGGGGAGGGGAGGAGGTACAGTATGTAGGTGAAAGTGAAGGATTTAAGGAAATCTGCTTTCGAGGATGTGGTAGAAATAGATAGATACTGGCTATCTACAAGTGTAAAGAAGGAATTGTTGGGCATTCTAGTTGCTTCATAGACTTGGCGAAACCCTCACCGCCAGAATCAAATTTTGGCATTAACACATGAAGCAAAGCACTGAAATCACATTCCAAAAACGCAATTCAAGACTGCCAATCTTGTTTAAGAGATCTTCACATTCAAATATCCACTCCAATTTCCACACTACCTCGAATCTACTCAACACTCTCCTCTCTCATCCCCCAATCTCTACCCAGACCGAAACTGGCAGCCACACAAGCACGAAAAATGACAGAAAACTCCCCCCAAGGTATAGAGAAATCAACAACACTGAGACCGAGATACCTAGCCCAACGCCTTGGAAAATGTCCACTACGCAGTAGTTTTGGAAACAGATCATATACAAACAATACCAGGACCCAGAAAACACAATTGAAAAATACATCGACTACACCAGGGACGCAATGCTTGCATATACAGAAACATTAGCTAGCGTCGGGTGGTGTGCATCAGCAGAGGAGAGCAACTGAGCAGGATATCCAGCCTTTCCTCCCTTTCGACTATTGACCCCACTCGGAATAGATAGACTCTTATTGTAAAGCGAACGAGCACCTCGTCGCATTTTGTCGGCGGAACCAATATCATCACATCATATCGTAGCCTCCACAAATTCAAACATTACTATTGCTGAACCGGATCCCACCTCTGCGGTTCCCTTCCTCGACCATCGCCAGGTGACAGAGCATGCGGCACGCCTCTATCCTGGTTCCCAGGCTGGTAGGCCTTGTATCCTGGGTATGCTGGCTGCTGTGGCGGAGGACTTCTGCTCGCGTAACTGGGTGCTGCAGTTCCGACATTACCGAAATAATCCGAATTCTCAGTTCGTGGAGGTGGTCGTCCGTATCCTTGCTGAGGAGGTGGCGATTGTCGAGATTGGTAGGAAGGTGCTGCTCCGACACCGAAATCAAAGCCAGAGTTGTTGTTCAGCGCTGGAGATCCTGTGCGTATTGGTCCACCTGGTCCTCTTGATGGCCCGCGTGATTGTCCGTACTGATCATTTGGACCTGGCCCTCTTGAAGGTCCACGAGGCGGCCCATTGGGACCAGGACCTCTCGAGGGGCCGCGAGGGGGCCCACCGCCTTGCATGTCTGAGCCGTACGATCGATCGGTATATTGTCGTCCAGGTCCTAGCGGTCGTGACGAGTCGGAAGAGTACTGGCGATTAGAAGGAGGAAATGGTCGCCCATTATCTGAATACTGGTCGTTCGCATATTGCCCTTGTTGTTGCCTTCCACCATATCCTCCAGGTGCAGCACTATCGAATCCATTATTTTGGGCGTACGGGTCCTGAGGAGCAGGTGAACCAAATCCTCGGCCTTGACTGTCGTAAGCCTCAGGCGCATCGTAGACATCTTGACCATAAGCACGTCCTTGTCCGTCATAGCCTAGAGGCGACCTTCCTCCATAACCACCGCGACCTTGTCCAGGAGCTGGAGATCCATATCTGTCATTTCCATTGAATCCGGCTTGGCTCTGATTGTCGCCGGGAACACCCATATATCCGTTATTTCCTCCGCCGGGTCTTGCGCCAAAGGGACTGTGTGCTTGTCCAATATCCGGACTTGGAGGTACGCTTGTTCCAGCGATGGCACCTGGAGCGATGAGAGGCATCTTTTGTCCCGTGGCCGGATCCAACTCTCCCAGCTCCACAGCATTCTTCTCTTCATCTGGAACGTGTTTCTTTGACGCAGTGTCCCAACTAGGCATTGGCGGCAGAGCATCCTCGTGCAGCGGAACGACTTTGGGCTCGACGTATAATCCATTCTTTCCTACTTCAAACTGGGCGTATTGTGGAGGTACTGGTTGGGACGCAGCCACGTTCATTAGTGCACCAGCTGCAGGGAGTGCTCCCCCCATCATCGGCGCAGAAGCTTGGTATCCTTGAGCTGGGTGGAATGGGCTGTCTTTATGCTTCATCGGTTTGTCTTTCTTCCCAGCACAGCTGTCTCCACAGCAGTCGCAACACTTCAGGAAGGAGAAGCAAGTACAACAGCATGAAGCTCCGCAACAGCATACCCGACCTATGCACGTTATGACCGAGAGGAGGATGAGGCCGCCGATGATCATAGCCGCTATGACAGGCCATCTAGAAGGGTCAGCCATATTCATCAGTATCAAGGGAGGGTAACGAACTTGCAATATTTAGCATTCATGCATTTATCCCAACTGGAAAACGAATCCTTCACATTATTTACCTGGTCGGTGATTCCTCTTCTTCCTAGCAGGCTGTCAAATAATATCTCTCCAACTCCCCTCCGCACACTGCTCTGCATCGATGTCGTGATATGAGGCATTGTGAAGAGGCGGCTTCTCAATTAACGCTGGCGTTGCAGTGTCCCAAATCGCAGCGAGAGGACAGAAAGTCGACGCAGCTCCTCCTTTGTTCCAGTCGCCACTTCGCAGATATTCAAGACTCAATTCGTGGTTCGAAGAAAAAGTCGGATCGATTCAGAGTGTCCAGGGGAACCCAATCAAATAATCGCAGATCCCCTCTTGCTACTCCATAATCCCAGTTCTGAAGCTTAAGGTCAATTTCCTTTTCTGTCAGATCTGCTGAACCTTCTGCCGACCTGTTCGTCCTATGTTCCTGTCCCTTCCCTGCCCGCGTAAAGGTTCTCGTCGGTTGTCGCCGTAGGTGTTGTGTCGCAATAACAAGAAGCAAATATAACCCTAACACCCAAACGGGTCGTCTGAACGTGTGTCTGTCTGCAGGAAGTGTAGTGGAGAAGAGATGATCCGGCAGCGGGCGACCCGAAGGTTTTCAGTATGCTGGAAGGGATTCGATTTGGGCGTCAGGCTGGGCTGAAACGGAGGCGACTGGGCTGTGCAACCTCACGATCAATCAACGTCTGGAAATAGCCTGAGCCTCGTGATGTTCTGCCTTGGCGGATGCGCAGCTTCCAGTGGTGCGAATAAAAGAGGGTGATTGGATGAAAGAATGGCAAATGGTTGAATGTCTGCAACAGCTCTAGGAGGAAGAGGAAGAGGAGAAGAGGAGAGGAGAAGAGGGCGGTGGAGGAGATGGAATGGAGAGTGAGGAGAAACACACACACGCGGGCACAGGGACGGGAGGCACACGTACGAAAAGTGGATGCGCAATTAATCCGGCTCCGGCTCCGGCTCCGGGGTCGTTCGTCGCTTCCCGAGTTTCCCCTGACATTAGCGGAGCGTCGCCCCACCGGCACCTCGCATACAAAGGCTTGGCAAGGGATGCACGGTGACCAGCATTCCATTCCAACAATGAGCTGTGGCGAGTGCTGAAAGAGTGTGGCTGTGAGGATATATAAATATATAGATAGATATACGGACACGAACAGCTTTCAGCGAATACGACATTACGAGTATTGAGATGTTCACAGGCCACCTGTGATGATCACTTATCACTTCCAGTAGGTATCTGGGGGAGTCATCTACGCAGACACCTTTGACTGCTCATGGAGGGAGATCTTCCATTCCATTCCCAACCCCCCTCCTTCTTTCAGCCCTTTTCCAGCCTCCATGCCTCCAATGCTAGAACACATTTTCTCAGCAGATCACCAACTTTATCGACACACTTTTGCGATGGCACTCTTCTCGAAGGCAATATGCCACTGGCTCCAAAGTCTCCCTTTCAAGCTGACTTCAAGGTATCGAGTATTGATCACTTAAGCGAGCCCCTGACGTCGATCTTCTTTCACTTGGAGTCATTTGAAGATCGACAGATTCTGGCACTGTTTCTGTAATTTATACATCTACGCTTTCATAACAACCGGTCCGTGCTTCGCAATATTGATTTTAGTATCCTATACCTTCATCTTTTCTTCATGACGCACCTCACAGACATCCCAAAGAACACCCTTACTCGAACTCGCATCACCCTCCGTCGCCGCAAACCGATACGACCCAAACTTCCTCAACGGCACCCCAGTCTGGAACATATAATCCACCTGCTCCAATGTTTTCCCCTTACACTCAGGGACACAGAACCACGTAAACACAACAGCGCAAAACGACAAACTCCCAAAAATAAACCCCACCCTGCTCCCCAGATCCGCATACGGAGCATACAGCAGGTACGGGATGGAGAAGTTCACCAGGAATTGGAAGACCACGTTGACGACGGCTGCTAGTCGCTGAGAGCGATCGCGAAGTCTCAAGGCGGGTACCTCGGTGGTTACGACGTATGTTAATGGTGCCCAGGCGAATATGAAGCCGAGGCCAAAGAGGACGACGAACGCCACGATAGTGTTGCGAACGGCGTAGCTTGGATTGGGTACGGTACCGAGGCAGCCGACGATGAGGATAGCTACCATTTGGATGCTGCCGCCGATGAGGAGGAGAGGTCTAGTATGGCTCGTGTTAGTCATGATCTATCTTTCAATTTTCTCGAGGTCTCAGAACTGAAGAAGATGACAACGAAGGAGAGAGTGAGAGAAAAAGGGAGTATACCGGCGACCAACAACATCATTAAAATACAACCCGATCGACATGACCACCAGGTTGCAAGAAAGATTGATAACCGTGAAGTCGAAAGGGTTGATAGTATCCAAGCCAGAAACAAATACGGCACTGTACGTTGACACGAAAGCTTGTCCCGTCACCTGCTGGAAGAAGTTCATTCCAACGACGATCGCTGTGCGCTTGCGGTTCACCCCTTGGAAAAGTTCTTTGAACTTCCCCTGCTCAGGTATAGTGAGAAGGCCGCGCTGGAGAGATTCGAACTCGATGGTTATCTCGTCGTCGGTAATACACCCCTTGCGGAACTTGGTGAACGCGACCAAGGCCTCATGGTCGCGACCTTTGGTCAGGAGCCAGCGGGGTGACTGGAAAACATCAGACGACGAGCTCAGAGAAGGGATAGGGATGGACTTGTGGTACCTCAGGGATGAACCAGACTAAGCTGAGGACTATCGTCGGGATGACAAAAAACAGGCCGATGGGGATTCTCCATGCGGCATTGGTGGGAAGAGTGCTCGTGCCTCTGCAAATGATATTGACAATGAAGCCACCAGTCTGCAACAGTTTTAAGTGTGTGTCTCTCCACTGAGGTGGCTTGTACTATGAGGTTACTTACCACCAAGCTAAACTGATAGGATCCCACACAAAAGCCTCGAATTGGGGCTGGCACGATCTCAGACATGAAGACTGGCATCACGGACAATTCCATCCCAATATATATGTCTATACTCCCTCAGCTCGGTCCGATTTGTTGCTCTAAACCAGGTGTTTACTCACACGACAAAACTCTACCCGCCAATATATGATCGCGATTATTGGCTGTAATGGTGATTGCAGCTCCACACAACGCCCAACAGCTCATTGCAAACATACACATCCTCCGTCCCCATCGAGAACTCACATAACTTCCAATCAGGATACCCGCGGCAAATCCGATATAGTTCAAGCTGTTGAACAACGAGAGCCAGTACGGTTCCAGTATGTACTTATGGGTCTTGGGATTCAGGACTCCGAATTCACGTTTGAAAGGAATCATAGCTTGAGTAGTGTTGAACCCTTGATTATCAAAACCGTAGTTCATAGTCGAAAGGAAGATGAGCAAAACAGACCGCAGGAGGACGGCATTGAAGTGCTTGGTGATGCGGTGGAAAGGAGCCATGGTGAAGATATTCGGTTGTCACTGTCAAGCATCTCGCAACCAGTTGACTTGATGTTTGATTGAACCCATTTGAGGGAGCCAGAGAGGTCTTCATATGTTTTTCTCCATGCCTCAGGTCTCGCAGGGCTGAAACTACTTCGAACTTTATATTCCGTGGGTGTCTCCGCTGACTTGGCGCTTGGAAGGAAGGCTAGTCAGCACACTTTCCGGCTATTCCGACATCGTAGAGTCTATAACATCGAGAGCCCTTTCCTACTCGTCCGCCACTACGTTCAGTCACAGTGCATGTCTGAATAAAGTATGCGATGATTCTAGACTACCATTCCATCCTCCTAGTCTGGGACATGAAGCCATTTATTGGCATTTGCCACATGTTTTGCTGATGAGTGATAAGTTCGTCGGTGAGTTACACGGTTACACCTCGACAAAAATCTTCAACTCAATGCGCGGGTCGGCGCGTAACAGGGACTTCCCTAGCTATACACTCAAGGAATGAATACGGGCGAAATGCACCTGCGAAAGTATCATGGGAGTACCTAGTGTCATACTGCCACGTAAACATCGAAAACGTTTCGAAGCCTTTTGGAAGGCCGATTGTTTCCAATCCCTCGACTTTTCCGAAACATTATTTTATATGGCTTACCACTTGAATGTGCATGCCGCTTTATGTCGCCTCTGTTAAACCTCTTCACAACAAAGTAGGTACTCAAATAGAAGCACATCTGAATAGAGGCACACTCGCGGAGGCATACCTAGAGGGAGGCAAACTCGATCAAAGGCACACTCGTGGAGGCACACTCGAATGGAGGCACACTTGAAAAAGTAGTATAAATAGTGTCAATTATGTGAATAGCTTCATTTTTGCCTTTCTATTGTTCTACCTTATCACGTCGCGTACATCGCATTACATAAAGCGGCATACATATTTAGGTGGTGAGCTATACAAAATAATATTCCAGAAAAGTCTAGGCATTGGAAACAATCGGCCCTTTTGGAAGCACTTCGTATTGATCCTTGACATTACCGTAAAAGTCTCTCACAGTTCCTGGCCCTGCTGTTCTCTATAGGTGAGAATGAAGCTCTGGAGAATGTCTGTCGTCTCTTTCTCCATACAACAGCCCATCTCCAAACCGAAATGTTGGATGTGCGGTATCATACGGCATATCCGAGCGTGACTCCTCGACAGCTTTCATCGACGACGGAAGATCAAAAGGCAGCTTGCCTTCAGGACTCGCAATCCCGAAGACAACGTCCAGGAAGGCGGCACCACTGCTGCCATAAGAGACCATGAGAGCTGCTGCTGAAGCAGCGATCTCAGGGATGATGGCGGGTCGATCCAAATAGACGTCGACAACCGTGGGTACCATGTTGTAGATCCTGGCTTGGCGTGCTTTTTCTCGCGATGGATACTCGAGAGAGCCACGGTGAAATTTGGCTTCGTAGGCTCCAGGTCGGGCTTCATGTGGAGCTTTGAGGCGCAGGATGGCAATGTTAGCCTCGGCAGGCTGGTTCACGAGTAACAGTCCCCGTCCGATAACAAGAGCTGGATCGAGTCCTTCAACGTAGACCTTCATTGCATTGCTTACCTTCAGGGGCAGAATTTGATTGACATTTGTCAACAAGGTGATAGATCGGCATTGTGCATCGTATCCGTCTGCTCTGAAGCTCTCTTTCCCAACTACATTCACTGCATCCTCGACATCGACGAAAGGTTGTTCGAACAACCCGAGGCGAAATTTGACTTCGAGTATTCGTCGAACAGATGCATCGATTCGACTTTCGGGTATTAATCCATCCTCGACTCCCTTGATGACAAGCTCTGGACAACATTCGCCGCCAAACTGATCGCAACCCGCATCCACGATCTTTTTCGTACGCTCCAAGGCGCTTAGGGACTCTACACCCCAAGCACGGGCTGGCATATGCTGTCCAAGGATATTTGCATCTGTGATGAGGCCCCAGTCTGTAACAACAACTCCTGTAAAACCGAGTTTCTCACGTAACAGGCCGGTGATGATTCCTTTGTTGAATGCGAACCCAGCTTCCTCAAACTCTGTGTCAACCGGCATTCCATAGTCTGTAAGGTGCCAAGTTAGTACTAGATAAAAAAGATGATTGTATGCCATGGGCAGCCGGGCCGATACCTTGGCCAATGAAGAGAAATGGAAAAAAAATGCCTCCTCTAGGCTAGACAAGGAAGCAAAGTAGTATTCAGAACGAGATGATTCGGATTTTCCACATACAAGGCATGATCTGTGTTGCCCCAGCTGCGATTGCAGCTCGAAAAGGTTTGATATGATAGTCCATATTATCCCCAGGGTAAACTTGCTCTCGGCCATAGGAGAAGTGCGGATCCTCGCCATCCTTCTGAGCACCTCCTCCAGGAAAGTGTTTAGTGATAGTCGCGACCGAATTGGGGCCCAGCTCTGGACCCTGAAAGCCCCGAATATATGCCGCCACAAGTTCACTTGAGAGATCGGCATCTTCTCCAAACGTTGCTCCAATTCGACACCATCGTGGCTCGGTAGCAAGATCAATTTGAGGATGTAGAGCTGCGCGAAGTCCAAGTGCAAGATACTCCTCCCTTGCCACATTTGCGAAATGCTCCACGAGACTCGTCGATCGTAACGCTGCAAGACCTAAAGTTTCTGGCCATTGCGATAATGCTCCGGCAGTGAAGCCAGTCAGAACATTGTCGGTGAAGTGATTTCGAGGATCGCTAGACAATGTCACAGGAATTCCCAGTCTTGTCGCAAGAGCTCGGTGTTGCAAGCCATTATGCCATTCTGCCGCATCTCGAGCATTAGTGACTGGACCGAGCAGGTTGAAATGTGTGAGATGTTTATTCCCGAGGAGCGTTTCCGTTGGAAGGATATCAAAGAGTGGATTTGGCTCTGTTTGAAGATGACCACCTGGCCCCATCATCAGAATCGTATGGAACATCTGCCCGGCCTTTTCTGCGAGCGTCATCCGACTGAGCAAATCCTCCACTCGCTGGTCGACAGGAAGTCCTGCATCTTTGTACGGGCATGATTCCATATTAAGAGATCGATTCTTTGGATTAGTGCATCAGTACAAGTCTGGAGGGACACCTAGTGAGTATGACCCATCAACTGGATAAATAATAAGAAGCGGTGCTGTACTGCACTCACGAACAAATCGCTAGAAAACAGCATGAAAAAGGACGATGGAGAGGACCGATTTACCCACCGCCGTAACGTGAACAAGTACGAGCTGGCAAATATACTAAACTACTGGATGCAAGACGAATCGAGACATGATGAGTTGTATGTAGAATACTAGTCCCCGGACCTCATCAACTTGAAAAACAGGTATCTATGCCCAAGCAAGAGTTCCGTGGAGATCTGTACCAAGTTTGGAATGTTTCGGTTCGGATAATCCGAAAGAAATACGTGAGGACTGGTCCAGCGTGCTTGCAGATTTGCGGATGAATTATTCCGATCTGGTCATCTACTGGTCTCTCTCGCAAAGTCCCCCACATTCTCCCTCGTCTGCGAGGCGCTTGAGTCATGCCTTCATTATCGGCAATAGAAGGCATATGATAACCGAAACGAGCAAATCGAAAGCAGGACCGAGGCAAGATATAGAGAGAGACGGCTGTAAATATGTCGGGCTAGACAGCCGCTTCACCTTGCCTAGGAGAAACTCGTGTCAAGCAGCGTCTTGTGTCTATTTGCGAGTCTGGTCTGTGACTATCTGTCCGTTCTTGAGAACAGCTTTCAGTGAGAAGACTGACCGCCGGAAAGACCTCCGGGATATGACGGTCTGACTGACGCTCTCGGTCTTTGCGCCGCCCATGGCTATTTAAGCATGTGCGAAAATACAAGCAGTACTAGTTCATGTCGTCGCAGGTCCGTTAGCCACGCCTGGAGCCAAAAATACTTCTTCAAAAGTACGCATCCCTGCCCTTGCACTTGCAGCAACGTGTCGCATCGAGCCATTATTACGGAAAATAATGAAATAGGTTGACAGTGAAATGGAGGTCGATCCAATCACGCAAACCGACTAAGCTTTCGCGGAGGTTTAGCTTTGTTTACAGTTGTTTCACGTGTCGTTGGATTTTCCTCGCTTGTCCCTGGAACCTAATTAGCTGGAATACGTTCCGTATCCACCCTAGTTTTTGTTTCCCCTCTCAAAATACTCGAGGCAAAAACTCCAGACAAGAAGTGCTGCGATACATCAGGCCTTGACAGATCATGAAGATGAGCCTCCGTCTTCAAAAAATCACGTAGGTGAAGGACAGCTTGCGGGGTTTCACTGCTGAACCTTATGTACTTCTAAACAAGGTCTAGTTGGAAAAAAGACCCGAAAGGCTTGATGTGACTCACGTGACTTTCTCTAACGTACTAGTTCCATCTTTGCGACGCTTTTGAACCTTATTCATCTCAGTAGCATAGATACTTCATCGGTTTGTGATCTAGAATTGTTCCTCACCGAGACTCGTGCCTCTATTTGGGATGACCTAGTTCTTGCTTTTGAGAACCACAGAGCATTAATACGTACGATGAATCCGGAACCGCAGCCCCCACGTCCGAAGGCCCGTCGACCTCGCGCGGCTCATGCTTGTGAGCTTTGTCGCCGTAAGAAGAACAAGTGCGATGAGCTAGATCCATGCTCCTACTGCAGAGGTGGGTACTTATTACGGAGTGCCCGGGAATTCCGTGAGCTATGGGAACAGTGAACTGAACAACGCATGTTTCCCAGTGCGAAGTGTCGAATGCATTTATCGAAATGCAGACAGGTCAAGGCGCTACACCTTTTCTGCAGAGTCAGTCTTCAACTTCTGACATCGGAAAAGGCTTATTATTGATCGTTGTGTGATAGCTACGTCAGAGATCTTGAGAGACAAGTCAAGACCCTCTCAAATGGACAGGGCTCAATGCCAGAGATTTCCAATCGAATTGCACCCGTCCATTTTCGGGATGAAATTGTCGCGCTATCTCGGCCGGAACTTTCATATAGTTCCACAGCTCTGTCCATGACCACCAACCCGTTCGATCAACAAATTCCGAAAGTAGAACATGTCTTTCCCGCCGGTGCCATACTGCCTGATACTGGCAATACATTCCTACCAAGACCCCCCAAAACTGCCTTGATGAATGAGGTCACTGCTATCAATCGACATACTAAAAGTGTTGAATTTTATGGCAGTTCGTCGTCACTAGCTTTTCTATCTCGTGTCCAAACAAGCCACCAAATTACTCCGTTGTCACAAAGTCACCATGAGGATGAAGGTAGTGGAGAGGAGAGGACAGGTTCTCTAGTGTCACATTTACACAATCCAGTGATCTCGCCATCTGCATCGTCCCAACGCAATCATCTAGAGTCTCCGATGAACAGGATCACACCGCATCAGCATCAATGTCGCTTATTTGTCGAGAACTTTTTCAGCACTGTTCACTACGCATATCCTGTACTCACTAAATCGGCATTTCTATCTCGTTGCGAAGCCCTTTGGTCGGGGGACTCGCGAATGGCAACAAAAACTTTCATGGCTCTCTATTATAGCGTCCTATCTTTAGGTGCCTTGGTTGGCCCTAGAGATGAAGAATCGAGGGATGTTGATGATTGTATCAGTTGGAGCACAAGGTTGTTCAACGAGGCTCGCGCTCTAGGTGATGAAATGAGTATGACGACGGAGTTAGAGATGGTACAGTGCTTCTTCTTCATGGTAAGAGTCAAGGCCTTATCATTGGCACGGAATCTAACTATGTAGGCTCAATTTTGTCAGCATGTACTCAATCCTCATTGTACGTATAGTGTATTCTCACAATAAAGCTTGGTTAACTTGTCCGAAGTATCATATTTGTATGCTGGCTTGTCCGTAAGAATCGCTCAGTCTATCGGTATCAATCGGGAACCTCCTCCGGAGACCAAAAAGTCGTATACATTACTACAAGAAGAATCACGGACTTGGTGGTAAGAACAAGAAAGCTTGCCCTCAGACGCAACGATTGCGTTGAATAAACATCGGCTCACTGGAATATAGGGCATTATACTCGCTAGAAATGTAAGTCTCGATTGTCTCGAACTCCCAAAGACCAAAATGCTTAAGACGTACCAGAGAAATCAGTTTCGCGATCGGAAGACCAGATTCCATAGGCATGGACGTATTCCATAATCGAGATTTGCCTCTCACACGCAGCGACCCTTCCCACCAGGAGCACTATCCCGAGAAGAGTCAGGCACCCTACTATGGAATCATCAAATGCATGGTTGACCTCTCTCGGATAATTCGACGAGTCTACAGAGAAATCTACTTGACATCCGCCGCTCCGGAACATAAACTATCAGCAGCTCAGCTCATTGAATACGAACTGGAGCAATGGCTAGACAACCTCCCACCTGAAATCCGTCCAATGAGAACTTTTGCTTCTTCCAGAGCCTCGATTTCCATGCGAGATGCCCGTTTCATGAAAAGACAAAGATTGTTCTTGTCGATCAGTACGTCTTTCCAGCGTCGGCTCATTTGTGATCAGCAATAGACTGAATTATGATAGGGTATCACAACGTTCGAATTCTGTTGCTTGCATTCTCCCTTACAAACCGGCGTCTAATGGAGCCAAAAGATGCAACTCTTTGCAAGGAGAACGTGACGAAGTGTCTCGAGTCAGGCAAAGAGACTATCGAAACCATTCACGAAACATATCGTAACCACGTCTACTTCCGCACATGGTATGAAACGCCTCTTTTTATTTTTCACAGCTGCAAGCAAACTAAGTAAACCAGGTTCTACAACACAACATACACCCTCTTCGCAGTATCAACCCTCCTAATCTACATCGTCTACGAAGCATCGGAACCCGAAAAACTCGTACTCTTCCCACTCGTCGACATGGCTATCAGCATCCTCGACACGATGGAAGATTGCATCGTAGCAAGGAAAGCAGCGAACCTCATCCGACGTGCTTCAGAGCGCGCCAAAGAGGGCCCGAAATCGAGTAATGACCATGTCATGAATGAGCAATCTATAGACGGCATCGTGTACGACTCGTCTCGAACGTTTAGTAACTGGGGAGATCCACTGAATTTGGTGAATGGCGATCTGGATAGTAGCTATCTTTTCGCGTTTGGTGGCCTCGAGGATGGTTTCAATATGCCTGAGAATGTGTTCAATCAGGTTGAGTGAGGTATTACGGGTGAAGGTCGGCATATTATGTCGTTACGAGGTGCTTTTCACGACGCCCTTGATGTGTCGTAACTGGCTAGAAAGCAATTTAGAAAGATCTTTATAAGTGCTGAAAGACAATCGTCTGCACAATCCAAATTGCATAAGCTTATTGCATTTTCCAACGTGCCTCACCTCTTTCTGTACCAGACATTGTTTGTTTACCATACTTACATGCAGGGTATGTTGTGATTGCCGGGCTTTCTGTTCTATTGTGACTTTCAGGCAGATCAAGGATAGAGTGGGTCGGTAAGGGGAAGAGGCTCTCTGGAAACGGGCTACCTCTCACTCACTTAAACTCGGCCATTTAGATACTTTCATTTTCATCTGTACTTCTCTACATGTAAGCATCAAGCTAGGACAAGATTGCTGCTAGTAGATGCTCCGAAACCGAGGAGGTGGTCTCTTTGCAGTGGGACTGCTGTTTACTTCCAGATGGTAAGCGAGATCCTGAGTGGCACAAGCAAAAAAGGCAACGAGTCTTCTCAAGTGCATCCAGGTGCCAATCAGCACGCACCGAGATAGGCACCCGTGCTTCAAACGTCGTTCTGTCCTTGGGTCTAGAGTCACCAATACACACCGCTTATTTTAAAGTCAAAGAGAACATTGGTTCCGCCATACCACGATGCCTTCAAGGGCGTAAGTGTAATCGTACCGTATCCAAAACCATTAGACAAGACCTGACTCTTTTGCAGGAGAAGCAAGCCTGGTCATGGGATAAGAAGGACCTTGGAGATGTCGATCTTGAGGTCTTGTGCGAGGAGGAAGAAGAAGAAGATGGAGAAGGAGAAGAAGGGGGGTCTTGTGCCGGAGATCTCGAGAAGTGGGGCGAGGGAGCAAATAATTTAATTCAAGAATATGAGGAAGAGAGGACAGACAAGGGAGAGGATTGCAGAGAAGAGATTGGTGCGACCTCTATCATGTAGGAAAGGGAAACGAGCGATATCTGCATTCCTGAAAACCGGAAGGGATATCCTACACAAGGGAAGTAGTTGACTGGCCGTGTCCAGCCATAGGGTGTTTATTGCACCATCATGGCGCACTGAAATTGCGATAAAAATAAAGATTGAAATGAGACCAAAATTTCCCAAAAGAGAGGACATTATTGAACAAATTTGCATTATTTGCCAGACATAGTGTAGAGCCATCCGTGAACATCGTTTCTCTATCTTCGAACCTCACCAAAGCACAAGCACAAGTGACAATTTTGATGCCATCCACCATCCGCCATCCTCCATACCTCATCCTCCGCCCGCAGTCGTCGTCCCAAAAAGCCTCAATGGCAAGCTCGTATCCGCGGAGAGCAATCTCCTGTGTGTTGGTGTGTGTGTGTGTGTAAATAAATAAATCCATCCATCCATCCATCAACGCCTTCCAGAAAAGAAAAGTTTCCCTCCCATCCTATCACATCCGTCCAGTGTCGGTATCATTACAACAGTCGAAATTCCAAATTCCGAATTCCTCTCCCCTCCCATCCTTTCACTTCACCCCATCCCTTCCCATCCCATCCAGTCCCATTCTCTATTATCAATCTCCATTAACAATCTCCCTCCTCCCCTTTCCCCTCCCCTTTCTTCCCAGTCCTACCCTACCCTACCCTACCCACCACACCTAACGAATAACCCCATCCCCCTTCCCAGGCGGCGGCCCCATCGGCGCCTCATACACATTCTGCCCCCCCACACCCACCCCCCTAGCAGGCTGATAACTCGCCCCCGGCTGCTGCAACTCAATTCCCCCAGGTTGACCATATCCCTGACTATTCCCGTGTCCATAATACCCATCATTACTCTGGAACGTCGTCCCCGTCGCCTGGTTCCCCATATACGGCGGCGGAGGCGCCTGATACCCTCCAGCATGCTGTTGGTTGTTCGCCCAGGCGCCGTATTGTCCGTGGGCTTGGTTGTTGTTGTTGTTGTGTTTCCCGCCCCCCATCCAGCCAGTGCCGTACATGGGTGCGAGGCCACGGCGGCGGCGGCGGCGTTGTCTGATGCATCTAGATGCTTTAGTTGGGTGGAATTTGGATGGGGTGGATGGGGGGAGAAGGGTGGAGAGGGGTTTTGGGCGTGGGAGATGAGGAAGGGGGGGGGGGGGGGGGAGGGATGGGAAGAGGAAGAGGAGGGGGAGGAGTGCTTACGAGAATGCGAGGCCGAGGAATAGGAAGAAGAGGACTATGAGGACGAGTGCGACCCAGCGGCCCCAGTTGTCCCAGGTAGAGTAGTAGTCGTAGCAATATCCGGAGGAATCACAGCTGGGAGACATAGTTAGTGAGGTGTTGGTTGCGAAGGAGGATATCGTTCGAAGTTGTGTGGTGGAGGTGTTTGGATAAAGAGTTTTCTTTATCAAGGGAGGAAGGTAAAAGGTGAAAGGAAGGAAACGGATTTCCTACCGATAATCTCTGCCCAGGAGGCTCTTTGAGGCTGTTGGTGCCATTATTGTTGGAGGAAGTGAATCTCGGGTTCGTGCAGTGAGTGGCGTGGAGCTGCGCAATGCCGTCCGTACCAAATCAATCTGATAGACAAACTCTCTCAATCAATCTGCAGTATCCTTCCTTCTACTCCCGCGATAATCACCTCGATGCGAACGAAATAAGTATATAGGTATTCAGGACAAGAAGAAAAGACGAGAGAGGGAGAAGAGCAAAAGTAGAGTGGATGTCAGGAAGTGAGGAGTAAGCCAAAGTATCTAAGTCTTGGATCCATGGCTCGTTCGTCCTTGGGCGGTGGCTGAGCACTGACTTCGAGTAGTTCCTTGTTCCTTTCGGCGAAGGGATTCGGTTCAGCCCCCGCCCCCGCCACGGTAGTATGTGTCACAGTAGGAGTACTTTGTAGCACATGTCTGGAATCTTGAGCCGAACGATCAACGCCACGAGCTTGCCATGCCCATGCCCATGCCCACCCACACTGGGGATTGCGTGGCCTGGGCGGGGAGGGGAGATCAGGTTGTCGATTAATATTATGTGTTCACTGACTGCTGATGTATCTGGTGAGGTATTTGACTCTGGGACAAAGACCCTACTTACAGTACAGTATTGCATTCATGGCGAGGTAAATTTTATACACTCCTTCTAAATTCCCGTATTCGGTGGATTTGAAATCTTGGTCCCCTGCTGTAGAACCTGTCATAATCGAATAATACAAATACCGATCAAGTCGTACCATTCGGCTAAGCTCAGCTCAGCTAGGGATACATAATTTAGTACATTCGCGCGCCGTACATCTCAGCATGCCTGGAAGCTTCTCCAGTACTGTAAGTACCTAGGTAAGTAGGACCTCTGTACGGAAAAGCATGTCTACGTTCGCCAACTTATCAAAATCAAGTCTGCTGTAAAACCTCATAATCCACAGTGTACGAGTAGGTGGTAAATATACTTCCCAACTCCCTGACCCATAACATAACGTCACAAAATCGTCATCTCCCTCTCCCCCCCTCCGCTCCCATCCATCCCCTCCCCAGTACAGTAAGTCCTCTCCCAAAAATCCACCCATCATTCAACCACTCAACCCTCCCCCAAGCCCCCAAGCCCCATCCAATCACAACCACTCCCATCCCAGCAACCAAGGGTCTCACCCTTGAACCCATGTCTGCCAGCGCATCAAATGGGTTCTGTGCGTACGAAAGGGGAGTGAGTGAGCGAGCCACCACGGAGGACGGTCGAACGGGCTTGCCAGCGCAGAGTATGTAGAGCGCGAGCATTAATGTGACGGTTCTTGAGTTTTCTTCCTTTTCGAAACTGAACTTTCTTTTCGACGTTATTTTATTTATTTTGTTTATCAATGGGAAATTGATCTGAGGCGTTATCACTTGCCGAAACACCATTCCGACATGCACCTGGAGCATTCCTCGCTATGGCATTTCCTGGACTCTCTGGCAGAGTGGTGCCCTTGCCTTGTTTGTTCCATCAGCGAGGTCTATTCGGTCTCATTCATCAAGGGATCACTCAGTCACATACAAGACGTACAGAGACACGGAAGCCAGGAGGCATGAAAATATAAATATGCTACCCGAGTAATTACACTGCTCGAAAACCCCCCCAACACCGAACCATGCCTTGAACAACAAAACTACCTCCCACCAACCATCAACGCAACCAAAGAAAAAAAAGTATGGGCCAGATTCCGACAGAACCAACCATCGAATCCCACGCTCGAATGCAGAGAACAAGAAATCTAGCAGTCTCAAGCGAGTTAGCTGTTGACGCGAGGAAGCGGAACGATAAAACGTGGATCATCAAGGTCGTCTCGTCATTGCAGACATGGGCGTGGTACGGGCGTCAAGAAGAGGAAGGTATCGAACTGTCCGAGGAACGGTAGGGAATCGAATGCGAGGTAAGGGAATCCTTTTTCGTACGTATTGAGAGTGTCGACGCTCTGAAGGAGAAAAGCAAATGAGGTGCTGTGGGCTGAGGAGATGTATTTCGTTTTGGTCCTTGCAGACCGGAGGGAGAGTTTTATCTTTCCGTCATTTCGTTATCATTCGTCATTATCTTTCTGTCCAGTCAAATAGGGAAGGGGATTTCCATCGAGGTATGTAGTATGAAGTCCAGAAACCAGTCGAGTGTTACTTGCTGGCGCGAGCAACTAGCCATTGCAGAACGGCATCCAGGTTCGTCTCCTCTTTTGCGCTGATGCCATAGCAACTCACTTCGCGATGGGAGATACTCTTGAGATCCAGAGCTTCGATCAGTTCATCAACCGACAACTTCTCCTCCAGATCCGATTTGTTTCCAAGGACCAACAAGGGAATACCTTCCAGTACGGGCTTTTCGAGAAGCAGGTGGAGTTCATCCTTTGCGACTGGCAACGCTTCAGTATCTGCCGAGTCTACGATGAAGACGATGGCATTCACCCCTCGGCAATATCGCTCCCACATGGACCGAAATCTGGGTTGTCCTCCGAGATCCCAACATTTAAGTGTCACATGCCCCTTCTGTACCCGCTTCATATTGAAACCAACTGTTGGAATGGAGCTATGGGAGGAGGATATGGTCAGCCAGATGATAATGTCGGATCGCGTGGATAAAATCGGTCTCCAAAAATTGCCGCTGCAGGTCGCATAAGAAGAGGAAGGAGGTGGGAACATACTCGAGTGTGAATTCTCCGCCCTTGGGAATGTCAGCACTCGGTGATAGTTTGGGGGAGTAGGGTTCTCTTACCGCCAGAACTCTCAACAGCGACGTCTTGCCAGCATTTTGGAGTCCGATCATTGTAATATCCATCTCCGTCGCCCTATTATCAGAGAGGTATCAGCAAGCCATGCGCAGAAGCCTTTTCTTCGATGTGGACTATTGCAACAGCGAGTGCTTGCGCACCATGCGCGAGAATTGTTAGAATGGCAGCAACTGACCAGAATAACCTCAACAGCCAATCATACACCCTCTTGAATAGGCCTGCCATGATGTCTCGATCGTCTGCCGGTGCAGTATTGTATCCGAAGGGAAATGTTCTCGAGGAAAGAGGGTCGAGCGGTTGCCTGAAAGTTGCGCAAGGCTGCGTGGGGAACCGGTGGGGAGAGCAGGGTGGATAGCTTTGAAGCTGTGGATGTTGTGTAGCAGTAGTTCGCAGAGATTAGGTAGTCGCAAGTCCAAAAGATGTATCACCGTAAGCTTTTGTGCGTCGAGACAATCGTTGTTGAATGATTTTGTTTGATCGCAATGTGACGTTGACGACAACGGTGTAGCTGGACGGACAGCGCTTGTGAAAGGATAGGACAGGATGATGGGATTTCGGGATCCAGCGTCGGAGAAGAGGGCCCAGGAAAGGTCGAGCACGAACCGCCGGGGAAGTGAAGCAGTGAGGACGGATGGGGGTGAACGGCGGGTGAGCAGCAGCAGCGTAGCAGCAACACACAGACCGAACGAACGAAGCCCAAGCTTCAAGTTTACCTCAGCTTTTTCGTCCCACCGTGGTGCTGCCGTGCAGGTGCAGGTGCAGGTGGAAGAAAGTCAGACACAAAGTCTCGGCAAAAGCAAGCAACGAGGGCGAGGAGGGGTCGAGATAGCTGGGTGTGGTGGGGGGCCAGGAGCGGATGGGGTAATTAAATAGAAAATCAAATAAAGGAGGGCAACGACGGACGGGGCTGGTCAGGTCGAGAAGAGAATGGATACGATGAAGAAGATGTAAAGACGTAGTAGAGGATAGTGGAGGAAGAGGAGGAGCAGAATTGACACCGGGTAGATGACCAACGCGGGGCTCAAGGAGGGACTGGCCAGTTGGACTTGGACTGGTGTTTGAGGTGGACCTGGAGTTACTTTGCAGTGTACAAAGTAGTCGTCGAGTTGAATCTCGAGGCGGCAACTGAAGAAGAGACCCAAATGCAGGGCAAAAGCAATGCAAATGCAAATGCAAGGCAAGGCAAGGCAAGGCAAGGGAAAGTTCTGGCAAGCTCTTCTGGTTTGGTAAGGCGAGCCAGTTCCTGAAAATGGATGGACCTCAGCGGTGTTTCGAAGTCCTGGGCTTGAGTTGAGTTGTGGCTCGGGGTCTGGACTTGAGGGGCCGGGTTTCTGGGGGTGGGCTGAATCGCTTGAGTTGGAGCAAGATCGTGATGTGATGTGATAGAATGCTTCAGGGTGAGGATGAAGATACTTCCAGTGGCGCACGCTGATTCGAAGAGAAGCAGGTCAGGGAGTGAGGAGGGAAAGGTACATACAGCACGGTACAGTAGCTCTCTGCAGCCCAGGTGCAGCACAGCACGGCACGCAGGCGGAAGCGGAAGCGGAAGCAGAAGCAGAAGCAGAAGCAGAAGCAGAAGCAGAAGCAGAAGCAGAAGCAGAAGCAGAAGCAGAAGCAGAAGCATAAAAGTACGCCATGTTTATGCCCTGCGGACAGTATGCAATATGCAGTTTCTGCAGCAGCCTCTCTTCTCTTCTCTTCACCTATCCTGTGTCTCTAACCACTATTCCCCCAGGTGCCCTCCAAAAAGCGAGGCATGCACTTGCAGCAGCTGTTGCGCAAGTGAGGGGATTGACTGGCTGTGAATGGCCGGCCATTATTGCTCCAGGCTTGATGAGGGGAACTCGGCGGGCTCTGCGGCTGCACTGATATTCAACTAGTGGACGTTGTTCAGGGCTGACGGGGAGGGGCGCAAACCACTGGCTGTTGCCGAAGACTTCCCTCGTTCTGGTGGTTGTACTTGAGTACTCCGTACTGTACTGTACGAAGTAGCCGCACCCGCAAGAGCATTGGTGCCCGATAAGCCCACCGCGCTAGTGCTACTGTATCTTTAGCGAGAAAAAAGTTCATGATGTTTTTGTCCGAGACGGGAGATCGTGAAGCTGCTTCTGCCTCTTCACAAGCTCCACACGCATTATATTGGCTGTAGCTGGTACAGTAGTGGTATCTGACAGGTAAGAAACTGTACTCAAACCCTAAATCTTCGTCCTGCGAACTTACACCATCTGCACCATGTTGCTTCGAGCTCCACAGCTTGCGGTCGCACGCCAATTCCTCCAAACTGACATTCCTCCAGCACAATGCCTCCCTCTACCTCCTCTCGCGCTGGTACGGATACCAAATGGAGCCACGAATACGACACATTGCGCCGAGAAAATCTCTTTCGAAATCCCCCAAAGGATCACTCCGCATATCCTGCGCTGAAAGCCGCCATCTCCCCTCACATCGAATCCTTCAATGCGCTTTTCGGAGAAGATGGGACAATTGCACAGGGCTTACTGGATATCGGAGAGAAGGTATATCTAGATGGAGATGATAGAGCTGGACCTGCTGGAAAGAATGTCATGCGGATCAAAGTCAAGGAGGTCTTCGTCGAGAAATCAATGCTCCCGATGTCCAACAAGTTCTCCACCAGGAACCGAGAGATCTTCCCAGCAGAATGCAGAGAGCGTCATGTCACATACAGAGGGAAGATGAGTGCGAAGTTTGAGTTCAGGATAAACAACGGAGACCCGAAAGAGTTTGTTCGAGACCTGGGGCAAATACCATTGATGATGATGGTAGGTTGAAACCGCTTGAAGGCACTGCCAATGCTAATAATGCCTTTAGTCAAATAAATGCCACCTGGAAAACAATTCGCCTGCCCTACTCGTGCAACGAAAGGAAGAAGCGGAAGAACTTGGAGGATACTTTGTGGTGAACGGAATCGAGAAGATTATTCGTCTTCTGGTGGTTAACAGGAGGAACTTTCCAATGGCAATTGAGCGTCCATCATTCGAAGGCAGAGGACCAGCTTACACAAAGTACGGTATGCTCATGCGCTCAGTACGACCGGATCAGACTTCGCAGACAAACGTGCTGCATTACCTGAAGGACGGTAATGTTACCTTTCGATTCTCCTGGCGCAAGGCCGAGTACCTTGTTCCAGTCATGATGGTGATGAAGGCTCTGGTGGAAACAAACGACCGTGAGATCTTCGAGGGTTTAGTCGGATCTGCTGGATCGGAGGGAGCGCAGAACACATTCTTGACTGATCGAGTCGAACTTTTACTGCGGACATACAAGGCGTACGGGCTGTATACGAAGAGTAAGACTCGAGCATATCTGGGAGAAAAGTTCCGAATTGTCTTGGGAGTTCCGGACACCATGTCGAACTACGATTGCGGAACGGAATTTCTAAGGAAGATCGTACTGGTTCATCTGGGAAATGTGGATGTTACGGAAGCGCAGGATAACGACAAGTTCAAGATGCTGCTGTTCATGACCAGGAAGCTCTATGCATTGGTGGCTGGAGACTGTGCTGTGGATAATCCCGATGCTGTACAGAACCAAGAGATTTTACTTGGAGGTTTTCTCTACGGTATGATCATCAAGGAACGACTGGACGACTGGCTCTCGACGCAACTGCGAATGTCAGTACGAGAGTATCTGCGAAAAAGCCCAGATCATGGCTTCGATACCCCAGAGTTCTTGAGGGAATTTCCAGTCAAGCTGTGCGGGCGGACGAACGAGAATGTTGGAGGTGCTCTCGAATATTTCATGTCAACCGGAAATCTCGTCAGTCCTACTGGTCTCGATTTGCAGCAAGTATCCGGATTTACGGTCGTAGCAGAAAAGATCAACTTCTTGCGATTCATCAGTCATTTTCGCATGGTTCACAGAGGTAGTTTCTTCGCCCAACTGAAGACCACCACTGTTCGAAAACTTCTACCTGAAAGTTGGGGATTCTTATGCCCAGTTCATACCCCCGATGGAAGTCCGTGTGGTTTGCTGAACCATCTCTCCCACAAGTGTCGCATTCTCACCAAGGCTTCTGATGTCACGGCGATACCCAAGCTTGTAGCTGGGCTAGGTGTTGTCAGTTCCGGATCCTCCTCAACGAAAGAGAGCGTTGTCGTCATGCTTGACGGAAAGATTCTCGGATGGTGCACACCCAAGCAATCAGTTACTATTGCCGATACTCTTCGTTTCTGGAAGGTGGAAGGTTCTCACAATGTCCCCAAGGACCTCGAGATCTGCTGGGTGCCCAACTCTGCTGGAGGTCAATATCCTGGAATCTACATGTCTGCATCTCCATCCAGAATGGTTCGCCCAGTCAAGTACTTGCCTCTTGATGCGGAAGATCTGGTTGGACCCCAAGAGCAACCTTTCATGTCAATCGCTGTCACTGAACCCGAGATTGTTTCTGGCGAATCCACCCATGTCGAGTTCGACCCTACCAATATCCTCTCCATCCTTGCTAATATGACTCCTTTCTCCGACTTCAACCAATCTCCTAGAAATATGTACCAGTGTCAGATGGGTAAACAATCCATGGGAACCCCTGGAACAGCTGTTCGATACAGATCAGACAACAAGACTTACCGCCTTCAAACCGGACAAACTCCAATTGTTCGAGCTCCTCTCCACAACGAATATGGATTCGACAACTTCCCTAATGGCATGAACTCTGTTGTTGCAGTCATTTCGTATACTGGCTACGACATGGACGACGCCATGATAATCAACAAGAGCTCTCACGAGCGAGGATTCGGTCACGGCACAATCTACAAGGTCAAAAAGGTGGATCTGGAAGAAGGTGGCGGCAGATCTAGGTCGTCGAAGAATATCAAGAAGCTTTTCGGTTTCGCGCCAGGATCTGAAATCAAGGCAGAAGTCAAGGCTATGATTGATGAAGATGGACTTCCCCATATCGGACGCCTAGTCCAGGAAGGCGACAAGATCTGTGCGTGGCACACAGTCAGTCAAGATGCCAATGGAAACATGGTGAACAAAGATGGCATCACACATTATGAGAAATACAAGGATGGCGAGATCGCATTCATCGACGAAGTCCGCCTCATCGGCAACGAAAACGGAGTCGAGCCCATGCAAGCTATTTCCATCAAATTCCGCATCCCACGTTCCCCAGTCATCGGCGACAAGTTCTCCTCCCGCCACGGTCAGAAAGGTGTCTGCTCCCAGAAATGGCCCAGCGTCGACATGCCCTTCACAGAATCCGGAATCCAACCCGACACCATCATCAACCCCCACGCCTTCCCCTCCCGCATGACAATCGGCATGTTCGTCGAGTCTCTCGCCGGCAAAGCCGGTGCTCTCCACGGTCTAGCTCAAGACAGCACGCCCTTCCGCTTCGACGAGGAGAACACCGCAGGCGACTATTTCGGCCACCAGCTCATGAAAGCAGGGTATAATTATTACGGCAACGAGCCCATGTACTCGGGCATCACGGGCGAGGAACTCCACGTCGACATCTACATCGGAGTCGTCTACTACCAGCGTCTCCGCCACATGGTGAACGACAAGTTCCAAGTCCGAACCACGGGACCGGTCACCCAGCTCACGGGCCAGCCTATCAAGGGTAGGAAGAAGGGTGGTGGTATCCGTGTGGGAGAAATGGAGCGTGATTCTCTCCTTGCTCATGGAACGGCTTTCCTGCTGCAGGATCGCCTGCTCAATTGCTCGGATTACTCGCGCTCGTGGATCTGTAAGGAGTGCGGGACTTTCTTGTCGACTCAGCCTACTGTCTCGGCTTTTGCGAACAGGAAGAGAGGCACAGGTGTGGTTAGATGTAGGAGGTGTGCGTATCGTGCGGAGGATTTCTCTGGGAAGGGAGAGATTTGGGAGGATGGAGAGGGGCAGAGGTGGGTGGGTGGTGATGATACGACGATTGTGGCTGTGCCTGGGGTGTTGAAGTATTTGGATGTTGAGCTTGCCGCTATGGGCATTAAGTTGAAGTATAATGTTGGGCCTTGATTGAGTACGATGGGTGGGTAGATTTTGTGTTAGTTCTGTTTGGAAGGAAGGCGTTTGGTTTGTAGGCATTTACATGGAGCTCTGGCTGCTTGGAAAGAAATGGATGTGTTATGACTTTAAGGGGGTGCTTCTGTCCATTGTGCTGTTGCATTTCTGGGTGAGTTTCGTGTTCGTCGTTGCTCTGCTCATCCGATCGAATCGTAGGATGAGGCCAGAATTTGACCACGGCGTTGACGGTCTTTTGCTTATTTCTTTCTCTTTGGTCCAGATCTCTGCATCTTTAATTGCACAGCAGATCATTCTATCTTCGCTTCCATACATGTTACACGATCATGTCGTGGTTCATGCTGTGTTCCGCGACATTCATTTCCCCCTCGACGATCGCATTCAAGACCTGATGATACTTGAGGGTGAAGGCGGATGCAGTCGCGCTTTCCACTTCGGTTTGAAGCACAAAGTTTCGCAGCCAGATTTCTTCGTGCAGTCGAACTCGAAATCTGTGTTCTTCTCCAGAACTCTCGTAACTTCTTTAAGATCACCCTCCAGCTCACTCTCTTCGGTTTTTGGATAACCTCATCGATCGTTTCTTGTCATTCTGTCGCTACTGCTCTATCGCACACTCCTTTGAGGAGAGGAATGATTTGACGGATCTTGAATGAGTCTCTTTTCCTTCTGCGCTCGCTACTACTGATGCTCCCGGCATGCTGTTCCCTTCGTTTTGGACTTCATTCGCATTCATCTGCGCATTGCTGCCCATCCCAGCCTTTGCGCCATCATCTTCTCGACAGCCATACCCATCCTACGACTACGGTGCAGATCCTCCACGACTTCCAAAACGCCAGACCTCGGAGTTCTTCCCCATCACAGGGGTACATACCGGCAGCGGTATCAACGGATCTTTGCCATTGCGGATAGAGGTTCGGGAGTTGGAGAAAGACCCTGTTGCTTGGACGCTTTATATTCTTGGGCTGGATCTGTTGCAATATACTCCTCAGTCGGACATGCTTTCTTGGTATCAAATAGCAGGTGGGGAGTGCTCTACTCGAGAGAGGTGCAGGCTGATAAGTTGCAGGTATACATGGCAGACCTTTTGTTCCGTTCGATAATGTCCAGCCGAAGCCGGGCAACGAGCAGAATGGATATTGTACACATGTATCGATTCTTTTTCCCACATGGCACAGGCCATATCTTGCTCTCTTTGAGGTTTGATGATACTTTGTTGCCAGAAATTCCGGCTAACTTTGGAAACTAGCAAGCACTCCACGAAAAAGTTCAGATGATTGCAGCGCAGTACCCAGTTGGCCCAGTGCGAGATCAATATATGGCTGCTGCTGCGAATTTCAGGATACCATACTGGGACTGGGCAGCAAATTCCACTGGTGGAAATACTATTCTCCCAAACAGTGTGATATCACCCTCTATCGTGATCAATGGTCCAGCAGGTGTGCAAACAATCGCAAATCCACTGTACAGTTATAGCTTTAAGCCTTTGGATCCTGCTCAATTACCAGATCGCCCAGTCAGTCTCAATCTCGTATAAGTGAAGGTATCCTGACCTCTCCAGTTCAACCAACTTAGTGAGACCATTCGCTACCCGTCTCGACAGGATGCTTCTGCAACGTCCCAGAATAACCTCATTGCCCGGCAACTCGACAATAGCGGTGCTTCCTTTCGCGCCAGGCTGTATATTCTGCTCACAATGTACAATGACTACACAACATTCAGCAATGAAGCATGGATAAACGACGACGACCCGGCAGGGTATGATTCGTTGGAAAGCATTCATGATCAGATCCATGGTCTGACTGGAAGTGGAGGGCACATGACATATATCCACTACTCTGCATTCGACCCTCTCTTCTGGCTCCATCATGCCATGATCGATCGGATCTTTGCAATGTGGCAGGTGATATTCCCAGACAGCTACGTGGTTCCAGAGCCTGCCATTTTCAACACCTTCACGCTTTCAGCTGGACAGACACAGGACGTCAACTCTCCTTTGGCCCCATTTCACAAGGACGTAGCTGGAGGATTTTGGACGTCGGAGACCGCCAGAACAACAGAGGTCTTTGGATATTTATATCCGGAGACCGCCAAGTATGATGGAGGAAATCTCACAAGCCAAGTCATCGTCGCAGTGAACCAGCTCTATGGGTCTGGGCGAGGTAATCGGCCATTAACGAAGAGGGCAGTGGGTTTCGGTACTGCAGATAAAGAGTGGATCGCTAATATCCGCGTCAAGAAGTATGCTCTCAACAAACCTTTCTACATCCACATCTTCATAGGCTCGTTCGATCCAGATCCATTCTCGTGGTCCTTCGAGCCAAATCTCGTCGGCACTCACAGCATTTTCGTCAAAGCTATTGGACCGAACTCAACCTGTAATTGCGATCCACACCAGTTGGTGACAGCCACGATTCCTCTAACGGACAGGCTACAAGTTGATATTGCGGGAGGTTTTCTAAAAACGCTGGAGCCAAAAGATGTCACACCGTATCTGGCGAGAAAGTTGAGCTATAGAGTCTCTCTCATGGACGACACAGAGGTGCCTAATGTGGCTGTGCCGAGTCTCAAAGTTTCGATTCTGAGCATGGATGTGGAGTGGGGTGCCAGCGATGGTGAAATTCCTGTCCGGGGAGAGATGAAAGGTCACATGGATGTTAGCATGGGATGAGAGAGATGCAACTATTTGTTTGAATTGTATAAAGTGCTCTGAATAAGCGTGTTTAGATGGAATTGTTTCGACACACAGGTAGTGTCATTGAATACGGCAAACACTTCATTTTGGGGGGTCTGCAATTGGATATAACCCTTCATCCCCAAGTCATCACGTCTAGAAGTTTATGTCTCCTCGTTTTTAACCTCCAGGGATAACAAGACATACACAACTGTGAACGTAGTCCATCAAGTGCATGACAAAAAAGAGACCTTAAAGCTTAAACAATCTTGAAGTTCTCTAATAACCAGCAATCAAACCAGCCACTATGAACAGTCACGCTTGTTATATGGACCAATAGCTCAGGCTCAAGTGAATCCAACTTCTTGTGAAGTAAAAGGAATTGTCACTTAGCATCGATGAACTCCGTCTCATATCACTAAAGTGGAGATAAATTCTTCCATACACTTTTGCGAACACTGGCCGCAAGATATCCCAATGTTGTTACTTGATTGATTTATTCACAGTCTAACCTAGCTGCCCTAGTGACCGCTCTGTAGCGTATATATGTTTTCTAGATTCTTGCTTCTTAGGAGGTCGGAACTTTCGACAGTAATTACCTCTCCGTAAGCAATTCATTCCTGCTAGAATCGTTTATCTCCTGCCCAAATGTGTTTCCCCTCCTACTAACAGCCTTTTCCACTTGTTCTGTGATTATGTACTTGTCAAGCCTCGCCTGACCCTCTTGTCTTTCTCTTTACTCTTTGTAGCTCGTCTTCGCTATGTGTATTTAAGCACTGTGGATGGGACCGCCCGGAATCGCTCCGGGAGCCACGTCCCCAAGGTCATCTTGGGTGCCTGTACCGCCAAGGATAGATTACAGAGAATGTGCTTTATGTCCGCGCATGGACACTTATCTGACTGCGTTTGGTGTCATTAGATATCTCGTTTTTCGCACTCAAGAATAATAAGTCGCGCTGGCTGCTTTCGGCGCTACATTCACACTCGTCGGTGTCAATCTTTCAGTGCACCAAAAGAACATAACGCTACAAAGACTGGGCTAGCGAGAAAACTTCGGTATAGTCATTAGCAACATAACGGGCGAGAAAACGTGTGATTGTATTACTTAAAGAATGATCTGTTAGACCTACAAAAGATCCACATAAACCAATAGCATCTATCCATTTGTCAGTGTCATAGTTCGTTGATATGGAATTTCCTCGTCTACCTCTTTGTTGAAAAGAGTCGAAGGCTTATTTTGTGACTGTAATTGTTGTTATGAAAGCTCAATCCCCAAGTAAAAAGGAAACGACAAGAACTCAATTCCAAAGCATCCCCCCCATTCCCAGTACCTCATGGTGTGACGATGTTGAAGTCAGAGTCACCAGGGTCAAGAAGCGCATCAAGCCGGTCAAGGGCGTTGACATCATCCCCTGTAATTTTAATACCTGCTTTCTCAAGAGCTGGAATGTCATTGACCCCAAATTTTGCCAGAGAAGTCAACGCGCGAGCCGTCGCGGTCAACGTCACATCAGAGGATGTCGTCTGTTCCGCTGTTGTGTACACTAGGGCACCGTTTGAGAGCCACCATCGGTAATTGGTATTTTTGTCGGTGACGAATACATCAATCACGACACTCTCGTCCCAGGCCTTGGGACCGTCAATCTGGATAGCGAAGGAATCGAACAGCATCTCGGGTGTGAGCTGCGAGATCACGTCGTCAGAGGCTGTGGCTGTCGGCGTGCCGAAGTTACCGCTGCGCAGCTCAGTAGTCCCTGAAAGGAAGAAGTTGCGCCAGGTACCGTTCTCAGAGCCATAGCCAAGCTGCTCGTAAGTGTCTGCCAACGAGTTCTTCGCTAGTGTGTTGTGAGGAAAGGCGAAGACGGCGTGGTTGAGGATCTCCGCCGCCCAGCGAAAGTCACCTTTATCGTACGCCTCTTGACCGATTTTGACTGTGTTTTCCACGCCGCCGAGAATCTTCACGTAGCGTCTGGAGCGCTCCACGGGGATATGTTCCCACAGATGTGCTGGATTGCCGTCGAACCAACCCATGTAGCGCTGGTAAATAGCCTTAACGTTGTGACTTACCGAGCCGTAGTAGCCTCGGGCGCTCCAAGCTTGTTCGAGAGCGGGTGGAAGGTGTATTTTTTCGGCAATCTCAGGTCCATTGTATCCCTGGTTCAGCATACGCAGCGTCTGGTCGTGTACGTACGCATAGAGATCACGTTGCAGAGTGAGGAATTCGACAACCTGGTCAGCGCCCCAGGTGGGCCAATGGTGAGAGGCGAAAACCACGTCGGTCCTGGAGCCGAACAGGTCAATTGTCTCGGTTAGGTACTTTGACCAACCATGTGGATCGCGCACGACGGCTCCACGAAGCGTCAACAGGTTGTGGAATGTGTGGGTAGCATCCTCCGCAGCACAAAGTGCCTTGAATTTGGGGAAGTATATCAGCATCTCCGAAGGCGCTTCGGTATCCGGCGCCATCTGGAATTCCATTTCGACGCCGTCAACAGTGTGTTTTCTTCCGGTCCTAGAAATGATCACGGTTGGCGAAATGAGGGTGACTTCGCCAGTCGAGACGGTCTGTCCAAGGCCGGCTCCAACCTGACCTCGAACTCCGCGATTCAGGACAGCTCCGTACATGTAGGCAGCGCGTCGACTCATAGCGGTGCCTGCATAGACATTTTCTGCTACTGCATGCTCGAGAAACCCCTCAGGTGCGATGATGTCGACCAATTTCTGGTCGACGTCGTCCTGACAGACCATTCCCCTGACACCGCCAAAGTGATCGACGTGGGAGTGCGTGTAAATGACTCCCTTTACAGGCTTCTCACCGCGCTTGCTTCTGTAGAGTTGAAGAGCAGCTTCTCCAGTTTCGCGTGATGTAAGGGGATCGATGACAATGACACCCTCATTGCCTTCGATGAAGGTGGTGTTGGAGAGATCGAGGCCTCGCACTTGGTAGATACCTTCGGTAACAAGGTAGAGCCTGGCGGTAGACGTCAGCTGGGACTGGCGCCACAGGCTTGGGTTGACTGTGTTGGGCGACTCGTTTTTGTGAAGGAATTCGTAATCATCGTTGTTCCAGATAACTGTGTCATCTTGATAAATGATGTTAGGCTTGAGGGTTGTGATGAAGCCTTTCCGAGCGTTGACATAATCCCGTTTGTCGGAGAATGGTAGGCTCTTCTTCAAATCATCCTGCTGCTGGATGATCGTAGCTGTTGCGTCTTTGGGCGTCGCCATGATCTCGGATTGTGGGGAATGCTCTGGGAGTGAAACAAGTGATATTGTTGTCTTGATGTGACCTCTTTCGTGTTGGGCGACAGGCTTTTATACTTGGAAATTCCTGTGAGGGGCCACATGTCCTTGGGACAACCAACTTCATGGTTTTGATTTCTTGGGGCTGGGTCGAGTATGTGCCAATCTACAGCTGGTATAACGTCACCCTGGTAGATGAATGTGTATGCGTGATAGGCAGACCCAAGGACTGCAGGATGCATTAGGAATGCGAATGCAGTGCAGTCTATTCTGCCGCTTCCTCTATGTACAGAAGTTCGAAACAGGAAAAGGGAAAGCAGAGAGGCTTCTTAGGGCGGGGGTTGCATCTATTACGAGCCTTACTGATTACAAAGCCTCCAAGCACACTTTTCGGAATAGCGTACAGCTTGGAAATCTATAGCTTAAGCTAAAGACTCTACGTTCTATAAAGCCATAGAAAAACTTCCCCTAGGCTATTCCTTCATAGCTACGTAACTGGATACTCTGTAATGACGAGCCCAGCTGGCGATCCCACCCTTTTTTGACTAATTGGACCAGACGGCCTGCATGTAACATTGCTTTGGCCAAGCGCGAGCCAAAGGCCTGGGCCGCGACTGGAAATGAGCCACTAGGCAAGGTCCGGAGACTCCTGCCACTGGCCCCTGCTTTATTACGGAAAGGCCTCAGATGATGTGCAGGGACTTCTGCCATCTAAATCTATGATTCTGCATCCCTGGGGCGCGATGCATCCGCGTTCAGAGATTCAGATGGACATGGATTTGTTTTCCCACAGGGAGCCATGTCTGCTCTATTGGACGTGGAAGGAAACACTGAAAGCGCTAGCCCACAGCACCTCGCTGCTTCGGACATGCCAGAAAAATTATACCTTCTCTTCTCTGTGCGGCCAGGTATTCTTATGGATACCAAGGCTAGTGGTGCATCAAGTCCAAGACTGTGATAAGTTGCACGGACAAGAAATTAACATTGTCTACCCGTAGTACGAAGTACTTGGGGTATTTATGGTGTATCCTCTCACATGGCGGACTTCGGAACGAGCCGAAAGGTTGTTTATTGCTGTCGCTAATCAGCTTGGCATAGCGCTGATTATGGGACAGCACGTTTAGCCTGGGTATCGGTGGAGATACCAAGTGGCTGATTTTGCCGAGGGACCTAGAGTGTAAGGATGCTGCTCAATATTGACACCGATAGCCTGGGTTGCGCTTTGCCAAGGCGATGGTTGGTACGCTATGCGGGCCTTCCGGTCTCCCCGATCTAAGGTATGCGGGACGGAACGGCAAACTAGTCACGTCATTGACAAGACCAATCAGACCAATTAACTAGCCGAGGCTCAGTACAGGACTCAGTACAGTACCAACCTTGCACGAAGAGACAATGCCCATCATAGGCTTGCCCCCGAGAGGATAATTAGCATCCACTCGAAAAGCGGGAACAAGGTGTCCATTCAAGGACCCTCCTACAGTACCTATCGACCTCAATATTAAGTGGCTGATTGGGGCACAGGCAGAATTAACACCAAAGCCAAGGTACTGAGGTTGTATTTTCACAACACAGAATGTTACGAATCTGGATTTTCTCTTCACTTAACCATTAAGAATAGCAGCTCTATGTATTTCCAAGCTTGCAGCACTCTGTTATCGAAGCGTCGTGGCTCAAAACACGAGACTCTCCTATCTGGCCATCTCGTCAAGATCGGCCACTTAACATTGGGGTCGATACAGTACCGCCACAAAGCAATCAAAAGCGCTGTAACTTGTCTCAAATTTGGCAGACCCGCAGCGGACAGGCCAATCACACAGATTTACTTCTACAAAATGACTTAGAGGACGTTGGCATGGGTTCATGCACTGTATAGCATACAGTTTGTGCGCTTGAGCTGCAGCTCTCCACGCCACATACCCCTCGAGAGGGCGGGGCAGGTTGTTCCGTTCCACTGACACCTTGGCGCCAATACAACAAGAACAACCACAACTGCTGGCTCAAACTTCATTTTTAGAAGGGCTGCATAACCCAAGAAATGGGCAGTGGCGTCCCTGCGTCCTGGCCCGACGCTCCAGTTGGCCAACTTACGGCATGCTGTGCCGGTTATACAAGCAGTACAAGACCTATTTCCTTGTTGGATACCACATTTCAAGCGAATCCTAGCCGCAGTGGCTTGTATTGACAGCCTGGTACGGGCCCGCGATCGAGACGAAGTTGAAGGCGCATTTGTGATATATGCATGGTACTTTTGCAGCGGTTCTCCTACAGGGATGTATGAGGTATCCGGAGACTATTGCTAGGCTACTGGTGGAAGGAACGTGAATGCAGATAAGGACGATGGAGCAGCTTTCAGCTTCGACTGTCCAACTGGAGCCAAGATTTTCCTGGGAAGAATTGGACCAAAGCAATGGCAGTTTGCTGCGAGAGAGAATTGGAAAGGCTTGGGAGGGACATGTGACGCAAGTCGTACAAGTATCACATGCGGCAGTTGGCATTGAAAGCGGGTTGCTTCTTGGGAGTGAATTTTCTAGGTACGTAATGGTTATAACTGCTTAAAATGGTTGGCTGTTAGAGATTTTGCGAATGCAGATACGATGGTGGCTAAGTTCGGTGACAAATCTTGAGTGTAGTCGTCAGCGGAATAATGAACGGGCATAAGTGTGCTTGTGTTGCTTGGAGTAATTTGCTGGACATGTGATAGACGTCTTCCTACGACGAACCAGACTGTGGAGGGGGGGAAATGATGTAAGAATAGCATCAGAAACCTCCTTGTACACTCGTTACTGCAGCTGTCATGCTATGTTTATGGGACAATATGGTATCAAACAATCATGACTAAATCGCCAAGTCTTTACCAGTACGAAGGTCTTCCACTCACTCTGTAGATAGTTGGGGTATCTCTATATACATATCAATTTATCCCTTTGACCTCTTCCCTGATTAAAAATGCCTATCGCACGGAAAGAGGCCCTTTCAGTCAATACTACGATGTGTAGAAGTCCACCAAACGTTCCGCCAGATCCGTCGTCGACAAGCTCGATAATGGGAGTAAGCCACACGGCCTTCCACCCCACGCCCTGTTATTTTCGATAAGTAGAAGGCGTTCTTAAGTAAAGTCAGGAAATGAAAGCGGGCTTGATCACAGCAACAAGGTATGATGGCCATAAATGATTGTATCACTTATTTCAATAGGGAATCGAGCAAAGGTCAAATGGATAAGTCGGATATGTAATGCGTATGTATGACACAGGGGAACTGGCCGGCACCAAAGATCCCCAAATTGTACCGTAGATCGAGTGCCGCAGGTCAACTTTAATGAATTCTGCTAGGTCTTTACTATATTAGGGGAAGTTAGAAGTAAAGTTCACGAGTGTAAACTTTAGAAAAAGTTGCCTATTCGGGAATTCTTACCAAGGGAGCTCCGTGTCTTTAAAAAACCTTAATATACTTACTTGTGAAATACGCCTTTAAAACCCTTGTAAGCTTGTATTTCAATATTGAATTACAAAGTACAAATCATATCTTCTGCGTATTTTGAAAGACTGAGTCAAGGGAAAAGTGGAGTTAAAGTGTCCTTTCTTAGAAAAGATTAGTTATTAAGATACTAGTAGGTTTAGACTAAAACTCAAAGCTTCTAACTTTACAGAATAGTAGAATTTTAAATGCTAAATGTCCAAATGTAAAGAATATGCAAGTTCTGCACAATTGTTAGAAAAGGGTATAGTGGCAAATTCAGTTCATGTAAATTACATAGTTGCTAACTTTCCCTACTCAAGGGGTCCAGTTGGTTTATCCGGATCCGACCATCATCTGCAACTACTAAAAGTTGTGGAGCAAGGGATTGGGTGACACATGTTTGTTGACTCAGTCTGGCGCCTGTAATAGTCCGGTATTTACTCGCTGTAAATACAGAAGGCTGCAGTTGATCTCTGATAATCGAGAAGTAGGTGTATCACGTAGATAGGAAGATAGTTACTAAGTATCAGAATACTATTTGAAGTTGAGTATGAAGCTCCTATCTAATAGCAGATATACTAGTCTTATATAGAACCTTCGTTCTCCTTAGATCCCTTAAGATACTAGATCCTTGGATCCTTAGATCTATTCCCTTATAAAGGGATCCAAGGATCTAGGGATCTATCACGTGACCTATTATCCACCGTGATCTAAGTAACTATTACTACTAAGCGTAAGTGTACAACGGTACTACTCGCTATCCTGTATTATTCCCTAGTCGGTACTACCCTATTAATAGCACTGTTCCTTCATTAGTACCAATGCCCCTATAGTACCACTAATAGTACTATCAGCATCTGGGTACTAACTATAGCGCTAAGGGATTCGTAACACTATCCCCCTCTTAGCCTAGCGTAGTCCCCACGCTTAAGTATAACCTCGAGGAACGTCGATAGTTGCTAACGACTATCTTCCTTATCTATTATATCTGGTATTATAAAGAAATCGAGTATCGCCTAGATAAAGAAAAAATAGAGTATCCAGCTCGCACTCTGTATTAAGCGTGCTACGTAACTTATAAAGCCTTATTCCTTCTGCCGCAGCCTTTCCTATACCTACTTCTTAGATTTATCTATTTTAAAATAATACTCTAAGTATATTCGCTTAAAGCGTTACGATTATAACACCTCGGGGTATATTAAGAAGTTCACTCCTAAACGATCTATATACCAGTTCAAGATAGGAAAAACCGTGACTCCGGCTCGCCCTCTAACGCCTCCCTCTGAGCCCGTTAAGGATAATCCTACTTCTTAGTTCCCTGCCTTCGAACCTAACGCCTACTTAGCGTCCTTTTTCAAGGGCCCGGTTCCTAACCTTAGGTCCCCTTCCTTCTAGGTAAACCTAGATTTCTTTAATAGAATTCCCGCAGAAGCCCAGGGCAGTGGAGGTTAGATTTAGGTTCCTAAGTATTTTCTAATTATAGGTACCCTTTCTATTTAATCAAATATTTTATTTTGCTATAGAAATACTAATAGTCGAGAACAGCCTCTACTTCATATTCGGCGTTCGGATTAATCAGTTATATTTCAGTAACAGGAGCCGGCGGTGCTCCTAGCGGTACTAGTTCAAGGAGAGATATATGGAATACCGGGTGGATATTTATTATCTTTAGTAAAGCTAGTTAATAATTAACTAGTCCCTTAACTTTAGTAATCCTAAATAGTCCTAGCTTCTTATAATCTAATTTATGACTTAGTCGTTTAGTTACGATATTCTTTCTAAGTAAGTAGACTTTATCCCCCTCCTTAAGCGTTAGTCCTATACTACGCTTTCTGTTATAGTAGATC